TGTTGCGCAAATGCCTGTCTGTCTTGTTTCGGATTGTTATTTGGGTCTGAGCTTTGGGATACATGTACATGTACTCCGTACGTAAAAGTTACTGCCTATCATGAGGTGTACAGTCTGTCCCCCCTAAATAATTGGGTATATGGGGCGGACAAATATTTAAAGTCGGGGCCGTCGGCAAAAACACAAATTTCGCCATTGCCATATTACAGTATTTTGAGCGCCAAATCATTAAATAGTGCACCCCATATTAAGGCGCCACCATGTGATTTGTTTGGTCGGTCTCCGCGGAAGGCTAGGGTAGGTTTAGGGAGGGGGTCTGGAGCTTAGCCACGGTCGCACGAGCGGCGGATATTATAAGCAGGCGACTAGGGACCAGGACCGTCTTCAGCGGATGGACACTCTGGCGCTCGAAAGATCGTCAGGAGGGGGGGGGGGGGGGGACATGAGTGGGACGTCCATTTGTGGAATGCTAGCTAGGCGGAGGAGTCGGTGTACGCATGTACAAGTACACAGCCGGGGAAGAGAGTTGGGGAATGCAGTGGAACTCTAGGGTTGTCAAAGGGTTGAATGCGCGAAGCTAGGGTTTGCTGAGTCACCCACCATACGATGCGATGGTTAGAGAGAAGGGTAGGAGATCAGGGTAGTTTCTGAGAGGAATCCCGGTTCTATTTCTGTTTGGTTTGCTTCCAGGAAAAGAAAAACATGGTCAAATAATCGTGGTAACTGCAAGCACCGTTATTCGCATCGTGAGGCCGAAAACGTTGCCAGGGGGGGGGATGAGGGGGTTCGGATTTCCTGGGAAGGTAATCCGTGGGGATCGTGAGTTTCTCCGTGCAACGTTTCTATTTTTTTTTTTTTCGCTAGGGATCCTCACGATAAGGTCCGCAGAAGGGTCCCCACCGAAAAATTTTCGAAGCATCAACTGATCAGAAAACTGGGTCTCTCCACTCTAATGGTCCGAATAACCGCTATGCACACCGAGCAGTAGAGAGAGAATTTTCACCCCCTTTCCATAGGCTTCCCACAGACGTGATAGTCATTGTTCTCAACGGAAGAATTATAGTTGGAACCAAATATGGGGTAACCTAAGCCACTGTGTTAGGTTTGTAATGAATCATATAAAAAAGCCAAACAAGGCCGAGGGTTGGCGGGAAAAAAGGGATCTGGGCCTGACACATCACAGGCCTAGAACCGGTTTCGTGATCTGGTGACACGGCAGAGCGCTTGGACCAGGTTCCCCATTGCACGATCTGCACGTATAAGACTTGGTACTTCCTTGACCCCCTTCTCTCTGTTTCTTCTCGAATCTCTTTAATGTTCTAAACTGCTCTCTGTCCGTTCTTAAAACTTTGACTTTGACACACTACACTAAACTCAACCCCTCTACATACATGGTTGCAATTTAAAATCCACACACCAGCCTCAACTATGAACGCTGGTACCACACAAAGAACACCCAAGACACCCAAGCCGACTGCCTCCGTGCCAATTCCACAAAAGAAACGCTGGCCCCCCATGGCAAACCGCAATGCCCTCCCTTATAAGCTCACTCATCTCTCCAAGGAGAAGCTTGCCCGTGAAGCCACTGCCCCCGATCCCGACCTTCGCCGCTGCGTGGCTCACTTCCGCCTGCACTGTGGCTCCGTGATGTGGACCGAGAATGATATGAAGTCTCGCATCAGCTCATTCGACTTCGAGGACACCGACGAGGAAGAAGAAATGGACGAGATGAACAACGCCGAACTGCCTCTGCCCAAGATCCGGGCCCCGGCCAACGAGCCTCAGATTGAAATCACCAACCAACAAGTCTCTATCAGCGCTGAACCCGTCGCTGTTCCTCCTCCCACTGCCTCCCAACCATCCCCCGAACACTCTGCCGACAATGGTTTTTTGGGAAAGGGCCGTAACTGTCTGGAGGCAACATCAAAACACCTCTGGACAGGAGGATCATGCATGGTTTCCCCCATTTCGGGTTAACCTTGCTTGATTCTTACGATGCCCTACTCTATCATCCTTCCAACTGCACCTACATCCTCGACTTCTGAACACCTCCTGAACCATTTTTTTGCGGCCTACGATATTATGATTTGACGACTTTGATGAACAAACAAAATGAGCACTGTATATACTACTCAACTATCTTTCAGACACTATGTCTTTATTAATTTACAACAATTTTTTTGCTGGGCAAATTCACTTCTCAAAATATCTACACATTATCATTATCTCAAAATAAGACATTCCATTGTAACATCTACTTTCTAACATTTGCCTCCACAATCCACAATCCACTCTCCACTCTATTCTTGACTTCCCAACTGAGCAGGTTTGGCGGATGGCGAACGTGACTCATCCAAGCCGCGTAACCGGTCACATGACACCCCAAAAACGGCGACTTCCATCGTGACGATCTGTCGCCCCAGGGTCATAGTCTGGAGAACTAACGCAGGCCCCAAAAGCATGAACGGGGGGGTTGTGGACCCTCTGGTCCCCGGTGGAATACAAAAGAAGTTGACCAAAGAAGTATGTTTGGGCCAAAGCTACCAGGGCCAGTGGCGACTGACCCGCCGATCGGGTCAGCTTTCATCATACGGATGTCACATCCTCCATTGTGCTGGAGCCCTCTTCAGCGCACTCCGAAGTATATGCTCAAACAAGGTTTGAAATGACATGCCATTGTGAGCAGCAATCGTGGGCAACTGAGCCCATTCAGGCTTCAAACCCGCCAATGGATTGATCTGTATCAAAGACAAACGTTAGTATCGGACATCAAAGTTGACGTCAATATGACATTTCATCATGCCCACTCCAACGAACAGAGCAGATGGGGCAAACAAGAAAACGACTCAGCATAGGCACATCTCCCGATCAATGAAGCAATCGATGTCGTCGAGATCTCTGCCCTATGGCATGATCCTCTCCACAATACGTCACATACCTCGAGAACATTAGCCACTCCGGCCGAAGCATCGAACCTGATATCAACTCTCCCACCATCACGACAGCCAATTGCTCTCCAGGCCCGCAGAGCGACCGTGCATGCCCGCTCGACCAGCGGATCCGCCCGATTGGCTGGGATCTCATCCGTGATGCCATCCCAGTCCTCCCTAGTCTTGGCTTTCTCAGTTGCAAACGGCACAACGTCAACATCAACGTCAGAGTCCCTGTCTCCGTTCAGCTGATCTTTCCACACGATCTCGTCGACTCCTAGGACCCATGCATCATCGCCTGTGCCTAGGATCCCCACTGTGAATTCGCGACCCGCCAGGAACTTCTCGACTAGGATTGCTGGGATGGCACGTGTGCTTGAGCGTAGCTCTTCGACGGCTTGGCAGAGTTGATTGACGTTATGGATGACGCTTATCTGCTTGATTCCTTTCGAGGTGTCTTCTGCTAGTGGCTTTGCGAAGAGTGGGTATGAGGCTGGGTCCAGGAGTGACGATGCGTGTTTGGATCCTTTTGTCAGGGAGTTGATGATGTTTGGTGTTATGAGTTTGTCGGGATGTCGGTCTAGGTTGATGATTGCGAATGGGGATGTCGGGATGCCGTAGTGCTCAAGGACCATCTGTTGCTTGGTTAGTATTCATTGTATAGGGCTGACCTTTCTAACATCTAGATTGCGGATCAAGTTCGGATATAGTTCGGGCCCTCCTCTTTCTCCCTCCTCTTTCTCTCTCCATGCATTACAAATGAAACGGTTTACTCCACCTTTGTCTTCCCCTTGTCCAAACATAGCGCCATAGTCGCCGTATCGGAAAACGTAAACGGAACCCCAAATGCCTCCAGCATAGCAGGCACCTGCGCTTCCCTTGCAGCTCCATACACCCCCACAGCGATATTCACCGCCAGATCCCACTGCGCACCTTCACCAGCGCCAAGCTTTCTCGCCAGCATCTGCACATCCGGGATAGGAATGACCCTGTGACCAAGCCTGTGGAGAGTGACAATAACATCCTCGGCCGGGGTACAAACCTCCAGATGGGAGATATGAGAAGCCGGGTACCCAAGATCGCGATAGATCTGTGGGTCCTCATAAATAAGAGCAATGAGAAGATTGGATTTAGACCTGGTCATTTTGACTTTGGAACGGCGGTGTAGAATGAAGATCTTCTGTAGATGATTGTTTTAGGGATTGGGGCTATCATTTATCTACTTTTCGAGGTGACTGCATGGCTGCCCAGATGCTTGAAAATGGTGGTCTTTGTTCAGCGCCCCTCTTTTGGGCTGGTTACTGAATATGCGCGACGTGGTAAATCCTTGTCGGCCAAGTTTCTCGAACAGTCATCTTGGACTCTTCATGCAGCGTGAAGTGGCTGGGGTAAATTGGCCAGATCGAGTTAGGATCTGTATTTAGAAAGGTCAGATTGACTCCTAAAATCATCTTACATCTTGCAACTGCCAAGTAAGCCAGACAGAATGCCCAAGCGAGAAGAGATCAACCAATAAATGTTTTCAATGATTGGTCTATATTGAAATAAAACAAAGCATCGGCTCTCAATACCTAAAAGTACAACCTATGGATGACCATTCCGACCATTAAGCAGAACCCCGATCATCTGTCAAAAGCTGCTCATCACCATTCACAAGAAGAGACCCAACACGTGTAGCCCTCACCACAAGATCAAACCCAAGAAGCCTATGTGAATTGATAGCAACATCATTATCTAGCTTCATCACAAACCGCACCTGAATTCCCCGCGAAAAAGCTCGATATAACTGGAGGTAATCGAGTGCATGTAGATTGCAGTATTGCTAGGATTAGCCTTCGACATTGTCCGCTCTGGAGAGGCAGAAGTACGAACAGGTATATGTTGATACCATGTAGAAAATCAAAGACAGAGATATGTCTTTCGTGAACCTGCCAATCTATCTAGATATGGCATACGGCTAATTTCAATTTGGCCGACGCCACATACCCGCAGTGTGGTCCACCTTTACGGTCAAAATCAACGCAGCCGGTTTGGTGATAAATCGAAAATGCTTGATAATATAAATGTTCATTAATCAGAAGACCTTGAAAAGGCAAGATCAAAATCGTTGAAAGTCTCCACTGGATCCAGAAGTCCAAAGTCCACATGAGATTGCGTCAAGAAGTTCAGCATGGTAGGTTGGTGAAGAGCCATTTCCGTAGTTAGATAAGGCACGTTGGATTCAAAAAGCTGGGAATTTAGATCCTCAAAGTATGGGGTTGCCTGGGGATGACTGGAGAATCGGCTGGGTCGTGATGGCATTGGGAGCAAGCCTTCGTCCATCGGTAATGGATTGACGGGAGCACTGTCAGAATGATCGAGAGTCAAAGCAAGAGAGATAGAATGGTCATCTAGACATTGCCGTACCCGCGTGAGATGATCATAAAGGTCCCTTGATGCAAGATTGCCGGATAAGCTAAGGTTCTTGAGTATCTCCAAGGTTGTTTCGGTAGATGTCAAATCGGCTGGATTCCCAAGAGACAGGAGGCTTGAGACGGCTAAGACCAGTGCGGCTGAGAAAAGGTAGGCTGGGAAGGCATAGCCATAGATTGCAAAGGATCCTTTTGTCCATTCATCCATACATAAGGCGAAAGAGTGTCTTGCTGCGTGAATGCATGCCTCACTCAGGGTGACCAGGACCGGCGAAATTGTATCGGGGGAGCGGTTGGAGTGGCCTTTCTTGGTCAAATTCAGGACGTGTAGGAGGACTGGTCTGATAGCCAAGATCACACACTAAGGAGATCAGCATATAGGTTCCAAAAAGGGCAAAAGCCAAGCCGGAAAGCAATGTTCTTACAAAATTGAATTGAAGATGCATCTGAATCACATCTTTGGGGTTTGGCATGTCCGAACGAAGTCTCATTCGCTCAGGTAGAGATTGAACCAATTGCTTTAACTGAGTCAGAAGTTTCTGTTCACAGTGTAAGAAGCTCTCAACAGATTGTTTTTGGCAGTAGATATCTCCAGTCGTGCTTCCGGTAATTTTGGCAAGTTCAATAGCCGATGTTGCGAAAGCACTGTCTGCAAACTGATCTGGATATGATTCAGATGCTACACTAGAAGGAAGATCGACATGAATCCATTCATCGTGAATTTGAACAGGGAATCCCGATTTCGAGCCCCAGAAGCGATCAAGCGTATAGATAGACCACCAAATTCGGATTCGATGTTCTCGCGCCACTGGATGAAGATTTTGGCTTTGTGGGACGTTATAGTTCAAGCCCATGCTGAGCGCCAGTCGCAATGCGTTTCCGATGAAGAGGTAGGCTGAATGGAAGCGATTCAGAAATTGACAGAAGAATGCCTTGGGGATGTTAGCAAAGGAAGAAGAACGCCAAAAAAAAGCACATACAAGTAAAAGTAGGCTCTCTATATGAACCATGTTTGGTCTTTCAGGAATGACCTGCATGAGACTCAATGCTTTTGCGAAATAATCCGATCCCGGGACATGCGACGCATCGAAAGACCCATAAGGAGTCGAATAAACTTGTCCAATTGCAAACAGTGCAAAGAACTTGCACTTGATACTTTGATTCTCAAAGTCTTGACTCTGATAAACGCTATGGAGCATATCCATAGTATCCTGTTTCAGAACAAAATGAAAACTAGACATGATATGACCAAGTGCAGTTTTGACCAATAGCTGTGCGCACACAAGGCTCGGCCATTGTAGGTCTGCATGGAGGAGAGATGTAAGAGTAGACTCGTCAGTATAACGCGATCTTGGAAGATGCAGTGTTGGCGTATTCGTCCTCTTTAAGGACTGACATAGCCGAGTGGCAAAAGCGGTACAAGTTGCTTCGCTAATGTAGAGAGGAATCAATGAGGCATCGTGAGATTGAAACCATGGCTTGTCTCCGATGGAGAGACTTTGTGCCATTGAGTCAGCATTTTCTTCGGCTGTGTCGGGACTTGACCGAGAGTCTGAGTTTTGCTCTGGTCTATTCGAGCGCGTTTCTTTCGGACGACGCTTTCGGTCGTGTAACTCTTCGCTATCTCTCAAGAGTTGCTCCAGGTAGCTGTAGTGTGTCAGCAATGAGTTTGATCCCAGTCAAATGGACTACTTGAGGAAGCTACCTTTCATCCACTCGTACTTTGCGATCCCGAGTCGCATATCTGCATTGGGCTCCATAGCCCGCAGACCGACATTTGGAGCATGGCTTTTCCCCAGAGCATTTAATCTTCTGAGCGTGGCATCGGTGGCAACTCGGGAACTATCAGCGAACGTCCTTATTACATTGACAGACACTTACGCAACAGCTCTTTTCTTAGGCCTTGCCGGGGTTCTAGCAAGGCTTTGTTGACTATGGCGTGCAGACATGTAAAAATCAGCGCACATATTGAGTAGTTGAAATGCGCTAAAAAGAGAGAAGTGAGAAAACGTGGCGGGGGATGTCGGCAAATCTTAAATTCGCCGGTTCCAAACGTCAGCCCTGAATTTTCACTGAATGTAGATATTTTCTTTATAAGAAAAGGAAAGAAAATTGAGTCAATATGTACATCAGGAGATAAAAAAAACATAATCCAAAAGAACGTAACAGGGGTCATTCTCGTATATTTAGTGCAACAAAAACCGCGAAGGAGCCTCTTGAGACTCAAGCTCCAATGTGACTGAACCTTTCCTTCGCTTCTTTGGAGTCATAACATGATTCTTCAATCCCTTGTTGAAATTGATGATACACAACACGGAGTTGACGAGCGTGATACCCATCAAAAGCAATGATAGGGAGGAAAATAGTGTCAGGGAGACACGGACTGAGGCGAATTGGCTGCTTCCGCTCGAGATGTGCATTCGATAGAGCGTCAGACCAAAACATCCCATGATGACAAGCATGAAGAACTATAGCGATCGTTAGACCGGGATGTAACCCAAGTACATGAGCCCTGGAAAAACTCTTACCATCATAGTGATGAGAGACTTTGTCTTCTCACGCTTGCAGAACTGAGCAGCCCCAATCAACGTCGCTATCGTAACCGGAATTAGGGCGGCATTGATGATGAAATCAGAGTCCTCAGTCTTAAAGACAACAAGAAGAACCTGAAGTTGGCTTCCAAACACGAAGAAGAAATCAAATTTCAACAGCGCAATATAGACCTAGTAGAAATCAGTTTCCAAATCCCCGAAAACAACCAAGCAAAAGCAGAACGAACCTGATAAGTAAGATACCTCCTCTTCATCTGCAAATCCGCACTAATATTCTTATAAATAGACCACGAAAACTCAGCACGCAGTTTCCACGTAAAAAATGTCATAGCAATAGTGCAAACACCCAAAATAACAGGTACAAGCACAAGCTCAATGCGATAAATTTTAAGCAAATGATCGCTGACAGACTTATCATTCAGCGCCGTCGTAACTGTACTATTGATCTCCTGCATCTGTAAAGAGCCATAGGTCAACAGGCCCAAATTACAGACGCAGAGACCGACGAGTTGGATTGTATTCTTGCGGCGCAGGGCATCATACGAAAGAGCCAGTTCATATAGTAGGGCGAAGATGTATAGACCTAGGAAGGATTGGAGGCGCATTGATCCGTCATTTTTGCCATCGTCTTCGAGGTGGTTGCGGAGACTTATTAGGATCCAGCTGGATGTATAAGGCGCTGTTAGTGGAGTTCCGGGTTGGACTTGGTATTGAGAGACGCGATTGAGCGCATACCTTTCAATTGCGACTGTAGCGACTGTTTCGGCGATAACCGTTATCGCGAATGCGCGTGTCCATAGTGTGTTTGGGACGTATAGTAACGGTTGCCCTTTATGCGGCACCGAGTGGTGATGGTGGTGATCATGTTCACTCATGGCCGGATTCAAGGGCACGCCCGGGTAGGGGGCGCGACGGTCAATTGCTTTCGTCTTGTTGGCAGACTTTTCGTGCGCATTTGGGTTGGGGGTTTTTGTTTCAGATTTATGATAAGGGGCCTAGATGCGTCGTGCGGATCATGTCCCGTCGGGGTTGCGTTGGCCAATTGATGGAGTAGACTTCATATCCCCGGAGAGAAGAAGAAGAGAGAGAGAGAAAAGAGTCTTGGGCTTCAGGAGGAATGATTATTGAAAACGAATACGGCCTTGTCTTGAAGGTGGGGCCACGCGTAAGGCTTCTGCATTGTGGTCGATCTAGTACTTCCACTAATAGGGGAGATGGGGTGCTAGTGAACTTAGTGTGTGGATATATTTAGTGGCAGCTGTATACGTGCGTAGATCTACACTTAATTTGTTTTTAATTTGTTGTAATTAAAGTGGTTATTCGCGATGTGGCTTTCGTCTGATATGCTTGTACCTCTACAAAACGATAGCCCTAGCCTACTGGTATGTTAGAACGAGACATCAGCTACCATACTCAAATTAATGAATATCTTGCATGCAGATGCTAAAATAATGCGGTGGGGATATATGGAACTCCAATGCTGACATGAAGATTCAATCAATGCATGCCATGTCAGTGTTTTGACCGTGCTTTAACCCCAAGCTTGAACTCCACAGCCCAGGGGTAATAACCCAAACACCAATAAGATAAAAAAAAAACAAATAACAAAACATGAGTATTGGCAAACTCCGCATAAAATGCATGACAGATGACAACGCTATGCATTCAGACATGCTTATGAAGTGAACGTTAAAAGTCCATCTCGTCATCCCAGCCAAGTTGCTCGTAGATCGACTTGGACTGCGATTTGTCGGGTGTCACTGGCACAGCCACAGGGCCTTTGACTGGCGTCCCCATGACTGCTGGCGGAGAGTGTGCACGAGGAGAATCGACGACCATGGCGTCGAGGGATGTAGGGAAGGGCATAGAGGGTGTGGTTGGTGTCTCCTGCAGTGCACGCTTCTTCGGGGGCGTTTCCATGATGGCCGAAAATTGAGCATTGCTGAGAGACTGACTGAGCTGTTGAGACGAGGACATGTTTTCCGTTGATGCGGAAACTGTCTTATGGCGCGAATGGACAGGTGTACCTGGGACCATTGATTGGGTGGTAGAGCGGGGAGCAGGGAGATTGGGTACCCGGAAGAGACCTTTCCCAGTTGAGGAAGACGGTCGACGGGAAGCCATGGAGTCTCCGAGTCCACTTGTACTCTGGAAGATTTTGGAAGAAGGCCTCGTGGGAGTTTCCTGGACAGCCCCGTCGGGCTGACTGGATCGCGGACTCCGTCCGTTGGGACCATCATGCGTGTTAAATGGATCGGAATCAGCGCCAGAGAAAGATATCGCCCGTCGACTTGAAGAGGGAACCATGAGCGGAGACTCGCCGAGAGGAGAGTTCTCCACACCCGCGAATGATCGCGACGGAGCCAGACTGCGAGGCAATGAGGGTAGACCTACCACCTCCTTCCTTCGGTTGCCTCGTGGAGTCGCCATGACCTGTACGCCTTCACCGAATGGATTGCGCACAGGGTTCTTTGACTTTCTTGAGCTGCCTCCACTAGCCGTAATTCGCTTGACTGCATCTTCTGCGATGTCCTTGGAGACGAGTTCTCTGTTGGGTTTCCGCAGAGCGTGAATAGCAGCATCTAGCTCCTTCTTCTGATCAATCAGCATCTGGACCTTTCGCAATTTCGTTTCATGTTGCCGCGCCACAGCATTGAGGTCAACTTCTCGGTTCTCCGTGCGCTTCGCTTTGTGAATACCACCCCGAACACTGCCACTCAGGACAGTAGGCAGCAAAGGCTCCGCTGTATCGCGCTTCAGATTGTGCTGCGACGGGGCTGTATTGGAGCGACTGAGCCCCGGGTGTCGGACAAGGGACGCTGCCGCTTTCTCGTCTGTAAGCACACGCTGCAATGTCCGCCGCGGCTTTTGTGCTGGCTGCTGTCGCTTGACTTCTGCGCCAGGTTCCACTCGGGGCGCTTTGCTTGACTGCGATTTCTTAGAGGCCGGAGAGATTCCACCAGATACACCGAATTTGCGTGTGATCAGCTTGCACTTATCGGGGACACGCGCGGCGTAGAAGGGAATAATGACTTCTGTGCAAAAGTCACGCACTGCGTCACTTTCGAGTTTCTTGCCTGACATATGGCTCGTGCTAAAGGAAGATGCCTTTGCTGTATCGGCAGCAGATGTATCTTCCATGCTCACAGCATGCCAAATGCACATTCGGTCGAGGTGGAGCTCGAGAAGCACGTTCAAATCCTGAGGTTTCTTGGCCTTGGATTTCTTCGATGTTTGTTTCTCGCCTTCTAGTCCTTTGTCCTTGTCGGCGTTGTTCTTTTCTGACGAAACAATGCCCATTTCCAATACCATGACTTCGAGAACTAAGAGAATCTGCAGCTGCGTCTCACGAAGCCGGAGATCAGATATTTGCTTCTTGGACTCTGCTTCACGCGAGTCCTGAGCTGAGGACTCGTTCATGAGTCTGCCCTTCCACCATCGATGGATAAACCCTTCCTCCTCTGGATACAGACCATTCTTACCCAGCTTCTTCTTCTTGCTCTTCCGCTTCTTGGATTTCGCACCATCATCAGAGTCAGCTAGGATAGCATCGCGAACTGCAGATGGCACCGCCTCTCTATATTTGAGATCCATCTTCTTGGCTGCAAGAATAGCCTCACGATAAAACTCAACAAGCTCCGCAGACCCATGCGATTGCTCGGTATCCCGAGCCTGGAAAGCATTCCGACAGCGCGTTAACGGACCCTTAGCAAAGTATGCGACAGAAGTCTAGAAAGCCGTTAGTCATACACTCCCCAAGTCCCAAAGACCTTGAATGGAGATCACCTTTGAAACATAAAGAGCCCGCAAATAATGATCCCGCATCCCTTCCAGCAACTCCTCAGGCGACTGCTGTACATCCACAACATGAGACTCAACCCCATCAACATCCATAGCCTCCCCACCATCCGCAAGACCATTAGAATCAGTAACAAACGGATCACCATCAGCAGCATCAAAGCTCCTAGATGGCGCAAGCGAATGACTCCGATGCTCGAAAACACCCACAAACGAGGCCTCCGCAACACTGACATCATCCTCAGCTGAACCAAAGACAAGCGCAAAATGCAGCGCAGGCTTGTCACCCACCCCGCTCCCACTTTGTATATCAAGATTAGATATGGGCTCGTCGATCTGAGCAGCTTGCCACCAGTCATATTTATCCGGCATGACAGTAGACTCGCCGATAATGCCATCCCTGTTATCCATATCCATATCTGCATCTGTACCCTCCCACCCCTTCCCCGCAACGACAAGATTACCCTCGTGAACCCATCGCGCAAGTTTAGAGAGCGAGTATATACCCCTCTTTACACGCTCGACAATGTACAATCCACCATTTGCAAGTAGACGAACTGCAAGCACGGTAGGTACGGCTTTGGCGCACAGGTCAAATTCCAGTGTGGGGATATCCGCTGTGAAGAGGCCGCCTGGTTCATCGTCTGAGCGAGAGGACGGTGTATCGTCTAGCCAGGAGAGGGGGAGGTGGGAGCGGGGAAGCATAGTTATTGGTTCGAGGGTTAGAGGGTGGTCTGATAGTGAAGCTGCGTGGGCCTGGTTGGGTTGGTTATTAGTGACAAGTTAAGTATGGGTGAGGGTAGGGATCGAGGGTGGATTAGATCAGGTTGAGTTGATTTGCTATGTAGTATACTTACTCTGATGACAATTGAAGAGGTCGCGAGCTGACCAGCAGCATTGTAGATCTCGCCATCGTCGCTTCTCTTGCGCTTCAGTGTTGGAGGGGTTGGTTCGTGCAGCTTGTTCAGTGCCGATGAGGTGAGGGGATCCAGGATGTTCGGTATTATGCGCGAGGACATGTTCGTGTCTAGAGTGGCATCGTGTAACAGCGTGAGGGATACAAACAATGACACATACAATGACTTGCAATTGACGATGTTGAAGATGTTGTCAAATCGCGTTCAAGGCGTAGTGGGTCGGGCGTCACGCGTCGGGACGTGCACTCCGCCTCGACTTTAATTGAGCAGAATTAAGTAAGTACAGGAGTCTTGAGGCAGAGAGAATAATTTATGATGTCCAAAAAGTTATAGTTACGGAAGTGAATGGAAAAAGTGCAGCCCAAACCAGTGGTAAATGTGATAGATGTGAAGTTTATGATTATTCTATCGCTAATGTTTAGATTAGCTTGTCCAGGACCTACGAAGAGCCTTGAACACTCTCACAGAGAGTGCTACGTAGACTGTATCGCATCGAGAGAGTAAGACCTGTGTGGAAGCAGGATAAACCAATTCCCGAAAAGCACCGTGGACGATGTTGAGGTAATGTGAGGTTGTTGAAGACTGTCGCTCCTGAAAAACGCCAAAAACTTCCTTCCCAGCCGATGAAAAGTGGTATCATGTTGAATTTTGTCTTCGCCGAAAGGCCCGTCTTTTGCGCGACCATGCAGATAATGAAACAAGGAAGTTGACCCCAAGTGGAAGTCAACTTCTGGATTTTGTTAGGGTTTTTAATTCTATGCTCATCGTGCTTCGAGTTGTTGAAAACAAAGCAAACTCATCACAGTCGTCAAATTATGTCCAGCATCACCGGATCATACGCAAAGTCCGCTTAGAACTTGAGGGCCTTGGGGGACTCCCAGGTGAACTCCTGGTTGGTGAAGTGACCGTTCTTGGCGGTCTGAGCGTAGATGGGCTTGGCCAAGTCAAGATCCTTCACGATGACACCGGGACGGAGATCGAAGTTGTTGCGGATGATCTCGACCAGCTCGTCGGAAGTCTTGGAAGAGGTGCCGTAGCTCTCAACGAAGATGGAGAGGGGCTCGGCGACACCAATGGCGTAGGAGAGCTGGACGAGGGCACGGCGGGCAAGCTTGGCGTTGACCAGAGACTTGGCGATCCAGCGCGCAACGTAAGCGGCCGAGCGGTCGACCTTGGAGTAGTCCTTTCCGGAGAAAGCACCACCACCGTGGGCACCCCAGCCACCGTAGGTGTCGACGATGATCTTACGGCCAGTGAGACCGGCATCACCCTGAGGACCACCGATGACGAAGCGGCCGGAGGGCTGGATGTGGTAGACAGTGCGGTCGTCAAGGAGCTCAGCGGGGATGACCTTCTTGACAATCTTCTCCTTGATAACAGCGCGGAGCTCCTCAGTGGAGACATCGTCGCTGTGCTGGGCAGAGACAACGACGGTGTCAACGCGCAGGGGCTTGACGGCACCGTTGTCGTGAGCGTACTCAATGGTGACCTGGGTCTTGGTATCCGGGAGCAACCAGGGGATGGAACCGTCGTTACGGGCAGCCTTCATGGCAGCGTTAAGCTTGTGAGAGAGGAGGATGGTCAAGGGCAGGAGCTCAGGGGTCTCGTCGGTGGCATAGCCGAACATGATACCCTGGTCACCGGCACCGAGCTTCTCAAGAGCCTCCTCGTAGTGAAGACCCTGAGCAATATCGGGGGACTGTTGCTCAATGGCGACAAGAACGTTGCAAGTCTTGTAGTCGAAGCCCTTCTCGGAAGCATCGTAGCCGATGTCCTTGATAGCGCCACGGATGATAGCCTGGTAGTCCAGACGAGCCTTGGTGGTGATCTCACCGAAGACCATGATCATACCTAGGAGATGTCAGAATGGACGATCATATTTGGCCTTGAATGTTAGAACCTACCAGTCTTGGTGGCGGTCTCGCAAGCGACCTTGGAGAGAGGGTCCTCAGCCAGACAGGCATCGAGAATGGCATCGGAGACCTGGTCACTATTTATCTGTTAGTTTCGGGGAATTGAGAGTAAGTGTTAGATATAGGGGAAAACTCACGCAATCTTATCGGGATGACCCTCACCAACCGACTCGGAGGTGAAAAGGAAAGTACCGGGCTGGGAGCCGTTTGCGAGAGAACCCATTGTGAATGTGTGAAAAGGGGAAATTGAGGAAAAAGAGAAAGAGGGAGGGAGGGGTGAGGAGGAGAAAAGGGAAGAGAAGGGGAGGGGAAAAATTGGTGGGGTTTTCTTTTTGCGAGTACACGGCGGGTACCAATAAATATGCAGTAGAAGTGGGGACCAACCAGGTACTGCCAATGTACCGATGTACGCCGTACTTTCTGTCCCCCCCGTGATGGCGCGATCAGGGCGGTGAAAGCGGGCAGATCACGGCAATGCAATTTTCTCGTTACCGACGCGATAAGAGATATCTTTTTATATAGCTATACTAGCTTCACCACACATCATGTCCAAGTTTGGTGTCCTTGTTATGGGCCCTGCAGGTGCAGGCAAGACCACCTTCAGCAATGCCATGATCCAGCATCTGCAGTCGACTCGTCGCAGCTGTTTCTACGTCAACCTCGACCCCGCCGCCGAAACCTTTAGCTACGAACCAGACCTCGACATCCGCGATCTGATCACATTAGAGGATGTGATGGAAGAGATGGGTCTGGGCCCTAATGGAGGTCTGATCTATTGCTTCGAGTTCCTGCTTCAGAACCTGGAATTTTTATCAGAGGCGCTAGAGCCACTGAGCGAAGAGTACCTGATCATCTTCGATATGCCGGGTCAAATCGAGCTATACACGCATATCCCTCTCCTCCCATCCCTCACCACATTCCTCTCTCGCCAGGGTCCCTTGAACATCAATATGTGCGCCGCCTACCTACTTGAGAGCACCTTTGTGATCGACAAAGCCAAATTCTTCGCCGGAACCCTCAGCGCCATGTCCGCCATGTTGATGCTGGAAATCCCCCACGTCAACATTCTCAGCAAGATGGATCAGGTCCGTGATATGGTCTCACGCAGGGAGTTGAGACGCTTCACCAATGTGGATGTGCAATTGCTGCAGGATAAAGAGGAGGACGACCTTACCGCTAGTGCCAACCCCATGGCAACAGATGCATTGATGAGCGGTGGATCTTTTAAACAGCTGAACCGTGCCGTGGCCCAACTGATCAATGACTTCAGCATGGTCTCATTCTTGCAATTGGATGTCCAGGATGAAGACAGTGTGGGTGCTATTCTGAGCCATATCGATGATGCCATTCAATACCACGAGGCTCAGGAACCAAGAGAACCTAAGGATGAAGTCGAGGTCAACTACGAGGATTGAGTCGAATAACTGATACACTGCATATGGCATGCAGTCAAACCTGGCTCGTTCGCGACCGATCACATCCGGAAATGCAGACATGTCACCTGCAGCTGCAACTCTTCTGCGGCCTACACCGATTTATTCCAAGCGAGAACATTCCACTCCTACACTCCTTGCACTGCGCATTGCTGAGCTGGCAGACTCGGACGATCTACAACGCGGCTGTTCTAGTAGCCCCATGATACGAGGTGTACGGCTTTTGAATCTTCAACCCGGTCGGGCATAAAAGACCCGAGACAACGATAACAGGGGCCATCAAACTTGAGAAATCCTTTCAAATGGATATGAGAAATACCCCAGAATAATAGAATCAATAATGAAACCAGCACTTCATGAAATGTACCATGTCTAAAACCAAAGATAGCCAACACCCGCTAGACCAACCAACAAGTTGCAAAAAAAAAAAAAGAAGAATAAACAAAACCATTTTCAATTTTCCGCATTCATCATGCACCGAACGGCATATCAAATAGCCAAAAAAAGACAGCCCATATACAGTAGTCAATCCACCGCAATGCTACTTACCCCCAACATAAGCAGCAGCCCTCCCCTGACTCTTCTCAACATAATCCCCGACAAAACCCATAACAACCCCAAACAACCACCCAGCATCCCTCGCTGCATCCTCAACGCCAACGCGATAAACATAATACCCGACCCCAATCAGCGATCCCCAAAAGACAAGTCGGAACGCCAGCACAACCCAGAACATGATCATGCGAAAGGCATAGTCGAGGATCTTCAGCGAGACGAGAATTATAATGGCTAGCAGACAGATTGAGAGCAAGTCCGGCATTGCACCGGAGTAGCTTGTCAGCAGGGTTGATAGCGGTTCGATTAGGTACGGTTGTAGGATTGCTGTTCGTAACTCGGAGAGGCGCGAGGATAGGTGGGCTTGCGTTGTTGATTGGAGGTAGGTTATTGTTGTGTTTTGGAGGATTGTTTGAAGGTTTTCTGGATAGGGTTAGTTGTTTGTTAGTTTTTGTTGGTATTGATGTGGGTGGTTTGGAGGGGGTTAGATGTATGTACCTGGTAGGAAGTCCATGGTTGCGAGATGTTTGAGGTTGAGGTTGAGGTCTCGGGTATTAAATTAATGAGTTGGCGATGGGTATTCTCGCGGCGAGAGTGCAAATATGGTATGATAGGGACTCGATTCACAAGGCGCCCTCGGTTGTCGCGGTCTAGGCGCAAGTTTCTTTGAGTGGCTAGCTGGTTGTTTGGAGATTTTGTGATCGCCGATAATTGGTGTTCTCGAGAAAGCGAGTTTGAAACAGGGATGAGAGTATCGCTTTCACTTGTCACGTTTCAGCTTGACTTTGCTTGGGTTCGAGTGTCCTTCGTTCGTTGCGGAGTGGAGCTCGTGTGGTTGTAGATCGTTCGGTCGCGAGCGAAGTAGTGTCATAAGAGGATTTTCACAGTGAGATCAGCTGGACAGAATACCGAGTTAAGTCGCTGAGGGTATATATGCCGATGCGATCAATAGTTTACAAGTATAAAGAAGTGACATCCAAGTGGCACCCGACAGGTGCAAAACAAACAAACATGGCATGTGAAGGTTAATCCCCGTTTACCTCGAATGTCATTTTGCCTTGTTTGTATTGTTTTCAGTCTCAATAGATTTAAACAGTATGTTTCAGCAGATTTATAACAGATTATACTGTACATTCGATTAAGTATTTACCAAGATAAAGGCGACTTTTATATACAAGCGTGACTAGTCACCACCAATCCGGTCTGTAAAATAGAACAACGCCAAAGCCCAAGCCTGGGCACGGCTAGCGCGATACCACGCGCATAAACTTCACATATAGAAACAGAACCCCGGACATACTCCGGGTAGAACTCCAAGACATTAGGGACTCGCGATCACGGTGGACGGGAGTATAGATGCAGATGCAGGGGTGGTATAACAAGAACGGGAAAGTGCAATGCGCGAGACCTATAAGGCGTTGATAAGCGAATTCAGGGCGTCACGCTCAGCCTGGATCTCGGTTTGGAGTTGGCGGGTCTGGCGGAGAGCATCCTCTCTGTTGATGTGTTAGTGAAATGTCCAATAAGAGCCCATTAAGGATTGGAAAGGAAAAGAGTGTTTACCTGTCAGTTTGAAGCTGGGCCACATCGATCTGTGTACGGTTCATGCGTCCGACCACTTCTTCCATCTCCATATCCGCATCGCGGAGGAGCTTCTCGAGATCCTTGACTCGTCGTTCGAGGACCTCAGCCTGGACAACATCGGTCAAAGGAACACCCTCACCACTGGAGGTCTGATTCAGACGCGGTGAGCGAGCGTCGAATGGTGTGTTGGGTGGCCGCGGTGAAAGACCAACGAGGTTACGGCCTCCATTCTTCATACGCGTGAGCTGGGCATTCTGGCTCTCTGTCAAGAGGCGGACTTCCTCCTCATGCTTGCCCATCTCGTCTTCGGAGTTTTGCTGGGCAATCAAGAGGTCATCCTCCAATTCCTTCATGCGGTTTTGCAGGACATTGATTCGGTACACTGAGATCTTCTGATCGTTGTCACCCTTGTTAATAGCCTCTGCTAACCGAGCATGCAAAGATGTGTTGTTCCGGAGCTGATATTGAACCTTGTTGGCTAGGGACTCTGCACGGTCAAGGGAGGAGGAAAGCTCTTCCGAGTTGGCGACGTTCGCCTCGGCCGCTGCCCTTTCGGCCTGCAATTGCTGGTAGGCAGATTGCAAAGAAGAAGATGTCGCCATGACTTCCGCGAATTCCCCTTGGTCGAAGTTAGATTCGTCAGAAGCGGCAGTATCCTCCTGGAGAAGAGCGCGCAGGGAGCTGGTTTCTTGCTCGGCACGGTCCAAATCCATCTTCAGACCAGCGAGGTTCTTCTCGCACTGCCATTTGCCATCCATGGCATCTTCGGCGCGCATGCGTAGATGGTTGACTTCATCACGTAGGTTATAAACCTCCCTCTGATAACCCAGCCTCCGGGGTTGGCCCGATTGCTGGGCCCGAGCAAGCTCCATCTCAAGCATACGGGTCCGCTTCTCATACTCACGGGCCTGGTATGCTTGACGATCTAACAGGCTGCGCAATGTCCGGTGAAGGAAATCGCGTTGAACTTCAACGTCGTTGACTTTGTCAACCAAGGACTCGCGTGTTTCGGGTGATTTACCCCCATTGTTAGAAAGGGAGTTGGACCGGGAAAGAGAACCTGAACGGGCGAGACCGCTAGGCTTGCGAGCAAGGGAGTTTGATCGTGATAATCCAAATGCTGAATTCCTCGGTGAACCACCTTCCTCGGCGATCGAAGCGAATCGGCCGCCTTGTAACTGGGCTAGAGAGGCATTTTCGATCTTAAGAGCTTCGATTTCTTCTGCGAGCTTGTTGTTGTCTCGAAGCTCGTCTCGGTCGTTGCGCAACTGTTCAAGCTCGACTCGCATTGCAGTAAGCAAATCTTCAAAATTGTCCTTCGATTGTCGCTCTTCAAGTAACTTGCGCTTAGTGTTTTCCAGAGCAGTCTCAAGTTCTTTAGTTTTAGATGACATATCAGACAAGTCGACTCTGTCACGTCGAAGCTATTGAAATGTCAGGGGTTGCTGTTTGTAGTGTCAAAGGAACTTACCTGTTGAACTTGGGTCTCCAGAATTTGAACATGCGACTCAGACGCTGTCCGTTTGGAGCGCTCTTCTTGCAGCTTTTGTGATAATTCGACCTTGAGTTGAGCTCGTTCTTGCTCTGCAGCACGCTTGATCTTCTCAATATCTTCTGACCGACCAGCGTCTGAAGCATATCGAACAGAACTAGTCCCCGAATCCGAGAAATAGTCACTGGTCCGGCGATTGGAATCCGGGCCTTCTAATTGTAAACGTTCAACTAGATCCTCCAGATCCATTTCGCGGCGTATAGACCCCGCCAATTCGGAGCTAATTTCTCGTAATTCATTCTCAAGGTCCGCCATTTTGGACACAAATATATTTTCCTTTAAACTGCCAGATCCCACCGATGGAGTCCGCACCGGAAGGCTGTAGCCATTGCTCTTGGTATCATAGGGGGAAGGAGGTTTGATAGGAACATTTGCTAACGGTGGCATGGGGGAAGGCATTGTGGACCGACCTGAGTCGGAGATCTCAGTGCTGGATGATTCAGCTCCAGGAGATGTTGCTATATTATTGTTGTTATTCGCCGCCTTCCAACCAAAGAATGAGCTGATCTTATTCCCCGGTGTCTTTGGGTTTCTGGAATCCGTCGCACTCATTGACATTGACCGCGGATCCACGTCGATATGTAGAGGGGGTCTGTTCATAGGGAGGTGCAATGCCATACTCGTTGCCCGTCTTGTTGGAGGAGGGGATTTGAGGACCGGGATGAATGGTTCGCTATCTAGTCGACTGTGCAAGGGGATTGCAATTCCATTCGTGAACTGGTGTTCGTATTCGTCATCAAAATAGTCTGCCCCGTCTTCGTCGTCGTCGTCGTCGTCGTCCTCGAGTACGGACCTCAAGAATGCAGCGGAGCCCGGCCGGGATGCAGCGGTATCGATATGTAGAGGTTTGGGAGGGGCTCGTCGGGAATATCTGATGGACAGGGGCACGAGATTAGCCTTCCAGTAGTTGGAGAAGCGGAGTGGCATGTAGATGCCATATCATCTTGATCGACAGATTGTCGAAGGGAAAAGGAGGACGTGTTGAGGTCCGGGGGCCAAGAACTGGGGTTGGTGAGGTCGCATACCTATTCGGGTTCTTTTGGACCGATATAAAAGAGTCTCCATCCGCCGACGAAGGAGATGGTGGTCTAGCCACAGGAGCAGTGGGAATGAGAGTGGGTTTATCTCCCTCGATCGAAAGGGGAGAGGAGGGGTGGACAGGTCCGGAGGTCAGATCGACATTCTGCGGGACAGGTTTCCTTCGAACCTGAGTAGGGGAAGGATAGAGACTAAAGCTCTCTGACGGAGCGCCGCCGAGAACTAGAGGAGACGCCATGAAACACCCTGGTCCGTATCAAAAAATAGCCATCGATCGACAGTCACTCATGCCGATTAGCACGGAAAATAGAGAGGCGCCAAAAAGGGAAAAGATTATTCTCAGGAGATATCAAAGGTAAAAGAAGAAAAAGGAGAAAGTTAGGAAGAGGCTTAGGGCGATTGGCGCAAACCGCCCGTGGGTTCCAGACGCCATTCAGTAGCTCCGAGTAAGCGTGGAGCGCAGGGGGTTGGTGGGTCTATAGTTGCATTGATTCCACTGGCAATACAATGAGATAGCGCTGAGGATCGACGTTGGAGAACGGTATGTATGCTGGTTGTTGAGATGCTCAAAGAACTGCTATGAGCATGCCTGAGCATGTAGCAACCGAATAATGACACTCATCACCCTGTCACAAATGAATATAGAAAGGCTTCAATAGTGTCGAGTGGCACAAACAACCCCTTGAGTCGATCTGGAGGTTGGCCCGTCTGAGGCTTGGCGATTCAGGGGTAGTGAAGGTCCTTGCAGGTACCGCCCAGGTTACTTTGCCTATATTGACCGCCTTCCCGCTACTTCTTGGTACTTCTTTGTACTTGTACATTAGACTTCTTATACAGTTCTTGTATACGCAAGGCTGCGTCAGTGTCAACGACAAGCATTCATACCGTTTTGTACATGGAGATTTTTCCGAACTCAATATTCATTAGATTAAGGGGTTCTCTACTCTATAACTCTATATACTCTGATCTTCTGTGGAGAGACCCCTTTTCCCCTTTTGGTGTATATCTCCTCAATTTTGTGAAAGTCAGCCAGAGAAGCTAGAGAACGTGCGCAATCCTTTGATGCACGCTACTCAAACCCTGCCGTGTGCGCCACCAATCACACCAATATCTCCTCTGATCGACTCGGCGTCTCGCCAGCTCGGGCCAGCGCGTGGCCGGCATGTATTTCTTCAACGGGCAAAGCGCTAAAGCTCTCACTGTCACATCGGATATAACTTGAACCAATCTGATTGCACCTGGGCGGACTGTGATGAGCTGGCCTGAATGTTATACAGGAAGCTGCTCGGCTCTGAAGACCCCACTGGCAAGGCCGACACTGCAATTCTCATACTTCTGGACTGATTGGACAGGCCAACTAGTGATCCTTGCTCCAGGACAGGATTCTAGATCCGTAGACTCCATGGTAAATGAGTCTCAAACTCCTATGTATACCCTTGACTCGAAAGATTCTGTTTGAGCGCTAAATTTTAAGTAATATAGAACCGGTGTTTGGAAATATGCGTTGATTGTGTCTCACCCCGAAAATTACGCACATTCAAAGGTACATGATGGCGGTCGGGTTTTGGATTGGCCGTACTCTGAACCCTCGACCGCGCTGTTACGCATTGTAGTAGATGTTTCTCTGGCCCCAAGTTCAGAAATCAGTTTACTGTAAATTCCTCTGACGATAGTGAAGAAAAGATAGCTAAATTTAGGGCGTGGCTTGATCTATTGTCACACCATCAAATTATTGATCCCAGCGCCAGTGTATAGGGCTGCTCCATAACTATAAGGGTCCACCTTCGCTGCCAGAGACAGATTAATCTCACCAGCTCTTTCTAGAATATGATTATTTATTTGATTGATCATTAATTGTTTGTTTCCGTTCATTTAATAGTTGTTTAATAGAGAGTAATTTTGGAGTACTTTGAGTTCCCCTTAATTTGCCTCTGATTATATATTCCCCCCGTTCATCCCAATTTAATCAAGCCGAGAAACCAACATCCAAACCTGGCTATCTTCCCTCTACAAACTAACAGCTACACGCGACACTAACCAACTCTCTCAGTCCACCCTTCTGCACGTCAAAAGAAAAGTGGCTTTCGCACCCCCGTTGACTCCATCCCCTTGGCAGTCTAGACCATAGAATGTCTCACCCGCAAACATGTCACACCTTTAAGAATTGGATAGCTCGACTCCATGGGCGTGATTCAATCCAGGATTACGTATCCATAGTAAACTCCCAGCCACAACCGCCGGTTTGTTCCATGATTAGAAGCGTTTGCGGACCCCTGGATCCATCCGCGCGACTATGTCTCGCCCGTGCATCTAGATGTTTCAACCGTGGCTGGTCGTTTGATATTGGGATACCCGGACAAACCGACTGGACAAGAGAAGGCCGAGGCAATGGTTTACTGTAGCAATACGCGCTTCACGCCGAGGGGCTCATACAATGGTGGATAGGCCATTAGTTGATACTTTGTTCTAGATCTAAATTTGGCTTCCAATGCATGCACGATCAATAACAAGACGAATTCGTTGTCAGAAACCCATTTAAAACTAATTAATTCATTATAAAGTACAGTAATAATATATCTCATATTATCGAATCCATGCCTCACGCCCAAATCACATGGGTAAATCTCGTTGCCAGTGTGGGTTATATCCTTCTGCAGTCCCAAACACATTTCGAATCGTGTAATTACCATTGTGACTTTCATAGTAGGTGGTTCCAGCGAGACAACCAAGAATTGTATGGAAGAAGCCGGTGATCACACCATATACGGCGCCTGCGGCAGCTGCGACATTGTAAGGGCATATATCGTAGCCTGGTGACATCGAGGGTTAGTAGAAGCATATTAAAAAGGATTCTAGGAGCATCGATAATAGACAACGGCATTGACTGACCTAGGTTATGGCACATTCGAGCAAACACATATCCTCCCAAGGCATCAAGCCCCAGAACCAACAGTTGAGATTGAGGCTTACCACCATATAAACCGCCAGCCGCTGGGAGAAAAGTTGGTATCAGCGAAAATTGTTTCAGGGTTGTATATGTGACAAGTAAAATAGTACTTACATTGATAGATACCAATGCATTCGCCAGCGAGCGGGATGGCAGCAACAACAGCCGCAATGAGCAACGCACTCGGTGCTATATGCTGTTAGTTCCAACCTCTGCGGATCGCAACAGACAAAAAAGCCCATATAGTATAGAGATTGTACTCACTGTCTCCAAGAACCAGGTTGCTAACTTCGGCAGTAATCAACACACAAATTCCAAAACTACTAGCCATCAAGACTAGTAGAATCCAAGCTGGTGTCGGCAAGCCAGCATATCCCACAAACTCGACAAAAGCCAACACTCCAGACTTCGTGACTCCAGCGATCGCACCGATCTGCATAGCTCTAGCCGTCAAGGGACTGCCATTGACGTGAGCGGCGGTAGCAACAGCTGCAGGTCCAGCTGCAGCATTTGCTGCAATATCGAGAGCTGCAAGGGCGAAGAACGTCCATACTAAAGAGGTAGGCTTAATTAGACACGAAAAGCGAAAGGATTGGCTCATCATTATGCATGTGTTTTGAAAGAAGAATTTAAGCAGCTTGCTGCATTTGCTCTGCCTTTCCAAAGAAAAAACAGGAGAAACAGAGGTACTTACTGTTGATTGCCGGCATTGCGACATTATCCATATCCATCATGGCGGAAGTATCACCAACAAAGAGTTAGATCTATGCTCAAAGCTTAACGTGCAGTATAATAAAATAGCAAAAACAATCCGACTTGTTCCACCACAAAATCGAGCGACATGATGTCTTATAAGAAAGCCACAAGACAAGCCCACGATAAAGTAGCAAAACAACCTCGCTCCGCAAGGCCTGGGGCAAAAAGTGGAAACACGACGGGAGGCTGAAAGAGACCCTTTCCCACATCGAGTGCTAATTCACGAAGAATGAGACGAATGACTGCATCGCAAGATACAGTTCTACACATCTCAACCAATTATCGGCCTCAATTGGCGAGGCTAAAACCCTGGCGCCGGCTCGAGCACCTCGTAAACCCTAAGTTAGGCCTAGCGGTTCCTGCAGTAAGCATAATCCGTAAGCCACACGGGGAGGAATCTCAAAGCGACCCAATTGCAGCCCGACGTAGCCTGCAATAGCCACAGCATCACCTGCCTAGCAAGATCAGCCTTTGCGTGTAGGTATTTTATGACAGACTCGGGGTCCCGAATGTGACGAGTGCGAGCTGCAATTTGTGGCGCAATGAGCTTGCTGTGCCACATTCGTGCCCGGGTGCCTCTTTTTCTCTCTTCGTTCTTGGATTTCTGCTTCTCTGTCATGCAGATCGACGGGGACTTCGGACTTCGAGGCTTTTACGAGGATTTTGAGACAGGTTAGCGCAAGCGATGATATGGGAGACGTGCCCCAAGCTTGAGATATAGGGCTATCCGTATTCCCCTCCATTTGCGCCCTCATTTGTATTCTACTCTCAAGGCTGCGACACTGTTACGGCGACAATCTTCTCACAAGATGAACTCAACAGATTGTGTTATCGAGGCCAACTCCGATGTATCAGGAGTCGGAGTAAGTTCCATGCCACACTATATACTACCTGCCACTGTCCAGCGCCCACTGACGTATTGACAGATTCGCATATCTATTTACGCCCTCTGTCTAGGCGGCTCGATAGTAAGCTATCTCCTCCGCGTCTTCGCACCAGGCAAAGACCAAGAAGAATTCTCCCGCGGTGTCTCCTCCGCACTGGGAATGCAAGGCCTGGCAATCCTCTGCACGGCAATCTACCAAACCTTTCGGGGGGACCTATCCCTCTTCCACGCGATCTGCGTAATCCATCTCCTAGCCGTCCTAGGAATGGACCTAATCAGCAAAGGCCGCTACGCAGGCCTCGGTCCCTGGCGACTATACTTCTTCGCCGCAATACAGATCCTGGCGCTAGGCGCGTTTCTCGCGTTCAATGTCTATGTCTGGACTACGGCGCCGCATTTTGGCAGCCAGCCTGAATGTAACAAGGAGACTGTCTATGTTGTCTTTGGTATTAGCATCAAGGCTACCTCGCCTGTCTTCCGGTATATAATTCTCGGGACACTGGGTGCCATTGTGGCTAGTTATGTTCTTGTTTTTACTTGTATGTTACCTTGTCTGTGTGGATTTATTGCTCACCGGAGACGGAACCCTGGGAGCGGGAATCGGATTGAAGGTCAGACGAAGAGGGGCTTTAATTGGTTTGTTGAGGTCAATCGTCCTGATTATCGGGATGGTAATACTGATGAGACGCCTGAGGCGTTGCATGGACAAGCATTGCTTCGGTTTACGCTTAATAAAGCGGCTTACTGTGGTTTCTGTATTTACTTGATTGTTTCGTTGGAGCAGACTATCCAGCGCAATGATCTTGACCCCGAGGAAAAGGGATGGACGTTTGGTCAGGTTATTGCCATCTTCTTGTTGTTAGGTGTTGCTAATGAGTTGCTTAATGTTTTGTTGGCGAGTTGGGATAGGAAGCAGCAGAGTGCAAGCACAAGTTCTCAGCAGCTGGTGCAATATGCACCGGGTACTGGGCAGTCTGTACATTCCGCTTCGTCATGATATTATTTGATAATTATGTATATGTTGAACGATGATATGCTGGTTTAAAAAGATACCATAGTGACAATGAGCTCAGTATACTACACAATAGCTAGGTTAGCTCGTAGGGAGTCTCTAGTATTAGTCTTAGAAGACGTTAAATGCTGCTAATTCTATATATATCTTGGACCGTAATAATGCGAAAAAAATAGAATGTAATTTATACAATAGCGTGAATAATATTACTGGCCACAGCTTCCAAACGCCGGGCTTGATATGTACTCCAAAAGTTCAACCGCCAACACCCTAGGCCAATGTTATCATGACAAAAATGGGAAAAGAACAAGATAAAAGAAATGAAGCAAGATCAAATATAGCCCTCCTAAAATCAAAAGTGTGTATCATCGCATGTCAAAACATAAAATTAAGCTTTTACCAATCTGGCCCTTAATAAGGGATGAAATCAAACTGCATCCGGTCTATATGAAAGGTTAGCATACAGCCACTAGATACGGAATGACAAGTTGAGAAAAGTCATACCAAGGAAATGACTCCAATCTTCTTCACCAAGCTTGTTAGCCCAGTACTGCTCCAAGAACTTCAACGACTGGAGAACATTGGGGACACGGATGGTATCGTGCAAGGAAGATAGTAATTGCCTGACAGTGTCCCGGTCTTCACCGCAGGCCTCACAGCCCGCAATGAATATCGGCGTAGTCAACATGACCCAAGGCGAGAGACCCGCCGACGGCCCGATCTGCGCTGTACATTCCAAAATGCGCCGGACCGACAGCTGCACTTCTGGTGATGTAGTGGGTGTCTTCCGAAGTCGCCGATGGATTTGGATAAGTGCACTATGCTGGAAAGCTTCATTACAGAGAAGAAGCTGCTGTGCACTCTCCGGAGATAACCCTTGCGCAGCTCCAGGGTAAAATGAGGGCTGTGAGCTCGAGTCACGATCCATGAGTTGCCGGATTGCAAATTCCAGAGATGCAGCATCATCCTTGACATTGCTGTCAATCTCTCCTGCGACGAAACCCTGAGCAGCCTTCTCAGCTTCATGGCTTCGCCAAGCAGCAGCGCCAATCTGCCGGAAGACAGCTGCAAGGTCGACTGTGAACCCCCAGTAGTCATCTAGATAATCCGGAGATTGTCCATAGCCCATCAAATCCGAAGAAGCAAAGTCCGACATCTCCCCAATCGGCGGCCCATTCCCCGTCAAAGCTGTCAGCGATACGATCGACCAGTACCATCGATCTAGATACCGACGGAACCCGCTCGCAGACCGAAGCGAGTCCTCGCCAGCAGCATCGGAAGCCCTCATCAAAGCCCTCGCCCCATCAATGTGTGCCCTCCACGAATTTGGATTGATCGCCCCAGAATGGATCTCAGCCAGACATAGCGTCCGGGCCGTCGCCACCAGCGCCTCGGAGTCCTTCGACGAAGGATTCTGTAGCTCTGTACGGAAATGCTCCAGACTGAGCGCCATCAACCGAGCAATATCAGGCGCAGTCTTCACAGTCTCCGATTGATTATGTAGGGCTTGAATATGGATCGCCGAGAGTGCGGTGGTGGCGTAGAGTAACGAAGGAGTTTGGAGGGCCATAGGCACCAGCATTCGACATATATCCTGCTGCATGCCGGAGTGGCAGGCTGTAATCTGGGAAGCATCATTGATGAAATGGTGTAGCAAGGCCTTTTGATCGGAAGAAATGGACGAGAAGGGATCGACGGGTTGCGACAGAGTGAGATCTGTACCGGTGCTAGCTGATTTCGATGCCGATGCCTGCGCCTGCGCTGCCTTCGCTGCTTTGGTCGTGTAAATGAATTCTCCTGGTGAATATTCTGATATGGTCAGTTGCTATCTGAGACCAGGACCTCCTGGTATAGATCACATACCAAGTCTTTCCATTCCGCCTGTCCCGACGCATGCTCCGAAGCGCGATCGCGAAAATGCCCGTCCTCCCCACTGCAGCTGCATGGCATATTGACATTGTTCGCCTGCTGTTTGACAGCGGCCGCAGTTCGGTCTCTGCTCGTCGCATTTCTGTCGGCGCGCCTTACATCTCTTGCAGCCTGTGAACGATCTCGACATGGGTGCTGTGGTCTGGTGGGATGGGGTGCGGCGAAGAATTTCTGCGGGGAAAGTAGAGATTCCCCAGTCTCGCGTGGCAAATGTTGATTCTGGGGATTGGACTCAAATGAACTAGATAATTTGGTCTGTTAACCTCGGAGAGAAGAGGAGAATTCGAGGGGCAATTAAACTTTGCCTATTATCAGGACTATTGCGTTGTATCTTGGGTTCTTTAGCGGTCGATCGAAGATCCACCGATTTACAGTCTAAGATTCCCCAAATGTAACACGATAGGACATATTGAGTCTTATTCTAGTAGATATTCCAAGAGAAACGAGAAATCGAGTATGCGCTATGGCAGAAATACACAGTACATACCAACCGGAGTATATGTTCATCACGGGAAAGCCATCAACACAATAAAACAGAACCTTGAGGTGACTACCCTTCGAAGGTATACCGGAGCCATTCGCCCACAGCATGCAGACTCTCCCATCGTACGGACTCATCTTTGTCGGCCATCAGTTCCATCACCCGTGTTTTCAAGCCCAGTCGCTCCAACTGCGTGCGGCGTTCCGGAACCTCCTTCACGAGACTACCCACGTCGTTGCAAGCAATAGCCAGAACCTGCTTATCATTGTCCCAGCTCTTAGATAGAATCTCAGCCAGCTTCTTGGGCAAAGCCCCGTTTGACTCTTCGACAATCCGACGGGCGTTATCTTTCCAGAAAGTGGGGTTCTTGTGTGGAGGCGACCAGCGCAGATGGCCCGACTGAACTTCGGCGGCGTATTGATCAAAAGTGGTTTGGGTCTTGGTGTACTCTTCCAACATGGAAGACAAAGCTGTGAGATCCTCGAGAAGGTCAGGGTCGGTCAAATGGCGACCGGCCAGGTTGGTCAGAAGGGCCGGAAGGCGAACGAACACGGCGACAGGTAGCAGGGTAGTGCGGTTGCTGGAGCAAAGGTTGAGCAGAGTTGCAAGAAGAAGGCGAGTAGTCTTCTCTTTCGGGGAAAGGCGCAGAAGCTGGGCGTAGAGTTGAATAATTTCATAGTTCCTAAGCGGTATTAGCAGGGGCAACTATCCGTCCAAGCAGTTTCACTCACTCTTGGAGTTCTTCGCCAACAAGAGAACCCTCGAAAGCAAGCTGCCACACAACTAGAAGTACACGGTAAAGGAGCTGAAGACCAACACCACCGGCGAGACCAGGCTCGATACGGCTGCTACCTCCCTGTGAGCTAGTATTGTCTTTGCCCCCAGCTGCAGATCGAAGAGTGTCCATCAAGGGGTCTAGCGTTTCTTGTCTTTGCTTCCAGAAGATCTCCCGAGCCTGGCTTGTTCGAAGCAAGTCTGAGAATCCTTGGACACCAATATCCTGGAGCCCACTATCTTGATTCTTGGTCAAGGTAGAGAGATAAGTGTATAGCTGCGGAAGAGCTTCGCTGTCCCGGGGAGCAGGCTTCGAGGTAGCCACAAGGCTATGCGACACAAGAGCAGTGAGAAAAGTGGACGTGAGCAGAGGAATTGGGTCTTCGGCGTTTGTCGAGTGCTGCAGGAATGGGAGGAATGGCTTGTAGGGTTCTGGGTGTGAGATGAGGGAGTTTGCCAGAGAAGGCACATCTATAAGACCATGATCAGTATGCTAACCTCCAAATGTATCCTCATATGAAGCGCTTACCTTGAATCAGGTCCGATGCAAGCACCAGGATATACTGCACAATATCGGTCCTCCTGGAGGCCGAGTCCAAGACACTCTTGCCCTGTGCACCTCCGGCCAGCAGGCCTGTGTATCCAGCAAGATCCTGCTCTATTGTCTGGCGGCGCTGGTCCTTGCGCACCTTGTCCACCGCCTTGATCTTCTTCAGGTGGTCATCCGTGATGTTGCCCGCTCGGACAGCGCCCTCCCATGGAATTGGCCGAGCTCGAATATTGTTCTGCAAGGAGCTGAGGTAGGTGGGTGGCTCCAAAGACATCATGAGAGTGTTCTTGGAGACCTCGAGGGAAAAGAGCGTCGTGTCTGATAACGGGAGGTGTGTCCAGATGGACGAGGGAGCTTGGGATGACGGAAGCCTGCGCCAAGACATCCCAACTGGTCTGGTCCGAACTCGTCTCTACTTTCTACATCTCTACATCTCTCACTCTTTCTTGCTCATTCTGCTTTTTACAACTTGTCCTTTTGTATTCCCAATTGAAGCTGCGCTCTTCGGTCTATTGGCCAGCCTAATCTGCGCCCAGACTGCTGCCTACTTTAATTTGGGGTCCGTCCCGCCAGTCTCTCGTTTCACCCTCTAACATCGTTGGCATTGCCGACTACGCATTGAACAATCTCGCCACTTGCATTGTTGACCACCAAACGCACCCCAAGACATTCCCCACGGTGATCGTGATCGCGAAGAGCCCGCGTCCGAGCGCAGCCCCCACCGAACGCATGCGAAAGAGAAACGAGGCCTTTGCCGCATACCAATAACCTTTTCGCATTGCCAACACTATATCCTGTTACAATGTCACAAAATTCACAACAAGCGAATAAAAAATGGGGAGTGGGATCCTTTTTCCAGCAAGCAGTGGCGGGTGTTGAGTCTCGGTTGGACCACATCTTGATGGAAGAGGAGGCGTCGCAGAACGGTTCAACAGCCAAGTCTTCTGATGCCCAAAGTGCAGAAGCACCTGAAATTACTAAAAAGACCCCTGCTGCTCGTACGCATTTATTGTTATGAACTAAAGCTAGGTGAAGTGGCTAACATATTTGTAGCTGTATCCCGCAGTGCATCGACTGCGCGCAGAAATGACCGACTTCAGGAGCGGCTCGCCCGCGCCATGGTGAAATCAAATGCTTCAAACCTCGCTTCGCAGTCTCCCCAAAGCCAAATTTCATCACCGCCTGCCAGTCCGGTACCCGGAAACGGGGCCCGGTCTAGTATGGACATCGATTCTAATATTGCATCGAACGCGAGCGTGGGGGATGACTCTAATATTTCCCGGCCCAATGAACAGAGTACTCTTAGTGGACTGGATTCCCTGAGAATGAGCTTCGACTCTGGGGTTTCATCGCACGTTTCTGCGGATGTTAGCGTAACGGACTCCGCGCCCAGAGACTCTGTAGATGTGGCCCAGTCGGCAATGGACTCAGAAAGACCAAGTCAGGATTTATCGGAATCTCAACGCAATGAGACACTCAGTGTTGTTAATTTGGGTGACAGCCCACGCGTTAGCGTTGAAGTGCCTTCAGAGACACCAGATGAAGCCCGGAACCCGGATGTTGCTCGCCTGCAGGCTGATCACAAAGCGGCCGAGTCCCAATGGCAAGAAGAAATGCACGGCTATATTGAACGCATCGACGCATTGCAGTCAAAGCTTAAGTATTTGGCCAAAGATGCTGCAGAATCCGCTAAGAATGCTGCAGCAAGCGCTACTCCAGGCAGCACACAGAAACAGCTGTTGGAGAAGGATGAGAAAATTGCATTGCTCCTTGAAGAAGGCCAAAAGCTTTCCAAGTCGGAAATGGACCACCGAACTGTGATCAAGAAACTCCGTCAGCAACTTAACGACAACAACAAGTCTCAATCAGAAATGAAGAAAAAGACGGAGAAACTTGAGCGTGATTTGGTCAATTCTGAAGCCCGAGCTAAGCGTGCAGAGGCTGCAGAGAAAAGGGCAACTGAGTCTTTGTCGTCTCAGTCGAAATCAATTAAAGACCTGGAAGCCGTTACGAATGAGCGCAACGCGCTTGCGCAGACTGTCCAAGAGATCAAGTCACAACTAAACCGAGCCAACTCGCGTGCTGAAGCTGTCGAGACCAAAGCAAACTCTGACGCCCTGGAGCAAGAGAAGCACCGAGTGACCGAAATAGAAGAGGAGCTATCTAATTTGAAGATAGAGCGTGACATTAGCGAAGAAAAATCCAAGAAAGAGATTACTGAGCTCAAGGTAAAGATGGAACAAGAAAAGGAGAGAGCTCGGATGCTCGAAGCAGAGTTGAAGGGCGAGCAATCCGTTTTGGAGAGCAAGATGGAAAGCCTTCGTTCCCGCGCAGAAGAAGCTTCATCGGGAGCAACAGGGGAAACTCAAGCCAAACTTCTGCGCCAGATTGAGACTCTGCAGACTCAATATGCGGTCGCTAGTGAAAACTGGCACACCCTTGAAGGCTCTCTGCTTTCCCGATTGGCAAACGCGGAGAAGGAACGTGATGACACAGCTCGACGTGAGAGCGACCTGCGGAAGAAGATTCGGGAAATGGTAACATTTTACCCACCTTCATCTGGACACGCCATATTAACACTCATTTTAGAATCAGAAGCTCAAGAAGTTTGAAGAGGATCTGGATAACGCCAAGGAGGTGGAGCACGATTTGGAGAGCAAGCTCGATGAGCGCATACAAGAGCTTCAGAAAATGCAGCAGAAGCTCGAGAAATCAGCAGATGAGCTCACGTCAGCGCAAAAAGATTTGGCCGAACAAAAGAAGACATCCGAAGCTACCTTGGCGCAGAAGCTTGAGGACGAGCGGGCTAAATGGAGGGACCAAATTAATTCGCCCTCCCATCCGCGCGGAATATCTCCAGTCCCTTCCACACGGCGGTCAAGCACTCTTGACGCCATGAACACGGTTCTTCCCGATCTCCGTCCCCCTAGTCGGCGTTCGTCCAATTTCCCCTTTGCATCACCGGAAATCGGCACACCACCCCGTCAGAACTCTTACCCTGCCTCTATAACCCAGGCAACGCTCTCACCGCCGCACATCAACACAAATTCATCAATCTTAGAAGCTCCTTCTATCAACTTCGAGCCGGACGAGTATTTCGGAGAGTCTGGTACTCCTGCCACTCCGTCAGCGTATGGGGGAACACAGGTACCGGCGCGTGGAATCAACGACATCATATCCGAATCAACGACCGGTGCTGGTCCCTCCGTCCAGCTTGTTGAGCGCATGAGTGCAACCGTGCGCAGGCTTGAGAGTGAGCGTGCTGGCTCCAAAGATGAGCTGGCGCGCGTCACCACTCAGCGCGACGAGGCACGCCAGCAAGTCGTGGATCTCATGCGTGAGCTTGAAGAGAAACAACTTTCCTCTTCCCGCATGGAAGAGCTCGAAGCTCAACTTGAAGATCTCGATCAGCGGTATCAAACCACCCTAGAAATGCTAGGCGAAAAGAGCGAGCAGGTCGAGGAGCTAAACGCTGATATCGCTGATCTCAAGAAGATCTACCGCGAGCTGGTCGACAGTACCATGAAATGAGTGCGGGCTAATGCAATGCATGTCTGCTTATGAGATACCGGGGGCATGCCTGGCGTTGACCTGTTAGATTAAAGCGATTGCGTGTGTAAATAGAATATATCCTGTCGTGTACATCGACCTGCAGTCGTTTCGGGCCTGATCACATGCTTTCTTATTTGTTGACCGCTACCAAGCTCGTGTCTAGCCCTTGGCCGACCTCACCACATGTTGCACAGATCTTCGTCAGATCTATGAGTCAGATACTCGTGGACCCTGAATTTACCAATAGGATACCGGAGATATCACCAATAGCCAAAATCGGGGATAAGGCCCTAATCACCGGACTTGGCACTTGCGCAATTCATGGACCTGAGATCTCAACCGTGGGAGGCCCGACTTGGATCTGTCAGCAGCTTAATCTGACGCGCCCACCCGAAGATGAAAAATCTCACCTCATCGTTGAGGCCCGTAATTACGGAGCCTCCCGATGGCCTTTTTACGTCAAATTTCTTCTTCTTCGGGCTCGGGGTCGGGCCAACTCAAATAACTTTTGGGAGCTGGCGCATATGCGCGACGGTCATTGGACCGAAATGGCCATACCTTGATTTCTAATGTGATAGATAATCAAATTTTGTAATCATAAGGCCGTGAGTAGGTGAAATATTGATTTCTAATTTCGGATTTAATAGCGAGTCATTGAGTCACTGAAGACCGGTGATAGCTGCAGTATGCAACTGGAAGTATTTAGTCGGTCTACTGTATCACCAAGAAGGAGGTTGTTGTTCTAGTCCAAACTTTCTCATTCACCTAGCACTACAGCTATAGCGCCGAACGCTATTTATCCTATACAATGGAGGCTGTCATTCGGGAGGCCCCTTTTGGGCAGCTTGTTCGTTACTTGACAAAGAACAAATACTTCCAATATCCCGAAGAGAAGGCCGACTTTAAGCTCCCCGACACATGGCTTCAATTGTTGAATGAATCCAATCCTTCGAACAACGCGTTTGACGAGAAAAGGACAGAAGCAGAAGCAGAAGCCGAAGGCCGTCATTTCAGCCAAGGTAGCAGTGAACCTCTTAGCCGCACCTCTTCCACCACCATTCCATTCACAGAAGCCCGCCTCGAAGCCGATGAACAACATGAAATCGAAAAGATCAAGTCAATCCCCATTGCACCCAAAAAGACAAAGGACGGTGCCATCCTTGTAGACTGGTACTATACCGATGATGCAGAAAACCCTCATAATTGGTCGAACAAGAAACGGGCTCTTATCACCACCCTAATTTGTCTATACACTTTCGTTGTATACACCACTTCAGCCATCTATACATCCTCAACAGAGGGTATCATGAGGGAGTTCGGCGTTAATACTGTGCTTGCTACTTTGGGCTTGTCATTGTATGTTCTCGGATATGGCGTTGGCCCATTGGTTTTCTCGCCGCTCAGTGAGATCCCTGTCATTGGACGCAACCCAGTCTACATCGTCACGATGTTCCTCTTCGTCATCATCTCTATCCCAACCGCCTTTGTTGGTAACTTCCCCGGCTTGATGGTGCTCCGGTTTCTGCAAGGATTCTTCGGTTCGCCTTGTCTTGCATCTGGAGGTGCTTCCATTGGAGATTTGTATAGTCTGATGTCGCTGCCCTATGCCATGATGGCTTGGGTCTCTGCCGCATACTGTGGACGTAAGTTTCTATTTTCATTCTATCATAGGTAAAAATGACACTAACAACTACGTATAGCGGCCCTCGGTCCCCTCCTATCCGGCTTTGCAGTCCCAGTCAAAGGCTGGCGCTGGTCCCTCTTCATATCAATCTGGGCCTCAGCCCCAGTCTTCATCCTAATGTTCATGTTCCTTCCCGAAACAAGCAGCGCAACAATTCTCCTTCGTCGCGCTAAGCGTCTCCGCACAATCCACAACAACGAGCGCTTCATGTCCCAATCCGAAATCGATCAACGCAACATGCGCGTCTCAGACGTCGCCATCGATGCCCTGATCAAGCCCCTGGAAATCACAATCAAGGACCCAGCCGTACTCTTCGTCCAGATCTACACAGCCATCATCTACGGTATCTACTACTCCTTCTTCGAGGTCTTTCCGCTCGTCTACCCAGTCGACTACGGCATGAACCTGGGCCAGATCGGTCTGGTATTCCTGTGTATCTTGGTCTCATGTATCATCGGCATTGCTTTGTATGTCGCATACATCTACTACTGGATGAATCCTCGCATCATGCGCTTGGGCTTCCCTGCACAGGAGGAACGTCTCATTCCTGCGCTGCCTGCTTCCTTCGGCCCAACTATTGGCCTGTTCCTCTTTGCTTGGACAGCTCGTGCGTCTATTCATTGGATTGTGCCTACCATTGGTATTACTATCTATGGTGCTACTGTATTCATTGTCATGCAGTGTATCTTCGTCTACATCCCGCTGAGTTACCCCCAGTATGCTGCGAGTTTGTTTGCTGCGAATGATTTCTTCCGCAGTGCGCTTGCTTGTGGTAGTGTCTTGTTTGCTCACCCGCTCTTTGGAAACTTGGGTGTTGCGAAGGGTACCAGTCTACTTGGTGGATTGAGTGTTATTGGTATTATTGGAATTTGGTTACTCTACTTCTATGGTGGCAGACTTCGTTCCTTGAGCAAGTTTGCTCTCTCTCAGGAGGATGCTGAGTGATTAGAACGATGCTTGCATATATTATACATAATTTTGAGACCAGCTGTTGAACATGGATGTCGATTACACTGGATAAAGGAGGTTAGGTGGCAGCGATTTATTGGAACAGGACGAAGAAAGTCTACGAATGACGGGAAATAATAATTGATAATGCAAATGTTATATAATTTAAGTTATGCACCTGTTCAACTTGTAGGGCCCACAGTCCTGGACTAGAATCAAGCGAGGATTCAAACTGATTCACAACTAGCCAAAGCAGACAATATACATGATCGCATCGGCGGAACAAAATAACAAGAAATAGCCCGAACCATTCAAGGAAGCCCCTGCCTAACATCAGAATGCTCATTCAATCCCCAAGCCTGAGAACTGGAATCATGTACCGTAGTCCGCCTCATATCCCGCCTATAGGTTTTCAAAAACATACCTCCAACAGCGCGGTGCATAGTACAGGTATTATCCCATATAACCAAATCCCCAGGCTTCTGCCACTTGATCTCAACCACATTACTCTCGCGAGTAGCATGCTTGAACAACCTATCAAACAATTCCTGGGACTTCTCCGGCTCAAGTCCTTCAATATGGTGCACATGAGCTGCTATATACAGATTCATGCGATCCGATGCTTCATGACGTTGGACCAGTTTGTGTCGACCCATTGGGTGATCAAGCGGGTTGATGTGAGCGAAGGCTTCGGGTGCAGCCACTTTGCGAGAGTGGTGCATTGAATGACAGGCAATGTAGTCACTAGCTAAGAGAGTCTCTTTGAGATCGGCTGGGAGGCCTTCGAATGCTGTTCGTGTATCTGCGAATTCGGTATGGCCTCCCATTCCGGGTGGGGGGAGCTCATGGGCTAGTAACAGAGAAAATCCGGCTCGGCGGGGGTTGAAGCTTGAGTCCACGTGAAAAAGATTGTTTCCCTGTGTCAAAATTAGTATTCCGAGTTGAATCCTCGTTAGCAAAGTGTTCATACTCTGTTTGCTTGGCCACGCGCGCTCTGGGGGTCGAGAATAGTTCCATCAAGCTCGACGTTGCTAACGTCAAAGAGTTCAGGATATTTGAGACGATTCTTTCGACCTGCTGTGATGTATGGTCTCACGTCGTCTAATTCTCCAAAGTACTTGGAGAATGAAATATGGCTCTCATCGGTAAGCTTTGTACCGCGGAAGACGACGACTCCCCACTGGGTTGTTTATGCGTCAGTACAATCCATTATGATATGAGATGTACAAAAGAAGCGGTAGATACTTTTGTCACAGCTTGCCGGATCTCGCTCCATACCTCACTGGCCAATGAGACTGAGATATCCACTCCGCTAATCTCCGCACCGAAAGTTGGATGCAAAGGCCTGACTGAGATGTGGCGGAAAGTTGGTGTTTCTGAACTGACGGTCATCTTGAGTCATCGGTGTCGACTGTGAGAACAAGGGTTCATTGAATAAACTATAGAAATGAATGAAACAATTCAGCTCTCAAATATATAAGGGTATGATCTAGCTAAATGATGCAACACCTGTGAGCTTTGACCCCCGTCTATACCCGGCCATGACATATTGAGTTAGACTATCTTCTTTACTTCAATGACCCTTGAGGTCGCCGTCTATAACCAGAGACCCTCTATCAAACGAAGGGGAGATGCGGATTATTAAGAGAGCCTGAAAAGGAAGAAGAAGTCGTTTCACTCCAGGGCTTTGTGAGCGAATATAGCACATTATTCTCATGGATGTGAGTATGTACGGCCACACCTGATACCATCGAGTACATGTGACTTGATAGCTGAGACAGAACTTGCATAAATTGCTAGATTAATATCATAAAGAACTTCAAAGATGTAAACTGCATACTAAATTTATCACTCTGACTTAAATTCAGAATACAAGTATAAAATCAAGCCCAAGATTGCATATCCAGCACAACCCGACCCTTCAGATACCCAGCCTTCATATCGTGGAATGTCTTGTTTAAGTTGCTTACTTTTTCGATAGAGAAGGGTGTTGCGACGACTCTTTGTGCCATAGCCAGTGTCTCAATTGCATCTCTGCGGTTGCCAACCGTGCTACCAGCAACGTTAAGCTGCTTGGCAACCATCAAGTGAGGACAAACGCCTTCAATTGGTTTCCCTTCTCCGGGAACACCAACACAGACCAAAGTCCCATTGAACTTGAGATAATCCATTGCCTGTGCATATGCAGCGTTACTGGCGCTGCAGACGACTACAGCCGTTGCACCATCACCACCAGTTATAGCACGAATCTTTTCAGCAATGCCTTTCTCTCCTTCATCGGCAGAATCCTTTGTGATATCAATGAATAACTCTGCACCACAGTTCCTCACAAAGTCTTCCTTCGAAGACACATCCAGTCCAATCATTCTGAATCCCATTCCCCGGCTACCAAGCTGGATCCCCAAATGACCAAGTCCACCGCCAGCACCAGCAATGACAACCCAATCTCCGGGTTGCGCTTTGCTCTTCTTCAGCGCAGAGTAAACTGTAACTCCACCACATAACAGAGGTGCAGCAACCTCACTGGCCATACCGTCAGGAATAGGAGTAGCATAGTGAGCTGGCGCCAGAACATATTCTTGGAATGTGCCTGGGCAAGTGAAACCCGATACCTTTGCCTTAGGGCAGACTCCGTCGGCGCCTAACAGACAAGGGGCGCAATTACCGCAGACTGATGCAATCCATTTGATGCCGACGCGGTCACCGACTTTGATATCTGAACTCTCACATGATGGACCCAATTGGGTCACGACGCCGACACCTTCATGGCCGCCAATTTGTCCGGATTTCAAGGGTTCGGCTAGGAATTTCCACTATTTTTGCCAACGGAAGTTAACATGGAAGAATACCGCAGAGTAAGAGATGCTTACAGTGCTGGTCATGAGACTCAGGTCAGAATGACATATACCGGAATGCGTACTGTAATTCATTAATATCGGTGACCGAAGCAAAGTTGCCATAGACCTCACGTACATCTTCACCAGAATCTCGCCTGGTCCTGGACTAGGAGTTTCCACCTCAACAACACAGGTAGAGATCTCGCCAGGTTTATCGTATACAATCGCTTTATGTGTCGGCATCTTCATAAGTTGTGAAGAAAACGGATTTGGGGCGAATGTAGCTTCGAAGGAACAGCTTAACAGAGTCAAGCTTGACAGATGATGTCTTGCACGTATACTAAAAGTGACAAGCAAATGGCTAGAGGGCACATCACTTTATATCTGTTCTAACATGATCTCAAATGTATCAATACCATCTATAGCTGAATTGGTTTCTGATCACCATGAGTTTCCGTCTATTGCCTGCAAATATAACTATACTCATCTCTGATTTTGCGCATGATAGCCATGAATATCAGTCAATTCATTCGTTCATTATACTCGAGGCAAGACAATTTTAGCTATTCGGCGCTTGACATCTTGTGGTTGTGATATCCCCCGCACGTCTTTTCCGTCTATTGCCGTCTTAATCAAATGGGGAGATTGCGGTACTTGCCGAAAGCCGGAGTAATGGACGCGACCATCTTTTGTTGAGTTCTTTCTTCTCATAAAAATCTAAATGACTCGCAGTAAAAACATCCGTCTATATCGAGCTTGTCAGCGCTGTCGCACTCGAAAGCTCAAATGCGACCCGTACGTGCGCTAAGGCAACATGTTGTTAATCGCTTTGCTAACAACCCGCAGTATTTCTTCCCCAGATGGAACTAGATCGCAATGCTTTGAATGTATCCGCTCCAATGAACCGTGTATACCGGCTGGGTCAAAACGAGGGGGAAACTTCTCGCAATTCCGACGCCCAAAACGCGTTGAAAGCCTCACGCCAACGCCAAGCCCTGTCAATCCCAATTGCCAAAATGCAAGCGAGAGCATGGAGGAGAACGCGAAAAGGGTGGAAGATCCCATTTATGCTGAGTTGACTAATCCGGGGGAGGCATTGCAAATACTAGCTCGGCTTGCGGCGCACGATCAGTCAATGTCGACTCGCTCCAGTGATCAAATACCGGCAGCCTCAGCAGGTGAGGTCCAAGCCCGGAATGATAATTACGATATCAATTTGCCAGGACCTGTGACACGGCCTTTGCTTCGGCCTACATTATCGGAAACCGAGACATTGGTTATTGGGGTGTTGGGAACAGACACAACACAGCACTTACTGATTGAGTATGAGTCTCTCTATAAAGTCAGAGAGAAATGCATCCTGACAAAATAGTTATGCTACAAATTATCACCCCTTCTGCCCTCTTACGCCCAGAAGGCTCCTCGTGACTCCAGATGTGCACAAGACAGCCATTGATGAACCATTTTTACTTACGGTGATCTTGACAATCGCATCAAAAGACGACACAGCATATCGGGAAATACACCAGCATTGCTGGCAGCACATAAAGCGATATCTTCTTGATATCCTGTTGGCTACACCTTCCACCTTGAATGTGGCAACAGTAGAAGGCCTTCTACTATTGGCAGAGTGGATCCCATACTCAGATGTTGGAATCTCATCTAACCCCCGGTTGCTATCCGGAAATCTAAGTGCAGTGGAGGATAACATGGCTTGGTCACTCATTGGCCAGGCAGTGCGACATGCATATCTTCTTCGACTAGATAAAGCTTCTTTTCGCGAAAAGGTTGATGGGGAGCCATACGAGCTCGAGAATAGGAAACGATTGGCTTGGATATGTTCGTTTACATATCGCAACTATACCAATGGATACTGACAGTTTCTAGTTGTTTACATCGCAGATCGTCAGATCTCAGTGCGAATGGGTCAATCATTTTGGTCTCGCGGGCCCTCGCTCTCAACGCGCTTCACGGCAAAAGATTTTCCAAGCTTACAACTAAGCGTCGATTCGGAACATAATTATGCACTGGTGCTCCAGGCGACTATTGAGCTTACACAGCTCTTACATAATGCACATGATATCCTCTATTCGTCGAAAGAACGAAGACTGCAAATGGTTCGACTGGGAGATTACAATCGCTACCTTGATGATTTCCGCCGGTCATTTTCTGGGTGGCAGAGCCGCTGGGATGGCCTTGAAGCATCGCCAAAACTCAAGTGTACTTTGACAATATTCAAGGAGTATGTAAGTTTGTACGTCCTTGCGTTTTCCTTCCAGTCAATTTTATCCAGGGCTGTCCACGACAATCGGGTTGCTGGAACATCGGCTTCATGGCATAAGAGAGCCCCATCCCTATTCCCAGAAGGCATCATGGCATCCCCAGATGGCGTCTATGTCTTTGAAGCCGTTCGGTCGGCGCGGAACATTCTTACTATAGCATGTGGAACGGATCCCGTGGCCCACATTCGCTATATGCCGTTCCGATTTTACGTGTGAGTACCGATAATAACCAACTATGTGATCGCCACTAAATGAGAGCAGGTATGCCATTTACTCAGCAGTGTTTCTATATAAAGCGGGTGTTTTTGGTGCATTCACACATAGAGAACATGGAGAAGTATCAGATCTCGTGCATCAATTCATCAGTATTCTTGATGAAGCCAGCACTGGCGACAGCCACATAGGGGGTCGCTACGCAAAGCTTCTCAAGCGAATTTGCTTTGTTGAACAAAATAGGAGGGCAATCACTGGGAACAATCCTCCGTATATCAGTACCAGAAACGACAAGCCTTCAAATCTTGATTCACTCGGGTCTTGGGATTCCTACATACCCCCAGATATGAGTTGTACAGATGCGATACTGATGCCCTCGCCGGACTTCAATTTGTTCTGTCCAGACTTTTCAACACTAGAATCTGAGCTGTTCGATCCAATGGCTGGTGGTTGACTTTCCATAGATGAAATTGCAAATGTCTTAGTGCCAATGCTACCAGACCTTTATACCACCCCACCCCTCATAAAGCAAACGCCTTGCCTTGAAAGAGCCAATTCTCCACTTCAAAAGACAAGCAACGGTGGAGAACACGAGAATATTCCAAATGCAAGCTTATCAATTTGACGCCCTTATGTGGCAGATCCACAAGGGTTGGGGATGCCCCCACGCCGAATACTCCGAATACTCCGGTGTGATCAACTCCCATATAGAGACGCATTGACTCACGGGAACAGTTATAAGCATCTTCTTCCGTCCTTCCTTCGTCAACACAACCACCTTCTAGTCTTGATTCCGAGTCAATTGTCTCTAACCACCTATCACTAAGTGTCACACACCTCACATCCAACAATGACCCAAACCAACATCCACATCCCAAGCCTTGGAAACAGAAACACATTCACCCGGACATTGAGCATAGATGATCTGAAGAGCTGCGTAATCGTTGAAAGTGCATTTACCGAGCAGGAGCGCTGTTCCGAAGAAAAGGTATGCCACCAATTAACTACCCAAACCATAAGGAGCACCTAATTGAACATGATTAGTTCCGCTACCGCCTGAGCTCATGCCCAGATCTCTGCCTGGGTCTATTCCTCGACAACGACAACGAAAAGCCACCCACACTAATCGGCCATGTCATCGCAGTCCGCTCACCATATACGAGGGTGACAGACGGCTCGATGTCCATGCCAGAGAATTGGGAATCATTGCCGAATGATGAACCAGTCTTTGTGGACGGTGAGCTAATTGGTAATCACAAGTATGGGGATTCAATTGCTATTCATTCTGTTGCTATTTCGCCTGATTATCAGGGGAAGAGGGTTGGGAGGGCGCTTGTTAGTGCTTACACTCGGCATCTTGAGAAGGGGTCTTTTGGAGCTAGTAGAGCTGTCCTCATTGCTCATGATTACTTGGTACACTTTTATGAGAGTGTTGGGTTTAAGAACTTGGGGTTGAGCAAGTCTAGCTTTGCTGGGGGGTTTGGTATGATATGGTAGGTCTTTATTCTTCTTGGTCTCGTTGTTTGGATGCGTTTGGGTTCTGGTGCTAATATGCTTGCTAGTCATATGAGCTTTGAGCTCTAGCTCTTCTATGGTTGTTTTTTTTTTTGAAGAATGCTACCCGAAAAATAGATGGTATTGGGTATCAGAATAAACTTGATTGCGACATTTTTGCTTCCTTCGTCAGAATGCTCCCTTTGTGCTCCCCTTGTAATAAAAGAAATATAAATTATCGAGCATGATCAGGAGTAGTTCACGGAATTGGCTATTAACTGAGTGCTGGGATTTAAGGGCTCGAAGGGTCGACTAAATCGACGGCAAAGTTGGGTCTAAAGCCAACAAAGAAGGATGATCTGCAAGATTCTCCCAGAAATCAGTCTCAAAGTCACAGAGATCCTGACTGAAAAATGCAGCCCAGTCGCCATTTTCTTCCAATTGCGAAACAGGCTGAGTGGAGCTCTGAATTCCTTCTCGCTGCATCGAGTCAAGGAAGCGCTCTATGGTTTGTGTTGCCTTGGATATCAAGGCATAATTTGGATCACTCGGTCGAACAATGCTGCCGACCTGAACCTGTGCAACAAAGATTCCCAGATTGAGTAAGGTCTTAGACCATGTTGAGCGAATCTCATTAATGGTAGAAGTTTGTTTGAGCATAGAAAGCAGTATTATGCCTGCTGCTGGGAGTCCGAAGTGGGCAATCTGCTTTAGTTTAGAAGAATGGTCTAATAAAATCGAGTAGGGGGCACACATACCTTCCAGATAAGCCCCGTTCCGGAGTTGACGAGCTGATCTCGCAAAAGGATTACCTCCACCACGAGAGCCAGCATTTGGTCTGAGACGTCGAGGATAGCAGGATCTGGCCTCGCCAGGGTATCATGAAATAGTAATCTCAGTAAGAATAGAGTGTGTAGGTAGTCCAGTCGTAGGCCAGCAAGAAAGTCACGCTCGAATGCATATCGAGAGCACTCTTTCAAACTGGACTTGAGTCGGAAATTAGAAGGAAGATTTTCCCACTCTGACTCTGCCTTCTTCTGAATAAGACTGTATTTCTCGGTCAATGGAGGGAAAATTAGGGGACGGAGCATTAGATACCTTGTTTTTGACTTGAAATCTTCACGTTGCTTATCTCGAAGTAATTCCATGATATCTTCTTTCAAAGAGGCACATATAGTGGCCCATCGTATCCCTGCTCTATAGCTAACCGGAGTACCTAATTCCGAGGCGGAAATTTCACCCTGAATGTGCCGAGGGTTTCCAATTCGTTCTGAGCCCTTCGGGGCTGAGGGTAACTGGAAATGACAGAAGCGTTTGCTCATTCGAGGAGGCCGACCAAGGAACAATGCGATATTCTTGTCTGCTGAATACATTGTAGCCCAAGCTGTCTTTCGAAGCTCTGCTAGAAAGCTTGGAATGGGTGGCTTGGTCCTTTCAACATCCTCGTGGTAACCAATGGCAAACATGGAAGATATGACATCTCCAAGTCGACTCCATGAATGGTAACCTGATTGTTTGAGTATAAGATTAGTTGCGCAGCAATCACATATAATAGCCAGCACATACTTTGATCGCCATCAACATGGGTGTGCATAATGAAGTTTTCATACTGTAGAACGATCTGTAGATCATTCAAGCAATCCAGCGAGAGGGCAATGTCTAACGCCAGGTCACTAAGTCTTGTGGCGAGTTTTCTCAGCGCGAACTGATCATTTTCAGTTTTGAATAATGGCGGAAAGAAAGATATGTCAATCGTAGCCCGGCTAACAGCAGTAAGGAAAATGCCAAGGCTTTCCCATCTGAACTTCTGGTCAAGGAACTGAACGGAGAATTCCGAGATATCAGACATGCCGTAAAAGTGCAATGGTTTGCGGGAGTTTTCAGTCAGACGTTGTGCATACGCCAAGTGCCAGTTATCTTCCTGGGAGAAAGTCGTGAATAACCGGGTCATGTTTTCTGTACACTTCTCGGTGAAGGGCTCTGCAAGCGCTAGATTTGTTCCAGTTGCCAGCCAGAACATGACAAATTCCTTCATCGCAGCCAAAGGAAACGTATTGAGAAGCTGTCTGAGTACGTCCGCGCCTTGAATCAGTAGTAAGTTCTCACCAGCTGATTGCGATTGCATCAACATTGCCACGTCTGGCCCAGAGGCACGGTATGTCTCAGAGGCATGATATTCCTGTGGAAAGATTTGATTGAAAATGGCAACATGGCTGGAAGATCCCATAAATCCGGGATTGGGATATGGATTGGCTCTGGGGGTGTAGGATGATGAGGGTTGGGCCGGCGATAGCCGACTGTAGGGTAGGATAAGCACATGCGATCAAGATGCACAGGGGTAGCATACCTAGGATATTGCTGGGCCGATGAAGGTGACTCTTCGACTCTTTTCCTTTTGAACGGCGTGGTTCGATAGATGCAGATACCCGCCCTGTCATTGCTCTCGCAACGGGAACATGCTGGTCTCTTGTGGTCACAGGCAACCTTTGCCTTCCTGCAGGCTTCACATGCAGCTAATCTTGAAGCCATGGCCGAGCTCAGGTTGTGTATAAGTGAGGTGGTGAACTGCGGAGAGTCCGGAGCGGAGAATTGGCTCCGGAGTGATCGGGATCTTCGGCGTGATACCCCAACGTTCCCTGGAACTTCAACATGCATCATTGTGGAAACCGAGAACTACTGCTGTAGATAGTATGAAGTTATTGGCTGAAAAGACGGGATAATGTTACATTCCGTGACCATCAAGTTGATCCCCCAAGAATAGACGATCCAGGTCTCTTCTCGAAAATGTCCTCCAACTTGGGTTTATATACTTCTGCTTGATATTCCAAAAACCCAAGCCTATTTGTTTGGGTTTCTTTTGGACTAGTTTCAATGCTAAACGGTCAAGAAATTTGTTGTTGTTGATCTATCTGCTTTTCTCCGGCTTTGATATATCATATATATCGTAAGGATTGCATTACTGGTAAGTTACAACAGTTCATCTTTATCAATAAGACAAAATTGAGCATAATATGCACTCTAAGTGTCTCTGGAACGGCTTCGTATAATTGTTATAATCTCTTGAGGGCAAACCTATGTATATGGGAACAGCGTGCAAGACAAGAAGTATAGGGGATATGAGTTGTAACATGTACTCGTTAGCTGGAGCCAATCTTGCAAATTATCTATTCCAAGCCATCGAATTTTAATCGATTTATAGGACAAGATAACACTAATAATTCGAGGAGCGTGTGGATGTTTAAAGAGCCCCGCCTCAGCGGTGAAAGTACTGCCAACCACCAGATTTCTGAAGCTCATCCCCCACCAGCGTGAACTGCTCGCATAATTGAATGCGAGACGATCAATAAACAATCTACCAACGATTGCAGTACACTCCTAAACCCATCGATACCCCTTCACTGCTCTAAAAATCCACAATGCCACCCAAAGAGGCCCCCTCATCAGACGGAGCTCCCCCAGGCTCAAGTACGATCCCAACTCACGATACATGTGACTCCCTTACTCTAGCCGCCTTCAAAATGAACAATCCAAGCTAACCACTCGTGTGAACCAGTCAACCTCGCCTCTCTCTCTGTCCCCCAGCTCCGCGCACTCCAAACTCGCCTCACCTCCGAATTGGAACATCTGACCACCTCGCACTCGAAGCTGCGCGCCGCACAGGCCAAATTCCGCGACTGTGTGCGCTCGATAAACGACGGCGTGACCGGGTCCAAGAATAAGGGTACCGATGGCCGCGATGAGATCCTCGTTCCCTTGACCAGCTCGCTGTATGTTAAGGGTCGGTTGACGGATCGGGAGAAGGTGCTTGTTGATGTTGGAACTGGATTCTACGTTGAAAAGGTATGTAATATGGTATATCTTTGGGGCTAGGTGTGGAATTGGGGCTCACACTTTTGTTTTCAGACCCCGGCCAAGGCGATTGCATTCTACGATGATAAGGTTAAGGGACTCGAGTCGAACTTGCAGGATTTGGAGAAAGTTGTACAGACTAAGAGCACACAGTTGCGAGTTGTTGAAGAGAGTAAGTTTAAATCTCGATTTGCTGGTTGAAGGCATGTTAAGATGGTCTTGTTTGCTAACATTTATCACAGCATTGAGACAGAAGATGCTCGCCGGAGAAGCTGCCCCCCAAGCTGCTGCTGCTGGCTAAATTTGAGTTATGTGTTATGATTAGGTCGAATCCGATATACCTTGAAGGAATAAAACAAACAAATCGATCAACGATCAACTACACTATACCAAACTGGCATTCTTGTGGTGATATGAATAGGTATCGCTTGACGACTACCATTTAGTATTCCCATCCAGTACAAGAACCGGTGAACCCTATATATCAAACTTACCAGGGACAGGATTCTGCGTGCAAACTCTTTACCAACTCTAGGTCTATGGAGATTATGAATGCTTCAGCAAGATGTTAAATACCCGCTGACCACTTATGATATCTCTGAATCTTTTTCAGGCACGAAATTCGACGCTTTTTGTTTATTTAATTAAAATTTAAATCTATCTTCTGTTGTTTTACTTGGATTTTCTGATTCCTGACGCGAAGAAATTCCACTCCGAAATATTTGACAGGAACCGATGTACCGAACTCCCTAGAACAAAGTACCAACGTTGGCATCGAGGACCTTGGTCACGGTAGAGTTGGGCGACCCAAGCATACGCGCAATCTGGCGCAATGCACTCATGAACACCCCGAGCTGCACCTCCTCATCAATCTCCGCTCCGTTGACCGGCGGGAAAAACGTAGAGAGACAAGCCTCTCGTGTGAACTGAATGGGATCAATCTCAGCATTTTGACCAAGTATCTCATCCCAATCCGGATTGAAAAGCGAACCACCCCAAGTGACATCAGGAGAATTTACAACCCGGCCATTGGTCACATTGTATCTCACAAAGCGAGCAAGCTCGAAGACAAGGTTTGTACCCTTGACGTGAAATTCAATGGCAGATTTCTCGACAAAACATCTCAAAGGAGCGCCAGGTGGGAGCTTGGACATTCTTTCTGGAACTGACGTGATGCTGAGCGCGCTTTCATTCCACACGAAGCTTAGCTTGCGCTTGAAAGTCTCCACATCAGGAGGTGTATCTTCCTCTATCATGTCCAGAGCTTTGATCTCCAATTGCCAGTCAGATCTAAATAAACAAAATTAGCACCCGGGAGCCTGAATATAGCTTGAATGAACATACCGTTCGAAGTCAATCATGCTGATTTGCATGGGCTGTTCCGATTCTCCAGTGCCCTCAGTCTTTCGTGGCTTGAAGCAACGAATTTCGTTGACTTCGAATTCCTCACTGCTACGCGGAAGCGTATAGTCCGCTTCGACACGTACGACATCATCACTGCTGATCTTGTACTCGAAACTGGCAGAGAATCGTGGCCGGATCTTCGACAGAGAGCGTAGTGGTACATTACCGGTAGGAACGAGGAGATGCCCTGCGCCCATAACGCGCTTGATGAGCTGATTCTGTGTCAGACGTAGTCTAACGGCCAATTCAGTAACCAAAACCGTCACTTCCTGATTCACATGCTACTTACCCAGCGAGAAGGTTACCTTTGGCCTTCGTCTCGGCGAGCATATCACGGAAATCCAGATAGAGAAGGGGCCCATCTGTATCATCGGTCTTCCTATATTCTTTCAGCACAAATGAGCCAAACTTGGCCCGCATTTGTCGGTATCCGTGAAAGCGCGGGACGAAGTGCAGTGCACGCTTCAAGCGATCAACTATGATGAGCTTGTTATCCTGTCTAGCTTCGTTTCGCTTCTTCTCCCACGACTCAGCGTGCTCGGCGGGTAATTTCAGTCCAGAGAGATAGGGCTTGAACATCTTTGAATAATTTTGCATGATAACGTCCTTTTGCATGATCTCGGCAGGAGGTGGCTCGAGGAGAAACACTCTGATTTCGGTCTCGTGTTGCACAGTCATTTCCTTCCACAATCCCCTGTAACTTTTTGCCACTTTCAAGAGACAGTGTTCGTCGGCTCCAGAGAGGTACAGCTGGCCCCATACACCAGGCTTGGTATAAATGTTGATCCCATATTGAAGACGTATGGAATCGATAAGCTGGCGACGTGATGCCAGGCATTGGTCCAATGATGGACCGCTTGAAGGCCACAGAAAACAGAGCTAGAATATCAATACACATTAGCCCACACGAAGTTCACTTCATCCCCATGAAGCTCATCACATACCGTAGTTTCAGACACACCATCTGGCGCCTGTAGCAAGGCAATAAGTCGTGAAGCCTGATCATCCTTTGTCTCAGAGACATCGACCTTGGCGGTTGAGAAGGAATTGATAAGGGTCCAGTCTGGATTTGCACCGGTTGCCTTTTGATTGACCTGAGTGATTAAGGTGCTAAGCAGGGTATGTGCTGCCAGCACCTGGTTTCCATCTCCCCAAATAAGAACGATCTGATAGCGCTGTTAGCTTGGAAGCGGAAGATTCAAAAAAGAGTAAGATAAGACAGAAGTTGCGCCTTGCCACAAAAAGAGAGACTGATATGTCTCAAAAGAATTGAGACTCACCCGTTCACCCCGATATCCAACTGTGAGATAGGCACCTGTAACGTTGACAACGAAGTCACGGAAGTTAGTGACGGGTTGACCAGTTTTCATTGTCAACTGTGTGACACTAATATCAAATTCAGTGAAAGTAAACACCAAATCAAAGAAATGTATACACACAAGTCTTGGAACCGGTCAATGCTAAGCGGCAGTCGGATATATCCTGCATAAGTGTCAGTAGTTATGATTGAAATCTGCCCGGTAATCTTACCATCGGGACCTGCACCCAAACGCCATTTGGCTTTGCCAACGGAGTCTTTCGCAGGAGATCGAACGGGCATATGAGTACTCTGAGAGGCAGTGTTTGTCTCTGTGAGTCGAGGGTCGAGGCCGATTGCTGACCCCGGTGTTCTGGCAAATTGTGAATGGGAAACTGAGGTCAACAGCCTCTGGACTCTGACAGGCTGAAGAGCTCTGGAGCCATCACCCGCGAGAGGGGAGATCTGAGCTTGGATCGGTGCATCTCTGATATTGGTACTCTGCCGGGTAGGTCTCTTACCCCAGCGAGATGAACATAGAAATGCCCCTGAGGGAGTTACAGGAGGTCGATTTCTGGTGATCTGCTGACTAGAGCTGGATCCTTGTCTTTGCTGAAATAGACTTGAAGTAGAGGAAGCGAACCTGGTCTGAGGTTGGGCATTTTGACCAGAGAATGAAGACGTACGTTGAACTTCGGGAGGTGAATTAAAGGGAAAACGCTCATTCTCAAGCGAGACCAGGCCTTTTTTGAATGCAGGGGCGCTTTCCAGCGCGAGAGAGGGTTGGTCATCTTCATCTGCGCGGATGATCTTTCCGATATGGTGCAATGGTAACGACCAGGCTAAAGCGATTAGCACATCACATACAGTAGAAAGAAAATGGCTCTTACACATCGCTTGTAACTTCTCCCAACTGTCGGAATTATTAGTTAGAACGATAGGTTCAAGGTGGGGGTGTACTTACTCCTCCTCAGGAGGCTGATCGGCTTCTGCCATTCTGGAAGAGTCAGCTTGGTGTTTATATCACGAAAAAAGTTCCAGCTGGCTGAAGAGATTGATAAGGTTGGATGTGGGAAATGCCGATGATGTTGGAAGAGGAAATGAAGCCGAAGAAAGTAGAAGAAAGTAGGCGAAGGTGAGAAGAGGAAGATGGTGGATTTGGGGGGAAAGTGAGATAGATCAAGCAGAATAAGAACAGGAATTGAAACTCAAAAAGAAATAATGAAAGAAACAGGTTTGCATTGATGAATAAGGGACCTGAAGTGAATGTTGAAGGAAGTATAGAAAGCACAAAATTGTCTACGCGTGCTATTCACTTCATGGCGGGTGGCACCCATAAATTGTGAAATGCCTTAATGACAAAGTATACGGAAACGTGCCACACCAAAGACTTCTGTACGCGACTGCGTGATTCTAGCAGCAACTCAAAAATCAAGGCTCTATTGAGCTCATCAACCACTCTTCCTCTCAGTGTCTGGGACTGGATTGCAGGGGAAGGCACGAGGAGAGATACTCGGGCGAAATGCAAAAGATCCATGCTCAGGCGCGATATCAGTTCGCAGCGACTACTTACCAAAGTCTGCTGGTTTAATTTGAGGTCTGGAGGAGCCCGTTGACAAGAGTAAGAAGGGGTGATGTATTATATTCACTTAATGGCAGGTAGCATATAAGATGTGAATCCTATTCGAATCTAAATGATGGCCAGGGGATGGCTATGGAGCGACAGCATGAATGAGAACACATTAAAAACCACACTTGTGACTTATTGGGGCATGAAGAGGGTAGTCTAATGGTGTAGATCTTGCTGAGCCTAACGTAATATCAGATATGACATGAAGAAGAGAGTCCCAAGGAAAAAGCTGATCCTGAGTTAGTGAAACAAACGACAGATTAAAATATGATAATATTCCCAGAGCAGCAAAATAAGAGCCAATATTTAGAATTCAATCGATCAATTTCTCCTAATTTCCTTTCGGTCTGCAACAAAATAGCAAAGGGCATCGTTTCCAAAGACCTGATATTGGGGTACGAAAAACCCACTTGGTCCCCGAAGCTCTAGTCTAGGGAGCTTTCGATCCCAATACTGTTCATTCAATACAATTGACATATATAGCATGCGAAATTGCCAACAAAAAATAATGCATCGTCGTCAATTATTTGCAGATGACAGCTCTACTTCGGACCGGAGTATCAGTAGTCCGAAATTTGCTTTGCCAGGTGGGTTGAAAGGCACCAAGTCATTTGAACTTTCAAATCGCCATGACCAGCAAAGTCATGATTAAAAAAGCCGCAATACTACATCAGACGCAGTATGTAGTAGCATCATGATATTTTTATGCTCTTTACTGCGTGATATAGTAATCAGCACAGCCGATACGTAGTTTATATTAGTATAACTGACCTCCCACTGTGGCTGTTTTCCAAGCACAATGGGGCAAATAGTCAGAAAATCATATATGAGTAGTACAAACAATTGAGCAAATATATTGAGCAAGCTCAATCAGCATGAAGGATAAGTTCTGCTCTTTTATACTTCTGCTGCTTTGAAGAATCTGATTGGGCTGAGCTCCTTGCTGAGCTAAACCCAATACGGAGTAAAGTGGACAACGCGTCCAGCGCGTTTTCTCCTTCTCCATACCTTCAGCCCGGCCACATCTGCAGCAATGAGCGACAGTGAAGTGAGCGATTCTCTCAAACAGAGGGTCTCCGCCAGTGAGAGGGCTCAATGGATGACCAAGGGAGCCCTGGTCCGCGACGATTCTGACGACGAGCTGGGGGTTGAGGACCTCCCGTGGGAATGGATCTACGATGAGAATGAACCGAAGGAAGAGGAAATCAAAGATGGCAGTCCACAAAAGCGAGGTCGGAGACGTTCTTCACGACCTGCACCCCAGCGCCGGAAGATTGTCGCGGCGCGGATGGGTCGATTTGAATGCAAAGTCGGCGAAGTGATTCTCTTGAAGTCCCCGGAGGCCGGGAAGGACTGGGTGGGCGTTGTCACTGAGTTCGTCGAAGAAGAAGACGATGAAGAAGAGGAAGAGATGGTCAAATGCGCCAATATCATGTGGTTCGCATCACCCGACGAATTCATGGGAACCCGGAACAAGCGCCGCACCGATGCCTTGCCCAACGAGCAGTACATCACACTCGATTTCAATACCAACCCTTTGACATCGATCAGCGGAAAGGGTATTGTTATGTCACAGAATGCCTTCTATAAGAAATACCCGAACGGTCCTCCGAAGGACAAAACCGAATTGGCGGAATACAACAAGTGCATTGTCTGTCGACGAGGCGTGAATCAGGTCCAAGGACGTTACACGGAGGAGTTCGTTTGGGAAGAGGTATACAATCAAGAGAGGATCCATGATCTGATCGACCTGGTCAAGGAGGGCCTGAAGGGATCGAGAAAACGCAGAGCTGCGGACGACGAGGTGAGTCGCAGTGAATGGCTTCGACATAAAGATTGCAGTACTAACACATGCTCAACAGTACGTCGACAGCAAGGAGTCTGCAGCCCCCAGCACTCCAAGAAAGAGACAACGACTGGCGACAGGAAATGCGACGCCGCAGTCACAGCGCAAAAAAGCCTTGACTACTCCAACTCACAAAAGGTACCTGCCATGACCTACAAAAAGGGATGAAACAACGCTGACAACCTACTAGAATCGTGGTCAAGAAGCCGCTCGAGTTCACACCTTTGGGCACACGAGTCCTGTCCCCTACCCACTTCGCATCTCCCTATCGTCAAGCCCGCAACCTGCTTCACGTCTCAACCGTTCCAGATTCATTACCATGTCGAAAGACCGAGTTCAACACTGTTTACAATCATCTCAGCGCTGCAATCATGGAGGGCACAGGTGCTTGTATCTATATCTCAGGCACCCCTGGTACAGGAAAGACCGCAACAGTGCGCGAAGTAGTTGCACAGCTGAATGGCGCCGTCATGGAAGAAGAGATGGACGATTTCATCTTTGTTGAGATTAACGGCATGAAAGTCACAGACCCACACCAGTCTTACTCCCTATTGTGGGAAGCCCTGAAGGGTGATCGAGTATCTCCCTCGCATGCACTGGATCTGCTTGAGCGAGAATTCTCAGCCCCTTCTCCCCGTCGAGTATCTTGCGTGGTACTTATGGATGAATTGGACCAACTGGTCACAAAGAACCAGTCCGTCATGTACAACTTCTTCAACTGGCCTGCTCTCCGCCACTCTCGTCTGATTGTATTGGCCGTTGCAAACACCATGGATCTTCCCGAGAGAACACTCAGCAACAAGATCTCCAGTCGTCTCGGTCTAACCCGCATCACCTTCCCCGGATACAGACACACAGACCTGATGGAGATCATCAGTACCCGTCTCGCCAACGTCCCGGGCAACATTGTCGACCCAGATGCCGTCCAATTCGCAAGCCGAAAGGTAGCAGCCGTCAGCGGTGACGCCCGAAGAGCCCTAGACATCTGCCGCCGCGCCGTCGAAATCGCCGAGCAAGCAGCCGACGAAGTAGCCGCAGCAGAGGACACCCAAAAAGACGAGACAGAATCATTGCCTCCAACACCAAGCAAGACTCCTGCCAGACGCAACAAGGCATTAGCAGCAGTAGCCGCCAACGACCTGCCAACCCCCAAAGCTGGACCCACAAAGGGCCAGCCAGGCCGAGTAACAATTGCCACAATCAAGCAAGCCATCCACGAAGCAACATCAACACCACTCCAACAATCCCTCCGCTGCCTTCCTCTATCAGGCAAGCTATTCCTTGCCGCGCTCCTAGCACGAGTATCCCGAACAGGTGTCTCAGAATCAACATTCGGCGACATCCTAGACGAAGCACGCCGCATCGCCGATGCAGCTGTTGCTGTTGCCGGTGCTGCCGGTGCTGGTGTGAAAGAGTTCCTGCTAGGCGGTGGTCCCAGCGCTCGAGTGCGTTCTATGGGATATGCCGCTATGGAGCTTATGAACTCTGGAATTCTTGCGCTGGAGCAGGGTACTGGTTCTAGGAGTGTGCTTGGTGGTACTACGATCCCTACTCGCGGTGACCGCAGCAGCAAGGTTCGGCTTAGAGTTGCAGCTGAGGATGTGAGATCTGCGTTCCGGGAGGATGTTGAGGCCAAGGGCTTTGGATTGGGTATTGAGCAGTAATTGGGAGGTGATGCTTTGTTGTTGGTCTCCTGATAAGTTTGTTACAGGACGCATTTCTTGGAGTCAGTTTGTTACCGCACTTTAGTTTCGTTTGCATGATACCCTTTCGGTCAACTGGACTGTTCCATTAGACTTAACATTTGCCCTAACAAGAGTGTGTTGACAAGTTGGTAGTTTGACATGTATGCCTGGTAGAGTATGAATTGACTCGATTGAAATCCGTATAATACAAAACATCTGGTCTTTTTTTATAGCATAACCCTTTTTCAGGAAATAGCTCAAACACATATCTGAGAAATTCAAACCTCAAAATTGACCACAGACCACGCTGAACTCCACATAGTGCCGATACAAGAACTTGGCGAAACAAAAAGAAGGGTATTAAGAAATGGGAACAGAGACCTCGAGGGCTAGTTATGCTAGTGATCCATCTAGTACCGCTGTCTACCAAGAGTAGGAGCCCATTGAACGGGGTGAGTCTCAGGTGTAGCATCCTCGTCCTGCTTCCAGACCTTGATAGTCTTGTCAGCCTCACCAGTGATGAGGCGCAGACCAGTGCGATCGAAAGTAGAAGCCATGATACCGGCTTCGGCTTCGAGGGAACCGGGTTGCGCAGTGGTCTCGACAGACTGGAAACGGTGTCCAGTCTTCCAGTCCCAGAAGGACATAGAGCCGTTGTCACCACCGGAGAAGAGAACGTTCTCGTCGTTCACGGCGAGAGAGTTGATGACTGAGTTCTGGCCTTCGAAGTTCTGCATGAAGTCGCCCTTGGGACACATCCATTGCTTGATGCTTCCAGTACTGGCACTGGCGAATGTGAATTCAGAGGGGTGGATGGCGATGTTGCGAACACCCTTCTTGTGGTGTGTAAGGACGCCCATGCTCTTTCCAGCGGCCAGATCCCATAGGCGGACTGTGGAGTCCAGCGACCCAGAGATGATTTGAGGATCAGCTTCTTGACACTTGATATCGGCGACGGTACCCTTGTGTCCGCCGAGAACGTGGACGTTGCTTCGCGTCCGCATATCCCAAACTCGACACACACCATCACGACCGCCAGTAACCAGCAGATCAAGACGAGGGTGCAAGGCTAGCGTGTAGACACCACTCAGATGACCATGGTAGTGACGAATAACCTTGTTGGTTTCCAGATCCCAACACTTAACCATCTTATCCTCACCGCATGAGAAAAGGTACGGATGCCGAGGCGACACAGCCAACCCACGAACCGTAGAGATATGACCAGTAAGCGTAAGACGCAAAGAGCCCGTCGCTAAGTTCCAGATCTTAATCGTGCGATCTCCCGCTCCACTAGCAAACCACTGGTTGTTCGGCTCGACAGCCAAAGCCCGTACCCATCCTAAGTGTCCTGAGATAACGCGCATCAGCTTCCATGGCGCGTGCCAATCGGGCTTTTGTTGCTTCGTAGCCGAGGGCCTTGTGATCAAGCTCTTGGGCTGGTCTTCGGTCCCGGCTGCGCCTGCGCCGCCAGCCGGCCGCTTCACTAGTGACATCGAGGCACCGCTGCCGTCTGCAGGTGTCTGTGCCTGGATCTTTGGTCGTTTTGTTCGCCCGGCTGCGGCCTTGGCTTGCTTTTCTGCGAGTGCGCGTGGTAGTTCGGTGACGTCTTCGTATTCGGCCTTTCGTCGGTAGGAAACGCCAATTGAGCCGTCTGTCAGGGCTGAGGGTGTGACCATCAGGTATTCCGGACCGAAGAGCTCGGCGGTGCGCTTTGCTGATGTACGCACGGCATTTTCAGCGGATTGCGAATGTGCATAGTCCATTTTTTCAGGATTGAAAGGATAAGAAGGAGGTGAAGGCGTGTCTCGAAGGGCAGAAGCTCCACAGAGCTGCGGTCGATCGTGCGCGCGGTGAAAACCCTGTGGTGGGTTGGTTTGTGAGAAACGGGCTCGAGAAGAGTTCAGTGCATCAGAGCTTAAAGTCGATTGATCCTGAGGCAGCACAGCGTGCGATTGCGAGGCAAGGCAAAGGTTGTGGGAGAAGAGGATGCGCATGAATCTTTGCCGGAGTTCAAGTGGGTCCGATGTCTGAGGCGGTCAACTTGTATACCTTCGACATGAACACCTGGACAGACAAGTCATTCACGTTACTGCAAATATTTACTTGTTGCTGTATAAATATTCTCTCTGATATTCTCTCGATACTCAGCAAAACCAATTTCGGCATTTTTCCGACTTCGTGAATCGAGACACGGCAGAATCCAGCTGACTCAGCCACTGTCTTTATCGCAGCTCTTATCTTCTTCCTTCTACAAAGTCACCAAAGTCGTCATGGATTCCCAGAAGTTCGCTCTACATGAAGCTGCGAGAGAAGGCAGAGGTACGTATTCCTCCTGTGCTGACATGCTACTATATTAATAGTCCAATCTAGACCAGGTGGTCGAGTCATTGCTCAACGTGAGTGTCCCAATCCAGGCTGCCCCGCAAATAATGACATCTTATACTGGCATTTGCTCTGCTCGTTATAATGGAAAGAATACTAAAAGTTCCAAAAGGCTAATCCCAAGTCTGCACTCGTCAAAGATGATGATGATCGCCTTCCAATCCACTGGGCTACAGCCTACAACCACCTTCGGGTAGTGGAGTTGCTAGTGGGTGCCAAAGGATTCGATCCTGATGTGGAAGTGAGCTTTGATGACTCGAGCTAAAAAAAACATCCAAGGCAAGCGGACTAACCTGACATAGGATGGTTCCGGCTGGACCCCTCTTATGATTGCAGCTAGCTTGAAAGATGCTGCGGGTGATGCGATTATCGAAATGCTCCTGCGAAAAGGCGCTGATGTTTCGACCAAGAGCAGCTCAGGACAGGTCAGCAATTTGAAGCAAACATGCTACAATGCAACTTATTTCGGAATTAACAAGCCAGTAGAATGCTCTTCACTTTGCTAGCTCCAAGTCCAACACATCAACTGTTCGCACGTTGATTGCCAACAAATGCAGTGCCAGAGTCAAGGATAAGCGGGGACAGCTACCTCTTCACAGAGCTGCGGCAGTGGGATCTGTTCCCATCTTGAAGACGCTTTTGGAGGAGGGTAAGAGTCCTGTCAACGCAACGGATAGTGACGGATTCACGGCTCTTCACCATGCTATTTCTGAAGGACATGGAGATGCAGCAATTCTGTTGTTGAAGTCTGGAGCAGAGCCAGAGAAGCGAGACAACGATGGAAGGCTGGCAATCGAGCTCGTTTCTGATGAAAAGGTAAGTCTCTCCCATCCTCTGCATAATCTTGATGTGGGTATCTGACGTCTATGCGACTACTTAGGTCAAGCAATACATTCTGCAGACAGCAGAGCGCGAAGGAATTGAATTACCCTGATTGGAGTCTGCAGACGCTAAAAATAACCCTGCAACTTCTATACCTCGGGATGTGCTTCCCCGCATCTCAGCCCAAACAGTCATGCACATCAGTTTAGCACCTTGGAACATGATCATTTTCAGTTTTCAGCTCAGAGTAAGTACATAGTAGAAATGTGATCGGAAATTAGTACCACAGATGGTCTGAACGTTCCTGCGCTGTGATATGGGCTGCGTGCAGACAGCTGTCGACCAAATGAGGGGCCTCGGTAAATATTTCGATTAGCAAGGAGCAGGACTAACCGAAGGCTTGGGCTTGCGGAGAAACACTTATATGTAGTGTCTTGCCCATAGTTTCGAGAGTCTGAGCCCCCCGCCTAGCTTTGTCTTGGACTCCAATCTCAATGAATATGTCTTCACCAGTTAACACACGTCTCCCGGTGGGAAACAAAACCTTTACCGATGCAACTGTTGTGATTATTGGTGCTGGTATATCTGGTGAGCTTGACAGCCTTATTATAGCTGGAGAACAGCGCTGACGATCCAGGTATGTGCATGGCGATTGATTTGATCAAGCGCAATAATTGTCACAACTTTGTTATCCTCGAGAGGAGTAGCAGCGTTGGTGGAACTTGGAATGATAATAAATACCCCGGATGCTGCTGTGACGGTATGATTTCCCCTCTGTTTATTCATATTTTGCCAACTGACTTTCGATGTATAGTTTGGAGCTCACTCTACAGCTATTCTTTCGAGCAAAACCCCGACTGGTCGAGGGAATATCCCGGACAAGAGGAAATACATGTGAGCAATACTAATCTTACCTATTTTTGTTATCTGCGAAATATTGCTAATACTGGAGAAATAGGCATACTTAATGCGCGTTGCGGAGAAGTATGGGCTCTACAAATACATTCGATTCAACTCCACGGTTGAAGAGGCACGATGGGATGACAACGAATCTAAGTGGAAAACCAGCGTGGTAGTCTCAGGAGAGAAGGACAGCGAATTTTCCAACTCCTACATCCTCAAGTCCGACTTTCTCATTTCCGCCGTTGGCCAACTCAATCTACCGCGTCAGCCGGATATTCCCGGTCTGGAAGATTTCCAGGGCAGGATGATGCATTCTGCTCGATGGGATTGGAGCTACGATATGACAGGAAAGCGAGTCGCAATCATTGGAAACGGTGAGATCCACAAAAAGCCCTGTACAGCATCTATCAACCACTGACATATTGATATAGGAGCAACCGCCGCCCAGATCGCCCCAGAAGTAGCTCAAATTGCTTCCCATATGACAGTATATCAACGTACTCCGAACTGGGTTATCCCCCGAATGGACCGCCCAGTTCCTGCCTTCCAGAGAGCCCTATTCAAATACATCCCACCAGTCCACTGGCGCAAACGCGCCCTCCAGATGGACTTCCGCGAAGCCTTTCACGCAGTGATCAGAGACGAAAACTCCGACTTTGCCCAAATAATCCGAGACATGTGCACAGGGAGCATGAAAGCCCAACTCGCTAGCAAGCCCGAGTTGTGGGAGAAATTGACTCCGGACTACGCACCAGGATGCAAGCGGATTATCATCACCGATGATTACTATCCTACTCTTGCGAGAGATAATGTAGAATTGGAGACACGGCAGATTACCCACATTACCGAGACAGGTATTGAAATTGAGGGCTTCGATGAGCAGGAGTATGACGTTATTATTCTTGCTACTGGATTTAGGACGGTGGAGTTTATGCATCCCATTCAGATTTTCGGTACCAATGGGCGTCCTTTGCAGGATATTTGGAAGAACGGGGCTGTTGCGTACAATGGGGTTACTGTTGAGGATTTGCCGAATTTTGGCATGTTTTATGGTCCCAATACCAACCTTGGTAAGTAGCGGGGATCATCGTTTGTGTGGGTGAATATCATGTTTGGAATGCTGATGATTTATAGGACATAATTCTATCATTCTCATGATCGAGGCGCAGTCTCGATATTTGAATGGGATGGTTAGTGAAGTGATCCGAGCCCGTCAACAATGCAAAACACTGTCTTTGAAACCAAAGTTGGCAGTGCTGAAGGACTTCAACGAGAAACTTCAAACTGCTCTGCGGAGTACCAGCTTCGCAGATCCAAATTGCAACAGTTGGTACAAGAGAGACGATGGTGTCATTACGAACAACTGGTCTGGGACTGTTGTTGACTACCAAATTAATTTGTCAAAGGTGCACTGGCAAGACTATGATGTTGATGGCACCGGAAAGACAGATGTTGAGGGCAAGGCTGCGACGAAACTTGGCCGTGTTCGTGAAGAGACTTTACTTAGTGATATGACATTGTTGATGGTAGGCACCGTGGGCGTGTTGTCAGCGGTTGGCTATCTTGCAGCACGCTCAAAGCTGCTGAAGGCTCGTTGAAGATAATAATATCATAGTGACACAAATGATTCATCAAAGAAAATTCCTGGATGAGACCAAGAAGTGGAAAAATGTAGACGCAAAACGTAGAATTTACCTTTGCTGATTGTCTTTTCAGCTCTTCTGTCCAATCGACGCCGTGGTACGGGTAGTGAAACGGAGATCTCTTCGCCTTCACTTTCATTGTCTTTTGTTATATACGCCTTGCTAGATAAATCTTAGCATATATGGTACTTCAACACACGGAGCCCTCTATATCCACGTAGGAAACCCTCTGTGACCCCTTGGGCCTCAGTATCCCAAAGCACAGCCAGCCCAACTGGCTTTAACCCGGCACACTTACCCTGCAGAGCCATTACTAGGACATCTATGTTCCTCCAGCACGTCAAAGATTGGCATACTAGACGGCCCTTATGCTGACCGACTGACTCGTTGCGTTCCGAAGAGTGACATTTCTTTGCTTTGTTTCTGTCTTAACGTATCTATATACCCCAGGTGAGGTCTGGGTCTGTGGGCTTCGCCTTTACTGCCTGAACATTATATACAATAAGCACTCATTTCCGCCTCCCTCATTGTTTGTGATGCATGAACAGGTAGGACTGTATGATAATAAATTAAAGATCATGTATTATTTGCCAAGCTCGATCAAGTTTGCCAGTTTTCACCCACAGAGAGAAACAATGTCATGAGGAACATAAGGCTCCAGAATGCTAATGAGGCCTGAAAGAGGAACCCAGTCAAGGACACCATGGATGCTCCTCACAGGTTGACCACTGTACAAGACTCGAGCATAGAGCGACTTCTCATCAGTTTCCCACACCTCGAAGGCAATGTTCGACGCCATAGCCGGCCAGCGCAGAGCCTCGATTCCAAGAGAACCCAGAATGGGGCCAATGTCACCATCATGAATGAAGATATGACTGTAATCCAGAGAAGAATTTCCATCCTGCACAGCCTGCAGACGGGCAACAATCTCACCAATGAAAAGACCCTCAACAACCTGGATGTACTTGACCACATCCGGGTTTGTGCGCCAGTAGTAGTTCCACTCCCAGTCCCCAGCACGGAAGACCTCCTCGGCCATCTCCTTCGTAACACAAGCAGACGAGTTTGACACACTGCATGGAAGCTCATATCCATTACAAAGGCGAGCTTGGAAATTATCGGAGAAATGATCAAAGGTACTCTGCCACGAACTGCTTGTCGCGCCAAGCATAGATCCAAGCTTTGAGCGCAACTCTGCAGTGACAGTCAGATGCTCTGTCCACTGCGATGTAGATTTAATCGAAGAAAGCGTGGAGCTGACAGCAGGACAGGAATACCCTTCATTCACAGTGTCAACGGAAGTTACCATCTGATGCAGTGGCAGTGCTCCCTGGTAATCGGGCCACACACCACGTAAGACCGCACCAGCCGAAGCCTGGGTAAGAGCCGAGTCACTGGATCGAAACCAGACGCGATTGTTTGGTTTCTTGGGAATGAGACCAAGTTTCTTGCCGTAGACGGCCCATAGATCCTTACCATGCTGGTATCCATCTTGGACACCGCCGATGGTGATCTGCGGGTACTGGCATGTCCCGTTCACACCGGGCGTGAAGGGGTTGGAGGGGTCTTCGTATGTCTGGGCATACATTGGCACAGGCTGGATACCGCTTGCGCTATTGGGGCCTCCGTAGAGATACGGGCGCACATTGTCACATTCATAGGCTTGGTTCTGAATATCATTAGCTTTGAATTCTAATAGGGCAACTCTAGCAGGAACATTGACTCACTTCTCCCCCGGGCAGAATATTGTATGGAGAACGTCTCTGGTGACGCTGCAGATACTCCAAGTAAACAAGCTTGCCCTTGCCCGATCCCTTGCCTATGGCTTCGGGCAGAGTGTACTCCTCAGAGCGAGGATGCGGCATGAAACAGTAGTCATAGGTACCATATGGTTCCCCAGCAGTCGGGCCATTGGTTGGTGCCTTGTAAATACCGCCGTATGTCCCAATAGTACTGTTACTGATGTAGGCAGTATCATTGAGGTTCGGCGGGTAAAAAGTGTCCGCAGGCGTCAGCGCCAGCACAGGGCTGACTGCAGAAAGCAAAGTGAGACCACGCATATTGGACAAAGAGTTAGGCAGTAAAGACCAAGTGTCGTGCAGACTCGTGAATATAAACACGTTGTGCCATGTCACTACTGCCCAGCCGAGCAAAAACGCGCTCCACACTCCGCATGCCAGTCGCGACCTGCCAGCTAGTGCACGTGGGAATGACAGCTCCATCTGGCAATTCTCAATTGCCGAGTGGCGTCCACTATTGATAGTAGTCAACTATTCCGACACATTGTTGCGAGGTTGAAGTTGAGTTGAATGATCTCATTCCCCGATTTGCCGAAATCGCTTGGCATTGCCCGCATTTCCAGGGGTTCAGGCTGATGCTTTCCCACGTTTCACTGCGTCAACAATCTTGGTGATCTTTGTTCAGACAGACAAACATGTGGAAAACTTCGAGCCTAATAGCCACTGTGACCTTGTGTCCATTGGTGTCATCTACTTTGGCTGATTTCGCCCTTCATAAGGCCCTCAGCGATGCAACTCCAATCTTTGGATCCTATGTTAAGGAAACTGGCAAAAAGGCCGAATGGATGAAAACATATCCGGATGAAACTTTGCTTGTTCACATGAATATCCCCGGTACTCACGATGCCGCAACTTGGAATTATACCCATGCAACACAAGATGCTCTGCGAGGTATCACAGACTTGAACCAGGTCACTGTTCCAGTGCCGGAGTCATTCCGCTGTCAAAAATTGCCTTTGATTGATATGCTCAATAAGGGTATCCGCGCTTTTGATCTGCGCTATGCCCTGGATCCGACCAACTCCAGTCTCATCTTCTATCATTCCAAAGCCCTGCTCTCAGAGACAGCGACAGTGGATGATGTGCTGTTTGGATTCTATCAGTGGTTGGATGACCATCCATCAGAGACAATCTTCCTCTCATTCCAGCATGAGAGCTCGACAGCCCGCTATGCCTTCGATGATGCGGCGTCGCAGCTGAAGATGTTCCAGGCTCTCACTTCTTCAGCCGCGCGTCATTATTTCGTTCAAACTAAAGACCAACTGGGCACATTGGGTGATGCACGTGGAAAAATCACCTTGATGCGCCGGTTCGATCTGGACAACCTACCCGATTCCTACACAGCTGCGCTTCCTGGTCTGCACTTCTCACCTAGCCTGTGGACCGACAACGGACCGGATATTAACCTGGAGTATAACACTGATAAGAATTTGACAGCATACATTGAGGACTACTATCAGCCACTTACGCCTACGGGATCAGATGCGATTGAAAATATCAAGTGGAAGTACAATGCCACTGTGGCACACATTGGCAAGGCCACCAGACAACATTCAGACAGTCTCTTTTGGACCTGGGCATCCGGTACGAATCTTGAGAACAGCCCGCCCGACTGGCCTCGCATTATTGCTCTTGGAAATGGGACTCAATATACTCCAGATGGTGGGGTGAACCAGCACCTACTACTGTATCTGAAAGAGCAAAAAGGCAAACGGGTGGGGATTGTGATGTTTGATTTCTTTGATCAACCTTCCGACTTGATTGATACATTCTTGGATATTTGAGTCACGGCTCCTCGGAGCGAAACAGATCTAATGATCATAGACAATGCTGGCACTGTAAATTCCGGACGACCTAGACTATCGATAGAACGAATATGCACGCAAATACCTCTCTCTCATCGAGCTCCAACCAAACCACCAATATTCCCAACGCGCATCAGCTGCGTCTGACGTGTATATATCTGATTTCCCGCGATTGACATTACATTACTCCATGCAGGCACAGTAGAGACCGCCAACCAAGTTCGGTCACCAAAGACTTAGTCACTTCTTGTTTTTTTCCCGCGCGCGCACAGAAAGCGAAGGGATCGACATAGCTCCCCGTCCTGTGGAGCCTCCAAAGTGCATGGAGAGGCCAGAGTAGGTATGCAGATACTATATGCAGGTGAAATTGGCATCTTATTCGCCCTCACTACCTGCACACTCCGTGTTTCGGGACAGCGAAATCGGAGAGGGGGGGAGATGAAATCGAGTGAGTGAGGCCGTGGTGCTCAGTTCACTCATTCCATATTAGGTATGATCTGATTGTTCTATGTAGCGGGTATAGTATTTAAATGGGTGCTGGGGCTCTCCAGTTTCTGTGATTCTTCCAAGGTTGTTTCACTTCACTCACGCATTCTTATACTTTAACATGACCGCTATTGATATCATCTCATTGACTGATCAGATTAAGCAGGAGGTCTCTTTTGGGCCTTCTACTTCTGGTCATGGTCATGCTCGTCTTCTTCAACTTGTTGATGAGCTGAAGTTGGCTATTGAAACTCCTACTGAAACCATTCTTCGCTTGATCTACCAGGTTAGTATTATTTATTACCACTGCTATATTGGGCGGTATACTGACTTGAATAACTATCAAGCCACCAGAGAATGCAGCTTTGCGTACTGTGGTAGACCTAGGTATCTTCCCAATTCTTGTGAAGGATCGACAGAAGAACGGTCTCTCTGCAGCAGATCTTGCTGTATGCACTGGTGCCGACAAAGGGTTGATCGGTTTGTTACTCCTCACCCCCCCCCCCCCCCCACCTCCCCCTTCCCCCCAAATTGGATCATTTCTAACATGAGACAGTCCGTCTTATGCGAGTAATGACGGCTCTTGGCCTGTGTACAAGTACGGAGGCAGAAGTGTACCGGCCCACCGACAAGTCTCTCTCAATGGCCCAGCCAATCGGCCAAGACGGTATTCCCTGCATGTAAGTATGAAACACAATCTTTATTATCATAGTTCACTGACATTCTTCAGCTATGATCTTACCGTCCCAACCCTCACCAGACTCCCCGAATACCTCCGTGAACACAACTACATCAACCCAGAGGAATACAGCTCGTCCCCCATGAAATGGGCCGTTGGCCAAAGTCAATTCGAATGGCTCGCAAAGAACAAGAGACATCAAGCTCTCTTCAATTCATACATGTCCAGCCGACGCGAAGGCAAGCCCAACTGGTTTGATGTCTTCCCCTTGGAAAGACTAGTCAACGGCACAGCCCCACACCCCAATTCAGTATTCCTTGTGGATATTGGCGGTAACCAAGGCCATGATCTTGACAGATTTGTGGCTCATAAAATTACCATACCGGGCCGAGTCATCTTGCAAGATTTGCCCAAGATTGTCTCGACTGTCAACCGGCCGGGGATTGAGACAATGGGGTATAGCTTCTTGGACCCACAACCAATTAAGGGTTAATCTCCTTCTCACTAAATTGAAATATTTCATGCTGACGACATTGGCGACAGGAGCGCGTGCCTACTACTTCAGAGCAATCTTCCATGACTGGCCCGACCGTATCTGCCAGAAGATTCTTTTGAACACTGCTTCGGCGATGGATCCCACCTATTCGCGTATCCTCATTGTCGATTTCGTACTTCCTGACATTAATGCACCACGCATGCAATCTGCCATGGACATCCAGATGATGAGCATTGGCGCAGGTGTCGAAAGATCAAAGCGACAATGGACCGAGCTTTTGGCCAGTGCTGGGCTGAAAATCAACGGGATTTGGAATACCAGCCCCGAAATGGAATCGATTATCGAAGCTGTCCCAGACATAGGTGAAGTGGAAGCTTTTGAATGATTATGTAGGGAAAAGAGGATAGTTCTAGGTGTTTTCGGGGGATTTCCTTAACTTGAGCTTCTTCATTGTCAAACTCGATCCTATTTTTTTATTTCAAACAAGCCTCCAATTCTGTAATAAAGTGTACAGCAAATGCACGAGAAGCACAATCTAGATCATGCCATGCGCAATGTAAGTCTCCGAGCCGTGCAGGAACACCGTCAGAGACGCAGATCCGAACCCTACACAGCCCTCGCACACTCCCTCGGGCCCACCCCAGTCCACCGCAAAGCTTGTCTGAGCCTGTGCTGATCAACGATCAGATAAGATCAACTGCTGTCTCCACTTGATTTTTCTCCCTTTTCGCCCGTGTGGAACCGACTCGTTGTCTGTGTATCTGCCACTGTCACACGAATTGAATTAACAGGATCCGCCTTTGAAGTAACCGATTTTCTTTGAATACCGAAATAATCGTCCATATCTTAATTATACAATTTTATACCGGGATGCTTTGCTTGTTTTGCAGATCGCACTGTACTTTGGGGGTTTTATATATATCCTGTACGCGTGTAAAATTGCCTAACCTGCCAAGATTTACCGGTGGGTGAATTTGGTATAATCTCATATGTTGCATGGGCTTCTGGAGTTCTTTCAGGATCAATTCCGCTGTCTCTTGTCTGTTAAATTGCCAGGCCTTTCGAAGTGTCTGGACATAGTAGTAGAAGTATAGGTAGCGAGCTGCTAGGCGGAAATCATTCCGAAATACTAGCCTACCGCCGTTTAGGCCTTTCCAGCAGAGATCCTTTTCATTAGTGATTTGCTTGACGATTTATTGCCAAGTGTGAGTAGGGATGACCATTTTGTACTGCCAAACTAGAATTCTGAGCCAACGAGCCCCGACTTTGCTGGGAAAGGGGGTTGTGGAAAGAGCTTTGGGAAAAGATTCCCACGGTGTCTGGTGTACATACCTAAAACAGGAGACTACAAGTCCTTTCACATACCCTTCTCTATATGATTAAGATGATGAGCTCAAGGAACTTGCGAACAAGGTAAGGAGGGGTTAAAAATAGAGAGGCGAAAAAAAGAAAGGCTGAAGCAGGGCTCTCACAATACAGGAAATTATACGCTATACACATGGCTTCTAAGCATATGTATAAAGGCTGCCCATACTTCACAACACTTTGTACATTTTTATGAACCTTGTTGTTTACTAAATTGCTCTAGATACAGTGTTGAAATTGGATGTCTATTGAAATGGGAAGTATTTATGTCAAGGCTGAAGAGATTGTTTAAGTTTGGTCTTTCTCTCAATGAGCGAAAAACCCTATATAAATGAAAACTCTTCTCCTGATCTATACTGTACTTGGTAGGTCTAATGCTGATCACTAGATTCATGCCTGATGTGTCAGGTATCTCGTCTGGATGCGCCATGAATCTCAACATACAGCATGTAATCTTCTTCAGCAAACCAGCCAGTCACTAGCCAAGTTAGGTCGAGCACGAACTCAAGCTCGAGCTCGAGCTCGAGCTCGAGCTACTCCCACTCCAGACATCATCACCAATAGGCGTGTCTAGAATATCCGATTCAATCGCATCAGCGGAGTCTGTCCAAAGGTTCAGACCATTGAAGAGCTTCATGGAGTCGTTGTAAAGCCCGGGGATCTTATAAGTTAAGCTGGGGGACCCGTTGCCGGAGCCAGTGACCTTGATTTGGGCGCAGCTAAATAGTATCATAGTTAGATGATATCTTCAATGAAAAGATTCACTTGTGAACTGACCTGTAGAATAACTCGGCTTCGTTGGCTTGGGCACCATGGAGACCGACATGTTCAGCCCGGACGAGGTACTCGCCGGCTGGGGTGTTTGCAGGGATCTCGAACTCAAACTGGGACATGCCGTAGGTGCACCAAGCATCCTTGGTGAGGTCGCCATTTTCATTGCAAATAGTCTTTTCCCAGATCTTGAACCATTCACCATCACCCTCGTACTGCTGGACATTACCAGAGGGCGCTTTGGACATGTCTATAAGGAAAGGGCTAGTCAGCACAGTTCATACAAATATTCCAACTGGAGATCTTACAAACTTGACCAGGCCCAGGATGCGCGATACTTGCGTCGTAGAAAAGCTTCATGGCAATGCTATCACCAGCCGCGACCTCAGCAACCTCGGTCTTTGCGGCGTTGGTAAAAGAGCCCAAGTTGCAGCGGAAATCGTTGTCATTGGGGGTCAGGTTGTCGAACGTGGAAGTAAACTTGGTGGGCATATAGTTCTCGCTTCGAGTAGTCTGACGGATGTACTGCCAGTCATTCGATATTTCGCCGTTGACAACAAGCTTGCTGAAGATATAGTGCGCTGAAGCTGACTGCGCCAGCGCAGCGATGGTTGCAACAAAAATAGCAGAATGCTTCATTTTGAGGTCAGAATTGAATGCAGAATGAATGAGTGGAAAAGATCTACTCCAGGTAGAATTCAAAGGATATTAAGAAGAGGATGCTGTGCTGATTGAAGAATTTCTCGTAGATATTTATACGTGCGAAAGATACATCCGCTTTCCCCTATGACCCTCCCTATGTGTTGAGCGTCATTTACTTCACACACGATGGATATTTTTATATCTTTGATTGTATGCGAGCAGACCAGACTAGTGGATATTTTGGGCTTGGCTTTTAAGCCATTGTTTCGATGAATGCAAATTTCATAGAGAATCTGCTGGGCAGTTGTCAAATAAAAAAATCCGACCAGAGCGTTTTCTACCCAAATCTTGCGTCATATCTAACTCCTCAGAATTCATGTCGCGCGTGTAATGGCTTATCTCTCTTCGAGGCTTTTGCGTATAAATTTCCAACCCATATTGCTAGATTCAGGGTTCAATCCGCGTTATTGACAGGTGAAACCCCCGAAGAAGGGCCGAGGAGCGTTACGGGGTGCAATTTGTGAGTGCAGATTGTGAAACAAATATGTAAGACATACAAGGGTCTATGGCCCTGACTGCATGTTGCCGAATATAATATGAGACGAGATATGCTATGGGCTTAGTAGGTAGTGGCACCAACCACAGCCTGTCAGGACAGCAAATTTGTTTCACTCCTAGAACGAACGGGCTACTGTACTAGCATATGTAGATAGGTCAGCACAAACATCTCTAAACACGGCAATTTACGAACATGCAAGTGCCGTTCAATTAGGAGCATGCTAAAGGACAGCCCTTCCCCCCCCCCCCCCCATAAAACAATGACGCTAATTTATTAGCTGGAATTTAGCGCATTCCGAGTACAATATTTACAATATTTCTTATTGTAAGGAAAGATCAAAAGTGACTCGAATTCACTAGGGAACTACATACAAAATAGAGGTACCGTGCGTTTCCATGACCCTGTCATTAGGGCAAAAACAAGGATCTTCTTGCATTAAATTGCCAAGCATCTACTACTATTTTAGGCGTAAGAAATATTGTACTCGGAATGCGCTAATATCCAGCTAATAAATTAGCGTTATCGTTTTATGGGGGGGAGGGGTCTGTCCTTTTAGCATGCTCCTTTAATTAAGTTGGCAGGCAAGACCCTTCAATAATCCCGCGGCCGTCCGGCCACGCCAAGGCTTGGCGACTACCCCCGAATTCGACGTATGGGAGAGGGAATCCCACATGGGCATAAAGAGACACAGCCACCAGTCCTGGCCACAAAGACGTGACGTATCTAAGTGTGAGACGGTATTTAGCGCGGTGGAAAGTTTCGCCCGATGAGGAAATAAAACACTCGAGGGTCCAAGCACGTCTATCACCACAGTTGAGATAAGATAATGTACAATTCACAGGAAGGCTTGCTAATGTTACATGCGGAGACTAAACACTTCGGCCCAGCTAAAATCACAGTTGCGTCAACAAAGACTGGACAAACGTGCGCAGCTTGTCCAGCGGCACATCCTCCTTGACGTCCAACCGGCGGCACTGCACCTCGAGAGTTTGCTTCCTCTTCCAACCATTGCCGACAACCACGATAATAGGGTATCCAATCAGATCCGCATCACCGAGCTTCCACCCCATGCCCTTATCACGATCATCAAGTATGACATCGACAGGTGCCGAGGGGTCAGCGGTGAGGCAATCATATACCTGATCAGCAACGCTTTCCATGCCCTTTCCTAGTACCACGACAACCTCGTAAGGTGCAATGGCACGCGGCCAGTTGAGTCCCTTGGAGTCTGCGAGTCTGTTCGCAACGGCGGAGATCATACGCGAGACACCGATGCCATGACATCCCATTTGCATAGGGACAATTTGCTCCTTGGTAGAGGGCTTCGCGCCAGATTCGACAGACCCCTCAAGAAGGGATGAATTGACCGACACGTTCGCATTGAGCACTCCGCTGTAGCGAGTTCCAAGGTGGAAAGTGTGTCCTAACTCGACGGCAGAGTGCGTAGTCAATGAACCATGCGCGCACTGCGAGCACTGGTCTCCGTCATGGACACGAACGAGACTGAGCTTGTTCGAGGTGTCGGGAAACCGGTCCAGCTTCGAGTACTCAATGTCATCAGTCGTGCAGCCAGCTTGCTCGAGGAGGTCGCTTAGCGGTGGGCGTTGGTATACCCGAACCTGCGAGTCGTACAAATCCAATACGCGTGGCTTGTTTGTTGAGAACTTGTTCTTCTTGACATGGGCGGTCCACTTTTGCAGCGGGTTCTCCACACTGAGATCGAGATCAATACCTGCGGCAGTGGCAATGGCCTTTACCGCATGCGAGTTGACATGGCGTTCAACGGGCTCCGTGGCGCCATTTTGCATCGAGAACTTAGGGTGCCAGCCCCGAACAATAGTGTTGCTGTCATGAGAAATAGCCATCCACATGCCAGTTGAGATTGTCGACCCACCCTCGACTTCATCGCCGGTCTGGAAGCCAGGTAACGTGTTCTGCTCTGTCTCTCCAAAGTTGTGTGTCTTACCATCGGCAAGTTCCTCGTTATACACGTGGTCACAATTTGAGCAGCTGACCACATCGTCTTCGCCCTTGGGACTGATAAAATGATATTCGTGGCTCAATGAGCCACCCATATTTCCGGAGTCTGCGGCCGCAACCAGATATGGGATCTTTAGCTCGTCGAAAAGTTGCACGTAGGCCTGCTTTACAGCATTGTATGTTTTCAAGGCCTCGCTGACATTGTAGTCAAATGTATAGAGATCTTTCATGATAAACTCTCGTCCACGAAGGAGGCCTTGTCTCGGCCGAGCTTCATCTCTGTATTTACGGGCTTGATGAAAGCAATATAGTCAGCAAATTGATCAGCTTTCCAGTCCAGCAAAAGAAAATTCTCACAAATCTGATACACTCGCAATGGCAGGCTTTTGTATGATGCAGTCAAATGCCCAACAAGAGTGGTGATTTCCTCTTCATGAGTGGGAGCTAGGAGAAATGGGGTATTTTTCCGATCCTTGAAACGAAATAGCTTTAATTTTTGTTAGCAGAAATATTTATACTCTCATGGGCAGAGAACTTACTTCTGAGCCCTCTGTCAATCTGCCAGACCGTTCCCAAAGTTCCTCAGAGGATAATGAGGAAAGCGAGACCTTTGAGGCACCTAAGACATGAGTAACAATTTCAGGAGATCATAGTAGAATTCCATACCGAGGGTGCGCATATGCTTGTCAATTAGACCTTCTAGCTTGTCCTGGACACGTAACCCAAGCGGAAGCATGTGAAACACTCCAGAGTATGCCTGTATATAATTAGCGATGAATTCGAAGACAAAAAGCACGGATTGCACACCTGTCTGAGAAAACCACCTCTAACGAGGAGGTCATTGGCATCCTCTTTAAGGGTTTATTAGTAGGTTGATCGTCAATTGCTATCGGAGCTGTAGACGGCGCACCTTTCTCTCCGTCAACGGGTTTCTTGGAAATTCCACCGGTAGGAATCCAGAAATTTGACACACGGTTTCTGCCATCAAACTAAGTCAAGTCAGTACACCAATTGCGGGCTATTCAAACAACATTAAAGCGCGTACGTGAAGATGGCATTGCTGAACACGCAGGCTCAACACCAGTCGGCGCGGCGAGACACGCGCAAGACTGGGTCGCAGCCCAGAAATCATAATGAATTCCTACTTTGACGATATTCACGAATTGCATAAGAAGCTGAAATGGAAATAGTCGAACAACTCGAAGTCTCCCTGATGTTTCTTATCGGCCTGGTCCGAGCGCCCGATAAACCCGCCGCAAAAGATTTCTCCGTCCAATTTTCTTTCTCCAACATCAGTCAATCCCACACCACCACACATCATGGTTAAAGGGAAAGGAAAGCGCTCTTCGGGCGCAGACGAGATTGTGCCTGAAACTAGTGTTCCAGTACCTGATGCCCAACCTACGACCGCTATGCCGGACGAGAGCGCCTTCGCTGGCCTCCGACAGAAAATCGAACAACGTCTGCAGAAGCAGAACCAGAACTCCGGCAAAGGGAAGGGAAAAGGAAAGGACAACAAGCCCCAAGCGCCTACTGAGGATGCTTCTACAAAGAAAGGAAAGCAATCACCTGCCAAGCCCGGCAAAGCGCAAGACGTGCAAGGCAAGAAGCGGGATCGCAATGGCGAGGTGATTGCTCGGGAGGAGAAGAAGGGCGGAAAGAACCAGCAAGAGAAGCCTAAGGGCTTCAAGAAGAGCAATGATGATGAGACCCTGCGCCAGGAGATTCTCGCTATGGGTGGTACTGAGGAAGATCTCGATCTTCTTGCCGGTGTCGACTCGGAATCCGAGGTTGAAGGCGATATCCCCAAGTCAAAGGGCAAGGGTAGTGATGAAGATCTCCGCAAGCAACTCTCTAGCATGCTGGAGGCTGCTGGCCATGTAGTGCCGGAGGATTTAGAAGATGATCAAGTTGAGGAGGAAGAGCCCGAGGCTGAGGCGGACGAAGAGAGCGAGGAGGATGTCGATGCCGAGGAAAGCGAGGGTGACGCAGAGATCAGTGACCCGGAATCAGATATCGAGGAGGCACCTGCCCCAAAAGACAAGGCTGAAATTCCTATTCCCAAAGAATTCGCTAAGCTGGTATGTTATGAACAACCCATTGAGACAACTCTCGCTAACTTACAGCACAGAATGTCCCTCCTCGGGCCGATTGGTACAACGCACCTCTTCCTCCTCTTCCCCCAACCACCAAGCAGATGAATGCCCTGCCCCGTCACATGATCGACCGTATCCACGAGCTTGGAAACACCCTGCTCCAGGAAGAAAACGAGCAATATGCGGCTGCTCAGAGATCTTCGGCTTCCTCGTCTCACAAGTTCTACTCCACTATCATGGCATCCGGTACCTTGAGCGATAAGATCTCCGCCTTGACTCTTAACGTTCAAGAATCGCCTCTTCACAACACCAAGGCACTGGAGAACCTCATTGCCCTTGGAAAGAAGCGCAGTCGTGCGCAAGCAGTTGAGGTTTTGCGATCTCTGAAGGATATGTTCGCCCAAGGTACTCTGCTGCCCAGTGATCGCCGACTTCGTTCATTCGCCAACCAGCCTGGTCTTGTTGCTGCTTTCCAGGGTGCCGGTGGCCGATGGAACGATAAGGACCCTCTTCCAGGTGGTATTCAAAAGAGCCACCTTATTGTCTGGGCCTTTGAGAACATCGTCAAGGATCAGTTCTTCGAGGTTCTCAAGATTCTCGAGATTTGGTGTAACGACGAGATTGAATTCTCGCGGACTCGCGCTGTCAGTTACGTCTACGAACTTCTCAAGGAGAAGCCTGAACAAGAGTCCAACCTTCTGCGTCTTTTGGTCAATAAGCTAGGAGACCCTGGCAAGAAGATCGCCTCTCGCGCTTCATACCTGTTGCTGCAGCTCGAGCAGGCGCATCCTCTGATGAAGCCTACCATCATCAAGTCCGTCGAAGAAGTGCTCTTCCGCCCCGGTCAGAGTCAGCACGCCAAGTACTATGCCATCATTACTCTCAACCAGACTATTCTGAGACAGAAAGAAGAGCAAGTCGCCTCTCAACTGCTTGACATCTACTTCGGCCTTTTCCTTGTTCTTCTGAAGCCCCAGCCTAAGCACGAGGCCAAACAGGCAACCAAGGGCAAGCACGGCAAGCCCCACTACAAGGGTCATAAGGGCAAGGATGACCCTGCTAAGGGAGCCGCTCAAGACGATGAGATGCGTGAGAAGCTCGTCTCTGGTGTCTTGACTGGTGTCAACCGTGCCTATCCTTTCACTGACTCGAACTCCGAGCGGTATGTAGTTCTATCCCATTGCCCTGAACGAGATGCTAACTTTTTACTAGCATGTCGAAGCACCTTGACACCCTGTTCCGCATCACCCACTCCTCCAACTTTAACACCAGTATCCAGGCTCTTATGTTGATTCAACAGCTCACCGCATCTAACCAAGTTGCCGGTGATCGTTTCTACCGTACTCTGTATGAGTCTTTGCTCGACCCACGTGTTGCTACCTCTTCCAAGCAATCTCTCTACCTCAACCTCCTTTACAAGGCCCTCAAGAACGATCTCAATGTTCGACGTGTCAAGGCCTTTGTCAAGCGTATCGTTCAGGTGCTTGGTTTGCACCAACCCTCGTTCATCTGTGGTATCTTCTTCCTGATTCGTGAGCTTGAGAAGACATTCCCCGGTCTTTCATCCTTGTTCGATCAGCCTGAAGATAACGAAGAGGACGACGAAGAGGTGTTCCGCGATGTTCTCGATGAAGATGATGAGCAGCCAGAGCCTGCTGTCGTGGAGACCAAGCCCAAGGAATCCACCGTGTACGACCCACGCAAACGCGATCCTGAGCACAGCAACGCTGACCGCAGCTGTCTCTGGGAGTTACTGCCCTACACCACTCACTTCCACCCCTCCGTCTCTCTCAACGCTGCCAACCTCTTGGAGCACAACCCCATGAGCGGCAAGCCCGATCTCACCCTCCACTCCCTCACTCACTTCCTCGACCGCTTCGTGTACCGCACGCCCAAGGCCTCTACCGCCTCTCGCGGTGCCTCGATCATGCAGCCCCTTGCTGGTGGTGAAACCGCCGACCGCTTGGTCGAAGCCGGCAAGAAGGCACAGAACGAGATGCCCCTCAACACCGAGGCATTCTGGAAGAAGAAGGCCGCCGACGTTGCTGCCGAAGACGTCTTCTTCCACGAGTACTTCACCCGTGTCAACAAGGACAAGGAGAAGGTTCGCACAAAGAAGGGCAAGGACGTCGACTCCGTCGCCCGCGATAAAGAGGGAGATGTCGATGGCATCAGCGATGACGAAGACGAGATTTGGAAGGCCCTCGTCGACTCCCGACCCGAACTGGAAGCCGACGGAGACAGCGACGACGACCTGGACATGGACGACCTCGAGTCCGCTTTCGACGCCTCAGAAGACGAGGGCGAAGGTGAAGGCGAGGACTCCGACGGCGGCGTTATCTTCAACGACGAGTCAGACGTGCCCTCCGACGAGGAAATGGCCGAGTTCAGCGAACCCGAAGAAGCTGCTCCTGCCCCCAAGACAAAGAAGGGTAAGAAGGCTCAAGAAGAGGACGACGACTCAGACGACTTCGATATGGACGTCTCAGACGACGAAGCCTTCGTCGACAGCGACGAGGATCTTCCCTCGGACATCGACATCGGCGGAATGGACATGGCCCCCGCGGATGTTCCTGCGCCTGCCGAGTCGGACCGCAAGAAGCGTCGCAAGCTCAAGCAGCTACCCACCTTCGCTTCTGCGGACGACTATGCTGCGTTGTTGGCCGACGACGACGATGGCATGTAAAGAGTTGCTTTGTATTTATCTCACCCTGCCAAAAATTATTGCTCGCATCTGGAGTTGGGCCATGCGTGCCTTGTCCTATTTCTTTGGTATCTATTCTGTTTTTCATTGTCTACACATGGTGTATCTACATAGACACCTCTAGTATATTTCACTCTGCTGTTACTCTTACAGGAAGCCCAGAGTGAGAAAATTCCCGTCCTACAGTATATCAACACTCTCGTCCAACTGTACACTTGGAAACCCAGTTTACCATTAGGCGTCGCGAGCTATATGCCGGTACATTCGGAGTCATCTCAGCAGACGATTTCCATGCTCTCTGAAGTAACCATAGATTGTCGTAACCGGAAGCGAGAAAGTGAAGAAGTGACAGGAGTGTTTCAATCTGCGATAGATGACTTGAAGAGGCTGTTAGGGGCAGTAGGGGCAGGAGGAGACGAAATGATCCCAGGGTCGTTATGGATTTCCCTAACTTCTGTACACTTCTTTGAACTTACTAGGGAGTGCAGATTTACTGTACTTTCATGTGTTCTGTTCGGGATAGGTGGTGGATGAGCCAGTCGGGTCAGAGGAAGCTGGCAGCTATATGTAAAACCTTGGATGAGGGCTGGAAGTGCTTCATGCGGTGGCCGCCAGAGTCGCCGGAGTGATGTCAAAATGTTCAAATAAAGTAGATATGTTGAGCAAAAAGCCACAAGCACTGAGTGCCAGACAGTGAAGATGCGACAAAAGTAATCTGGGTAGCTATTATATGGTACAGCTCTGGGCGCCAATACATGCAAGCTTTCCAAGACTGCTTCACCCCTGTACATGTACATCTAGGCCGATCTAGACGTTGCCAACACCTGCAAGTCAGAGTTATACGGCAAACCCTTAACCCTAAGGCTGCCTACTGCACCTCGGCGGATTCAAGCGGAAGATTGGCATGTTAAGTACCTAGAGCAGCAGGTGGCATTCAAATAAACTATTCGGTCAGCTCCGGTCAGCGCCCTTGCCGTGTGGATCGTTGATGCCATCGCTGCGGATTAGCACGCAAGAGCGGAATGGGCTAGACTTTGTATGGTATGGTACGGTATTGCAATCTATATAGGGTATTTTTGGAGTTATTCAAGCATCAGGCAATGATTTAGGGCCGATTCCACGGATGCCCTGGTGGCATGATGAAAGAGGCAAAGGGCAAAGTATTCAATCCGTGGACTATTACGGGAGGACCTGCCAATGCCCTGTCCACCGGTGCCCCCCGGGCCATTGGCTGACTCATACATGAGTCAGCAACACCGGCCGGATAATTCAACTTGATGCCTGAGGTGGGACAGGGGCATTTTTCCGGAGTGTGCTCTATCGAGGCACACCAGAGAGAATAGGAATTTATCATTTATCATCCTCCAAAGACCTAGACTGCTCTCTATCACAGACCCTGCAGTTGCCTCCTGAGGAAATATCATCACATCAGTGGTCCAAATTGGGGAACCGGCCCCCACTGCATCCAGCGACGGAGATGATCGAATCAGATCGGAGGAAAAGGTCTTTTCGCTCGATACTTGATTGAATAGTCGAATACCAGATACCAGACCGTGCATCCATGTTTTCAGTGCCCCGTGTGCATGGATTCTGATCGTAAGTCTCTGAGACGGGGGTCTTATTCGTTAACCGTTGCCGCATGCGGGGCATACTGGAGCTGATATGATATGCGGGCGCAACCGACATGCTCCTCGTGGCCCCCCTTGCTGCTAATACGGATGGGGCATGGAAAAAGAGAAAAAAAAGTCAAAGCGAAGAATAGAAAGATAGGAGGGTATTCAGAGGTAGCAGAAAGGGAAAAGTTTCACTATCAAGATCCTTAGATGCCAAAGTCAGGATCCAGCTGCCGTTCCAGGTATCAACTCTCGGTCCCTTGGCGTCAAAGTGGCTTGCGCCTCCTGGAACGCCCATTGCGGATGTCTCCACGTCATGAACTCAGCGTGTTCTCATCTGCGATCGACAGGTTTTTCTGGCCGGGATTGGTAGTGGAGCAATTGGAAATGACGGTAATTGCTATACCCCGTACCTCACTGCTTTTTCTTAGACTTTCTTGTTTTTAGCTTAGTCTCTTGGTTTCTTGGTTCTCTTGGTCTCTGACTCTTTCTTTTTACTTATTTCCTCCCTCTCCCAGTTTGGTTCTGCACTATTCAGGCAATACTACCTCAAGTGGTATCCGTGCCCTAATCCGTCCTCCACCTCCACCTCTCCCCAGTCACGACCAGTGTCACAGATTTAGTGACAGGGACTTTCATCTTGCATTGGAGCAAGGTAAATCGATCGGCGCACTTCAACTGATATTCCGCTCACACACGACCAGCACCCTACAAGCCCATATCGAGAGAATTACATGCATTCGCAGATTACCACCTCTCCTAACTCCACCGAGTTTCGACAAGCGCGACTCGTCCGCTCGTTAAGTTCAAAATGGCTGGGCCAAATCAATCAACACCATCAACAGACCCGGTCGGCTGGGACCATGACCGGGATATCGACCGCAGTCCTGACCTCTCCGATAAGTCAGAGGAGCCTAAGCTGAAAGACTATGACATTGAGAGTCATGGCCGTCGTCGCAGTTCCGGTCATGTTCATGCGATCGACTCTTCTTCCACGACGGAAAGTGTCGGGCGCCAGATTGAGATGGAGTCGGAGAATACTATCAAGTACCGTACTTGTAGTTGGCAAAAGGTGGGTGTCGAAACTTGCATTTCGTGCATGGCAAGAAAATTAAACCAATTGAGCGCAGTTAACTAATCTCTTGTTATAGACTGCCGCTCTGCTCTTCTCGGAGTACATCTGTCTGGCTATCATGTCCTTCCCTTGGTCGTACTCCATTCTGGGCCTTGTGCCCGGTTTGATTCTGACCGTGGTGATTGCCGGTATCGTCCTGTACACCTCGCTGATTACTTGGTATGATATGAATTCACACTATCTCCTAGCCCCCCCCCCCCGGTTAATACTAATATCCGCATAGGAGATTCTGTCTGCGACACCCAGAAGTCCGCGACGTGTGCGACATTGGCCAGTACCTATTCTGGGACTCCAAGATCGCCTGGTGGGCCACAGCAGTGATGTTCCTGCTAAACAACACCTTCATCCAAGGACTCCACTGCGTCGTAGGTGCCGAGTACCTGAACACAATGTCCAACGGCGCCGTGTGCACAGTGGTATTCTCACTGATCGTCGCCATCATCTCATGGATCTTCTCCCTCCCAAGAACATTTAGCACCCTATCAAAGGTCGCAACCCTATCAGCATTCTTCACTTTCATCTCAGTCATCCTCGCCGCCGTCTTCTCAGGCGTTGAGGACCATCCAAAGGGCTATACCCCCGCAGACGGCGAGCCAATCTTCCTCGCCATCCCGCCCAAGGGTACAACCTTCGTGCAGGGAATGAACGCCTTCCTGAACATCAGCTATACGTTCATCGGCCAAATCACCCTGCCAAGTTTCATCGCCGAAATGAAAGAACCCCGCGATTTCTGGAAGTCCGTGACAGCAGTAACAATCGCCGAAATCATCGTCTTCAGTCTCGTCGGTGCAATCACATACGTCTACACCGGAACGCAGTATATGACCGCTCCAGCCTTCGGCTCTCTCGGCAACGATGTGTACAAGAAGGTCTCCTTCTCATTCATGATCCCGACAATGATCTTCCTAGGCGTCCTGTACGCCTCTGTCTCAGCGCGCTTCATCTTCTTCCGTCTTTTCGAGGGAACACGCCACAAGGGCAACAACACTGTTGTTGGGTGGGCTGCTTGGGCTGGAATCCTTGCTGGATTGTGGATTATGGCTTGGATCATTGCCGAGGTTATTCCCTTCTTCTCGGACCTATTGTCGATCATGAGTTCGCTTTTCGATTCCTTCTTTGGTTTCATTTTCTGGGGAACGGCTTATATTCGTATGCGTGCTGCGGATCATGGACCGAGGTTCTTTATGGTGAGGGGTATCCGGGGTTGGTTGGGATTCATCTTTAATGTTTTCCTTATTCTGGTTGGGTTCTTCTTTTTGGGACCTGGTACTTACGTGAGTCATCCCATGCTTAGCTTTCATACTTGGCTGTTCATGGACTCCTACTAACATTTCCTTTTTTCTTCAGGCTTCCGTTATGTCTGTCATAACCAGCTACCGGGAAGGCACCGTCGGCGGCGTCTTCACTTGTGCCAGTAACGCACTATAAGCCACCGCGGGGCGGTGCCTGTTTTATATTTGTCTTGTGTTAGATTGGATTCGACGCATTCATCTCTTCTTCTGCATGTTGTTTCCGATCTAACGGGGCTTGGACTCCGAGAAGTTTATGACTGTGATGACCGAGAAGTCAAGGGGTGGTGAACGTTTGATTTCTGCATGAATACCACCTCTTGGGATAGTAAAGGGTTTTTTTTTTTTTTTTTTTTTTTTGGGCAGATCATGCTCGGCAGTTTGAAGACATTCTCCGGGGAACCTCGCTGTATATGATTTGGCAGGGCGCCCGGCGTTGGCTGTCGTACGCCTTTATATTATGTATATTTCTCATCCCTGCATTCTTTGCACAGATTGTCTCAAATGAATGTGGGCTATCGGCGGAGGGTCATCGCCCTCCGGTTCCGATTTGCCATTGCTGTGGCACTCTGATTCTCTTTCATTGATTCAAGTTCTGATTTTGTAGAGTAGGGGTCCGACGTCGTTTCACGCCCTTGCCTTCATAATAATAGATGACAGCCCGTGGCACTCGAAAATAGACAAAAAAGAGACGAAAAGAAAAAGCCAAGTTAGGGCACCTTATACTGTACCACTGACCAATTAGAATCCCCGAATTCATAAAACAATACGATTCCCGACGACATCACCCTGCCCGCCGCAATACCAGTCATCCCAATCGGGCAACTAGCTGCTCCGGAAACCGCCCTATCAGCACGTGACTTTCCCGCAGTGCTTCCCCGAGGGTGGATTGGTGACTTCTTGCGCTCCATTTCTTTCTCTTTTCTTCCTTCTCTTCAATTCTTCAGCATTGAATCACCATGTCTAGTGTCCGTACTCTCAAGCGCGGTGTCGACCTCGTTGCCGCGAGGGCCGCGAGGGCCGCTGCCCTCCACGCTCCCCGCGCCTCTATCGGCTCCACTATGCTGCGGAGGGAGCTCTCCTCCGCGGCCACCGTCCGCCCAACTGCCCCCCAGTCATTGAGATCCAAGGCTCCAGTTGCGGTTGCAGCTTCTCGAGCTGCAAACCAGACTGTGCGCTATGCCTCCAGCTCCAGTGAGTCTCTGAGCAAGACTCAGTTGTATGATCTCCACATCCAGCGCGGGGCGAAGATGGTCCCGTTTGCCGGTTTTGATATGCCGCTTGTGTACTCTGATATGAGTCATGTTGAGAGCCACATGTGGACTCGTGAGAAGGCTAGTCTTTTCGACGTCAGCCATATGTAAGTGGACCTTTTCTGAGATGGAATTGAATTCCAATGGCTAATTAATTTTCCGTTCTAGGGTGCAGCACCACCTGAGTGGTCCCGGTGCCATTGATTTGTTGAAGAAAATTACTCCCTCTTCGGTCGACAAGCTGGCCCCCAACACCTCTACCCTATCCTGTCTGTTGGAAGATGGCACCGGTGGAATCGTCGACGACTGTGTTATCACCCGCCGCACCGAAGACAAGTTCTACTTCGTGACCAACGCCGGCCGCCGCACCGAGGACCTGGAGTACCTGACCGCCGAGATCGAAGCCTATCGCTCCCAGCACGGTGCCGATAGCATCAAGTGGGACATCCTCGAAGACCGTGCGCTGGTCGCGCTGCAGGGTCCCCTCGCCGCCTCCGTCCTCCAACCGCTCATCAACTCAGCCAACGCCTCAGCCGCCGAGACCGACCTAAGCACCCTCTACTTCGGCAACTGCCGCGAGCTGCACCTCACCCTCCCAGACGGCACCCCCACCCCCAAGCCCCTCCTCATCTCCCGCACAGGCTACACTGGCGAAGACGGCTTCGAGATCTCGATCCCAACAACCGGAGCCCCCAACCTCGCAGAACAAGTCACTGAGCTCCTCCTCTCAGACAACAGTAAGTCCCGCCTCGCCGGACTCGCTGCGCGTGACTCCCTCCGCCTGGAAGCCGGCATGTGTCTCTACGGCCACGACATCACTACAGCACAGACACCCCCCGCCGCAGCCCTAGGCTGGATCGTCGGCCGTGACCGCCGCGACGCGGAAACAGCTACCTTCAACGGCGCATCCAAGATCCTCGCCCAGATTGCCAGCCCGAAGAGCATTCCCCAGCGCCGCGTCGGTCTTACCGTCGAGAAGGGCCCCCCAGCTCGTGAGGGCGCCACAGTTGTTGACATCGCTGACCCTGCCAATCCTGTTGAAGTCGGCGTTGTCACTTCTGGTCTTCCTAGCCCTTCGCTTGGCGGTGCGAACATTGCTATGGTCTATGTTAACACTGGGTATCATAAGAAGGGTACCGAGCTTGGTGTTAAGGTCCGTAACAAGGTCCGCAAGGCTAAGGTTGTTGGTATGCCTTGGGTTGAGAGCAAGTTCCACCGTCCTCAGTAGAGGGTCATTTGGTGTGCCTGCTGATTTAGTTTTGGTTGATTTTTGATCCTGCTGTTGAGGGTCCTGCAAAAGGCTAGCGCTTTTGATGATATTAACATTTCCTGCTTGTATATACGTTTCCCGATTTTTATGACTGTGGAGCTTAACCTCCCAAAAGATTTTCTTTTCTTTTCCTGCCTTCTTTCAGTTCTATGCGGACTACAGTCTGGTCAAGTAGTATCATTACGGCGTGGTAAATCCGATCTTTGGTGATGAAGGTGCTTTCCCGGTTAGGGCTAAGTACGCAGCAACATTAGGTAGAATTAGGTAAAATGGGCGCTATCATCCTTACAAGCCCAGGTAACATTCTTCTTCAAGGACAGGGTATCTCAGTGAACTCAGATGATAATGATAAAGATTAAATTTCCCAAAACAAGCTAAGATGCAATAACCGGGGCAAATTAGGGCTACCATCCCCAATATCAACCCCCGAATCCCTCTTTCCCATGCCCAACCCTAGCAAGACGAGCATGTCTCTCAAAATGCGAATGCTTTCCCAGCTCACCGCCGACAGATTCACTACCCGACACTCCATCATCATCATCCACAATGCCCTCCCACCTCCTAACACTCTCCCCAACAACCCGATCACTCCCCTCAACCTCCGGCGCCAACGATGGCGGCAAATCCGCCTCCATAGTCCCCCACACCCCCTCTTCAGCCCCAAGAACAAGTACCAAATCCCGGCCCTCGGTAAAAAAGTCATGACCAACCCAGTTCTTAGTATAAACCTCCCCATCAAGCGTAGCACTCTGGATGAATCCACTCCCACCAAGCCCACCACTCACCAAAGTCCCATTCACAGTATTAAACTGAGCCCAATTAACAACCTTAAGTGTCGCTGTCTTGCCCGTGATAGGACTAACAATACTAACAGCCTCGAAAAACGGTACGGTAAGCAAGTAAACGCTCTGTCCGGGGTTCGGGAATAGACCCATCATGGCCATCGCGACGAATGATCCCATTGCGCCTGAGTCGTCGTTCCCGGGGAGGCCTGCTGGGGCCGGCGAGAAATAGTCCGGGATGTAGGTTCGCACGCGGGCGGTTGATTTTGCCGGTCGGCCGGCGTAGTGGTATTGGAAGACCGTTAGGAAGGCCGGTTCGTTGCCTATATATGTTATGTTTTGGTCATGGAGGTGGTCGAGTCTTTTGGTGAAGTTGTCGGCGCCGCCGAGGGTTGTGATTAGGGTTGACATGTCGTGTGGGACGAAGCTGGATGGTCTTGTTAGGATGGAATTGGTATATGGGGATGGAGATCAGCATGGATGGGGGGTGGTGGTCTTACAATTGATATTCCCAGATACTCGATTCGAAGGTCTCCCCGGCTGTATTCTGTAATGAGCATGCATGGCCACTCATGTCGATGTTCGAGCATGCGAGCGGGTCTTGATATCCCCAGGTCCCATTTGGGTATTTCGGCTGGAAGAATCCCGTGAAGCCGGTATCTTTGCCCTTCCAGTGAGACGTCTGATCTTTCTTGAAGAGGTTTTGCCAATTACGAGATCGTTTCTCGTACCGCTCTGCATCGGCTGTCTTATTGAGACCGCGCGCCATTTGTGCAATGGCAAAGTCGTTGTATGCGTACTCGAGTGTGCGTGAGATACTACGGGTCATCGTACCGAATCCTTCGTAGTCGAAGTCTTCGACTGGAATGTAGTGGAGGTTCTTCCAACTGCGTAGACCGCCACGGCCTTCGCTTGACCAGTCGTATGGTTCTTCTTCGGCGTCTTTCTGCACGGCTGCGTACCCGGCTTCCCAGTCTATGCCCTCACGAAGACCTTTGAGGTAGACGTCTGCTAGAATGTTGTCTGCGTTTGAGCCGCCTTGGGTGAATCCTGTGGTGGTGTATCAGCATTTACTCAACTCATGTCAACCTGGGTGATCACCTTTACAAAGAGACATGCGGCAGTCTGGCAGCCAGCCAAGATGGCGCTGTGTATCAATAAGTGAACGCACAATTCTGATCACAGTGTTAGGATCAAAGATGGTCAGGAATGGGATTTGGGATCTGAATGAATCCCATAGACTGAGATTATTGTTAGCACTGCGTATGCACTGCCTGATTAGAAGTCTACCCACCAGTAGAAACTATCGAAATACGGCTCCGTGCTAGACCAGAGCACGCTCTCTCCTGTGTAGTCTTGAGGATTAACCATTGTGCGATATACGCCACTGAAGAAGTTTGTGAGGACAGAGTCGTCAATTCCAGTCCGGGACACGCGAATAGGACGCATTTTCTCCGTCCATTGATCAATAGCTGCTTGATGGGTGGTATTGAAGTTGAAATCCTTGATCTCGGTCTCAGCGTGTGAGCAAGCCTGTTTGGAGCTTACGAAGCTGACTCCAACCCGCCCCAGAATAGTATTGTCGGGGGCAGACTTGAAGCGCACGAATCCTCCACCCTGTATCCGTATATCAGCCATGACCATACTAAAATGATGACTTGCAACTCACTGGAAGAGGATACCCATTGATAGACCTTGAAATCTTCAAATCGTGAACATCAGCACTAGCACGAGAATTGACAAAGATCCCACTATCCCGCTTCGAAGCTGGACTCTCAAAGTCAGCACAGAAATAGAGGGTGTAAGAACCACTCCCAAAACTAGGCGCAAACCGCGCATCACCAGTCATCCGACCAGTAGCTTCATCCACATAAATAGTCGCATTATCCTGCCTCGAGTCCGACAAATCGGTAAGATCAAGCAAAATCAACGGACTACTCCCATTCGGAAACTGGAACCGAAACAACGACGTATGCTGCGCAGCAGTCATGTCAACACGAACTCCAGACCCAAGCTCAATAGCAAAGTATCCCGGATGCGCCTGCACCGATTCGGGCTTGTACTTGATCTTGCGCTGCTTTTTCGGATACACACATCCGTTCACGTCGTCGTCGGCACAGTTTGCGTACGGGAATAGCGGGAAATTTCCCAGCGAGGGACTTCCTCCAGTGCCTGAGTCGTGCATGCTTGAGAAACCGGTTACATTTCCGCCCTCAAAGGCGAAGCCGCCTTGGTTGCTTTCAGAGTCTGTGTCTGCCACGGCTTTGGCCATGCCATATGGTAATGTAGCGCCTGGGAAGACATTTCCTGTGTTGGTCGAATGATCAGTACGGGATTAGATGTAATTGTCAATTGTTTAAGCTTACCTCCGTTGGCGCTGCCGATCAAGGGATCGGTGTATTGCAAGACATCGTAGTCCTCTACTGGCGATGGGTCCGCCGCGTTGACCACAACATGGCTGCTGGCGAGCACCAGCGACAGTAGGAATCTATATGGTGGCATGGGTGCCTCGAGTGAACTTGAGGATCGAGTCGCGTGTAGGAAAGAGTAAACTGGTGTTTACTGCAGATCCCCCTCTATCCCTGCATCGGGCGTGCTTCCTGGCATGCAAGTACTTCCCCTGTCGATCCCCGCATTCCGATCTTAGTGATGAATTGGTTGGGTGTCATGTTCATGTGATGGTGGTGCAGGAAGTACTGAATTGGTCTGGGTTGGCTTGGGTGATTGGACAGCCTTGGAGATGTGATTGAGAAACTGGCCATGACAAATAGATGGAGTTACTGAAGACTGGGATGAGATTGGAATGCTAGGTCAACTTCATTATCGTGGCTACTACAGCTTTGTCATTCGCTATGTATTGTACTCTGATGTTGTTGCTTTTTGCATTTTACCCTTGGCTTCATATATGTTGCCACGAGAGCAAGACAGACAGCCAACGAACGACCCGGAATGAAGTCAGGTATATTTCCAATCGAAATACTCGATAACCATATACATATACATGTGAGAACAAAAATGGCTGGATGAATGGGTAGCCCAATAGTATCTCTATTTTGGATCTCACCGCGTACTATATATGATCAAGGTCAAAGTCCGCCCTGAAGCTAAACATACCCCGGCAAAGAAAGCTCAACGTCTTTATTCTCCTTTCACCTCATCTAGTCGTTGAGCAAGCACTTGACAAGGCCAGCCGCCTTCCAGGTTCAGACGTTCAGATCGCCCAAACCCTTGAGACTCATAATATTGGATCAATTTGCCGTCGTCGCCTGCATAGCAATCTACCCGTAGTAACGAAATTCCAGCTTCATTGGCAAGATCACGAGCGTGTTCCAAAAGGCGCGTTCCAATCCCGTTGCCAGCCCATCGTCGATCCGTGACCAATAATCGCACGTACAGCTCAGGCTCAGAAACAGATGGTGCGTAAGGCATCTTATCCCCAACAGCAAGCGCTCCTATGATGACCGGAGCTTCCCCGTTCACGGTTGGGAGGTCAGCAACCTTGACAGCGAGCCAAAGACCAGAGCCGGTGGTTGCAAATTCCGTGAGTCGTTCGGCGCGTTTTGGATTCTCGGAAAACGGTGATGTTCCCCATTGTCCAGTTCTGTCATGCGATACAAGCCATTTCACTGCGTCATCTAGGAGACGGAGGACTGCCGGAACGTCGTCCACTGTTGCCCGCACGATAGCTATGTCGGTCGTGCTTTGAACCCTTTTAGTATATGTCAACGGCCTTTCAATGACACTTACTTTGCCATTTATCCAAGTAGTTTCGATAGTGAGTTGCAATATTGGTCCAAGGTAAGCCTGGTTTTCTGCAGGAGGGGGCAGGGTCGGCTGCCTTCTATGTACTTCCATGTGACGGGACGAAAGAACCTGCCTATGCCTATCGTTTTCAATTCTTGAATTTCTTGTTGAAATGCGGATGCCTCACCCCTCATTGTCAGTAATCATCCTTTGAAATACTCAGTGGCTACCCTAGTCGATACATACGGCTACGGATATCAAAACAGGGCTATTTATACCATGTAAAGGGGCAATAATGTAACAACAGTGGAAACCTTGGCTTCTTGCTGGTCTGGGAGATACTTGTAGATATTTAGAGGCAGATCGAGCTAATTCTGGGCCCACTTCGTATTTGGCATAGTAGCTCAACGTTTTGAGAGCAGAAATCCGAAATCCGATGGTGCCTTCGAAGGTGGAGTGGCATAGATATTTCTGTTTACTTGGACATTCCATAGACTAGAATCCACCTAGTACGCTTCCACTGCTTTACTATATTTATCATTGACTGTGACCCATTTAATCCACTGGATGAATCTAGAACTCGAGGGGGGAACTATATGTCTGCCTACGGCTGCGGGTTTACGAAGGAGCTGGAAATCCGTACATGTAGAAAGGCATATTGACAGAAGATCATGCGAGATACAGTAACCAGGTGTCATACACACGTTGATCTCAAATATTAATCTGATCCTTCATCTGGGGGGCAGGTTTAGTGCAGAACCAGTTGGCTTGAGCTAACTTGGGCAACACTTGTATGTAGATTACAAAAAGCAAAAAAGGAAAACGTGCATGACGAAGAGACACAAAAAATAAAGTAACAGTGGCGTATTGCTAATCAATAATGTGCAAATTATGCGTGAGATTCACGAACTCCGTCAATCCGCCGAAGTCGAGATGCCGAGGTCTCTCCACTCTCAACTCTCAACACTTCGCCTCTCTGATTTTTCTGGGTTTCCGGACGTTCATCATGTTTCGTCCTTTGTCTTCTTCCCTTCATTCCATCCACCCCTCTCCCCGACTGCTCATCCAGCGCCGAGTCAACCCACGCTCTTTCTCCGGTTCCCCGAAGCCTCACCTCCGAGTCTATTCAACAGGTAAGACATCTCCTTCGCACAGCACTCCGCACTCTAACACAACACAGAAACAGCCCAAGCTGTTCACCCACCTTCATCAACCCCAATCAAGCCCTCGCGTTTCCGCCGCTTTGCAGGCTTCACAACGATAGCAGTTGTCGCATTTACATTCGGCATAATCTACCAAACCCAGCGCACCGTATCGCGACTCATGTCCGTCACAATCCCCACCAACGAGGAGACCCTGGCCCTCTACATACCAGAGGATGCGACAGCTGAAGAAATCGAAAACACCCTCCGCACACACCCCGTCGCCGAGTCCCTACGCGCAAACTCGGAATTCACCGAAGCGCGTCCACACCTCAAGATCCCCGAGGCCCTGCGCGCCCGCAGCCTGACCGGCGGCACCCTACGCGGACCGAACAAGATCGTCGTGCCGCCCCTGGTCTTCAGCGAGCGCGATGGCAAGAGCATGGTCTCGTTGATGTACCTCGGCTCTGATGTCTGCGGGCACCCGGGTATTGTGCATGGCGGTCTGCTCGCGACGATTCTCGACGAGGGACTTGCCAACTGCTGTTTCCCGGCTCTGCCTAACAAGGTTGCTGTTACCGCCAACTTGAATATTGATTACCGGGCTCCGGCTATGGCTAATAACTATGTTGCTCTCCGGGCGGAGACTGTTAAGGTTGAGGGTCGCAAGGCTTGGGTCGAGGGTCGCATTGAGACTCTCCCTAGTGATGGCCAGGATCCTGTTGTGTTGGTTGAGGCTAAGGCTTTGTTCATTGAGCCTAAGCAGGCTGCTGTAAGTGCCTCTCTCGACTTTTTTTTTCCGGATGGTTGCTAATTCGCCACAGGCATTGTCCAGCCTTTACAAGGTGGCGTGAAATTTCTGTTCCTGGTTCCTGGCGTAGGGAGTTATAGATATACATAGAACATATACTAAATGCACTGAATTCACTACATTGTCTACATATGCATATACTGTCTACAAAGTGTCTATATTTGGTTGATACTGTTCACTGCACTCAATTCATACAATTGCGCCATACCTGACCGCCAAGAACTGCCCCGCGGATCCTCATCTCTTACGCGGCCCCGTTTCAACTGCCCCTCCGTCTTCTTCCTCCTTCTTTCTTTCTTCACAGTGTACAATCCCTCCAAAATGTCTACGTACGATACCAATTCCCCTGCAATTCCAGGATCCAGAACTGACCAACCAACAGCAACATCACCTTCCACGCCAGCGCCCTCACCCGCAAGGAGCGCACCGAGCTGCGCAACCAGCAAGGCCTCACAATCTGGCTGACCGGCCTGTCCGCCTCCGGCAAGTCCACCCTGGCCGTGGAACTGGAGCACCAACTCGTCCGCGACCACGGTGTGCACGCCTACCGCCTCGATGGCGACAACATCCGCTTCGGACTGAACAAGGACCTCGGCTTCAGCGAAGCAGACCGCAACGAGAACATCCGCCGCATCGCCGAGGTGGCCAAGCTGTTCGCGGACTCCAACTCCATCGCCATCACCTCGTTCATCTCGCCCTACCGCAAGGACCGTGACACTGCCCGCCAGCTGCACGAGGTCGCCACTCCCGGCGAGGAGACTGGATTGCCTTTCGTTGAGGTCTATGTTGATGTCCCTGTTGAGGTTGCCGAGCAGCGTGATCCTAAGGGTCTTTACAAGAAGGCTCGTGAGGGTGTCATCAAGGAGTTCACTGGTATCTCCGCTCCTTATGAGGCTCCTGCCAACCCCGAGGTTCATGTTAAGAACTATGAGCTTCCGGTTCAGGATGCTGTTAAGCAGATTATTGAGTACCTTGAGTCCAAGGGATATCTGCCCAAGAAGAACTAAGGGGTTGGGGTTTGATGTTTGACTGTTGTATATAGAGTATGCTAGACAAAAGATAAGATGTCTTGTACAGCGCATTTGCTTTGGGTTTTGTTTCTTTTTCGCTTCTTGATTCCCCCAACTTGCTGTACATACTGGACAATACATCCTTGATCCGAGACCAAGAGCCTGGTTGAGTGTAATCATTGTATTTAAAAGCTAAACAGAATATCCAAACGCTAGTTTGTGCTCGATGTACCCCGATGTGGTATATGTACGCAGCTTCCATAACTTTGTCTCCCCACAGCAATGTGTCTGTACTTACACTTAATGGAACTCGAATTCATAGAACACATATGGCGTGTATTCCGCACCACCTTCACCACCAGCATGCATCTCACCAGGATCATCGCGCTGCATACGACCCTTCTTGTCACGCCCAAAAGCGTTTCCAGCCAGATATGAGTACTTGTTCTCAAGGTTGGACTTGGCCCGATCAGCCTGCTTAGAGGAAGGCGCCTGCAAAAGAGAGTCGTCAGCAAATATCCCCCCGAAAGAACACAGAGAACACAAAGAACACAGATACATACCCGCACCAAAGCACAGATGAAATCCAACGGCAACCCATACCGCAAAACCGTCTCGACGAAAACCCTCAAAACCAAAATATGAATCCAAACCATAACAGCCTCACTCCAAGCCGTCCGACCAAGTCGCAATGTCTCACCCCAAAGCTTGCGCTCGTCACCACCAACACGCTCAACCTCCTTGCGCTCCTCCTCCTTGCCACCCTCGACATACTTAAAGTCGCGCGGAATCCACTTCTGTTCACGGCATTTATGCACAAACTCCGCGCTGTGCTTCTTGAACGATGTCACAGCATACAGAGTGAACTCGCTGTCGGAGGCGACCAGTTGCGCCGAGCGGGGGACCACCATCGGCGCGACGGTCTCGTAGGTCTTCAGGAAGTCTTTTACTAGTTGGCTTGGGACGGCGATCAGGTGAGTTTCGATGTATTCGGAGTCCTGGATGATGGACTTCGGGTCGATCACTGAGGCGAGGGACTTGGTTGAGAGGTTTCCTCTGTAGCGGTGTTAGTTTGGGTATTGCTTGCTGCGTCGGACTTTCCAATGCCGTTCACGTACGTTTGTTTGCGTTGCAGCTGGGACAGGTTGTTCTTGACCTGGTTATATTGGGAGTACTTGAATCGGATATCGTTGTCGATGCTGGCGGCCTCCTGTAGTAGACATGAACGATCAGAATCAGAGTGAGGGTTCGGGAGTTCATGCGCAAGCACTGCTCACCTTCTGCAGCAGGTCGATCAACTCAGCTAGCGGCTTATCGGCCCTGTACTTGACCTTGTTCCATTGGAAAGTACGCAAGTATTGATCGACAGGCTCTGTAGAACAGTCCAGTTAGTTCACCAACTCTGCTCAAAGCACGACGGACCATATCCAGCGCAGGCGAAAAACCAGCAGGAAACGTACTATCATTGACAACCTTCATACTCTCAATCTGCGCTTCGTCGCCATCCAGGATATTCTTCAGTGCATCGCCCACCTTTGCAACGACACCCTGGCACGAAGCCTCGAGCTTGGCCAGCTCATCTGCCTGCTGGACTAGGGCGTCTAGCGTGCCGATCTTGAACTCCGGGATCGGGAAGGAGGCTGCGGAGCCATTGTCCGGGGAGATGGTGGTTGAGATGGCTTGAAGGGCGTCGTCGCGGTGGTGCGAGGGGACGATGGAGGTTGGGAGGGAGAGGAGGAGGTATTGACTTGGTTTGGACATTGTTGCTAGATATTCATCGAGGGGTATTGGGTATTGTATGTCGAGGGGCCCTCGTGGAGGCTTTGGTTTGGGGTTGGGAGCTCGGGTCGACGTAGGCGGTGGGTGCTTGGGCCACCTAACGTTTATAGAGCAACGTATTCAGTCCTTACTTACATTTCGAATTTTGGTCTTTGTGACATTAATCTATGTGGAACGTATATTCGTAATATCATGGTGTCTTTCTAAGTGCATGCAAACATCTCATCTACTAAAGCATATCATTTGAATTGCCGGATCGAGATGCATAACGCTAGAAGACTACCTAACGCTCGCTCAAGGTTGGAATAAAACCTAACACCAACATGGGGAAAGGAAAGACATAAACCACCCAGGAAGAATGAAGAGTTTTGGGTCCCGGAAGCAGCAAAGCTCACTGCGACGGGGAGTCGACTAACTTCGAACCTGCGGAATATGTAGGAGAAGCTGGCAAAAGGGGAGAAGGGAATAAAAGGCATCACAGGGTATCTGTATCGAGCTTGCAGTGCTGATTGCGAACCGAGTATGGGAAGGGAAACTGTAACGGTGGTATCTGTACAAGAAGGGCGAGCAGGCATTGGATCAAGATAAAGCGTGGGGGTTAGCGGAAAAATAGTCAACACCGAACCACAACAAGGGTTGGATTAAATAATGAGTGGCAGCGTGATCGTTAAAGTGAGCGGTAAGAATGGCATGGGAAATAATGGCGTTAGCCTTGCATGCCCATGAAGATATCCTGACAGTTCTCCACCAGGAACTTGAGGACATCGTTCTTCTTCTGGACATCAGTCATCTCACGGGCAAGAGACTCAGGGCGCATGATGGTTGGCGCGAAGACCACAGCAACGTTCTGGCTGGTCATCAGGTTCTCCTCGTGACGCTCAACAACACGTCTGAGATGGAAGACAAGGAACTCCAGGACGTCGCGGTGAACGCGAGGGAGTTCCAGCAGACTCTTCTGCAAAAGCTCAATGCGTCCCTGAGTGGAGGGGATTTCCACAGAATCGATGATAAGCTCGTAAACATCATAGGTGACCAGCGGGTTGGGAAGCTTGCGGAAGTACTGCTTCAATGTAGAAGTAACAGCATGGATATCGAGGTCAGGGTCGGAAATATCGTAATCGAACGGAGAGCGTTCGAAGCCCTCACGAATGATTTGGATAGCGGAAGCCGCACCAGACTTGCGATAGATGCCCTCCATGTCCATACCTGAAAATGTTGTTAGAAATAATACGTCCAAATAGGTATAAACCAAGCATACCTCGAAGTTCAACTTCCTGAATACACCTGGTGACAATGGCGGGAATGATGCTCTTCTCGTGCTCCATGCGAGCCTCGAGATCAACACCGAACAGTGCTAGAGATTGTTAGCTGATACTATTATAGCTCGAGGGCATTGGTAACATACCATCACCAGCAACTTCAGCTAACGCTGGCACGCTGTCAGCCTGAGACATCTTCCCTCCCTGCTTGTGCCTTTGGTTCCCAAAGAATCCAAAGCCTTGACGACTTGGATCCTGAGTCTGGGAACGCGGAAGACCTCCGGCAGCTTCTCCTTCAGTGCCCATGAAGGCTCCCTTGAGACCCTTCACGCCCTTGGCAACGTTCTGGCCACCCTTCTTCCAGTTAAACTTGCGAGGCTGTCCCTTACGAATGCTGACAACCTGGGGTCCTGGAACGACCGTGGCGGTGGCAGGCTCAGACTCTTCAGCGATGTGAGCAGTCGAAATGGAAGGTTGAAGATCATTGATGGCAGGCTTCAGAGCTTCGATGGAAGCTGTGGACTTCTCCTTGTTGTGAGAAATGCCTAGACCGTTGGATCGGGGTTGACCCTCGGTGGCCTTGTAGAGTTCTTGGATTTGATGAACAAGCTGATTGTTCAGCTCAGCCAATTGAGCGTTCTTTGATGACAGTTGCTCGAACTCCTGGAAGGTCTTCTCCTTCTGACTGACCATAGACTCAAGTTCCTCAGTCAGGTCATTTCGCTTCTGAATGAGTTCCTCAATCTGCGGGGCATAGGATTCTTTCAGCTTCTGGATCGATTCGGCCAGCTCCCGTAATACACGGTTCGAGAGTTTTCCAAGATCCAATGGTCCACTGGTGCCTCCGCGCTTCTCCGCTTCCATGTGGTCGGTGAGGACTGTGAGCTCACGCAGAACAATCTCTCGCTGGGCGTCGAGAACAACCATGGTGGAGCGCTTCTCGGAAAGTTCAGTGTTGACTTGCTTGACATTTGCTGTGGCACGAGCAGCTGCTTCCAGCTCGGTAATACGCTGACGTTCCTTGCGCAATTCATTTCGGAGCCAGGAAATTTCCTCAGACTGAGAACCTGTGGGACTACCAATGCTTGCGCCAGCTTGACTTCCATTGGCTGGAGATACGGGCGTCTTGATGTCTCTTCCCCCGCGTAGGCTCTTCTCACTGTAGCTTCGGCCATGGCGAACGGAGTTCGAAACACGGCGCAAGAAAGACTCACTCTCTCGGCCAACAGGATCATCACCACCGATAATGCGAGACAACTCTTCGTCCATGGAAAAGTCACCACCGCTGTTGTAACGTAACAAGGAGGGCGAACCCGCGCCATCCAATTGAGAGTGCGAATCAAGGTGAGATGTATCCAAGGGAGCCGGCCGAGAAGGAGGTACGAACGTATCACTCCGTAACATCGGGGAGTCTCCATACTGCGAAGAGGCAGGGGATGATCCGACCTCCTTTCTAGGAAGCTGATGGTGCCTGCCTTCAAGAGAATCGCCCCGCTTGGGCAGATGGGGTATGTTGGAGGGCTGGGAGCGGGCAGAGTCCATAGAGCCATTATCGTGGAGACGTCGAAGTTCATTCGAGGGACGAGCTGGTGCTGAAGTAATACCGTCCAAGGGAATCTGTCGTCTTGTATCATTGGAGGCTTCCTTCGAACCAATACTATCGGGGCTAGCAGCGTCGGAAAAGTTGCTTGCTTCCCCAAAGCTGATAGGGATGTCGGTGGAATTGCGCTTGGAGCTCGACCTTGCAGGCTTTGATGAATCAGCAGTCTGTGGAGGTTTGTCGGGTGAGATACTATCGCTTCGTTCCCATCCCTTCTCCTGGTAGGCAATATGAGGAGAAGGGTTTTCGGAAGAGGTACGGGAGGGGGGCTCCTGCAGATATTCACGCCCGTCGTGAGAGGCCCTGTGCGAAGATTCACCAGATCTAAATTGGCCAAAGTAGTCACGGGAAGACTCTTGTCGTGTTTGCGAATGCCCACGGGAAGAGCGACCTTCGGCCGAGGGGTCAAAGGCGAGGGGAATTAGTAGTTCACCACCATCTGCATCAGTGTTCCGCGCCATTGACTGCCGACTGCTTCGGTATGTGCTAGATGGGAGAATTAGATTATCTAGAGGGAAGAGTTAGTGGATGTTCACATAGATGGTGGGTTTACCATCAAATCCAACGGTGTATACTATCCAAGGCCACAACTGAGCTGCGAATAAACGCAAAGCTCAATAGACCACAGCAATTGAACAGCGGGGTGAATGCGTTCGTGCTTACCATTGTCTGCTGCCTGGTTTGAAGTCGAGCTCTCTGGCCTTTCATTCACATCTGGTGTTCCCACCATTCGGCCAGGATCAGGCGTCATTCCCTCCGGGTATTCACCCGGTGTTTCGTCCATGATTGATTCCTCCTCCATGCTCGGGGGCAAGGAAGGCAATGACTTATCCAGTTTCACATTGGGCCCCGTTGGCCTCTTGTTACTGGCGCCAGCTTTTCGTTTTCTTCGTCTCGCCATTAATGACTCATGACAATCCATACAGAAGATTCCCTGTGAGGTGCGCGCATAACGGAGATTCTCGATCTTCTTCTTGCAGTTTCGACATCTGAAGCATTGAGCGCAGAAAGCTTGATCTCCGGTCAAGATGGCCAAGTCTTCGATCTTGTTATTGCAGGAGCTGCAGCTGTACGTGCAGTTACTACAGATAAGGGATCCGTCGCCTAGCAAGAGGAGGTGTGCATCCGAGTCGAGGAGAGTGCTGCAGGTGCTGCAACGAAAACAATCGATATGCCATCTGTTTCCAGCTAGTAATGGTTAGCGACATGCAAGACAACAAACGCCGTAACCCGCAACTCACCAAGTTCAAAGGCTTTCCCCTCTTCTAGTGTCTATCGGAATTGTCAGTGGCATCCTCATCGAGCCTCCCATATGCTGCTCACCTCTCCACAGCCCTTGCATGGGTAGGACTCATCCTGCTCCATGGGCGAGTCTGGATAGCTCTGACTGTCCATCTTGAAATCCCTTGGCTAATTCACAGCGATGTTGACGATCGTTCCCGATTGCCACAAATTATCGATCCAACACTGAGTACTCAGGAACGTTCTACAGACGTGTTAACAGGCGATTCGTGGTCGCGACGGTACATGCGCTGTCCGCCGCTCGATGCTTGCGAGCGCACGGCGATGGAGGGATTGGAGGCGGAAATTGTCGGCGCGGGTTTGGAGGGGGGACTCGACAGGGGGGCTGAAAGAATGGGCAAGTGGCTGAATCTGTAGACTGCTGAGGCGTTAACCTAAACGTGATCCAGCTGTAGGCTTAAGCGTGAGACACCCGCTCCGGTCGAGGCAACAGGGCTGATCACACCTAGAGACCAGGGTAATAATGACCCACGGGCCAGGGGTCTTTCGACGTACCTGGCTCTTGCCAGCCGTGCTACAGGGCCGTTTCAGATAGATAGGCGCGGGTGTTGCGCTTGTCGAGCAAGCGAATGCGGGCTGCCCCTCGCGGGCACTGAAGTAATTTGGAGTGAACAAACAGACAAGTCTCCAAGACTAAAAGGAAATGAATCCGTTAAAGGAACAAAGAACCAAAAGAGAGAAAAAAAAGCAAAGAAATGAGGTTGGGTTGATAGGGGTGGGGGGATTAAAGGAGTGAAGGCTAAAAGGGAAGAAGGTTGGCGGCAGAATCGACGGTCAATGTCAATGTCTTCCCTTTCGCTTTCTACTTTCTAATCTTTTCTCTCTATATTTGTCTTTCTCTCCCCTGAATTGTGTCTGTCTGTACGTGTACCCAAACGCTCTATGTATACGTGTACAGTGGTCGCCTAGAACGTGCGGGCCTTCAATCTCCTCCATACAACCAATGAGCGCTCCCTGGTCGTTTGCAACTGATGCGAATGATTTAATTCTAAGGGGCATTGTGCTTCTCAAATACTCTGAAAGAAAAGTACTCTTTGACAACACAATAACGCCTCCATCCTGCAGGGGAAACCCCGATCAAACAGTTCAGCTCTCCGGATCTACAGTGTCCAGGGGGCCCTGGCCCCATCGCCTAGTCCACCTAGCTAGTCTCAACCCCCTCCTTCAATTTGCGTGTCACAACTAACGGAGGCTGAATTCAATCTTGGGAGTTTAATAAGATTCCCGGACTCCTTCATATCAGCTTTGGCCCGCTGTTTCAGCATTGTGAAACGCTAGTGTCACGTGGCCGTAGATCGTATTGCAAGGGGCTTGAGAGCCTGTTCTTATATTAGCCAGTAAGCAGGACATGGTGCCCTGAGAGTATACCAAAATAGATTCGAGGAAAACGTATTGTAGTCATGATGTAGGAAATCAATTATATGTCTGTGCTATCTACATAATTGCACTTTTTACCCTGCCACTACATAACTTGTGCACAGATACCTGCAATTTCTCCCCGGACATACAGCCCACAATTAGTTTACTTTGCCTAGCTTATACTCACAGACCACCGCAGCTCTCGAAACACCAAACTCTAAGGCTAATTCAGGAACTCTCGGGGCTGCATCAAAAGGCGTCAGTCTACTTTAGGTTAGTTCAGGACTATATCCAAGTCATACTGGAGTTTTGATCTGACCCAACAGATAACAACAGGATAACAATGAAGACACTTAGCTCTTGGGTGCATATAAAACGTATGGACTACACTCTATATTTATATGAACACACTGTCGTAGCATAGACCAAGCATCGCATGCCACAATTTTGATCCATTCGGGATCCACTTGCAATTATCAATCTGGTGGATCAAGGGATGATCAATGGAGATGTGAGCGATGAGTATGCCATTGCCTACTACGATATTTAAGAAATGGGCAAAGTTCCCACTTGCTCCTATAGCTATAGCAGAAGCCAATATAAACATCTTTAGTACATGCATATCCCCTGTCTACACCGCCAAGAGTGGGGACAAACACGCGCGAGCCCATCATATCGCTCGTTCTCCAAAGCTTCACTGCGGAGTACGTCCACTCGTCAACAGGCCTTGTCTGTGGCCACCCGCACCAATAGCCATGCCTGAACAAAGAAAAAGATCCAGCCATAAGAAGAGCCGCTCGGGGTGTATGACATGCAGGTAAGTACTATAAGTACGGTCCGTACCTTCGCCCTGCGCCACATGGAGAACAGGGCCAAACCCCTAGTGATCTACCATATTAACCTGTTGTGCTATAGAATTCGGCATAAGAAATGCGACGAAACTCTGCCCTATTGCCGCCAATGCGAATCAACTGGAAGGATATGTGATGGCTATGTTCAACTGCCCGATAAACGAACGCGAGCTTGGAGGGAGCAGAAGACACATCAGACAGAGACCCCAGAACCCCGAGAGAAGGCTCTATATAGACGCATAATTCCTTCTGTTTCTGTTTTGGCTCCCCCGGTCAACGCAAGCCAGATCGGCCACACCCAGAATGAACGTTGGTACTTGGAACTCTTCACCAAACTCACAGTGCACCAATGTTCCGAATATTTTGAAGACACCTTCTGGTCCAGTTTCGTTCATCAAGTTCTTGAAAACCATCCCGCAGCTCGATACGCAGCCATGGCTTTCGCTGTCCGGCACTGGAAATATCAGACGAACGGGCTCAAGCAGACCATAAACGATAAAAATGTCTTGGCTTTGCAGTTTTCGTCCGAGGCAGTTTCATGCCTTCGAAACAGCTTGGTACATGATACGCCCGATCGCGCCCATAGAGAAATAGTCCTCGTCACTTGCTTGATCCTGACCATGCTGGCACTATATGAGCAGGATACATTTGCTGCTCGCTGCCATTTTCTTTCTGGTTATAAGTTGTTCCAGTATTGGGAGGCTGTGGATTATGATGAGAGTTCGAATAGTCGAGCTCTGAAACAGGCATTTGTGCAGTTGCACTTAATCTATATGACTGCCAATAACCCCAGATTGTTTGTTGATAACCAGCGCTTGGTTTCCCCTCAAGTCACCGATATATCTTCCCATAGGCTTGTGAGAAGCTATATGAATAGAAGAGCCCAGCGAACTTTGGGTGTCTTTTCGCAAGTAGCTATGGCGTGTTTTCCTCATGGTGGATTCTGCATTGGACCTGCAGGCTTGGCTCTTCGGCCTGGTACACCGGCTATCTTGTGCATGCTCCGGTTGTGGAGAAGTCAGCTCAAATCTTTCGCGATGCAAGAAAAAGTTCTTTCGGGGATTGATCATGATGTCCTCTCCGTAATGGAATTATGGACTGTGACTATCGATATCAAGCTAGCTGTCTGCGATAGCTCTGTGCCTTTTGAAGTGACATATGATGGTTATATTGAGCAATTTCGAACCGTGATCGAAATGGCGGAATCACTGCTGCAAGATAGCCCCGGGGAAGTCTTGCCGGCGATTATCATCCAAACCTCCCTTGTGCCTGCTCTTCTCTGGTGTGGAGTGAAGTGTCGTAATCGTTCAATGCGATCCGAGATTGTGCGACTTTTAGATAAAGTGAAGGGGCACAATGCTGCGATATGTGTCTCACTGATGGCACTACAGAAGGTCATTGAATACGAATCAGGAGATGCGAAGCTGGAGAATCCCATTCCAGAGGCAGCTCGTCTCGGCTCTATAAAGCTCAACATTCAACCGGGGCAAGACCAAGTTGACCTCTGGTATCGCAAAGGTCAACTGGATCCCCACCTACACGATGATGATAATCCATGGGTACATAATAACATATCTGTTAACTAGATTCAGAGATGAACAAAAGCCGTCTATAGAACTGAATCAAATATCAGAGGTCTCAATTTGTGAAATTCGGCGAAAGAACAGAAGTGGCACCCTCTCGCAACCAGGGTAGCCATTGCGATAGATGCAAGCAACCAGCCCATAACTTTGAAGTTCAGAGTGGTCTCAGATGGCGAGCCTCTTCGCATTGATAGCCAATACTGAGGTGTGTCACAGGCATCCAGGTGAGTAGGCCGAATCAGAGCTGGAATTTTTATTCAAGATTTCGCAGACCGATATAATTATGCATGTCTTAAAAGACAAGGGGAACCATGCGCGAGAGGAACAAATCTAGTAGGTTGGCTGTCTAAGAACTTACCACGTCATAGGGACAATTTTGAGGAGGGAAAGCGAGAAGGAGCGCGGACGAAAAGTCCAGTATGTTAAGTTATCAGTCAGATCTCAATTAGGTTGGTTGGGTCCAAGAACTTACCACGTCTCAAAAACATTATCCAGAAGATAGAAGGAGAGGATTCACGACGCCGTGGAAAGGTATATATATCTATTATATGAGACACAAGACACGAGCGTTTGGGTACTCATGGCAGGTATCAAGTTCAGTCTTGGAAAAAAGAAGAGGTGCTGTGGAAGAGATCCAGAAGAGAAAAGAAGAAGAAAAGTGAAGGGATATGGTTAGCAAATAAAATCATTGCGCATGTTTGCTACGCAAATACCGGCTCGAAACGGAAGATTTGAGTACTCAAAACCTTCACTTCCTAAATAAAGCGAGAATTAAAGTATTCACTTTGCAACGTCTGTATCAAGGAAATAGTATGGCATAGTTTTCAAGCCATCGAATCACAGACGCTTGAACCACTAATTCCTCAACTTGCAATCCTTCGAATCAATAACATCAACCAGACAACTAGCAATCTCATCATAACACGGAATCTCAAAGCCAATCTCATTAGCCATCATATCACACCGAACCAGAACCTGCCAACAGAATTTAAGATACTGAGCCAGCTCTTCTCGGCTTCTTCGTGGAAAGGATCATGCTCAATCCTCGGTCTCCTTTTCGGCGCAGGCAGTCCCATTTGGTACAGTATACCTCGGACAAGAGACACATCAGATCTATGTGGCTGATATACAAGACTGCAATCGTTCTGTTCGTCGAAAGATCTTCCCAAGTTCACATTGTAAATTTGAGGCAAAGAGATCGCAGGGGATGTTGTGTGCTTGGTGCGCCACGATGGTGGAAGGTTTGTCAAGAAACTTTCAGGGGAAAGAGGCGCAATATATTTGGTCCATGATTGCCTACCGACGCTTTTTTTTTCCCGGCTAGCAGAGTTGTTATAGTAAGAAGATTATTTAATTTTGAATCTGTGCAAGATGAAAATGAATATCTAAGCTTTCATCGTTATGTTAGGTTAGAAAACATGTAACACAACCATCCAGGCCAAGTGGTCTAAAAAAACAAAAAGGAGGCTTTGAGCCTCGAAGCGCCACTAGTAGCTGTAGCTGAGATTGTCTCGGAGGCAGACCGAATTGGAGAAGCGGTTGTCATCGCAACAGTTGGTGTTGAGGTCATAGAAGTAGCCTCTTTGGTGCTAATTGAGCTGGTCACAGATGAAGTGTCAACGATATCGGCCTTCGTCGAACTTGTCGCGCTAAAGGAGCTTACAGTGCTTCCACCATCGCCGCATTGAACAACAGTTTCCCAGCCACCAGCAAAAGTCTCCTCCCAGTATGAGGACTGGTTACCAAGAGCGAAGTAGCTGAAGAAATATGCTGAGCCAGGTTGCTCGTGTGCGTTTCGGAAAAACTTGACTGCACATTCGTCGCTGCATGGGAAGTCGGTTCTGGCCCAATCTTCGCTCTCGGGATAGGTCAAGTAGCAGTAATCAGACCTGCGAAAATGAGAATATAAGGACATGCACCCTGATCAAACCAAGTACCGAACTCACCCGCTCTTGGCACAAGATTGGCCATATTTGTACTGGAAAACCTCGCCCACGGTTGCCACGGGAGCCTCATAGATATACTTATTCCCACTGGCAATCCCGGCTAGATCGCCATCCTTGTCACATGAAGATTTGACGTTTTTGATATACTGCGACACTGAATCTTTGCATGTCGTGGTGCACATAGCCTCCAAGTCCGAAGATTGAGGGTCGAAGTCGGGATCCATGGAGGCCACAATCTTGAGGAGAGTTTCATCGCAGTTGATACTGGCGCTGTAGGCGTCCTTGCAAGTCTGTGACGTCGTGTCTGCCAAGTCCTTGGTTGTATAGGCCCAACTGGGACCAGAAGTATCGAGACTGAAGCTGGCAGTTGCCTGGCCCAAAGCAGCTGACAACGCGAAGAGGCGAAAGATCGTGGTGGAGGCCATTTTGTTGAAAATTTGAAAAGAAAGAGAAGAAAAGTTGAGATTTTCCCCGATAACAAGAAACGAGAGAAGTGACTTGAGGTAGGTCGCGACCTGAAAATGCCCAGAATTATCTACGCCCGAACGAGCCGCTCTTGGCCCCCAAATTTTCAGGGGCAGTTCCGAACTTTGAGCCTCAAGACCCACAGCCCAAAAAAGCCAGATCGGGCCATGGGGCCGAATAGGTATGCAAGTGTGATTGGATTCATTGAAAATACAAAAGATCACATATGACGTGCCAGCGCTTTAAGTTAACATCGAAGTTTCGAGCCACGACTGCTGCAAGAATTGTGGTGGCTTGGAAGCCCTTGCCGCTAATCAGCTATTGGCTAGCCTTTTACTCAGTAGCGTCCAGTTCGGCAAACCCTGCATCGCAGCTAAGGGGCCAGACCTTACTGATGGATCAAGACCCAATCATTCCCAAAGACGCCCCATGGCATACTCTAGAAGCCTATAATCCACAACAAAAGGCCACGAAAGAGGGGATAAGATGGCTCATTGATAGTGGGAAGCTATGGGTCTATGCAGTAGCGCTGAGATAGGAAGATGAGGTCTGACAAGCAGGAAGCCCTAAGAAGGGCAGGCTGTATAAAGCAAACCGGGTGTCTGTGTGAGGCCTAAGACCGAGGAAGCATCGATCCGATGCATTTGGCAGGGTACATATCCTGACACTCAGTCATTTGCATCCTATTGCGCAGGCTCTGTGGGCCAATTATTATGATATATAATGGTCTGCGATTGATCAGACCGCTACGGGTCATACTCAATCTAGTAATCAAAAAGCAGCGAGGGATGGGTATTACATGTAAATAGAAAGCTAAAATAGAAGGCTACAGCGTTGCCAAGCATTATTCACCATATATGTGTTAGGAACTTTGATAGTAGGAATCGAAGGCCCGGACACATCGCCCAAATGTACTTATTTGATAACCACAAATGAGAGGTCAGATCTAAATGAAGTTTGTATTGCTGTTAAATATTCGACAATGAACTCATATATAAACAAAAATGCTCGCCAACATAGTGCATGTTCAATATATCCAACCAGCCACTATACAAAACAGTGACTAGCATGACAAATAAAAGAAAATCGTCGAAAGTCATAAGAATATGTACAGACGCTATATGCTATACAGTATACAGATCAAGTAACATGCGCAGCTAAGCCCATTTACAGGCGGTGCTGAACGGGCGACTCAGGCGCCGGAATGGAAGCAGGAATCCTCTCAGTGGCCTCATTCCACTGCAAGATGTGAGCCATCTTGTTATATGAGTCGATACCACGACGAGCATGGTCGGCAGGAACAAAGGGATCAGTTTCACCAAGGGTACGGCTAAATAGCTCGAGAGAAACCCAGCCGCGGAAACCGAGGTCCTCGAAGAAGACGCGGGCAACATCCAGAATGGGGAGGTAACCACCGCGAGACTCCTCGAAGGGGAAGAGACGGGCATTGCGAGACCAGTTCATGCGCACGGGGTTTCCGGCGACGTAGAAGGGGTGCTTCTCATCCAGAGGAGCAGAAAGACGCTCACCATCGACAAGCTGGACATAGAAGATCTTCGCGGGGTCGATTTTGGCAGTGCGGAGACGGTTCAACGAAGCAGCCAGGTCCGCAGCGGCGTTGGGGGTACGGCCAGTGGGAGAAGCAGGGTCGGCGTAGACACGACCAGCAATGTTAAATGAGTCCAAGCAGAGACCAAAGTTGGGACGGCCGACATCACGGACAACCTCCCACGAAGCCTCCCACGTGTCAACGTGATCACCCCAGCAGAGAGCCTCGTACACAAACCGGAAGCCGGCACCAGCACCCAAGTCAGCCAGACGCTGGAGATCACGAACAATGACGGTGCGGTCACCAGTTGTGCGTGCAGCTCTGGTCTGGGGATCCGGTCCAAGGAAGTTGGAGGGGACTTGGATCATGTCTGTGCCAAGCGCCCGCGCTAGGGTGAACCACTTAGGAAGCTTCTCGTTGACTAGTCGGTCTGATTCGGCCCGGTCGATGAGGCCTTCGTACATGGAGAATGGCTGCAGACAGATGATGGTCATGCCGAGGCGCTCACACATCCGTCGTGTTGACTTGGCAGCCTCTAGGTGGTCACCGTTGAAAACGCGCTGGGCATAGCAGTCCAGATCGTCGAAGAATAGTTCGATGCCTTCGAAGCCGTGGGCCGCGGCTTGCATCAGCTTGCCGGGGAGGTCGTGGACCCAGGGCCGGCCTAGGGACATAGAGGCAATGCCGGGGCGATTGAAAGCCATTTTGTTATCGTGTGAATGTGATAAGACTGTGACTGAGTCTTTTGTATAGATCGAGTTACTAGAGGTCTGTTGGTATGGATGTTCAGACTCGAAATGAGAGTAGGCAGAGTAGGTAGAAGGGATGTTAGGAAAAGTAAGATCTCAAAGTGGAATCAATGATATTAGGGCTATGAAGAGATAGCAAGACATTATCCCCTCGAATTGTTCTGCCTTTTTCCGTTTCTCGAGGCAAGCAGGGCCGGTCACATGCGCGGCTAAGCGTTGTACCCGTAACGTTTATCCGCTCAACGTTCCGCTCCACTACTCCACCATCCTCCACCATTCCAAGGTCGCGGATCATTCTTTAGAAATGCAGTCCCCAGACTCGCGGGAGCCCGAAATTACTGGATTTTCCGCAATAAGACTCGCCAAGCAGGTCATCTCCGAGGCCCCGAGTCGGACGCGGTTCAGGGCCCGCAGTGTCCGGGGCAATGACACAATTCTCGGGGTACAAAGGCGCACAAAAACCACCGGACTGAACTTCCGCTTGACACTGACAGCTTCATTTTCACCTTGACAATCAATTGAGCCAATTTTCTTGTTTGAAAAACCAGCCAAAATGTCCATCAAAGTTGCAATCGTCGGCGCAGGCCTCATTGGTCCCCGCCACGCAAAGTCCGTCATCGCAAACCCATCCACCGAGCTCGCAGCCCTTGTGGACCCAATGCCAGCAGGCGAAGCAACAGCCAAAGAGCTATACACAAACTACTATCCCACGGTAACATCGCTCCTCACCTCCCCCAACCGCCCAGACGCAGCAATCGTCTGCACACCAAACCACACCCACGTCCCAGTCGCAAAAGAACTGCTAGCTGGCGGTGTCCACGTCCTCCTGGAGAAACCAGTAAGCGACACCCTTGAAACAGGCCGCAGCCTCCTAGAATACGCCAAGGCCCCAGAGCGCGCACACCTGAAACTCCTAGTCGGCCACCACCGCCGCTTCAACCCCTACGTGCGAGCAACAAAGTCAATCCTAGACTCAGGCTCGCTAGGCCGCCCGATCGCTGTTAACGGCCTCTGGACCCTCTACAAACCAGACTCCTATTTCGCACCCCCGACAGACTGGCGCGCCTCAAACGACCGCGGCGGCGGCGTAATCCCCATCAATCTGGTCCATGACATCGACCTAATGCACCACCTCTTCGGTCCCATCACGCGCGTGACAGCGGAGAAAACCCTCCCGCAACGACTCAGCCCGCCACACAACGCAGACGAAGGCGCCGCTCTGACAATGCGCTTTGCGTCTGGTGTGGTTGGCACATTCCTTGTCTGCGACGCTACGCCTTCGCCACATAATTTTGAGACTGGGACTGGGGAAAATCCTCTGATTCCTCGCTCTGTTACTGGTGGTGATTCGGACTTTTATCGTATCTTCGGGTCCGATGCTTCGCTCAGTGTGCCTGATCTTACGCGCTGGAGTTATGATGGGCATGTGGAGAAGAGTTGGAATCATGAGTTGACCGTTGATCGGATTGAGCTGCCTGATGAGGCTATGCCGTTTGATCTGCAGTTGGCGCATTTTGTTGATGTTATTCAGGGAAGTGCGGAGCCTAGTTGCTCTGGCGAGGAGGGGCTGAGGGCTTTGATTGTTTGTGAGGCCGTTCAGAGGGCTATGCGGTCGGGTCTGCCTGTTGATATTGATGTGGATTTGCTTGCGAAGTGAAATGGGATGGTTAGTAGTATGTTTCGGGGACAGTGGCATAGTTTTTGTGTTGCAGGCGAGTTCTTTCTTTCTTTTCTTCTTTTCACTTTACTTCTTTTTAAACTATTTACAATGATTGATGTATACAGAAAAAAAAGGGTATATTCATCGAACAACATATACAGCAAAAGCGCTAGTTGCGTCTTTACACTTCTGTGCAGTGCATATATAAACCAGGCAGCCTCGAACCGAAGCACACCCCATCCAAAAAAAAACATCTCAAATCCAGGACGGACACAGTCCAGTCCAACCATCCAACCAAATCATCCCAATCTACGCAAGACATCATCAAACATGAAACAAAAAGCAAAATCATCAAGCTCAATCATACTTCGCCTGGGTCGCCTCAGGAGAAGCATCCTCAACCTGCTCAGCGGCAATCTTGCCGACAGAGATGCCGGACTCCTCAACATCATGACGGAAGCGAGCCTCATCGTCGCGAAGCTGGGCAACCATCTGTCCGTGCGCGCGCCAGACGGGCTTGATATCGAAGAGTTGGTCCATGCTCTCGAGGGGAATACCCTTTGTTTCGGGAACGAGGAAGTACACGAAGATAATGGAGCACATCATCAGCGACGCGAAGAAGAAGTACACGCCATATCCCATGGTTGTGAACATCTGCGGGGTGAAGCGCGAGACGAGGAAGTTCCACAGCCAATTGGAGGCGGCGGCACAGGCTTGAGCGAGGGAACGCATGTTTGGATCGAACATTTCCTGTTGGGTTGTTAGTTTTGGTCAAGTTTGGTTGGTTGATTTGTGTGGAATGCTTACCGAGTTGAGGACCCAGGGGGTTCCGTTCCAGGTGGGGGTGTAGAAGACAGTCCACAGGTAGAAGAAGAACATGGCTGCGATACCGCCGCCGCTGAGGCTGTCGCTGGTGTTGTTCTCTGGCTTGGCGATCTTGATGTATGCACCGACGATCCAGAGACAGACGGAACCACCTGCAGCGCCGATGAGGAGGAGGTTACGGCGACCGACGTGGTCGATCAGCCAGAGGAGCCAAACGAAAGTGACCACGGTCTTGACGACACCGAAGATACCGGTGGTGAAGAGACTAGTGTTGGTACCACGGACACCGATCTGGAGATTGTCAGTATGACTCATATAGAAGTAGACTATGGATAGGGAGATAGACTTACCGACTTGAAGACGGTCGGGCTGTAGTAGTTGATGGCATTGATACCGGAGCCGTTTTGCCAGAAGAAAAGAGCGCTTCCGAGGAACAGACGCCACATGACCTTCTTGTTGGTTCCAGCAGCCTGGAAGGGCTTCCAGAAACCGATACCGATACTGCGGCGTTGCTCCTCCAAGGCCTGGTCAATGGCACCAATCTCCTCGATCATGTAGATGTCATCAGCGGGCAACTGGCGCACCCAGCAGAGGTTCTTAATAGCCTCTTCGCGGCGACCACGACCAAACAGCCAACGGGGTGACTCCCGGATGAAGACAGCACCAATGATAAGCATGCCAGCAGGAATCAGTTGCACCGCAAAGGGAATGATCCACTGCTTGTGAGAAGGAGCCAAGGTCTCGTCGACACCGAACTAATGACAGGATGTTAGCATAGAACACTCTCCAAACAAAAAAGAAACTCACGTTAATCCAGAAGCCAACAAGACCACCAACCTGCCAGCCAAGCTCATAAACACCGACCAATCTACCACGAATCGCAGGAGGCGCCAATTCAGAAATGTAAATAGGAGTGATGTTAGAGCCAGCTCCGACACCCAGACCAGCAAGGACACGACCAGCATAGAGCAGGCCAAGACCACGATCGCCATTGACACCGAGCATAAGACCCGCACCAAGGATGAAGACCAAACCAGCAACCAACAGACCGATTTTGCGGCCCCAGAAGTGCCCGACCGGGTACGCGAAGAACGCACCGAAGAAGGCACCGGCCTGGTAGCAGGAAACAATGTTGGCGCTGATGAGGTCCCGGGTTTCTTTTCCCATGGTGTCAAAGCCAAACTCGGCCTTGAATGAGTCAAGGGCGAGGGTTGTGCCGATGAAAGCACTATCATAACCGATCATGCAGGATGTGCATGAGGCCACTGCTGCCAGAAGGTAAACCTTCCAGTTGTAGACTGCTCTTGGGGTTGGCCGGTCTTCGACCAGCTTGAGGATAGACATGGTGGCAGGTTAATGTGATGTAAAACAACAGAGTGAAGAATTGAGTGTGAATAGAAAGAGATCTTGATCTTTACCCAGTGCTTGATGCAGAGAGGTAGAAAGACCTTCGACCTAAGAGAAGGAGGGCTACCACGTGGAAGTGGAAGAGAAAGAGATGTGCAGGGGTAAGTGTGTGAAGTGAAGGAGGGAAGAGGTTGAAATAAATAGAAGAGGCCGCGCCACGTTCTTTTAGGAACCAACTAGCGAGAACGGCCACGAGCTAAATAGGCTTTAGCCCCGGATTGTCGATTTGCCCGTGGAAGGGAGAGAAAGAGAAATCTGGGGTTGTGAAAAGGGGATGAAATCGTGGAGATGTGGAGGCGGAGAAAGGTATAGCGCAGAATAGCTATGAGAAGAGACTATCCGCCAAGGGGCGGCAAAACGAATACTCTAAGTTAGCGAGAACTATGCGCGTTAGGAGGATTTAACTTTTGCCTCTTGGCTTGTGGCTTTAGCAGAGATTGACTCAAAAGGCTTGGAATTGACACTAAGCCAGAAATCTCTGCTGTTTGGTTGGATCGAGTGGATCCGGGGTAGAGTCACGGGACCTGTATAGTTCTGGCAGTCTGGGGGTCTCTGGGGTACCCCGGAGGCAATGCCATGCACGTCCCGATCCTTAGGACCAGAACGAGCCAGAAATAACGAATAAAAAAGTCATTTGATTGGCAGATATTGAACGGAGCCATGTGCAAGCGAGTGTGGGAACGGCCAATGGCTGTTTGATGCAAAGGAGTGGCGGGGAAAAGCGCTTCCCCGGTGGTTCTGGGCAGTCCTGGGCAGCCCCTGCGAACAATCTGTCACTGGCTTCTCATCCGGACGCTTAATCTAGGTACCGTGGCTAGTCCATCCTTCGTCGTAACAGTAGTCCTCTCATTGGTTTGATTTGGCCATCCGTGTGTCATTGTTGACTCCCCATGGGGTGAGTGTATGAGGCTGGGGGAAAGCGTTCAGCCCTTAGAATGGATAGTGGCGCCCTCACAAAGTATGCTCGTAGTCAAGTCATCATCATGAAGAATGAAGAAAACATATCTCGATGATAATATGAAACCAGAATTCAGTTAGTAATTCAATAATATCCCGAGGTTGTAGAGCGGGAGATCGGATGCCCCAGCAGAGTGGAGAAGTGGAAGGAGCAAAATGTTTCTCCGCCCACGGCTCAATATTTTCGGACTTCATTTTGTGCTATAACATAACTCCTCCCCCTCTACACATATTGTACATACACAATCAATTCACGATGTCCGTCGAAATCAACCAAACACCCGAGGAGCCCATCTCCATCCCATCCAACCTCGATGGCGTCGCCTACCTCTACGGCCACCCCCTCCTCAACTCCCTCTCTCCCCCCCTCCACCAAACAGTCTACAACGCCCTTGGCCTGAATTGGACTCAAATCCCCCTGTCCAGCGTAACCGGCACATCAGAGACCTACCCACCCCCCTACACAAAGTCCCCCCCAATTGAGAAATATCTGGCCTCAATCAAATCCAATCCCAAATTCGTCGGCTCATCCGTGACAATGCCCCATAAAGTCGCAATCATGCCTCACCTCGACGACTTGACCGAGCACGCCCGCCAAGCCGGCGCCTGCAACACCATCTTCTTGCGCAATGACCCAGCAACCGGTGAACGCCAGTACGTCGGCACCAACACCGACTGCGACGGCATCCGCGAAGCCCTCACTCAGAACGCCCCGGATGCCTCGCGCTTCCGCGGCCGTCCCGCTCTTATCATTGGTGGTGGTGGTACCGCCCGTACCGCTATCTACGTTATGCGCCGCTGGCTCGGCTCCAGCGCGATCTACGTCGTCAACCGTGATGCCGCCGAGGTCGCTGCCATCCTGGCCGAGGACCGCGCACGTAACCCGGACCCTGCGGCTCAGGCACCCCTTATCCCTGTCACTGACGCTGCTGAGGCTGCCCGTCTCGAGGCCCCTGCTGCTATCGTCTCTGGTATCCCTAACTACCCTCCCAAATCTGCTGAGGAGTTGAACGCCCGCGCGGTCATCCAGGCTTTCCTTGGTACTGCTGCCAACGCGGAAAAGCAGCAGGGTGTAATCCTTGAGATGTGCTACCACCCTAACCCCTGGACCGAGATTGCTCAGTTGGCTTCTACTGGTGGGTGGAAGGTTATCCTTGGCTCTGAGGCTTTGATCTGGCAAGGTCTTGAGCAGGCCCGTCTGTGGACTGGCAAGGATGTTATTGGTACTCCTGGACTTGTGCAGCAAGTTAAGGATATTGTTAACAAGTCTATTGCTGAGCGGTCGACTAATAAGTCTAGTCTGTGATTCTTATGACTTGGTGGACTGCTTGATATCATTTTTTGTTATTTTATGACTGTATAGAGCGCAAAATAGTTGCATTGGCTACATAGGTATATAGATGGCGTCGATTCTGGAATATATGTCACTCTAGATCTATCATAACTTGTCACATGCTTAACATGAGTTCACTGTCGCGTTCACGCTCCTGGTCGTGAATAGTCCAGGTTGCGGACTCGGCGCCAGACTTCACGTACTGTGCGCTCTTGTGTCTCGCGGCCTGTCTCGGTAGCGGAAGGACCAGCCGGTCTGGAGACGGTTAGTACATTAATGAATAAGTTGGAATAATAGGAGACTTACCGAATGGCCAGATACAACCTACTTCCCAACTTAACATCCTCAATCGGACAGGTAGCCTCATTCTCAGGTGGATTAGCAGTAGTCATAAGACCACCAGCTTCCAAGAGAATAGCAACACCGGCAGCGATATCCCTGTAAAGCAATTAGTAAACCCCTCGCTCCTAGAAGGAACATGAAACATGAAAGAAAGACATACCACTCCCAACAACCCCCCTCCCACCAAATATCAAAAGACCCCATAGCAACATAAGCCAGATCAAGCGTAGCACTCCCCAAACTGCGTACACCATGCACCATACCACCACGCCCACTCCGACTCCCCAACTCAGCCGCCATATTAACAAAACTCTCAATCTTGCGATGCATATTGCCATCGGGAATATCGCGGCGGTCCTTGCCCCACTCGCAGGAGAAAATACACTGCGACGGCGCGTTGGCCGGCATAGGCGGGATAGGGTTATGAATTAGGGGTAGGCGCCTTGTCTCGTTTAGCCAGGCGCCCCTGCCGGGGCAGGCGGACCATAGTTGGTCGGTGAAGGGGGCGTAGATTACACCGATTGTTGGGCGGTTGTTTACCACAAAACCGATTGAGACGCAGAACATCGGGAAGATGTGCGTATAGTTTACGGTTCCTTTTTTATTTTTTGTTAGTTTTGGTAGCTTAAGGGTGGTTAAGGTGTGTTGGGTTTACCGTCTAATGGATCGATGCACCATGTTGGATCATTGTCGATTAGGTAGTCGCGCGACTGGCCTTTGGCGTATGTCTCTTCGCCGAGAAATCTGGTATTTATAAGTTTTCTGCTTTTGTTGTTTGAGGTATTTTGTTGATGCTAACTTGTGAGTGGGATATTTAGCTTGCAAAGCCGATCGAATAAATACTTCGACGTCTGGGACCATTAGCTTGATATCCCTCGGTCTTCTCGCCGAAGTTTTTGAATACCTTCATCTGTCTGTGTCACAATATCCACTGAGTTCTCCTTCTCTTCAAATGTCTGATTGGCTCCATTTGCGTTGTCGATGCGCTGGTCTACGCGCTCCATGAGCATCTTGCCGGCCTTGCGGCCGAGGTCAATTGCGAAGGCGTAGATCTCGTCATACTTTTCTTGGGAGAAGGTTACCGTCATTATGGGTAGTACGATGTGTTGTTCAAGTATAGGGATAGAATATGTGATCAAGAGAAAATGTGAGAAAGGAAGCTACTTGAGTCACCCGGTGAAAATTGGAAGGTCGCAGGAACCGCCACTAGCCGTTGGCTTATCGAGAGGTCCCACTAAGGCTCCGGGCGAGCTTGGGGTATAAACTGGCAAACTGTTTACTTTATTCTATCAACGTCTATTGTTTACTTAATGATAGCCATTGATATGCGTCTTTTTATGAAATGATGGACATTTTACACCGGGGCATGTCCAAGTGGATGATTATACCCAGAGTCTTCCGCAAGTCTCTTCTCCCCGCAAATTGACCAGCCTGGATCTCAACGGTCTTCTGATTTGTAACACGGGGAAAGGTAGTCGACTGGCCTCAAAATAGAAATGGTCTAAGTCCCTAACATATCTCAGCTCCGGTCATGTTCATGCGTGAGTGTGGGGGAGTCCACCTGGTTACTCGATCAGCCGGTATAGACATGAACTCCCACACTCCCACTCACACCCACAATCGCCACAATTAGCGCAGACCCCGAAAGAAATATGATCATCCAAATAATAACCCCAATACTAACGGCTTAAGATTACAATACAGCAAAGTCCCCTCCAATTCTCCGAGTTCTCCACCAAAAGTCCGCGGCAGAGCGCTCACCCGGGTCAAAAATGCGGAGGCAAAAATCTATACCGAATGACCAAGCACATCATATACATTTGTAACATCCCACCTATTCTCAACATACAATCTTGAATTGAATCCAACTCACCTTAATTTACCCCTATCCTTGCTCTGCACCAAATCCACCAACAGCCAGAATGCCCAAATCAATCCTCTTAATCAATGGCCCAAACCTCAACCTCCTGGGCACTCGCGAACCCCATATCTACGGCCACACCACACTATCAGATGTTGAAAACAACAGCCGCGACGTCGCAGCCAGCCGCAACGCCAACCTAGAATCCTTCCAATCAAACCACGAAGGTGCAATCGTGGACCGCATTCAAGCAGCGCGCGGCAAGGTCGACGGTATCATTATCAACCCCGGTGCGTATACGCATACATCCGTCGCGATCCGGGATGCGTTGCTGGGCGTTGCGATTCCTTTCATTGAGCTCCATGTGAGCAATGTCCATGCCCGTGAGGCGTTTAGACATCATTCGTACTTTAGTGATAAGGCTGCTGGCATTATTGTTGGGCTTGGCGTTTATGGGTATAAGGTTGCTGTTGAGCATATTTGTTTGAATTTCAAGGAATTGGACAAGGTTGAGGCTAAAGCTACTCTTTGAGTTTGGGTTGAATCAGGGTGAGAGTTGGTGCAAACTTGATTGTATATACTTCTTTGGCGATGATGTTTTATGAATTTATATGATTTGAGTCAAGTCAAGTTATGTGTTGTGTATTGATATTGTTACATACTTTTCGTAGGCACGCCGTTTGACTAAGATAATATGTAATCTGGTAGGTAAAGTTGTTCTGTCTGCTGCGTAGAGCAGCTTCATCGGGTTCTATCGATGAATGGAAATGCTTCAATAATTGACGTGAGTCACGGTTCAGAGCAGAGTAAGACAGACAGGCCGGCCAGCGGCGAAGATTTTCCCGTAATATTTCGATGATTGATTGACAAATTGGAGACAATCATCGTTTGGGTGTTCCTGATATTCCCAACGATTGCGACTCTCGCCGCACACCGGGTGGAGCTCCATTGCCTGGTATTTGCTGCGTCTGCGCAAGCAAGAACGGTTCAATTTGACCCGAGAACGAGTAAAGCTCGGGGATACCAGCATCGGAGACGAACCCTAGGTTTTGCATGAACTCCGGTTGATTATCGGCTCTGTAAAATAGCCAAGTCAGTAATCATTGTAGGAAGTGTGAGGTCAGAAGAAACATACTTTTCGGCACCATCTAATGATGCTAACTCATCAAATAATGCATCAAGGTCAGGGGCAATTCGTTGCCTGCGTGGCGGGCCATATCCATCCATATCAACAAAAGGACCCATGCCCATCGATGGATCCTGGTATGCTGCTGGATGGTATTGTGTAGTAGGGTATGAGGGAGAAAGGTCAGGAAGCATGCCAGTGCCACTCTGAGGCTTGGGAGGAGCCGAGGAAGGATGGCGGAGCCCAGAGGCGAGGGCCCGATCCATATGTCCTTGCTGTGATGGTAATTCTTGACCACCACCGATAGTCGCCAACGATGGTGTAGAGGTAGGGAGAAGGGATACATCTTCAATGTGTTGTGTGGCCCGGAGCCAGGGCGTGGAGATGAAAGATTCTGCAGGAGCAGACGTAGGATGTGCGCTAGTTGGAGGTGGATGCCCATCTGCGGGAGGCAGGTGATGTGAAGGAGTTCCCACTGACATGGAGGATGGCATGGCCATATCCCCGCTAACGGACAGCTCCATTTGTTGCGAAGCAGCGGGAGATGTACCCATAACCTGCGGTCTGTGTGGCATAGTATGACCAGTCATCTGTTGGTCAGGTATGTTCCATAATACGGAGAGGTGAGAAGAGACGGTATGAATTTTGTTTCGCAGACCCATATCAAGATCGGAAGGAAGCTCCCTAGAAAGAGAGCGTGGAAGGCCGAATCGAAGCATCATACCGAAGGTCGGCGCAGTAGCTGCGAAGCTGTATGTATCCATGTAAAGTTGAAGCAGCTGGAGTAGCCGGTTCGTACTTTCCGCTGCACGAAGTTTGTGTGGTGGTTCCGGGATGTTCTGGTCAGCCTCTCGAATAGCTATTTGGGAGCTCAAAGCGATGACAACACTCTCGTAGGTGATCTCCAGATTAAAGATATGCGGAGATGCCAGCTTGATAGGACGGCTTTGTAAGTCCACGCGATAGCTTTTCGGAACAGCCGTTGCCCAGCGTTGCAAGTGCAATTCCAGTGTTTCAAGCTGCGACCGAGAAATAGTCGGGTCATGCTTGCAACAACAAAGATCGTTTAAGATAGACACAAGACCGACGAGTCGGTTAAATGTGCTGAGTGCATGAAGGGGTCCCCGCTGCATTGAAGCCCGAGAGGATTGGGGAGGCCGTAACCCAGTCTGATCTTCCCATGGATGCCACTCCTCGAGTCCATCCTCGTTGATAGACCCTACCCTCGCCAAGTCTGCTCTCCTCAACGAAGGACACTGTGATGTTTGTTCAGCAATCAGGGTCTCAAGAACAAAGCAACCTAGAAAGACATGTTTAGCACGCCCGAGTTGCTTGTCCTGATCAGGAGCTCTTGAAGATGATGGATAAGAAGGCTGATCAAGACCAAGTGTGTGAGAGATTCGCACAGCTTGACCGACAAGCATCCATGACCCAGTCCATTCTTGCTGGCCAAACTTGACTAGACCCAGAATTAACAAGGCTTGTACATGCCCGATCTCATGCGGGCCACTTTCGGATGGGATGAGTTGTCGGGCAATATTATACATTTGTGACGGACTCAGGTAGGCGTTGGGTTGTTCGTCCGCTTGTCGGGTCGCTGCGATCGAGGCATCTTGCAGCGATGCGAGTGTGAGAACGGCCCACAAGGCCGCGTGCTCGCCAGACCCGGGGGCCAAACGGGAAACGTAAACATCGCCTTCAGTGTATTGGAATGCAGTTCGTAAAATGTCGTGCTTTTCAAGTATGGGAAACCAGCATTGTGTGTATGAAAAGTAGACGTCAAAAAGGGGCCATGCGTTGTAAGGAAGTTGAAGTGGAGTTTTCATTAGCGACCGAGGGTCATCGAGGGCCGAGGAAAAGCCGTAAGATGGTGAGGATAAATTGTCTGTTAAAGTTGTCTGAACACCAGAGTCGCGCATGGGACGGGCGCCGATGTTTTTCATGGAAGACATGCCAATTGCTGTTCGAGCTGGTGATACGCCTGACAATGGAGTCTCGCGTGCTTCCATCCCTTCCGGCATCTGCCACTCTTGAGCTTCAGCGGATGCAAGAATTCCATCAACATCTAGAGGTGTTTCCCCTTCGCTGTAGGCTTGGAGGTTTCGCTCCCGTTCCTCTTCGGGCTGCTCGAGGACCACCAGAATCCGCTCAATATCTCGGAGGACCGTGCTGTTCTTGAAGGAAGACAGTAATGTATCGGAGCCCTCTGTCTCCTTGCCCATGGTAGCCAAATGACTCGGAAGGTTGATTGATCGCATTAAAGCCCGCATCACATCCTCACTGCCTTGTATCCTTTGGAACACCAGTCCCCAGAGCAACTCGAGCGATCGAATGTACCCTGTGGGCAAACCTCTTTTCTTCGGGTTGGCTTTGTATGTACAAGGACGACAGAGCGATGCACAAGTTGAGCATACAGGCTGTATTCCATCGCACTTGTCCTTTTTCGACCGGCAGCTGTCACAAGCCCGTGAGACTCGCTGACGCTTCGGTTCGCCCATCGCTTTCCCATCTTCTTCCGGGTCGGTCCCTCGTCGTTTCGATTTGCCGCCCGCGCCAGTGGCTTGGCGCGTTTCGGCGCTCATGGTGATTGAGATCGCGATCCACCTGGATGGTTCGGTCGCATGTTCCTGCAGCGCGATCGTGTAACGAGATGAATCTTGTGCCGACGGCGGCAGCACGGACGAACCGTCCTCTACGCCATGAATCTAGCCCCACTAGCGTAACTAAAAGACAGGCGAGGGCGTTGCAATGGGATGCACGAGGTGAAGTGGTGAAGGTGAACAGTGCAGGCAAGTTTGTTCCGGGGAAAGATGGATACCCGGCTAGCGGTGAGCCAGTCAGTGCCTCGCAGAAGGTAATACCGTACAGACCGGAGTCGGCGTTCGACCACCACAACGTATTTTCAGACGATTAACCCTTGAAATAAAAGCCCTGAAAATTGCGACTAACTCGATAGACAACCGGTGATTTCCCGGGGCCAGATTCGCACGTTTTTCGCTTTGACCTGCATCTGAGCGCAAAGTACCGACCCCGCGGGGAAAGGAAAACCGCCGGCAGAAGGCTGAGCCGCCTTATGTAATGGTATCGAGTTGGTAATTTCTATTCTTCTCCCCGCAAAACTGGTCGCTTACCATATCCAGGGCCCTTCACTCCGCAATTTCTCCGATCCGACTTCGACTTGGTCTTCATATTCAGCCTTTAACCTCCCCCTTCCCCTTGCCATGTGGTAATGGGTATTCTTCGCTGCTCCTGAACCTCCCCTGATCACGGGACCCCTCGTTGCGCCATGTCTATTCTAGCACGCCCCCCAAAGCGGAAACTACACGAGGTCGAGACGCTAGAAGATGGCTCTCGAAATTATAGTCCCAGTGGGCTCGCAACGCCCGTCATCTCCATGTCTCGGCCACCTTCTCGTCGGTCGAGCGAGCACCGAGAAGCATCCGACTCACATTCGCTGCCGTCCTTGCGGGAACTTCACTCCAATCGCGGATCGCCCGTTATGTTCGAGAACAGTCACCTCCAGACCCATCGTACCTTCAGTCCGAAGGCATCCATCGTCTTGATCGGAATCCGCGGAACGGGCAAGTCGAGTCTCGCGGTCATCCTCGCCGCGACCTCCGGCCGGCGCTTGATCGATGCAGACCGCTACTTCCAACAAATTGTCGGATGTTCTCGTGCTGCTTTCAAGAAGGAGAACGATGGCTTTGTGTATCGACACCAGGAGGCGCGGGTCATGGAGTCGATGCTGGCGGACAACCAAGAGGGATGCGTGATAGCGTGTGGGGCTGGATCGATGGAGCGCAACGGGCAAAGACTTCTCAGGGAGTACGCCCAAACACATCCAGTGATACACGTCATTCGGGACCCAGAAAGCATCCAGTCTTACCTCAAGGCTTGGGATACACAAAAGGTCCGCCACTTCCTCGAGATATCCGGTCCGATCTACCGAGGCTGTTCCAATCTTGAGTTCTTCAATCTCTCGGAGACCAGAGGTGACAACGTGGACAAGGACGATGACAATGCCTCGCCAGCTCATAAAATCGAACCCCGGTCACATACCCCCATCCCGTTCCTGACTCTAAAAAGAGTCCAACGGGATTTCCTTCGGTTCATTGCGTTCATCACTGGCGACATCGCAGAACTGAACAGTCAACATGCATCTTTCCCACTTTCGCTGCTACCCGTGGAGTCTCGGACGTACACATCTGCGGTCTCTGTTCCGCTCTCTAAGCTGGGCGAGAAAGGTATCGACATTGAGGAGCTAGAGTTCACTGTCGATGCTTTCGAGCTGGCAATCGACGTCGCAGACCCTTCGGCTCAGCCGGAACTGGACTCAAATATCGCAGACAGCATCAGTCAAGCCGTGGCAACCATTCGCCGTAATATCATCGTCCCCCTGATCTACCATGTCGAAAGTTATACCACTCCTGGCAGCACCTCATCACCCACCCGCGCTCCTGTACGGTGTACCGACGAGAATTATCTGAACCTCGTTCGGCATGGGCTACGCCTCTCTACAGGATTCCTCACTGTGGACCTTACTCGTGATGATCACATTATATCCCAGATCATTTCCGCAAGTGGTCGTACTCGAATCATCGGGCACTTCGAAGCCTTCCAACCTTTGCCAGGAGGCTGGGATGGAGATGAATATATGAAAGTCTACGAACGGGCCAAACGACTGGGATGTGACGTTGTGCGGCTATTCCAGCCCGCTGAATCTGCGGAAGATAATCTGGCGGTGCAGCGATTCCGCCATCGAGTGCAAAGTTTGCCCGTTTCGGGGCTTCCTTTAATTGCCTACAACACAGGCCCTCTCGGCCGCATGTCTCGCTGTTTCAATCCAATCCTCACCCCTGTCACACATCCATCTTTGGTTACTCAACCGTCAAACCAATTACGTTCAAATATCACAGCCCGTGAAGCACAGCAGGCACTCTACAGCTCCTTTGCGTTAGATCCTATGCAGTTCTTTGTCTTCGGTGCAAATACTACATACAGTATGTCACCAGCGATGCACAATACAGCATTCAAAATATGTGGCTTGCCGCATAAGTATTCGATCCACCAATCGCCCACTTTGCGTGGGTTGAACGATCTAGTCGAGAATCAATACTTCGGCGGATCCAGTGTCAGTCTTCCATACAAGACTGAGTGCATTCCCCTACTTCATTCAATGTCTACCCACGCCCGCGCCATTGGCGCCATCAATACCCTCATTCCTATCCGAAACTTCAGTGACACCAACAACCTCCTTCTACAAGAATCATCAGTCTTCCTTGAAAAGAGCCACGCAGGCCCCATCAAGGGTCTTCATGGTGACAACACCGATTGGATTGGTATTTGCAATTGTATTCGCCGAGGTCTGTCACCTGCAAACGCGGTTCGGCCATCATCTACCGGCCTCGTCATCGGATCTGGTGGAATGGCTCGTGCTGCGATCTACTCAATGATCCATCTCGGCATACAGAATATCTTTGTCCACAATCGTACCCTCGCCAACGCAGAGAAGCTGGCACATCATTATAACCGACAAGACCTCCACCCCAAAGAGGCGCATGGATCTGGACGTCCCACGGTCCGCATCATTGCTTCACTCTCAGACCCCTGGCCTGCCGATTTCAAGCAACCCACTGTTGTAGTCTCGTGTATTCCAGCTCACAGCATTGGCGGTCAGCCAGCACCGAACTTCCACATGCCCACGCAATGGCTGGAAAGCCCGACAGGTGGTGTTATCATTGACGTAAGTTTCAGCTCCAACAATACACTGAATAGTTCCCCATGGTTGATATCTAACCGATTCTTTAGCTGGCATACAAACCCTTGAACACCCCTCTCATGAAACAAACTCGCGCCCTATCCCATCGTGGGTGGGTAGCATTGGATGGTCTTGACGTCCTCCCCGAACAAGGTTTTGCTCAATTCGAATTATTCACAGGCCGCCGTGCGCCTCGTCGCGTCATGCGGAGTATCGTGCTCCAGGAATACAAGGACGACGAAGGAAATGATGACCATGACGCGATTCAAGACCGCCTACAGCAGATGGACGGGCAGCCAAGCTGAAACTTGATACCCGAAAAAAAGCGCACTGTCGAGGTACTTTAACACTAGGGATCACTTGTTTTCCTATGCGGCACTTTGGCTCATATGCATGGTTGTGCTCTCGAAATGTGTGATATGTCTATATATATGTCTTAACGATATCAGTACGAATGTGCCTCGCACTCATCGCTAGTATTATTGCCACAAGTAGAAGTTTCCTAGCATGTATATCACCGTGAAACGCTGGAATATATTTGAACCCAGGATAGGAAGTGATGACACTGAGTCCACGTTGGCTTCCGCATTAGTACTATTGAACTTTGCCGCTAGGTCTTTTCCTATACTATCCGCAAGTGCCGCCGGATGACTCTGCATCGCATTCTAGAAGTTCACCCCTCCGATGAAGACAGATAGTGATATCGCAATGTTGCGAGTGAAATCGAATGTCACAATCGCAGATGCAGAACCAGGCGGATCCACATGCGATGGTAACGCAATCAAGAGTGACTGGAAGTTTAATCCTACCCCCACCCCAGCAACAGCTTCGATATCCGCGATTTTGGCTATTGACATATTCTCGTCGAATGTGAAGAACAATCCAGAATTAAGGGCTAGGATTACCATTCCGGTCCATATGGGTTCGCAATAGTGACCTGTTGTCAGGGGTCATTATAATACCAACTGAGGTGGACTTGTCGTGTCCGACCGGTATGTTTGATAATGAGCCAGTTGCTATGCCAGTGAGACATTGAACAATGTCAATAGATAGAGTAAATACTCCAGATATCATGATCAATGTGCCTTTGACGACTTGGAAGAAAAGAGGAGAAAGCAAAAGGCGCAGATGTAGACCTAGAAAGACTTCCTCGTCGGCATTGATAACATCATGAAGAAGTGAACTGGCCGTGTATTTCCAAAATTGTGACAGAAGCAGACAAGCAATGCTGCTTGCTATGTTTGAACGTTTATTGAAAAGACCCAATAGCATAGTGGGAAACCTTGCATATCTAGCTTCACTTACCAGAAACATAGATAGCATGAGGATCCCGAATATAACGACAGAATACAGGAGGCGACTGCCATGGAAGAGGCGTTCCTCCAAAGTTAAAACCGAGGAAAAGCATCAAAATTGTCCTTTAAATGGTGATAACTCCTAGGCCGTCAATCTTTTTCAGGTCAGATCCAAAGGAAAGCTGATCCACCAATTCCATCTCCACGATACTAGCTGGGTGAAGACGCCTCCTGAAACGGGTCCAATGCCACTGTCTAATGCCCAGGCGACACTGGTAAGATCGAGATACATGCCTCTTTGTCCTTTTGATAGTTAGCAGGAGAATCTGACACTGAAGCAAGCACTGACAGACCCTATGTCAAACATATTTGTGATTCAGATATTAACAGGAATCACCACGCCTCCAGCCGCTTCCCTGGATCGCACGACCACTGAGAAACATTGGAATATTGACTGACGCAGCGCAAGTAAGGATCCGACAAAAATTCGGCCACCGCAGCAAGAAGCATCGCCTTCCGTCCCCAGATATCATTTAGTTTTCCCCACACCGGAGTGGAGTTTGCATTTGCCAATAGATAGGCGGAACCAATCCATATATAACCAGACCCTGATAGGAAGACTTTCAATATGAAAGGGATAGCTGGGCTCGCAATGGTCTTCCAATCACAATTTTAGCCGAAAACCATGTAGAATGTATTTGGATGCACAAACAAGATCGAGTGCTGCAGTAAACAACGAGAGCTAATGGGTAGATGTTAGACAATGTTTTCTAAATCAATTGGAACCGGCGTATACGAATAGACAGCCAATCACTATTAGCGTCCGCGTTCAGCTGGGTTTCGGTGGTATTGCGCCGGCTTCGGGACCATCTGGAGAATTGGTCGAATACATGTTCTCCGTGATTCCGTAGTAGGGGGGAAGCGGAGTCAGGTAAAAAGGATTTCGGCGAATAAATTAATATACACAGCTGTCTTAAGGGGTTTCTCTATCGTTGATCCGGCTAGTCTCCCCTCCCAAAATGCACTCCATGATCTGACAAGGGTGCGTAGGGGCCAAATTAAGCAACCTGGCCTTGGACCGGTCCGATGGCATATCTTAGATTTTGGGCATCGCTATGTGTGAGCTATGAATGCCTCAACAGTAGAATATGACACCGAGAAATTTACTCCGGCATCTTGAATGTGAACAAGAGAAAGGAAGAAAAGAAATAAAAAAGGACAACGGGGCCAAGAAAGAGATCTTGAATAAGTTGATGCAGAATTCCCGGTTCATATAATGCGAATAAGGAAGATATAGTATCACTCCATTGAAGAAACCATATCAGCTCAGTAGTGTCAGTGTGGTCTATTGGTCTATTCTCAACTTGATGGGCGGTGGAGTTGGAACTGACAGGCGGTCGATCGGAGCTAGTCCCTCTCAATCTTGCTTCGTAGGCAAAGAAACTTCGGCTGGTGTCATCAAATGTTATATTCCACCTCGCCCTACGGATTATAGAAAACCTCAGTTTTTAATCATGAAACAACCAAATTCAGCCCTTGAGGGGGTACTACCCTCAGGCTTCACACCATTGGTCAGGGCTTCTGCAGCACCGCGAGGGCATCACATACAGTAATTTGAGCCCCAAGAAATGGCTAGGTACAAGTAGATGATCGATAAATCGCTTGGGATGCAAGTACTGAGCGACTTTTTGCACCACCTTCAGTTGCCTAGAAGTTGCCCAAGGTTCTGTCTGATGAGTAGCGTAGAACTAGAACGCAGTTCTCTCAGAATAAAGCCCAGACCCTGGGTTCACGGCAACTAATCAGTATGAAACACATTACCTGGAGTTTACAATATATTGGAAAAGTGGCGCGATCCGCGAGAGGCCGAAGCCGTGAAGGTTCTCGGAGATTAGCGATTATCTGATTGATAACCGGGATCAAGGTACGCTAGTGGAATAGCGCGAACGTTGGTCTCCACTCCAACGTTTGGATTTTCCCACTCGTGTGACTTTCAACTGCTAACTTCGACTACATTTCTAATACCATCTCTGAATCGGCTGTTCCTTTGGCTCCAAGTTTTTCCAGGAGAAAAATAGATCGAGATGACTTGCAGCGTCCCGCAAAAGCCCCGAACGCGAGCACAATGGCTGACTGACCCACCACACCAGCAAGGATCATCGCTTGACTCTGCCAGCTGGATGGGGGTCCGAGGACGTCTCGCATAAGGCGGCAGGGAAAAGTGGGCCCACCCGCTAATTAGGCAGGGATGCCTCATGCGTGCTCAGCGAATCAACCTACAGAGCCAGGCGGCCACCGAAACCAAGACAAGCACAATCGCCGCAGCCACCCGAGCGCGTTCCCTTAGTGCTCGTTGCTTGTCGTTAAGCATCCGACTTCGGGACATGTATTCTAGATAGGTAAAGATCCGCATCGCCCTGTGCGAGCTTTAATATTTAGTGTTCGTGACGTCTGGATCTATTGTGACTTCTCCATCAGCAGTCACTATGCATGTTCCTCCTCTGATCCGTCGAGCACGAACGGTATATCGTCGCATGCCAAATCGAGTGACTCCGGAGAGTATTGAGACAAGCACAATACAAAACAGCAAAGCACAGGTAAATCCTGAGGGGCAAGATGATCTCACGTTAAGCTACACCAATTCTGAATCCCGCGAGCACATGCCTGATGAACATGCCCAGCGAGGTGTTCAAGATGTTGAAGCTGTGGCCCTTGCTTGGTCTAAAGGCTATTTGATTGCAGTATTCGTGAAGTATGTATCTAATCACTTAGTGCATTTCTGTTGTGCAATTTGCACAAAGTTCTAACAAAACAAATCGCGTAGTATTTGGTGCTTATATTTCGTCAACGCATTTCAAGCAACAATGAACACGAGTCTTAACCCCTATGTCACGAGCACCTTCCAATCACATTCGCTTTCGGGTGTTCCCACCGCGCTCGGCGATGCCTTTGCAGCTGCCACCTACCTTCCGATGGCAAAATTGATGGATGTTTGGGGTCGCGCAGAGGGGTTTCTATTCATGATCATATGTCTTACGATCGGATTGATTCTCATGGCAACTTGCCAAACATTCGAGACTTACTGTGCCGCCAATGTGAGTCCTCTGTTGACCACCAGAACTTGTGGATATGCGCGAGGTGCGCGTTGTTCTTAATACTGACATTGTGGCTTTAAGGTCTTCTGGTACATCGGTTTCTATGGCACCGAGTACGCAATTGATGTTGTGACTGCTGATGCATCGACTCTTCAAAATCGTGCCTTCGCATATGCGTTTACATCCTCCCCATACATCATCACCGCTTTTGCTGGACCAAAGGTGGCAGAGCAGTTTTACTATGATATTTCCTGGAGATGGGGGTTTGGCGCCTGGGCTATTATCACGCCCATCGTGGCTACACCGCTTTACGTCATGCTGAAGTACAACCTTTCTAAAGCTGAAAAAGAGGGATACCGGATAAAGAGACCAAGTGGTCGCTCCATGTTAGAGAGTATCTGGCATTGGACTGTACAGTTTGATTGTGAGTGTTACTGTCGTCATTTGATCCCATATAACCCAGTTCTATGAAATTGAATTCTTATCCAAGATTATAGTGCTTGGTGTCTTCGTCTTTACTGCTGGACTCGTGCTTTTCGAGCTTCCTTTCGATGTAGCTGCCTATGCTCCTGATGGCTGGGCCTCGGGGTATATCATTGCCATGCTTGCTGTCGGATTCTCGATGCTATTCTTCTTTGCAATTTGGGAGAAATGGCTTGCCCCCGTACCTGTGCTTGAGTGGCGCTTGCTCACAAATCGTACGATCATCGGTGCAATTCTACTTGATGCAACATATCAACTTTCCAACTATTGCTGGAGCTATTACTTTACCTCCTGGTTGCAGGTCAACAATGATCTTACTATCACTACCTCGAACTATATTAACAACATCTTTGATATGGTCTCGGGCGTGCTTTTGCTTCTTCTTGGCTGGTTCATACGCATGGTTGGCCGTTATAAGTGGACTTTGTACATTGCAATTCCGCTATACATTTTTGCACAGGGATTGATGATTCATTTCCGAACGCCAAATGGCGACGTCGGCTATCAAGTGATGTGTCAGATTTTCCTTGCCATTGGAGGTTCAGTCTTTATTCTGGTTGAACAGCTAGCAATCCTGGCTGCAGTTGACCACCAGCACGTTGCCACCGCCCTCGCTCTTCTAAATGTGGCAGGAACTATTGGAGACAGCGCGGGCATCACTATCAGTACAATTATCTGGCAGCAGACATACCTGAAAGCCCTTTGTCGATATCTGCCCGAATCGGCGTTGCCGAATCTCAACAACATTTACGAGGATCTCACAACCCAAACCAGTTATCCTATTGGAACCCCGATCCGGCTAGCCATTCAGAAAGCTTATGCTTACGCAGAACTGAGACTGCTTGCCGTGGGGTGTGGGATCATGGTTCTAGCAATTCCGTGGACTATTCTGATCAAGGACATGGACCTCAAGAGGAAGCCACAGGTCAAGGGAACAGTCTTTTAGTTAACAATCACCTTCCGTATATAATCGAAATGGTCTTTATTCTGGAGATGCCCGGATCGAATAGTCCACTCCGCTCGGGTTTATGATGAAATTGCTCGCCTGGTTGTTCCTAAAATGGATAGTGTAAATGGGTCACACGCGTCGCTCTCGTGGGGCCAATAAAGTGGGTGCAATGGCGGCTCGTCGGGCACCAAAGTACTGAGGTGAGCGATCAAACTGTTGCTACGCAAGCGTACGAGTAGTTACGAGTTTAAACCAGACAAAGGCGTGTAGATAAAAAGTCAGCCGTATCGAAAAAAAAAGCCAAAACCGATATCGGACAGGGCCAAGTTGCTCAAAACACCGCTCTAAGCGCGTGGGCTCACTTCGCGAGCTAGGGCCGAGTGCACGGCTTCGGTGGTAGTTAGCATCCCACTAGCATCAATGTTGCATCCTCTTCCGAACTTGGTCCTTGCGCTCACCTTCTCATAGTTATAAGCTATCCACGGTCCTGTCCCTGGCCGTCGCGATACCCGCGACGTGTCGTATGACGGCGGAGCACGAGTCTCCGTCCAGAAAAAACACAGTCTGATACATAGCAAGTTACTTTGGATCTTGCAATGCGTCAAACAGGAAACAAACAGCTGATGGACTTCGGGTTCTCTGGATCTGACGAAATTGAAGAGATCAAAGAATTGAACGAACTCGTTTGGGAAAATAACGGCGGCGTTGAGATTGTTAAGGCTGGAACTCTGACGGCGCTTGTTGAAAGCTTGACTCGCCATGACAGGCTTGAGGCTTCTTTTAATCGGATATTTCTCACGACATACGAATACTTTACATCAACCCCGGTTCTGACTGATCTCCTCATCCGGCGGTTTTCCTGCCCGCCACCCGTCACTTTTAGTCCAACCCAAGCAGCAGAATGGTCAACGCGAAGAAAACCATTAGTTCAAGTCCGCGTGATAAATATCTTGAAACAGTGGCTTGAACATTTTTGGACCGGTCCAGAAGGTCCTGATGATCCAAATTTGCTAAAGCTACAAAGTTTTGCGAACGTTGCTGTCGCAGAGACAAGTGCCGCGAAACATCTTCTTGAGCTTGTCCAACGCCGACTTGCGGGTCTGGAACTGAAAAGATCGCATCCATCTCCTCCAAAGCCACCAAAACCAATTTTACCGCGAAAATTGAACAAACTCGAGTTCATCAAAATCGACCCAAAAGAAATCGCGCGCCAATTAACTATTATGGAGGCGTGCATGTTCAGCAAACTGCAGACATGTGAATTCTTACATAAAACATGGCAGAAGAAAGACAGTCCCGATGCATTTCATCCAGCACACAATGTTAAAGCTTTGATTCGATATTTCAATCAGCTCTCAAACTGGGTTGGTGCCCTGATAATTGCAGAATCGGAACTGAAAAAGCGAACGCAGTGTATAGGACATCTGGTCAATGTGGCCACTGTATGATATAATTTCCCCGATGAGATATACGGCCATAAACTAAGACAAAAGAAACAGGAATGTTACAATCTGCAAAATTACTCCGCCGTGATATCTATTCTATCAGGACTGGAGAGCGCCCCAATCTACCGGCTTGCTCGAACATGGGCAATGGTTACCCAACGTAGCTGCGATGCACTTAGACCTTTACAAGCCATGATCTCTAGCGCACAAAACTATAATGCCTACCGTGAGACGATACGGATGGCAGTTCCTCCATGTATACCCTTCCTTGGTGAGCCAGATCTTGAATTTATCGCCAAATGTACCAAACTGACTTTCCATATTCTCACAAGGTTTGTTCTTGAAGGACCTCACTTTCATCGAAGATGGAAATCCATCCGTTACGTCAGAAGGTCTCATCAATTTTCATAAGTGCACCATGCTAGCATCATGTGTTCACGAGATCCAGCGTTTTCAACAAGCTTCCTATTGTTTACAAATTGTTCCAGAGATACAAGACTATCTCGTTACTCAACTGCAATCTGCACCTGATGTACACGATATGTACGAAAGAAGCTGCGTGTTAGAGCCTCTTGGTCGGGGCGAACACAGGCACAGAGATTCTTATACCCCGACTGGCGGTATGACGACCTCAATGGTTATCGCCTGTATGATTCTAGACGATTAATGTTTTAATGTCAAAATACCAAAAGCATACTGTATCAACCTCATGCTCATACTTAAATAAAAGGTCGGCAAAGTATTGCCAGTCTCATTGTTCAAAGTAGGAATCGTAAGTTTCCTGCCCTTTTTTAGCTCTACTTTAAGAGCTGTTCTAGCAACTCTTGATCTGAACTGATGCTTGGTCTTATGGGTACAAAGGTTCCTTGGAATATACATCTCAATAAAGTCAGTAAGTTGGCACCGTCGATCGATCGAGAATCTAGCCCAAGGGACAAAGCTTACTTGTATTCCTTATCCTGGCGCAGATTTCTTTTATGTGGGTTCCAGTTGTGGCAGTATCTTATATAAGGCAATAAATAGAGTACAGCGACGCAAGGAACTCATTCATGAGCCGGCCTTGCTAAAGAATACAATGCCTAATCAAGCGATGCAATTCAGCACCATTCAGGATGCTGTCGAAGATTTCAGTAAGAGCTGCATCCCCACCTGGGATCCTGAAATGCTGTATTATATGAATAGATCTGCTCATACATACCTGCAGAGAAGGGGAAATTTGTAGTCGTCCTTGATTTCTGGGGAGCGCAAAATGAGGGGGATCTGTTATATCACAGATGCCCAAATGACATTTATGATTCACTAACACGAGGTATGTCAGTCCCCAGAGAATATGCGCTCTTTTTTTCTGAGTTCGAATATCATTCAAGGCTAATGCAACCTCTACGAATGTATCAGTGGCCTGATTTGTACACCCATGTCACCTGAATTTGCGGATCATCTTGAACTGCCCTAGGTCGTCGCTAAAATTGTCGATCCAAATCGCACAGCATATACCATTGCTGTGGATGCCGACAATTTATCTATCAGCACTACAATTTCAGCCCACGACCGCTCGCTTACGTTCAGAAACCGGGCAAAACATGACATTCAGCTTACTGATCTCAGGCCACCGGGCCATGTTGTACCTCTGCGAGCTCATGCAGCCGGGTTGAGGGATCGGGTGGGCACCCCAAAGCTTCTGTTGAGCTATGCAGACCTGCTGGTAAAAGATCAGTTGGTGCTATCTCTGAGCTAGTGTCAGATGGGAGTGAAATACAAGAGGTGGCGGAAAGGCAGGAGAATGGCATGTTGCGGCGGGATGATTGCTTGGCCTTTGGAAAGGATGGGGCTTGGCTGTAATTACTGTAGAGCAATTGACTAAATATGAACGAAATGAAAGTTAATTATGTACTTAAAGAGCTGCACAAGCTAGGACAAGCTTCGTCTATTTTGTGAGTTGGTTCAATGCTGACCGTCTATATTAAGACCGGTTTAGAATCATGTGACTTATACATACAAGTAAGTTGAATGAAACCACGCACTATACCTTTGTTTTAAGCTTTAATTTACGTGTAGAGTCCAATTTCACAAAGCAACTAACCTGATCGGTCAATATACCCCGTGTCAAGTTCAGGTAGAAACAAGCGTTCAAGTAAGCAGAAGAATATGTTGATGAGCTCGCCAAGCTATATCATATGCTTAATCATATGCTTTTTTCTGAGCCATCGAATGCTAATAGTGCGCTGGCACATTTGTAGCGAATTTAGGGCATTACACGGAGCCACTAGGTTCTATTAACTGAGCATGCTACATCATTCCCCCCCCACCCCCCAATGTTTCCAAATGGGCACAGCTGTTTTACCGTCATCTCGATAAACCCGACGCGCCCACATCGTACAGTAATGTTCGAAATCAGCTTTACCTTTTCACACTCTCGCATTGTTTGCCAGAGCCCCACCTGGAGCGCACTAGTCCATATTAGGAAGACCTTCCGTTATTCTTACATCTGCCAATGTACCTTCGATGAATTGACAGTAATCTCATTTATGGACAAAAGACTGTCTTCGCCTAGGTGGCAATCATACTACCCTCACATGTTATATTCTATCTAAATGTAATATTTACTTTCTACACGGCCGCAAATATGTAGGGAACTTTTGTCGAAAAAATGAGGTGTCAATACATTCGATGGTATCAGGGTTAATCATTTTTGTTGTGATGTGAGGCTGGTGCGGTGCAGATCAGGAACCAAGCCGCACCATCGGAATTGATTCTTGAGGTAACTATACGAAGATCCAAGTTGATTTCCAATTAACTTAAGCGTCTCATTGTATATATAGCTCCACGAAGTCCCTCGGAGAATAATCAAAAAAAGAAATTCCTTTGAATTACAACAATTTTTATTTTTTACATAAGATTCTGGAATCAGTTAAATTGTATACCTGAGACTTCACACACTGACGACTAAATTTACGGAATATAAACCCGAAAAGCGAGTCCTGGTTAGATATTATCTTCTACATAATAACTAGCAAATATCAGGCAAATATGGCCAAAATCACAAAATCCAGATCCCCACAAAGAAACCTTATCCCGCGATGTAAAATTGGTCGAAAACCTGGTGTTTGATCGATCCGACTTTTTAGGGGCCATAGAGCTATTTTGGCAGCCATTAAGGGGTTCAAATGTCCTAATCAGGTATAGCGGTATACCTTTCGGCGACACTAGCACCACGCTAGCACCTAAACAGGCTAGAGGGCATCGCTTAGTCCTTTAGAATACAAAGAAAGAGCCAATAGGATGCTTCCGTTTCAACGCGATGCATGCATTATCCGAAATTGCTTTAGACTGGACTCTGGCCCAAACCTGCAGAGACCCTGAAATAAACTCTTGTCGTATATGAAGGGGCTGGCCGCTCTATCTGTTCCTCTTATCATCTTTTCAAAATTTCCATTCCTGTCGCTCATTTGACTATATACCCGACATTCGTTAAATCAATACAACATGCGTATCCAATCTTTCGCCCTTTTGGCCGGTGCCACTGCCGCCATCGCTGCCGAGACAGTCTCTCTTTTTCTAATTGGCTTCGATGAGCAACCACTTGAGGGCAAGATCATTGGCACTGTAAGCACAACCATCCCTCTATCAATCTACCACAAAAACCTAACCAATGTTATCCTAGACCGGCTCCATGACCAAATATCTTATCAAGTGTGCTGCTGGCGTAGACTCCACCGAATGCGGCCTTCCCCCTAATGGCATGACCGTGGCCCAAGGCTCTTCAACCGTCAGCCTGGCATACGGCACGGGACGTATGTGAGTATATCCAGCCCTACAAGGAATCTACTTCTACCCCACAAGTCATAGCTGATCATTTCCTGAAACAGGTCCATCGCTGAGAACTGCAAGTATGATTCCGTAAGCGTGACCTGTGCCGCAAGCCTCGACGAAGAAGGCATAACCACCACATTCACCTCCGCCGTCGCCCTTACTGAAATCCCCGGTGGCGGCGCTTTGATGCCTGTCACTATCACCGGAACTGGAACGGAGAAGGCTGCCGCCACTACTGGTGCCTCCGTATCGGCTTCTACCGCTGCCTCGACTAGCGGCGCTACTTTGACTACCTCCGCTTCCACTACCGGTGGTACTAGCACCGGTACTAGCACTAGCGACTCCTCGGATAGCAGCAGTGCTGCTGCCACCAGCCAGACTGAATCTGGTAACGCTGCTATGCCTATGATTACTGGAAACGCGCACTGGGCTGCCGGTGGTGTTGTAGCTGCATTGGCTCTTGCCGCTCTTTGATCATCTGGACATTTTTTGGAATGAGGTTGGAGGTGTATAGTCGAGGCCCGCTTAACGCCTCTCTGCCTTGACAAAAAGTATGTACATCCTCATGTATCCTATGCAATATACCAAGCGTGATAATTTTTCTTTACTTTGGTCTTATCGACCTAATCTGAATCTATATTGTTGGCAATCGAATATGTACCTCGTATTTATGTCACACAACGTGGGACCTCGGAACATGTCCACTGAGCGCTATAACCCTCTAATTTCATTCGGACCCGTGGCGTGTAAGTTATGACTTGCGGTATAAGATACTAGCCGCAGCCTATATAATGGTCAGTGCCTATCCACACGAAAATCCAACCGCAAAAGAAACTTACTTGGTGGTTAGGGAAGACCAGGGTAGCAGCGATAACAACATTCTTTCTACGACCAGCGGAAAATATAACAATCTCGGCGATATTATCACCGGTAAATGGCTCGACGCCTCTGCCAATGGTTAATTATACTGCTTGTTTCCGCTTATTTGGCAAGACTTAATTGTAAACGGCATCAGCCTTGGACTTGTCTCCATTGGATCGCACAACAGAGAACTCCTAATCACGAGTACCATCATATCACAACTGTAAGTATATGCGGTGACCATACCGTCTCAACTTGACCAGGATCGATTTCAATAACACGAATTCTCGTGCTGATAAGCTCCTTTCTTATCGTATCAGTGAAGGAGCGGACAGACGCCTTGGTGGCGCAGTAAATGCTACCACCAGATTGATTACAGTAACTTACGTCAAGTCATCAAGGTACATTGATGGACGCAAGGAAAGCGGAAAGATGTCCTAATATAGACTAGTGCGCTCCAGGTGGGGCTCTGGCCAACAATGCGAGAGTGTGAAAAGGTAAAGCTGATTTCGAACATTACTGTAAAGTTGCGGCCCTCAGGTATTGTTCCAGCGTCTTCGGAAATGCTGCTTTACACATCCGGTGGAAAGGGTTCCATTTTGCCTTATGTTTTTATCCATGGAAACCATGAAGTTGGTTCCTTTTCTAACCAGGCGGTTGTGGACGCAAAAATTGTGGTTTTCTCTGGATAGGATCCTGGCTAACATGGTGTATGATCATTATCTAGCGATCAAATTGGCCTTTCCACAAAGCCACAGGATGATGTTCTTTACCTGTACGAATTGAAATTGGGTTTAATTTTCGCTTTCACATCCCCACCCCTTAATTTGGCCACCCCTGATGATTTCTCAGAGCAGTGCTAGTATACGGAAGAAGTGATCATTCACCTTGCAGTCTTGATGACAGAATTTACCTTGCCAAAACAATGCGGAGCTTTGTTCCGTACTTTGTTCAGTCAATGTCTATCAGAAGCGACAGTGACCTCCCAGGTGACGCACAGACTTTGTGCAAAGAAATCACTAACTACCTTGGGCTGAAAGCAGACAGAAAGGACTTGGATGATTTTATTGAAGTATATCGGAATCACTATTTTCGCAACCCCTCGGTTCCGAAAGAGGCTATTCTTGAATCATGCTTGCTTCATATTCTCAAGATGCCTTTCGATCTCGATTCTTCTATCACGCATGGCTTAATAAAGCAATGAGACCTCTTTTTTCTTCTTTGTTTAAAAACGACTTACCACAGATCAGTTTCGATCTGCACACACGTCTGTATTATTTATCAGTCCTCGCCGACTAGCACAAGCCGATGGATAGTGTAACCAGCCTTGTGATTTAAGACCAGGTTATCAATATTCTGGCTAAACTCTGCTGATGTAGTCTTCATTTTACGAAGCTTGGCAGTGTCGATTTGAAGCACGACTCAACTAACCGTCTCATTAGTGAGGCGACCGCAGTTGGAGACTGGTAGAATGGCTTTGTTGCGGTAGGTAATCTTGTTGTCCTTGTAGAGAAGGCAAGTGTGAGTGTCACCTGGGAGCACATATCCGAACCAGCCTAGCAAGGATCATGAAAATGACCTAGGGGGGCAAACTTACCCACGCATCTCTCCAAATGGTCCCTCCAGTCCAGGTTCGGTAATAGACATAGTTCCTACAAGCAGGATTTCGGCATTGACGGGAACGTAGAGGTCGTTAGCTCACAATTCGCCACATCGATCGCATGGTCCGTCGTAGCTTCAATGTAAACAGCTTCAGTGCATCCATCGGGCAGGGGCATACTGGATATCATGATAGCAGCGGTAGGAACACCAAAGACAAGAGCCCAAGGGACATCCTTGCCGATGGCCTTCCATTTCTGCTGCATCTGCCACCTGTGCTGAGGAGGAAGGACGAGGCCAGCCAAATGGTCCTTGTTGTAGGCCAAGGCCCTGGCAATAGAACAGTTTGTCCCAAATTTTGTCCGGGGATGAGATCACATGCATGCCATAGGTCTGAATGTACTTTCCTCAGTCAGATTGAAGAAGGAGTGGAACAGGAAGCTTGGTTAAATCGAAGTCTCCAGCATTGAAAGCGTTTCCTTGCAGGGACCGGTCTCGGCAATCCGGGGGGAATAGATGTCGAGTTCTCCGCCGAGAGCATCTTGTCTAAGATCTCCTTCATTCTTGCGGTGGGCGGGAGAATGAGGTGGCGTGCAAGTCTGCCATATCTGGTCTTCGGGTCGGATCGAGGAGAGTTGGGATGGACCCAGGTTCTGTTCTGTCGATCATTGGGACTACATGTACAAGCAACGGTTCTAGATCAGTGTAAGTTTCGAATGGATAAATCTTCGATCCTCGGCGAGTGTACAGCTTGAGGTAGAAGCTAATTGTTCCGCGAAGCGCCGCACGGGCGTGCGCCAACTAGGGGTTCCCAATGCTCCATCACAGCTTGAATTGCGGTTTGTACATCATCTCCTTCAAAAATCACCACGAGTGTTATAGGCCATATTAATGTAAAGCCTTCTGGTATATTACGTTTATACTATGTTCACTAGCTATTCAGATATTTCACAAACAGTGAAAGGGAAAGCTGGGCAAACAGTAGTCTGGGGAGGCTTCCTTTCCACCAGCTTTTTAGTCTTGGAGTCAAAAGTATCTTCCCTCGTAACGACTTCAAACCTTAACTGATGTTCAACGAGTATTGCTTTTTTTGCTTCCATGTGAAAACCCTGGTCAGAGTGACTATAGGGTGGAGGGCACACATCGTCCGCGGCACCAAATTCATAACATGCCAGGTCAACCTCATCAATCACAGCTGCACTCTTTGGATAGTTGAATGCAAAATTAATGGGTAAAGACCAGATGTTGTCTTCTTGTGCGATGGTGCCATTTTTGGCGTAGGGATTCTGGTCAGATCCCCAGTACCCCTTAACCGTTCCCTCGCACAGCTTTTTTGTTATCTCACTCTTGCAAATTTTGTATCTAAGGGTTGAACCATCAAGGGGTTGGCTCATCACCTTGATTACCTCCTCTGCATACCATCTCAGTTCCCGTATCACGAGATGCTTATCCTCTGTGGGTCGGTAGCTTCGTAATATTTGCCAGCGAGGAGAGAGAATAGCGGTAAATGAAAGCGTCGGTTCGGATGTTGGATTCGGTTTTTGTATGAGACTCATTTTCTTAATCAACTTTGAAAGAGGAATTTCCAACCCAGTTCTGATAAGGTGTGAGTCTTCCGAGGTGGCTTGACGGCGGAGTTTAACAGGTTGACTCCTTGTAACAGGCTCACGGCCTTCAGCCGTAAACGAGGCAATTATTTCATATGTAACAGATCCCAATGGTGTTTTTGTGGTTGTGGGTATAGTAGCTGGGACGTCCAAGGAAAAAGAGTATTTGCAAACTATCTTCCCTGGAAGTTCCTTAGTTCCTTCCAGACTGCAAAGCATCAATGAGATTTCGACAGCTTGTTCCTCTTCGAGTGAGCCCTCTGGAGGGTTGACTGACGGGCTGAAGAACGAAGGGCAAAAAAGTCGACTTTTGTTGAATGAAAAACGTGGACTGGTCTTCGTGCAGCAGCTTTTGCCGGAGGTTGATTTCACAAATTGAACAAGTCGAGCATAAATCGATGTGGTTGATGGTAATAATGAGCTTGAGTCCGCTGATATAATAATATGACCAGAAAGTGACGCGTATTCGCCCTTTTCGCCGCGTCGACTATTGATGTGATATGCAGAGGGAGCAACGAGCTCCAGATTGAATGAAGCCATAGCGTTTTGTAAGAAAGATGATATTGTGTGCAGCTGGGTTGTGTCACGGGCGAAGTATTTGAAGGATACGTGGGCTTAGAAATCCTGCTTCGCGGTGCCTACATTGTCACGTACACTACATTGTCGCGATGGGCGATCCACGCCCGATAAGGAAGCCAAGAGGGGATGTTAGAGTTCTGGATGGGACCGCTAGATCTTTTCAGGATGGAAGCTTGGCATCTCTGCATATTGTTCGTTGTTGACGCATGGAAGTATTGACGCTGCACGTTGCTGAAGTTAGGGGCATCAGTAATCAATTTCAGAGAAAGATTTCAATACGTGGATTTTTTGTTGGACACCACATTTCCACGCTGTTGTCCCTTCGTCACTGCGCATGGTATGAACATTACTGAGAAATATTGTGTCACCAGGTGACAACCCTAGAACCTTGTTGGACCTCAAAATATCCTCAATTCTTCTTGTAGTATCGGTTCTGACTGTCTGCGTTTCGGAAGGAATGAATTGAGCTAGAGCTGAGGGCAACACTGGTCACTGTGGCTTTTAGTTTGGAGAATTCACACGACAGATGACGCACGTCCCAATTTGATACAATAAGCTGTGCCAGTTGAATTCTAATTGTTTTGCTCAGGAGAGACAGGCCTGCGTTGATCTATAAACCGCCCCTCCGCTCGCCCCAGGGTGGAGCGGCTCAATCCGCCGCATTCCGCCACAGGTCAAAATCTCAATCAAATAGCCTAATGTGGTTTAGCGCCCCGCCAACTTCAAGTATCAATTGCAAAGACTTCCATTCGCATCACCTGATCTTGTACCTGAACCCACTACCTCGTTATCGCTGCTCTGGTTAGCTTGATGGACAAATGTCCGAGCGTTCTACGAAACCAGCACCCACAAAAGGTAATGATCCTTCTCTCTGTTAACGCGCGGTTCTAATCTTACAGATTGCCCAACGTGTCAAAGACGACGAATCAAGTGCGATCGAGGGCTTCCTGGGTGTTATAAATGCAGTAAGCGTAATTTGGAATGCCCAGGCTATGGGCTGAAGCTCAAATGGATCGAAGGGGTCGCCAGCCGAGGCAATCTGCGGGGCAGATCGATTCCTTCTGCAAACGCACCCAACAGTACATCAGCACCCTCGCATCGTTGGCCACATTCAAGTACAAACACAAATGACCATAACACGCACAATATCTCAATCGCCAAATGGTATGCCTCATCACATCCATGGCCTCTCTCGCCCTCTCATCTCCCAGCATCGCCTCTTTCTGAACGTTGCCTAGCACAGCCTCGCCCACTTCACGTGTCGCGGCTGGTTTCTTGGTTTAATGAACGCGTTGCACCTCGACTTGCATGGGTTCCTCACCAAAATGCGTGGCGACATATGATTCTGCCTATGGCTGAAAGTTCTGAGACGGTTCTCTCTTCTATTCTCGCTATTGCTGCTCATGATCTGGCATCTGAGTATCACCCAAACGATGTTGGGTCTCAAACATACCACCAGATGTCAAAAGCCTATCAAAATAAATCTCTGACTCTTCTCGCAAAGGAGTTGAACATTCTTTCCTCGTCGTCCGTCTTCCGGTCGGATGTGAGTACATCATCTGCGTTCACTCTTGCATCCGTGATCATTCTTTGCAACAATGAATTCATGCAACCGCAGGGAGCCGGATGGCGGGTCCATCTCGCAGCTGCAAGAGAGGTCATCATGGCAGCAAAAAGCAGATCACACACTTACAAACCATTGGCCAGTATTGAAGAGTTTCTCATGATTGAATTCTACGAAGCGTCAGTTTGGTCCAATCTCACGACTTTCGATGACTCGAATGAAGATATCAAGCCGTTTCCCCATAGCAACGAAAATGCAGTCTTCACCGATTTTGTCCGTGTCATCGATGAAATCACTCAAATAGAGCGTCTTAGGTTTCGGTCGCGGTCACAAAGTTTGCCTTATCATTTCGGGCCAACGCCGGCTATCATCTTGCAAATCAACTCTGCTCGAGATAGCATGATCCATCTTGCTGAAACTATCAACTTTCAGGACGAAGAAGACAGAAGAACTTTTAAGTTGGTGGTACTAATGTACTACCACGCAACTCTCATCTACAGCTGTCAAGCCCTAGGGGAACCACCCACCCAAGACTTCGATGCCCACAGTTCTCGCAACGAGATTCTCAAATATTTGCAATCGCTTTCCGGGATGCGGATTGATCTCTTTGCTCAAGATCTTGTTTGGCCACTGTTCATGGCAGGAACCGAACTTCGAGGCAACCCAGAAATACATCACCTCATTCGTGCCGGCTTTCGTTTGGTAATGCAATTCAGCCGCACTTTGGACAGAGCACGCGTCCTCTCATTCCTGGAGTCTTGGTGGAATGCCCCTGTGTCCTACGTGTCTTGGATTGACATGGCGCGATCGCAATATCGGGCTTCACATTGTGATTTTCTCTTGGTTTGAGATATCAGAGCAACGCATTAACGGAATAATAATATACTGCAGGATGTGAATAGTAAATTTCTCGCTGAGGAGTTGTTAGATGTTGCATCTCGGGGATGTGGTATGAACGCTTTATTTGTGAGGGTTGGACAGGTTGCTGGTGCGGTTTGGTCAGATAGGTTATGGTGTAAATATGAATGGTTCCCCAGACTTGTGTTGAGTTCTTTGTATACTGGTGCTTTGCCGGATGATCTTGAGTCTACTCTTGGACGAATTGATTGGGTACTTGTTGGTTTGCCTGCGGGAGTTTCGATTGATCTTGCTCTCGGGGAGAAGCCTGCATGTGATGCTTTTAGGGGTTTTCATTTGGTGTATCCGAGTCCTACGACTTGGAAGGTGGTTCGGTCTGTTCTTGTTGATATGCTTTGTGAATATGCCGGTAAGAAAATGGAGATTTTTTTCTCTTTCGCGGTGGGTGGAACGGGTTTGTCGAAGTTTTGAAGTTGGAGATCGGACGGAGACTCAATTGCAGGGGTTATTGGAAGTCAATCCTGCTTTGAAGTTTTGATCTTTCTTCGAAGCTGTCGTCGCTTCGGCTGGTAATGTGCCGGATAACGTCTTGTGAACAGGACACAGCAAGAAAGAGCGAGAAACCGAGAGCTGTGGGGATGATCAAGGACAAATGGATCCAGAAATGGATTCTCGAATGGCTGGGTACATCAAGTCTAGAGTCGTGAGATTTAGGGTCCCGTACAGCAGAGCCTCACGGGCCCACAGGTCAGATGTCAAAAGCTTAAGTCCACGTCGGCAATGAATGTTTCAAATTACTCAAGTCGAGTGAAAAACAACAGAAAAATGCATTAAAGTCATCCTCAAACACCCTAGCTATGACGTTGTTGAAGCCAACACTTTAAGAGCAGCAAAAATGGCCACCACAATGCATGGAAATGAAACACCACTCTATCCACGTATATCTCTCAACGGGGTTTCTCGCCGGCCTTTACATGAGAACGCGGTGTTTCACGTCCACGTTCCCATATCCACTTCCACACATGCGCGCACCAAACCAGATCGATTTGGCCTTCCATCTATGAACCCGAGACCGTAGCTTTGGGTTCAGGTGTTGGTCAACTCCGAGAATATTGTTGAAATTCTAGGGTTGCCAATAAATATGAATTTTGTAAGGATTGAAGTGGTCAGGATTCTGGGAGGGTGTGGTGATCCTGACAGCGTTTCCCAGGAGACGTACGCCTTGTTGACCCTGGCGCAGTTCCGTGGGAAGGAGACGAACTGGAACAGCAATCGAGTAAACAGGGCTTTACGCCTCTTGGGCCCAGCGAGCTTCGCGCAGGGGCATTTCCTCGCCGGCCTGCTCGCGGCTTCCGTCGATCTCGCGCTTCCAGGCGAAGTACTCGCCAAGACGGGTCTCAGCGTAGCTGGCATAGTCGAAGTCGATCTGGGAGATCTGGGCTTGGATGAGGGCCCACACACCCCTGTTCAATACTATTAGTAAAAAGTCTTTTTCCGGTTTTGTTTGACTGTCGTAAAAGCTCACCAGTAGAGACCGGGAATACCACGGAATCGGTCAACATCCTCATACAAGCGATCAACAATCTCGGCCTGCGACGAAGCATCGAGACCACGCTGCTGGCAGTAGCTTTTGGTGTATTCAGTAAGGAACTGACGGCGCACAGACTTAGTCGGCATCATGTTGTAATCGCAATCATAACCACCCCACTCAGCAAGGTGGTTAGAGATATCAAAGGCAGCAGGAGCAGGAACAGCGTATTCATAGTCGATAAAGTTAACCGGCGCGATACCGTCTTCGGAAATAGGCGCATTATCCTCACTAGGAAGAACGATAACGTTGGCGCAGAGGAGATCGCAGTGCGAGAAAACGAGCTAGATAACCCAAGCATTAGCCACAATCCACCCGAGAGCAATCGCAATCGCAGTCGCAGTTCCTTGATCGAATCTACATACCCCGTCTTCACCAATTCCCTTGCCATCATCCAGACGCTCAACAACCCACTGCAACTCCTTCTGCAGACTTAAGCGACGCGCACGCTGCTCAGGCGTAGTAATCGGCAGAGCCAGCACCCACTTCTGCAAAACAGCCCACATAGACGGACCACCACGACGGGGCTGGATTACAGTGATTTCATCATCGGACTGCGCAATCCCCGCATCGGCGTCCTTAATTGGGGCCGCGCCGCTACTGGGAAGGACGGCATGCCACTGCGCCAGACGGCGAGCAACGCCGCGCCAGATGGGTGGGGAGGCTATATCCAGGTGGCCGCAGGGCTTGCCGCGGATGAAGCGGTATAGCAGGCCGTTCTTGAAGCGGGCGAGGAGGGGTGGGGCCAGACCGCGACTGGCTAAGAGGGCGTGCGACTTGGTTTCTCCTAAGGAATAGATTCTACTTCAGCAAATGTCGCAATGGGCAATGGATGTAGATAAGGCGCAAGGGGCTTTTTTTTGAAAGTTGGGGGGGTTGGACTGTGGTTGTCCGGCGGGTGGGGATTTTTTTGCTCGTACTTTCGCGGTCTATGAGAATCTCTGTTCCGTTTCCGTACGCCCTCATCAGTACTGCCTCGTTGTCTATTTGTTCCTCCGTCAGGCCTGCCTTGGTGTTGATGATTTTGAGGAGCTGGATGGTGTTAACTTGGTTGTTCTTGATTCTTTTGGAGGGTCACAGTTGATCTGCGGGTCACCACACTGGGGAGACGTACGGTGTTCGTTATTCCGTCGGTGAAGCGCACGAATTGAATGTTGTTGCCAGGACCCTCCCAGTCGGGGTTGAGGGTCAGGATCAACCGCAGGGCTGAGGCCTGGGAGTCGGCATGGCTGTAGGAGAGGGGGATGTAGCGGAAATCCGGCGTGAGGTCGGTCTGATTCTCTGTCGAGCCCATGATGGCGGAGCGGAGAGCGGAGTAGGAAAGAGAGAGGGGGGGGAGTGGCGAGGAGTGTTAGAATGCTGTGAGGTGTGAAGTGTTCAATGGGTGTGCAAGGTTATAGGCAGCGCCTTCAGATCAATGACAATTTGTCTATAGCCAAGGGTTAGACAATCGCAAAGGCCAAAGGGGCTGGAGAGCAGTGGAAGTAACGTGGATTATGTATTAGGATATTAATAAAAAGTCAGGGGTGATATGAAAGAACGCTATGTCGATGGCGGGGAGGTTAACGAGACACGGAGGGGAGGTCTCGTGCTTCCGACCCATGATTGGAAGATGGGCTTCTACTGGGGCCCAAGGTACTTCATTCTTGCTGGATAAATGTACTGCCTGGCTGCAGTATTGAGTTTGGGATAGTTGGTGGTGGCGGGCTGAACTATTTACTGCTAGATACATGCATCTACAGACTCGAGTGACAACCTCGACGTCCACATGCACCTGTGTAGCCCAATCTATGTTTGTTGACCAGGTACCAAGCGGATCTGCTGTCACATGAAAGAGATTGCACACGTGCACGTGTGCTGATACAGCCCTAAGCCCTGTTTCCCCTTTGGGAATGGGCCCACAGTATTTGTCACAGAAACGGAAAACCCTTTCTGCTGCCCGACACCGAGACCCAATCAGCACTAGCGTCGAATGATCTCGACAGCATAAAAAGGGCTAGCTCTCCCGCGACTTCCATCCTTTTTCTTTTCTCTCCATCATCAGTAGTGGTTTACTATATCTATAGTAAATTACAACGGGGCTCCATCAAATATGGCTTGCTGAGGGTTATCCAATGGCTTCGGCCTGCGTGGGTTTTCTTCCGTTCCCGGCCCTGGAGAGTAAAGGCGTCTCTCTTTTTCCCAATCACTTTATGGCTATGCTAGGGTTTCCTTCTGGAATGCTCCATGGGTTTTAGCTGTGGAGAGGACGTTACATACAGCAATATCAATTTTACCTCTTCTCTCCCTATTTATTCCAGAATGCCCCACTCAACGCAAGTTAGTCCGTATTACGAACTCGTCCCGGCAGATGCAATGACTGTCATGGTGTACCTTCAATGCGTCAGCGAAAATTGCAGTAATTTGCACCCCTTCGCCACATAGATTTTCTCCAACAAGAAAATAACCAAGTTCTACTAATAACTTTTATACATTACGGGGTATGGTATTATCCATTTACCCTGGTCCATTACCAAGCGATCCATGTAAGCAGGCTACGTGAAAGGATGGTGGTGCAGTTTGCCGAGGTTATCCCCCTGGTGGTAAACTTCGCGCCTTAGTTGTTACATATAGGTGGGATACTCCCACTTCACAATTGTGCAACGGTTTAACAAACCATTACTCTGATGTTAGATGTCTCTCTTTAGCGAAATTGGGGAGCATACTGCGCCAGCTTCCACATTCGTATTGAATCCTACAATACGGGGGTGACCAAGCCTAGTCCAACAAGCTTCTTTGGCGCACGAGGCACTAAACTACCGCCCCGGCTTACTATTCTGTGTTATTTGACAACAAGTATCAAATGGTCCTCTATATTTCCTGAAATCGTAAGACGCTGCCGATAAAATGGGAAGCAAATAATTATCGGAGTGTCGTTTTGTATGATGTTTTCTGGCTATGCACAGCTTGAATCCACGAAACCAGAGAAGCGAAGGGATCGCCGAATCAATGACAAAATAATGTTTTCATTACCGAACCCCCTTCCTAAAAGAAAAGACAAAAACGATCAAAACATCCATGAGAACTACAACATGAGAGATACCACAAGGCAAGGCTGATTTTTCATGTTCTTTGGGTTATCAAGTCAATGGCTTCGATGAACCTCAGAAAAAAGCCTTTTATTTTCGACGTCTGATGCGGCTGGTAGTCTTTCCCAGTCACAGCGACAATGACGAGCTCGATAACGTATGATCGCCACTAGTATGTCGATTGTGATTATCAATTGAATGATCGTAGCTGCCCATGCCATTCCGAGAAAATTGCTGTTGGATTCAGCCGAGATACTAGGACTTCCGCTTCGGTTAAGCAAAGCAACATACTGCGTGCAAACTATGGTGGCAATAATTGAAGCAGCACTAAGAAAAAAGCAACTGGTCTGTTCATTTGATTAGCGCAAGACACCACTATTCTAGGTCAATTGTATGACTCTTACCACAGAAATGAGCAATTTTAGTTTAGATGGAGGTGTATCTGATAGAGAGGAGTCTGCGTAGCCTGGGTAGTTGGGTGGCGACTCGAGACCAGTCGTAAGGGACATGGTACCTCGAGGTTGCCAAATGTAGCGGATAGTAGTCAGGCAAAGCATGACTGATAACCCGACCATGCTTGTGCCAAGAATGAAAAATACGGACATAGCCTGGGTTGTTGGGGCCAATGCAGTAAAATCATCGCTCAAGTAGCTAGGCCAACCAACATCGGATATAGTACCGGCGGCTCCTATAGCTTCAAGAAAAGCTTGACCAGCGTCGAAGCTGAAAAGAGGGGTTTGATCGGAACAACCCGCTATGATTGTTTGAACCGTCTTTGCGTTAGAGTCCCCATTGACAATGCATTCCTTTTCGAAGCCGTAGCAATAGGACATCAAGTAGACGTTGAAAAAATCCGGTGTATCCTTGAAATCCAATTGCGATGTATTGATCTAGAGCATCATCTGTTAGTATACCTAGATAACAAATTGTCGGTGCTGCGGTCTTTAACCTTCAAAATCTCCGCGTATGGCAAAAATTGGCGCGAGCTCCCGGCGAACAAACATAGCAAAAGTAAGATAAGAGCTGTAAGAGAGGCAATATTCCCGAGAAGTGGGCGGAAACAGATCATTATGGGAAGCTTTCAGGGCTTTTTCGGCGATGTTTGAAAAAGTGGACAGTTGGGTCCTGTCGCTGGATGGCCTAACCAGGCTTTTTAGATTTGCCATTATTTGTTGTTCCAAGTATATCGACAAAACCACGAGTGAGGGCTTGGAGACTTGGAATGAACTCCATACCGGAGATACGGAATGCTATCACATATCAATCGTTCCGAGTACCTGGCTCACGGAAAACCCCTCTCCTGTCGATTGGTTCAAATATATAGAAACCTGCTGATCACAATTATGCACGGTCTGTTTGACTTTTTCAACCATTGGAATATCGTGGTCTTTCAAGTCAGAATTCACTTAGCCTTGGTTAATTCACGCGCATCACATACATGTAAGACACCTTGGAGCGGAATGTCGAGCAACCTGCTTTCGGCATTCTTGCAAGGTAGTAATTCCTGGATATAACCAAAGCAGTTGCCCGATTTGGCTATACTTCAAATAGGCCTACTTTTAGACCAAGGAAGTGTCTTTAGTTGAAAATTCTTTGGGGTCGGTAGGAAGGTGCTCATTTGCTCTTCTCACATTCCGTTGCCTATCTCTTGCTCTCTTTACTCCCAGTCAAAGATAGATCTCCAAAACTAAGTTTCTATCAATACGCCACTCAACCATTCCTTTGTCACTCCATCGGAGCTTAGAAGTCTCATTGCCTTTCGTTGTCGATGAAAGTTCGCCTTGGGAAGAAATCTGGTTTAGCGTTTCCGAAGATGGAGCCAGAGCACTGGGCTTCAAAGGCAGCCGTCACGGAAAAGGCGGAATCTCCCCTAATCGAGACTTCAATGGTGAGAACAGCTCATCAAAAATTCTAGAAAGGGACCTGGCCTCAAACTAACCAAACATATAGAAGATATCTCCTACTCTGAGCCTCTCGAGCCGCACCAGCGGATCAACTGTGTCTTCAAGCGCATCGACCGGAGGTAACTACCGACTAGTCGCGTCTCAAGACCTTTACAAAATGAAGGGACAGTCGCGTCATAGAAAACCTCACGTTACTCGCCATCAAAATTCTCAGCCCAGGCCGAAAGAGATGCACGTGGACACATCCTATCCTGTAGAGCACGAGCAGGATAATATGAGCGCCGGACAAGCAGTGTTGCGTGCCTCAAGCAATTCCAACGAATTTGCAGTGGCTTCTACAGCGCAAAGCGTACTTGCAATGTCTCCAGGTGGATGGGATGTTGAGACGGAGTCAGTCCAATCAAGTCAGGGAATCCGAGAGAACGATGGAAATAAATGTCGTTTTTACGCCGATAGGAAGGATGTCGAAAAGCCCAACTCGCCCTGTTAAATCGAGTCAAGAAACTCAAATAATTTCCATAGCAATACTTGCTGTACATTACTTCTGTTGTCTTGACTATCATTGGATACTAAATGCTTCAAACCCTGTTTGGTAATGCCTCAACAATAGTTCACATAAGGGAAAACAATTGGCTCAGGTGAGATCTCGGGTTGATATTTCATGGGGTGGCCTGAGGAATATACCAAAGCAAACATAGATTCTCAATGAGGAAGACGCATAAATACCGTAATTTACGCCGACTCATTTAAAGTAGATGATAGTCTTGCGTCTGTCGGGACGACTTCCTACTACGGACTAGCTTGCAGTGGGTAGGGCATTCTGGAATATAGAGGGAGAGAGAAGAGGTAAACCCGATTTCGAATCTTACTGTACCTTTTCGACTTGAATTTCCTTTGTCTTGGACAGATTGACGATTGCCATCCAAACCATACAATTGGCACGGAATAGTCAGTGCATGCTTTTGCATGTTAATTCTTAGCTTCAAGTCTTCTGGCTAATAAGCTTTGAACCGTCACTCTGGTGCGGAACCCACTGTAATTGGTTTCTTGCGATGATATCCACGGGTTCGTTAACAGAGCCTCATAGGCTCCTGAACTGATGATGTTTGTCTCACTACGGTCCATGCAAGCTACGATCTACATGTACTGTGGTCGAGAACCTCATTGTCATCACCGTCAATCCGTATATATTTTTATCATAAGGTGGCATCTCATAACTGCGAGGTCAATCATGCCCGACCAGCATTTCCAATCTGAATACGCTGCCCAGTCCACTTGTCGTCACTGCGCAACACAGGCCAGCTAGTACCATCAGCTTTGACCAGAGTCAACTCCAACTTGGTGCCCAGCACGCGGAAGCTCGACTGCTCGGGATCAATGGCCGCAAAGAGGCTGTATGTATCCTGGAAGCGCTTGTTGTCCGTCGTAGGAAGGTCGAGGACAATCGAGTTGGAAGAAAACTCGACTTGAGCACGCTCCTTGTCGATCTTCTTGAAGTACAGCGAGACGTTGACGGCGGTGGGGGTCTGGTAGAAATCGTTCCTGTAGATGGATAAACCTGGTCAGTCTGATACTGTCAAGGTGTATAAAGCCATAACATGGCCCAGTCGGTTGGGCTGTATGGATGTACGCACCTGACATGTTCCACCTTCTCTTCACCAGGGCCTTTGGTCTTGCCCACGAACATGTGCTTCGTCTTCTCTGTGCAACCAGGGATCTTCAGGAACTCGTCGAACTCGAGAACGCGGCGCTTGCAGCAGGACCAACCCTTGCTACCCTCATGGAAGACCGGCTGGCCGGGGTGGTGGATGCACTTCTCCTCATCGCGAGCGGTTGAGCCGGTGTAGGTGGCACCACAGCCTCTGCGACGACATGTCGCGTTAGCCGGGATCTCAACATCGGGATCATCCGACTCGGGCTCCTCGATGACTGGCTTTGCAGGGGGCGTCGAGGGGACCGTAGCGGGGATAGCAATAGGCGGGCGCTCGTTCTTCTTCTCGACGGCGACTGGAGGTGGTGCGGCAGCTTCCTCGGCCTTGGGCTCAGGCGCCGGGGTATCGTCGACGGTGGAATGCTTGCCGGTTGTGCATGGCGGGATAGCGAGGAACTCCTCAAAGGTGAGGACGCGGGGCTTGCAGCATTTCCAGCCTAAGAAATTAGTAGATGTCGGGTATAGGGTAGGGATGCAGCATAGCAGAGTGCGCGGGCGTAAGGACCAGTAATGACCCTCTCAAATAAAGCGAGGGGCACAGAGCTAAAGCTCCTCCAAGGTACTTAACTTACCTTTCTGTCCCTCGTGGAACACTGGGGGTCCGGGATGATACACGCACTCCTCCTCGGGGTCGGAGAAGGTCTTCCCACACGCTTTGTGAACACACTTGCCAGCCATGATGTATTGATGAAGAATGTCAAGACAGAAATTGTGGTTATGGCGCAGGTTGCCTAACGGGGTTTAGCGGGGAAGCTCGAATGTTCCATCGCGGAGAATGCCTGACCGCCGTCGCGACACGCCTCAAACTACATTGTGCTTTCTCTCGCTCGTCAGTTGTCGCTCGTAACTGTACTTCCGTCATGTTTCCCACACATGCCCTCCTCGGTTCCGCTCGCCTGACGCTGTTCACCCGCGCAGGCTGTGGCCTATGCGACACCGCCAAAAATACCGTCCTTCAGCTCCAAAAACGTCGATCTTTCGAGTACGTCGAGCAGGATATTATGGAACCGGGTAATAAGCAATGGAAGGATGTTTACGAGTTCGATGTGCCCGTGCTCCATGTCCAATCTAAGAACAATGGCTTGCCCAAGGCTGCTGATCTGTCCGACGCGAGGAAACTGTTCCATCGGTGGACGGAGCAGGAGGTCGAGCAGTCTGTTGAGGAGGCAGAGAAGCAGGAGTCATGATCGCAGTGAAACACTGGTCACATTGAAAATCGCATTGCATTATTTTGCTGCTGTCAATATCCCTGGGAAACACGCTGCCGGGATAGAGTGGCACGTCGCTGGAACTCCCTGATATACTATTCAAGCATATGGCTCCTGGTGAGCCCTTGCACCATCATAATACATTCTGCTTTCGCTGGAAGTCAACTTCACAGATGTCAAACATATACCCACGAGACTAGGCCAAATCTAGATCCGTAGTCTTGCATTGAGTACATGAAGCGTCAAATGAATCTCTTTGCCTTGATAAAGCATCTAAACGGAGTTAAACTTGCCTCGCTCGTCGATTTTTCGCTCGTCGATTTTATCCTACCGTAAAAGGTATGTTTATTCCGATGGAGTACATCTCATATGAGGCAGTCCGATATATATATATCGTCTGGAGATATAGTTTTTCGAAAATTACCTTGTCTTTTTTCTTCGAGGCCATGTTTGAACTTCTTAGTAAATTTAATAAAGAAAAATAAAAAAAAGAGCAATATGAGTTCACAGAATATCCCAAGATGGTCTGTTCAATATTATAGAGCCAGGCCTTGTATCAAGGATGAAGCCATAACATGTCCAGATTGGGAGGCGGTAAGGCAACGTCAACAGCAGGTTTCAATCTGCAAATCTCTCGAGATCTGGGGCAATCAGTGCAATTTGGCTGGCGTTTGCGAGTTTGGATTTGTTCTTGAATATCGGCGATCCCAACTTCTTGACGTTCGGTATTCCCTTTTTCAACATCCACCCACCGCGTGACGCGCCCACGACCCTTTCCCTTCTATTTCGAGTCGGCTTAGCGATTAAGAGTAGTATATCCAGGGATATACGGTGAGTTGGAAGCAATTTCGATCATAGCCGCTCGCGCAATAGCGATTCTCGCTTGGGTGTTGCGTTTACCCACGCGCAGCACTACGCGTCGACCTCCCGAGAGCCAGCGCTGGGCATAGCTGACGATCATGCAGCCAGATCGCAAAGGTCTCCCACATTTGTAACTGAGACTGACCTGCCTACAGTAAGTGCCGAATGCTTTTATGCAATCTCATGAATAAAGAATGTCCTGATCTGTTGTGTTCCGGTTATGCTGTCGTGACATGCGCCGACAAGCGCCGACATGCGCATGCACTCATATACGTTACACCACTAACATAACAGCTAGACCCCGTGATTAATATGAGTAAAAGCCAAGGGGAGACACTGCCGATGTCAGACAATCCGCCGGCTAGTGGAGAAGCAACGGCACCACCATCAGCCGTGTCATCAACTGGATCAACCATCTCGATGAATCACCTGGGACCCCCTTGTGTTCAATGCAAATCAAAGCACATACGCTGTGATCGATCAAAGCCTGGTAAATTCTAAATGTCTTTTGAAATAGCCAGTTATTAACATGCTGTATAGTATGCGCAGGATGCTCGAAGCTAACACGTGACTGCACATATCCTCCTAGGTGAGTCTTGCCTCTACTATTAATGATTGTCTGTTGACTAGCGATTATAGCCAAAATGGCACACCCAAAACTGATTCTCGACCGAAAACTATACCACAGCGTGATTCCCCGGTGGTGATTCGGTCCACTTCCCCCGATCCCAAGGCTACGGGCAAGCGTCAGCGAGACGAGAGCAGTGATACCGGGCCAAAGAGCAATGGCACATCCTTTTCAAGCCCTTTCAATCTAATTAAATCTGCCCAGAAACCAGCCGCAAAACGCGCAAAGTTGAATGCAGACAATGAAACAGAAATCCGGTGTCAATTGATCAACGACATCAATATCCAGAGAACAAATCATCGAAATATCACCTCCAATGATCTAAGAGACATCATTGCACTTCTGATTCAAGCCAAGAAGAAACGTAACCTTGACTCGCCCAGCGAGGAAGAAAAGGAACAGTGGCTCGAGCAAGATGAGCTCATGGAGCTTGCCGCCAACAAGATGGAAAGGGGTGGCCGATGCTCACGGGCAGCGTTGAGTCGCTGGGAACTATTTCTGACTGCTCCCATGGTGGAAGAAACAGACAAGAAAGATCTCGAGCGAGCCATTGCGGTTGAGGAATCTCACTCGGCCGTGTCAGTGGCCGCGCCATATAACTTTTTACAACTTCGCCGCCTTCTGCGGATTCTTCAAGACCCTGCTGCCTATGGTGTGGAAAACAACGCACCAGCCAAGACGTACTTGACGAGCATGGTCGCAGATGCCATTGCGAACAAGTGGGCATTGACCAGGGCCACACACAAAGCCATTGTGGATTTCCTTGATCCAGAGAAAGAGATAATTATCCCCGATCCGCCGCCGTTGAAGAAATCAACTGATGAACAAGGCGCACCCAAGCCCAAGAAGAAGGTCCTGCCTTCCTCCAAAACTCCCCAAACCTCCGCGCCTTCCTCACATGCCCATTCCACACAACTTCAGAAAGATCTCGCAGATGTTTCTGCTTCACCACCCACACCGTTTGTCATCACTCTGAAAGATTCACAGTCTACTCCTAACCTCAATATGCCGTCGTATTCCAAGTTCAGAGTTTCATCTGGAAACGCTTCCTCCCGACCCTCCTCACTCCAACCACAACAGCCACAGCAACCAAAGGAAACACAGCAACAAGCCTCAACCCAGCTCAAACCCGATACTCCAATAAAACTGATGAAAATATTCATGGAGCATGTTGCTCCTCTCGTGCCAATCTTCGATCTCGACGATTTGGACCGATTACTGAGAATGGCCTCGCTGCATGGTACCTTCGCATTCCGCGATGTTGATCCAACACTGGGTCTTTGCTTCGCCCTAGCTGCCCTGCAGTCTCGAGATCGTGCTCACTGGAAATCTCGGGAATGGTACAGGGGTGCTGAAGCCGAAATCAACACGGACGAAGTCAGCGAGAATTCAATTCTAGCCATTCAACGACGCATCCTCCAAGTCCTGTATCTCCAGATGATTGGAAATATTCATAGAGCCTGGAGTATTCTGTCTCTGGCCCTTGGTCTCGCAGAGGCAAACGGGATCCAAACTGTTGCCGGTGGTCCTCTCGCCGTGGACAGCACCTCCCAGCAGCGCGTGCGGGTGCTATGGCATTCTCTTTGGATGACGAGACTTAGTTTAGCTTCGCAAATGGGAATGAATTGGCAGTCCCTGGAGACACGCTACCCGGTGCCAATGCCGACTGATATTCCATCGGGATCGAAGGTAAGCAAAACGCAGCTTGCTGGGATCTCTTCTTTTTTCAATACTTCTCTCTCGCTTTACAAGCACGTGGAAGATATCCTATGCAACGACGAGCATCTGCGTTTGCGTATCGACGTATGCCCTTTTCGATCGCTGTTTACGGCAGACCTGTGTGATTTCTTTGAGCTTGACGGCAAGCTTTTGAAATGGAAGGAAGCTCTTCCTTATAATCTACACTGGGATGGAACGGGAGTCAGCCTGTCAATGGAGACTGACCCTGCTATTCGCCGTCTACGCGTTCTCATCCGCCTGCGATACCTATCCATTCGACTTCGAGTGTTCCGCCCGTTTCTGATCTTCTGCCTGCGCCTCTCCCATACATGCTCATGTGCATCCAACCCTTCTCATGCATACGCACCCGGCCCACACATTCTGACTGGCAAAGATGCCGGCTCTGTTGACTCGCCTGCTATCCTCGGTATTGTCCGTGATTCGACCCTGAAATGCCTTGCCGCAGCACAAGATATCATCAAAATTCTGACGGATCTCCATGGCAAAGGTATTGGCAAGGGAAACGATGACATCTTGAGGATCACCACCTCCTCGTACGAATGCCTCGACTACATCTATACCTCGGCCCTGATCTTGATTGCTTGTCGTGCAATCCCTTTCATTGTAAAGGGGGCCAGTGCAAACAAGTCGGTTTCCAGTATGAACGATCAAATACGCCAAGCGGATGTCCTCCTTCGCAATTACGAGGAGTCTTCTCAGCAGACTGACGAGCTTACTGGACGAACTCAACGCTGCCGCGAAATTCTTGACTTGCTGAAGGGTCAGATTGGGAGCGGGCCCATGGCACAGAACCCGAGCCTCTTCTCAGATATGCGGGTCTCGGTTGGCCAGCATGTTTGGAAGAGGCTCTACGACCGACTTGGACTCCAAGAAGAAGGCTCATTCCAGGAGGTCTCGTCCAGCAACAGCAGCGCGGGACGAAAGAACCTTTTTGCCTGGATAGAAAGTCTGCCCACTGACCTAGACGGCTGGGACCCGGCCAAGACACAGATCAATTAGGGATCTATGGCTCATTTATTGACCTGGTGACGATCTGACGGACAAATATCTTCAGTGTTATGTGACTTGGTGACCTCATCTCAATTTAGCTGTATCTTGTTCATTCTATTCTTACATATATCTATTTTTACCTCTTAGCCTAGGTCTGGACTACTATAATTACAACATGATGAAATTAATCTGAAATCCCGCATATTGAGTATCAACCGACACCTCGAGACATACTCAATCCTTCCAACCAGCTCGCTTGGCAATAAATTTAACAGCATAAACCAACCCCAGCAGAACCGGCACCTCAATAAGAGGCCCAACAGTCGCAGCAAGAGCCTGGTTACTATCAGCCCCAAACACCGCCACCGCAACAGCAATAGCCAACTCAAAGTTATTACTCGCAGCGGTAAAACTCTGCACAGTTGAAAGCCGATACCCAAATCCAAGCCGATAAGTAACAAAAAGCGTCGCGAAAAAGATAACAAGGAAATAAACAATCAAAGGCGCGGCAACCCGTACCACAGAAACAATCTGATGCACAACATGTCGACCCTGCGACGCAAACAACACCAAAATAGTGAATAGCAGCCCAATCAACGACCACGGACTAAGCCACTTCAGGAATGTATTGTCGTACCAAGTCGCTGAGATTCGGCGCAGCGTGAAGCGGGTGAGGATTGCTGCGCCGAGAGGGATACCGAGGAAGACAGCGACACTTTTGGCTGCTGTTGAGTACTCGAATGTCACTGGGTCACCGCTTATGACACTTATAAAGAATAGGCCCATTGGAGCGAAGAGGACCATTTGCAAGATTGAGTTTAGGGCTACTAGGATTGCGCAGTATTCGTTGTCGCCGCCTGCTAGGCCCGTCCAGACGAGAACCTGTAGAGATGGTATCAGTATATACTGTTTGCTTTGGCGTGACTGGGTGGGAACAGGAGCTTGAGATACTTACCATGGCGATGCATCGTGCTAGACCGACTACAATCAGTCCTTCTCGTAATTCTGGTTCGTCGGGTAGGAAGGCCCAGGCTAAGGCCAGCTAGAACAAGAGAAGACTTTTAGTAACGGGTTGGCTGTGACTGATATATGGGGTCGACATACCATGAGAAAAGGCGCAACGATCCAGTTGAGGACAAGACTAAAGGCCATCTGGATCCAGATATCCTTCGTTCGGAAAACATGGTGTAAAGATTCGAAGCGGACTTTGCAGAGGATAGGGTACATCATGACCAGAAGACCAACCGCTAGATGGCAACTTGTTAGCCTGGAGGATTAATATGGTGTAGATGGAGGTAAAACACACCGATAGGAATAGACACCCCAACAAATGTTCCTTTTTGAAGGGCCGGTCCTGTATTTGGAACAAAATTGCCCAGAATGATGCCGATTACCATGGCGAGGAAAATCCACAGTGCGAGGAACCGATCGAGGAGACCGAGACTTGAGAATGCTGATTTCTTTTCTTGGGGCTCATTGGGACAGAGGACTTCATGCTGTTTTTCGATATCGCCTGCTTTAGGCTGGTTGGTCTCTGGGGGTGTGTGATCTGTATTTTGCAGGGACGCCATATCGAATGTCGAGATTTGACGTTTATGCAGAGTAGTAATTATAAGGCGAAGGGGCACTCTCGGCGAGAAGTGTTCGTTCTACACCGACATGGTCGCGTGTTGCAAGTATAAAACTCTAGATGTGAATGTCACTGATGGCCGCTGATTGGTCAGATCTTCCCCCCTTGAATTGATCCCCCAAAAAATGTGCCAGCCAATCAGGAGCAGAACTCATTCCAGACTTGGCGGGGTGTTGGACTCCAGCTTCGCTTTGTTTCAATAAGTCTCGAGAATCCGTCACAAAATGTCATCCGAAGCACCGTGGCACGCAGCCTTTCCTGCTCCCAAGAGCGTTGCGCCCTCCATCTCGCGAGAGGAGTTTTTGCAATGGATTCGAGAGGGCAAACAGACTGGCAAGGACTTTGTGCTCATTGACTTACGACGAAATGACTACGAGGTAATCAAAGGAGAAAGTATGAGGTGCTGCTTCACATATTAACATATGTATAGGGTGGCACAATTCAAGGATCATTGAACCTGCCTGCTCAGAGCCTATACCCCACCATTCCGACTTTATACTCTCTCGTGTCGAACAGTAGTGCGAAGTCTGTGATTTGGTATTGTGGTGAGATTTCCGATTCTTTGGTAGCAATAAGGGGCGACAAACTAAATGGTTTACTCTTTCGTGTAGGATCTTCTGCAGGCCGAGGTACTCGCGCAGCGGGATGGTTTGCTGATTATCTTGAGGCGAAGAATGATACGGAGATCAAGAGTTTGGTACTTACAGGGGGTATTAAAGGATGGGCTGCAGCTGGAACGGAATATATCGCCTTGATGGATGGCTATGACGCTTCGGTTTGGACAAAGTAGCCTCTCCCTTCTTTTGGTGCGCACTAGCCCTTGGATACAATCAAACGAGATTTCAAATATTAATATACTATATAAATATTGAAAGGGCATCATACCAAGTACTATAAATGGACATATTATGTTCACAAGCACAGTGGCAAAGTGTACCAAGTTGCGATGCTGAAGCATGAACTAGGCGAGTTCCAACCTATATAAATTCTGCTGGAAGAACAAAACAATGAACAATTTGTAGTTGACGTATAAAGTGGAATATTTGATAACATGGGGAAATGACCATCATCCTTTCCGACGCCCTGTACACCACCTGGACCCATCAGCATCGAGCCACCTTATACAACGGTTAATGTTATCTCGCGACAAGAAGAGACATTTACTAACCACTCACAGCCTCTTTGAGTATTCGTGCTTAATTATTGGAAAGCTGAGACTTCGAATGTGATTTTGCGAGGTTGCCGTCGAGAGACTCGCTTCCTGCATCGTCCCGGTAAGTGCGCCGAACTGGACACGGAGCAGCAACCTCGCTTAAATCGGCATAGGAATTTTCATTTGTTTGCTCTGCCTCGGTGTCTTCATGTGCTCTCGGTTCTTTGGCCCCGGAATCTGATTGCGGCTTTGGTTTCTTCCTACAGCCACAGACAAGTATCTGCCGAAGGATTCCATATGTCATATCTTCTTGGAAGGGCTGATAAATGAGATTTCCGTCAAGATCAGGTGTTTCAGGCTTTTATTTGATGTAGAATGATATGGGTTTCCTGCAGGAAATCTACGTCTCGTGTATTCCGTGAGATTGGCCACTTGAGCTACGTCACGAATATGAACGGGCGTTTGTATGGACCGGCTGTTAGTCCGGCTCACCTTGTTTCTTACATGATTGGCAAGATAACAAATGATAGTTGTAATTTGGAATGGAAATTGACGATTTGGAATGAAAGTACATTGCCTCGTTATTCATGCGCAAGATCTGCGGGCGGACTCTGCTTAACTCCGAAATCGGATTCCAGCTTACTTCTCCCTTCAAAGGTTATTCCCACTTCGTCCTCGCAATCGCCCCATTGAATATGTCTTCCCCCAATAGTGCAGTCAATAGTGAAGTCGAGGTAATTGCTGCAGATATTCCAGAGAGCTTGGACCCTGCAGCCCGTCGCAGAATCCAAAATCGCCTCAACCAACGCGCAAGCAGTAAGGCCGTCGCCACATCTCACCACTGATGAGTCCCACACTAACGATGTCCCGCCAGGAAAAAGACGCGCTGCTCAACTAAAAAAGACCGGAAAATCAGATTTGAAATGGGTCATATATACAGATCATGCCAATATTTCCAAACCCAACAATCCGCCCGTCAAATCCGACAAAGATCAACCAAGCCATGAACTCATCTACCCGGCAACAACCCAAGTAGATCACCAGGAACCGAAACCATTCAGCCAAAATGATCTAGAGAAACGATATAAACAAATAAGTGACATCCGACGAATCGCCCTGCAAAGCATGGCCCAAAAAACAATATCCCCAAGCGCAGTCCTCTGCGTACCGCAATACAATATCCTACGCGCAATGTTCGCCAACGCCAAAATAATGGGCCTGACAATGGAACTACTAAACGAGGACATCGCGTCTCAATTCAACATCGTCGGCCAATCAACGTTTCACCTCCCAGCAAGCCTTCTCCCGTCCGAATCACAGAAGCAAATCGTTCACCACCCCTGGGTCGATATAATCCCAATCTTATCTTTGCGAGAAGCCCTTTTGATTCGGGAGGACATATGCGAGGAGGATGAGTTCTGTGGTGACCTCTACGGGATCTGTGCATCCACAAATGAAGTCGGGCTTCGGGTTTGGGGGGATGCTTGGAATCCGCGCGCATATGAGGCTTCGGAATATTTGCTGAGGAAGTGGAATTGGATTGCTGAAGAGTGTCCGGATCTTGTTCGGTCTACAAATTACTGGAGGAGGAAACGCGGAGAGAAAACACTTTTTCTTCGATGAAATGAGAGTAGAATGGATTCAGGACAGACTAAACTAAAGAAAGTTCATTGCAGCCTCAATCTACAGCTCAAGAGGGAAATTCACTCGAGTCAGTTCCTCGCCGAGATCCTAAAGGCGGGACAGATTATCCACATTAGTGATGTGAGCGTGCAGCTGATCGTCACAAACGGCATTCTGGTTCAGTCAGGAGCCGCTGTACTCTAATATCATAGTATGTCAGCACAAATAAGTTGAAAAAAGGATAGAGACAAACGAACCTGCGATGGTAGGGTCTATCGGGGCAGTGATTATGGTGGCAGCGCCCTCAGAAGTAGAAGTCCATCGCAGAACTTCAAATGGATTGCCATCGATGCCATGGAGCGCTAGTAATGAAATTATTCTCTTGTGTGATAGCTCCTGAAGATAGACGGTATCATACGTCCCGACTCTCTGCTCCTTATTACCCAGCAAAAACTCAGGAGAAGAGTGTCGCAGCAATGGCGCACGAACAGCTATTTTTGTCAGTAGATGCTCAACAGTATGGCGGAGAATATCTGAATATACCACCAGGATCAACACTGAAAGCGCGGATCCTCAGTCCCATCCCCTGGAACCTCGCACTCAATCCCTTGATGAACATGTCTCGCGCAGAGTTTGATTGGGCATAGGCAATGTAATGAATGGGTGATGGATAGCGTCATCCTAAATAATCGATTGAGTTAGAGTGACATAACATAGCCAAGGAAATGAGTTTGGTCTCACACGGACGTTGTACTCTTCCCAGTCCATCTTTCCCACCCGAACGGCAGACGAAGCCACGACAACAATAGACGAGTTATCGCCGGCAGCCACAACCTTTGGCCAGAGCAAACCAATGAGCAAGAAGTTTGCGAGGTAGTTCACAGCAAGCTGCTGTTCAATTCCATCTTTGGTCTTGCCGTATGGGGGATTCATGACTCCAGCCATGCAGACGAGGTCGTCAGTCTTAGCCAATTTCATATTGTCTAGGCTATTGACAGCGGTGTGGATAGAGTTGAGACCACTCGGATATATTTGCAGAGACCAGACTGTCCCATCTGCGTTGATGAGATTGATCTTCTCACGAACGCCAGCAACATTGGACGCAGCACAGCACGAGCGCACAGAACCAGGAGTTTAGGATTGGCGGATACAAGCTGGACGTCCAACTAGCCAGCAATTGAATAGGGAGTGACGCCGGTGATGAGAACTAGAATTGAATCGATGCTGGTCAGGTACGTGGGCTTGTGATGGATGAGCTTCATGATACTTGTCTTTCCTTCGAGAGCTTTGCCGTACTTCTCGAGGATGGCCTCCGAGTGGAGCACCTCCTTCTTGTCCGACATTATGCTTGAAGATGGAAGCGCGGAAGGTGAAGTTTCGCAAAGAGCTCAAAATGTACGATACGTGGGTTGTATATTGAGATGGTTGAGGTATACTTCGTGTTTTTTTTTCAATCAGAGCGCACCGGGAAGACCCACTTGGTGAACCCTTGCTTGCCGCCAGTGCAGTACAGACTTACGGCTGTACGGCCATTGGCTTGAAACGAATTCTGACAGCAAAAGTGGGGAATATTACGATCATGTACATTATACATACGTAAAATAAGTGGATTTATATCGACAAGAGCAATTTTTGCTCACAGAGAGACATAGAGAGATAGAAAGCGGATTCTGAATTCAATCTACAGGGTCTAAAATGGAAGCTTATATAGTTCTCTCAAATACAAAGTCTGAAAGCCAGGGCAAACATACTGGTTGCGTAATAATATTTTATGCTCCATTGCGCATTTGTACGTCTGTTCTTTGTCTGCTTGCTGAAGGCAAACATGGTGTACATAGCGCGGTTAAACGCGGTTAGACAAAATGTTTTAAGGATTTTTGTTCTCTCAGGGTCTTTGACGGTGATTCACCGTAGACGTACTGCAATGGTGTTATTGCCCATCAGAGAGGGATTCGACACAGTGGTAGCAATAGACTGTCGTAGCTGGAGGTAATAATGGCTCGAGCGAGGCATGCGACTGATTAACCTCCATCCTCTGCAATATGGAGCGTGGCTTATTGGGGAGCTGAAGAATATAACCTGCGCCTTGATCAGTAGATGGTCATCATCATTTATCACTTTCTTGATGAGGGCTCTCCCCTAGTAAAAGCTTTCTCATACTCGAAGAGGTCGAACACGCTTTGGAGCAATTTTACAAGAATGGTCGTGAGTCCGTTTACGCCCCGAATTTGATTCACTGAGGGCACTCGAAAACGCCAGAAAACAGGCGCAAAAGAGAAGCCAAGTGAGTGTTCAAACAATGCATGAAATACATTTACCAGGGGGATTTCGTATGGAAGTTGTCCAGCGCTTCATGGCATTGTGAACAGATTCATGACCCCAGTTGCATTGTCTACTGCTTTACCCGAGCCTCTCCTACATGTATCTATGTCCCTAGTACTGGGGGCTCATGGGAGTTTCGATCGTAAATAGATGAAAGGTAAATCCAATAATTAGAATCCAACGGAGGCTAAACCAGAGCCACCAACCAAGTGTCTATCTAGCAGTATACGCCAATCCCAATAAGACAAAAACAGAGATCATCACACGTATCAGGGACATAGATGAAAAATCAGGAATTAAAACAGCTCGTTCTAGAACCACATGATGCCCGCCACAAGACCAATCACCACAGCCATACAGCTCCCGTGGAGCTCCTGCGAGTGCCGGCCAGCAGCAGCATCGGTGGCTTCCTCAGCACCAATCTTTTGCTGAGCTGGGGCGGGAACTTGAAGTAATTGATCTTCTTCTTGGGTGGGATGGGGCGTGGGGTGGCGGATTAATGTAGTTTGGACGTCTTTCTGCTCGTCCGTGAGGAATATGGATTTGGCGTACTCTGCCCCGAAAAGCGCCAATCGCTTTCCGAAATCAATTGCGGTGTGGCAGGCCTGCTGGCACACTGTTTGGAAGGATTCAAGGAACTGCAGTCCTGTTTCATGAATGTCGTGGGAGGAATGATTAGATGAGGATGTCATGGATGTATGGTCTATATCGGGAGTCGGGAGAGTGGATTCATCCAGGGTGATGGTGGGGTATGCGTCTGTGGAGGCCGCTAAGGAGCGGTTGGAGAAGGGGACGAGGAATGGATAATCGTCTAGTTGTTGGATGAAGTAGGTTCTAAATGCGCGAGCTCTCCGAGTAAATGAGAATGATGATTCGCGGGCAATGGATGGAATTCGACTTTTATTCGCGACGGCGGTCGTCTCGCTGGCTGGGATCGCGGCGGCACCTCCGATGCGCGAAGTGCGCGATTGGAGATTCACACGCGATCGGTGGGGGCCTGCTAGACGCCATGGTTTCGTGGGGTCGTTTAAGGGGTGTGCTTTCGGGTGTATTTCGGCAGATCCATCCTGAATGAGAGGGACCTCTTAGGAAACAGGTTAGCGAAATTCAAGTAACCAAATTGAGTCTGAAAGAGAAACATACGGCGAGATGTACCGGCGAAAAAGCTAAAGTCGGCGAACTTGATGTTATAAATGCTCGACATCGACGGCACCAGTGTGAGAAGCGAGAACACAATCAAGGCGAGAAGTGGGAGCGCGCCAGCTTTATCCAAGCCGGACCGCATCGTCTCCGCTCTTGACCTAGTCTGAGAGCTTGGAGAAGGGTTTCAAAATTCGCGAGCGACGGGGTGCAACGTGAAGTCCATGGGGGAATGGGGTTTTGTGGTTTCGCGTCGTCAATGCAGCGTTCCACAAGTCGCCGAGTCTGCAGGGCGCCGATGCGCAAGCGAGGGGGAGGAGAGGAGATAATGAAGAGAGGTGAGCAAGTGGTGAAGTAGAGAAAGAACAAATTAAGAAATTGAAGATCCCCCGTTAGACGATAAGCCGTGTCTGCATTTCTTGGCGTTCACAGAGCCTGCAGATGACGTCGACCAAGTCTCATGTAACTCCGAATGCGTCGACTATTCACTTCCACTTGACACTTAACACTCTCAAAATATCTCTCCACACTTAAAATATCTGTCAAATGCCACAAGAATGTTCCATCCGAAGTTTTCTCTTCCAGGAATGCTGCCTCAGGCCCCTGCCGATCGCAACGTCCCGAAACAGGATTTCCTCATTCACGTTTTGTTTTTAACCCCTCTATGTGGTCTGCTGTAGGTCCATAGGTGGGCCAAGTATTTATCGCTCGAGGCAACCGGATAATGTGCGACATTTATAGTTGATCGGCACGACGCTCAAAGCATCCAACGCCCTACAGGGTTTATACTGAGCGCTCGACCCTTGGCGCTCGTCAGCGGAGCCCTGCCGAGTGAATGATTGGGCGATATCGTACACCAATATGTCAGTTGTTGCTATATACAAGGTCTTTCCGCTGAGATCTACATCAAAAAAGCAAGACTCAGCGTCAGCCAGATCCCGCGCTCGATACCGTGCTTGGAATATCCAATAGGCAGCTCCTCTTCCTCTGCTGCTTATCCTCGAGCCCCGACATTTACCCGCAATTTACGTCTGTGCATATGTACATGTTGCTCTTTGGCGTCATCGATGCGGATTATTGATACTCGAGTGTAGTATATGAAAGATCGGTGAAGAAAAGCCCACAAGATACACAGTACGGAACGGCTTCCTGACCCAGGTGGTGGATTGATCCCAAGTGACAGGAAATGCGACATCCTAAGACACGTCAGAAGTTATTGGCTTAGGCCTGTTTGTTTAGGCTAGCTCAAGCGTCGAAATGGGTTACAAATGCACCTTGCAATGAACCAGCTGCATCCATGGTGGGTGACTTATTGGTTCCTTTACAGGTACATTTCTGCAACCAGATGTTCAATAGTCGGAGCTGCATTGCGAATACAACCAATCAATCTACTTCTCTCGTGGACCCTTTCTCCCTGCCCCACTATGTACCTAGTAATCTCTGGCGGCGGCCCTGCTGAAATATTGAATCTGTTTTTCAAAAGGCGTGTGATGCGGTTATAGCAAATGTGATGCGGTTTACCATACCGTAAGGATCTCTCTGTCAACACAATACCGCTGACACTGTAGACTTAATGGGGCGGAGGAAGAAAGGAGAAGAGAGTCTGAGTAGACATTGCATATACAGGCTGAATAGAGATTTATCCCGAATATTATCCGGAGAAAGGAAGCTATGTTAACAGAAAGGCGGACCATATAGAAGGTCATGTACCTCTATGTATAGAAAAGCCAGAAATACCCGTTTTTAGGAGATCTGCATTCCGAATAGTACTAAAATTTTTAAGTGTTGACCATGGAAACAAATGGATCATCTGTAGAACAGGTACAATCACGATGATATAAGAGGGATATACCGTAGGTGATATTCACGAAGGTGTTTGTTAATCCAGGTCTTTATAATACATAAAATGAGCCCACCATAGCCACTCAGTTCTTCCTGAAAAGTGCTTTTTGGGTGTGATATCTTTCTACTACACTATAGCTCTTGTGTTTGATTTTGAATCCTAGATTCAGGATGGAGGTATATGATTATATAGTAATCGGTTTGCGGAAGAGCGGATCTGGGCTTCCTTACTTGGTCTCCGAAAGTAAAGGCTTCATATTTAGTTGATACAGTTGACATCGGTTTCCTCTTGAGACTTGACGGTCACTCAATGCTTTCGACACCCGCGGAATTTCTTTTGAAATTCCATCTTCAATTTCACCTTCAATTTCAGCTTCAAGCTCATGTATCAGCGGTTCTTACCCGTTATCCAATTTATTATCTCACACTCAACCTCACAACGCAGTGTGCATACATCAGGCCAGTATAGTACTTATCAATCACATATTCCCGCCGTATCAGCGTGGGTTTTGATGCTGGATTAGGCCTACCAGCTCGCAAATCACCTACCGATCTCATTCTTGCTTCCTATTATCATTCTCTACTTGAATTTTTGAGAAGCCACAAATCCAGTACACATGCTTGCGTCCTGTCATTAGTTCTATACTTGATCGTTTCAGAAGCTACAACTACAGATCTAACTATTACTTCTTATCATCAGTTTACCACTTGATCAGTTCGGAAGCTACAGCAACGGATCTGATGCTTACGACTTATCGTACATTCTCCACTTGTGCGGTTTTCAATACAAATAGTCAGATGGCCCAATATTGTAATTTCCGCCACGCTCTTCGCTTCAACCGTCACTGTGATCTCCGAACACTGGTTGTGAACAATTAGAATCCGGGATTTATGAGAGGTATCTACGTCAAATTCTTGAAGCTGCACGGGCTGGTCGCCTAAATGGGAGCCAAGAGAGATCGGAGCTGACAGATATCAGAGAGGAAAGAGAAAGAGAGAAAGAGACAACACAAATGCATATTGAGTAAAGATGCGAGAAGTGAAAGTGATCATACAGGGTAGGGTAGATGTATGTGGACTTTGTATCATACAAAGGACTGTATAAGTTACTGTAGGAGTATACTTTCCACGGGACGCAAGTAGAGTTTAGGGCTTCAAAGGTCCCCAGTCTTGGCGCACGTGCGCGGTTCATTGGTGAGAAAGTGAGGGAGAGGCAGACGCGTGACAACGTCGATCTGGGGAATTCGAGCTAACTGAATTCAGAGGAGTATAAATATTCTTCCTCTTCAACAACCTCAACTTTTGTGTGTCTAGTACGCAGACTTGATCTGATTTACTAAGCTCGCCCTGACCTCTGATTGGCTGCGCGTTCCTGATCGGCTGCCACACCCGCTGAGTGACGTGACCCAACTCTGCCCAAGATTTTCTCCCACTTTCATGCAACGCCTTGAGGTACAGAGGACGCACTCATGCAGTCAATTTGCTTGCTGCTGGGCCTCTCTGCCGCCATATCTGCTAGTCCTTTGAGTCAGCAGTTGCCCTTGAGCGAAACAGAGCCTGCAGGACAGGTGCTGGCTTCGCGCAAACCACTGAGTGGTCGATTTTTGCATATAACAGGTATGTCGGTGTCGCGTACGCTTCCCCTAATATAACCGGTTATGCTAACGCCCAGAAGATTTCCATCCCGACCGCCTCTACAAGTCCGGTACCTCGATCGGTCGCTCGTGCCACCATGGTGATGGACCCGCAGGATACTTTGGAGCCGAGGGTACCGAGTGCGATTCACCCCTGTCCCTGGTGAACGAGACCTTCCGCTGGATCGAGAACAACCTGAAGGATGATATTGATTTTGTGATTTGGACCGGCGATTCTGCCCGACACGATAATGATGAAAAACTGCCTCGCTCGGCCGAGGAGATTGTACAGTTGAACAAATTTATGGCACAAAAATGGGTTGAGTTGTTCAGCCAGGGGCAAGGTGCGGATACCACCGGCGCAGTCTCGAAGTTATCGGTGCCCGTGATTCCGACCTTTGGCAACAACGATATTATGCCCCACAACATTTTCAAGGAGGGCCCGAACAAGTGGACGAAGCGCTTTGCGGATGTGTGGAAGGAGTTCATCCCGGAGGATCAGCGTCATACCTTTGTGGAGGGCGGCTGGTTCACCTCTGAGGTGGTCCCCGGTCGGCTGGCGGTGATCAGTCTGAACACCATGTACTTTTTCGAGTCCAACAGTGCGGTCGACGGATGCAAGTCCAAGTCGGAACCGGGTTATGAGCACATGGAGTGGCTGCGCATCCAGTTGAAAATCCTGCGGAGCCGAAACATGAAGGCCATCCTCATGGGCCACGTTCCCCCGGCCCGCTCCAGCGAGAAGAAGAACTGGGATGAGACTTGCTGGCAGAAATATACTCTTTGGATACATCAGTATCGCGATGTTGTTGTTGGCAGTCTTTACGGCCACATGAACATCGACCATTTTATGCTCCAGGACAGCGACAAGGTGAATATTGCCGATGCTGACGGAAAGGTGTCTGTCCGCTCCAAGTCCGACTACCTTGAGTCACTCCGATCCCAGTGGTCTTCATTGCCCTCTCCCCCGACCGACGTCTTCGAGCAGCTTGACGATATCATGTCTGACGGCGATGATTCTGAGGTCACGTCCGTGAAGAAGAGCAAGAAGCGCAAGTTCCTCGAGAAGATTGGAGGCCCGTGGGCGGAACGATACAGCGTGTCACTGGTTGCTCCCAGTTTAGTCCCGAACTACTTTCCAAGTCTCCGCGTGGTCGAATACAATATCACCGATCTCGATGATGTCGCACTCGACGTTGATCTGACCTCTTACGAGACTCACTTTATCTCAGATGACCTTGATGACACTGCATACGAAACATTTGAGTCCGACACCTTTCCTACAGAACCAGAGATCCAAAAGAAAAAGAAAAAGGGCAAGAAAAAGAAGCCCAACTTCAAAATCCCAGAACCCCCATCGTCAACCGCTCCTCCAGGCCCCGCCTACTCCAACCAGGCGTTTTCGTGGCTGAGCTACACCCAATACTTCGCAAACCTGACCCACATCAATCACGAGATCGCAACAGGCCAGCAAGGCGACAATCCTCATATCGACTTTGAAGTCGAGTACCGCACCGATGATGACGCGTACCAGATGAAGGACCTTTCAGTGCGCAGCTACTTCCAACTCGCAGCTAGAATTGCCGAGGAGGACCAAGCCGACGCAGACAGCGCCAGCGGCTCTAATAGCCGGGCGGCTGATTGGTCTGCCACCGATAAAAAGAAGCCAATCAACACTGCCTGGCGCGCTTTCCTGGCGCGGGCATTTGTTGGATATGAGGATATTGAGGATTTGATTGACTAGGGTTATTTTCTATTTCATTCTTTCTTGCATAAATACATAATTTGCATTTGGGGGTTAGAGAGACTTGTGCATGACAAGGTGTTATTACAGGTTACAGATGGTACATTGCGAAAGATTCAGTTTCAGTGGATAAAGGATAAATTGGACATTGGCCTTTTACCCGTTGAACACCATACAATATGACATATTTGGTGGCTATTCTAAGTTTCGCTTCTTACTTTCATGACATTGTGATCAGCATTGCTATTCTGGCGGTGTAGACCTAGGATCTTCCTTCACTTCGTTCCACACAAGATGACTACACTCCATGCACCAGTGATCATCACAATTATTCAATTCCTACCCTGTGATAAAACCCCTAGATTATCACGCATTATCACTCTCATTCACAATCTTTCTGCATAGGTCGATTGTTAACGTGACTGCACTCAGAGGTTAATGCGGAATGGCATGTCCGAGCTTACAGCCACTGCCAACGTGGCAGTCCGGGATAACAAGGTTCAGGGCTTTTAGATATTAAATTGCCCGGCGTCTTGGGCAGCGACTTAGCCGGTTTTTATCTACAAAACTGGTGCTAAAACGCTTATAATTAGCCCCTAATTCTGCTTTGGTGCTTATTTTGCTACCTTTATCCAGTTTGCAAGGCAATAGTCTGTGTAGCCATTCGAATTTGACTCAGTAGAGAGTCTATCTAATTAATTTAATGGCAAGATCCCAACGTTCATTCGCCGTCAGACCGTTGTAAGTCTCGGAACTCATCCTTAGGACGAAGCCCCATCGAATAAATTAAGACTGGACTGAGTGTGAGAAACACAGATAGATAGATACTGGCTCTGGGTTTCGTGAGAGGGCGTGGAAAGCTTCTTTCTGGTAGATTCGGAACTCGTGATCATATTCTCCTCCTGGTATGAAATGGGCAGATACCGCCCATGGCGCAGCGGAGAAGTGAAATGGGTAAAACATCTTTGGTGTTGTCTAAACTCCTGAAGGCCGACAATAATAGATTCTCCTCAGCCTCTAGTAAAATGTTGGAAAATGATCCCTCCCCGTTCATGAAATCAGTATACCGATGGACGCATTTATCTGGCCAGTGTTAGTATTGGGAATCAGCTACAATTGAGAATTCTTGTCAAGCCAGTGTTATGGGAATGATGTATGTTTATTAGATATCGTTAAATGGAGAATCCATTATACAGACTTGCATCTCTTGAGTTTTATCAGAATCGTGAAAAGTAGGAAGTCAGGCTCGGCTTGAGAATCTAGAAGTCCAAACATACCAGGACGTTGTGTATAATAGCGAATAAGTGAACTACGAGCTAGAACAGCAAGAATCAGCTCCTATCTATTTATTAGGTAGAGTACTATGCTATAGTGGCCAGTTCGTGCTTGTTCTGTACAATTCATACTATGAATAACATCACGTGACTAGAAGATAATTCGCATCCATGGATGAAAAGCGGCTGCTATGAGGGTGATTTACTTTGAATCTGTTACAAATATATCAAAACGGAAGGGAACATCCAAGTTGCCAGCGTGGACTAAAATTTGGCATAATTAGCCTGACTTGGGCACTTAGCTGCTATTCTACCCGAAGTGCTGGTCGCTTACTAGCCAATCCCTGTTTATAGATCCCGGCTCTTGAGCCGCCACGTAGACAATGAACCTGTCCACGTTACTGGGATTGGCATCACGATGTGATTAGTGCATGCATCGACAACACAGAAGCCCTTGCCACTCAGGCGATTGCTGCCCTTTAGGCGGAGATAGTATATTTAGTCTGTGGGCCTTCAATTCCGAAGTCCAGCCCCCGCTCCATGCGTCATATCAGGGGAAACCTCCGTGCAGCGTGCATATGTTCTCTTTAAATCTCTTCTTCGGTGTGGGTTTTTTCCCACTGTGAATACTAACAATTTCGCAGTCATCATTCCAACCGGATTGAACTGCTTCAGCTCGAGCGAGCAGCTTCGCACCCGAGACAGTTTCTTCCCCGCACAGTGCGCTGGCACCGAAAATCCTCACTTCACCCCCTGGCTTTACCGCACGATGCGTCGAGGCTCGCAACTCTTCCGTTTCCTTTCCTTGCGTTGCTAGGGATATTTTGTGTGCCCAGCCTCTCGCCATTGGGTGGTCCGGCACCTGCTAGACCGAAACAGGCAATATTCATTTGGATTGATCGCAAGCACGCTGCGCGCTGTGTCTATTCCCTCTCGGCATACCTTGATTTTGGTGAATTGGTCCCGGAAATTATTGGACGGTCCATACTTCAGACATCCGCCTTTGCCGAGCTTACTGGATAGCTCAATTCCCGCGGTTCCGGGTATTTGGTGGTTCATTCTCGATTTGGTGCATACATTAGGCTGAGGTGTGATCGTCAAGATCCATTGGCTTGACGAGCCTCGGAGTATGGTGCAGGCGCTTCGTTTGCGTCTCGTTTCAAGTCTGTTTGTCGCGCGCTTGAAGGTAAGTCGTTTGTCTTATCGCGTTATGCGCCTTTCTTGCAGATGTCTGTCTCTCACCGTGCTTCTTCTTCTGTTGCTTTTCTCTGCCCCTGTCTTACCTGACTCCAACCTGCTGCATTGAGGCCCGAAAACAAAATGGCTGACACGTCCAGTTCCAATTCCCCGGTTTCTGCGACTTGCGCTTTATGGATGGCCTCCTCCGAAGTTGATCAGAAGGCCCTGGGCAATTTCGCAGCTGCCATGAGCCATGAAAGCCCATACCTTTCGGCAATGTTATACAAGATTCTTGGTGTGTCTGTCATGCTATCGAAAAAGCTGCTCCGAGCCCGCAAACTCCGGCGGCTAGATACGACACGCGAAACGAGATCGCTTCAGCTGTACCACCACATCATATGGCTCTCTCGTGAGGGCTTGCTAATATTAGAAGGTGCCATTCTACCAATGGTGGACATGTCTGTGGAACTGAAAGTCCTTTCATACAAACTGCGCGCCTCATTTTACCACATTTTTGTGCTGTTTCACAATCGTCCTGTCGTCCAAAACGATGCTGAGCCTCCAGCTCGCTTCAAGCATGACTCAATATACGGGTCAGATTCCCTGACAGCTTTGGGTGCACCCGATCCTCTCCATCCAAAATCACTTTTCACGTCCCGACCCCCAGGGCTATCGCCAGTCCAACCAGTCCAACCACCCCAACCAGCCTCCTCCTTTTTGCTCCCACCACTGGACTACACTGCCACAGCAACAGCCTGCTTCAATCACGCTGCAACCCTATCCGACAAGCTTCTCCCAGGCTCTCACCCACTCCGCCTATCCGTCAAACTCGAATACGCCGCCTATCTCTACGACTGCCTCCAAGACCCAATCGCCTGCCGCCGTCTAGCAAAACAAGCAATCGCAGACGTCTACAACGCCCAAGAAGGAATGGATGACGAAGCCTTCGAGGACGCAGCAGAGATCGTTGGCGTCCTAGGAAAGATGGTCAAGCGCGGCGGCAAACCTGGCAGCAGTACCGCCGCCAGCAGCGTATCACGCGGCGGCCAGTCGCGCAGCCAAAGCAGAAGCAGTCGCAGCCCCAGCCATCTCGATACGAGCGTTCCTACCACAGTATCTCCCGTTCCAGTTACGAAATCCACGCCCGTTCCTCCATCCGTGTCTGGGATGGAGCCCGCAGTCCCAACTGCGAACATGATGAATCCGATTTGATATGCTTTACGATTAAGATGAACGTATATGCCTTTTGAGTTTAGCCTCTACGGAGGTTGTCTTTCGGACTTGTGATTTCGTGCTTATGTATATAGTCGCGCTTTTCTTTTGCTGTATCTAGATATGTGATGTCATTCGACATAGCCAAGTTCTCTTCACCAGGTAGTTTGTATTATGGGTCCTTTAGTGACCTGCAACTGTAAGGTAACGAGCATCCTGGGATTCCACTGTGCAAGGCGTTGAAGTCTCGTGTAGGAAGATTATTGGGTACTGGATCGGCGGAAGCGAAGTCGGAGCTGGAAAAGCAGGTTAATGGCTTCACACAGCTGGTCATGTTGCCTGAAGTGTAACAGTCAATTCTTGTCTGGAGATGCCCTGCGGTGATTTGGAATATCTCGAGGAACACACCACGTTCACTGCCAATATGTCTCAGCTAACGAGAGTTGAGCCGAGGTATACGTCTCTCACCCTTAAAAATATAGAAGACATGCACGTTGCTCATTCTACTTGTACAATCTCCTACCACCACAATGGGACAGTCAGATCATATCTTGTCAACCCATGATGGTACGGGCTTCCTTCACTTTTGGTGCAACTTGCTGTAGTTTGATTCGGCTTATTTACTGGTGCTTCGCCGCATTATACCAGACTCCTCTGATGATCACTTGAAGGAGACACATGCACCACAGGGGTTGGAGGATACTCAATATGCCATACCAGTCGCATATCCTCTGCGATATGATAATCGTGCATTTGTGATGGATATAGTCCCGGCGCGGGGAAACTGGTTCTCCGTGCTCCGAGCTCAGCGCCACTTACGACCTTCGTACTGCCGTCGATCGATGCGCATCATTGATTTGCTCGAATTGTCTTCACTTCTCGCAAGCCGAACCCACTATATCTCACGGTTTGAGTTTACTCGGTGGCAACACCATCCTTAATCGCTTTCGAGGGTTGCTGTCCGCTGGATTATACCCGAATCTTGATAAAGCGCAAACCATTTCTTCATCGACCTCTCTCTCACTAGTAGGAATCAATATAATCAATATAGACACTAATAAACCAGCGCCAAAATGGTCTTCGCTGCGCTTCACCGCATCTACACTGGCTTCATCAATCCCCCACAAGCTCGAAAGCAGGATGATGCCATTCGATTCGGACTTCTCGGAGCTTCCAATATCGCGTAAGTAAACTCCAATATATTGCTGTGATGAGTTATTCATCTCTTTTCCTTAAGACCAGTTGCTTTAATCACACCGGCAAAGTCGCATCGAGAAGTGATTGTCGCCTCCGTTGCAGCTCGAGATCGCAGCCGCGCAGAGGTTTATGCCAAGAAGCATGGCATTCCAATTGTCCATTCCTCCTATGAAGGTAGATATCCCAAATAATTCTAAAATGCAACAAACATACTAATATCGCAGATCTGCTTAACGATACAAGCATTGATGCCGTCTATATCGCCCTTCCCAACAGCTTGCACTTTGAATGGGCCTTGCGCGCGATCAAAGCTGGGAAGCACGTTCTTCTAGAAAAGCCCTCATGTTCAAATGCCGAAGAGGCAAAGGCGCTATTTAATCACCCCATAGTCAAGGCACCTAATGCTCCCGTTCTTCTGGAAGCATTCCATTATCTATTCCATCCCGCATGGCAGACTTACATGTCACTTATTCATGACGATGCTCTCTCTGGGCCGGTAAAGCATGCACATGCCCAACAATATCTTTTCAAGGGTGTTATTCCTCCCGATGATATCCGCTGGCGGTATGACCTTGGAGGTGGTGCTATGATGGATTTTGGTACATATACCGTGAGCTGCTTGCGCCAAATGATGCGGGAGGAACCGAGCGAGGTGATCAAGACGGAGTGGAGGGCTGTTCCGGGTTCGCGATCTGATCAGGCTGAAAGCCAGCAGATTGATCAGGCCATGAATGCGACATATAGAATGGAGAGTGGTGCCACGGGCACTATTATTGCTGACTTGAGTTCGTCAGGTAGTTGGCCGCTGCTCCCTGCGTCCTGGTCGAAGAGTCTGCCAAGTATCGGCTGGCCGAAATGCGAGGCTGAACTTGGAGAGAAGGAAGTAGAGTCATCCGAGAGCACTGATGGTGGGAAGCATTTCGTTCAGCGGAAGATGAAGCTGTGGAATCATCTTGCGCCAAGTGTGTATCACCGGATTGATGTGGAAGATACGCACAGTATCCGTCGGGATGGAACTTTATTGAGGACGTGGAAAGAGTCGCGAAATCTGAAGTCGTACTCCTGGCCATCAGGCGATAAGGTGAAATCTGCTGGTGAAGATTGGTGGACTAGTTATCATTGTCAGCTGCATGAGTTCGTTAACAGGATCAAGGGACGTGAGGGCTCTGGAGTTTGGGTTGATGGCGATGACAGCATCAAACAGATGGAGGCCATAGACCAAACATACGAAAAGGCCGGGATGAAGGTACGGCCAACGAGCAAGTTTGAGTTATCAGTTTGATGTATTTCAGAGCTGTGCTTAGATCAGCTAGTTAGAGCCAAGTGTGAAGTATGACCACTAGAGCAGTAGTGTGAATGCAGCCAAGAAAAGAGATATTCACGAGGAAATTGCTTTTAGCTAGAGGATGCTCTAAAAACGCCTAGTTCATTCGCAAGTCGTAAGGAAGAAATAATATACAAAATGTTCAAACAGATTCATCCTGACTCATGCCAAGAACCGGTGATCTTTGTTCTTTGGACTGTGAATCTCGAGACGAGGTTTGTCGGTAGCCTTGATCGGACTCATGTATGCCCATGCCCGAGGGCGCGAGGTTTTCCGAACCGTTGTCACTCCATCGGGGCTCCAGGCGTAGATCGCCATCCCCTTGCAGCTTTTGAACATCTTCAATAGTAGATGGATTTGTGCGAATAACAACAAGCAGACTGTTGAGTACGGTGAACTCCAACAATAACTTGATGCTGTAGACGACCGGTTTGTATGTTGTTTGGATGTCGAAATGATTGGTGTACTCAGTTGTCAAAAGTGATGCATCTAGCAAAACCGCAATGGCATTGACAACAATGAGGTTCCAAATAACCCTCTGGCCACGGGCTCCTTTCATAGCCAGAACAGGTCTCAAGCTAGTCATAGTTTCCCAGATATAAAGACCGCTGATGATGGTCTCTTGAGCAGCGAACCCGGCCAATTGAATACGTTCGTAGACATCGAATGGCACAAGGAAGCGGTCAACGCCGTTGTTTATTCCAAGGAAGAAGACAGTAGTGGGGATATGTAAGGCGCAAAAGTTGAAGATGATCATTCCTAGTACCCAGCGAGACCAGCGATCGACACATGTCACCAAGTGGAGTCGTGAGTACAGCACCACGGACTGCCCGGTGACCATAGCGTACCAGCCGATGCAGATCAAAAAACACATGGGAAAACTAGGGGCGAGGGCGAAATAACGGAGGAATGCTGAAATCGTGTGTAGGAGGATTCCCAATGTCGATATTAACATGCTCCAGAAATAGAGGCCACGGCAGCGTCTGAAGGTGCTGAAGATCGCAACCAGGATCTGGAGAACGTTCCAACATGCTATGCCGAATAGTGCTGCAATCACCATGGCAGTTGCACGGGTGACATTAAGGGGCCCCGTTTCGCCGGCCATGTTGAGGAAAAGGCAAGAATCTCAAGTCGATTGGCTTTGCTCGACTGCGCAGGCTGTTAGGCAGCTCATAGTAGCTGTAGAGACATGGAGAGAATGACCTCTGACTGGGAGCATGTCGAGTGAACAGAGTGGGAAGGCAAAAGGAGGAAAGGAGGCAAATTTTAAGGGTCTTTTACACGTGTCTTGGCAGGATTTGATTTCTTGGCACGCTCGATCGGGTGGACTGGCGCATTTAAAGTTGAACGAAAACGACGGGGTTGGGCAGTTATCTGCACTTTAGGCATCATATTGGAGCCACCCCTTGACTGCAGACTTTACTAAATTACGCCAAATAATTCCTGATGTTGAGTGCCTCTTTTTGAAATTCACATTGCCTACTAAAGAACGCAATACAGCCCATTCGCAGCCCCGATGGTTACATTCATCTGACGTATACCCGTTCGGGCATACTTCGGTACAATATGGGGCGAATCGCGATTGAACCGTAGTTCGAATTACCCCGACACTCTTGACGTAATTTGTGGGTTCTGGATGCGATCTTCAGGTCGTCTTTTTTTGCGGTCGGAAGTTTATTGGCTATTTCAATATTAAAGTTGTAGACATCTTTGAGTTCATTGGCGAATGACTGTGTAGGAATCGCTCACGGGCAGGTAGGCCTCAGGTCTTGGCAACGTTTTGAACAAACAAACTCGAGGCTGAACAGTGCAGCTCATAGTAATCAAGCCACGCGGGATCGTCACTAGCAATCCACATGGATTGCTAGTGACGATCCCGCGTGGCCAGTGTGAGGATATTTCTTTACTACCTTCCGCATTGGGATAGTTTTAGCGCTCGGACAAAACCGATCTTCCGGCCGCAATAGCTTTTAAGCATGAACCCCTGTCCGCCGAGGTGATCATCAATACGCTATTGTACTAAATAAAGCCATTAATGTATGCTTCACTAGGCACTTCCACGAAGCTAAGCAATAATAGGCAGCTGGCAGCTTCTACTAAGCCTAAAGTAGTATTCCGTCTAGAGATTCACCGGCATCATCCGAATCTGAGACAATCACTAAAGATCCCGCTTGCTTCGTAGTGCTAGCTTGACAGCTTTTCAGGGGCATCTCGACCATTATTAGTTCTAGACCAGTCAAAGTAATCTGCTCTGAAACATTGAACAAGCCTCAATAGCTAGCTACTGCGCACACCTGCCCCACAGGTACGATTGCCAGTAGTTGGAAAGGATTACCAGTCTACCAGCGCGAGAATCCAGTCAACGGTCGCGGAGTAGTATCCCGTGCTCGGCAAGATAAGAGTAAGGCTCGGGACCCGCTGAGTCAGCGGGTCGAATTGGCTCACGCCCTTACTAATCCATCTCATTTTAGGGCGATCGGTATCGATTTTTGGCTATCAAGACTGGTAGCCTTAATGGTCTTGGCTCCAGATCATTTCAATATCAGCAAAATCGGCAAATCTCCTTCTTGCCTTTCAAGGTGCTGGATGGCTATTACGTATTTGAACGCACGCTGGTTGTTCTCTACGGTTAGTACGTCTCATCATTTCGGTGCCATCCAGAGCAAAGACATCTTGGTTGTCATAATTATGCAATAATACTGTGGTTGTAAAAGGTGCACTGATAACAAGACGCGCGGCTTCATATACACAAAGTACGTAGATCTGCGCGCAGATCAACGGCTTTCCTTCACTAGCCCATCTCAGTGATCCTTTGCCTGTGCGTTTGCAGCCTCCGGCATAGGGATCGGCCCTCCAGGAGAGTTCTCCAATCTCGCTGTCAAAACCTCGACGCCTGTTTCTGTGACAAGCATGGTGTGTTCTAACAATTTCCAGGTTAGCGCCTATCGGCTCAAACTAGCCCCTGCCTGGTATATACGCACCAAACTGTGCTGTCCGCTTGCCGTCCACCGTAACATTTGTCCAATCATCCGGCCAATTCATTTCACGGTTGGTACCCAAGGTCAGGATAGGTTCAATTGTGAAAGTCATGCCAGGTTTACACGTTCCTACAGCCTTGTTTTTCCCGTAGTGAGGGATCCAAGGCGGAGGGTGAAATTCCGAGTTGATACCGTGACCACCCCAGGTCTTGACAACGGCCAGACCCCTGGAGACCGCGTGCTTCTCGATGATTTTGCCAAACTCCCGAATTGGTGTGCCTGGTTTGATCATGGCAATAGCCATGTCCAAAGCCTCTCGTGTCGTTTCAATGACTCTGATTGAGTCAGGATCCGCTTTGGCCTTATCGCCAACGTAGTAGGTCTCGTTCACGTCGGCATGATATCCACCATGGTACAGTGAGATGTCGAGGTTGAGAATGTCACCGTCAAGAAGAATTCGCTGATCGGGAATGCCGTGGCATACAACTTCATTCGGTGATGTACACAATGACTTGGGGAAGTGGTTGTAGTTGAGTGGAGAAGGATATGACTGTCTCATGTTTCAGCATACAGCTTCAGATGCTTCACCCCAGAGTGAAGCTAACTCACATCGCGCTCCACGCAAGCCTGGTGGCAAATCTCATCAAGATAATCTGTGGTCACGCCGGGCTTGATAGCCGCAGCTGTGATGTCGAGTACTTCTCGGGCCAGCCTGCAAACCTTGCGCATGGCATCCTGACCCGCTGCATCCAAGAGGTCCCACTTGGAGCGGCTCAAGCGATTCTCACGCTTCGGGATACCGTCCTTGGCCCAGTCGGGGTGCTTGATTGTCTTGGGCACAAGTCGTCGTGGGGAGAGTGGATATAGGGCCCTGACAGACCCGGAGTATGGGTATGCCGGGAAGGGGTTGTAAAGCCCAGTAGCTGTATCGCATTTAGAGGAGAAACTCAAACGTGTTGAGCGCGTACCACTCACTATGCTGTATTTTGTGGATCGCCTTGTGAGTGGTCTGATACGATCAGCGTTGGATTCCCACGTAAAGCGATGTGTGTTCAGGCGGATAACGTACCCAATTCCTCTTGAAGCAATCTTGAGAACAAAAATAGCTGCCCTTGATGTCCAGCTTCAGACATGTTGGGCATTGCAAGGTCCCAGCGTCATTTTCGCAATCGGCCCCAGAGCACTTTTGCGCGGGATCGGACATGAGGGGGGGCTGCAAATTAAAAGTTGAACTTTAAAAAGTGAGTGGAAGCAGCAAATGGGACGACTGCTGGCCGACCAATATCTCTCCTACTATTGCCACGCTGAGATCGTAAGCAAAGCAGCAAACCCTTTCTGTCTCACGAAAATCGGGCGATCCGCTTAGGATCGCCCCTTTGTTGGAAGTGGCCCCTCTCCACCAGTCTAACTGCCTTGGGAAAGGCGTCGTGTCTGCCTAGACCATGTCTTTCGTCCAAGTCCAAAGTACCTTCAAGATGACGACCACTTCCGTGAAGGCTGGTTTCGATTTCGTAAACATAGGTACAAAGGACGGAAGTAAGTAAGGAAAGTAGGACTCCGTAACGCGTAAATAGCATCAGATGATGCGAATAGGCCGGGCCATGTAACAGACTCCAATATTTGCCAGGATCGTCTAAATCAAGTCCAAGAGACATATAGGGCACCGGTGTCACAATCGGGTTCCTCATATCCGGCTAGCATAGCAGCGGTCTCGGATTAGAACCATGAGTATACGCTTCAAACCCCAAGAAGAACAAAAGGGATTATTCTTATAGTCAATACCCAAGCAGCTAGGAGATAAAGTGAACTGCTTGCATTCTGATAAGTGTTATACAACTACTACTGAAACTCGCCGATTCCGAAAACATTTGGGATCAGCTAGTTGACCATAAGCTCATCGGGTAGGTAGCCATTGATCTTGGCATAGCCGCCCCTGATGAATAGACATATATATATCACCTTCGATCGAGAATGCTTAATATTCCTGAATTTCCAAGGAGGTTGAGCAGTTGCGGGATGCGACCCACGCGCATTCTCCAATCCCGAGCTGGACATATCCCTTTGTACTGAGAGACTCAGCTTCAGAACACGAGGGTTGGAAACAGTAAACAGAAAATATCACGGGGTGGCTGGGAGACCAGTAGACATACGCTGGTCGTATAAGGACCCATCTCCGCGGGGATCATTCCAGGCTCCGTTCCACAAAGAATGTCGCCTCCAGTTATTTCCAGATCGGCCCGGGTCCCTGGGCTCGTCTTCGGTCCAACCTCCGTCGGAATGGTGAGCTGTCACGCGAGACTGGATCTGATCTGCGAATAGGCGTTCATGCAAACCCAACGCGACGCACGGTCAATCCCCCATGGTGGGAGTCGTATCCAGCAAGAACCGTTTGACTAGACGCTGGGAGCCTCGGACCGAAGTTTGCTCCAGTGAATGAACCTAAAGGATTGTATATTTCTGCAGTATAATAAAAGCATGCGTGAGCTAAAATGCCCTTTCGCCTGAATGAGGTTAGTGTATTGTGGGGGAGGAGCCGTGAAGGATCCGACACGGAGAAACCTCCGCGCGCCCAATGGCTCCATTCGCGGCTTTCAGTTTTTTCCCCTGTAAGACAAGAGATTCGAAGATAGGTTTCTGGAGAACCTTGTACATGGATCGCTTTGACCGAGAGGCGCAAGGTAATTTACTAGATGGCGACACCAAATATTATTTGATTTGAGGCTGGGGAGGCAAGACCCCAAGATGCCACATTGCCACTCAGCTGAGCAGAGACGGAGTAGAGACGAGGGTGTATCGAGTAAATTAAGCAAATCACGTTTGCAGTGTCTTGTAGTCAGTTATTCCACCATTCAATGGGCATTTGGGCATTCGGGTCTAAATTCTAGACTTGCCAGGTTCATGCAGCGTGAAATTGCCTGCGCTGATCCTAGCCAGTTATTAAATTAGAAAGGGGGAATGCAGCCCCAACTGCTTGACCGAGTTTTCTCGCGCCTCCTGACGGGATGCAGGCCCGATTCTCCAGGAACCAGACCCTGGATTTGTTTGAATATCAAAATGAACATAAAGTTACGACTTTAGGATCGCGTGGTATGATTGGGGAATGTCCCGGTTCCAATCAGGATACGGAGCCCCTCGTGCACGCCACTAATTGGACGTGTTTATTGCTAGCGGGAGCAGGGTCCTAGGGTCACAAGGCAATTAGTCTGGGGAACCGGAGAGTCAACCAGACTTTCCGAAAAAGGGTTCTAGTTATTCTTTCTCGAACCAATTTACTAGGAGATCTGACCGACTGAGATCTTGCATTATAAGAACCTCACGGTCTCTCGATTTCTTGGAGACCTAAGGTTTGTCGCGCCTACCCCGTCCATCGCCTATTGGATCCAACATTGAGATCGTCGCTTCACATAGCCGCGTGGGAAGATACAATTATGTCGGACGTCAAGGCTAGTGAGGAGGTGCATGGCATCTCCACTGCTATCGAAAACTCCCACGTTATTGCTGGATACGGACAAACTACCAAGCGGGAGGGAGCCACGACAAAGGAAGTCCACAATGTGAGTTGGCCGTGACAGAATGTTTGTTCAACACAAGCTGACCCTGGAAACTAGGCGGATCTGTTCGCTGCTATTGAGGAGACGAAAATTGAAAGATGGAGCAAGGAGTCCATTCACCTGTACTGTAGGTTTGGCCTGGATGCAATCTTCTGGAGATTGGTGCACACATACTAACATTTTCTGTCACTGTATAGTCTGTATCTTCGTGGCCTTCTGCTGTGCTTGCGCCAACGGTTATGATGGTATGTTCTTGGAGCAGCGTCTGTAATGAGTGATATCTGACGATACTTTTAGGATCCCTGATGGGTTCTATCCTTGCCATGGATCACTACCAGGATGTGTTCAACACTGGCATGGACGGACCTAAGGTCTCTGTGGTCACCTCTTTGTACACTGTGTACGAGCTCCTCCCTCAGTGCTTACACCAATTCTAGAAGCTAATATGCTCTCTCTCCTAGTGGATCTATCGTCGCTACCCCACTCAGTGCTGTCCTCTCGGACAAACTCGGTCGTCGCAAGTGTATGTTTGTAGGTGCTTGGGTGATCATCATTGGATCAATCATCATCGCGAGTGGTATGACTCTGGCACAGTTTGTCGTTGGCCGGTTCGTTCTCGGTGTCGGAATCCAGATCATGGTCGTGTCAGCTCCTGCTTATGCCGTGGAGATCTCCCCGCCTCACTGGCGTGGCCGTGCTGTCGGTGAGTATTGAGTAGCCCCAGGACAATTAATCATATGCGATGGAACGTTGCCTGATCGTCGAGATAGGATTCTACAACTGTGGCTGGTTCGGTGGCTCCATTCCCGCAGCTGGAATCACATATGGAACCAACTTTATCGGCAACAACTACCAGTGGCGCATTCCCTTCATCTGCCAATGCTTCGCTTGCGTGATCGTTATTATCTCCGTTTGGTTCATCCCGGAGTCGCCTAGATGGCTCATGACCCAAGGTCGGAATGAGGAGGCTATCGCATTCCTAGCTAAGTACCATGGCAATGGAGATCCTAATGCCCGTCTGGTCCGTCTTGAAGTTGAGGAGATGAAGGAGGGTATTCGTATTGATGGTATTGACAAGAGATGGTGGGATTGTAAGTTTGAGAATATTCGTCAGATTATCGCAGTTTCTTGAAACTAATCGCATCTTACAGACCGTCCATTCGTCACTACCCACAGCGGCCGCTGGCGTTTTGCCCAAGTTATTATGATTTCAGTCTTTGGACAGTGGTCTGGCAACGGCCTCGGATACTTCAATGCTACCATCTTCAAGACTATTGGATATACCTCAAGCTCTATGCAGCTGTTGCTCAATCTTGTTAACTCGATTGTGTCCGCTGTCGGCGCTCTCACTGCTGTCGCACTCACCGACAAGATGCGCCGTCGTCCCGTGCTGATCTTTGGTACTTTTGGTGAGTTTCCCTTCATGTTCTCAATATCTGCAATTGTCCCCAGCTAACTGAAACCAAGCCTGCGCCGTTACACTGGCTATCAATGCAGGTATCCTACAGGAGGTCGCAAAAACCGGTCACATTAACAAGACCAAGGGCCAGGCTGCTCTTGCATTCTACTATCTTTTCAACATCGTTTTCTCTTTCACGTACACCCCACTCCAGGGTGTCATCCCAGCCGAGTCTCTCGAGACAACCACTCGTGCCAAGGGCTTGGCTTTATCTGGCTTCATGGTTAGCAGCATCAGTTTCATCAGCCAGTTTGCCACTCCTATTGGTCTCCAGAATATTTCCACCAACTACTTCTGGATCTTTGTCGGCTGGGATGTGCTTGAGTCGGTCTTCTGGTACTTCTTCTGGTAAGTTTCACAATACGCTTGCTACCCGAAACAAGTTCATGAGCTAACGCATTTGGTGTAGCGTCGAATCTCAAGGTCGGACTCTCGAGGAGTTGGAGTGGGTGTATCAGCAACCCAACCCAGTCAAGGCTTCACAGAACCTAGATAAGATTGTCGTTCAGCGCGATGGCACCATTACTGAGAAAATCGAGGATGATGCTTGAGTGTGAAGCTAAGCCTTGCACGTGTGGCTGGACAAAGTTGAACAATGGTGAGACGAGATGTGGGACTACAACGTTGCAGCTGCGGTGTATAAATTTATATTACTGGCCTGCTGCAGAAAGTCGATGTTTGTTTAGTGACTTGATTTAGTAGGTGGATATTTGTACTGAGCAATTTAATGAGATACCAATGGTTTCAGTCGCAACTCTCTATCCCTCTTTGCGATATTCAAATTTATTCTTTGATTAGTGAGTTAACTGGAACACACCAAGCGACTTCGCCATGTGTTTTCCCATGAATCAACCTACCATTAGTCCGTAGATGGTGTGACAGCGGAGATTTACGGAAGGGGCCTCGTCCCACACCTTACCCGGACGGGTAACTGATCCTTCCCCTGTGGGCCCCACCTGCCGACAAATTAGAGCTTCAGATGCAACTCTCGCGTCAAGTGAGGGGAAATGCGATAGGAAGACCTGTGAAAGGGTTGTGCTTGGGAGGTATTTGAATTCTCCCCGGCCAACTTGCCTCTGCCAAGAAGGACCGAAACAGAACCAGCACAATGAGCATCGATCACGCCCAGGAATGCCTTTATAGCGCGCAACTCAGTCCTGCCGCACGTGTGGCTCAGGGTGAGATGCCGCCGAATTGGTTCTCTGTCAAGGAACAACCAGCCTATACCCCGAGAAAAATCAAAATTATCTGCGCTGGAGCTGGATTTTCGGGTCTCACTCTAGCACATAAAATCAAGCATGAACTTCGTCTAGCAGAGTTCATTGACTACACAGTCTACGACAAGAATACTGAAGTTGGTGGGGTCTGGATTGAGAATCGATATCCGGGTGTTGCTTGGTAAGAGACTCTTTGTGCTCTTCGTCAGGGGTGATATTTAATTTTGAATGATTTAGTGACATAGCTGCTCGTAAGAGCTGTAAAGACCTTTATCAAACACTTATTGACTAGTTCACCAGATGCATATACGTTCCGCTTCGAGCCTAACCCATACTGGTCTCATTTCTATGTGTCCGGGCCAGAGATTAGTGAATATATTCACAATACAGTCCGGAAGTGGGGGCTTGATGAGCATGTTGAGTTAAATTCGAACGTGATAGAGTCTGTATGGGACGAAGACCTGGGGAAATGGAGAGTCAAGATTGAACAGGATAGCAAGATCAAAGAGGATGAGGCTGACATTTTTGTTAACGCATCCGGCATATTGAAGTAAGGATAAAATCTCGATTTTAATTGTCCAGGAATTGCTAACAAGGTCAACCAGCAACTGGAAATTGCCAGATATCCAAGGTCTGACTAATTTCAGAGGCAAGCTGGTCCACACAGCGGATTGGTAAAGCCACATACATGTTCACCCTTTGAATATTGTGCAACACTAATGTTTAGACAGGGATGATAAATACGAGTGGAAGAACAAGCGCGTGGCAATTATCGGCAATGGTGCATCCGGAATACAATGCGTTGCTGCCATGCACTCTAAAGTATCTAGACTGGTCAATTATGTTCGTAATCCTACCTGGATCACCCCCAACATCAATGCCGAGATGACAAAAACTGGAAATAACTTCGCATATACGCCCGAAGAGCAAGAGAAATTCAAAAACGACCCCAAAGCGTTCTTCGAATTCCGCAAGGAGGTGGAAAATCAGTAAGAATAGATCTCACCTCCCTCGTCATACCTACGACTCTAACACTTCGACTAGTGTCAATGGCGGCGCATACGCAACACTGAAGGATCACCCCCTCCAGCACTGGCTCAGGGGAGAAACATTGAAGCAGATGCAAGAGAAACTGAAGCTTCTAGACCCATCAATTGCATCGAGGATCATCCCTGACTTTGCACCCGGCTGCCGCCGCCTTACTCCCGGCAGTGGATATCTTGAGGCTTTTTCAGCCGAGAATACCGAAATGTGCTGGGAGGATATTGAGCGCGTCACTGAGACTGGCATCCGCACAGCAGACGGAAAAGAGAAAGAATTTGATCTTATTGTTTGCGCAACAGGGTTTAACACATCGATAATCCCGCGCTGGAAGCAGATCGGGAAGAATGGAGTCGATTTGAGGGAACATTGGAAGAATGACCCGGAGGCTTTCTTCAGTGTTCATGTTGATCAAATGCCGAATTATTTCATGATCGGTGGACCCAACTTCCCTGTCTCCCACGGCACTGTTACGACTGGTTTTGCTATTGTGTGTGACTATATCTTGAAATGGGCTATGAAGATTGCCACAGAGGATATCAAGTAAGTCTTGAGCGCTCTAAAAAAAAAAAGAAAAAGGCATAGGCTGACAAAATTACAGGTCGATCGATGTCAGGAAAGAATCGCTGGATGATTACAATGTTTGGACCCAGGAATATCTTAAACGAACCGCCTTTTCGGGAGAATGTCGCAGTTGGTATAAAAATGGCAAGTCTTCTGGGCTAATTACTGGCACCTACGCTGGGACGACGAGTCATTTCCAGAGATCATTGGAGCGGATGGGCGGCGAGCATTTTCATATCCGATATAATTCTGTGAATCGCTTTTCGTGTCTAGGCAATGGCCAAATGGAGGAAGAGAAAAACGGAGATGGCGAATTGGCAAACTACTTTGTTCAAGGCATTTGGGGCCCTTGAGCTCAATTGCTGTATCAATTTCCAATACATTGGTAATCATATTATCATTGATTCATGTGATACTGTTACACATAGACATGTACTGACTTCTTGGAAGCCGGAGGTTCATCGACGCGGTCGCTGTCCGTTGCATCCCATTCCAGAATATCATCCTCGCTAGCATTCCCATCTGAAATACGCATCATGCCTTTCGTAGGAGCGGTAGGTGTCAACCTCCTGGATCTAGGACCAGAGCTTAGTGCGTGTGGAGACCCTAACTCATATGTACTGCGTCCAGTACCAGTTGTTTGCCGCCCAAAAGGTCTCAAAAAAGATCGAATGCAGGGAATAGATGCTGTAATAATGACCAGGTATGTTTCAATATATAACCAGCGATCTAAATTGATGGTTGCCGTTGTTGGGTCGTCGTCTGCGTGGGCAAGAATTTGGGTTTGCACGGTTTTGATTATGGATGCTACCATAGCACTGTAGGAAGACAACAAATTAGTCGAATGCTTCAAGTACGAGTTCAGGAAGGATTTATCACTCACAAAAGCCCCAGTCCAAGTAAGGTAACTAGACCTAACTTGACCTGTAATTTTAAATTTAAATTCCAGAAGACGTAGGTTGAGAAAACGGCAAGGTATAGATCGGTAGCCGAATTAAAAGCTGTCACAAAGCAAAAGTTATTGACCTCTTCACCTCGAGACAAGTGTAATAGGAACAAGGATAATACGTACCACCTTGGTAGTATCCGTAGTAAGCTTGAACTCGGACATCCCAGCACTTTCCATTGCCGTCCTGTGACCAGATAGCCGAAGCATGTCCTGGGCACTGGGCAAAGAGTATGATGATGAACATTACGTTGGTCACAATCTGTAGCCCAACCAACACCCACAGAATAACTCGGTAGGTCTTTTTCGTTCCGAGAAGCCCAACTATGAACACGGTGAAAGCAATTCGACCTAATGTACCACCAGCAATGCCAAATGTCTGTGCCAGATAGTCATACATAATGACCGTCGCAGTATCATTGGGATTGATATTCCACACGTGGCGGCCGAATCCCCACTGGATGCCCATGGTGATCATGACTGATCCAACTATAGCTAGACACTAGAGGTCAAATAAGTCAATTTTAGCATTGACCTCGAAAGCATCTTAAAGATATTTTGGTTTAAATAACTAGAACAAGGAGAGAAATGTGCTAACCAACGCCGAAACCATCAAGACATCATCCAAGCCGAATTTCCCAATTCGTATTTTCGCAGCTACTCTCAAGGCGATTATGAAAATAGCGACCCCACTGAGCGCCCAAACTTCTCTGAGAAGCCGGGGACCGACATCATATAGAGCCTCTCGTGATAAAACAATCATGGCGTTTACTCAAGATGTTGATATTTTGCCAGCAGGAGCAACAGGGACGACAAAAGTTAGTCATGTCCGTACCAGAAGACCGTCATGGATCATGAGAGTTATATTCAAGAATCCGTATCAGCCGTTTATCAAATAAAGCGTTATCACGCCTCATCGGAGATCCCCATGGCCCTGACAGCTAGATGACTGAACCGGAAGTATGACCATCTTAACATGTTGATACTGTGTGGGAGGGCCGTCGGCGGTCTCCGCTAGGAGTCCGGGCACGCGACGATAAGCAGGCGGGGAATCTGCGCAGTTTGCATGAAGCTTAAGTGCCAGGATCAGGGCAGGGCGTTCTCTTGATAATGACTCGCTTGGTGATTGGCCCCACGCGAAAGGTCCGATCGGTCGGATCTCTTCGGGTATCGTGCGTGTATTCTTTAGGCGGAAATAGTTATTTGGCGACGCTGCCGCAGTCCAATGGATTATGGGTGTTTTATCTGTTGTCAGGGGTTCTCAGGGGTCTCCCAAACTAGCTCTCTTCTTCTAGAAAGGTTCCCCTTGCCACGTATGCAATTGTAGTTGATAAGATCAGATCTTGAATACATACCCGGAGTAGACCACAAAGTGTGACAAGAGCCGCGATCAAGAGAGAATAGTACGGTTCGTCGTATAGTCAATACAGTGAGTACATGTAGAAGGGTTTGACCTCGGGGCGGCCTCCGAGAAACTGAAGGGAAGATAGAGGCACTCTGGAGTCAGTTAGGAGCACTACCCTCGTCATATATGCCTGATCATGAATTATGAAATGATGTAGTAGTACTCAAAAACACAAAAAAACAGTGAGATGCCGAGCCGGTCCAAGCATTTCCATTCGCTGATTTATTGCTTTCTTCTCTTGATAATCTGAAACAATCAAGGTCCGTATATCACTAGCAGATATTATGTGGAGGATCTAGAAGCTTGGAAAGAATACTGGCATGCTCAATGAACCCTGAAATTTGTTATCTCTAAACAAAGCAAAATGACACGCGACCATCTAGTAAACATATCGGAAATGAGGGTTTTCCCGATCGGTGATATCTTCAAAGCCGTGAGTATAGTTGACATCCGGAATAACCTCTCCGGACGCAATCTTAGCATCCCGCTTCCGATTCTGAACACTATACCAAACTCTCAAGGCGAAAAGAATAAGGAAGACAAGACCAAAGCACCCCAGCAGGATCGAGAAAGCGAGATAATACCGTGGCGCATCTTTATCACGGAACACCTGTGGACCAATTGAGTTACCTGCAGCCCAGAAGACGAAGTTGCAGGCAATGATGATTGATTTCTTGGTTTGACCGGCGGCATTCCGCGAGAGAAGAGCGAGCGAGAGAGACGATACTGCGAAGAAGGAGTTAGAAGATCCAGTATGCAATAAGCATGCCGACTCTTTTGCTTGGGGTGAATGGAATTCCGAGGAGGATCGATGATCCGATGATGGAGGGGACGACGGACGCGATCATGATCTAGATTATTTGGTAAAATTTGCGATCGAGGTAGGCGGAGACAACCATGGTGATAGTCGTAACTGCTCCGATGACCATGGAGAGAAATTGGCTTTCCCAAGTGCTGAAGTCGAATGATTTGAGGATGATGTTGGCAAAACGACCGTGGTCAACCATTGGTACTGCATTCAGTCAGTGGGTGCACACGGATCTTAATATCAGTAATAACGGACCTGATTGTCGGCCAAATGCGCATTCTCCATGATTCCAATAATTGAAGCAAAAGACATTGCCCCCTTGTCCAACGTTTGGATCAAGTATGTGAACATCATCACCACCAGGACTCGCTTATCGATCATTCGTCGTAATCGTTTGTTGGTCGCCTGATCGATATGAATCGCTGTATCTGTAGCATATTTGGCAACCTCCTTATCGACCAGCTTATAGTCAGTGTGGTTCTTTTCTGGACCTTTATCGTGGAAGCTAGAGCTTCCACGATGTCCTCGTTGTCTTTCTTATTAGTAGTCATTGTGGCATCGGTGGCTGGAATGAAATTTCTTTCCCGATCGAGCAACGAAATCAGGGACACTTAAGTTTGCGAAGAAGTTGGCGACAAGCCATACTCCGGGGATATGCGACGCCTGGGGTCAGCTTCGGTAGAACATCATCCCCCATGGGGATGCGGATGAAGATATGCCCCCACGTCAAATGAGATGCCGATTGCCCGCTGCCCGGAATTCAAGCCACGCTAGGGATCAAATACTTCAGAACTTGGCAGGAGAAGGCCGATCATTGTCTCGGCTCTCTGCTAATAGCTGCGTCGGCAACGGAGGTGGCCGTATTAGCCCTAATCCTGCTCCATAGACGGGTGTGACTGCTCGGTGCAACAACAACCCGAAAAGGTCATCCCACTTTGCAGGTGGAGAAAAAGAATGTCGCTTGGAGGAGTGTCACAGGTTCGGTGGAGAGATCAGTTTGAACATCAGCCGAGTCCACGGCCCCAAAGGTGCGGTGTCTTATTTTCCACTAGATACGTTCTATCTTTTATGCTGTAGTACTGGGCCAACGTCGATATCATGTCAGACAAGCCTTTTGTGGCTTCCAGCCATTTAACGGATTATCTTGATCTTATTGGCGCTTCGATTTTAGTAGACAAGGATGACTTCGTCGGTATTCATCATGCTGATCGAGCGCTCGCTGAAGACTTTGGCCGAGTAGCCAAAGGTAATGCTAGTCCACTCAGAGCAATCACCGCTAACCAGGCCGAGCCATTTATCGACGCGCCTCGGAAGACTGCTATAATCATTGGGTGCATCGATTCCTGCTGGATAATCAAGCATCTGGAACGATCGGGGAAGATTGACACTCGCTCTATTCTTGGCAAGTGGGAGTCTTCTATCACTGCAGTCGTAAAAACCCCTTTGGAGGAATGTGAAAATGCACTGGTCATCGCTGGCAGTGACAAAAGAGGAGCCATATTCGGTGCTTATACGCTCTCTAGTCAAATAGGCGTGTCTCTGTATGCTATATTACCCATCTCAAGCTGATATACGGCCCCTAACTGACGTTAAAAGATGGTATTGGAGGGCAGACGTACCAGCAAAGCATCACCCAGAAATCTACGCCTTACCTACAACGACCACCCACGGCGAACCGAGCATCCAATACCGCGGTATTTTCATCAATGACGAAGCACCCGCGTTGACAGGATGGGTGCTTGAGAAATTCGGAGGATACAACAGCCGATTTTATAAAAAGGTGTATGAGCTGCTTCTGCGATTGAAGGCAAATTTCATGTGGCCGGCGATGTGGCCCGGATATCCCAACCCGGGAGCGGTTTTCTTTACAGCTGATCCCGAAAATCAGCGAATCACCGACGAATACGGAATCTGTGTATCGACTTCCCATCACGAGCCTCTGCAACGCGCGACGACGGAGTGGTTTGAAAATGGGCGGGTCGATGGAACGTGGAATCGGACAACACACCGCGAGGAGATTATTGAGTTCTTTCGTGGGGGTGTGAATCGGGCGAAGGGCCTTGAGTCATCACTCTCGGTATTCGTGGCGAATATGATCGTCAAATGGCAACTGATGATCCTGGTAGGGTTGTGCGAGATGTGCTTGAACAACAGAGAGCGCTGTTTGAGGAAGTCCATGGGCGTGAAGATGCTGTTCCACAGGTTATGGCCTTGTACAAGGAGATACAAGATCTGTACCAAGCTGGAGATTTCACTGTGCCTGATGATGTGACGTTATTGTTTGCCGATGACAATTTCGGCTCTTTACGGCGGCTACCTTCTGGGTCTGAAAAAAGCCGAAAGGGTGGTGCGGGTGTAAGCTTGCCTTGTATCCTGGTTTAGTTTTATTTGCTTACCTTGTCGTAGATATATTACCATTTTGAATACGTCGGAGCGCCTCGGAGCTACGAATGGATCAACTCCAAGTCGTTGGTTTGTCTTTCTTGTTTGAATGTATTGGTCCAGTTAACGATTGCTCACACATTGAAAGGGCAAGATATATCATCAGCTGTTCGAGGCACACCGTCGCAATGCTCGCAAGATCTGGGTCTTTAATATCGGAGATATCAAGCCCATTGAAGTCCCACTGACCTTTGCAATGCAGCTGGCATGGGATGTTGAATCCATTAGTGCAGATACTATCATTGAGCTCCTGGGGGGCACTGCATCCAGTTACTTCGGCGAGGAGCTCAGTCAAGATACGAGCGCTATTTGGCACGAGTATGACCGCCTCGTTCGCATTCGCAAACATGAGCACATCGATTTGGACAGCTTTTCATTGCTCCATTATAACGAAGCAGATGATATTGTATCCCGGTGGCAATTCTTAGAGATATCTGTCGATGCCGTCTACCAGCGTGTTCCTACTGAGCAAAAAGCCGCATTCTGGGAGCTAGTTGTACACTCGGTGAAGGCTAGCACAATATTCACCCGTCTGCGAGTCGCTCAAGGTCGGAACCAACTCTATGCACGCCAACGACGCAACACAGCCAACAAGCTCTTGCGTGAAATCTTGGACTTATTTGACGCCGACTTCAAGCTATCACAGAAATTCCATTCCTTGCTGGACGGCAAATGGAATCATATGCTGTGCCAACCGCACCTGGGATACGGCGATACATGGCATGCCCCATCGCGAGACGCGATATTTGGGTTAGCTTACGTCCAGGGATATCGGAATAGCAATTTGATTGTCGGGCAGATGGGTATTGCCGTTGAAGGCCACGAAGGCATCCGGGCAGGGCGGATCAACGAGGAGAGTGAGCGAACGCATCCAAGCCGACGCGACTTGGTTCCTAGATTGACTCTCAGTTCAATGAATCGACATGGTCGATCTCAGCGCTAGTTCGATATCTTCACCCGGGGTGCTCAGACCATACGTTGGTCCACAACTGTTCCATATTCATGGATTCAGCTTTCGGTCACAGAAGGTATGCTAGACCCTGATGGAGATGATGCTCGTGTTTGGATCTCGATTTTATGGGGCCAGGTTCCAGTTCGCTTCGATCAGAGGGTTTTGATCACTATCTCATCGAAAGAAGGGGACTATGAGCATGTCCATCTCCCCATCCGTGGCCACCGCGTCCCAGAGTCCTTCCGTGTTTTTGTTGAAGCTGATGGCCGTATTTCTATACCTGCATATGGCATGGGAATCAAACCTCCCTATCATCATCACCCAGAGCTCGGCCGCGGAAGTGAAGGTGCGGTAACAGTGGGAATTTGCGACCCCTTGAAAGGGAATGAGGCACCATTCTTGGAAAATCCGGTGTACATATTCTCACATTCTAGTTCTTCCACGGTCATTCTGTACTTTAACATGACACTGGAAATCGATCCAGCACAGCGAATGTCCTATGAGATTGGCATTGATGATCAACTGGCCAAATTTCATAATCTCCTGGCAGACCCGGGACAGAACAAAGGCAAAATTCTGGCAGAGGGCTGGTCAGATGCTGCCATGGACTGTGTTTGGAAGAGGGAGCACAGCGTCACTGGCCTAGGTATCGGTGTTCACATTATCAGGGTCAGGTTGAACCACACGAACGTCGTCCTAGAGAAGATTGTGCTGGACCTCGGCGGCGTTAAGGAAAGCTATCTTGGCCCCCCAAAGAGTTTTTGTGCGTCGGGATGAGCATACCAAGAGCGAGGCAACAACCCAACTAAAAGGGTCATTACAAGTGTTGCAATAGACACCTGGAAAATTGTCAAATTCTAAGCATTGAAAACCCTGGGCATCTGAACTGCAGTTCCGAGCTCGCAGAATCCAATGGAGATCACTCGGTAGATCTGGCAATTGTATCTGATCGACCAAATCTAATTTCGCAATGATCAGGTGTGAAGGCTTGAATATGCATATTTTGCTCATCAACACCGATCATGATGATGTTTAACCGAACCCACAATTATTCACCAATAACAGGCCATGAAATCCCCTTGCAAATGACGAGTCAGCAATAAATCAGCATTAGATCAGCCACTAGTCTATTTCCGGCCTAGTACTCTTATTGATGCTCGATAATGCTTCCATAATCCCTGGAGCTTGCTGGAGCTTGCTGGATAATTTGGATTCCTATATAAACCCCACAACCCACCTGTAGTTTTGCTAATCATCAGGGGAAAAAAACCACTATTCTTTCCATTGCCACAGTACATGATCAATTCATCTCAAGCCATGTCTAACCCACTCTCCCACGCCAAGATTGTTCTCCGACGCTCCAGTGAGCGCGGATATGCTGAGCACGGCGGCTGGCTCAAGTCATTCCACACATTCAGCTTCGCCAACTACTACGACCACCGCTTCCAGAACTTCGGCAGCCTAAGAGTCCTGAATGAAGACCGAGTTTCGGCCCGCAATGGATTCCCTACGCATCCACACCGCGATGCGGAGATCTTCAGCTATATCCTCAACGGCGAGCTCACACATCGCGACAGCATGCTTAAGAAGGGCTCTGAGGGAGAACAAGGAAAACAATTCTACCGCATGAAGCGGGGAGATGTTCAATTCACCACTGGCGGAACAGGTAAGCCTCCCAGCCTTGCGCTTTAACCCTATAACGAATCCATGCTGACGTAAGACAGGTATCGCGCATTCTGAACAGAATGAGTCGACCAAGCCGGTGCACTTCTTACAAATCTGGGCCCTGCCCTGGAAGCACGGCTTGAAGCCACAATACCACACTAAGACTTTTAGCGAGGAAGATAAGCGCAAGGCGTTTGTTCCTATCTTGTCGCCTCTTGCTGCTGGCCCCGAGGCTACTCCTGCGCAGGAGGATGCTGCTACCCCTAAGATTCCTGGTACCATTCCCATTCATGCTGACTTTGTCATGGGTGCTGGTATTATTGAGCCTAGTTCCACGTTCAAGTGGAATGTTGGCGCGGGCGAAATTGTTGAGTCTAAGAAAAAGCGAAACGTTTACATCCATCTGCCAATGACCAAGCAGGGCAAGTCTAAGGTCAAGATTGATGGCCGGGAAGATGCTGTGCTCGAGGAAGGTGATGGTGCCTTTGTCACATTGGTCAATGCTGGAGATGCGCTTCGTTTCGAGAGTGTTGGAGAGGTTGAGGCTGAAGTGATTGTTTTGGATAGCAATTAAAATATGATGTATTTAATTAGATTTTCACCTTCTATAACGTGTTTGTTCCGGATGAAATAATAATTTATGGTATGTGTCTATCACTAGTATTTTACGTTCTGATCTGTACGGATTGTCACCGTAATCTAGGGGAGGGTAAAACTGCCATCCCGGAAAGTGATCTGCTCCTGAAGAATAGGGTGAGTTAGTCACCCTGCCGCCCTAGGTAGCTCACGAGCGACCCTAGCAGCTTAGCGTTGCCTTCCATGACCTCGGAGGTCAAATCGATAAGCTCAATATAGGTACTGACGAAGAGAAGAGATATTATGCAATGTGGAAAACCAGAAGGAGGCTCGTAAGCACTGAAGTCTCTGATTAAGATAACTGACCCTGAATTGCGAGCGATACTCCCACTGCTTTGTTGTATGTACCGGCAAGAGGTGACAAAGGTAAGAAAACACGAGATTATTTGAAGAGTGCACGTGAACTTGTTTCCCGCAGATTGCAGTAAAATCGTGGGTGTATTTGACGATTGTGTAAAGACCACATCGCCACCGGCCACTTCACACTCATCGGTGATCCGAGACTCTTGTGAATATCGGCTGAAGGTAAGCTCAAGACCTACCTTGGATTTTCGTATTTTTAAGCGAAGAGATCAATATACATTGGTTGCTCAGCTGCACTACATGAGCGGTCCGTATCTTGTCGAGAGTGCCCAGTATTGACATACTGAAGATATTCCCAACCTTCATCCTAGATAGGTGTAAGGTCATGTTACATCAAATGCCAGGATGAACACATATCTAGCGATTGTATGTCAATGCCATAAACGAAGGAGTGATACATATTTGCCTTGAGAATGTGTTGAACGTAAAAGCCCACGGCGTTAATCATTGCAAATAGACCGCTATATGTACTCTGGATCTGATTCTAGAATAACCCGATGCGTTGTTTAAGCCTCCACTTGGTCAAGTCTCCTTTAATTCCCTCTCCTGCGAGGGATCGAAATCTCCAAACGAGTCAACCCCAGCTCCGCGCAAATAGTCCAAAGGAGGCTGGAAACCGACAAATCCGATGTTAGGACTGGGTAATTCAAAGCCCATGACTTTCTGAGCCGCAGGTGACCAGGATAAAACTTCTTCCGCAGAGTTCGCAAGGTAGCTGTTCTCTTCTTGTCGATAAAATCCCCGCGTGAAGAACATTCCATGCACTTTCCGCCATTCTGTCTCGGTCATATTTGCTCCTCCTGCGTGATACAGCCCACCCAACATAACCCAGCAGTCGGTCACATCCATTTGTGCGGCACCAGCCTCGTGCATCAATGGGGCGCGATCGGACCCCCAGAGATGACTTCCTGGTATAGCCAGGGTAGCCCCGTTCTCCACGGTGGTCTGTACTCCTGGAACCATGAAAGCCATCATAACGTCTGAGCCGACTCTATAGCCCGTTGCTCCTTGATCTTCATGATCCACATGGTAATTCTTGTCGTCTCGGTGTAGTCGCTGAGCTTTGGCGCCCGGGCCAATGTCAAATGTCATAGCTATTGAGCAAACTGCTTCACTTGTGTCGGTGTGCTTGGTCGCGCCATAGAAGTTTGAAGTTGTTTTATCGATGAACTTGGCTGCCAATGTTCGGATCAGACGATCGACTAGCCATGTTTCTCGAGCTGTCTTACTCCGGCCTGCTAGGTTGGCGCATCGCCGAGTTTCTTCAGGAAACAGGTTGCCCTGCTGATGTTTAGAATAGGACTCTAGTAGACTGGGGCCTTCAACTTACCTTCCACGGCTTATCTTGGTCAAGATAAGGTTGAACTTCAGCGTTCACTCTCGTCACAGTCTCGACATCGGTGAAATTCTTGATAACACAACAGCCGTCCTCGATGAGAGCTTTGATGATCGCAACCTCGTCACCACGATCGATACGTTGAATTATTTGTTTGACAGCCATGTTAGATAAATCCGATCCCAGGTGAGGCCAATTGCTAAATAACCTCTGGGCTCTGATAACATCACCATATCCGACGAATCGAGTGATTTTATACTGGCAGGTGGAGCCGCAGCGCGGAGATAACCAACTGCCAATGGCCGAGTCACTTTTACCTATCGCATCCCCCACTTTTCCTGTTAGGATGTCAATACTGACAGCACAGCGCTCATGTTTGAGCTGTCACTCTCGAAAGGTGCGATGTGACCGAGTCGCACCTCAGTGCTCTCCATGCAAGAAGCGGGGGCTGGAGTGTGAGATGCCTGATCCTCCACCTCGGCTGCTTTGGCTGCGACCACTGACGGGAGTCCATGAAGACCCAGGGGAGGATTTCCATGCAAGACGAGAGCTTCTTTTCGGAAGTATGCACAGCTCCAGTCTATTCTCAGATGATTCTGACACCCCGGATTGCAGGACATGATCAAGCGCAGAATTCTGCAATTTGGCCTCGTCAACTGGCGAGAACTCCATCGTGTCGATTGTGGAAGAAATCGACCAACAAAGCGAAAACATCTCCTTTAATCAGATACTAAGTAATGGACCTTTCCATATATTTCAAAATACGGAGATGCAACCTGCCCATCTCGATACCCTGTCGGAGATCCTCGGTCCTGAGTTCTGGGATACTTCAATCACAGATATCGACCTTTTGGCCCAAGATCGTCCTGATGAACTTATTAGCTTGGAGATCCCGAATATCATTAGCTTTGGGCCAGAATTGCAAACAAATTCCTTAGACCTGCCTGTGTTTGGCGAATTTGGTTTCCTCTCCGCAGGCACACCTGCACCATTGAGCCCACAATCAATTTCCTGTGGAGAGTCGCCAGCAGATCTGACTGACTTCGCCCTCTCGACAGCTAAGGAGTTACTTGGTCATTACCGAGAGACTTTGGTCGCATTCTTCACCCCCGCACGGGTCGAGTCGCAGTCCCCGTGGGAAACAATGTACATTCCTAGCGTGTTCAGCACAGTGGGCGAGATCGGACTGTCTGGAAATAGCAGCAACGCCAAAGTATCTCTTCTTTTCGCGATCTTCGCCATCAGCGCCTTCAGCTTAGATGGACTTAATCGCGTAACAGACGCGTCGGGAAGCCAAGACTGGCGTGCACTCGGAGAGATGTATCGCGAAAGGGCCAAAAGGCGATTAAAAAGATCGCTGAAGGATCTCTCTTATGTTATCGGGCGTAAAAAAGAGAAATATAAAGACATTCTGATGGCTCTGTTAAGTATGGTGACAATTTGTGTGGGTTCTCCAACTCCCGCTCAAGTTGCGCATTTCCATCTTCAAAAGGCTGACCATCAATATAGGTGGTGAGTGGCAATATGAGAAACGCGGCACACTATTTGAGCGTTATCGAGAAGATTATCAATCTGCATGGTATGCGAAAAGTTGCTCGCTCATCCAAAGTTCGAATGCTTCATAGCATTTACCTCTACCTCCGGGTATTAACCGAGCGTGCTTGCGCCGACGACCAACAGTCAGAACCAGGCGCAACAGAACACCGAGAAGCACACTTAGATTCTTCATTTTCACAGCTTGCAAATTGGGATCAAATCCTCGGGTTTCCGTCGTCTATGTCAAGTTCTGATGCTTCGGAATTTGACATAATCCCAAGCCATATCCCATACAAGTCAGCATTCGAGGAGATATACTCTGTACCACAATCACTGTTTAAGCTCATTCTTCAAACAACGCAACTGGCAAAACACGTTCAAAAGTTAGAGAGTGTTGACCGGTCAAAGCTCACTGACCACGATGCACTCGCGATCAAGGTCAAGTAATTGGAAAATAAAATATGCGACTGGGAACATCAAACGAGAAATGATCTGGAATACCACCGCGCAGCAAATACTCCCCAGAAAGAGGAGTTTCCCTATCATCTCGTTCAGGCAGTACAGAAGGCCCTGTTCATCTACTTTTACCGCTGTATCAGAGATCTTAATCCAGCTACATTGCAGCTTTACGTCCGACAGACCGTCTACCATCTGCTTGAATATGATAAGCAGAAGCAGAATTACAAAGATCAGTCATCCAATACCTGCTGGCCAGGATTCATCGCGGGATGCGAGGCACAAGATCCTCATGTCCGTGAAGAGATTGCCAATTGGCTTGATCGATCTGGTCATTCTACTGGCATTCGCATGTTTACTGTGGCTCGTGAGGCTGTACAGAAGGTCTGGCAGACTCGAAGTTACCGTGGTATGGAAAGTGTTCCCTGGAATCAGGTGCTAGACAAATACAGTGACCTCAGGGTTTTAGTACTAAGCTAATATCGAACTTGAGTGCTTTTGTCTGATATTTATCAACGCCTTCCTAAGCATTCGAAACTTGTCCGTTTCATTATTCACAAGGCTTTGTATCCATCTTGAGATATAGCAGACTCGTACTGCAGGTACACTTGGAATTCAGCAAAGAGGCTCTCCTGCATCGCAGTTAGCAACTTAGTCAAAATGACACATAACACCCCAACACTCTTCCAAATGACTTACTGGATCACTGGTATTCTCAAAGGTGAAGCGCGCAGCCTCGTCGTCAATAAGCACCTTTTGACGACCGGCAGCAACGGCGGCATCGGCGGCAAGCTGAACCTGGCAACTTTTCTCCATCAAAAGAAAAAGATAAGCCGCCTCATCCACCGTGCCTCCAACTGTCAAAAGGCCATGATTTCTCAAGATCACCCCCTTGCCACTCCCGAGACTCTTCGCCAGCGCGCCTGACTCCTCTTCTTTCAAGACAACACCCCCAAAATCCTCGTACACACTCTGTGCATCCCCGTAGAAAATAGCTACATCTTGATTCAACATCTCAAGAGGCTGGGCAAAAGCCGACCAAGCTTTACCGTAAGTCGAATGAAAATGGCAAGCTGCATTCACATCCGGCCGTTTCTGGTGAATTGCACTGTGGATCAGGAATCCTGCTGCATTTGCCGGTCTGGATGTGTTACCTCCCACGGCAGTTCCTGATTCGTCGACTAGGATTAGGTCGGATGGGGTTATCAGTCCGAAATGAAGGCCAAGTCTGCATTGTGTCGTCACCAGTTAGCATAGCCTTTGGGGGTATTATTATGCCCGAGCACTCGGAAATAATTGCGAGTACGTACGGATTCGTCCAGAATCGATCTGGAAATTCGGGGTCTCGCAGTGATATGTGGCCTGCCATGCCCTCCACAAAGCCATGTCTAGCGAACACCCGGAAAGCACCAACCATGTGGTTTAGCATGTAAGCCCGTTGCTTATCAAAACTGCTAAATTTGGGGATCCCCGGTAAAGTAGTCCCCTGCGACAACGCCTCCAATCCCTTGCTCTTGGTCGGGACGGTAGCGTCCACTGAGGGTGCCATATTTTTTTGTCTCGCGCTGAGATATGAGACAGATAAGAATTGAGAGATATGAAAGGAAAAAAGAGTTGGGAAAGTGTTGAGATGCCTCTTTCGACTGGTTTCGGACTCTTATCAATGCGGGGAAAATATATCTGGAAGGCGAGGCCGAAGTTTTTCAAAGGGCCAATAGGACGGGATCCGAGACATTATTGGTCTGATTATACACATCAGCTGGTTGTATATATGCAGTGTGACTTCTTGTTTAGATCTCGACTACGGATCAAACTGCAGAAATGGACTCCAAAATTTCGAGTAGAAGTCTAGACGGCTCAGCAGATATGTCAACCATGAAAGAACCCAGTCTTCATGCCGTTCAGTCCGTCGGAGAAGGTCAGATTGAAGATGAGGTCGAGAAATCTGGCAATCTTCATCGGACTCTGACACCTCGCTTAATTCATTTAAATGTATCCCCAAAATGAGGATTGCCAATTGAACTAACGATGACTCGTGAGCAACATAGGTCATTTCACCCGGTTCGAATGTTGGCAGTGGACTCTTCATTGCTACAGGTAAGGCCCTGGCACAAGGAGGTCCGGGGAGTATGTTCATTGGCTATCTTGTTGTTTGTATTGGCGTGTGGGCCAATCTTCAAACTCTGACGGAAATGACCATCGCATTCCCTACATCTGGCAATTATATCGACTACGCCGATCGTTAGGTTGACCCTGCATTGGCTTTTGGGGCGGGATTGGCCGAATGGCTAGGTGAGTCGATAGTCATCCATTACAAACTGTGAAGCGCTAAATGGGCTGAAATTATATCATAGGATGGACGTCTGTTTTCGCTTCCGAGGCGACATTCTTTGTCGTCCTTGTGGACTTTTGGGCTGAAGGGGCGATACCAGAGGCTGCTCTACGTAAGTACTCTATTTCAAGCTTGAAACTTTATTGTGCCCCTTTCTCACATTGAGTTAGTGACAATCTTTCTGGTTATATGTCTTGCCGTTTTTCTGGTGCCAAACAAATATTTCGGATGGGTGGAATACTTCGGATCAGTTGTCAAAGTGTTCCTTTTTATCTTTATCACACTTATCTCACTTGCAATTATCGGCGGTGTCGGTCTGTCGGGCTCTGTTAGAAATGGAAGCACTTGGACTGACTTGCCAGTATTCAAAAACAGCTTTGGAGTAAGTACTTTTCCCGCCACCCCCTGTTCTTGATCTAATAGTTGCTATAGGGCTTTGCCAATGCTTCTCTTCTGGCAATTTGGGCAACTGGAGACGAAGTCTTTATCGGCGTAATGGGCGGCGAAGCCAAGTCCCCTCGATACTCTATAGCCCACTTAGCAAACTTAGTCCCCTGGCGAGTGGGAGTATTCTATCTTGTCTCGGTAGTACTCGTCTCCCTGATCGTGCTATTAGATGATTCTAGTTTACTAGGAGCTTCGAGTTCTGCCACCTCACTATTCGTTATTGCGGTCCAAAATGCCGGAATTAAGGGTGTTCCTGACTTGATCAACGTATGCATGATTATTAGAATTATAGCAATTGCCCTTGAGAGTATCTTCTTTCCTTCTTGTGTCCTTCGCGCTATGGCACTTCAAAAGCTTATCCCCTCTTGCTTGGCCAAGACGGATGAAAAGGGACGACCGAGATAGGCGCTTTCTATTACAGCTATGGTCGCAATCATTCTGACTTATATAAGTTTGAGTGGTAATTATTTGCCCTTTTGTCTGATATTGATCTAGTGTGCTTACTGAAATTGATTATAAAGCGGGTGGATTGGAGGTCCTGAATTGGCTGATCTCTATCACAAGTACATTATTCTTCATCAACTAGGCCATTATTGCCTTTATATCTTTTCGATTCCATGCAGCTGTCAAGGCCTAGAAAAGTCAGATTTTTAATGGAGCGTATGCATAGAAATCTGCTTACTATCCTCTTACTCCGATAACGGTTCTGATCATCTCTACTTTCCTCTTGGTCTGCGTTTTATATTTGAGCATCGATAGGGTGGTAAGTAATTTGTCTTCTTTTTCTTCAGATCTCACACTAATGATTTTTCAATCCAGACCTAGACTAGTTTCACCGTGTACAGCTTCTTCTCCTACAACATTAGGCTTGTATTGATTGTTGTCTCAATGATCTTATACAAACTCATCCTACGCACACCATGGCGCGACCTAGCGATAGCTGATCTAGTTATCGGCCACCGCATACTATCAGCGAATAAGATACAACAGCTGGATGCCTATTACCAGCGACCAATATAGCGTCGGATCGGCTTATATTTACGCATATGGTAACTTCGTCATTTAATCAAGATAAGCATAATATATTGACATATCGAAATACATAATCAAAGCGGTTCACCCATAGCACTAACATCCTTCACGGCATCAAACTCCTCCAACAGTGTCTGGAACTTTGACTTGGACATTTTCCAAGATACCGCTCCCAAAGGCAAACGTAGAGGGATACGCTCTTCCCGACTAGCGATCTTGAACAGGGTTTCAGCAATAGCAGAAGGCTCCATACCCATACCAAGCTTCAATCCCTGGCGCACGTACCCCTCCAGTTTTCTTGCCGGCATATCAGCACCCGCATAGGCAGGATGAGGCTTGATGATTGCTTTGCTATGACCTTCAAAGCTGGTTTTCACACCACTTGGCTCGACGATACAGAAGTTGACTGTGCAGCGTTAGCGACCATTGTCGTTTGGAAAGGGCCCAATGTAATTAAATTTCAGAAGAAAAAAAAAAAAGAAAAGTACTTACTATTCCAATCTGGATGCATCTCCCTCGCCACGGATTCCGAAAATCCCTCCACGGCAAACTTACTAGCATGGTAAAAGGCATGACCAGGGAACGCGCACAACCCAGCCAGCGAGGAGATCTGGAAGATCAAACCACCGTGGCGATCTTTGGCTTGTCGCATAACCTCGATACTGCGTGTAGTTACGCGCACGGTACCGAAGAACGATGTCTCCATCTCCTGGTGCATTTCTTCTTCAGTTGCACCCTCGGTATCGCCCGAGAGGGAGTAACCGGCGTTGTTCACCACGACATCTAGATGGAATGATTCACCAAAATGCTTTGCTGCTGCTGCAAAAGCGGCGTTTACGGAATTGACGGAGGTCACATCAAGGGCGAGCTTGAGGATATTGGCGTTGTCCTCTGGGAGGTAGGATAGGTCCGCTGGATTGCGGGCTGTTGCGATGATGCGCTGGTTTGGTTTGCTTGCTATCAACGATGCAATTGCTCGACCGATGCCGGATGAACATCCAGTGACTTTGTGCCTTGTTAATAAGCGGACATACTGTGTTTGAGGGCGGCATTACCTAGCCATGTGGCATCACCCGGGAGTTTGTATGGCTCAGTGTTGACGGGGTTCATTGTCACAAGAGAGAACAAAGTGGATAGTTTGGAATGCGCTGTTCATTCTTCATTGAGACGAACTGCTCAGGTGTTTAAATATCTATCAGTTTGCACATCTGAGCTCAATGCCATTCTAAGATCTATAGAGAAGCCCCACGATATCCCTCCATTCTAATTGGTTTATTTGAGATTCGGCGTCCGTGATTGGATTAGCGTCATTCTGAACATGGCAGCTCCTACTCAAGCAAGTGCCCGACTCAATTCGGCGTCCCAAAAAAGCTTGGTTTATTTCTTATTTACATCCTGGCCGTCTGCGCGCGTTGTTTAGGTATATTGATATGCAGTAGATTACGCAGTCTTGTTCCGCTCGAAGGACTCACCCACAAAGCAGCGAATGATTGTCTGTTGGACGTGAAATCAGAGTATTTCAATTGATAGCCGTGTTCTTCGATACTCTGATGCCATTTTCAATATAAAAATAGGAGGGGTACTGCATAATCTCACTCACTATGTACTGTGTCTATGGCAAGGATGTTGAGGTCCAGTCAAGGATGGGCTCAGCTAACATGGGGAAGGGGGATCATCAGCGACTTACAAACTCCCGGGAACCTAGAAAATACAGAACATGAAAAAGAAGGAAGTACACCCGCATTTCAGTTGATCGTTGAAGCCAATTTCAGGGGTTGGACGTAAAAGGGGGTCATAAGCGCGGCTACCATACCCGATTTGGACGTGGGGAAGCCCCGGATTACCCCGTTACATCATGTTGACTCTCTCTAAACCAGTATAGGTGAACTCGCTGTTTGAACCTCCACTTTACACAAAGCGGAAAGTTCCATAATATACGAGCTGGAAATCATATAAGTCCTCGCAGATCCCACACAATGTGAAAAGAAGTGTACCTCCTCAACACTCAACAATTGACAAAATGGTTCAGCTCACCCCGTCCACCGCGATGCTGCTGGTAACTTTGACGGCTATGAGTGCCTCAATCGGTGTCTCTGCAGCAACAGTGACCAATAGCCTATTGCTATCTTCAATCTCCAGCCAGCTATCAGTCCCAGCATCGACATGGTCCGCCAACGGCACGCACACTGCGAAGGGATTCACCAGCAAGTCAGCCGACACAGCTAGTATCAACGGCCTGAAGCAAGATTGCGATAACATCAATCTGAACAAGAAGCTCGCTACCGATTTCCGCAATGATGTCCTTGGTGCTGGTGTCATTGGGTTCTTTTATAAGTGCGAGAAGATCAGTGATGATACCAATAAGTACTGGTTTACTATCAGTGCCGGGGACAAAGCTCAGATTGATCAGCTTTGTGATCCGGATACAAAGTATCCCATTGTTTATGATCAGCAGCATGATACTTGGTTTATTGATGAGCCTTTTGATTGTACTCGTCGGACCAACCCGACGGACTTTTTCTAGGTTGTGGCAAGACTTGCGCTGGTGAGTTGATCACTTGTTCGGGGTGTTTGGATGGAGGAACTGACAATGATTTGCAGGGAACATGGAGCCAAGATCCAAGGTCACCGTGGCAGTCGAGGGAAAGACCCATGCCTTTTGGAAAGATATCAACGAACGAGTCTTAATTCTACCAGTATCTGCTCTAGTCTACGATCCGTTTACTATCCAAAATTCATATCTTACGCGATACCGGGCTGTAAAAAATGGTTGAAGATTCCAACAAAAAAATCAATCTTTGTGCTAAAAGAAAGAATGATAAACAGTAAGGAAATCTGTGTAGAGTACAAGACATTACCAATAGGCAAGAAATTAAACATCAAAGAAATATCGTAATGAAAGAGTCTAAAACGAGAAACCGAGAGCAAAAATTACTCTTGACCTGCCCGGGCCTCAGGGGCATCCAAACCCCACTCTGTCTTAAGATCGGGCGTCAGAATACCCGACTTCTTCATAATAGTTTCCGCGAGAGCAGCAACGGAGTCACTGGTGAGGATCTCCAGAATTTGCAAATTAGCCTCCAACTCGCGGGTGATCCAGTTTCGGATCTCAATAGCAACCAATGAATCCAAGCCATACACCGAAATCGGTGCAGCGGGATCTAGTTCTTCGATGGGACGCATCAGGATACTGGAGATCTTCTGAAGAATAGCAGCGCCAATCACTGCCTCGGCGCCATCACGAGTCTTCGATTGACGGATGGCAGTTGCTGGGGAAATTTCGGCACCACTCTGCGCAGAATCGGCCAATGCACCAGCGCCAGCGAGGGTGGATAGGCGCAATAGATGCGAGAGCTTAGTATCGTTTACCCAGAATGGCTGTTCGGTAATTGGTGTGGTCTTGACTGCTTCGAAGCCTGCTACGCAGTGGCCGTCGCAGGTTGTATCAAAGTCTTGTCGAATGGCTGCTGTGACGAGGCCGCGGATGTCTGTGGCGTCGACGGATTCTGTGCCGAGCTGTTTGGTGATGGCCTCGCGTTTCTGGTCGTCGGATAGATATCCAACTCCGCGGACAACGGGCAGATCGATTGTGGAGCAGCGCATCTTTGCTGACTCGGGGTATTGGGCAAGTGCTGCCATGAAGGTTCCACTGGCGGCGTATGGGGATTGACCCATATTACCGACAAAGCTGGCGGCGGACGAAAGATTCACGAAAAAGTCCACGCTGCCGTTGTTGGTAGTGATTGCGTTCTGGACGTTCCAGATGCCGTGGACTCGGGGCATCATAACCGTCTGGTAGTCCTCGAAGCTGAGCTTCTCAAATAGGGTATCCTAAAACATTGTCAGCGAAGATTATCATCCAGGGCATAAAGAACCACTTACACGAAGGACCATGGCTCCGAACACAACACCGCGAGCAGGAGGCATGCGAGCGAGAACGGGGACGAGGTTCTGTTCAACGCTCGCCATGTCTGCAACATCGCAGCGACAGACCTCGACATTGACTCCTTGGCGAGTGATCTCCGCAATAGTCTGCTTGGCCTTCTCAGTCGAGGCACCGCTCCTCGAAACCAGGATAAGACTTTTGGCCCCTTTTTCTGGTAACCAGCTGGCAATGTCAAGACCAATGCCGCCAGTTCCACCAATAATGATGTATGATGCATTGGATTTGAGAAGGTTCTCGTCTCGTCTCGCAGGATGGACCTAAATTGTGTGTCAGAACATGTGTTCAAGAGGATGTAAACAGTGACAGCATACCTTGACCATAGAATCCTCTGTAATCTGAACAATCATTTTGCCAATTACCTGGCCACCCTGTAAAGCTCGGAATCCAGTCTCGACCTGGGAAATTGGAAGAGCGGTGACCGGCCATCTGGCTTGGGCATTGGAGTCGACAAACAGCTTGAAAGCATCGCGCAAGAGGCGCTTGGTCAATTGCGGGCGCTTCTCCCGAACCATGCCCAAGTCAACCGAGGCAAATGAAAGATTCTTGTTAAAGTGGGCCATCTCCAATCGAGAGTTCTGCGTAATGTCACGCTTGCCAAGTTCAATGAATCGTCCAAACGGCGCAACGCACTCAAAGGTGGCTTGCAAGGCGTCTCCGCTGAGAGAGTTGAGTGCAACATCTACACCTTGGTTACCAGTGGCTTGCTTGATGCCCTGGGCGAAGGAAATGTCGCGGCTGAAGAATATTTGTTCCTCCTCGAGCTGGTATGTCTCCATCAGGAAGTTTTTCTTCTCGATGCTGCCGACCGTTGCAAAGATCTTGGCCCCAATGCTTTGAGCAATGATGATCGCGGCTTGACCAACTCCTCCGGCAGCGGCATGGATCAAGACACTCTCACCTTGGCTCAATCGACCGAGATCAATGAGGGAGTAGTATGCCGTGCAAAACACAGCAGGGATAGAAGCCGCGGTCTCATAAGACATATCATCTGGAATGACCCAAGCACCGGATGATGGGCATCGGGTGAAAGTGGACAAACATCCAGGCGACATCGCGCAGACGCGATCTCCAGGCTTGAAATCAGAGACTGCAGAGCCTACCTGAGTAACAACACCACTGCACTCCTGGCCTAGTCTGTCGCCCTTGAGTTGACCCATTGCCATTAAGACATCCCTGAAGTTGAGACCAGTGCTGTACACTTGGATCTCAACGTGATCATCCGGCAGGGCTGCGTTGCAGGAGACGTCGTCTGTGAAGTAGAGCTCATCCAAGCCTCGGCCCTCTCCAGCAGCGAGTTTCAATGCCCGGTTCTGCTTGAAAGGCTGGAGCTGGGGAGGTGCATTCGGTGTCTCTTGTTGAACACTGAGGTTCAGGGTGTGATTGTCGACCAGTCGAGGAACACAGACATTACCATTGCGGACAACGAACTCCCAGTCACTGTGCATCAACTGCGAGCGCTGGCAGAAGACACCCTTGAACACGTTCAACATGTGGTGAACGGCTTCAGCGTCAGGCATGCTCTCCCGTTCGCCTAGATCCAGAGTGGCAAACTGGAGACCGGTCTCTGATCGGACTGTGCGGGCGAGACCAATTGCCATGTTTGCACCAAGAGACTCAAGATCATTTTTGCTGTGACGAACAACCCACAATAAACCACGAGCACGGCTCAACAGGCGCTGCAGTGCTTGGAATTTCTCTTGTGTCAGATGAGACAGGATTGACCGATCCATACCACCGAGGAAGATACACCATTTTCCAGTGACATCCACCTCATCAGAGTTCATAGCAGTCGTGGGCATGGTGCCGGTCATATTCTTGAGACCGGACTCCAAGCTGAGGAAAGACAAACTGCCAATGGACTCAGTGCCAACGATGACAACATCACCATGGTTCACAGGTCCGGCAGCTGGGCTGTTGGCCGTAGTTGTCATCAGACAACCAGACTGGAAAGAAGCTCCTGAATATTCCTCAGCACAGAGGTCAACACCAGTGAAGTCATTCGCTTTCATGACATTGCTCCATCCCTCGACGGTGAGCAGTGGTCCATCTTTTCGGAAGTCGTCACTGGCCAACCACCATCCAGAAAGAAGGGCGAATGGGAAATGGCGAGCCTTGGGAACAGTTTCCTCGATCAAAATGATCTTACCGCCAGACTTAAGGAGAGACCGGATGTTGGCCATGGTCTCATTAATATTGGACGTAGCATGCAACACATTACACGCAACAACAACATCATATGTGCCAGTGTTGAAGCCCTGCCCGGTGGGATCAGCGGAGATATCAAGAGTCTGGTAAGTCATGAGATGGCCCCAGTTCTCGAACTTGGTCTTGGCTTTCTCGAAGAAGCCAGGAGAGATATCGGTGTAAGTGTAGTGTCCGAATCGCGGCGTAGATCCTGCTTCACCTCCGCCCATGCTTTGGAGGATGGGCATAGTAGCACCACCGGTACCAGCACCGATCTCGATGATATTTAGCTCGGGATTCTGATGGGCCATCTTATCGATCACAACAGAGACATTGGCGTAGGCCTCACGGAGAGCATCGAGGTCACTGTAATACCCGCCGATTCCATCATCCTCCAGGAGGACAGTCAGGGCATCGACCTTGCCACGAAGAATTTGAGGCAGTAGCTCTCCAACCTTGAATGTCAGTTGACCGGCTCCATTGATGGTTCGGTTTTGTTCAAGAACGTCAAGCGATGGAGCTTCTGCTGGGCTAGCCTTTTCACAGGTGTGCTGGGCCCAGCGGTAGAACTTCTGGTGCTGAGGTTCAAAGGTGGACACCTCGTCCTCTGAAATAGACTTCAGCATTTTGCGCAGATAGTACTCTGCAACGGATTCCAGTTGCTGCATGCGCTTTATTCCCTGGGCTGTGTCGGTCTCCGGGCGTGCAAGCTGACGGTAATCCTCCCCGGACAGGAAGTCAAAGCAAGGCTCATATTGTAACTTGTAACAGATCTGATCAGGGGCATTGTCCTTGGATCCCTTGAGGTCGTTAGACACGGGCACCAGCGTAATACCGTTAATGTCAATCAACAAGTTGGCCGAGTTGCTGGGATCGGTGGCAAAGATACGATTGTTCTCGGGGTCAGCAGCGGATTCACTGCCGGACTGCTGGCCATACAGTTGAAGCTTGGTGCCGACAGTGATTTTTTGACTCAATGAAACCGAGATACTCTTGACATGGGATGGAACATGGGTCACCTGGGGTGAAGGCTCACCATAGCCACGAAGAACCCACATAACCTGACTACACAGATCAAGTGTGACTGGGTGTACGATGCATGGAGTCTCGTGTTGGTAGGGCATGGCTGCTTTGGTATCTGGAACACAGATGGTGGCCATGGCCCGACAATCCTTGTCGACCGAGATATCAGTCAATCGTTGGAAAAGAGGACCATAGTGGACACCACCGCCCGAGATATTCTTGTAGAGCATCTCACTGTCAATTGGCACATTGCAAGCGTGGCGCATGTCCAATGCTTCTTGCGCAAAGCGAGCAGTTGTCTCAAGCTGCTGTCGAGAACCATCGACAGGATTGACATCTTTGGCTTCTTGGACCATGATGAAGCCATTGCAGTGCTGATCCCATCCACGACCTTCAGCCCATGAGAAAACCTTGAACTCGTGCCAGCCGAGGACGGATTTACTAGGGGCCTCAGTGCGTGTTGGTCGGAGGCTGAGCATGGTCTCTACGGACGAGTTGTCCGGGACGGTGAGGACGCGGTTGATGAAAATATCACGCAGGTCAATCTTGCCTGGGGTGATGTGGTGGATCTGAGCGTGCTGAGAGATCGCTTCCATTGCCATGGCCAGGAACCCTGTCATGGGATACACATTGCTGTCGTGAACCTTGTGCTGGCGGATCCAAGGGTGATCATCGGCGCGAATGGTATTTCTCCATCGGGGCTCAAAGTCCACGTTCTCCATGGTAAGTGAGCCAAGGATGTCGCTGCGAGGGAATTGACGATGGAAGTGATTATCACCTAGTCTTGAACTGAACCAGTACCTTTCAGTGTGGTTCCAGGGATACCTGGGTAGATTCGTCACGACAGATGGCTTTCTTGACGATGGACTGAGGTTGGGGAAGTTGATAGCCTGGAAGTTGAGGCTCATCCCGTTCGTGAACAAGGAGCCAGCCAAGTTCTGGACGGCCTCAACAGCATCGACCTTCCGCTTCAAAGTGTGTAGGTACTGCACGTTGCTTTTGGGCGCGTACGTCTGAGCAATGTCTTTGACGGGTGTCTGCAGAGCAGGGTGAGGGCCAATCTCGACCAATGTGGTAACGGGAGAGGCGGCCTGCTCATCTGTCAACAGACTCTTCATGCCTTTGACGAACTCAACTCGGGAAACCAGGTTTTCAACCCAGTACGATGCGTCCAAGGTACTTCCAGACACCAATTTGCCTTGTACGGTTGAGTGGAAAGGAACGGTTGAGTCTCGGGGCACGATTTTCCCGAGCAATGACCGATACTGCTGGGATACAATCTTCATATGATGAGAGTGGTAGGCAACATCAACTTGCAGTCGGCGAGTGAAGATTCCCTCCTTGTCCAAAGCGTTTTGGAGAACGATAATGACTTCTGCGTCGCCGGACAAGGTGACGCTAGACTCGCTGTTTACACATGCAATAACAGCCTCGTTGCCGCGCATGGCATCCAGGATTTGCTGAATGTCTGAAGCACTAGCACCAACAGCCAACATACCACCCTTGATGGATTTGTCATTTGCAACCAGGTTGGCTGCGACACCACGAGAGTAGGCGATACGGACACAGTCCTCTAATGTCAAGATCCCAGCTGCGTAAGCTGCTGCAATCTCTCCACTGGAGTGACCAACTACTGCCTTTGGATGAATACCCCACGATGAGAGTAAGTCCACCAAGGCCAATTGCACTGCGGTACAAGCAGGCTGACTCATATATGCTGCCGAGATTGAGCTGTTGCTTGGGTCTGTCAAGAGCAGCTCATCTTTCAATATGTTAGTATTTTCCGAGGTACGCAGAAGAACTCTTTTTTGCATACCAATAATCGAGAAAGAGGCACCAAGCAACCTCAAACATTCATCGACGGATTTCATCGTTTTCTCAAAGACCGGATAAGTGCTAAGGAGCTCCTTGCCCATGCCATGCCATTGTGCACCCTGTCCAGTGAAGACGAAGCCAACAGTGGGCTCTTTCGAAGATCGAACAGGTTCCATGTTCAAAAGAGCGTTGTTCAATTCCGTAGTCACCTGGGAAGAAACGGCGAACCTCCACGGGAGGAAGCTTCGGCGCTGGCCCAGTGTATAGACCATGTTATCCAGGAGACTGTCATTAAAGACCGGTGGGTAAAGGTCTAGATACCCTCCGAGTCCTTTTCCCATCTGAACGGCTGCTTGCTTGTCGTATCCAGAAACAACATACAGTTTGCGCTTTAAAGGGTCAGTATATGCGGCACCTTCACCTTCATGACGGGGGCCACGCTCGAGGATAACATGGGCGTTGGTCCCGCCAAAACCAAAGTTGTTCACACTTGCGTAGGGCTTGCCGCGAGGCCATGGCATCAATTTCTTAGGAACCTGTGTAGCTGTCGTTAGTGACTTCCTTACTCCGTTCTGCTGGTCTTATCTCACTTTCATATTCCACTTTTCCATGGGAATCTCTTCATTAGCCTTTTCAAAATTGCAATTCGGAGGAACGAAGCCTCGCTCAAGTGCCAGCGCAGCCTTGATCACAGAGACGACTCCACTAGTACCCTCCAAGTGACCAATGTTGGACTTGACAGAGCCAATGAGCAACGGTTGGCGCGGAGTTCGGCCCTCACCAAATACAGCGTTAAGCGCCGTAGCCTCAAGCGGATCACCGACTTTGGTACCAGTGCCATGTGCTTCCACGAATCCGACCAATTTCGGATCGATCCGTGCTTCCTTATAGACTTGGCGGATCAATGCTTCCTGGGCTTCCCCGTTGGGCATTGCGATACCTCTGGTGCGCCCATCTTGATTGAGACCACTATTCACAATGACAGATCGAATCGCGTCACCAGCAGCTTCGGCGTCTTCAAGAGATTTCAATATAATACATCCTGCACCTTCACCACGGCCGAATCCAGTTGCTCGATGATCAAACGCGTATGAGCGGCCGGTGTCAGAAAGCAGTCTGATAGGTCAATTTGTTAGCTTCTGTCAATACGAAACAAGGGCCCAAATGATGTTCCTACCTAGAACGAGTCATAGACACAAAGGCCTCAGGGATAATGTTCAAGTGACATCCTCCTACGATAGCGAGCGAACATTCGCCATTCCGAATACTTTGCGAAGCCAGATGCAGAGCAGACAAACTTGAAGAGCAAGCCGTATCGACAGAAACACTAGGTCCGTTCAGGTCAAAATAATATGAGACACGGTTTGCCTGCAATGCCATAGCTGTACCCGTAGCGGCATACATTGGGATACCGTCAATATCCCTCGTGTTGTTGATCTCATAGTCGGGGAATGAGCCACCAGCAAAAACCCCCACCTTCTTTCCAACAATATCTTGTTGGGGGATACCGGAGTTTTCGAGAGCTTCATACACACACTCGAGCATAATACGCTGTTGCGGATCCATGGACCGGGCTTCTTGAAGAGTGATATTGAAGAAAGGCGCATCGAATAACCCGAGATCTTCTTTCAGGAAATGGGCTCCCAATGGGTTGAACGAGCCAGGACGGTCCTGGTGAGGGTGGTAGAAGGACCCAGCGTTGAATCTGTTCTTCGGAACTGGCGACCAGGCACTGCGGCCTCTGGAGCAGAGATCCCAGAATTCATCGAGCGTCGAAACATCGCCTGGGAGGCGGCAGGACATACCGATAATGGCCATGCGCTTTGGAGCATCACCGGTGAGTTCGGCTTCTGGGACAGTGGCGGGCTCGGTGACTGGCGTGCCCGTCCCGGAGGGTTGTTGGAGACGCATTGTGGATAGAATCGAGTCTTGTCTGGAGATTTCGGTCAAATTATGTACCTGGCACTATCATCACCAAAGTTCAGCAAGAGTCCAGAGAAACGAGTGTCGAATTTCGAGAAGAAATGTAATGTATAGAACAATATGATCACGGAGGGACAAATTGGGTAATCAAAGATACTTGAAAGAGGACAGGAAGGGCGATATCAACTGTTATGGAGAGCAATCCCTTGCATAATCATATAAGCGTGCGCGTGCTGATCTTGGGCTTCCACTTCCCCGATTGAAGGGGAAGGAGAATCGGGCAAGGGTATTTGGTGTCGAGGTCCATGCCTTCTTCCTTGATGAAGCATACCAATTGCAGGTGCTTCGCGGGATCCTACAGGCACATGCACATATCCCTCTCCGCTCGTTAGTCTCTTCCAGGGCTGCAGATCGAGGTAGATCGGATGGTGTCTTGGGATGTTTGAGTGACCAATGTTCTGGAGCCCTTGCTAAGGCGAGGGTGCATTCCAGCAAAGGGGCAAAATCCCCGACCCTGGCAGATTCTTAGTGGCATCATTCCTCCCTAGCGTGGCTCTTATAGAAACACTTCGAGTGGTATCTGTCGTGTTCACTGACATTTCGAATCGGTGTTGAGCAGCCATGAAGTTCCTTTGTTTGCCGGGAGGCTATTGCAACATCACGGTATGTGAATTCACAAATTGTAGTTCGAAGCAAAATATTGACAGAATGCCAGTCATTCAAAACCCAACTAGGTAAGAAACCACGTTGGATGTTCTCAATTAAATGTCGACGTTGAAAGAGAGTCTAACGTGGGTCCAGGACCATTTGCCGATGCGCTCCGCACTCTTGACAACTCCGAGTTCTTCTTCACTCAAGGCGAGTTCAGAGTTTTTGTGCCAGAGGAACATGCCGGGTTTTTTGGACCTCCTCCAAACTGGACATTTGCAAGCCCAGATGGACCAGATCAGATGTTGATAAACATGAGCGACTTCCCGAGACGCGACACGCCAGAGGACGCGATGAACGTGGCAAATGATCTGGCTGGTAAGCCCACATTCTCGTGTATGCCTGCTGTCATGGATCGCCTGATAAGGATCCTTGACAGCGAAGGCGATATTGACGGGGTGATTGGCTACTCCGAGGGTGCCCAAGTTGCCGCATCGCTCTGTCTTGAGGAAACGAGAAGACAGGAAGAATTCGGTCGGATTCCTCGATTAAAATGCGCGGTATTCTTTTGTGGATGGCCACCTATTCACCCGCACACTGGGAAACTTGTTTTGGCGACAGATTATGAGCAAGACGCCATTGTTATTCCTACCTGCCACGTCGTGGGGGCCTCTGATCCATTTGTTGATGGCTCTATGGCGCTGTACAATATGTGTGATCCAGACACTGCTGATCTCTTTGATCATGGAAGTGGTCATGTTCTTCCAAGAGGAAAGAAGATACTCGATGAACTGACGCCAATTGTACGCGATATGATTGTCTCCGTGGCTTGATCTGTGGTATACTTGCTTTTTCTTGGCAAAATAAGAAGACACTCATACAGTATATCTATCATGTTTTTTTCTGTCAACTGTGTAGCGCTAGATCATTCTTTACCCCTCTTCATGACTATAGAATATAACCACCTTTACATTCAACTATAAAAACTACTCCAATAACGGCCTCGTCTCCGCCTCATCCCCATCCTCAATCTCCATCCGATGACCCTTCCCAGGCCAAAAAGCAAGGAAAAGCCCAATCCCCAAACCCCCAGAATGTCCTTCATGCCCACTCTTTCGATCACTAGCCCGGCCATACTCTGTCTCCTTCCAACGCCGTCTTACACGCTGCACAAGCCAAACAATCCCAAACAAAACCCCTCCAAACGCCACCGTCCCCAGAACAGCAATCATAACCGACAAAACAGTCAACGTACTAGCATGACAGCCCAACGGAAGCGCTCTTAGCTCCCACCTCTCCTTAGAACCAAGCGGGCAAATAGTCTCCAAGCCGATAGGCGCGAATATTGGTACCCGCGCTGTATTGGGGACACAAGTCGAGGACTATAATGAAGTAACCCACAGTTAGTTGCTCTCTTGTGCTCTTTCTCTATACAGTATGACTCCCCAGCACCAGAACCAGTACATAGGAGGGGCAGGTCCTGCCGATCAGGTATGAATCTGTAGTGCAGTGTTCGTGCAAGTGGCTTTTCTGAAACCCCTCTCTTCCTCTCGCCATCTTGCCATCCCCATTCCAGAGGCTAATCAGCAAGGGATAATGTGAAACAGCAGTGGGATATCTGGATTTGACCGAATAGAATGTGACAAAGAAGGGAGAAGGTTAAGGAAACAATTCAAATCATTGATGGGCGGATGCATGTACATGTAGCCGGGGATCAATGCAGTGTTGGGTTGTTGTGGTTTGATCCACGGGTGTACGTGTAGATGAGATGAGAATACTGTAGATGGGATAACCTACTATCGCGCACCAGCTGCAGGGAACATCCCCTGCTAGACAATTCAGACAGGATTGTCGACGCCAGCAGACATGGAAGAGGGCATCGTTGTCTTCGGGGTTGGTCAGGGGGCTGCTGTTGTTTCCCAGGAGTTCGAGGTCCATTGTATCCGTACTGATCTGGGACATGTAAGGTGTTTGACTGTGTAGGGTTTGACTGTGTAGGGGAAGTTGGTCCGGTGCTCGATATCAATTGTTCTTTTCTCCTTGCATTTGTGGAAACGGGGGAAATAGCGAGGCGTTCGAGTGATGTCGGGTTGTCTTTGTTTGCGGGGTTGGTGTATATACTCGCCACTGAGCCAGACCCGGCAGGAAAGATTCAACGGAACTTGTTCGTTTTTGTAAATCCAGGGCTTTGTTGCATATGCCAGTATGCAATTACTTGGATCCAGAACTGACAAATACATTCGCATCCTTGGAGTATACATCTACAACCTCAAGATCACCATTCATTGTGGCCAAGTGGTAGTACAGTTCATATTATGTAGACTAAGGATGATCGCATGACACCATAGCATGAAAACGTGATAAATTCCTGATGAATCTTTTGCACTGGGAACCCCAGTACGCTCAAATCCACCACATATTCGTCCAACATCAGAAGATATTTCACTCCAAGGCAAACACAAGTCCAAATCAGACCACACGCTTAACCTACGAATCAAAAGACGAGTCAGCAATCTATCTCTCCTCCGTCTTAGGTCACAGCTCCATTGAAGCAGCAAACATACCTCGAAGAATCGCTTGAGCCACCACACCTGGAACACACCCTCACCAATAACAACCGCCAGCTGAAACATACTCCACCACTTCACACGGCCGTTGGTGCTCTCAGCCGTATTCCGGTGTACCCGCTCGCGCACCACAATGTACGACTGCTCGTCCTTGACCTGTGTCAACGCCTCGGAAAGTTTGCGAACTAGATATTCCAAATGATCAGCCCGGGGTTCTCTTCTAACAATCGCTCCTTCTCCCTGACTCTCCAAGATCCTATATTCCATATTCATTGCAGCGCTTACCTTCGACCTCAAGGGGATCCTGCGACATCTCGGCTTCGGGCACGTAGACGATTCCATGGACGTTGAACGAGACCTCCTTGGAGTTGGAGGTCCAGCCCTCATTGCTGAAGCAGTAGTTGTATTTTCCATCAGCCTGTGCGGTGAACGAGTAGTCTTCGGATGAAACGGCTTGCTTGAAGTACTGGCGGTTCCTCAGGGGATCCTCGACCTAGAATGCGGCGAGCGATGGTTAGCATTTGAACCCAAAAAATGGCATTGCTGAGACTAATCAGATCCATCCTTCTCGCTTGGTCCTGTTTTGAATGGTGAACCCCCCTCTTAATCCCCATGTCCATCTTCGTTCACTTCAATCCACCAGATTCACCATTCAACAAGCGACAGAATTGAGAACCCAAAGAATAGGGGAGATGCCATACCCAGAAGTCAATCTCAAGGTTCCCACTTCCTCCAAACTCCCGATCTCCAACCTGGAAAGTAACGGTCATCACATCATCGCGGTGCAGGGCCTCGTGGAAGCATTCTCGTGAGTGGGCCTTGAGCTGAATGGTGTGGGCGGTGGCAGCGCTGATATATCCCAGCGCAGTGACTAGGAGAGTAGTTGCTGAGAAGCGCATTGTGATGGTGATGGGGTGAGGTGCGAATCTGAATGGTTGTCAACGCGCAAGGTGTCAATTCGTGACGCTCGGACCATCTCAAATAAACAGCGCTCCGCCTTCGCTTTGTATGCTCATTTGATACAAGAGTTGCACTCTTTATTGAAATGTTGTATTTCTGGTTTAATTTTTGTGGCTGTGTCAGACTTTGTATAGATATGCATAAGAATAAATGCCCAATTGGTAGTTTTGCAAGATTTCTGTAAATATATATTCCGCTACTGAGTTGTATACCACTGCTGCAACCACGAGAATGTATTTTGTAGGAACGAGTGAATCTGCAGGCGATGGAGATCGACTAAGTAAACATAGGTAGTTATGCATGAGATAAAAAACAAGACTAAAAAGCCACTATGCCTCACTGGACAACGAATATACTGGTGGCAGAATCCAAATGCATCTACGACAGCCCACCACGACAACTTTAGGACGAACCAACATAGAAATCTCATAGATTACTGGTAAACAATAAACCCAATTCTAGAAAAATCTTAATAAAACATAAATGTAACAAAAAAACAGCCACAAGCATCAAGCACAGAGGGTAGTATAGTAATCCACAAAAATCCAACAAGTCCACGTATAAAGGACAGGAACAAGTAAAGTGATATAGTAACAAGAAGAAATCAAAAGAGCGACAGCATAACTATTAGTATGTATAGAAGAGGGAAAGTAAACGATAGGACAGGAGAAGAATAAGGGGGCCGTGTGGTGTAGGTAAGTGTAGATGTAAATCAAGATAGATAATCAATGTACAAGTTTTGGCGAAGCAATCAAATCAAACAAAAGCAACAAAAAATGCAAGCAAAAAACGGGGTGGTATCAAATCCGAAAACACGCAAACATCGATCAACACGGGGATGAAGCCGAAAGATATGATATGTATGTCGAGAAGGGGGAATATGGTCGATGAAATGAGAGGAGAGAAGTTGGGGATTGGAGGTGTGGGAGAGGCGTGCTGCAAGTGACGAAGAACGCAGGAGAGAAGGGGTCAGATGGGAATAGCACAAAGGAAAAGAGATCAATCTATACGAGGAAGATCAAGCGCAAGCGATAGGATCACTCATGCTCAGCAGGACTGGGGCTCAGCTCATCTTCGCCCGGGCCTTCAAGCTCAGCCTCAGCCTCCCCATCTTCATCTTCAGCGTCAACCTCATCAATCTGAGGCCCAAAAGGACCATCATCAGCACCCTTCGGCGAAGCAGAAACCATGCCATCAACAGTACTCTCATTCTCATCGAAGTGTCCTTCCTCGTAATTTGCCGGCTCGGCATCATGATCGTAACTCGAGCGACGAAGTAGAGGCGGGGTACTGGGCGGTTCAGGGACAGGAACATCCTTCCGAACAGAGCCGCGTCTCGGGGTCGAAGTGAACCCTCTCAAGGGCCTTGTCTCAGCGAAACGTGCAGCAGCGCTAGTCCGGGGTGCGTTCTGGCGGACATGCGAGCTTGGGGGTGTCAGGAGACCCGAGAGGAACGTACCCGCGTTACTTGGTTTCGATGGGGTCTGCTCGGATGAGCCTGCAGTGTTGTCGCGGGCCTTGCGCCAGTTTCCCCAGGCTGCGGCTGCGGCGAGGGGGAGGGAGCGGGGTGAGGCGGCGAGGTCTGAGAGGGATGGGAGAGCACCGGTGGTCATGCGTTCCTTTTCTTGCTGTTGCATTTGGAGGTTGGCCTTTAGGCGGATGGCTGCGTCGCGGACGGCGTGTTGGTTGAAATTGGGCTGGGAGACAGTCTTGATTATATCCTCGAGATCGTCGATGCGGACGCCTAGAAGCTCGCGCAACCAGGTGATTTCGGTGTCTCGCTCCTTGATCTTGGTTGGGGCATCCTTGTCCATTGTGGAAACCTCCTGCTCGAGTTCCTCGATGCGAGTCTCACGCTGCTGGAGCTGATCCTGAAGAACGAAGATAGATTCGCGAAGAGCTTGGGGAGAGATACGCTCGGGTTCGCCAGATCCCTTGCTGTATGACATGGAGGGCGTAGACCGAGAGTGCGTCGGTGCTGGAGTTGGTGCCGATGATGGCACAGGGCTTGCCTTGGCACTGTGAGCAGCCTCAGCAGCAGCACGAGCAGCAGATTGAGCAATCTCGAGCTTCTCCTCGAGATGCTGCACCCGCTCCTGGTAGTGTCGGGCCTTATCCTCAGCCAGAGAGACACGCTCGTTGGTATGGTTCTCACCGCGCTGGCGATCTTCAGAAGAGTTGTGCAGAGCGCGGGCGTGGCGCTCACGCAGGTCATTGAGGACACGCTCGTGCATCTTGCGAGTCTCATCAATGGCAAGGTCCTTAGCAGCCAAAGCAGTAACCTTCGAGTCTCTAGCCTCCTCCAAGAGAAGTTCATAACGCTCACGGGAGGTATCAGTATCCATGCGGTTGTTATCAAGCTGAGACTGCAGACGAATAATCTGAGCCTCAAGCTCAGCGCGAACGATGTTGACCTGGCTGTTAGAAGCTTCCAAGTCAGCCTCCAGTGAGGTACGAGTACGCTGGATTTCGACACGGCTGCTCTCACGAGCCTCGGAGAACTCGCGCTCGAAGCGACCGGCTTTCAATTGAAGATCGTGATTCTCGGCCCGAAGACGGGTGATCAGTTCCTCCAGTCTACCGTTCTCCTGTTGGCCTTGCTCGTAAAGGAACTTAAGCTTGGCAGACTCCCGCTCCTGCATCTCCAGTTGACGGACATCTTGCTCGAGCTTCTCGCGAATAGCAAACTCGCGGGCGTGAGAGGCGCGCAGCTCGTTATTCTTGGCAATTTGATCCTCTTCCTTCCTGCGCCAGGAAGCCTGGTCACGAGTGACATCGGCAGTCAGGCTGATCATGTCATCCTGAAGACGATCGAACTTCTCGGTAAGGTTCTGGCGGGAGACCATGCTGTCTTCAATGCGAGTCCGCAGGTGATCGATAGTCTCATGGAGAGACTTGTTCTCCCCCTTTGTGGCATCAAGTTGACGACGGAAGTTATCACTAGAAACACGGTACTCGTCAAGAGTTCCCTCAAGGGCAATGTTCTTGGTAGACAGCTCGGCGATAGTAACCTTAAGAGTCTCGGTCTCCTCTCCAAGGGACTCAGCGCGGAACTGCATCTTCTCGAAATGGGGAATCTTCTCTTCCTTGAACTGGAGAAGACGAGACTCGGCATCTTCCGCGGCAGCACTGTGACGGGCAGCGTCTTCCTCAGCATATTTCAAGAGTCGCTGAAGCTCAGTCATAGAGTCCTGAGCCTGGCGGCGATCCTTATACTCCTGGTCGGCGCGCTCATCAGCGAGACGCAGCATGCTCTTCAGTCCATCGATTTGAAGCATGAGACTGTCAGCACCGATCTCCTCAGCCTCAGACAGGCGCGGGGTCAACTGAGCCTGGTGAGCCAATTGCTTGGCCATCATTTCCTCGACAATCTCACGCATGTCACCGACAGGGTCCTGAGCCAGCTTCTTGATAGTCAGAGCTTGCAACTCAGCAATGCTCTCCTTAAGCTGGGACATCTCGCTGTGGCTGGAGTGTGGCGCCACACGCTGAGGAATGTCGTGAGTAACTAGCGCTTCCATAACGACGTTCTTGAGCATCTCCAGCTTACGCTCTCTGAGGTTGTGGGGCGACCGATCTCTAACAGAGGCGGTCTCGTGCTCGCTGTCATCTTCGTCATCGGCGTCACTATCCTCCATTTCGGCGGAGGTGCCGCGGAAGACGCGTCTGCTTGAAGCACCGGTGGCAATGGAAGCAACGGACTGCTGGATGACAGCCAGAGCACGCTCCATGGGACCCAGACGGTCATCAATGGCGGAACCAACAAGGTCGTTGATGCGACGGTCGAAGAAGCGGTTCCGGTTCATGAACTTCTCGTCTTCACCCTCAGAGATCATGTCGTCCCAGTCGCTAACGTGGTCATTCTCAGTGACAAGCTGGCGAACAGGGGACTGGAGACGAGAGATGAGGCTCTTCTGAGGAGAGAAGGTGGCGTTGCTGTTGGCATCGATGTCCGAGCCAAGCTTGGGGATAGAGAGCTTGTAAGTCTTGGGGACACCGCCGGGGCTGGGACTGGGAGCTTCGCTGCGGGCCTCTGCAGAACCAAACGGCTGTTCCTTTGTTGGGCCACCCATGGACTCTGTGAGGTGTTCCTGTCGGTTTTGGAAGGGTGTCATATGAGCGGGAGTCGAATAAGCTGGAGTCATACGTCTTTCAATGCCAACATCGGAGTCATCGTTCAGCTGGTCCATGACTGCGTTCAACTCTTCCTCATCAGGCGAGTCGTTCTCAGAGTCCCAGTGGAACCCAAGACCCTTAGGCTCGCGAGTGATGATTTCTGGCTCTGGCTCCTCAGTAGATTGAGTGTCTGCCTTCTTGGGCGGGCTAGCAGCAAAGCGAGAGGCCATAAGACCACCTTGAGGCTTAGCAGCAGAATTCTTGACAGGAGTCCCAAAAGGCTTCTCGACAGCCTTCTCCTCAACAAGCTTATGTTCAGAGACAGTAGGCTTGATTGATGTAGGCACAAATTCTGAAATAGCAGGCTTGAACTCGAACGGAGGAGCAGTAGGCGAGAGCATGGTGGTCTTGATAGAGCTTTTGGATCCATGAGCAGCGTGGTCAGGAGCCTTTGTAGGAGCAGCCTCACTGATAGCAGCCTGCTTGGGCTCACGCTCTACGATAACTATATCCTTGGGCTCCCCAGCGGGCTCCTCCTGGGCAGGCGAGGCAGCATTAGATCTGTTCTCTGCCTCGGCCTTGGCATCGAACAAAGTCCAAGTATCAGCCTCGCTGGCAGGGGTGCCTCTGCGCTCGACAGGGCTCTTCTCATCGGGCATGGCGTTCTCCTTGCCCTCGGCGACAGGTTGGAGGGCGCTCGAAGCCTGGACGTTGCCGGCCTCGCCCAGAGGGTGCGTCGAGATGCTGTATCTAGCCTCGCCTTCAGCGTGGCCCACACCACGGCGAGCACGCTTGTGACGATCGGTAGGAACAGGTCGGCCATCTTTGTCATCTTCGACGTTTTGTTCTTCTTTCCTGTTTTCCTGCTCATTCTCATCCGGCCGCACGATGGGAATTGCCTTGGATTGCTTGGATGGCTTAGAGATCTCGTTGATATCGATATCGCCAAAGATCTTGGTACGGTTGGGCGAGGGTTGCTCGGCGCTGGCGGTCGACTGGATGCTAACAGAGGGGTTGAACACAGGAGCCTCCACATTTAATGACGCGGTAGAGAATTTGAAGCCACTGTTGTTTTGAGGCTCAGATTCAACCGGACCGTTCATGCTGCTGCCAGGCTCGAAAGCAGGAGGAGCAAAGCCGAACCCTTGCTGGTCCATGCCGCCAAACTGGAAGGCATCATTATTGAAAGGCACAGGCTGAGCACCGAACGATGCCGAAGGATCGAATTCCTTGGCTTCCACATTGAGCGATGAAACAGAGAGCTGCGAGCGGTGACCATGATAAGAGTTTCCGCTGGGATGGGCCTCATGCCATGGGCCTTGATTAGGCATGGCACCACGAGTCTGTGGGGTTCCGGAGACACTGGGATTGGTATCGAGATCTGAGCCATCGTGACCATTGTGCTGCTGGTATTGGTCGTAGAATTGGTGGGGGTGCTGGGAGAAAGAGTGAGACGCTTGGCGAGAGCCGTCTTGGGGATGCTGCTGGTCGTGTGGCAACGCCCAGCGTGACTTGAGCATGCTAGCATTAAGGCCTGCATGGTTGACATCACGGTAGTCCTCTTCCAATTGTCGCTCGATTGAGTCTTCTAGGTGGTAGTCGGTATGTTGCATCTGGTCCAACCCTCTCTGTAGGGTTTCGCTGAGATTATGGCCATGTCCACGAGGCGTGGGGTGAGCAATTTCAACATTGGATGCATGGAAGTGGTCTGGATGTCCGTTGACAGGGGTCTGAGGAGTTTGGTATGGTAGACCCTCTTGGTGCATGTCGGAATGCATACCATGGCCGAATTGATCATCGAAGACACCCTTGTCATTGAACCCAGCATGGAAAGAACCCTGCTCGTGCATTGGTGAGACTGGCGAGAGCATGGATGCAAATTGGCCCATGGCGCCTGGACCTCCTGAAGCGCTTGCCTGTCGGGCATTGATGAAGCCTTGCGGAGTCATGGAGCCCTGGGCAGGGGGTGTAGGCTGGAATTGGAAGGGGTATCCCCCCATCATATTCTGTTCCACGCCCATGTATGGAGTCTGGATCAAAGGCGAAGCCATGGAGCCCAAGCCAGGCGTAGGAATTGAAGGTTGACCGAAGGGAGAGAATGTATGAAGTTGACCAAGATGGTTGTTGCTGGCTGCTGATCCAGTAGGAATGGGTGGTGATGCGACAAGACCTGGGAAAGGAGTATTGCTCTGGTTGACAGAGTAATCAGGCGAAATGGAAGGCTCGGGCTCAGGGTCACCAAATGATACACCGAGAGCCCTGAGCTTCTCTTCTTGAAGGTTGGCGACATAAGCATCCCAAACGGCCCTATCGGGGAAGTTGACGACGAGCTGTTGGACCTTTGATTCCTCGTGGAGCTCGTATGGTTCGGGGTAAAGGGGTCGGCTCAGACCTCCCAGGTCGGTGGTTTCAGAGGGATCCTCAGAATCACCAATGGTGAACCCACGGATATCGTATCCTTCATCCTCCCATTTCTGCATCCGCTGTTTGACATCTTCGGGTGTCATGAGGTTTACACCAGATTCCTCCGAGCCTCTCTTATCCTCCAACGGCAATTCAATGATGCAAGCTTTTCCACGCCAAATCTTCTTCTTCCGTCGAGGAGTTTGGGTAGCCGACCTGCTAATCTCAGAAGCTTGTGTTTTTAAAGGAGCCGGGATGGGTTGTTCTGTGTTTGATGGACCATCATTCGCATCTGTCGGCGGCGGAGGAAGCGGTTTTTCTACCGGTGAACCCGCCTCCGTGGTAGGTTGTGTGTCAGACATATTGTTCTGTGGGGGATCTTTATCGTAAGCAAAACCCCAGAAATCCTCCTGGCGCAAAGTATCCGCGCGTTTGTGGAGAGTCTTCTTGACTTTCGAACGAGCCGCAGCTTTCCTCCCAACAAAGTCAGAAAGCGTAGGTGTCTTCAGGAGATCGTCGTTTGGGAAATCGTCCTCCAGACCAAGCCAGTCGTCTGAAGCGTCGTCTGCAAAGGTATTTTGCGCGGTAAAGAACGAAGGCGCTTCGCTACCAGAGTCGTCACTGAGCCAATTGCTTCGCTCGGTCCTAGGCTGACCAGTGAGATACTGATTTATCCAATCCTGGGTAAAATCCCGAATAGATTTCTCTCCGGTTTGACCAGCAAGTTCCCGCTCCGCGGTCTCAAGCGTATCGTTCGTGGCACTCGATCTACGAAACTCGGTGTATTTGGCTACCGATTGAACGGGGGAGTTTTCTCCAGATGGATTATCGACACCGGTGAGTTGGCTTTGAGTCACTGACAGTCTGCGTGTACTCGGTGCAGCATACGGGGACCCCCAAGCGGTGGTGTAGTAGATGCTGCTTTCCGGCCTCCGATTGACGGGCGACGACGTCAGAGAATCTCCGTTGCGGTAAAGGAATGGCAGCGGCGGGGGATCGAGCGAGATGCTCTGCGGTGAGGTGTGTTGACCGGGGGAACCGACGGTCGACGGGCTCGAGTCTCCTGACGGAGAGGACAAGAGCAGGGCCGGGGCCAGGCGCGGTTGATCGCGTTCAGGGCGCGTCTCTCGTTGAAACGGTGGGGAAGAGGCTGAAATGGAGACGGAGGGATCTAGATCTGCAGAATCCATCCAACGCGGTTAGATTGGCATATTTGGAGGGGTGATTGTAAGGGAAGGAATGGTCTTGTTGAAATCGCGTGGAAGAAGACTCCATAGGGGCATTCCGTAGGGGCAATATTCGTATGGGGAAATTGGAAATTAAGTAACACTCACCTTCCGTGTCGACTCCTGCAGCAAGCACTTGCTTGCCGCTCCGCTTATCGTCCAGAATGTTGACGCATGGAAATTCAACCGGAAATCAGGGAGTGGCAGAGGACCTGAGGATGGACTGGTATACGTTGAACCTAGGAAGAACGCGAGAACAGGGGAAAAATTGGCCTCCAACGTCAGTGGACCGTGGGTACTTGGTACCTGCTAGAGCGTGGGTAGCGCGTGCCAATGCGGTGTACAGGGTACTTTGAGTCCGGTGGAATCCGTGCTCTCTTACTCGTCCAACAATGACCGAGGCCGTTGAGGCGCGTCCCAATTGAAGCCCTCCACGCTACGCATTTAGGCCCAAAAAGTTTGACCCTTGCAGATCAAGGGGAACTGACCGCCACACCAGATATCTCTATTCTTTTCTAGTCCCTTGCTGGGGTTTACTACAAGCATATCAAGATATCAAGATCAACATGAAGATGTAGTTCGATATAAACAAAGATTCAGGGGTAAATGTACCATGGGTGTAAACCACGTGATTGGCCCACTTGGAGCAGCCTATCATAGAGCTAGAATCAGCGAATAGCTACGTATGAACACAAGTAGGAAGACATAAAGTACTGAACTTTATCTTGAATTAACCATATTTCACTGCCCCAAATGCATACATCAGAAAGAAACTATCTACCAAAGTCCAGCAATCTCCCAATCTAAGGGCAGGAGGTATCGAACTTGGTCTTGCGGTCGGCAGTGAACAGACCCCAGTGCTGCTCATCCTTGAGCTCACCGTTGTCACCCTTGGAATCGGGCTTCCAGGACTCATCAAAGGCCTCAAAGTAGAAGAGATCGACACCCCAGTCCAGCATACCACAGACACCGGTCTTCCAGAAAGTCTCAGCATTCTTGGTGCCAGCCTTGGCAGCCTCATAGTCCGAGCCACCATCGGTGGGCCAGCCAGTCTCGCCATTGACAATGTTGATCTTGTCGGCGTTGTCACCAGCAACCTTCTGGATGTGCTGCATGGCACCGGCCATATCGTCGAAGTAAGTCTCGTGAGCCTTGTCGGCAGCAGTGCCCTGCCAGTAAGCAAAGGCGTTGGCCAAACTACATCCCACGTAAGCGTTGATCAATGACCTCTACTGTTGGTGTGTACTTACACATAGGTCACAATGGGCTCCTGGGTGAACAGGTCGTCGCCAGTACCGTCAGCGAACTTGTTCCAGCTGTCGGCGGTACCAACAAGGACACCCTTGGGGACACCGTTCATGACATGCTTGATGTAGGCGTGAAGCTGGGGTCCGGTCAGGTCACCGCGGTAGAGAGTTTCGGAGCCAACGGTGATGGCGTGGATGACATCCTCGTGACCGGGGATGGCCTTCTGGATGGCGGACCAGTCCTTGGCGAAAGAAGGCTCAGAGAACAGGTCGTTGGTATCGGTGGGCTTGCCGACCCTGCACAGAACGAAGAATGTGTCAGACACGTCTCAACGCGGTGGGGGGAGATCATTAAACACTTACCACATGCCCAAAACAACCTTGAACCCCTTGTTCTTCGCGGCAGGCAGAATGTTCTGGGGAGTGTTACACTCGGTACCGGAGTAGGTGCGGACAAGAGTGGACATGTCCTTCAGAGCGTCGAAGTCGGCTTCATAGTCGCTAGTCGACTTGCAAGTGCCATCGGCGTTCTTGTCACCGAGAGAGAAACCTAGAGTACCCTTGGCGGAAACAAGGGCCGGGGCAGCGGCCAACAGGATGGAGAGGATACCAGCACGCATGATGAAAGTGAAAGTGAAAGTAAAGAAAGTGAATGTGGAAAAGAATGCCAGAGAAAAAGTAAAGGAGCGTGGAGGCAACTCTTATAAATGGAAGTACGTCAGAAAGAAAAATGGAGAACGGAGTCGGGGGGACATTCAGGGTTCGGACCCTGAGGGTCTTGGAGTCTTGGGACCTGCATAGGGGGTATGCTATTCTGGGTCTGGGCTTACACAGAGTCCAGTGGCGTTGTGTCTACCATTCAACGTTAAGTTAAGTTAACTGTATTACTTTTGCACTACAATTATGATTACTTGTCTATTGTATAACCTCCAAACTGCCTCTTTTGTCCCAGTTCCCTCCTTCTCCCTTGCCGCGGCTCCATTGTCCGCTCTCCGCGCATCTACACCAACGCTCACCACCAGGCAATGCCAACAAAGTCGTGATGTCACCTCGACCCCAACTCCAGCTCAACCCTGGAAAAGGGTCCTCTGCGGTGGAGAATGGAGTACTCGGGGCAAACAGCATCGTGCTGCTCACCGCCCACGGCCGCACCGATCCGATGTGTGCCTCGGAAAAGAGAACCGCAGCGAAGTGTATTCTGGATGAGTAGTTCTATGGCTCGCATGTTGGCCACGCATGTTGGCCAATTGAGGTCTTCTTCCGTGGTGTTCTCTCTGTTCGCGTCGTCAATAGAATACGCTGACCCGGATCATGAAATGGCCCGACCCTTGCGGCCGAAGGAGATACGTCGGTCAAGGGGTTGGCAATTAGCAAATCATTGTCCTCTGTCTGGTTCCAGAACTTCTGCAGAGGGTTTTGTGATGTTCCAGACTAATTCGGGAAGGATTGCTTGCCCTGTGTAAATGTTCTGATGTCTGCCCAGTAGTATTTTCTGCCTCACTTTCTTACATCTTGCTTTTCTGAACCTCTCAATTCAGGAAATTCTCGAAATTCTCAGCCGATCATAATCGCCCAACTTTCAAGAAATATACGTAAGGCACCTGGAGATAAAGTATCTCGAAGATGTAGATGATCGACCCAAGACAAAAGACGCAGATCCTGTCCTATTGGCAGAGAAATCCAGTCTAATATGCATATCAAAAGCCAGCATCTACTTCCCATAATACCCATCCCGCCAACTCCCACTCCCCTTGCCAGTATACCTCACCCAAACCCCCCTCCCCCAAAACCAAACCTCAAGAGCCCCAACAGCACCAAGGAAAATAACCAAAAACACCCTCCCATTCCTAAAGTCCATCACCGGTGGTTCCGTCTCCGTCTCAACCGACCCGGCATGTCCCGGCGACGTTCGAGGTCTAGACGCAGACTCGGGGGTGAGATCGGAATGGGAATGGGGATCGGGATCGGAGATGGAACTGGAGACTGGTGATAGAGGGATCTTCTCGGTATGTACATGCGCTGCCTGCACTGCCTGTGTGGAGAAAGCAGATCGATACCCACACCCTCTAATCCATGTACGTCCATGCAGACATGACATCGGCGCAGACGTTGGCCAGACCGTTGCGATCCGGGTTGGGCTGTGGCGGGGTGGGGAGTGTGGATTTCTTGTCCGTGGTACGGATGCTTGAATGCGGTGGGTATGGAGGGACTGGGACTGGGACTGGGACTGCGCCCGGGGGCGGAGGGCTTTTATGGCGTGGGTTTGGTTGGGGTGAAGTTTCGGCATGTTGGGTTGTATTATGACTTATTGTGTTTTGGTGAGCATGAAAGTTGTAAGTTGTAAGGTGTATAGGGTGAAGGGGTATGGAGAGGATGGAAGTTGGTTTGATAGGTGTAGTTTACCTAGGTAGGTGGCTGAAATGTGCGGGGTGTCAGTTGGAGGTGCTCAGCTGACTACAATGTACAGTATACCAATATCCCCGATTGCACTTTTGATTCCCGTTAGTAAGTGGGAGGGTCTGCAGTTTTCGATATGTTGGCTTTGGTATGACATAGGCTGTGATAGCTGGTATTTGTATAGCTTGGTCATTATTTAATTTTTTTTTAAGAGAGAGAGAAAAAAAAAAGGGCAAAGCGCTGAGCGCTGTTACAGGTTAGTAGTATAGGTTAATCTGCCCTAAACTGCGGCTTTCAACGCATGATTTATAGCTACGCATTTGCTAGACCCAAGTCGAGCCTAGGCAGTAGTACAAGTCTCTAGACGTGTGTTTGCTCAACAACGCGGCATACGTTAAAGGATACCTGTGAACTAGAATGCATAGTAGGGCTGCATGGCATACAGTAGGAGACGTGCATAAACATCAACCCAGCCACAATAGCAAAGATCATGCATACACCCGCCAGCCTCATCATATGTGATATCATTCAAACAAGATAGACCCTCACAGTATACATACAAGAACCCCTGCAGGGTGTGATGATACTCGGCGACAATATTCGCTAGACAAGACTAGTCTAAGACAAAAATTCAAACTCCGTGTGGTTTGTTAGAAAAGGAAAATATGCAACTGGCTGTTACCCAGCTTGTCCTAACCAGAAATCCCCCCCAAAACGCCGATCAGCCTAAAATCACAGCAAAATGTTCTTCTCCCGGCGAAGTGTCTCCCTCAGCGCCGTGAGTTGGATTACTGCTACCGTTTGCTTAGGGGCTGATGCGGGGAGGTCAACCAGAGCTTTGCGCATGAGGACTAGGCCGATTTGGCCGAAGAATCCTAGGATTCGCTCTGGGGAGGAGCGGAGGAGCGAGCCCAGTAGGATGATCTGGGTCTCTTGCAAATCTGATGATGGGATGGCCAGGATCTTCGTGATAGAGTCCCAGAACATGGTATTTGGAAAGGGATTTTTGCGGGCTGTTTTGCCGAAGTTACGCAAGGTGATGGCTGCATATCCGGATCCCAGGGCAGTCATGCGATCCAGGTGTGCTTGTTCGCTGATGAAAGGACCGCCGGCTTCTTCACGCCACCAGCCTAGAGCACGACGACCTGAATCCGTCTTATCATTGCCGGTGAAGCCCCATAGGGCTGGGCAGACTACCCGAAACTTGGCCATCAAAACATCTGAAAGGGGAACCCCCTTATACATGAATCCATCCTGGGAGAAGATCTGGGCTGCCATTATGCCAAGAGGTTCGGCATGGGCTGGATTAAGAGCTGCTTCGGTGATGAGTGCAGCTACCAACGCCTTTGCGTAGATATTCAAGGCGTAGAGCAGCATGGCGGAAATCTTATGTTCTGAGCCCGCAATCTCGGAGGGTGGGAAGGCGATGAATCGTTGAACATCAACCGAGGGTTCTGGGATCGCAGCGGCCTTTTCAAGCTCGGACTTGATTTGAGCAAGCTATTCGCCGGGGTAAGTATAATGAAGAACTGGAGGGGGAAAGGTGTATCAACCTACCTGAGTTGCGTTAGCACCCTTGCCGGCACGAAGTTGACCAACGGACTTCCTGATCGTCCGACGCAGATCTCCGACGTATTTCTTCATCTCAGGATTCTTTTTACTCTCACCAACCAGCCATGCACGGAACTCTTTGAGAACCTTGTGAAGCTCAACATAGCGCTGCTGAATAGCGAGTTCTTTTTTGGAGAGACGTCCAGCCCCGAGCTTTTGCTGCTGCTGACTGCGAGCCTGTTTCTCGGCCTCCTCCTTGGCTTTCTGAGCATCTTGCTCCTCCTTGCGCTTGTGAGCTTCAGCTGCCTCGCGGTCTTTGCGCTGCTTTTCTTCAATCGCAGCCTTGCGCGCGGTTTCAGCCTCCTGGGCTTTGCGTGCTTCCTCTGCCTTGGCCTTTTCCTTCGCTTGGCGTTCGGCCTCAGCGCGCGCAGCTGCCTCCTGCTCGCGGCGTAATTTATCAGCCTTTTCCTTCTCAATCCTTTCTTTTTCCTTCCGAGCGGTTTCTTCGCGCTGGCGTTGCGCTTCTTCCTCGGCGCGAACGTGCGCCCTTAGAGTAGCCTCGGCCTCTTCCCGAATGTGATTATGATGTGCCGCAGCCTCATCGAGAGCAGCGTTGTGAATAGCTTCCGTTTCACGGTCTCTTCGGTCGAGCTCATTCTCGTAGGCTGTGCGCTCATATTCATGAACCTTCTTCAAGTCAGCATTGAAGATCTTGACGCTCTCCAGGCCCTGGATGAGCTCTTGCATAATCTGCCGCGAGGGGCTATCCAGCGCGGAGCTTTCCAAAGGTGGCACATATCGGACTGTCATGGTGGGTTGGAAAGTATGGATCGAGGGGGTTATCGAGGTCGAGATTCGAGGGATGACAATTCTTGGTGGCGGAGAGGTGCAGAAAGGGAGGATCGGAGAAAAACACGAGTCTGGGTATTGGTGGAAGCCTCGAGGCTGCCGGAGGATGTAAAGTAAGGATAAACTGATCGAAGATTGGATCACAGGGTCGAATATGGCGGGGTCAGGATGAGCAGGCCCATTTCTAGAGCTGCAGCTCACAGCGATTCTAGTGCCTGAGCAACCTTCAGGCGAGGACCCTGAAATCGCAGCCAGCAGGGCCAACCGCGGAGTCGATTGCTTCGAGGTGAGGATCCAATCGAGGCCCGAAGTGAACGAAACGCGGTGCACGCGTCTTATAATCTGCAGAATCGAGGCGCATCAAAATGTCAAGGGCGTGACATGAATACCGCGTCTATATAGAGTGAGCACAATGCGTCGCGAAAGCCATCCGGTAGCTTGTGTATCTGTAGTTGAAGCCCAAGTGCAAAATAAAATACCTTAGTCAGCAAATGGTTCCCTGGTTCGAAGGTTGCATCACCATTTACATCATCCGGAGCTCTTCTTTATACCTAAGTGTCTGTATATCTATCTACCTAGATCGCTATAAGAATGGGAATAGTCTCTGTATTGATTATTGGGAATGATAGTGATCTGTCTAAGGGTACTCGCTCTAAAATGCCCTAAGATCCGCATCTGACTAGTACAGTATAAGACAATAAAAACCATCCCTGGAACCACTAGGGGACTCCTAGGGGACCTCGAAGTGTCAAACATCCAATCCGCAGTCACTCCAAAGTACTTCAAGTTAACTTGACTTTTCGATGCCATCACCATCCACCACCATCCGGTAGCAACGGCGATCATACGGTGTATGGGAGATACTGGTACCGGTATTACGGCACTCCACTTGTACTGTCTCACATTAACATTAGCTTAATATACGGTTAATACCGTAATTAATCAGTCAGGTTATTTCCAAACCACGACTTTCTTTTCCATACCACCCCACACCCTCTTTGTATCTCATCATAACCTCTTCTCTCTCTCCTTTCTCTCCCCTCCCCCCATCTCCCTCCCATCCTTCTCTTCCCCCCCCCCATTCCTTGAATTAGTCGATGATCTTATCGTCTGTTCTATCCTTCTCTCTATCCACAGTCTTTGCTGTCATTCTCTAAGATAGCCCCCTTCGGTAACCCTGAGCTCAGCTTTGTTCTCTAGAAGTCCCAATCTCTTCGATTTCTTGAGCTTCTAATTTCGACCTTTTACCTTTTCCGTCGGTTGACTCGGTCGTGCTTGCCTGCGTGACAGCTTGAAACACAAAACTCGGTCTTTCCATCTCCGAATCGAGCTCCCTTGACTTGGTTATTGTCACAATTGGCCTGCAATTGATTCGACTGTCATTTTCGATCTGACCGCCTGTCACCCCTCACCGCTTGGCTGGCGAGCAAAGAAGATCATCCCACGTTGGACATCGCAGACGTCATTTTGGAATGCCAGGGCTCGGAAGCCGTCATTAGTTCCTCAGGTAAGAGAACCAACGTGTCCCCGCAATCATGCCTTGGAGGATACATTTTCCGATGCCCTTGCTGTATCTCTCGTATTTGCATCAGTGGTCTTGCTATTTGGCTTCTTTCCCCTGATTGGAAAGCGCTTGTCGCGGCTTCCGCCTTAAACGCGCTTCCCTCGAACCTGCCACTTCTCTTACATCTTGTTTGCCTTCTCTCTCACACTTTCTCTCTTCCCTGTTGTACCCGATATTGTGCCTTACTGATCCACTCTTTACTGCTGCAGTACAGTTCACGCGTTGAAACTTCACTTCGCACATACAAACTTCTTTGGACGGTTTGTGATCCATATCACTCGGTTCGACTGCCTTCCGGCATAGTACCAGTCTCTCCTGTCGCCGGATCCATCCCGTCAGCCCACATATTACACACTCTACAGTGATAGTTATCTTCTTTCATCTGGGACCATGGATCAACAGCAGAGCCAATCTGGACCCCAGGGTCCTGGTGGGCGCAAATTCCATATCGCTCATCGGAGAAGTCCTTCTGAGCTTACCCCACTGATGAGTACGTGATATCAAATCACCCCTCTTCTATCAGTTGGCTGACTTGATAACAGTGGAACAATTGGCTATTCAGCAACAGATTGAGTTGCTTCAGCAGCAGCAACAACAGATTGCTGCCACGCACCAGCAATACGTTAACATGGGCTTGTTGCAGCCCCAACAATTGGGCCAAGTGCCCTCCTTCCAACCGGGTGCCTCCATGGCCGGTGTTTCCCCACAGGTCAACGCTTTCCAGTTTCCCCAACAGGGTCAGCAACAGCTTGGAGTTCCCATGAACCAACAAAACCAACATTCGCACCGTCGTAACCAGTCTGCTCTTCCAGGCATGCCCATGGGCGGGCCGCCCCCTGCTCCCTCTTCCGGCGCATCAGGATATGCCGATTACAACCAGCAGGGTCAGAACAACAACAACCACAAGAATGAGAACGCCGGCCACGGCCGTGGTCGTGGAGGTCCTCCCGGCGGTGGTCACCAGCGCCGTCACTCGCTCGCTCTGCCCGAAGCGAAGAAGGCTGCTGAACTCGCCCAGCAGAAGCGAACTGCTTCTGGATTCCAATTTCCGGCCCCTGCTCCTGGTGCAAGCGGTGACAGCCAGCCATCTTCTGATGACAAGCCTGCAGCCAGCACTTCCCCCGCACCTCAGGGACTCGGTTTCCAGCGTGCTGGCAACATTCGTGCTGGTGGCCATGGCCGAAGCCAGTCGATGGCCATTGGCGGTAACCGTGGTTCTATTTCTGGACGCGGAGCTGGTGGTTTCTCGTTCCCTCAGGCACCCGAGCCGTCGACCTCGACCGCCCAACCTGATAACCAGCGACGAGGAAGCCAGGCCGGCCACGCTCGGTCGTCTTCGCGCAACTTCGAAGGTAACTGGCGCCAGCCGAACAACCAGAACCAGGGCCAGGATCAGCAGAGACCCATGGGTCAACAGCAGGGTGGCTTCCAGCCTGGTCACCGCTCGCGCGGCTCGATGAACCAGTCGATGGGTTCCATTGGACAGTTCCAGTACCCTCCCCAGCAGCAGCCTCAGCTCATCCAACTGCCCCAGGGTCAAGTCATGATGGCCCCTCAGATGTTTGGTAACCAGCAACTCAATCCTCTCCAGCTGGCACAGCTCCAGGCTCTTCAGCAACAGAACGGCCAAGGTATGGGTCTCCAGGCCAGCCAGCACGCCCCACCTCAGATGTCTGTCCAGCAGCAGCAACAGCAGCAGCAGCGCAAGACTCTTTTCACTCCTTACCTGCCCCAGGCAAACCTACCCGCACTCCTTAGCAATGGACAATTGGTCGCTGGTGTTTTGCGCGTCAATAAGAAGAACCGCTCGGACGCTTATGTGACCACTGATGACCTCGATGCCGACATCTTCATTTGTGGTAGTAAAGACCGCAACCGTGCTCTTGAGGGTGACTTTGTCGCCATTGAGCTCTTGGACGTCGACGAGGTGTGGTCTCAGAAGAAAGAGAAAGAGGAGAAGAAGAAGCGCAAGGATATCACCGACGCTCGTTCCAACAGCACTGCTGGAAACGACAAGCTCGGTCGCGCTGATTCCACTGGCGACAGACAGGAAGTCGGTCCGGATGGAAGCATCCGTCGCCGTGGGAGTCTTCGCCAGCGGCCCACCCAGAAGAAGAACGACGATGTTGAAGTCGAAGGCCAGAGCCTTCTTCTGTGTGAGGAAGATGAAATCAGTGATGAGCAGAAGCCTCTGTATGCCGGTCACGTCGTTGCCGTCATTGAGCGTGTTGCGGGCCAGATGTTCTCCGGTACTCTGGGTCTCTTGCGTCCTAGCAGCCAGGCTACAAAGGAGAAGCAGGAAGCCGAGAGGCAAGCCAGAGATGGCGCTCACGGCCGCTCCCACCACGATCGTCACCAAGACAAGCCCAAGATTGTTTGGTTCAAGCCTACCGATAAGCGTGTTCCTCTCATTGCTATACCCACCGAACAGGCGCCCCGCGACTTCGTTGAGAAGCACCAGGACTACGCCAACAGAATATTCGTGGCTTCTATCAAGAGATGGCCCATCACCTCTCTCCACCCCTTTGGTACCCTTGTTGAGCAACTTGGTGAGATGGGTGACCTGCGCGTTGAGACAGATGCCCTGCTTCGCGACAACAACTTTGGATCCGATGACTTCTCGGATGCTGTGTTGAAGAGCATCGGCTGGGAAGACTGGTCTATTTCCAGCGAGGGTGACGCCCTGGCTTCGCGCCGCGACTTCCGTGAAGAGACCATCTTCACGATTGATCCTGTCGACAGCAAGGCCCTCGAGGATGCGTTCCACGTCAAGAAGCTTGCTGATGGCAAGGTCGAGATTGGTGTTCACGTTGCTGACATTGCTCACTTTGTTAAGGGTAACTCCCTTGTCGACCGTGAGGCCAAGAAGCGCGGTACCGCTGTCTACCTGGTTGACCGTATCATGAACATGCTGCCTACCCGTGTTTCCACCGAGCTGTGCTCTCTGGTCCCCGGGGAGGATCGCCTTACAGTCAGCGTTGTCTTCAAGGCCGACCCTACTACCGGCATCGTGGAGGAGGATGTTTGGATTGGCAAGGGTGTCATCAAGAGCGCTGGCCGACTTGACTACGACCAGGTCAATGCCATTGTCATGGGCAAGTCCAATGATAGTGCCAGCGGCATCTCCGCTGATAGCATTCGTTTGTTGAACGTGAGTATTGTTCCTTAATGATCATTGTTTTCTTGTGCTCACAATATGTACAGGATACTGCGGGCAAGTTCCGTGAGGCTCGCTTCGGTAACCGGGTGTCCAACGTCCCCGTTCAGCGTCTGCTCCAGCAGCTCGATGACGAGAATGTTCCCGTTGAATATAACATTTTCGAATCTACCGCTGCTCACGAACTTGTTGAGGAGCTTAGCCACCAGGCCAACTTCTTCGTTGCCCGTAAGCTCGCCAGCGCCATGCCCGACAAGGCATTCCTGCGCCGTCAGTTCTCGCCCAACCCTCGTCGCCTGACTTTGTTCGTTGAGAGAATGAACCGTCTTGGCTTTGAGATGGACGCCAGCAGCAGTGGCAGCCTCCAGAGTTCTCTGTGCAAGGTGCAAGATGTGGATCTCCGCAAGGCAAGTTTCAAATGCATTGTCATCAATCAGTTCATGTGCTAACTTGATACAGGGTATGGAAACTCTTCTTGCCAAGGCCATGCAACGCGCCAAGTACTGTGTTGGTGGTGCTCCTGATGAGATGCGCGAGCATTACATGCTGAACGTCCCTGTGTACACCCACTTCACTAACCCCTCTCGTCGCTACACTGACATCCTCGTGCACCGTCAACTCGAAGCTGTCCTTTCCGAGGGTACTATCGAGTTCACTGACGATGTTGAGTCTCTGAACAAGACCGCCGACCTTTGCAACAACAAGAAGGACTCCGCTCTTAACGCACAGGAGCAGAGCGTTCACATTGAAGCCTGCCGCAACATGGACCGCAAGAGCCGCGAGATTGGTGGTGATCTTATCAGCGAGGGTATTGTTCTTTGTGTCTATGAGTCCGCCTTTGACGTTCTCATTCCCGAATACGGCTTTGAGAAGCGTGTGCACTGTGATCAACTGCCCCTGAAGAAGGCCGAGTATCGCAAGGACTCCCGTGTGCTCGAACTTTACTGGGAGAAGGGAGTTCCATCGTCTGCTTACATTCCCGAGGACGAACGTCCCAAGCCTGGCAACTCTCGCGCTGCTCAGGCCGCGGCTGCGGCTCGCGAAGCCGAGGCCGCCCGAGAGCGTGCTAGAGAGCGCGATGAGGCCATGCGCAAGCAGACCGAGACCGGCACTATGTCTGCCGATGATGTCGATGCTCTTTTCGATGATGATGAGGATGTGGACGATGTCACTGAGATGGCGGCTGGTGTGTCGCTCAACTCAGCTGACCGTTCCACTCAGAGCATGCCACCATCGCCTACCCGCAATGGCCACCACCAGCAGGGACCTCACCGCACCCGCTCTGATCCCAAGATTGCCTCCGGTGCCAACGATGCGCCCGAGAACAAGTTGACCAACAAGGAGAAGTACTTGAGCCTGTTTAAGCTGAGAGAGGTGGACGGAGAATTTATTCAGGATGTCACCGAGATGACCCGTGTTCCTATCATCCTGAAGACTGACCTAAGCAAGAGTCCTCCGTATGTTCTCGGTTCCTTCATTCTGAGATGAGCATTTGCTAACCTTCCTTTTAGATGCCTCACTGTTCGCTCTGTGAACCCCTACGCTCTGTAGAGGTTGGAACCCCCGGTTTCTTTTTTTCTCTTTCATGGGACATATTCTTGCATGCCGTACCCTGCAGATTATTTGGTCGTACGAAGCACTTGTTTCGTGCGCACCTTTACGGACATAATCCAATCCCTACATGCGGATCGACGATATCATTATCAAGTTCTCAGTTCTTGATAACGCTTTTCTTGGTGGCTTTATTAAACGCATTCTACCCACCATCTTTCCGACGTCCGACGTGTCCTGGGATTCTTATACTTATCCTATTATATGTGCCAAGCGGTTGTTTGTCTTTTTGAGCATTTTAGTTGTTTCCGGAGAGAAAGTTCTTAGTGCTGGAGCTTGTCGTGTCTCCCTTTCTGGCTTGTCTTCTGCTCTCATGGACATGTCCTTGGGGATTGTTGGAGATTCAGGGGAAAGATTGATTGCAGCTCGATAGTCCCAGAAAATTCTTCCATTAATTATGGCTTCTCAATACTTTGGCTATGTAGTCGTAATCGCTCTCTAGAAGTTCATCCATGGATGTTACCTTAGGCGTGTACTACTCAGGTTTGATACATTGACTTATTTTTTTTTTTCATGAGATGACCTTTCATTCGTCTATGTACAAAGTACACCATACACATTGAAACAGTTACATTGATAAGAAAGACGTAAAAGTAATCACGAAATCAAACTAGCAAACAAGGCAGTCTATAATGCACCACATCACTCCATGCAATTCACACGTTCAGCGCAATCCAAACGAGCCAAGGGTATCAAAAGAAAGTCACCGTAGAGGTGGATGTAGACGTTGAGTCGATGGCAAAGGAAAGAGATGGATGTCAAATCCAAAACCAAAGCCATCTAGACAAAAGAGAGTATTAACCAAAACAACAAAAACACCTAGGACCGAAATGCAATGCTAAATCGTGATAATATGAGAGGAAGAAAGATAGATCTCGACTCATAGCCGGCGTACACCGATACGCGGCTTCGTCTTGACGGCAGTTGTTTTGCGCAGACCACCAATGGCCTTCTTGCTCGTGCTGATTTTTGAAGCGCGGATAGAAGAAGAAGATAGAGATGGTGTAGGAGCATGCTGGAGGGCTGATGGTATAAGAGGGTTACTATTAAGCGCCTTGCAGTGATGCATATCTTGCTTCTCCTTTAGACCACGGATAGTAGCAGAGCCACGATTTTCTTTTCCGTCACCGCTTAGTCGGCAGGTGGGATCGGTCATTGACAGAGAAGGGAAATCCTCGAAGATTGGCATTGTATCGTGGAGACGGCCGGAGGCGTTGATTCCTTTGCTTAGGAGGGAGCGCTTGGGGGTTTTGCGGAGCGGGGAGGATGTGCGGGAGCGGATGTTTGCAGTTATGTTTTGTTCGTTGGAGAACATTGGTGAGTCGGTGTCTGAGTCAGGGTCCACTAGCATCATATCTGCTTCGTCTTCTGGGTAGGGCATTGAGAGGACTGAGAGGGGACGCTTGCCTAGGGCATTTTTGCGGGGTGATGGAGGTGCGAGGTTTACTGGGGAGGGGGAGAGGGATGGGTCGTTTTCTTTGCTTGCGTTGGCTTCGTTTTCGCCGTCGGTCATTTCTTCGTCGGATACTGATTGTGAGGACTGGGTGAAGGGGTGTGGGTGGGGGAGCGTGTCGATTGGTGTGATTTGATGAATGGATTTTTTTGATGTGGCAGTGCGGTTTCGTTGCTGTTTGCGCGCTTGTTGGAGGGATGTCTCCTCTTGTTCCTCAATCACTGTCCCTGCATCCTCGCCTCGGAGCTTTGCGTCGTTCACTGCATCTTTCAGGTCGAGTGGAATTGGGGCGTGAATGGAGGTCATGAGCTTGGCTTGGTGCGCAAAGGCAGCATAGTTCTCTTGCAAGAGGGCGCCAGCGGAGGAATTGAGTGCAGAGTCGGGATTGGGATAGATGAGTAGACATGAGATTGTCTGTTTAGTAACATAAGTTGTCAGTCATGTTGCGGAGTTTATGCGCCTCAGGTCTCAATATCACTTACCATCAGTACATCGCGCAAAGTGAGGTTCGGCTGCCAATCCCGTTTGAGGGTATCCACGCAAACGGCACCGGTCAGCTCCTCCATATTCGGGTGCCAGATCCTTGTCCTGAATGTCGCCTTGGGTGGGCTCTTTGGGTAGTCGGCCGGCATCTTGAGGTGGAGCTTCCACAATCCTTCCGAGAAAGGTGTACCCGGCGGACCGGTGAGGAGGATGTCCAACTGCGATAGGTCGTCATCCTCCGATGGCTTCAGGTAGTACGGCGGGAGATCATTGTGTAAGGCGGCATGATCAGCAGCGAGCCGGCGCAGGTTGGACGGCTAGATTCCAATGTCAGATACTGAGCAGTGTTTTGGCCCACCGGTTGCTGCGGGACAACCCATGTGTGCGGTCTGCGGACTGGAGATCTGGGATAAGAAGGGCTTACCATGCTGGGATAGGCGACCAAAATCTCCAGAGTAAATAAGCAGAACAATGTCTTGGAGCTTGACAAAGTACAGAGTACTGGGGTGTAGAGGGTCTGGCAACAATCGATAAGACGTTGCTTTGTTGTGGTTTGTCGTGACGCTAACTGCTTTGGGTGCGCGTCAGTCAGGTGATTTACGCGTCACTTGCGCGTCACCAATATTACCTCTTTGGGACGACGCTCTCTACTTAGTTACGGCCCTACAAGTACTGTATCCCTTTCCCGATGACTCAATACTCCCTTGGACGCCATTGTCACGCCATATCCAAGACACAATCCTCGTGTTCTACGCCCTTAATGATGTCAATACTAACCTACAGTCGCTTACAGTTGCCTACGATTGAAAGCTGTCAGACGAAAAGGTCGGCTAGTATTTACCCAGGTATTGAAGCTAATCACAAGCACAGAAAAAGAAGTGAGAAATCAGGTGCGCCAATACATATGCGTCACATCGCAGTGGAAACACAAAACGAAGTCCTGTCCCTCAAAGATTACAAGGTCCATTATTAAAACCTGGAAAGCAAATCACAAAAAAAAAAAAAAAAAATCCCCCAATCCTCTCGTTTTCATATCTCTCATTCCCGCTGATTCAATGACCGGATCAGCATTCTATGTTCCCATATACAGACTCAATGACCTGCCCCTGGGGAGAGCTCAGCGCAGTAGTTCCAAATCAAATCCAAGTCATGAGTCAACGTTGCTCAGTTCCCTTACAGGAAGGCAACAAGAGCAGCAGCAGCCATGCCGAGACCGACGGGGCCGGCAGTGGCGATGGCAGCACCACCAGTGGAGACAGAGGTGGAGCTACCGCTGGCGCTGGCGCTGCTGGAGTCAGAATCGGTGGACGAAGAGTCCGAGGAGGAGGTGGTGGCAGTGGAGGTGCCAGTGGCCATGGAAGAGTCGGTGCTGCTGGTGACTGAGTCGCTGCGAGTAGCAGTGGACAGAGTGCTGCTGACACCGGCGACTGGGGAGGTCAGACCGGCCGGGATGGAGGCGGCGGGCTGCTGCGAGGTCACGACGGCGGGCTGGCTGGTAACGACCGAGGCCTGGCTGGTGACAGCTACGGGCTGGCCGGTGACGACGCCCAGGGAGTTGGTCTGGGTGAGGTACTGGGTAGCAGGGTTCTCCTGTTGGATATGTTAGGTCGTGTCCTCAACGCGACGCGTTGGAAAGTTGGATTTTGGTTCTGCTTACCACGACCGTCTCAGAAGAGGAAGAGCTTTGGGCCTGGGCCAGGGCGATGGCCGAGAAGGTGGTGAAGACAATGGAGAAACGCATTGTGATGGTATTAGATTATTGATAGATTGGATTAGAGGAGTAGAGTAGAAGATGGTGATGTGGAGAGGAGAGGGAGAAGAGAGTACGAAGAGGCAAACAATGGGCTTTTATCGTTGTCCAGGGAAACACGTCTTATATTCGGTACTTTAGTCTGCGCCATCAGCCCTGAGTGGCTTGAAAATGGACACTGCGGTGCCAGTCATCGGACAGAGTCTGGATCTAGCGTCCTTTGGGATCTGCAAGGTCTTGCAGTTCTATTTTGGTCTCTGGGGTCACACCCAATGCGTAAGCTCTACTACGTCTAGACTACTTAGGCATTTACTTCTTATGTGACTGTCGACTCAATGTAACACTCACGCCACGCAGGCAAAGCCCTCGAAGAAATCACCCCAAACCCCGATTTACCCAACCTTGGATGGCAATATGCACCAAACACTAGTGGGCCTTAGTCTCAGTGTCTGAGCACATTTCGTATAACAATCACATAATAAACGGAAGTCATAACAACGACCAGTCATATCGACTCGTGTGCGACCATTTCGGCCAGTAGCCCGAAAGCTTACTCCCTACATTGCGTCTCAGAAGTCCCTCGAGACCGCGTGGCGACATACGAATCCTTTCAAAGCCATCCAGTCTAATTCTTGGCCTAAACAGCCTAACTCAGAACTAAGTAGACAGCAAACAGGTTCGAATGGCGCCATGTCTTGGTGCTAAAAGAGTCGAGATGAGCTAAGATCGGCTAAGTGAGACATCAACTTTTTTTCATCCACCCAATCAGCGATCTATACAAAATTCCTCGGACTTTTGCTTGCTTTTTATTACTTGCCCCTTAACCCCAGGGCTTCATTTATTACTGCAAGGGTCTCGGCGAACACATCATATCCTGTACAGCCCTGCATCGCCACAATTATTGGTTCGTGTGACTTTTTCATCCTCAACAATTCTGCATTCCGATCGCAGTGGGTCTTTCCCCTCATACACGGGAACGCCGTCGGTTTACTCCATCCAGTAAGGACCGACTCTATATTTGTCTTTAGAAACAAAGCCAGTCGCACCTTTGATCGTCAGGTTTCCACTTGGGGACTCAAAGTCGGGGTAAACTTGCCTATCGGATTTATTATCTTATGGTTGCTCTTGTGGGAATAAGTGAAAATTCGGTTTGCCTGTGGAAACGTGCTGCCTAAGAACTGGGCAATAAATCCAAGTCCGATGGTTCGCACAAACAAAAAGCTATTACTCAAATCACCGTTGAGAAGAACATCAGGTGTTTTGTGCTCTTGTGTGCAATGTGCAACGTTGAACCACAAGACTTGGTTACTTCCAGTGCCTTCTAGAAGATGATCATAAAACAAGGAGTTAGAAACTCATTCGTTTCACTTGTTTCAACTACAGTATACTTTGTTTCCATCCCTTGTTTCTGCAATCTCAACTACTATTTATTTCTTAATACTGTATCTGGTCTAGACCAGAATCTGTACGTCCTGAATCATGATCGACTATATGCAACAATATCCCTGAGGACCCCTGCGCGGCTATCAACCGACCTAGGCAATAGGCTTTCCCATCCGCCTTGGCGTTCATCGAGAACCTCGTGCGCTGAAGGCATCTGACTGTAAAGGGAAGAAATGCTATGATAATGTCATCCAAACAATAACATGCTCGCCTCATGGAGACTGTGCAGAACAATTGGATAGTTACTCCCACGACGATGTTTAGGTATGACCTGTGAATAAGTACAGTATACCGTACAGTATGCTCACCACATTGGAAGATGAAGAATTTATTTGAGAATAAAATGCCGACTTCGTCCATTTAACCATATCCCGTGATTCATAGAATGTTCTATCTACAGGGCTATGAAAGCCCCACTATCGATCTAGAAAAACCACTGTTAAACTAGCTCCGTTTTCGATCTCGTAACTATCTCTTACTATCCTAAGAACTGTGCTTCCAAGCCGCGAATGTCGGCAGAAACTTTGTGTTACCTCGTAAGTTGACGGACAATTCTTTGTTTCTACATTTGTATGTGGTTTCTATATGACCATTTGGTCAAACGCGTTGTGAGGTTGGCGAAGGAGCACATGTTTTTATCCACTCTTACACCCAGGTCGCTGAAGGCGCCGAGTATCACCTGTTACAGGATGGATCGAAATCAATTTCACTACTTGCTCACAGGAATTCTTTCTGGAGCCCTCTTTCGACACACACTATACCTATTCAAGTTTAGCCCCCCTCATATTGGCAGGATTCCAATGAAGACGGGAATGATCTGATTCGGGTAAAAAGTAACAGTCATGTTTATCGACAAAAGTTTCGAGATAAGAAGAAGTTGCCAGTTTGAATGCCTTGCTGTGAAATAGGCACTTTGCTACTACACAAAGTCCAACGGTCAATATTATAAGAGCTGGGCTAACAGGACTCTCTTATCTGCATCTTCATCAAACTTCTGCTGCTGTGCTCGGTCCTTTCAATTCTTTTTTGTTCAGCCGCATCTCGTTCCTGCTGGCTGCGCTGTGCCCGTTCCGCTGCTTTTTGTTTGGCTTCTTCTTTTTCCTGCTGGCTGCGCAGGGCTCGATTCATCTTTCTTTGTTCAGCCTCGTCTCGTTCCTGCTGCCTGCGCTGTGCCCGTTCGGTTGCTTTTTGCTTGGCTTCATCTTTTTCTTGCTGGCTGCGCAGGGCTCGATTCGTCTTTCTTTGTTCAGCCTCGTCTCGTTCCTGCTGGCTGCGCTGTGCCCGTTCTGCTGCTTTTTGCTTAGCCTCATCCCGTTCTTGTTGATGATTTTGTGCCCTTTCAATGGCCCTTTGCTGAGATTCATTGGTTTGTTGGCATAGCTTCGCCCACCGGGCCGCTTTCTGAGTAAGTGAACTCTCAATATCCTCGGCCATTCTCGCAATATTCTCCAGTCTTCTTTCCAGTGCGGTATTCTGAAGCTCGAGCATATGTCGGATATTTATTGCCTTTCTTTCTTGCGGCACATGACTTTGAACTCTCTCGTCGCTAAGTTGCTGGATACTTGGTCGGGGAGAAGCTGCTTGTGGCGGATAGGGTCCTCGAACATCCCAGAATGTCTGAAGAAATTGGTCCAACTTTCAACGGTAAAGAAGTCAGTGGGGTTGATCAGGGAGGAAGGGGACGACGTATTCAAGCATACTAGTCCACCAAACGATTTTTGAAAAATTGGTCCGCCGAGACGTTTTAGAATTGTTAACACGTTCTGGGCACTCCTTGCAAATCTAGCGATAGTAATTGCGTTCACTGGCACTCGATGCACAGCGCAATGCCGTATTTGACGAATTCCATGCAAATCAGAGCAGAAAGATTCCCGTTCCTTTTCTGATATGCCACGGGATTGGAAAATCTCCTTGTGATGGAAACAAAAATACTCGGTAACTTTTTCTGAAAGCCGACTTAGCTCTGCCGCCTCGGGGCAAGACCAGTGACATTCATCGGCTAGGGCTGGAGCTATAGAACGACAAATGTGATACAAGAAAAACTCTAGTTCCTTCTGCCACCGACAAAGGAGACTGTATCTTTTCAAAAAGCTACGCAAGATGAGATATCAAGACATGCGTGGAGCATAATAGACTTGCCTTGCGTTAGTAGCGCTTCTTTCTGCGAAATCTGGATCGAAGTAGCTCATCGGAGCCATCTTGGTCCATGATAAGCAGTACTCGAACCTTTAACTGTTCTGTCAAGGAACTGAGGAATGTGCGACCTTCCTTAATACCGATCATTCTTTTAAAACTGAGCGCCATTCAATGAATATGATATGCCACTCAACTAAAATGACGTGAAGACTCTTTGGTGGAAATTAGCAATTCTGAAAAGAAGTACGTCACTGTACCACTCAATCCTTTCCAGATTGAAGCCTACGGAGGATAATAGTTCCGGTGGATTTCAGACGGCAGTTTGATTCGAGTCGATAGGTTGAAGGGGTCCGATGCTGAGGAAAGGCCTGCTGTATAGGTTTTATGGTCGATGATGGATGGAGATGACATCCTGACAGTGGCTGCCAGAAGGCAGGGATATATCATATGACTGAGACAAGAAAGAATCAATAGCAGTAGCACTTCGCACTTCTTACTCCGTATGAAACCGCGGAAAATACCAGGATGTTTTAACCTTTTATACCTTCATGTCCTGGCTGCGCCTCACCTGGCTCACTTGGCACCATGACCATGCCCAGGCGCCTAACATTTTAGAGAGAGTACTTACATCACTGCTTGCGATAGAAAGTAAAGTCTATTTAAACGTGATCGTAGTACCAGCTTCAAGTCTGGCGACTGAGGTGGCATATTTATAGCGTATCGGCTTTTGACCAGCTCTGGTGAGGGTTTCTTACTTGTCGTAGCGTATGTCTGTTTTGTACGCTGCTCGAAGTTAGTATGGGACCCCGCTTGCTTGGAGAAATGATCATGATTGATTTGCTTCTTGCGTCTATTATTGACCTCTTAGAAACCCCGGGTTTTATAGGACTCGAAATCGATGCAGCATACCTTTGCGTCTTAGGAGTGCCCCACTAAACTACTTTCATAGGTGCTGATCAATGTCGAGCAGTTAGATAAGAGTGATAGCAATAAAGCTTATATCGAGGATGTCAATTCAGCATTGAACTCCCTCGCCGCTATGGATATTATACAACTTCCGGCAACAGATGATCCCAACTTCAGTTTTCCACAATCACTCTTTGATCGGCACATCTTGGCCACGGACCCAGTTCGAAAACTCCTTGCGCTTGGCCTGTTATTTCAAATGTTAGCTTTTGTACCCTTCTTCGCTCCCAGAGTATGATCATCATCCGACGGTGGATCAGAGTCACAACATGATCCAATACGGCGCATAGACCACTCAGACCAGCTCCGAGATTATAAATCAAGAGACTCACCCGAATATCCCAGAACGCATAACGCTCTTCCAGACTTAGGAACGGGTTGCGCGCCCCGCCGTCCCGTTCAATCGCGCCAGCCCAGTCGCGCCAGCTGACGGGCTTCAACTTCTCTGCACCAAGTACGAGACCAATTGATACAACTAGAACGGAGACGAGAGTTTCAACGATGATATCGTGAGGAAGGACGGTGGAGGAGATGTTGCTGTAGAGTACAGTGTGTTCGTGGGCGGAGTAGCCTCTGCAAGACGGGTTGTTAGCTTAGCTCGGGCTATGATAGAGCCGACGGGTCTATCGGATTTGAGGCAACATACGCATGTCCGAGCAGGACGAGCCCGAAGAGCGTGACAAGGCGCGACAGGAAGCTCATGGTGGGTTGTGAGGGTAGTTTGGGGGGTTGCGGAGTTGGGGCTCGGTGGCCAGGTTTTGTCGGTGCAGCTGATCTGCTCCGTATGTGAGGGATGTAGTAGAAGTCCGTGGTATGAAGATTCGAAATAGAAAGCCGAGGACCCTGGGCTGGTGGACTGAATGCTTGTCGGAAATTCGAGGTGCAGTCCGCCCGACCATCCCACAGTTTACATAATCACGACTAGGGGCCGGAACTATGGAGCATTTGCTACTTTTCCTTCAATCTTATACTCTTTTGTCTATAGCCTTTCAATTTTTCTTGATTTAAGATACACCACTAGATATACTAGTACATTACTGATGCTTACATATTGTACTCCGCGGTGATCGTTCGTGGTCATTTGGCTTCACTATGAACGGTCTCATCACTAAGCCAGTCATGTAAACACAGCAGTTCTGCGTGTTTAGGTCGTTTACGCCGATTGTTTTGGGTCGTATTTCAATAAGCAGCTTATTGTACAGCGTGATACCTTTCATGGCTTTGTATAACTAGGCAACTGTATATGACTCGTCAGTATACATGCCGATGGTGATTCTGCTTCGGTATAGAGAAGAGCCTACCCTCCGACTTCCTGGCGCTTCCGTGGCTATACCCTAATTATACTCAGATAGATACTTCATAGGTGGAAAAGGAAAACAATCAGTTTGGTCGTTCTATTCTTACTTCAGCCTGCCTTGCGCTATGACAGCAGGACATGTTACCCCAGGACAACCCCAACTTGACCGCCTCGTAAGTTGGTCGTCCCCTTACTTCGTAAATTTTCAATTGAGATATCCCTCATATATATAACCTACCTTGTAACTTTCATTAGGTTCAAACTTATTCAACTACAATGTGCGGAATCAGCGCCGTCCTTTCGCTGGCAGGGTACCCCGCGCAATCGAACGGGGATCGCTTGTCATCCCTCGAGCAGCTCGGCAAGAGTCTGGATCTTGTCAAACATCGTGGACCAGATGCACGTGGTGAATGGGCCAACGAGGATGGTAACGTTTGTATGTGCCTTATGTCGCTTTTCGCCCGTCGAAGTGAACAATCCATCCCTGTTCAGATTACTGAACTCTCCTAGATCTGGGCCACGTTAGACTCTCCATTGTCGATCTTAGCCCGCAGGCAAACCAGCCCTTTCATGATACTGCGAATGATGTCCACGCAATCGTGAACGGTGAGTTGTACAATGACGAGTACTATCGAGAACTCCTGGGCAGTGAATATGACTTCCACAGCAAGAGCGATTGCGAGATCGTCTTAGCTTTGTATAAGCACTACGGGCTTTCTTTTGTGTCTCATCTTCGAGGCGAATTTGCTTTGATCTTGTGGGATGCCCGCAGAAAAGTATTCATTGGCGCGAGGGACCGGTATGGTGTCAAGTCTCTCTACTACACCGTTGTGAATAACCGACTTCTTGTGGCAACTGAAATGAAATGTTTCCTTCCCTTTGGATGGGAGCCGGAGTGGGATGTTCAAGGTATTAGAGAATGTGGCTGGATGTTCGGTGCTGGGACTATGTTCAAGGGGGTCAAATCAGTGCGTTGGATCTTCCTTTGACGAATGCCTATTACTGATCAGTACTAGGTTGCCCCGGGGCATTATATTATCAGCAAAGGGCTCAACCATATTCAGAATGCAGCTTACTGGGATGCTGAGTATCCTGACAAAGTGAGTACCGTTCCTTAACAATCGGGATTCACCGCTTAACCTGAGATAGAGAACACCAGAGCTTCGATCAGAAGCCGAGATGATAGAGGGAGTACGAGATCGTCTAATGGAAGCTATTAAAATTCGCCTTCGGGCTGATGTGCCCTTAGGAATCTATTTGAGCGGGGGAATTGACTCATCCGCAGTGGCTGGCATGGTAGCTCATCTCGTTAAGGAAGAGGGTGCCCGACTTGGCAATGATGAGAGCCAACTTCTCTCACGAATAAAATGCTTCACGGTGCAATTCGACAAGGATAGTGGCGCTGACGAGTCCGGTACAAATCTCACAATACCTTACTAGCTTCCAATATTGGAAAACTAACATCACTAGATATCGCGCAGCGTACCGCCGAATGGCTCGGGGTAGATTATCACCCCGTATCCGTCAACGAAGAAACTTTTGCTGCGATGTTTGAGGATACTGTTTGGCACAGTGAAACACCTATGCCGGACACAAATGGCATGGGAAGGCTCGCCATGGCTGAGGCTGCTAGATCGCACGGCATTAAAGTGATATTGACAGGTTTATTTCCCCAACCAGATCTTTTATTGATCTTATTCTAATAGCTTGTTCAATAGGAGAGGGATCTGACGAGCACTTTGGAGGATATAAAGACTTGTCGAGCGATTTCTTGCTTGAAAATGATCCCTCATGGCCCTCCGCGCCATCCAAAGAGGAGATCGCAGAATTAGCAAAACAGCTCAAAGCCCTCTATGCAACTATGGCCAAGGACATACCCTTAAGTAGAACTAGGGCTCCGGAGTCGACTCGTCGAATGCTGAACAATACCTCAATCTTGACATTCCTCTCATTGGTCGGCCGTATGCCCTTTGCCAAGTGGACAGACATATATACAACCACGTCGCCCGAGACTGCACAGGCAGAAAGCTTAGATGGACGTGTTCGAGACGCTATTGCGAACAAGTGGCATCCACTTCACACAGCGGAGTACCTCTTCACAAAGGGCTTTTTTAGCAACTTATTACTCCGGTATCTCGGTGATAATATCGATATGGTCCATAGTGTCGAGACTAGACCTCCGTTCCTTGATCATCATCTGACAGAATATGCGAATAGCCTCCCACCTAGCCTGAAGATCAAAGTGTCCACGTCAGATAGGTCACTTACGGAGAAGTATATCTTGCGAGAAGCAGTTCATCCCTTCGTCACCGAGGAGATCTATATGCGACAGAAGAAGCCATATATTGGACCGACCAATTTCCAGGAGAATGGGCCGCTTCATCGGTTGTTCCTTCGTCTGACTACTCGGGAAAATGTTGATGCTCTTGGGTTTGTGGACTACGAAGAAACACAAGAAAATGTTCGCAAGGCATTCCAAGATAAGGATCACTGGTCTTTGCGGGCTGCTTTCTCTGTTTGTCAGTTTATTGTGCTCTCGCAACGATTTGGGGTCGCTAGAGCTACGGCTCCATCCTTGTGCCGTACTTGCTAGGTAGCTTTCAAGAATTTGGCGGCAGTTGGATCGACAAAAACGCAGATTAGCCATTCCAGATTGTATGGTTGCCAAGGAGGGAGTGTAGTCTGAAAAATAATTCTTATCGTAAGCTACTGAAGTTCACAAATCTGAATCATAACAAAAACCAAATGCTTAATCAAAGAGAATAGCCATTGAATCGATGTATAAGAGCTCTCAATTATCCCGCTCCACCGTTCGTAGATTCTGAGATGAAACTTGCTTCTTGTCAAAATCCTGATGTTGAATAAGAACAGTCAAAAGGAAAGAGCATGTAGCGATGGCACAACAACTAATCCACACAGTACGTAGGCTATCTGTGTAAGCCTGCTGAATGGACAATTTAATGTGGTCATTCTTGATGGACTTGATGGCCACAACCGCACTTGCAGCATTTTTGATATAAAGATGGACCAGATCTTGAGGGATGTGATATTTGGGGAGGTTGGCTTCCATCCTGTTCTGAAAAATGGCCTCCCCGATAGCAACACCAAGGGCTTGACCCAATGCCCGAAAGAAACTAAACATCGCCACTGCTATTGGTAGATTTTCCGAAGACGATGCGGCTTGGATGCCATACCCCATTGATGTAATCACAAGACCGAGGCCAATGCCTGGAACCAGGTTAAGACAGACCCATTGAGCAATGCTCCTGTCAGTCTCAAGAAGGACAAGCAGGCCAAGCCCGAGAACAGTGATCATCCAGTCAGACCAAACAGCCCATCTGTATCTGCCAATTTTTGTCATGATGATAGCCGAGACTGTGGTGATAGAGGCGATGGTGAATGTCTCTGGGAACATTGCGACGCCCGCGATGATTGGGTCATATCCGAGGACTGCCTCGTAATAAAGGGGGATGTAGTACAGAGTACACCAAATGATCAGGCCGAGGGAAATGGTGCAGATGTACATCACGGAGATAGTACGATCCTGGAATACAGAGTATGGTATCATAGGATCTTTGGCCACATAGCTTTCGTATAGAACAAAGGTCACTAGACCAACAACACCCAAAACGAGAGGTACCACTGTATGCCATGAGTCCCACTCATACTCTAGACCTCCCCATGTGAGTGGTATCAGTAGAGAGGTTATACTGCTCACAAAAATGACAGAGCCACCGTAGTCTACGATGCACAGCTTTGCTAGAAGCTTTCCTTCCGAAAAGTCGTAGGTCAAGGAATATCAAGATGAGAATTGCCCCAATGCCAACGAGCGGGAGATTGATATAGAAGATCCACCGCTAGATCATACTCAAGTTAACACGCACAACTTGCAAAGACGTCGATGGATATCATCAATGATGTCTTACCCAGCTAGCCTTTTGAGCAAAGCCTCCTCCTAGTACTGGTCCTATAACAGACCCAACGCTCCATGCTGATCCTAGATATGCAAAGTATAATCCACGGATTCGCAGAGGCATCAAATCAGTCATGATGATTTCGGCGAGGGAAATGATGCCGCCGCCACCAACTCCTTGAATGCATCGGCCAATGAGTAAAATGGCGAACTCATTGCTGGCTCCTACAACAGCCGCCCTAACGAAAAAGAACACCAAAGCTAGGAGCATCAAAGCCTTTTCACCGAATATGTTCGATAGAGATGCGAAGGTTGGCTGGAAAACTGTTGTATGTTAGAAGAAAGAAATGCATGCAAAAGTAACACCACTGCAACTTACCGGTTGAGCACAATAGGAAGGACGTCCCCCCCCCCAAAAGGCTTCAACGGTTGTTGCACCAAGATCCTTTGAAATGATCTATTGCACGATTAGTGTACCAAGACGATGTGGGATCGGATCCATCATACGGGTAAAGCAACGGATATGGATGTGCCATCTAAAGCAACCATCAGAGTCAAGATAGTGAGAGCAATAAACATGACAGTCCCCTTTCTTCCTAGAGAAAATTTCTCTGTGAAATCTTGGTCACCGGAAGATCTGGAGCCTGATGCATAATTCCCAGCCTCTAGACTATGTGAAGATTCAGGCATCCTGACGACACAATTGAAATTATAATGTTTCCCGAGACATTTGTGTTGCCATTACAGACCAGTAAAAATAATTCAGCGAGAATAAATAAAAGGCGCTTATTTTACTATCGATTATGACGTATTGCCTTAAGCTTTCACTTGATCCCTTTGTTGCTCTCCCCCTGGTTGAATGCAGGTCTGGACTAGCTATCTGCCAGTAAGTTGACCAGGGTAGTATCCGAGTCACTGGAGTTCTTTTTTCTTCGGAGATTCCAGTACGAAATGCCCAGCCGGGTTGGGGGGTACACAGGATTCTATCCACCGTATATATGACGCGCAGCAAGGGATTTTGTGTCAATATCAAACGCCGGGCAACATGCTTGTATCACTGAGAAAGCATGCCGGCTATGTCTTGGCATCCGGGATATGGTTTGAGACTATTGCTATAATACTTCTTGCTCCAAGTCACTAGGAGGCTATGATTTGAGCATTGCGGATTGACTGCTTTGCAAGATAAGCGAATGTACCGTCAGTCATTTCTTAGAGACCTTTCGTCTCAACTTTCTCTGGTAGACTCTTTTCAAACACCAATTATCTAAGAAAGGTATGACAATGGATTCTTCAAGTGCCATTGGCAAGGATCGGCATCAGTGCCCACAGTACCTGTCTGACAGAAGTATAATATACATTCCACGGCGTTATGAAATCATGCAGATCATGATAGTAGAGGCTTCTATACATACAGAATCCTGGGTTTTCACTGTGCACAGGACCATGGCTACTGGATTCTTGAACCCGGAGACGAAGGGCTCGTGCTACTACATGTGGCGAATCCCACCCAAGAGAGAAGTAATCACCGAGATTAAGAACTTAAATTGAGAATATATGATCTGTAACAATAGCTCAGATATGATGAGATAATGGCTCACTTGACGGACGGGAAATATAAAGGTAGGGCTGTTTTCTGGTAGCTACACAGCTTCACGAGCTTCTTACTATCCACTTCCCAGCAACGAATACAATATGTGGAAGTACTACGATGGCAAGGCCATTTTGGTTACTGGGGGCTCTGGCTTTCTTGGAACTGCTCTGGTGTATCGCTTGCTCACACAAACATCTGCCAGTCATGTATATCTACTCTGCAGAGGCGGGACAAAGTGAGCTCGAGTTGGAGTATCAAGTCTTAGAAGAAAAGTAATTGACAGGTTGTCTTTAGAAAACTTGAATTGCGATGGGCCGAGTCACTACCCAAGACAGCTATCCAAGATCTTCTGGATATGAATCGTATCTCCACTCTGGACGGAGATATCCTCCAACCAAACATGGGGCTTCCGGAACGCGATTTGACTACACTTCAAAACGAAGTCAATATTGTCATTCACGCCGCTTCATCTATCAATCTGGGAAAGCCCTTGAAAGGCCTTGCCGACTCTATCACTGGAGCCAGTGAAATGATAGCTGAATTCGCACTGACGTGCTATTCCCTCGAACGCTTCGTATATGTCTCGACTGCATACTCAAATTCACACCTGCTACCATTTGAAAAGGACATTGATGTCCATGTCAACGAGGAGATCTACGAACCAACCAATCTAGACATCACAACTGAATGGATGGAAGTGAAGAAGCTCGGAACCAGCATGGTATACGAGGACCAAAACTTCCCGTGGGCCTATGGCTATGCAAAGAACCTCACAGAGCGACTACTCCAACGCCGTTTCGCCAAAGCCGGTGACAAGCTTCTCATCGTGCGTCCATCTATCATTGGACCAGCTCAGCACTTTCCATTTCCTGGATATAGCGTCCCAATGTCAACACCCACAACACTGGTTGTGGCGGGGATGATACTAAGCCCGAATCTGACTATAAAGGTTGCAACCAAGTCAAAAGACCCGGGAAGGGAATGTAATCTTGATGAAGTTCCAGTCGATGTGGTTGTTGATCGTATGCTCTGTCATCTCGCAATGGGAACAAGTGGATGTATCCATGCTGTCAGTGGTCAAGAGTCGAGGGTTAGACTGTTGGCACTTTGGGATTCTATCCTTCGATTGCGTCGGGTACCTTGGCCGCGTTACGCTGCTTTCAAGGATGTGGATTGGAAGTCTTCAGATCAGCACCCTCTTGCTCGGCTTTATGCTATTCTTGGGGCCTCTTATTGCTTTTCGGAGAAGAAGACTGTAGCTTTGAGTCGGGATCCTCTGGTGAAAGAATGCTATGGGCTGCAACTCTTCACAGAGATCGATATGGCAGACCAGATGTTGACTCGTACGAGAGACATTCATCAGGTCATGCGCCGGTTTACTCATAAGAGCATTTGGGTGTGGATCATGGCTAATGTCTTCTATCGTGGGTTCAAAGGCAGACGAGGTATAACTAGGGAGAGGGAAGAAGAGATATAGTTTCCTGTGACTGTATGTCTATAGAGGAGCAGTCAAAACGTTAATGTCGTTGGTTTCGGGGCTCGAACTTATATATAGCTCAATATAAGCTCGAATTGCTAGCTTTGTTTGATGCTTCGGGTTTCCTTGCCCTAAATGAGGAGCCAGGTAGCACTGTTTTTGAATGTCTTCCAGCAAATTGCGACCTCAAGCGGGTCTCGGTGCCCAATGGTTGCGGTGCCCAACATATATAAGTGGGGGGACATTCACATTCATAGAATTGGAAAGATGCCCATGGTAACTGTGGAAAGTTGGCCCAATTGCTTACTTTTTTTTAACTCAATGTCTACAACGATTTACTTGAAACAAATTGGTCGTGAATTTTTGATTTTTTCATCAATGACCGGTCATGTCCGGACCAGCTTTCTAGTTGGTTTCGTAAAAGACTTCCTTGACATCACACATTTCCATCACATCCTGCTTCGTAAATGGACATCGCAAATTTAAAGCTTCTGCATGGCAGCGATATCGGTGGACTGGACGTGGTCCTCGAACTCCTCAATCTGGCCCTGGAGCTCGTCGGTGGAGACCTTCTCGTCCTCAACGACCAGGTTGATCTGGAGCTTCTTGATACCGAAAGCGAGGGGAACCCACTTGGAGGCACCCCAGACGAGGCCGTCCTTCTCAATGGAGCGGACGTTGGCCTCGAGCTCCTCAAGGTTGGTCTCATCATCTGGAAGAAATTGTTAGAACAGATTTTACGAGTGTAAAAGACGATAAACATACCCCAGGGCTTAACCTCCATGGTGACGAGGGACTTGGCAGCGGGCTTGGGCTTGTTGGCCTTCTTGGCCTTGTACTCCTCGAGACGCTTGTTACGCTCGGCAACAACCTCGGGGTCCTCCTCCTCAGAGTCGGAGCCGAAGAGGTCCTCATCGTCATCCTCCTCGGGCTTGTCCTTGGGGTTGGAAGGAAGCTCGGTGGTCTCGGGGCCGTAGGCGGTGAAGGCCTTGGAGGAGTCACCGGGGAGGGTGGAGAATTCGCTCTCGTAAGAGGCGATGTGCTTGTACCAGCGGGCGGCGTGGGGGTACTTCTCAGGGTCGGGGGCGCCGCTGAAGGCCTTGAAGGTCACGACATCGGCCTGGCTGGGGGAGGAGCTGTTGAATGGTCAGCGATGGTCTTGTATATCGAATGAAAATCAACAATGTTGCATAGTAGCAAGATCAGAGGTGGGATTGCTCCCTGGTTCTGTAGTCATCCAGCGGGGTCTTAATCCGCCTCCTAAACACGGACCAATTTTTCTCATCATGAAAGCAAGGAGTAACAAAAGCAAAAAAAAAAGAGATATTAAAAGGGGGTCTTACCCAACAACGTAGGACCGAGTGGACAGGAAGTGGTTGGCCACTGAGGGGCACAGTCAGTCACCAATTGATTCGAACCAAAGAAAATCTCAGGGGCGCCTACGAGTCAGGCCGGCATCAGAGACAAAGTCGGTGAAACCCATTGTGAAGAGAATTGAAGTGGTATCCGGGGGGAGGAAAAGAGAAGGATGATGTTGGAAGAAATCGAGGGGTTAAAAGGGGAGGATTTTTTTCAACGGAAAATCTTCGCCGGAAAAACGTGGGACGGTCAGGTGACTGGTGACGGTGGTGGTCCAAGCTTCCTAGCTCGTCCGCCACTCAACTTGAACGCGGTGGAGCATTCGAGAAGCGTCGCGATACTCCATGGTGAGTATTAAAGCTATGTGACTACCTCAACACCCCGAGTAGCCCGCAATCTTCATCATGGCTGCGCGATTGTCCATCACTGCTCGCAGTAGACTCCTACGAGCTCCTAATCTAGCTTCAGCCCGTTTACTTACTCCAATTGCTCGTTCGACACTCCTCCCCCGTGCCTCGTCTGTTCTCCTCCCAGTTGCCAGCGTCACCCCAATCTCGGTTCGCCACTATGCAAAGGGACGCCCACACCCTCCAGGCGGTACCCATCGCATGGACATGAGTGGAGGCGAGGAGAAGTCCGCTCTCGAACAATATGGTGTTGACCTTACAGACAAGGCAAAAGCTGGCAAGCTAGACCCAGTAATTGGACGAGACTCAGAGATTCATCGAACGATCCAGATTCTATCCAGACGAACCAAGAACAACCCAGTACTCATTGGTGCTGCTGGTACTGGTAAAACTGCCGTTCTTGAAGGCCTGGCCCAGCGGATTGTGCAAGGAGATGTCCCGGAAAGCATCAAGAACAAACGGGTCGTCTCGCTGGACCTTGGCTCGTTGATTGCGGGTGCCAAATTCCGTGGTGACTTCGAAGAGCGCCTCAAATCCGTACTCAAGGAAGTAGAGGACGCCCACGGAGGTGTTATCCTCTTCATTGACGAGCTTCATACTTTGCTGGGTTTGGGCAAGGCTGAAGGCAGCATTGATGCTAGCAACTTGCTCAAACCTGCACTCTCACGAGGCGAGCTTCAATGCTGCGGTGCCACCACCCTTAATGAATATCGATTGATCGAAAAGGACGTGGCTCTCGCTCGACGATTCCAGCCCATCTTAGTAGGTGAACCGTCAGTTCCCTCAACTATCTCCATTCTGCGTGGTATCAAGAATAAATATGAAGTACACCACGGTGTCAGAATCACAGATGGTGCTTTAGTTGCTGCCGCCACTTACAGCAACCGCTATATAACCGATCGATACTTGCCTGACAAAGCAATTGACCTCGTTGATGAGGCTGCATCAGCACTGCGACTGCAGCAAGAGTCGAAGCCAGATTCCATCCGGGAGCTGGAGCGTGACATAACCACCATCCAAATTGAGCTCGAGTCTCTTCGTAAGGAAACCGATGTTAGTAGTCGCGAACGACGAGACAAGCTCCAGGAAGACCTCAAGACAAAGCAAGCGGAGGTCGGTGAATTGACAGAAGCCTGGGAGAAGGAGAAAGCTGAAATCGACACCATCAAACGTACCAAGGAAGAACTGGAACGTGCTCGATTCGAACTCGAACAAGCTCAGCGTGAAGGAAACTTCGCCAAGGCCGGAGAGCTGAGATACTCCACCATCCCCGAGCTCGAGGGCAAGCTACCCAAAGAAGGCGCTGAGCAAGATGCTAGGCAACAAACTTTGATCCATGACTCCGTTACTGCGGATGACATTGGCAACGTTGTCTCTCGGACTACCGGCATTCCTGTCAGCAAGCTCATGGCTGGAGAAGTAGAGAAACTGATTCATATGGAGGATACTCTCCGAAAGTCAGTTCGTGGACAAGACGAAGCTCTTTCGGCAGTCGCAAATGCTGTTCGGATGCAACGAGCTGGTCTCAGCGGCGAGAATCGTCCCCTGGCATCTTTCATGTTCCTTGGTCCTACCGGTGTTGGAAAAACGGAACTTTGCAAGAAGATGGCCGAGTTCCTCTTTTCCACTGAAACTGCGGTTGTGCGATTCGACATGAGTGAATTCCAAGAGAAGCACACAATCAGTCGCCTTATCGGTTCTCCTGCTGGATATGTTGGCTATGACGATGCTGGACAGCTTACCGAGGCCGTCAGACGCAAACCTTACGCTGTTTTGCTATTCGATGAATTCGAAAAGGCGCATCGGGATATCTCTGCTTTATTGCTACAGGTCCTTGATGAGGGGTTCCTGACTGATGCCCAGGGCCACAAGATCGATTTCAAAAATACCCTGATCGTTCTGACCTCAAACCTTGGTGCCGATATTTTGGTTGGAGCAGACCCCATCCACTCGCGCAAGGAATTCGGTGACGCAGAGCTGTCTCCCGACATCAAAGCCGCAGTCATGGATGTCGTCCAAAGAGCTTATGCACCTGAATTCCTGAACCGTATCGACGAGTTCATTATCTTCAAGCGCTTGTCGCGGGAGGCTCTGCGTGACATTGTCGATATCCGTCTCAAGGAGCTGCAGGCCAGACTTGATGACCGCCGCATGACCCTCCAGGTTGACAATGAGATCAAGGACTGGCTCTGCGCGAGAGGCTACGACCCTAGATTTGGTGCTCGCCCTTTGAACCGTCTGATCTCCAAGGAGATTGGAAACCGGCTGGCTGATAAGATCATCCGCGGTGAAATTGTCTCTGGACAAACTGCTCGCGTTTCTCTTGATGAGACCAAGTCTGGACTTGTGGTCACCACCCAGGAGGAATGAATGATGACATGACTGGCGTTTTTTTGTTGCATATTCCATTCGGTAGTTGGGTTTCTCTTTTGATTCTTTGGCCATTCCATGTCCTCTTCGCATATCCCTACTCATACAAGTTGTACATCAATTCAAATTTGTCTCATTGGACATAGACTCCACTTATAAAAGGTGCCATAGGTCCTTCTACCTCCCTAGCTTCATATGACCTAATTGAGTCGCCCGAGGCATTTAAAAATGGACGAAAAGACGAGAAATAGGTGGAGATAGAGGGGCCAACCCAAGGCCATAAATGCCCCATGAAATAGTGCACTCAATTTAAATCTTCGTATAGAGACTGTCTAATACTTGTCTAATACTTCATAGGACTGGAAACGGATTATGACGCCAGTTGTAGTATGTAAACTGAAGAACGTGACCATGCACGGGATTGGAGCCCGCCATCATCTATCTTCAATTCCATCTCAAATCATCCTGATCAATCCCTGTAAACTAGTCAAAATGCCCCCCTCATTCAAAAGAAAATGGACATCCTCTCGTGCTCCAATCACACCTCATACCTCAGGACCACGAGGCAGAGGCCTATCGAGTCGAGCACCCAGCGATTCTAGCCGCCCTTCTCAAACTCCAATCCCATCATCAGCCAGACAATTGCGAACTCCATTTGCTACTGATACCAAACCCGAGACGGATTGCTTGATGGGTGCTTCAGACGATGACTTCGATGACCATGTCATTGTGGCTGTTGATATGAAGGACTACAGTACAGTTGGCTGCGCCTACTATTCAGCTGAAGAAGAGAAAATGTATTTGCTTGGTGACACCCGCTCTGGGGGACTGGAGACAATTGAGACATGTATATTCTTCCACCTTAAAATACTGGCTTGTTTTGCTAATTTGGTCATCTTCAGTGCTACTCCAGATCAAACCAACAGTGGTCTTGACGCCTCCTCGCGTTGATCTAGATGTGCAAAATCAGAACCACAATTTGGCACAGGAAGACGGTATACCTATCTTGCAGGCACTTGAATTGGTCGTCTATATTTCCATACTGATCATTTGAGCTGAGCAATAGTTTCCTCGGCCTATCTTCCATACCAGATAGATGTTCGTCCAACATCAGAATTCAACTATTCAAACGCAGAAAGCAAACTCCTTGGGCTGGACATTTCATCCAGTCATGAAGAATGCTTCCGATTTCTAGTGCCCCAGACCGGTCTTCATGGTCCCGAAGAGGTGAACCCAGAAGAAATGGGCTTCACGCTTCAAGGAGGAAGATTGCTGCGCATTTCAAGCTCTATCGACATGGAAAACCCGGTAACTATCGGCTGCGCAGGAGCCATACTCCAATACTTCCACCGACGAAGATCATCAGCGCTGACCTCCCCCGGAGGTGGAGTTGAATATCGAGTTCGAGCGCTGCAGATGTTCAATATCCAAGATACGATGTGGATCAACAACAACACATTCACTTCACTGCAGATCATCCAACCGGAATCGCACCCGAACATGTTCAATCAAGGCCCGGGTAGGAATTCGGCTTCCGGAAAAGAGGGACTTTCTGTTTATGGTCTCTTTCGCCGGTTTGCGTACACTCCTCAGGGTAAGGCAAAGCTCAGACAAACTTTCTTTCGTCCGAGTCTGGATTTGAACATCATTCGAGAACGACATGATTTTATCGGTGTCTTTTCTCGGCCTGAAAATCTCGCGGCGCTGGACAAAATGACCAAAGCTTTGAAACATGTCAAGAACTTGAGGCTTGTGATGATCAATCTTCGCAAGGGTGTTAGTACTGGCAGTGGGAAAATCACTGGGTTCAAAACTACTGTTTGGGCTAGTTTGCTTGCTGTATGCTTCCCGTCTGGTCTTTTTCAACCGATAATTGCGATGCTAAAGATATTATTAGTTTGCGTTTTACTCGATCGATATCCAGGATGCGCTACAGGAGGTCTCTGGGGCCGAGATTCTAGTTCTTCGAACCAAGGTCGTCAATACTATCACTCCTATCCCGTTCCTCCTATTGTGCTGACTCTTACAGGCTCTTCGCGTGTTTGAAGCAGCACAGCTCTACAGAGTGGGCCGTATGATCCAAGAAATTGTAAGTCTGTCGCGATTGCGCACCCGTACCACATCTAATCAGTATAGGTTGACATCGACAACTCAGAAGAACAGGGAAGAACAGTAGTCAAACAAGGGATTGACAGGGAGCTTGACAGAATTAAGGACAGATATGATGGACTGAACAGTCTTCTCAAGCACGTTGCCCTCGACATCGCCGCAACTATCCCTGAAGTCCTCGATCTCGATGTCAACGTCATCTATTTCCCTCAACTCGGGTTCAATATTACCATTCCACTCGATGATAATGGTGTGGCACTATATAGTGGCGTCGAAAATGAGTGGGAATTGATGTTCATCGCGGAGGACTGGGGATATTACAAGGACTATCGTATGAGAGAGATGGATAAAAAGCTAGGAGATATTTATGGTCTTATCTGCGGTACACCTGCTTCATTTATTCGATCCAGCTTTATAGAAGGCTAATACGTGTGACTTTTGCAGACAAAGAAATTGAGATTGTCTACGGTTTGGCTCAGAGAATTCTTCGATATGAGAATTTGCTTGTTGATGCATCTGATATCTGTGGGGAGATTGACAAGTAAGTGTTTCTGGCAGGCGAGTTGAGCAACACTAATATAACCTTTGCATTTATAGCCTTCTTGCACTCACGCAGGGAGCAAGTTTCTACAGGCTGACTCGGCCACGAATGGTTCAAGACAATATCATTAAGATCAAGGGTGGACGGTAAAAGCTTCAAATCCGAAACACTCTTGGTCGTTCTGACGAAATGCAGACACATGCTCCAAGAAATTGCAGTGCCGTCGTATGTTCCAAACAGCACATTTCTTGCTGGTGGGAATGTGAACACCAACAGCAATGATGCGTCTACATCTGATCACAATCCGAGTATGTTGATTTTGACAGGTCCAAACTACTCCGGGAAAAGTGTCTACATGAAGCAGGTAAGTAATTTGTTCTCTTAAAGCAGGCGACTCTCATACGGTGCTTTAGGTAGCTCTGATTGTTTTCCTGGCACAAATCGGAAGGTATTCATTACATCCTCGCAGATTCATACACAAGATATCCTAACTTTTATTGCAGCTTTGTTCCTGCAGATAGCGCGGAACTTGGAATCACCGACAAGATCTTGACCAAAATCAATACTCAAGAGAGTGTCTCCAAGGTATTTTAGAGCAAATGGGCCAAGGGATACGTTATGATTAACGTGCTCCTAGATTCAAAGCACCTTCATGAATGATCTGCAGCAAATCTCTCGCTGTCTGAAAGAACTTACGAGCCGCAGCCTTGTTATCATCGATGAATTTGGGAAAGGAACTAACGAGAGCGGTTTGTCCACAGTTCATGATAACTTTATTTGCATCTGTTAACTCTGATAGATGGTATCGGACTTGCCTGTGGAATTCTCGAATATCTCCTGGATCTTGAGACTGCCTCCAAGATCATCGCAGCAACCCATTTCCATGAGATCTTTGAGAATGATTTTCTTGCGCTGCGGCCACGGCTACAACTTGGACACATGGAGGTTCGAGTTGATGAGAAAGTTCAACAAGTTGAGGATCAAGTCACATATCTTTACAAGTATGTGCAATGCCGCTGGTTACTGCTTCGCTACTGCATACAAGATGCTGACATTCTGGATAGCTTTCGTAGTGGACGAAGTAACAAGAGCTTCGGCACAATGTACGTTTTTTGGGCTTCTTTGCCCAGTGTTTCGTCTAGCATTGAACTGACTAGTTCGATATAGCTGCGCAGCAATCAATGGCATTGACTCAGTTATCGTGTCTCGCGCAAACAAGATTGCCTGCCTCTTGGCTCGAGGCGAGAACATCCTCGCTGCATGCGCGGTTTTGTCCCCGGGGGAGATGAAAGAGCTTGAGCAAGCGGTAAGAATACGCTTTCTAAGATAGTACGTTACTAACTCAGCCCCGTCACAAGGAGTCACTCGCAAGGAGATTCCTGGAGCTTGACTTTTCGCAAGGTGACTCAGACCACAACGCGAAGGCGTTATTTGAAGGCTTGTTCAAAGTTTCGGGGCAATGATGGGACCAAGCTTACCCCGTAGTGGGGGAACCAATATGCATGCATTCCTTTGTATGCCTTACACTGAGGCAAGTCATCATTCATTGGCCGAGCCCACGTTATCTATCTATACTATTATCGGAGTCAAGACGCTACCTCACTCCACTCACCTTTCATTCTGTCAACTGGGGCCGAATCTAGCGAATTGACCCCTACTTACCCCGGCTGTGTGTACGTGTGGCGACTGTGTTTGCTGGAGGATTATGAGGCTCCTAATTTTCTTCAACCAAGTCTTGATTCTTATATAGCCTCAATATAATAACGATTTCAAGTGACTTTTACCTACGGATTACGTGTAGCTTCTATCCATGCCCTCTATATCACAGAATAGATCCACGTTACATCCGCCTCTAGAATATGGGGTCCCGTTGTGCGTGCCCCGTATGTCGCAAATCTCCGATTTGGTCAAGGTCTCGAAGCTACACACGAAGTTCGAGTAGGAGCTTATAACGCACACTTTTCTCGAATCTACGACCACCGCTAGTCGTAGTGGGGGGCTCCGTAAGCGCAAGGAAGTACAGAAGCGGAAACGACACCTTAGAATTGGTATATTTGGTATGGTCTAGCTAGAGGAATGCGTAAGTGAAGATAAGTTAAGGGCTGTCAAGGAAGTGCGCAAATCGGTACCCCTAAAGTTGACATATGGGCTCTCGGTGTAATAGCTTCTCCGAAAAAGGGGATTTGCTTGACTACTACAGAGGCAATTCAAAGCTTCCCTTTAGACTCGTCCCAATCACCAGTCAGCCCAGAAGCGGCATCCTTTCTGGTGGACTTGATGGCAGCACGGCCACCAGACCGGCCAACTGGCAGGGATGAGCTAGATTATTCTTGGTTGGCGCCTGTATTGCAAGACTCGAAGACTGATGGTCTCAATCAGCTCACTCCCAACTCAGGGCACACCTAATGCTGCTTCGCCTTCGCATATTTGCTCCGGATCCCAAGATTCTATGATTCCCGGTATATAGTTGATTTGGGCAACAATGTTCCAAGAACAATTCCCAAATTACAAATGACGCAGCATATATCTATCCCGCCAGCTAGTCTGGGACTAGACGGTGATACTTACAAAGAATTCGTCAATACTCTGAACAACGCTAGACTAGAGACTTCAACTCCAAGCCCTACAGTTGCTCCAGCGTCAGTAACCCAGTCACTCGGCTTCAGACACCGGATCAACCGCACAATCTCATGATAGCGGCTCTCAAAGTTGTGAGTCTAAATCCAAAAATCAGCCTCAGCATCCCCGTTTTGAGCAAATCACCAAGCGACACCCGCCGAAGATCTGACGCAGCGGCAATCCAAATATCGAAAGTTTCTTATCCAATGCCAGAACCTAAGACTCCGGGCTCGAGAAGTTCTAGTATGCATCAAGCATAGTCCAGCCCGGTTCGCCAAGATCAGACAGGCTTCTCGTGAGAGCTCGCTCATACCTAGACGAAATGGTCGCTCTCGGGATGTGCCTCATACTTCGCCGGTTTCACCTGATACGAGGTAGACTACTTCCATCACGGCCTAGGGAGTGGCTTAGGCTGTGCTCACGTTTGTAGTTCGGATACTACGCGGAAATATAAACCCCGGTCAATCGAAATTTCTCATCGTCCTCAATTTGCAGAGGGGTTGCCCGTGTTCCCGATACAGCCTGATAAAAAGACCAAGAGAATGTTCTCTTACTGTTCATGCCATGCATAGCTGCCATATACTGAGATCTCTTATCTAGGTCGAGGATAAGATCAAATTTGTAGCATGAAGAAAGTAACTGAAGAGAACAGTTTTGATCTTGGAGTTACCAGAGATAAGAAAACGGGGTTATATACACATCGAATGCCTGAGACTGCCCGCAGCGAACGCCATGAAAACATACATACACAAGACCATGAATTTTATGATCAAACAGCATTCACAGCTTGACACTCTTGACCAGGTTCTTCTTAATACCTGTAAGCTCACCAGCATAACCACCGCGGCCTTCACCACCCTTGTACAACTGCTTGGTACTACCAAGCTTCTTCTTCTTGTCCTCGTACTTCTTTCTCTTCTTGACACGCGGGTTGCGCGAGTCCTTGCTGCGCTTAGCCATGAGACCCTTGTTCTTCGCGATCTGGTATGTGATGGCACGCTTGCCATCAGGTCCAACCTCCTCCTGCTCGTACACTTGTCCGCCAAGGCGAGCAGCCTCGGCCTGAGCATCGGCGCGTGCCTGTTTGTCACCCTTACGCTGCTTGGAGCGAGCAGCCACCATGTCGTAGTATTCGTCGTCGTCGGTGCCGGACTTGTTACCGTCCTTGCGGAGCTCCTTAGCGACACGGTGGTCTTCTTCGTCACTGTCACCGCCAAGCTCCTGGTTCGCGTCAAGTTGCTTGCGACCACGCTTCTCAGCCTCGGCGTTGAGACGAGCCTGTCGGTCACGGAGACGTTCGCGGTAGGGAAGATCGGCATCTCCGCCGGCGTCACGGCCTGCGGCGTTACGCTTGTTGGCCTTCTGTGCAATTTGGGAGGTGTAGAAGCGGAGGGAGCGCTTCTGCTTGGCTTTCTCCTCTGCTTCGCGGGCTGTGAGAGCATCCTCGTCACCGAAGTCTGAGTCGTCGTCCTTGGCGGCTGCCTTAGGTTTCTGGGACTTGCGCTTGCGGGTAGGCTCAGTGACCAGGTCGTCAAGATCTGCGAGACCGGCTTCGGTCTTGCGAATACGTTCGGCGCGCAATGCTTCGGCTTCGGCCTGCGCTGCCTGGGCCTTGCTGAGCTTCTTCGACTTCTTGGTCTCTTGAGTCTTGGGTTGCTTTTGGGCTTTGGTGGGCTTCGTCTCGATTTCTTGGATTGACTCCTCGTCGGATTCGATGTCGGATTCTTCGATGGCCTGGAGATCCTTCACTGTGTTCCAAAGCTTTCGGAACTTGACGAGCGAGCCCATGACGGGATGTTGTCGAAGTTCGGCGGGGGTCATCGGGACATGTTCGTTGATCGCGTCGGGAGATGGGGAGGAGAGAAGCATGAAGTACATGCTGATGGTGCCAAGGTAGGCAGACAACGCACGGAACTTCACAACCTCGACCGGAGATGGTTGCGGCTCTTCTGTGGATTCGTCTTCTGTGGGGGAGGCGTTCGAGGCGGCATCTTGGAGCCCCTTGTAGGTGGACTGGAGGTCGATGAAGTCCTTTGCCAGTGGCTCAAACTCGGGGTATCTCGACTTCAGAATCTTCATCTTTTCTTCGGTGTCCATGTCATCGGTGATCTCCACTTGCGGTAGCACTTCAGTGACCACGCCGGTATTCTCCTCGTCCTCTGCGCCCTTGCCTGGTTCCATCCATTCGGACTCGTCGAACCCGAAATCGGCTTCATTCATAGCCTCCAACTGCTTCTTTTGTAGTCGCTTGGCTTCCTGCTCTTCCTCCAAAGCATCGACCTCAGTCTCTATCTGGTCTGCATTATAGAGGTCCTTCTTCGATGATCCCCAGGCGGCAATGCCTTCTTCTTCCTCGTCAGATTCGGCGCCATCCTTCTTTTTGGGCTCACCCATGTCATCGTATTCATCCTCTTCTTCCTCTTCCTCGTCATCCTCGTCTGAGTCCGCCTCGTTATAGCCTAGAATTTCTTCGTCGGAGGCTTCAAACATCTCCTCTGTGCAATGGTCAGACACTCATTCCCTATGGTTCAGAAAGAGGATATCCACAAACCTTGCTCGGCAACTCTGCGCCGTCTCTTTGCCTCTGGGCCTTCTTCGAGTAGAACATGGTCCCGGCCAGTTTGGAACTCATCTTCAGAGTCGTCGAAGCGCTCTTCAATGTCGAACTTGGTAGGCTCGGGAGCAGATTTCTGCTGAGCCGGACGGCCGGCCTTTCTCTTCTTGCTACCCATTGTAAGAATGTAGCGATAGTAGCGACAATGATCTATCGCGATAACCTGCGGACCTGAGATAAAATTATTTTTGAGCCTTCACCGCCCGGCGCTAGGCTCAAGTGGGGGTGTTTGCTCTGTTTGTAATTTGTGAAATACAAATACCAGTAATATTACACCAGCTCACCATCAACTGTCAATACCAGCCCGAACTCTGGTATCTCCATTTCACGCACCTCGCAGCGCGCGCTTTCCTCTCTTCAACGCAGCTGCCCATTCGACATGGATATTCGCGCGTTCCCCTCTCAGATGCCTCGTCTATCCTTTCTAGCTCCCATTTATAATACGTCCACCTCAATCTTGGGGGTTTCCGCACTCATTTGCACCGTTATCGCTTATACCGTTGCTAAGATGTTTGGATTTGGGTCTTCAAAGAACGATTTCGTCGTTGAAGGCAAGGTATGTGCAACGAGTTTGTCCAATTGAATTATACTGACTGTGTTTTACAGACTGTTGTTATCACTGGTGGCTCCGATGGCATGGGCAGAGCTGTCGCACTTGAGCTGGCCGAGAAAGGCGCCAACGTTATCGTGGTTGCTCGCACAATCTCCAAGCTTTTGACTGCCGTCGACGAGATGAAGGTGAGAGGAGCATACCTGCTCGTCCGGTGATGATTACTCATCTATCTTTTAGGCTGCTGCCGGCAACAAGTTCACGCAGAAATTCCACCATATCAGTGCTGATCTCACTGATCCCGCCGAGTGCGAGCGAGTCATCGCAGAGGCAACAGCATGGAATTCTGGTGCTGCTCCAGACGTTGTTTGGTGCTGTGCAGGCTTCTCCCGCCCCGGATTCTTCGTGGATGTGCCCATTGAAGATCACCGCAAACAAATGGACACGATCTATTGGACGGCCGCCAACACAGCTCATGCCACGCTTCGCAATTGGCTGGCCCCCGTTCCTCCCAGCGGGCAAATGAAGACCCCCAGGAGACACCTTATCTTTACTTGCTCTACTCTGGCATTCGTGCCCATTGCTGGCTATTCGCCATACTCGCCTGCCAAGGCAGCCATTCGTTCACTATCTGATACTCTGAGTCAAGAAATTGAAATGTATAACGGCGCCTTTACTCAGCGACACCGCACCGATGCCCCCGCTGCGGATGTCAAAATCCACACCATCTTCCCCATGGGTATTCTCAGCCCAGGATTCGACAACGAACAAAAGACTAAGCCGGAGTTGACGAAGCAACTCGAAGAAGCCGACAAGCCCCAAACACCAAAAGATGTTGCGCGCATCTCAATCAGTGCTCTGGAGCGCGGCGAATACCTCATCACCACCATGTTCGTTGGAGCTATCATGAAGGGTACTGCTCTCGGACCCAGTCCACGAAACAGCATCCTAGGAGACACCCTTCTGGGCTGGCTCAGCAATGTGGTATTTCTGCAAGTCATTCCAGACCTTCGCAACAAGGCTTTCAATTGGGGAAAGAAGAATGGACTTCCCAAAAGCGCGCCGGCGTCATAAGGGTTGGGTCTTTTCTTACTTCCTCAAGAAACGGCACCTTCATTTATTATACCCCGAGCTCTGTCTTTCAGAGCATCCTTCTTCTGGCCTCATAAACACCTATGCATTTCCGGTTATGCGATATGATTCTTGGTCGCATAGCCTTAGCGTACAAAGAACTGACATCCTTATCATTCTTGCAAAGTGTGTGAGCGTTCTTGCATCTTTTCTTACCGATATAGATATTTGATGTTCTCACTGTAATTAGCTCCCGTTTCGCGTAGAATAGATAGTCTGTGTATATAGTGTATAGTCAGTATGTTGTACGCCACTCGGGATACTGGCGGAATGCGGTGACGTAGACAAGCAAGCTTCCTGCCACCTCAATTTCGCCTCGAGGTTTCTTTAACCACAAACTTCTTTCTCTGACCTCTTTGTCTGAGAGTATACCGTTCTCCCGAAACTGGATATGCCCTGCTATTAATAGGTTCCACCACTACGGCGATTGCTGGTGAGAAACAAAATTCGCCCTCTCCCCATATAGGCGATAGCGATTGCACGCGACACAGCTTCACTCTCAAGTCCTTCTACTTTGGGCAATTGTCCAGCAAACCCGCCAAAATGGAGGCTCTCTTTTCAATCCCGATGCTATCGTTATTCCTCGTTCCCGTCCTTTCATCCTACAGCACCAGCCTCAACATAATCTTCTTCTACATGACATGGACGACGCTCGTGCTGTCCCATCCCCCACTACGAGTGGAATTATTCGGCACAGCCGCCGTGCGCATATTATTCTATATGCTCCCATCCGTCATCTTCTTCCTCTTCGATGTCCTGACCCCGTCGGCAGCGGTGGTCCTCAAGGCGCAAGGCGAAACCGGACTACCTAGCGGAAGGAAGAACGGCAAGATCCGAGCCCGGGAATTCAAGGTTGCCGGATGGGCACTGTTGAACCTATGCTTGAGTATCGCTGCGCAGGCAGCAATCGAGTCGCTGCTTGTGAAGGGCTTGGGCATGCGCAGTGCGATCAAGGTGTCGCTGAAACTTCCTATGCCATATGAGATGTTCAAGGATATGATCCGTGGCATGCTAGGGCGAGAGGTTAGTACCCTTTCATGTTGACTCTGTTCACGATGCGATTTGGTTTGGTCCCGTCCGCTAACGTAGCGTTGTCTCAGATCCTTAGTTACGTCGTCCACCGCTATGTCCTCCACTCGAAGAATTCATACCTCGCCAAATATCACCAGTCTTGGTACCATTCGCTGAGGGCCCCCTTCCCTTTGACTGCGCACTATGATCACCCGCTCACCTACATGGTATCCACCTTCATCCCGACCTACCTGCCCGCCATGCTCTTCCGCTTCCATATGCTTACATATCTCTTGTACCTGTCCATTATCTCCATTGAAGAGACCTTTGTCTATTCTGGGTATACTATTATGCCAACCAATTTCTTTTTGGGTGGCATTGCTCGCCGCACGGATATGCATTTGCTGTTAGGTGCAGATGGTAATTTTGGACCGTGGGGCATTTTAGATTGGATTTTTGGAACTACTGTTGGGGATACTGATGTAGAGGATGATATTATGGGTGAACTTGAGGAGCATGAAGTTGAGGATAAGATGAGGAGAGCTGTTCAGTCTTCGAAGAGGAAGATCAAGGGTGGGAGAAAGAGATGATGCGATGATTAACGAGTATATGGACAATTATTGATTTTATTATGTTATTTCTGCTACTTTAGGATTGCTTTTGGATTGAATTTGGTGGTTTTATCGTCTTATAGGTTTTGGAGTTGTTCAGTAGAACAATATATATATATACATATTTATATTTATATTTATGGGGCAGTTCCCATAATGACCATGAACATAGATTATAAATATCTAGAAAATCAGTGTCTTTTCAAGTATTTATACTCCTAGTAATGTAGGTCTTATGCAACGTTAGAAAATTAAATCCACATTATTGAACAGGATCTGAGTAGTCAATTGAACCTGATGAGTGGTGGCGATCAAAACAGAGAACTGATATAAGCCAAAGATGATACGGGATTAACAGACATGGCCAGTGTATTTCTATTTCGATAAGTAATGTTACCAAAAAGATGACCACGAGTATTGCAGTAGTCACGAGTCACGACTGGATGGGACAGCCACAACCCTTTCAGGATTCGAATATCTCGGGAGTGAGCGGCTTGTCCCACAAGAACATTGCTTAAAAAGCCAACATAGCTAGACTACTTTAGCTTTTACCGAAGAAGATCGCTAAGGTGACGACAGAGGAGATTGGCATACGCCTAGATTTCAAGATCTATACATCAGTTCCACACAATAAAAGATATCCACAAGGTCTAACGACCAACCTTATATTTAGTGTTTACAGATTACAGCATACAAGCATACGAGTCGAATAAGTGCCCAATTTTAGATTGCCGCCTGAACCTGGAATGGAAATTGGAGACGTAGGTCATACTGAACATAAAAAGAGAATCCAGCCCGCCTGCTGGAACGAGGAGATTTTTTAATCTTTTTTTTTTTTTTTGAAGTCTTTCTTCACAATGCGGCTTCATGCAAATCGGCCACGCGCAAGAGGGAGCATGTTTCTTGGAGACATGAGAAGAACAACCGGATATCCGTATTAACCGCAGATCCTAAGAAAAAATGAAGCCCGTTTTTTGACGGATCCCGTAGGAGTACATGACATGGTTCATGAAACCGCCCCCCCCTGAAAGTCGTGCAAGGATGCCGATCTGCAATCGTGCCGCCCCTCGTTGGAAATGGTCCTCCCCAACTATCTACCGAACCCGCGGCTGCAACACATTTACCACTTCATCTCGTGGGGCTTGTCGCCGTTGCGGAGGGAGAAGGTGGTAGCGAGATAAGAGCCGAGGAAGTCCTCCTTCTTGATGGAGGCAAGGATGGACTGGTCGATGGCCTTCTGGTCGCTGGCGCGAGCGCTGGCAACAACCTTCTTCTGTAAGACGAAAATATATTAGCATTCCATTTTTCATCAGTGGTGGTTTCCCAGGTATACGTCGGTACGTACCTGGGGCTTCTCGCCCTGCTTGAAGAAGGCCTCCTCAGTCTTCTTCTCAGCCTTCTTGTCCTTGGTGAAGTATCCGAAAGCGGAGGTCTTCTCAAGGGCCTTGGCGTCAACACCGCTGATGTCGACCTTCTTGGAGGTGGCGATGACGTAGCGGGAGTTCACGCGGCGGAGGGGAACACCGTTGATCTTGAAGGGGCCGGTGACAAGGAGGACACCCTGGTCGAGGGACTTGAGGAGGATGACACGCTTGCCGCGGAAACGGCCAGCGAGGAGGATCAGGATGGTGCCGGGAACGAGGGTCTCGCGGACCTTGGCGGGACGCAGAGTCTTGCGAACCTGTAGATGGAAACAGTCAGTCTCTCAGGTTACATATAGAATTCAAATGATTGATGCCAATTGCCATGGCTAGATCTTCCCCGGATGATATGCGGTTCGCACAAGATTTGAAGATTGATTTGACGGTGGGTTTTCTGACCGCACGTCGCCCGTAATTCACGGTGCATCCTCGAAAAAAATCCATGCGATGGTCGCAATCATCCGGGAAACTCTTTGCCAGTCGTATATCCTCCTCTTTTTCCTTGGTGCGTTTGATCATAGGGTGTACTGACTTTCTTGGGCTGCGACTGATCGTCCACGGGGTACCACTTCTGGGCCTTGTCGGCGGGAATGACCCTCTGGCTCTTCCCGAACTGCTTCGTCTGGCCGTCCGACATGATGGCTGCTGGCGAAGGATGAATGGTTGTCGGGTTGGTTGTTGGAGATTGGAGGTGAGGACTTGGACTGCTAGCGGAGACGGCTCCAGTGCGGGAATTCGTTGAGGGTTGTGCGGACAAAGCCCTATCACGTGTTTAGCCGAAGAACCCTAGCGCCACTTCTGGAAGGGTGACTCAGCGATTGATACCTTGTACTTCAGGCTACAGACTACGGCTGACTGTGCACACCACGTGCGCAGAACCATGGCTGGTCACAAACAACTGACGTATCCCGCTCAAAGCTTCTGTCTGCTTCTGTATTGGCTATCTCTCACATCCCTCAACTTCTCTTTCCATCCACCTGGCGTGGCTCAATTCTGTCGATACCTTTGTTTCAATCGCTAGAATATCACCCAGTCACAAATTTTCGCCATGTCGATAGCTCCTATCATCACCTTCAAAGCAGGTATCTGCGATCTGGATGTACGTGAGCTTAGCTTTAGATGATCAACCCATCACATGGGACTATTCATGTGTATAATCGAATGTCACTGACTGTGTTATTATAGACCAACACCGGCGCTGTGAAGCCTAAGCCCACCCCAGGCTACCTCTACCTGTACTCCGAAGATGATCTTGTGCACTTTTGCTGGCGCCCACGCCGCGCCTCCCTTGATGACCCCGAGCTCGATCTTGTCATGATTCCTTCTGATGGCAGCTTCACACCCTTCAAGCCCTCCGGCAAGGATGCCACAAATGGCCGCATATTTGTATTGAAGTTCTCTTCCAGCTCCCAGCGATACTTGTTCTGGATGCAGTCCCAGTCTCAACATGAGAACGGTGACCTCAGCTGGTTCAGCCCCCGCGATCTGAAGCTTGGAGAGATTGTCGATGTCCTGTTGCAGGGCGAGGAAGTCGATGTGGAGCATGAGATCGCCAACCTGCCTCGCCGATCCTCAGGTGACGACGACGAGACCATGGAGGACATTGATGAACATGAGGCAAGCCACCACGGTGCCGGCAGCGGAGGAGCTGGACCCGATGCCACGGGTGGTGACGTCCGCGAAGAGGGACAGGAATCGCGGGAGGGCGGTGCCGATGGTGGACGAGCGTAGGTACATATCTCTCACAGCCTTGACCGGGGCCATTGAAGCTGACCATTGTTTTTGTCATTTCTAATAGTGCACCCACGGAATCCAACCCATCATCGGTAGTCCAGGACTTTTTGAAGTCCCTGGGCGGCCAGAGCCAGAGCCAGAGCCAGAGCCAATCCCGAGACCCTGAACGACCATCTACGACACTCCAAGACCTGCTTCCCCCTCGACTACACTGCAATTCGTCGATTCTGCTGATTCCACCACTGCCGATCATTTACTGAGCTTCCTTCCGCCCGCGCTGCTACTGCTGGCCCAGGGCAATGCCGAGGCTTCTGAAGCTGACACGGACCCCGAACTTGCTCAAGCTGCTCTCCTCTCCCTCGAACTCCCCCAGAAGAAAGACATTCTCCGCAAAGTGCTTCGTTCTCCTCAATTCATGCAAAGCTTGGCCAGTCTTACCGTGGCTCTCCGCGATGGTGGACTGCCCAGTATCAGCGAGGCCTTGCAGATCCCCGTTGCCAATGGAGGATTCATGCGGAGAGGTGGAGTACCCCTTGGTGGTGGCGATGCGGTAGACGCGTTCCTGGATGGCGTCCGGCAACATGTTAAAGATAAGGATTCTCAGATGGACACCGAGTGAATCATAATGCATCTGTTTATGTTTCACTGATTTAATTTGTAGAACTATTTTTGGAAGAACCCCACCAGGCAGCACTTTTTCGCAAGGCGTCGTCAGCTGAACAATTGTAGATGTAAAGAACACAAGTGGAAAAGGAACAAAAATTAAGTTCGAACGTACTGTACTTTGTAGCGGAGAGTCGTATAGTTGTAAGGCGGGCATTCCGGGGGGGGGGGGGGGGTGTAGAAGCGCATGCCGACGCCTGTTAGTGCAATCGCGATCCCGGCACTGGCCTAATTCTTCATCCCCCAGGGGTCTTGTCTTGTCTTGTCTTAGTCTACCTCACTCGTCGTTGTACTTTCATTACTGTCTTCTCTCTGCATATTATAGACTTCACCCTGGCCTCATCAACACGAACCCGTGTCGCGACCGTGTCTGACAACCCGCCCGGCCTGCGATGTCTGCGATTCGATAATATCTAATCTTGCCTGACGATGGCGCCAAGTAACCAGAGCCCTGGCAATGAAGAGAACGCTCCGCCAAATCAAATCCCCCTTCAAGACCTCTCGAAATCAGACGATGCCGCTTACGACCGTGGGCGTAGCCCGCGCGGCAGCCTCTTCTCGCGACCATCAATGATGGGAAGGGGATCGCGGAGGACATATGAAAGCGTCGCAGAGGAGTCTCCTATTGATTCGGCTGGACCGAGTAGGAATCCCTTCCGACCAACACAGGGTCATGCCGACATTGCTTCGCCGCTCGACGACCTGGGCGGATTCGCGCAAGCCATGTCCTCAGTTGGCCTGAACTTTGATGGACCGCAATCGAGGGCTTCACTGTCCGGTCCCTCCAAAAGTCGCGTTTTTGACGACTCTGCATCCGATCTCGATGTTGTGCCTCTAGACCCTTACGATCCCCACGACCCCCACGAATACCATATACCCGCGGACGACGATGATGATAGGGCTGGCCTGACAGATCCTAGATACCTCCAGCCGATCAGCGGGGCCGCGGGCACGGAGGAACGGCGGAGCAGCGACACTGGTGGTCACTCTCCCCAGTTCGGCGGTTCCCGGCTAGGTGATGATCTGCCTCACCTAGAGGATGGATTGGGGAGTCGTCGCGGTAGCAGTGCTCGTGACCGGTCGCGTTCGCTGTCTCCCTCTGCGTCCGGGGGAGCTCTGCAGCGCGCTAGCTCCATGGTGAAGTCCATGTCGCAGCGTGTGGTCAACTTGAGTAATGAGCCGGAAGTTGTACAGCAATCGATTGAGAGGGACGAACTAAATAAGAATGCACGAATGGACGGACCGCCGATTCTACCTGCGATGGTGGACTTTGAAGACGTTCCTCAACAGGAGACGACTCAAACCGCCGCAGAGAAGCGTTCCTCAAGCAGACTATGGAGGAATCGAAATAACCCGTTTAAAGGCAGGTCGCTTGGCCTTTTTGGACCAGACCATCCCCTTCGACTCTGGCTGTGTGATATCCTCGTCCATTCGTTTATGGAACCCGTCATTCTGATCGTCATCGTCATCCAGACTATCTTGTTGACGGTTGAAGACGCGCTTCCCAATTACCCCAATTCAGTGAAATGGGGAAGCAACAAACTTGATTACGTTTTCCTCGTCATTTTCATAATATATACCCTTGAGATAGGCGCCAAAATCCTGGTGTCTGGATTGATCTTCAATCCCGTCGAGTACAGCACATTGAATCGCACCCTCGGCGTCAGGAAAGCGATAGCGGAGAAGGGCAAGAATCTGATCACGCCGCACAGACAGGCTACCACCAAGAAAGCTTCTATGCTTCCGGCTGAACCGCAAGCCTCGATTTTGCGAACCTTCACAGGGATGAATGGATTAGATCCTGAAGTCTACGACGACCCTTTACATAAACGTCGCGTTAGGCTTGCCCACCGTGCATTCCTCCGACACTCTTTTAATCGGCTGGACTTTGTAGCCGTGGTTGCCTTTTGGGTTTCCTTTTTCCTTACATTATCTGGTGTTGAGAAAACACGCCAATTGTACATTTTCCGCATGCTGAGCTGCCTTCGTATCCTGCGTCTGCTAGCCATGACCAACGGCACTTCGGTAAGTCTTTTTCGTGCTAGACCTAGCAATATGAGGTACTAACTGGTGGACTTTAGGTTATTCTCCGAAGTCTCAAAAGAGCAGCTCCTCTGCTCGTGCATGTTGCATTCCTGATTGGTTTCTTCTGGCTTCTATTTGCCATCATTGGCATCCAGAGTTTCAAATCTAGTTTCCGGAGAACTTGCGTTTGGGTTGATCCCGAGGGCAAGAGCAATTTCACATTGAACAATGCATGGGATACATTGCAGTTCTGCGGTGGATATCTCAGCAACACGACCGGAGAAAAGATGCCGTGGCTTGACTCAACAGGAGTTGACTCAGGGTTCAGTCCCAAAGGATACCTTTGTCCGCAGGGCTCTATATGTCTGGAAGGCGACAATCCGTACAAGGGAACATTCGGCTTCGACAACATCCTGCACTCATTGGAAATGGTATTCGTCATCATGAGTTCCAATACCTTTACTGATCTACTTTACTACACCACCGACAGTGACTACCTCGCAGCAGCGCTATTCTTTGCTTGTGGTCTTGTCATTTTGAGTTTGTGGTTGGTGAATTTGCTAGTCGCTGTTATCACTCACTCGTTCCAGGTGATCCGGGAAGAGAGCAAGCGCAGTGCCTTTGCTGTTCAAAAAATTGATACCGTCGAGGAAGATGAGACGACAACTCGCAAAATCAGTCCTCTTAAGCGTATCTATGAGCAAACTGAGTGGGTCTGGGTTTTGCTCATCATTTTCGACCTCACTGTGCAAGCGCTTAGGAGCTCGACTATGTCCGCCAGCCGTGCCCAATTCATCGATACCACCGAGACAGTGGTCACGCTCGTCTTCCTCATTGAGATTGTTCTGCGTTTTGCCTCGGATTGGCGAGTCTTTCATCACAAGCGCCGTAACTTGACAGACCTCTTCCTTGTCATTGTTACTTGCATCATCCAGCTACCGCCTATCAGGAACTCCGGCCGCGCATATACAGTTCTCACTCTTTTCCAGATCCTACGGGTCTACCGGGTTGTACTGGCATTCTCCGTGACAAGGAAGTTGATCATGGTTGTCTTCCGTAACACCGTTGGTCTGCTTAACCTTATCTTCTTCCTCTTCTTGATGACTTTCCTTGCTGCAATATTCGCAACACAACTTTTCCGAAGCCAAATTCCATCCGAAGATGAAGGTGGTGGCACGATCTTGATCACATTTGGAAATATTTACAACTCCTTTTTGGGAATGTACCAAATCCTTTCAAGTGAGAATTGGACAGACATCCTTTATAATGCTACTGCATACACTACCGACTTCAATACAGCATGGATCTCCGCGGCGTTCATCATACTTTGGTTCATCGTTGCGAACTTCATCATTCTGAACATGTTCATTGCTGTCATTCAAGAGAGTTTCGATGTGTCAGAGGATGAGAAACGGTTGCACCAGGTCAGAGCATTCCTGGAACAGAAGCAAATTCATGGAGCACCTCAAGGAACTTTGGCCCTTTCGAAGATCTTCCGTTTCGGCAGAGATTCAGCCCGGTATAAGGATCCCCTCGACCACGGTCCTGCAGCGTTGGAAATGTTGCTCAAAGATGCTGTGGTGCAAGAGTTCTTGGACGAAGAGGAGGGCAAGCAGGATGAACGACCAAAAGGCACACGAAGAGACAGCACAATGCACGAAGGAGCTGCTCAGGATCCTGTTCAACCCGGCTGGATCTCACTCATGTGGACCAAGGCCTCCACACTCGTTATGCGTCGGGAACCGAACCCCTTCTACTCAAAGCTGAAATTCTCCCGTGCTTACGAGGAACTGGACCCTAGAACTATGGCAAGAGAAGTCGTTACAGCGGCCGAACAGAGAAAGCGGGACCAACGCGAGTTTCTAGTCAAGCATCCCAACTACAACAAATCGCTGTTCCTATTCTCCCCGGACCATTTTGTTCGGAGATTGTGTCAACGCATCGTTGGTCCAGGACGTGGTCACCAACGAGTGGAAGGCGTCGATCCTTACAAACCGGTGTGGTATGCCTTCTCCGCTTTCATTTACGCCGCAATTGTCGCAATGGTGCTTCTTGCTTGTATCACAACGCCACTGTACCAGCGAGAGTACTTCCGCACTGATCGCAATTGGTTCGTCTATACCGATCTAGGCTTTGCTATTGTGTTCTCGGTCGAAGCGACAATCAAGGTCGTTGCCGATGGCTTCTTCTGGACGCCGAACGCATTCTTCCGAAGCTCATGGGGTTTCATCGACGGAATTGTGTTGATCACGCTTTGGATCAGTGTCGGCGGGTCGCTCAGAGAGGACTGGAGTGTCTCTAGGGCTATTGGTGCCTTCAAGGCATTGAGGGCCCTGCGCCTGTTGAATGTCAGCGACAGCGCCAAAGACACTTTCCACTCTGTCATCATTGTTGGAGGATGGAAGGTCGTGGCTGCCGCGGCTGTCTCCATGAGTTTCTTGATTCCCTTCGCCATCTATGGAGTTAACCTCTTCAACGGGCAAATGATGAGCTGCAATGACGGTGATTTCGTTGGAAACCTGACCAATTGCGTTGGCGAATTCGCCAACTCGCCTTATAATTGGGACGTTCTCTCCCCACGCGCTGTGGAGAACGCATACTACGACTTCGACAATTTTGGCGACTCTCTCTTCATCCTGTTCCAGATTGTATCACAAGAAGGTTGGATCGACGTACAGGAAAGCGCCATGGGCATTACTGGAAAGATGATGCAACCGCAAGATATGATTGCACCAGAGAATGGGTTGTTCTTCGTTGTATTCAACTTGCTTGGAGCCGTTTTCGTCTTGACGCTGTTTGTGTCTGTGTTCATGCGTAACTATACCGAACAGACTGGTGTTGCGTTCTTGACTGCTGAACAGCGCTCCTGGTTGGAATTGCGCAAGCTTCTCCGACAGGTCTCACCCTCGAAGCGCTCGTTTGATGACCAGCGCAAGAAATTGCGGCTGTGGTGCTATCGGATTGCAGTCAAAAAGCATGGTCGATGGGCGACATTTGTAACCTTGATTCTTTGCGTCCACTTGCTTTTGCTGGTATTGGAGTATTACCCCGAACCTGCATGGTGGGAACTGGTTCGCAGCATTATATTCTTTGCGTTCATGTTTGTTTACGCCGGGAATGTGATCATTCGACTAATTGGCCTTGGATGGCACCGGTTCAGTCGAAGCTCATGGGATCTTTTCTCTCTCATAGCTGTTCCTGGCGCCTTCATCACTTCTATCTTGGATATTGCATACAATCATAGTCATGTGGTGGTTGAGCTTAACAAGCTCTTCCTCGTGTCCGTTGCTTTGCTGCTTATTCCGCGAAACAACCAGCTTGACCAGCTCTTCAAGACAGCTGCAGCCAGTCTATCTGTCATTGGTAATCTTCTGGCGACCTGGTTCGTTTTGTTCTTGGTTTATGGCATTGCGATGAACCAAGCGTTTGGTCTTACCAAGTTCGGCGACAACGAGGATCACAATATCAACTTCCGTGATGTGCCAAAGTCTCTGATCCTGCTGTTCCGAGCCAGTTGTGGAGAAGGTTGGAACGAACTCATGGAGGACTTTGCCACTATGACTCCACCATTTTGCACATACAACTCCAACTTCCTCGATGATGACTGTGGAAGTCCGGGATGGGCCCGATCCCTCTTCATCTCGTGGAACTTGATCAGTATGTATATCTTTGTCTCGCTCTTTGTCTCTCTTATCTTCGAGAGTTTCTCCTATGTCTACCAGCGGAGCAGCGGGCTGTACGCAATTAGTCGCGAGGAGATCCGCCGATTCAAGCAGGCGTGGGCCACGTACGATCCAGATGGAACCGGATTCATCTCCAAGGAGCAGTTTCCTCGCCTTCTGGGGGAATTATCTGGTGTCTTTGCTACCCGGATCTACGAGGGTGAGTTCTCGGTTGGGGCTATCCTTGAACGATGCCGAATCGAACCTCACAGAAACTCAATGGCTTCGCTTGCACAAAATTCGATGGTTTCGTTGCATGAGCCACGGCCGCCTCCTCGACCAACTTCTCGTGTTTCGTCTGGTGTGGATCTCGACGAGCTTTCTCGGATCATATCGCAAATCCCCGTGCAAACTATTCGAGCAAGGCGTGAGCGGTTGAATACTTTCTACGAAGAAGTCCTGGTGTCAGCAGACCCTGATCGCGGCATCTCCTTCCACCAGTGCCTGATGATTCTCGCTCATCACAATGTGATCAGTGACAGCAAGAGTTTACGTTTGGAAGAATTCTTGCGTCGCCGGGCACGCTTGCAGCGTGTGGAGGAGGCTGTCCGTCGAAACACCGTGGTCGGCTTCTTCGATACCCTATACTGGTCCCGCCAGTTCCGCCGTCAAGTTGAGCGCAAGAAGTCTGGCCGGATGAGCGTGATCCCGACATTCACCGTGCCCGAGATCTTTGTCGATGACCCAGTCGACGAGCACGACGAGAATGACGAGCCCGGTTCTGGAGCGATGACCCCACAAACCCAACCAGAATTCGATACCACTTTCGCCCCCATGCTCTCGCCGGTCTCTCTCCACCGACGAGCAGAGTCCAGTCCAGCTGCTCGCCACGAAACGCTACCTCGCATCGACACCAATCTGGGCGGGCGGGCGTCTGGGGCCAGCACGCCAACTAGGGAATGGTCAAGCATCAGTCCCTCCCGCACTCCGCAACACATGTATGGGGATCGATCCTCGTTCGACACTCATGCGTCGCTCGAGGCTTCTTCTGCCACGCGTTCACGTCAGAATAGCATTATGAATGTACAGGGAGTCATGAATTCGCTGGACAACTCCGCCTGGGGCGAAAGTCTCCGGCGAAGCTTCACGCAACGGCGACCCGGCGATCGATCGTCTGATTAGAATGTGAATGTTGGGTATGATGATCTATGGGAATGTTGATGTTTTCACGAAATGAGTAGAATGGAGCGGTATAGATGTATTGGAGGATGGTTTGAACATGCTTTTTGGCATCCCCTTTGTATGTACACTGGGGCTTTTCTTTTCTGAGGCGCTTTTTTTTTTCTTTTTCCGACCTGGTTTGCTGTATATTACTCTCCTTGGGGGATTTTTGCATAGCAACGGCGTGGGATCCCATGCTTTTAAGGCCATAGAACTACATTATTGACTATCATTATATCATTATAACTCACGGCAAATATAAAGTGGACTTGCATGGCTGAGTCAAGTGGGTCGGACTAGTGAATATTGGATATTGAAGCCGAAAGAGGAAATAAGTTGGATGAACATCATTTCGAAGGCAGTTGGTACATCATCTCTCTTTCCAAAGAGACAATCGCATTCATAGACTAATCCGAAGCAAATCCATATGGAAATCCCCAGGAAACCCCCGTCTGGTTCCCGTTTGCAGGGACAATCGCATTCATCCGCATGCGTCGACCGCGTTCAATCCGTGTCTCAACTCTCCCTGCAGCACAGTCCTTGCAGTCAATTTCGACTTGACATTCATAAATTCCAAGCGTTTCCCTACTTCAACTTGCCTCACTACTCAACCTCCTGAGAACCACCTCTCATTTATTATGACAACAGCCAAATAACCATATCGCCATATCATACCCGAAAAGCCTCACATTCCACGAAAACAACCCAACACCAGTCTACAAGATGCACCACCTACCATCGCCCTTCCTCTCACTGAGCACATCCTTCCGCCGCTCTCGCGACTCCAAATCAAGCGCGACCTCAAGCCCACCAAGCTCAACGACCACATCGCCACCCTCGTCGCCAACCTCCCTCCGACACTCGCCGCTACACAGCTCCCCCCACCACCTCTTCAACCTCTCCTTCCACCCCTCAAAAAGCCACACACACACCTTTCGCGATCAGCAGGATGAGAGATCACCAACCCACACTTCGCACCCACACCCCACCACCGACATCCTGCTCCACAATGCAGCCCACACCACCGTCAGCGTCCTGCCCTGCGCCGTCCTACGGGGTCGTTCGTCAGTGATGGTAGTCCGCCGCAGACCCTCCGCCATCGATATGGCGCTGAGCGAGGAGCGGTCGCGGTGTGACGGGGATTCCATTGAGAGGCAGGGGTTGGGGTTGATGGAGCCAAGGCCGGTGGATCTGCAGGGGCGGGTCGGGGAGGTGCAGCCCCGTTTCGTCATGGGTGGCATCTTTGAGGTTATGGAAGGTCGTGCTTGATCTTCTAGGGGGTTCTTTTGATTTCTTGATTTCTTTGAAGCTGTGATACTCATCCATGTTTGATTACTTACTTTTGACCTTTTTTTTTTTTAATATTTTCCCTTTATCTTATTTTGCGCGAGTGGATATGCATGGGTTTTGGAGTTGGCTCCGCTTGCGGACAAGAATGTGAGATAGGATCGTTGTATAGTGGTTTGTTACTGGAAATATATGACAAAAATTGTACTTTTGGATCTGATATCATACAAGGACTTAGGCCCTTGCTGCCAATTGCTGCCTAATCTTTATTGAATGGGTTTCCTGCCTAAATCTTGATCCCGTGGCTAATCGGATCCATATATGTATACCTTGCCTGGGTCGATAGGCAGGCAATAGTGAGACAACAATTTCATGTCAGAAGACGGGCCTGGAACAGCTTATAAATGATGTTTATATCTGAGAATGGCCACTGCTACCAAATAAAGACAGGACACCCACGTCGACAAGGCTATGATGAATGCTGGATAAGGCCTCGGCTTGGCCGACCATGACTAGCCTCGCAGTGTCAGGGCGGCAGATAGGAGATTTGCACAGCTGGAACATTAGAATGGAATTCCGGATTTATTGTCTTTTGGGATGTGCCACTAGGGATTGGCGGCGAGTTCGTTCTCATATGAGGGTAATCTAACACGAAACAAAAATCAAGGCGATCGTGGCCAGCGTCTATTGGCGGAATAAGTTAGCCTTCTATGCCTAAGCAATATAGAGACTTAAGCGCTCTAGATAATCACTTTTCCTAGTCCCATTTTATCTACAAGGACTCCTCCATGCATCGTCTTAGGTCCCCGAGAGAGATTCATGTAGACCACCTAGGCCTGGAACGGAAATAAGGATGAGCGTGGATAAACACCCGAGTACGAAGATTGAAGTGAATAAGCTCGATTGACTGAATCTTGAAGAATTTCCGGCATCGACGCCATTTTGCTTCAGCAAAGATTGTGCCGTCGATGTGATCAATTTCGTGCTAGGTTGATATATCGGTCAGTGTGATGTCGAAAAGAGGCTCTTTATGCAAAGGCATTGGATGCATCAAGGCAAACTCTCCACTCCGGTGGGTACCTATTTTGTTTCCTACAAATTGAGTAGTTAGCAACTCTGTCTGCATATAAATAGACTCGGGTAGACGAACCATGGTACCACCCCGGGACTCCCGGTGCCACCTAGGGTCCACGGCTATATCACCCCAGCTTAGGTGGTTAATCGGCTTGCGCTTCTGATCGATTTCGGTAAGTATATATAAGGATTGGGCTGTTTGATGGTATATAGTTCATTGAGTATAGACCTCAAAAACCGCCGTATCATGGTAGTATCGAAGCATGGCCTTTCTCCAACCGATCAATAACCAGTGCAGCGAGACCCTTCATAGAATTTAATTTGAGAGGAAGTTTTTGGGATACCCGGTGGCTGATTTTATCATGCTCTGTTTCTTGATATGCTCGGTGATTTGCTATGCCGGTTGGCTTTACTCTGCTAATTGGATTCTTTGATAGGGTGTTGTATTTGTCTTTGACCGGTTGACTGACGAAATAGCCGGACATCACCTTGTGTCGTTGCTGTCAGAGCCGCCGGCGGGCTATCTAGAGCGCATGTATATGTGCTTTTATACCACGGCCCCGAAGATATCTCGGGGTTGTCTTAACACATCGGTTGACAGGGGACAAATGGTAGCAGGTACTGCCTTCGTTGATACGTATCTTATATTTATCCGTCGAAATTCATCCGCTTCGATTACTGAAGCGAGAGGGAAGAACCCACAGCCTAGCTGTTTAATAGAATAATATGGGATCTGATATTGACAATTTTAATCGTACATATTCACCGAAGGTAATGACTCAAAACAAAGCGCCGGGCGGGACAATCCAAGGCACAAGAAAAACAAAACGCCTTAGATGGCCCCCAAATGCCTTGCCAGACAAGTAATGCTATTCGTACAGTATGCTGATCATCAAGGTCATGTAATGCTGTGTATGTATCGTGAAAATGTGAACCGACTCGCTGAATGCTGAACGCCGTGAATGCAATAAAGCAAAGTCGCGAGACATTATGTCGTTTTGGGGCACAATCCCCTTAAGACTTGGTGTTCTGGCCTTTGCGTTGGTTGGGCCAGAGTTGGCCGCGGCAGTTGGGTTCGCCGCAGAGGCATCGGACTGCTTCCGGGTCTAATTTCTTTCGGCTCTTTGAATCGTAGTCGCTCTCGTCGCTGTCGTCGCTGTCCTCATTGGTCGGGTTGTAATCGAAAGTCAATTCGGTGCCAGCGGGGATGTCACGAAGGGCGAAGAAGGCAAGGGTGTAAACTTTGGTATCGGCATGAGAAGTGGTCTGTACGGGAACAATCTTGCAATTCGGGTTGCATGAGTGGTTGATGAAGCGGGTGACTGATCCGAATTTGCGTCCATCGATGACACACATTTGCTCCTCGCTATCGTCGTCGTCGACATACCAATCCAACGAGAAGAGGTATGACTGGTTGTGGGATCCTTCGGTAAGACTCTCGCGGTCATCGGCCTCATTCTTAGTAATGACTTCGCCAAGGTAACGATCGATGAACTGTCCGGTAACAATCGGGTCAGGTGAACGGAGGCCTGAACCAATCATTGTTAGTACAAATGGAAGTATCAAAACAGATCGAAATAGATCTTACCAAAGCCGCGTTGTCCGGCATCAAAAATCTGTAGCCGAACAGTTCTTCCTTTCTGGACAACGTGATTCCAGCAATCACCATTGCAGCTACAGAGAGAGTTGCATTCCATAATCATAGCTTTACGTACAAGGAACTTCTGGGATGCCACAATGAGACCGGGTCTGTCATTAGAATTCCCATAAGGGACAATTCGGTCTTCGCTGTCCTTTTCTTGGTCTAGGCAGTCGCACGAGGAAATGGAACAATTGCCCTCATCGCAGGAGCAGCCATAGTTGTATTCCTGTTGCACCCGAAAGACACCGGGGCGGTCGATGTAGTCATTGGTAAATTCGAAATTATCTGCCAATTTGGCAAGAAGTTTAGTGCTTTGCACAGCAGTGCTGACCGGGGGCCCATTAATTTGGCTGAGCTTCTTGTCAAGATTGGCACGGATATCAACAATGTGCTGCTTCGAAGAAACGGGTGAAAGGTTAAGGGGCTTGTTTGTTTTGGAAGTGAAGGACAATGGGGTCGAACGGCGGTCGATGGGTGCCCGCGACTTCGGGTATGCTGCCCGAGCGACTCTTCGTTCTTCGGCGTCTGTAGGAAAAATCTGCTCGTTTGTGCCTTTGATTGCATTTCGCTGCGCAACAACGTTCAAACGCTTTTGGTATGAAGTTGGTGAAGGAATCACCACACTGAATTGCGACTGTGACTGGAGTGTAGGCGGAGGGGTTGAGGTTGCGAGATGAGCATGGGATACGGGAGTTGCTCGACGTGCAAATTTATGTGGAGCATCACTGTCAGAACCATCAGACTGATCAGAGCTTGCTACACTCTTTCTCTTTGTTGTCCGGAATGATTTCGCGTCCACTCCGCCCAGTAGCATCTGGTGAGTGAAACCGGGACCAAAACGTGCTTTAGTGATAGCATCGTGAGGATCCTTGGACCGGTTGGTAGCATTTGTGCCAGGCTAGGAGCTGGAGTTAGCAAACAATCAAAATCAAGGTGAGATCCAAAGTCAAAGTAAACAGATACTTCAATGTTCCATGTAGTATGTAGTCTCCACGTGGAGGGTGTTCGTGTTGATATCAAAAGCATAAAACTCTTGGCGGGGAAACGGGATATGTGGGGCAGTGACAAAGGAAAGGGGCTTGGGGCACAAAAAAAAAGCACTCACTGCAATGTTTTCTGTTTCCATTTCGCTGTCGCCAGTCAGATCAATGACTGCCTGTTGATTGGCTGGTTGGCCAAGGGGTACGCGACCCGACATCCCGATCTCTCGAGACCGAGGACAGACCCTACGACAGGCCAAAAAAAAGACAGCAACGCGTCGCAAGAATCTGAAAAAGGCTTGACAGGGAAATCCGTCGGGACAACCAAGGTAGCAGAACAGTTTGAAGAGCAAGGTGAGAAACCGAGACTTCGAAGCGTAGGGGGTCCTAGGCCTAGACCGTGGACAAAAACGATAGCGGTGAAAATCACGCCCGGAGACGCGTAAAACATAGAAAAGTAGAAACTGCAGGACCTTCCGGTCAAAATCAAGCAGCTTCGAAAGAAATAGCACGTTGTGGTGGTAAGGGAGAGAGGAAAGAAGATTGAGGGGGTTGCGGGTCACGGGTGAAGAGGTGAAGGTCGACGATGGTCGAAGGATTTGATATTGCCGCTTGCGGGAGACCCACCTGACTCAGTATTCCTTAATCCTATCCGAGCTACTTGAAACCTCCTGGTACGCTTAATTTTTGATTCCATTTAATTACTTTTTCATAGCTAGCTAACAGTCTGATTGACCAAGCAAAATGTCCAAAGACTTCGGACTTCCCTCAAATCTCGAAGTCATGGTGGCAGAAGCACCAAGAGGCCTTTCAGATTGTCAATTGCTGATTGGGCCACAAAATGTGTCAATGTTTCGCTCCTTGCCCTCGAAAAGATGTAACATTGCCCCGGCCTCCATGTTGATTGTGTTCAATTCCCAGTCACAACAGGCCATCAACGCGCCAAAAAAGACAACGAGAAAACAATCTTATACGAGGTCTTGGGGAAGGATCACGTGAGCGAGCTAAGCCAATCGACCGCGATGAACTCATTACTCAGCATATTAAATCGGCTCTTTTCATCTTGTTTTGAAGCCAAAATGCATAGTTTGTCATTTTACCCTATTAGTTGTTTTTACATTGCAAATAACCGCGAGAACAGCGATTTGAGCGCCAAAAGAAGTCATTGGTAATATCACGTGGTCTTATAAAACTGATTACTTACTTCCATGATGTCATATTATATAAGAATGAAGCGTCTTTTGTTATATAGAAGCTCTGGTCCCCCCGACCAAAAGTAGGGTTTTAACCCTAACATATTTAAACAGTCTACTGTCTACTGCGCCTGGACGAAAATCGCGTAGGGACGTAGGGAAAATTTCTCATCCCTTTTACTTGATAGAAACTTAGAGAGAACAAAAGAATATGTAATAATAGTTAGTTTTCCATTTTGAAACTCGGTCACTTCCAACCCAGATACATCAACAATTTCTTGATGAGTTAGTGTGTTGTCAGGCCGACGGAGCACGGTCAACTGGTCGGTGCGAATTCTTGCAGAGTCCCACAGGCGGTATTCATAGACCAGAATCTGGCGATAACCCATGGCATGGCCCCTAGGCGTGCCTGCAGCCCGCAGCAATGTTTCTTTGCCGGCCCCCTAGCGGGTAGGCGTCCCACGCCCGAAAAGGGGGGCGGGCTTTGGTTTCCGTGGTTTAATAACTTTCGTGTCATTCTTTAAGGCTTACGTTCGCTTTGGGCTTTGGACTTCGGCTGGAGTGGTCTACGGACGATAAAAATTACATTTGGCTAATTTCACAGCCTAGGACAATTTGCTCCTGATTGATTGAGGAAAAATATTATTTAATAATACATCGCAATAGCGAGTTCCTGGCTGGTGTTTACATTTCCTTGGGACCCCGAGGCCAAATTTTGTCCAACCTATAGCCTGTTTACAGTCTTTCGTATCACCTCGCCTACAATCCCAGAGGACAAAAAAACCTCCTGCTTATGCCTAAGTGCTACGCGTGCCTATGAATAATAAGAGAAAATTTTGAAGGCATAGAATGTATGCAACCATTTGTACCTGTAGCGACGACATAAACTTCATGATCAATGTTCAAAAAAAGGCGCAACACCATCCCCGAAGCCTGCTAACAATCAACAATCAACAGATGACATGGATGAACAAAAAAAAAAGCGCTAGCATTCACAACTTCTTTTTGACTCAAGTCTAATATCCACCATGTAGACCGAAGAGTAAATCTAGGTCACCACGTATCGAAATAGGAGAGCAGCAAGTGCATAACACAAAACATAACACAAAAACTCAAACAGGGCTAATGAAGATAAATGACCTCTCCATCGTGGAGAAAGGGAGGGAAAAGCTGGACATGCAATGATAACGGGACAAAGCTGATGAATGCTCGTGCGGATGCGTCGTGGATGGATGTAACTTTAATAAATCAACAAGGGGGCGCTAGAAAGCAGACACAGTCTTGTCAAGCGATGCGATCTTAACCTAGTTCTATACCAGATAGAACCGACTACAGTCGCAATGCATCGAGAATCTTCTTCGCCATCTCGCGGTACTGCCACATGCCACCAGAAACCTTCTTGAATTGGATACCATGCAAAGAGAAGAGAGGAACTTTTACGATCAGAATTTCGAATCGGAGAACGAGGTTCTCTCCGGTGTCGCTCTGCACACGGGTGGTGGTTTCGCCAACGACTCGTTCGCCGGCGTGCTGGTTGTCCCGTGCAACATATTCATCCGACGCGTCCGAGTTCGTGGTGAAGCTGCGATCCGGGGCTGCTTGAGCGCGGCGAAGTTTAGAGGACCCTGTACGAGTAGCGTCGTTTTGGCTCTCGTCATGACCAAGCAGTCCGCCGAAGCTGATGCGCCGGCGGTGTCCAGAAACTGGACCCTGCCTGTCTGGGCTAGGCGGGGCTACATCGACCACCTTGTCGAGGTCAATGCTGGGGGCGTGCCGGCAGCTGAAGCCGCCCTTGATCTCGACATATTCAACGGCCAGCTGTTTCAAGACACGAATAATATCGGACCGAATGAGGGGCAAAGGCTTGCTGCTAGTGGTCGAAACACTGAAAAGACCCTTGAGATACACGGGTTTGGACAGATCTTCGCCTTCGTTGGCGCTTTCCAGTGCGGTACCTGCGCCAGAGATGTCTGCATCAGTCTCCTCGGGGACATTGGCCTCACGGGTAGCTTCCCGTCGAGCCCGACGCGCCTGGATGCTTTCTCGTCGGGCGTGGCCAAGTGACATGGTGCGGGCCGTGTGTGTGCGGCCACCGGTCCTCCCGCCAGCAACAACGTCCTTCTGGCCATTCGGAGCAACCTGATCAGAACCACTGGTTGAGGGTGGCTGGCGATCAGCGGCAACGTCGATTGCATCGACATCGCTCCTCCGTGCAGCCCTTCGAGCTCGATAGTCAGCCGAATTAACACTGGTGGATCTTTCCAGGAACTTGTTGGATCTGGCGGTACGATCCGCCGAGCCGGGAGCCGTCAGAAGATCTTGCTGCGGTTGGCTGCTATTCGAAGAAACAGCACCCGGGGAAGGCTCAGCCCGCCGGGTTCTGCGGACGCTGAAGCCACGATTGATTGGAGACGCCGAGTCGGCCGGCGGTTGGACGTTGAAAGTGGGAGTATTGGGTGTGCTTGTACGTTCGCGTTCAACATCACGGCTGCGGTCTTTGGTTCTGCGAGTACTGAAGCGTCTCAAGAGACCAGCAGCGGTGCTTTCCTTCTTTGCCGGTGTGTCGTGTTGCGATATTTGGACGGCGTGTGCTGATGGAGAGGAGGCATGAAGACTCTTCATTCCCTCTGACACCTCGTCCTCGCCATGGGTGCGAGCCCGAGGGCGGGATCGTCTTCCTGTATCCTTGTCTCCGGGCAACTGGTACTGGTTTGTGTGGGCGGCCTCCGGGGCCTGTAAGTCAGGCACTTGGACCTCACCAGGAGTCTGACGAAGGCCAAGGGCTCCAGGCCGGGCCTCAGTGCGCTCCCGGTCAAGCTTCTCCTTGACTAGATGGTAGGTGGAGATAAGGGGGCTGTAAGCGTTCAACGGGTCATTTCCCAGCTGCACCGCCTCAGCCGAAGGCGCGGAGAGGGTATCGCGACTGGCTGCAGAATTTCGTCGTTTGTAGAAATCGAATACTCCACGCTTGCGCTCTGCCTGATTGAGGGCGGGTTGTTGTTCACGGAAATTGAGTCTAATAGCGTGCTGATAGTCCTCCGACTCCAAGACCTTGGTTAACTGAGATGTAATATATTCGGGAGGGCCGAAATCGAAGCCAGTCATCTTCTCAATAACTTCTTGGTCCAGGGGCAACTGCAAAGGCTCACGATGCGGAAGGTAGTTTTCCGGAGGGGAGCTAAAACCCTTGTTCATCCAGGGATGGGTCATGATTTCAGCCAAGCTGGCACGTTGCTTCGGGTCGGTGACCAGCATGCGGGAGATAATGTGACGGCATTCTGCGAAGGATTATTAGTGACGAGAACAAGCGAAAGACGGAGCATCCAGTTATACTAACCTGTAGAGAGGCCTGGGGGATATTCCACGACACCCTTCTTGATTTTGGCATGCAGCTGGGGCATGCTTTGATCGTCGAAAGGCACCTTTCCGCAAACCAAGACATAAAGCACGATACCAAAACTCCACACATCAACCTCTGGGCCGGTGTATTGTCTAGCCTGGAGCAACTCCGGGGCAGCGAAATACAGACTGCCACAGAACGTCTTCAATAGACTGCGCGGGGAGAAGAGGTTGCTGAGACCGAAATCAATAATCTTAATATCACCAGTCTTGCTGATCAGGATGTTCTCGATCTTCAGATCGCGATGCACAATGCTGTTGCGGTGGCAATAATCCAATGCGCTGGCGATCTGGCGGGCGAACTTGCGCGCCTGCTTCTCCTTCAACTTGCCGTGGGAAATAATGTAATCAAGCATCTGGCCACCATTGACATATTCAAAGAGCATATACCAGTGATATGATGTTCGAACCACATCGCGCATCCCGCAGATGTATGGGTGGTTTACCAGGCTGACAATCGCGGCCTCTCGAGCAGTTCGAATTTCCTTAGAGCGATCGGCTCTTTCTGTTTCGCGGCTAGTGCGATGTTCCTCGGTCGAGAGTCGTGGGACGATCTTGACGGCAACCTGCGACCGATGTCAGTATTGCGTTGATGATCCAAATCTGCTAAAGTGAATGCACGTACCTGTTCTCCTGTTTCGGTGTTTTTCGCTAATTTGACCTTTCCCATACTTCCTGCACCGATCGTCTTACCGAGAGCCCATTGCCCCGTCGGCGTTGTGATCGTGGTCCGACGCCGAGGCGCTGCGGCAGCTGCGGGGGCATTTGTTCCGGTCGCAGCCTGCGCCAACTCTTGAGTAGCAGCAGCCGGCGACATATCAAAACTCTCTCTTTGACGTTGCGACGACGGTTGTCTCTGGTGCCTTCGGGTAGTCTCGGTGCGAGCAGTGGAGGGGCGTTCCTGAGACTGGTCTGAGGACGCTTCCCGACGAGAGGGCATCCGCGCGACATTGGAAGCCTCAAAATCGCGACGCGCTACACTATCTAGTGCAGCATGATTCGAGGGAGGACGTCGGTCATGGGAGGCAGTTTTCGAGTGCGTGTACTGGGTTTGCGGAGGGGGCTGGGATGCGTTGGATGGACGGACCGCCACACTCCGTGTCCGATGGGGAAGATCCGACGGCGCTCGCGATGGGCGAGACGAGGTTGAATGGCTTCGAACCACTGTCGGTGCTTTAAAAGTCGGAGCAGACATCGTGATCAAAGTGAGTGGTTGGAGCGGTCAAAGGAATGAGCGGGGGAGTAAAGAGAAGCCGCAGCCAGGCCTCGGGGCCTAAGCACAAGAATGGCTTCAATTTGAGAGACCGAAGTTGGAATGCAAATGCGATGATGAGAGAGAAAGAAGGAGAAGAGACGAGGATGGAGATGAGGGGGGGGAAAGAAGAGGGTTGGATTGCGGAGATGGCCCTTCGGTAACTAAGCTCTCGAGTTGATACCCAAATTATGTTTGAGGCTGGGTTTCATGGGAAAATTCGCCCCCTTTTTTTATGCGATGCTAGGTATACTTTTTTGTTTACATTTCAGGGACTAACCAGGCTACTACTTAGGTACATTTGGCCATGCGATCCAGAGTCCACGTAACCACCAGGCAACATATGGGGGAGCCCCAGACCGGTAGTCACCCGCACGTGACGTGAACTATAAATATCCGAGATCTATACACTTCAGTGTACTTGTTATTTTGGCATCTAGAGTACTTTGTAGAGGGAATTAGCCCTAGAGGCGTATTTGAACGTCTTATTGAAGGCACCGCCCAAGCACTACAGCCACTATGCCTTCTTTAAGGCGGCTGAAAAGGCGGGCGAAGTTATTTGTCACCAATGAGATGACCACTCAGAGAGGTCGATCTGTATTCAATCTTCAAGCTATTTGATCCGATTACCACTCTGCTGGTCCGAAAGTCTCCCCGGAAGCAACAGTCTTCCGGATCGCCGTGTACAAACTATCCTGTTTTTTATTAGGACCCACTTCGACAACGGTCTAGAAGTTTGTTTACTCACTGTGGTCTCAAAGGGAGCAATATTACCCCACCACTGGGGAACCGTGACATTCGGCAGGGTGATTGCAAAGAAAATGATAATGGTCGATATAATCAGACCAGAGTCAAGGGCTGCAGCAGTGACATAGTTGTAAGTATGCCACCAGCCACCCCACCGACGTCGAATCCAGTAGTTGAAGATGAGGCCGAACATGACCCATGAGAAGAAGCTCAATGGTGTTGCTCTGTAAGAATATTAGCAAAGGGTCCATATAACAAGAGCTTTGGAGGTTCATAGTCTTACGGAGGTAGCCAAGCCATAGCACCTAGCATCCTGTAAATATCATTAGCACGTTTCTTCAAAGGAAGATTTTTTGACTTACACAGGGGCATTGAGGAATCTGAGCTTGGACCGAGGGAAAGCACGGATAAGTAGGTAAAAGGCAACGGGAAGAAGAGCTCCGAGGAGCCAGAACCACTGCATCTGTGAGTAGATTGCGCCGGGGCCAAACATACGATTGGGGCCAATGACTCCTATAAAATCAGTCAGTGTGCTACTTTGAAATAAAACCAGAGATACTCACCCCAAACGATACTAGAAGAGAAGAACGTCCTTCCGTTTGGGCATGTGAAATGGGCTTTTTGGTCACTAGTGCTCATGGTTAACCAGTGCCATCTCACGTTGAAGGCCGGAAAGCGTACGGGGTGCAAACTCCTTCTATGTTGCCAAGAGTCCAATTCATGACCGCAATTTGCACAATGCTTGCCCAAATAGTAGCAACAACTTGGCACATAAACGTAACACGAGGTGGGATCTTCATGTAGTGGGCCATCTATCGAATGTGGTTAAAGATGATCTCTTATGTCGGAATGGGATGGCGTACCTTAAGATCTCCGCAATAAGTTTGTCTTTATGAAAATGTTAGCGCAAACCACAGTAAATAGTGTCCGATCTTACGCTTGCCCCAGGGTGATGGTACTGAAGACCTTGAAGATCATAACTCCAATGGGTTTTCCCGGAATCATGAATCCAGCTAAAAAGGGAGACAATACATTAAGAGCTATATAAGTCAGCCTCACGTATCTTAGGTAGGATAGGATTAAACCGCACACAGCATAATTGTTGTAATAGCGAGAATCATGCAGGTCGGAATCTATGTGTAGTTAGCAACAGCCTTCTAGTGGACACGGCTCAACATGCAATGAACACAACGGCAAGTATGATTGAGACGAAGAAAGCCCACCCTGTATCATTTGTTAGCCTAACTATTTAGCAGTAGTGAACGGATATATACTTACACGGGAGCTGCGTGTCATATGCCAGAACCCCCGCAAGCCCTAACGCGATAGATGATAGGAACAATGCCGCGTACCACCAATCGGGAGCCTCTCGATATTGCTTCATCAATGTCAGATGGATATCGGCTTCCTGATCGCGGGAAGCTTTGAATTGATGCCAAAGCTCCTTTCGATGGAAGAGAATGACATGGACGATCGCTGCGGTGAGAGCAGCAAACGAAAGTCCATAGTTCAAAGCAAATGTTGGAGCCAGGAACATTGGCGAGTACGCTTTGTATTTCTCTTCATTGAAAGAGAAACCAGACCCAAGAATTTTAGTCACATTGTAAGAATTCTGTGTATTGTCATAAGTTGAGGAAGTGTTGATTGGGAGGTAGGCGGAGTATCTACAAGGGTTAGTACTGGATTATTTCCCGTCAGATTATAACTTACAAGGCCCCAGAGTAAGATATTCCAATCGTTGTTATAATCACGAAGACTACAAGTCCGATGAGAGTATTGACATGGGAGTGAACTGGCGCCAGCAAGGGATCCTGAAGATAGGCCGACACGTAACTGGTCTTGTTAGCTTTCCACCGTCGCATTAAATTGACACCAACCGCAGAGACTCACGTCCAATCAAAGGTGATAGGTATCAAGGAGAGCCCGGTAATTCCTCCAAACAGCTGATTCAAAACCACATTGTTGGGTCGGATCCCTGGAAGCAACAGGTCTCAGCACGGTCGGTATCTAAATATTGTGTGGGCCCTTACAGGTAACAAAAGCAAACACAGATAGGCCTTGCCAGAGAACTCCAGGTACCCTATTGTTCTGTCAGAATTTTAACAGAGCTATTCAGGCCGAGACGACAGAGCCCTACCAATACCAGGCAAATGCGGCAGCCGTCACATAGATGAAGTGTCGGTAGCGTGAGATGCTCCATCCATTTGTCTCAGAGGGATCAGAGCCACGGTGGTCATGAAGTGCATAGAGCAACGAGGTATTCGCAAATTGATTGGGCCACATCATTGCAGCAGGCCTTGGATCGTGAGTGGTAAATTGCAATGGGTAATAATTAAGATCGAGACTTACCAGACCAGAAACCGACGAAACACGCCTGCCAGTGACATACCGACTAGCTGACTGCTCAGGGTAAAGAGAAGCTGGAACCCCCATGTGATTTTGAGATTGTAAAGTGCTGGCTAGACGTCAGTACGTGGAGATACATAGTAAGCAGGCGTACACTTGCGCTTTGCCTGTAGTGCTAAGAGAGCATCGGTAGAATAAGCGTAAGAAATTGACACACTGTATCCTGGTTAATGCTGAATCTAAATAAACGGGATTTTTCCTTCTTACTTTGACATGATCTAAAAAGATAAGGTCAGCTCTTTAACTACGAGAGAAACAGAGCCTAAAGACTTACTGTGATGACTGCATGTTCCTTGATAGTGAAGGGTCCGGTGTTCAGCGTCCATCGCAGCCCGAATGTATTGAAAACTTTTGTCGGCATCATCCTGGCCCAGAAACAACCGATCGGATATACAATCAACTGCACTACAATTACCGGAAACGATATGGCAGGGCTCCTATTGCCAGTTCAGAAAATGCTGAATTCCTCTAGGGTTGATACATTGTCGGATCTTACCTCATGCTCAGAAACATGTTGAGGCCACTTCCAACAGTCACGAAAATCATTCCTAGGACCCATGCGCGCACCGTGTTTGCAACCTCTCCCCCATCAGTGTTGCGCACTGCTGCACGAACCGAGTCATACTGAGAGTCCTGTGCGGAGTTCTTCTCGATCTCGACGGCTTTTTCTTTGTCGTTTGTCTCGAGTACAATGTGAGTTGTATCCAGCTTCTCCTGGGGTAGATTTGGATCCCATTGATGGGTATGCTCAATCTTGTGTAAATGTTGGATAGGACCCTCGTTGGAGATTTCGGACTCCGGGACTTCTACCCTCTCAACAATAGACGTCTCGGAAGACATCTTGGCAAGAATCAAGTGAGTTCTGCTTGCGTCTGAATGATCATTCGCAAATCTTGAAGGCAGAATGGTACAAGAAGAGGAATACTAAAGTCGAAAGAGGAGAGAAGTTGTGAGAAATTCAAGAAACCAGAAGTAATAACCTCGTAGATGAGAATTGACTTTTGTCACAGATAAGCTTAACGCAGACCTAGGAAGAAATTCACCTCTACTTTCACTATAATTCAATCCCTACAATCCCTACATTCTTCCCCGATGATAACAAAGTCCCCCATTTGGTATAAACGCGGAGTAGGGCCATGCAGCATCCCAAGCGAGACTAGTGCGGCCGATATGAACACCAGTCGGCTTGACCAGCGACAAAACGTACATCATCGGATGGTCGCACCGATGAGATATCTTTGAACGTCTTTATCAGTCGCAACCCCCGCTTCGACCGAACTCCGCGTTTTTACCTATCTGGCTCTTGTCGTCTTAACCCAAGCGAACACCGGATAACCTGTTCGCTCCCAAACAGAACAGAAAGATAGCCAGATATTCTCAAAATGGTATCTGTGACTTCACCCAGGGGCATAGCCATCCAGCAGGCTCAAAGTAGTACCATACGCGACAGAATTGAGCGCATAACTGAGGATCTCAAGGATATCAAGGATTTCTATCCCATCAGTATCTCGCCCAGGAGGACACGGGAGTTGAGCCGATATCTCACGTCTGAGCTCGAATCTTTGCGCAATCTTCCATTTGACCACTATGACCAAGATGGGAAGGTTGATTGCCTTCTTGTGAAGAATTACTTGGAAAGGCAGATCCGACAGCTCGATCTCGATCTCAAGCAAGACAAAAAGGCCGCACCACTATTGCCCTTTTCTGCCACTTTGATTGATTTATGCGAGGCTCGTGCTTTGGTCCTATCATTAGATCCAAAAGAGGCCGCTCAGAAGCTCTTTCAATCACAGGTTCAAATGGCGGCTTTACTTGAAAAGATCAAGAAAAGCTCGAGTAGGTTCCAGATTGAGAAGACGACTGCCTTCAGAGCAGTTAGAACGACTGATGCGCTTCGAAGACACCTGAAAGAATGGTTCAATTTCTACAAAGGATACGACCCCATGTTTGATTGGTGGGTGAAAAGTCCTTACGTGACTGTGGACAAGAGCTTGGAAGATATCTCACTTAGTATTCAAGAGGAACTGGTTGGCATTAAGCCAGAAAATGACAATGCCATAGTGGGCGATCCTATTGGGCGTGAGGGATTGGTCAGTGAACTGATGGCTGAGGTGATTGCCTACACACCAGAAGAGATCATCTCGATCGGACAAAAAGAATTCAAATGGTGTGTGGATGAGCTAAAAAAGGCATCGCACGCCATGGGATATGGTGGCAACTGGAAAGAAGCTCTAGAAGAAGTCAAGCATGACTTCGTGGAACCAGGAAAACAGACAGATCTAGTCCGAGATCTCACGCGCGAAGCAATCTCCTTTGTCGACGAGCACAAGCTCGTCACCGTACCGCCAATCGCAAAAGAGACGTGGCAGATGTTCATGATGTCGCCCGAGCGCCAAAAGGTGAATCCCTTCTTTCTCGGTGGGGAATGTATCATCGTGTCGTACCCAACCGATGAAATGGACCATGAAGATAAACTGATGAGCATGCGCGGGAATAATATTCATTTCTCGCGTGCCACAGTCTTCCATGAGATGATCCCCGGTCATCACTTGCAAATGCACATGATCGCGAGACACAAACCGTACCGGCGTCTATTTGACACCCCTTTCTGGATTGAAGGGTGGGCCTTGTACTGGGAATTCGTTCTGTGGGATGATGATCGATTCAAGACGAGCTGTCGAACTGAGGGGTGGTATTTTACCACTAAGAACAGGGATATTCATCAAGTACCCATTCTGTCTCTGTCTCTGTATGGTAAACGGGGTACGCTCGGCATACCAGCGTCGTAACACGCTAGGAACGACTCCTGAGATCTGTTAACGCTTCAACAGCAAGATCCAGATAGAACAACATCAATGCATCTCAATGGGACACCTCAATACTAGCACATACCAGTATCTGTCAATCCGACAGTTATGAGCCCGGTTGCCCGTTGCAATATCCATTAAGATATATCAGACCTCTCTGCTCTGTATCTTAGCGACGTGTATAATATTCCGCAGTGCCGGATACCCCTGAATAGCTCGGATACCTCTGAATCGCCCGGTTACCCCTGAACGGCACATGCGAGCGTTGCCAACGACCGATTGCGAACAGGACAATAGAGTACAATAAGGGAAAGCAGTATAAGAATGTCAGAAGGCCTCTACTCAGAAGAACTGAGGGCAGTGCCTCAGGACCAGCGACTACGGTCGGAAAGTCAATGGAGAGTCTGGATCGGCCACATACGCTCAGCAGCTATCTCTGAAGATGTGTGGGACTATCTGAATCCAGATCTTGCAGAAGAGAGCGTACGACAGGTTCCCGAGGCCGCCCGAGAGCCTCAACCTAGCAGTATTCGCGAAGATGTGGAGGATGAGTTTGAACTCACAGAGAAGGAATTTACCCAGTGGACTCGACGCATTCAAGCCTATGATAGGCGTGAGGCTCAACGGGTGCGCCTGCTGAAGGTGATGGCACGCATGAACAGCCTAATCACACGTTCTCTCGCAACCGAGTATCACTATCTCACAGTCGATGAGGTTTCGCCGTATCAGAAGCTTGTCAGGCTAGCTCGTGAATTCAAGCCAAAGCCAGAGACCCGGACCGAAGAGCTTCGAGCTGCGTGGAGGGCCATGATCAAACAACCAACGAATAACGTCAATACAGATCACTGGCTCACTCAGTGGACGAGTCTATATGAGGAAGCAAAGTGTGCAGATGTGCCTGATGTGGTATACAGTGTCAAATACGCTATTCGAGACTTCCTGCGCGCTATTCAGCCTATAGATGACGTATTCTGTACCACGTGGCAGGAGAAAATCCTCATACACGATATATCCTTCCACGACGTTATCTCCGCATACCGAACACGCCGTAAGGCTCTTGGACAGTCAGCGAAGAAGGGATCGTCGAAGGTTGCACTTGCCACGCTAGATGGTCAGCATGAGGCTAAACCTGGTCAAAATAAGTCAAAGCCAGCGGAGAAAACGTACCGTACACGGTGCCTGTGTGGTAATGGTGCCCATACGTATCAGCAGTGCTATTATCTCAACAAATCGCAGAGGCCAGAAGGCTGGAACCCGAACGAAGCTATAGAGAAGAAGATCCCTGAATTCATCAAGAGGATGAGCCCCCAGGACCAGGAAGCCATCGCAAAGCTTACCAAGGTCGAATCAGCTCAGTTTGCAGCCTCAGAAGATCAGCAGTCGTCCGAACAGATTATCTCTATGTTTTCGCATAATCTTGCGGTACAAGCGGCGCAAGAGGGTGATGAGTTTCCGCTAAAGGATAGCTGGATCGTCGATACTGGCGCGAATACTCACATCAGCAACGATCGTGACAGATTCATCTCATTCACTCCTGCTGACTACACTGTCATCACCGGAGACGCTTCTACAAGAATCCAGGGCTTTGGAACGGTCAGACTGAACCTCACAGACCCCAAGACCGGAAAGATCTCTATCGGAGAGGTCTCGGACGTACGGTATTCGCCAGGATTCCACACGAACCTACTTTCGGCGTCGAGACTGAAGAGCAAGGGATTCATCATGAATATCGAGTTACTGGCACTCGTTCGCCGCGGTCAGCCTATTGCAAAGCTAGAGGAGAAATGTGGGCTATACGTACTCGAATACCGGCCAATTCCGGCTGGATTCGCTACAATCAAGCATTCAGAAAAACCATTAATATCCTCAGCCACCGCCGAGCGTTGGCATCAACGCCTAGGTCATGATCAACGTATCGAGAAACTTGCAGAACTCGTTGATGGAATCAAGATCATTGGTCAGCATGTCGATGATGCTGCCGGCAATCCTGAGAGATGTGAAGTCTGTCAAATGACTAGCGCAAAGCGCCAAATCTCGAGAAGAGCTCATGGAACCAAGTACGGCAGATATGGTCGAATTCACTTTGACCTTGTGCAGATAGAGACAGCATACAACGATGATAAGTGGATGACACACTTCTACCTCGAAGGGATACGCCTACATGCCGCCTCAACACACCAGAAGAAGAGTGGTTGTCAGGATGCAGTCAAGAATTTTGTCGCGTTTGCAATAACACAATTGAAGTTGCCAATTCGAGTCTTCCGCTATGACAACGAGCGCGCTGCCGGCCGCACGGTAGAAGACTTCCTCCGTGAATGTGGCTTCATCGTGGAACACAGTGTGGTGGGCACACCAGAGATGAACAGCTTCGGTGAACGATCTGGGGGGGTGATAATTGCGAGGGCACGAGCCTTACTGTTGGAAGCAGGCTTGCCGAAGGCTCTCTGGCCAGAAGCTGTTAAAGCAGCTGTATACATCATCAACAGATCGCCCACTAAGCTTCCAAACGGTCAGTGGATTATTCCGTACGCTGAGGCAACAGGAATCGATCACATGCAGCCAAAACAACGCATCAACCTCTCAAATCTGCGGTTATACGGATGCCGCGCTTACGTGCGCCGCCAAGATATTCCAAAGAGCCACAAGATGGAGCCGCGCGCGGATATCGGATATCTAGTAGGCTACACAGCCTCGAACATCTGGCGAGTGTGGTTTCCGCACAGAGGAGCCGTGCGAGAAGTCAGGGACGTAGTATTCGACGAGAATCTACGATATGACCCCAAAGAACTAGTAAAGCCACCCATTAGCGACGTAATCGAAGCTATGCCATGGGAAATCGGTGAAGATGAGCATGAGGACATCGAGCAGCTCACACAGCGTGTCAGCCAGCCAGAAACAAACGAGCCAGCTAGTGAAAGCACTCAGCAGTCACCAGAAGCTATACCGGACGTTCAACGCCAAGAAAATGCCTTTGAACCACCGAAATCACCAGGCCAACCTCAGCAGACGGTCACGCCGTCTCTAACACCCTCGGCAGAGCCACAGCTTCTGCCGGCGCCTCAGGCGCAGCAACCATCTCAAGGAGCATTTCCCGGGGATCGAGGGCCCGCACAACATGCGACAGCACGTCCAAGAGCACCAAGAGATATTGTGGGAGATGTATCGGACCAAAACATCGTCTCTGGAGCACGGAAGAGGAAACCAGTGGACCAGGCATTTACCGCCGCGCTAGAAGAGCCAGAGGACTATCATGAAGGTGTGTTAGCAGCGTTCGCAACAGGACTAAACGCTCCTCACCTTCATAACCTCGTGCACCGCGATGATCTGCCTTCAGAGCCTCAGAACTGGAAGGAAATGATCAATCATCAATATCACAAGGGATTTCTTGCTGCTGCAGGCCTTGAAATTGACACACTCACTCGTAAAAACACCTTCGAGGTAGTACAGCGTCCAACGGACCGCAGTATTCAGATCCTACCTCTCAAATGGGTCTTCACCTACAAGTTTGATAGCAATGGGTTCCTGAGCAAGCTGAAAGCGAGACTATGCGTGCGAGGAGATCTCCAGCGGATGACGGCAGAAGAAAAGTACTCAGCGACTCTCGCAGCGCGAACCGCGCGTGCTGTATTCGCCCTAGTTGCTGCATTCGATCTGGACACATATCAATATGATGCTGTCAACGCATTCCTCAATAGCCTACTAGATGAGGTTGTATACGTCTCATTACCACCAGGGTTTGAGAAAGATGGTAAGGCCAAGTGCTGGAAGCTTCTTAGAGCTCTATACGGCCTACGAAAATCTCCACGCCTATGGCAACGAGAAGCGTCTAAGATCTTCACATCTCTAGGCTTGCAGGTAGTGCAGGAAGATATTTGCCTCTTCGCAGCGGACGGCATCATGGTGTTCTTCTATGTTGACGATATCATCATTGTAAATCATTCTTCAAAGCATGCAGCAGCCAAACATCTGAGAGAAGAGCTCAACAGACACTGGGAGCTTCGAGATATGGGAGAGGCGCAGTGGTTCCTCGGGATACGCATTATCCGTGACAGACAACAGATGGCCCTATGGCTCTGTCAGGATTCATATATATCCTCGATGGCTCACCGTTACCATCTTACTGGATCTCGCAGATATGATACACCACTCCCTAGTACCCCACTCAAGCCATTTGACGGCCAGGCGACGCCTCAACAGATTCACGAGTACCAGGAGAAGGTTGGCTCAGCTCAATATGCAACGACGATCACTAGACCGGACTCAGCGAAAGCGACGGCTACACTGGCTCAATTCCTCACAAATCCCGGTCCTCAGCACCTTGATGCAATCAATAGAGTCATCTCGTACCTTGACAGCACTCGGACATCGGCGATCGCGTACAGAGCGCGTGATCGATCACAGAAAAATTGTCAGATACCGGAGGCCGTTCAGTTCTTTAGTGACGCCTCATTCGCTGATAATCCCGATCGAAAAAGCTCTGAAGGATACACATGTATGATGTTTGGAGGACCTGTCGATTGGAAAGCTAGCAAGCAGCGTACGGTGACTACCAGTACAACCGAAGCTGAGCTCCTTGCGGTTTCAGAAGCTGCCAGGACCGTGGCCATGTGGAAACGGCTATTCAAAGCAATACGCTTCGATCCTGAGCATGAGCTAAACATCAAATGCGACAATCAGCAGACTATCGGGATCCTCGAAAAAGAAACACCTCAACTGCGCACGAAGCTCCGTCATGTTGACATACACCAGCACTGGCTCCGGCAGGAGGTTCAGAGCAAGCGCATCACCGTACACTGGGTGAAAACCGCCGATATGGTAGCTGATGGTCTCACAAAGCTACTACCCTGCCAAAAGCATCTCGAATTCATGCAATCGATGGGTATGGAAGATATACGGCAACATCTGGTGGTGGGCGAGGTCTAACGCACACATCTGCAAGAGCAGAAAGGGCACTCGCTGAGGGGGTGTGTCGAACTGAGGGGTGGTATTTTACCACTAAGAACAGGGATATTCATCAAGTACCCATTCTGTCTCTGTCTCTGTATGGTAAACGGGGTACGCTCGGCATACCAGCGTCGTAACACGCTAGGAACGACTCCTGAGATCTGTTAACGCTTCAACAGCAAGATCCAGATAGAACAACATCAATGCATCTCAATGGGACACCTCAATACTAGCACATACCAGTATCTGTCAATCCGACACGAGCCCTCAGAATCGTATTGGCATGTTATTTTGGCGGCTTCACCGGTGCGCCCGGATCATCTTTTCTATGAAATTTCATCTTGGTCAGATGAGTCCGCAAGAGTGTATTAATTTACTTGTTGACGAAGTGGGACACGAACGCGCTACCGCAGAAGGAGAAGTTAGAAGGTCACTGAACGGTGATTATTCGCCGTTGTATCAGGCCGGGTACATGCTGGGTGCCTTGCAGATCTATGCTCTCCGGCAGGAAGTTGTGGAAACGGGTCACATGGGTGAGAAGGACTTCCACGACCGTTTCTTGAAGGGAAACTGTATGCCAATCGAGTGGGTGCGTGTCTTGATGCAAGAGCAGCAATTATCACGCGAGCAGAAACCATCCTGGAGATTTTATCCGCTGTGACTTCACTCAAACCTGGCAAATAGATCTAGGTCGACTTGAAGACATGTCCAAATCTCTGATGTTCCAACCGTTGCAACCTAGAACAGATACGCCATATTCTAGAATATGGAACCATCACTGTACCTGAACCTTGCTTGATCTATTCTTCCAGCTTCGATCTCGTTTTGACAGCCATGCAAGCTCAGACCAAATGTCTCATATCTCATGCAACATCCCCTAACGCTCAATCCGAACTCTATATTCCACTTGCCCCACTTGGGCATTTTTTGACGACAGTCTAGTAGATAGTACCCTAATGGTGCATGTCTAGCCGACGCGCTTGAAAAGCCCAGGCCATCAGATCTAGATATGATCCCGGAGAAGATCGTGAAGGTGCTTTGACTTTCATGAATAGCAAACTGAAATGGTATACAATTAGAAGATATAAAAGCAGTGGATGGACTACTCTCCAATATGTCTCACTACAGTTATAATGAATTTCAATCTCGTTGAAGTGACAATTACACGCCTTCAATCTGGTGGGGGTGGACCTCGGCACATAAAGGGGCCGACGTCATAGCCCCACACCCTGCTGTGGCGCCGGATGTTGTGACTTGCATAGATCTGGACTGGCCTCTGCATTCCTCGAAAGCAGGATTCATGCTCATAGTCACCAGGGCTTAAATCTTGCTAGTGACACAGCCACATCGCCCTAGTCATTAATGGCTGTTTTCATGCCTTCTGGTTGGGGGGTTCAGGGGCCGGCAGCGATTCTTTCTATTCTTGTTTTCCAGATGCGCATGGTTAAGTAGAATGATGTATTATTTTTTATTGATTTAAATCAGAGTTGAGATTGAGATAGAGATGACCATAGAGTTCGAATCTCATTGTGGTAATGAGGTAGGTGGTACTGTAGTATTGAGCGTACGGCACATTCGTTTGCCGCATTATTCTACGGTGTTCCGTGGCGGCAATGAGTGCATAGCTTTTCCATGGAAATTAATGAGTCTATTCGCAACAGACTGGGAACCTCGGTGGGCAGGTTTGTATCTTCACAGACGTCATACAAGTGCGGCCGGATTTGTGGGTCTGGGGAGACCTCCAGTTGCAATCTAGGGCCCTCGCAGACTAGGCCTAGACAATAAAAGCGACTGAGGCATACATGCGCCTACAATTTAGTTATACAGTAGTTTTGAAGGCCGATCTAATAGAGAACAATAGAATGTTCGATGCGAACCCTGCTACAAGGATCGCAGCCGCGAATCAAAATGGATGTGCAAGGGGAACTCACATGCAGATGACTTTCTAGTGATGTCAGGAAGCTTGAAACCTGCGGCTTTTGGAGATGCCACTTTCGTATAGTTCCAAGGTTTGTTGGGGCTAAACTTGGTAGCGGAAACTTGGATGATCCGTCCAACGATGACGTAATGACATCATTGTTCTTTGCTCAGCTTCAATATAAATACGCCTTGTCTGTCATCTCCCACTTCTCTTCTTCATCAACTCACTCTCAATCAATCTACAAACACTCAAAACTTTCCAAACTACTTCAAACTACTTCACCATGGAGACCGTCAAGGTTCGTGGCTCTCTGGCCTTCTTAAGGGTCTTGATATACTAACATTTATATAGAACGCCGCCAACTACGTCGCCGAGACCGTCCAGGGTACTGGCGCTGAGGCTTCCAAGGAGGCCAACAAGAACGTCGCCAAGAACGACGACGCCAAGGTCTCTACCCGTGCCAGCGCCGCCAAGGATGCCGTTGTCGACAAGAAGGACGAGTTCTCCCACAACACCAAGGCTGATGTCCACAAGGGTAAGCCGAATGCTCCCCGTCATCTCCATGACATCTTCCTCAATACTAATAATAATCCCAGAGGCCGCTAAGAACTAAATGTACCGCGATCAATACCCGTGATACCTATCAACCTGTTGTTTAACGTGGCGAGCCACTCTTGCTACCTTGAATTGCTCTTGACGATTTTATGTAAATAGCGAAATAATACCACTGAAAGGTCGTTTCGACACTGAAACCACGTTCCTAAGTTGTAATTTTCTAGTGAATCCACAATTGCGTCTGCTGCAAAAGGTTTGATCAGCTTGCATGGTTTGAAAGTATTATTGTAGGCACACAATTCCAACATGGTGCTTGAATATACATTTGTCGTCCACGCAAACATGTGATGTATCATTTTGGCTCTCTCGTATGTCCTGTTTCGCTTTTTTTGGTCCGATATCCTGTAGTAGAGTGAAAAGTATTGATTGTTCATTGACAACTGGTCTATACAACCAAGTGACCCGGTTTCGTGACCATCAAACGTCTACAGTTGTCGGATTATATTATCATTTCAACAAGACCTTTTCAATTAAATAATTTGTACATGTAGTAATCATATGTGCCTACATGGAATATCGGTATATATACAAATGTAGAGACAGGAAACAATTTCGCTAATTTTCAAAATGGGTGAAAAAAAAGACGCCGACTTTCTAAGAACATGATCATCAGCGTGAACATAATCGCAACAAACTTCAACGTGTGAGGGTAAACACGTCGATCACCTCTGACCCTCCCATATGGGATGGGTTATGGGTAGTATGCCCTTGATGATTGGCACGAGACTGTCCAGCCGCACGGGTTTTGTCAGAAACAAATCCATACCGGATCCCGTGGCATCGCGCTGCACGTCAGCTTGCGCAAGGCCGGTCAGGGCGACGATCGTGACACGATCATTAGTCGCTAATGTCTTTTCAAATTCGCGTATTCGCCTTGTGGCTACCAGGCCGTCCATGACTGGCATGGATATATCTATTGTGGATGTTAGATTCCAAAGGCGTAATATAAACCCCGATTTGTGACTCACCCATGATGATAATGCTGATATTGGAGGCATTAGCCTTGAAAAATTCCAAGGCTTCTTCCCCATTTTGTGCAAGCGCGTAATCACATTTTAACTTTTTCATGAACGCAATTAAGAGTCGTAGGTTGATGTCATTGTCATCCACAAGGAGAACAGTCATAGGTGCTACCTGTTGAGGCTCGACTGCTAGATCTAGTTCCTTTGCGACAAGTGGGTCGTCCCCTGAAGCAATCGGAGATTTATAAGGGCTATCCACCACATCATCTGACGAATTTTGCGATCCAAGGAAATTTTTCAGAAACTGGCCTTCTGGAATATCGATCTTAGGATCTTCGCTGAAACCGCTAGTTGGCGTGTTGAGAAGCAAACTTCCTTCATCATCAGTAGCCGAAGAGTCGACTGCCCTTGATGGTTTTCTTCGTGTGCCGCTCAACAGATCTAGTCGTTCTTGTTGGCGCTTGATGCAGATTTCCAATGTGTTTGCCAATTTGCGTGGCCCACATGGCTGGCTGATAAACTCAAGGACCTCTGTATCCCCGCGTCTCTGGGCGTTTGCAGACATTGAATGCGCAACCCTTGGCGATGAGCAGATGATAATGACAGGTGAAGTAAATCGGGTGTTTGGACTAGGGGCAATGGGCTTGATTTCCAAATTGCCAAGATCTAGGAATTCATGGGGTGAAATGTAAAAGTCGCAGTGGTCGAAATGCGTCTGTGACGGAACAACCAAGGACACATTCATGCCGAACCAATCTTGACACAATTTTTGCAAGGATAAACAAAGTGCAGTGTCTAGGTCAGAGGTCCCTAGGCCTAGCACACCAATGGTTTTATCGTGAACAAGAGCTTTCGTCATTGGCACAGGGACGCGAGTATCCAGGCCCTCTGTAGTATCGAGCTCGGAGACGTGATCGAGAGTCACGGTAGTGATGACTTCAGTGCCAATATCCTTCTGAGAATTAACCTGAATGACACCCCCAAGCGATTTGACAATCCGGTGCGTGATGCTGAACCCAAGACCATTACCGGTTGTCATGCTGTCTTCTTGAGAGAAAGCAGTGAACAGCCCGTTTTTGAGATAATCTGGGTCAATGCCACATCCGGTGTCTTTAATAATCACTGTGACCTCTGACCGTGAGGGGTCGCCACTCATTCCGTATTCAACTGGGGTTGCCTTCAAAGAGACATGTATGTACCCATACTGAGTGAACTTGAGGGCATTCCCAAAGACATTCGTGAGGATCACATGCCATGCGCCAGGTCGGGTTGAAAACTTCCAACTCTTTGCACTATCGATGTCGAGGATGACCTTTACTCCTCGTTGAGACACAAATGATTTTTTTGGTGACGCGAACCCAGCAATACCCCGGAGCGGAGAACGTGAGTTGTCAAAAAAAGAAAAGCCCGCAAATACTGTCTCTAGAACATCTTCCACGGCAGAATCGAGTTCAACATAGGAGTCGACATCGACCTTCCCATAGTTTGGACTCTGCTCGGCTGTAGAATGCCCTGTGAATGATCTACGGTGGGTTCCACCAGGTGTTTTGCCGAGGGAATTTGGCCGAACATCATTAATGCTGGCATACTCAAGCAGTTGGTTGATTGAACCCAAGAGTGTGAACGCACAGGCCCCAATAGTATGAACGAAGCCACGCTGGAGCGCATCAATCACAGTATCGTTGAGGAGCTCTGCAGTACCAAAAATTCCGTGAAGAGGCGATCGAAGCTCATGACTGAGCCCTGCAAGCAGATCTGACTTTGCCCGTTCGGAAAAATGGGCACCGAGTCGATGTACTTCAGCCATGACACTATTTCCAAATGCCAGAAGGAACGCCAATTCATCATTGGATGTGAACACACGATGGGGTGATCGTGTCCAGGTCAGACTGCCTGAATACCACCTGCCTTTGTGTGAATCCCACAACGGCGAGAAAACGATGCTTCGAGAATCGGGGGCGAGTTGAAGAAGTGCTTCGGCATCCTGACGCACTAGAGCCTTCCGTGTTTTTTTATACTTCTTGCCCCCAGTACGCCGGAAAAAGGGTTTGAAAACACCATCGCTGGTTTCATCAGACGAGATTGCGCCGTTTTCGCCAAAGTTGAAAATCTTTCCTCGCGGATAACGGTGCAGAAGCCCACCGAGGAAAGACTCGGATAATGCGATTTCGTTATTTTTGATCCATTGTTCGCTGACGCTGGACGCATTCGAAGTTGAAAATCCAAGTATCTGGCAAGGATTTGACGTGCTTTTCCCGGCATGGTCATCTTGTTCTCTTCCTAGCAAAACCTGCTGTCCAAGCGAGTCTCGCTCTTTGGGTTCATCATCACTGGAAGAATACGAGGAGCTTTCAACACCACTGCTCTCGGTGTCAGATTTAGCGTTGCTGACCAAAGACTCCTGAGAACGAAACTTGGCATCGAAAAAGACAACCGCTTCAACTTCGATACTCTCGCGAATGAGATTGGCCGCACGCGAAAAGGTTTCCTTCACCTTAGCTGTGTAATCATCTCTCGGGGATTGTCGTTCATCACCCTGTGTAATGGCTGCCTGAGATGTCCGGTCGAGCTTGGATTGCGCCTTAGCATCTCGTTTGCTGGTATCTGCAGTGACCACTGGTGTCTGCTTTTGCTCAACAGTCTGAGATGTCTGACTCCGGGGAATGTGAAGATTATATGGGTGGAAAGGTACGTGACTAGACGGACCATTTCGCGCCATGGCTAAATGGACATGATGGGAAACTTGCTTATCTTGTTGTTCTTGGTTGACATGTCCCTCTGATGTGCTATTTTTGTCACTGTGGTGACCTTCAATTTCGATGAGCCACGAGTTGCGCAAACTGCCCTTTCCCTCCAGAAAGCTTCCAAGGCCCACCACCATACGCTCACTGCGGACATGTTGGCTTCTTGCCCGGCTTGTTTCCAAGTAATTCATGACAGTGGCCCCTACATCAGCCAGAAACTTCAGCAAACTAGCTTCCAACGGATCGTGTGGTTTATCATCAAGAACTGTATAAGCACCTATCACGATACCCTTTGGGCTAATGATAGGGCTAGAGGCTAAGAACCTGACATTCGGAAAGGATGTGACATCCGGGTGGTCCTTGAACTCATCATCCTGCGTGAGGTCTGGCACAACGAAGACGCGGTCACTAGGAGCTTGCGCATTTGCAACGGGTTTCAAGACAGATCTACAGAAACTGCGATCATATGAAACCGTGCAGCTCCCGAGCCATAACTCATCTCGGCAATTGTGGTCGGTGTCATCTTGAAGGCTTAGGGTTCGGGTGGCTTCGGTAAGAATGTGCTGCTCGTTTCGACTGAATAGCGAAATCAGGGTGCGTTGGGCATCCAGTCGTAAAGTACCCAGTTGGGCAAATGCCGTCAGAACGGGATCCACCGACGATCGGGCAACGAATTCCTTTGACGGAGTAATGGGCCCGATGTGGTGAAGGGCGTGCGCTTTCAAATGGTACGGCGGTAAGTACCTGTGGAAGCAGGTCGTATGATTAGCCTACGGCGTTTGGCAGAGGTTGATTGCGCAGTCGGGTAGGATCTAGATGCAACCATAACTGGTAGAATTACTTATAGAATTCACGCTCGTCCGAAGTGCCAAAGTTGGTTTGGTACTGAGCATCGCGGAACGAGGTTGGGCGTGACATTGCGCCAAAGTCGAAGCAATCATGCGCATGCAGCAGTGTCGTTCTATAAACCGATGCGCTTTCTTTCCATGGAGCCTTCCTCGGCAAGGAAGCAGGACAGAATCATTGAGAGGGCAGAGTTTCAAAAATGCAAGGAATCAGAGCGGGGTGTGGAGAGAGAAAGCTCAAAGGGCTTAGATAAGTGGTGGCTTGAAGCCCACACAAGTGATCATGAGAATGCTTGATCATTGGTCCGATCTAGACATCTCACTGGAAGATTCTTTGCTCTGTTTGTTTTATCCCTGTGGCATTCCGTGCGAATAGGAGATACAGAAAATATAGTACTTCGATCTCCGATCACCGATCTTTGCTCTCTGATGACACCATGAAGCCAGCTCTATACGTATAACTCATTGGCTTCGTATACTTTGCTCTGCAATCTTTCAAAGTGGCAAATCATGCTGATCCTTACCTAATCAACCCTTTTCTGCCTTTTTGCTTTTCCTGCTTGAGGAAGGCGGTCGCCTCCACTGATCACGTCCTTGCGTTGTAGAACATCGGATGCATCTATATATGTTGTGTCCTGGGATATTGCAGGCATCTCAGCCTTTTCTTCGTGCAATTCTGTCATCCCAGGCATTTGAAATTTGTCGGAAGCGGATTTATAAATGCAAAATACTTCAGAAACCTGGTCATATGCGATGCATGAGATGTGAACGACTGAATCTATCATGCACATTTGTGTTACCATCCAAGACAAGAGGTCCTAAGCGGCAGTATGGTAGCTCTAAGGGTCTCAGTTGTGGAGGCTATTTTCTGACATCTATCAAGTCCCTCAGTCGAGCTGCAACCTCAGAGACAACATGTTCCCACAGTTGCATACCGAACTAACAGTATTTGTGACCGTGGCTTCTTCAAGTCTATCATGCAAGACTATCTCAAATATCTCTATCCTATGGTCCCGGTGGTATACCGACCCTCATTCCGAAAGGCCCTACTAGAGGACCAAGACTTGGAGGACGATTCTTTGCACTCAAGATTTCCATTGCAGCGCTGGTCGTTGCAACAATGCCTAGCAGGCTTACGCCTACCAGACTGGGACCTTGTCTTCGAGTTTTACTTCCCGCAAAGAGTTTGTTCATTTTTACTACACCAAATGCGTGGGAATGAGAACATCTTCCTACTTCGATGATCTTGGACTTCAGAAATTTGCTCTCATATGTCTTCTTTGCGGCATTTTTACAGCTTAAATACCACATCTGATCCAGGATGCTAAGAATGGAGGCGATGCAAATCGCTCGTCTTTTGAATCTGAATCGTATCTCTTGAGTGTGAAGGATTGAATTCAATCGAAACACAATTACGCAAAAAAGGGCCCTGGCTTATTTTTTATAGCATTGTGTGCGTATAACCACAATTCCAGCCGTTGCCTATGACACTAATAAAATATACTTTCCCGTCATGCTCATCTGCGGAATCTTTCTAGAGAGCGGCTGACCTACTTGGATTCATCCTTGCTTTATTCCATCAACCCAGAGGATCTCATATCGCTAAATGTGGAAGATAAATTAATATTTTAATACGAAGTGATTACGCCTACCTCGACTAGGCCATGTCTCGTGACAGGTTTTATTCTCCACTCCCGAGTGCTTTGGGCTACAATTAGAAGTCCTTGTCTAAATATAACAACGGATGAGCCACGTCCTTGTGTTAAATCCAAAAACCCTAATATGGAAGTTTCATATTTACAGGACCGTCTCCACAGTCTAAAATACTTGCGGATATTCCGTCGTGCCTCCAAACATGGGCTCTAACTGATGGCGAGTAACGACGAAGGAGATATGAGTCGATTGCAACTTTCATCAATTCGGGCAAATCTGCATGTGACTCATCTATGGCTACACAGTCTTATCTTGGATCAACTGGAAGCCGCGCAGTCCCATCCTCAGGGGCCCTTTTCGTCCTCATCTCAAGTATTTCTGCTGTAATTCATGGGTATCGCACTAGAGGGGAGGGCAGATTCGCTATACGGATACTCAAATCATGCACTTTTACAAAATACAAGGGCCAAGTTTGCTTATTCATGGCTTTCAAAAATTCGTATGTATGCCCGAGTAAAATTTGAAAATAGCAACTGCCAACTTTAACACATGAACCAAGTTGGTTCAGCTATTACACATCTGGGATCATTGCTTCATACTCCAACACCGCTGGATGATTCACGCCCCCAACAGCGAGTTTGCCAAAGTCTGGCTCAGGGTGTTCCTCGACATCAGGGAATGGGCCCATCGGGGTAATTGCCTTGGGGTTGATATCATAATGACTCTTCGTGTACTGAGCTCCGTTAGCCAACGTGATAGATCCCGAAAGTCTGGAAAGAACATACATTTTCTTTAATATGCTTGAAGTTCGTCGACTCTCTCGCAGCCGGCACATTCCAGTACATATGTTTCAACCAATTATTGAGAATTGGATAATCATGTCGAACAGTTCCCAAGTTGCACTTGAAATGTTGCACATACACCGTATCAAACCGGATCAGGGTTGCGTACAGCCGAATATCGAGCTCTGTCATTTCTTGTCCTAAGACGAAGGGACCACCATGCTGTGCAACAAGACGTTCGAGCTTGTTTAATGCACCGAAGACGGGCACGACATTCTTATCATAGTCTTCCTGGTTTGATGCGAATCCAGCTTTGTAGACACCTGCATTTACATCTGATTGCACCCAAGGAGTGATTGCGTCGATTTTCTCGCGCAAATGAGGTGGATAAAGGTCAATTGAGGCGAGTGATGGCGGAAGTAGCTCATTGAAAGCACTGGGGAGCCATCGCAGAAGCTCTGCACTTTCCTGATCGCAATTTTCAGATTAAAATTCAAACAATAAGTGAAAGCTCGAGGACAGAATAATGACTTACATTGCAAACCGCCGTTCCGGTCTTCTTATCCCACAACAACGGTACCGAATACCTCCCCTTGTACTCCGGATCTGCGCGGAAATATACTTTGTGCAGATAGTTTTCGCCAAAGAGATGGTCCACCGTCGCGCCGGGATATTCGTCGTCAGATTCAGGGAAGCGCCATCCCGGCCAACCATTTGCGTCGCCCTTTGGGTATGGCTTCACAATGCTGATGTCGATAAATTCGGTGAGACCCTTGAGATGACGAACGAAATTGGCGCGATGTGCGAATGGGCAAAAGAGTCCGATGTAGAGGTGATAGCGGCCTTTTTCGGCGGGGAATTCCTCGCCTGGAATGAGGCCATGCCAGCCGTCGGCAGTAGCGGGGTCGTGAATTGCAACAGGGTGTGCAGTCATGATAACTTTTGTTGTTGAGGAGTTATGCGGGTCGTTCGACTGCTGTGAAATTAACTTACCTTGTGAAATAGGATGGGGGTGGTTTATGACTGATGATTGATAAGGGACGGAACCCTTTCCGCTGAGGTCAGAAAATGTCGTCAAATTAGACTCAGATCAGATCTTAGTGCGGACCTCAAAAAGCTCAATAAATACTTTTAGATGATCTAGATTAATCTTTGATGGCTATACATTTGAGCCAACAATCATTTATACATACCTGGAACTACGAGTTCTAAATTCTGAGTACTAGTTCCTCTGTAGTCGAGGTCCCGATAGATCCGGCAGAACAGGCAACCCATGAATTATAAGTCAGACTTTCAAATCTCCGAAGAAGTTTGGGATCTAGCAATTGGTATACTGTACATTGTGTATATGCGTGTGTAAGTGCTTTTTATCCGTCATTCCTCGGAAAACTGTCTCCGAAGAGATCGATTTCCCCAAGCTGCTGTAAGGATTAAGGCGGCAGTGATCCAATTGCAGAGCTGGGATAAGTAGGGTAACCAAAGCGTCGTAAGACCTGGTCGGCATCATCTTACAAAATTGCTTCACAGCTAGGCAAAGGGTAACTGCTCAATCGGCTGAATATCTAGGTCGACGATGACGGTTTAGTCATTTTCACTTCTTCCCGCGTTGGAATCTACTTGTTTCCGAGTCACTTGGCAGTCACTAGCCGGAATTAAGTTGGTTCAAAAGGTCTTTGTCCAATTGTGGCTTATAGTTGTCGTATTGTGTGCACTAAGATCCGGACTTGCAGGATTAAAGATAAGCCGATGCTTCGATAGGACATAACTTATTTCCTAAACAGTCTAGCGCCAGAAGACAAGCTGGGAACCCAAAGTCCGACGCATCGAGTTTATATTTCTAAGCTGTTTAGAGAAAAATACTAATATAAAAGGTTCCAAACGGAATTTGGAAGCCTGCTTCAATCAAAAATTCCAAAGACTTTTTAGTCCAAGTTCTCGTGTAAAGACCTACTTCAATTTTCACGATGTCGGCTGGTCCCGAACTTGATAATGACGCTGTGTTGAAGTGGCTCGAAGCGGTAAGTCTGTCTTTTAAAAAATCACAGCATGGGTAACTAACCTTTATTGATACTAAGTTCCACCGAGCAAGCGCCTCCCTCGATGCCGATAAATGGCTGGACGAATTTATGACTGATGATGTGGAATTGCAATATGGAAATAGCCCTGTGACCAAAGGCAGCGAAGTACGGCAGATGTTTAAGACTGTCCTGGGTCAACTAGATATGATGACCCACGAGGTCCGCTACTTTGACTATGTAGCCCCTCGTATCTATCAAGCGGCCACCATCCGATATCTTGTCAAAGGAGACAGCCTAAACACAGACGAGATCACAATTCCCGGTTTTGCTACATTTTATATCCGACAAGATGACAACGGTCTCGTGAAGTGTTATCGGGCGGAGACCTTCCTAGACCCATCGGCTGTGTTTCAACGAATTGCTGAGAGATCAAGCAAAGTCTGAACAGCTATAATGGGCATATTTGTGGCAGAAGTGGCACACCGATCAGCTTGTGCTTTGATAAAGGATCGTAACCTCGAATCCTGTATCTGCAATAAATTTTGGTATTCTTGTGACCTGATCATCCGTATATTGACGGAATTTGTATATGTACAATCTATCCTCTAATCCCAGAACCTTCATTCCTCATTGTACTTTTCCATCTGCAAGCCAGAAAACGTCAAAACCAACTCCCGATATGACTGATGAATATTTCCCAGGCAAGTTCATCCGTTTTTCATGTCTTCTCATTCTTCTTCGCTCCCCCTTTTCCACCTCCTCCGCATTCGAGTCTTCTATGTTGGTCACATCTGCGGTCACCCTCAGCACAATATCCAACTTCCGGTGCCAGCTTGCTTCGGGGAGGACGAACATCTCTGTCACGGCCGGATATTTTTCCCAAGCAAGATTCTTGAGCTAGACGGAAGTTTCTACTTTACCTGTCGCGCTGATGGAATCTTCATCGCCGGCATCCTCTCGGACTTGCAGAGCGAAACCCCACGGGAAAGCTTCTGCTAGTAGCGGGTTGTAGACTGGAGCCATTTTGTCGGATTTTATGCTGATTGGTCAGAGAAACAGAGCCTTCTGTAGCGAATTCGAGTCATCGATTAGATGTTTCCACGTGCGACAAATGCGTTGAGCGGCGATCAGCGTTCGCATATCCATCTCGTGCAGAATTAGAGTCACAATCTCCGAAATTGCGAGTGCCCTCGTCTGAGCAAGGTCTTTGAGTTCCATTTCTTCTTTGGTCGATGAAGAGCCGGCTCTATCATGCTTCAAATAGGAATGGAATACTCGTAATATGTTAATAGTGTATTATGTCGATCTGCGCAGAGCCGCTCCCGGATGGAGGTGGGTTTAAGGAAGGGGTTCGCCCACTGCCTCTAAGACCCTACAATCCTGCAAATATTAACTCTACCCTCGCTCAAGCCCTGCCGAGTCCCCATATGTACTACCAAAGATAAGGATGTCCCACTATGATCACACCTCTGGTGACATACAAGACCAACTAAAGCTACACGACACTTTTCAATGCTCCAACATTCGTTGCTATAAATAGTCAATTTAATCATTAAAATATTTGACAAATAGAATTTCGCATGAGTACACATTATTGATAAAAATATCAACTTAATTCCGACCGATACACTTTCGGCCAATTTGTATCCTCGGCATCTAGCTCCCTGGGAGGAGATTGGTAGACCGGTGGAGCAGACTGTAGGTTACCACCCTTCTCATTCAGTCTCTGCTGCAGAACTTGCATCTGACGCCGTGTTCGCATGTAGAGCCAGAACATTGTCACGGCTGCAATCGCAAGGGGCGCACCAATCCCAAGCCCAATTCCAAGTTCGGCCCCCAAGGGGCTTTCGCATTCCTCTGGCGAGCCCGAGGTCAAAACCGTCGAACTTGTTTGGGAAGTCGAGGTATCCGTAGATTGAGAAGTCGATGAAGTCGCGGTTGCTGAGCTGACCGCGGATGATGAGGTGGGAATTCCTAACTGCGCCACCGTGACATTACTCTCGACCCAGGTAAAGTTACCCAGCTGAGCGTCGCAAACGGAAGAAGACCATCCTGAGCCTCCGCAGGTGAAAACTTCATTGTTATTTGTAGGGCAAGGATATAGGTTAGCCCATCCGCCGTCGATTTCTGCAGTTGATATGCCGTATTAGTTGCTGAGGATATCATATATATAGCTGGCTTTCGAACTCCTGGGATGAGGCTTTACCTTCGTAGCAGATTCGAGGGCATTCTGATATAGGCCACGATTTATCGGTACATGCTCCTCGGTAGACTGTCATATATTTCCCCGCAATGCAAAGGTTGTTGGATAGACAGGCTTCGCCAGATGCACAACAGTGTTTTGAACCGGGACACGGCATCCAATTATCAGGGGCAGCTTTGCCATTAGGCCAATAGCAAGTGTCAGCCAAAGTTGAGTGGCAGAAGTAGAAAAGGAATAAGAGTGAGAAGCGTTTCATTTTGTTGAACAGGCTCGATAAATCTTTTCGGAGAACGAAAGAGGGGATTGTTGGAATCGGTCACATTTGCTGTCGAGATAAACAGAAACTTCTTTGGGCGTATAAAATATCCCAGTCAAGAAGCTAACAGGCAATAAAATGGATAAAGAAAAAGGCAAACGCGAATGAAGGGGGAAGTTCCACCGTCGGGTTTAAAGGGTAATCAATTCCCTACGGTAGGGATGGATAGATGATGATACGCGCCTAGGTGCAGAAGGTCCCGTTCTTTCCCATGGCTGGGCCAGTAGGGTTAATAATAGACAAATTATCGCGAAAACAGTGCAGGCGCTAATTCAAGAATCACCATGATCACCGTATGGCCCCCAAGTCGGTGGCTTACAGAAAAACGCCGGGCGCTAATTAGAAACAAGATTGCTACGGGTAAGGCACGACCCAGTTCAAAAGTACACTATGTTTCGGGGGACCGAACGTTACGCCGGGCGCTAATTTTCGTTTTATATTTCGATCGCTACCATCTCTCAGACCCATTGAGGATTCTGCTCTAGTAAGATATCATTGCTTTGCGCGCTTAAGAACCAACTTGGCTATTAAGACTAAGGTCGCCAAAATTTAAGGAGTTTTAAGCGTATGACAAATGCTACAAGAAAGTCGAGAAAACGAAGCATTGAGGGCAGATAAACACCGTTCAAACCAGTGGGCCACTGCGGCGGAGTGGTGGACCTTCGACAATCGCCACCCTTAATGCCCTGGCCCTTCCACTGCCCACGTGTTACTTTCCGATCCCCGGTCTACTCATGGTTCCGACTGCAATATCTTGAGCTTTGCTCTCAATGCATCAGCACATCTATTTGGATGCAATGCTTGTTTCTTCCTAGCTGGTACTTACCTACTCCAATTTGGTGACTTTCCTATGAATTGGTTCTTGGTATATCACTAAACGCATCAGCCTCATTGAATTAGGAAATACATTTGCTTACAAAGGGCTCAGCATAGTGAAGCTCGACGCAGTTAAGTCGCTGAATGAAATTGAAGTACCGAACTCCGTTCATAACCATCCCAATGCCGGGAAATCCCATCAATGATCCAGCAAGATCAGAAGCCCCCGTGATTAAAAAAACGAAATGTTCGAAAGTTCTCAATATCAAAGTGCATACTGAGTTCACGTCGGTAACCCTGAGTGTGAAAATTAATGATTCTCGCAACACGCTTCACAGCCTGACTGCAAGCACGCGGAACAAGATACGAGACCATCTTTCCAAAACGCGAGGCTAATAAAGCATGAAACTCGGCAGAGGAGCTGTCTCAGTGAGCAAGCCATTATTCAAAGACGCAAAAGGTTAGCAGTAATCAAACACAGACCGAGCAGCGTGGTCCGTATCGAAATTAACGACGTCAGAGAAGAAGATGGAATGGAGACTGCTGAGTAGGAAGATATTCTCGTGGACAGCCTTTGTGAGTTCCGAGACCCGGGGACCAGACGCGTTTCGGAGGTGGTAGATAACTTCAATGAAAATCACGCCCGGTGCTGTTCAGCCGACCCAGTATGTTCGTGAACTTTCCGAAGTGAGGATTCTGTACAGGTGATAGCGGGCGTTTGGGGTAAGAGTTCGAATTGTTCGAGCGGTACGTCAAGTTGACCGATTCAAGCACGATATAGGGTTGGTAGGGGGACGTCTCGGTGAGTGATTTGCCAGATTTGAGGGTCGAGAGTACCAAAGGTGAAAGGTGTTCTGAGGATGGGACATCCGGCTGTGTTGGCGTAATTCCCACATCTTTGTAGGGCTTTGCCTTGTGGTTCCCAAGCTGGATATGTCCGGGGCATAACATGGTTGGTTGAGAGTAGCATTTGTTTGGATCTTGTGAAGACTTGGGCGATGGTAATGCTCGAGGAATACACGGTTTATAGGACTTGGTTGACGCGGCAAGATGTTTATGGAAAAGTATCAACAATGTTTAGATGGATCAGTTGGATTTGGAAGGATTCGTTCTGACATTTCATGAAAATTGAACCTAGCTGATACTATCATATGGTATATTAGAATCATGGAAGAGAAAAGTCAACAATAGGATTATAAGGCAGACAATATCAGACGAAACCAACAGCATCAAGGCAATAAGTGTCATAGCATGCAAAGCAAACAGTGATAATGAACATGAGTAAAACAAAAAAAACCTGAAAGCCATATGATAATACAATAAAACCCATGATAGCTTGACTTTGGATTATATCGACATCACAATAGGGTGTCTTTTCAAATAGAAGCTGACCATCGGCGCCTGAAACATAGAGCCTGGGCTCAGTCTCGTAATTGTATTCTTCCTTGAATAATTTACACATAGAAGGCTCACAAAATTTAGAGAATTATGTAGAATTGGGCAACGAAGGTCTACAAACTAAACGTAATAAAAAGGTATATACACAATGAATTGCAAATTTGTCAGGTGAAAAATATCAAGCATGCCAGTCGACAGAACGCAAGGCTCGATCAACACGGTGTCACAGCCGAAACCGTGTCAATATAAACCGACGCAAGCGTATTCGTAACAAATTTGAGTGACAACGTAGTAGAGCTGGATGATGCCACGAAAGAGCCCTGGAAAGGCTTCCAAACATTTCTAATAGAGGCTCCAATATTGACAGAGTACAAAGTTGCGTAGGTGTTGTCGAATGATATCTGGAAAGTCGAGGCAGAATTTCCATTTGACACCAAATAGTACAAAGAAATGGTATAGGTTTTGCCAACAACAGTGGGAATTGCCTGTTTGATCATTGGCGTGCTTATACCGACACCACTTGTGTAGAGATCGATTGCGTAAGGAGTGTTGACACCGGCAACGAACGCATACCTGCCGTTGCCTGTGGAAGAGTAGGCCCAAGGAGAGAGGGCTGCACCGGCGAAATTTTGGTTTGAGACGACGTTCACGCCGCAGGTTGGGGAGCTGGTGGCCGTTGAGGTGACGGTGATGGTTGTGGTTGTTGACACTGTTTGCGTGACGGTCACGTCGATGGTTGATGTGGCGAAAGCGGTGCTGGTGACATCGACTGTGTTGGCAATCGTGGTTTGAAGAGTTACAGGTACTGTGGCGGTGACAGTCAATGACGAAGTGGAGGTGATTGTTGCTACCTGGGTCACGTCAACGGTTGTTGTTGAGGTTTCTGTGATCGTCAGAGACGCTGTTTCGGTAGCGGTAACATCGGCTGTTGCGGTAGTTGTCTGGCTTGTCGTAATATCAACAGTCTCTGTATTTGTTTGAGTGGTTGTGACATCAGTTGTCCCAGTCGCAGTCACGTCTTGCGTGACATTCTCAGTCACAGAGGCAGTTTCTTGGGCTGTTACATCCAAAGTGGTCGAGGTCGTCACGTCGCTGGTTAATGTGGCCGTGACAACATCGGTTTCGGTAGTAGGACTGTCAACCGTGACTGTCACTGTGGAGATATCGGTGGCGGTGGTGGTCGAAGAGGCGGTGATAGATGAAGTTGCCATAATAGTCACCGTCTTCATGACATTGGTAGTGACAGTGTCAGTCTTGACGGTAGTCAACACGGGTGCCTTTTTTGTAACAAACTCGGTTGTGAATTTGGTGATGTAAACAGTGTATACCCCAGGAGCCACGGTATGAGTAGTGAGAGTCTTAGTAATCTAGTGGCAGAATTAGTATTTGAAGTTGAAAAATGAATGAATATAAACTTACTGTGGGAGTTGCAAGAGTCTTTGTGGTATACACGGTCGAACCCCGATCCTCATCAAACAAGATCGAGCATGCACGCGATAGATGAGTGGTATCAATGCCTCTCAACAGAGAAGGAGTGAACAGACCAGCACGCTCATCAATCACGTCTCTCTTTGCTGGAGCAACAGTAGCCATGGTGGTTGTCGTTACAGTGATACCATCAGTCTGAACGGTAGTTATGGTAGCAGTGGTATATTCCATCGCGGTCGCGGGGATCGTGTTAGTTGTAGTGACGAAGTCAGTCTGAGTAGTCGTCTCGGATTGAGTATCTGTCGCAGTAACATCCACCTCTTGTGTAGTGGTTAATAAGATAGTGTTGGTGGCCGTTGCAGTGGCAGTATCAGTAAAGGAAAGGGTCACAGTGTCGGTATGGAAGTTAGTCGCAGTAACAGTCGCAAAATTGGTGTAGAGATTGGTGACATAGTCGGTTGCAAGGTCAGTAATGAATGCTGTGACATAGGCCGTCGAGTAGTCGGTGATAGTGTTCGTAAATGTTTCGGTGGTGGTATCCGTAAAAGACTGAGTGATTGTGGCAGCCGCATAATCAGTAATTGCTTTGGTGACTGTGTTTGTGATGAAGCTCGTCACTGGTACTGTGATTGTTTCATAGTCCGGCTCGGTCAAGAAGACAGTAGAAATATCAGTGGTCGTCAGGGTGGACAAGTCAGTGGCCGTCACAGGCACAGTGTGAGTCGAAGTCGAAGTCGTATGGAGAGTGGTGGTGCTAGTGGGTGACTTCACAATTGTAGAGGTAATACGTTCGGTTGAGGTCGATGTCACTTGGTGAGAGTGGTCGGTGATAGTCTCGGTGACCCTGACAGTCTTTGGCGCTGGATTCACCGTCTTGATTTTGGTGACAACCTCGCATGTCTCATGAATGAGTTCACGACAAAAAAAGTGGCCTTCTGGGCATTTTCGGATCAAGCGAACAAGATCACCAATGTTGTCCTCGGCCTCATTCACCGGGCACGAATTGCCCTGATTGGGATGATCTGGGGCATGGGGTAGAGCCGAAGTGGTGACTACGCAAGCCAATGCCAGTAATAGCGAAGGCTTCCACATCATAATATGCAAAGCGAGTAGCGACAGTAGTAAAATTCAAGACATTGGGTGGAATCATAGCTAAATATACGAGACAACCTCGATACCTCCGAGAGATAAACACATCAAAGCCCAAACCAGGGCATTTCGAAGCGATCTGGGGTAGGGCTCCATAGGCCATGATTGAGACAACAAGCGAAAATTTGATGCTTTGCTAGAAGCTAGTCTGTTCTGGGGGAAGCTTGAACCTGGTCGTCCCCAAAAGCAGCCACGCAACGCGATGGGGGCAGCGCACTATTGAAGTGGCGCTGGGGAGACTTTGGTCCAGGTCCTCGCTGGGTCAGGAACTGCCCGGTTCCATGTGGCTCATGGGCGTATTCTCCGGTCGGCTTTTGTGGCTGAAAATCACAGGTGAGTTGTTAGTCTCGGCGTCCCCGACACAAATAGCTTAACCCACGCCCCTCGGCTATATTGTCCCTATTCCAGATCATTTTATTTGTGGAAGCCCCTTTTCATGAAGCAATAGTCTCAAAGGGGCCATGGCTCTCTGCAAAAGGCATTGTGCCTGGCATCTTGATGTATTCCAATGTGAGAAGAACTATGGAAGTAGTCAAATTGACCAAAATTGTAAACATTCGGAATGACGTCACCACGTGTCCATTTTCGCGCTAGTGAAGCTCGTCTTGACAACCATCTTCAGCGTATCTCTCGCTCACTCTCAAACTCAGCTACACGATGTCAGAAAAGGTTCAAGGTGCTGTAGTAGCTGAGGCTCAAACAGCACGGGCTGTTGTCCAAGATGTGATCATGTCTGGGGCATACCTGTATCCCTTCAAGGTGAGCAAATGGCCCTCCTAACAAAATTATACATGCGCTCCGCTAGGTCACTGACTATGGAATTTACTAGGGTATTGTATTCTTTGGAACACACAAAGAGCTCTGGGGTCCCTTTATCTCCCGCGCCGGAAGGACCATCACCCTCGGACTAGGTGTTACAAGCGTGATGTTTTTCTTCACATACGTGCCCCAGATGGCAATCATGGCTTTCACAAGTGGGCCGTTCGCCGCCATTTCAGCCGCCATACTCGTCCTTGGCGAAAGCTCCGCCATTACAAACGTTCTATCACGCTCTTTCCTCGTCGAAGACGCCCTCATCGATACCTTCGATGGCACTCTCGTTGCCCGCGATCAGGAACCTCTCGTTGCACAGGGTCGTCAAATCAAGCCCCGTTCGGGAGGAATGGATGCGATTGCGAGACTAGGGAAGATATTCACTCGGCCGCTTGCACGGTTGAGCCCACGGGCGCTACTGCGGTCTCTCCTTTACTTGCCGTTGAACCTTATTCCTGTGGTCGGGACAATGTTGTATATCTTCGTGCAGGGAAAGAGAGTTGGACCAGGCTTCCATGCTAGGTACTTCCAATTGAAGGGTTGGAACTCGCAACAACGCGAGGAGTGGGTGACAAGCAACCGGGGAGCATACACAGGGTATGTGGTCTTTTCGCTTTCAATTTCCCCCCTCTCTGGCTATTTTCTCTTCTTGGATTAGTACCAGGACACACTGACCAAACATCTAGACTCGGAATTGCATCCTTTGTATTGGAGATGGTGCCATTTGCCTCCATAGTGTTCTCATTCACGAATACTGTTGGCGCGGCCTTGTGGGCAGCTGATTTGGAGAAGGCAACCAAGTAGTTGGTAGGTACTAATGAATTGTACTTATGATTGACCCGCCTAGCAAATAATAAAGATTCTAATAGAGTTGACCGCTGATTCGGTACTCTAAATTTTCTCAAGCTATGCCATTGGGGTTATACTCGACACATACGCCCACTGTTCGACACAGTCCACTCATCAGACCCAACGGCAGTCAAGCCGTAGAACACATCGTGAGGGTCATACTTTGCCTTCACCTGACGGAGCGCATCATAATTCGTTCCATAAAACGCTTCCTTGAAGTTTGGTTGGCGGAAGTCGGCCTGCGAAGAGTGTTTACTTCATGCATATCATCGGTCAACACAATTCAGAACATACCTCATTCAAATAAGCCCCCGAATCAGGAGCTAGCTGTTGCAATCGAGGCACGTAATCGAAAGTCATCTTGTCCTGCAAATTACGCATCTTGTCGGGTTGATTGAACTCCCATGTTGTCGAAACCTTTCCGTGGAAAATCGCTTCACGCCATGCTGGAAGAACAGAATTATAAACGTCACCGGTGACTTCCTGAGAAACATTGAGAGCGAAAGTCGCGAACTTTGCGCCATCCTCGGCAATATACCGAGCCGCGTCGGTTAGATCACCGTTCTTGTCTTGAACCACTGATCGTGGAATGAGCCAGCTGCCGTATTGAGCGGTGCCAATATGCGCATCCTTCATCATGTTTTCGAACTCATCTAGGTATGAATCGAATTGATCCGAATAGAATGTGTGCTTGATTCCCATTTTGTCGAGACTGTCGCGGAATGGTTGGATCATAGACTCTAACTTCTTCACGGGGATATTCGGGCCCGTCATAGGAGCAATAGAGAAGGAGATATTGGTGAGGTATGCAAGACTCATGACACCCGTATCCACGATCCCGGGGAGCATGGAGTAGTAAAGCTTGACAGCATCGTAGTAGATATCTTTCGGAATCCCATTACTAGTGAAAGTGAGGTTCAAGCCAGATGCTGGAGTGCCAGTGTGTGCTTTCGTTGTCATAGACCAAACGACTCCATAAGTTCCTCCCCCACCACCACTCAAACTCCAATAGAGATCTTTGTTCTGCTCGCGATTGGTCACGAGGAGTTGGCCGGTACCATCAATCACTTCCCATTCCAGAACTTGATCGGCTGCGAGTCCATAGCGAGAAGACAGGGCAGAGTGGCCCCCTCCTTGACTATATCCACCGGCAATACCGACGCTCGCACATTCTCCACTAACTATTTCTAGTCCTTGGGCCTCGGCTGCGCGATAGGCTTCTGTGCCTTGTACGCCTGCGCCAAATTTAGCGGCTCTGCCTGTGTAGTGCACATCATGATAGTCTTTAAATTCGATGTCTTGGATATTGTGCATCCACAAACCCAACGCACCAGCGCCTGTGGACTTCCCATTGTAACTAGTGAAGTCAGCAAGTTGATCTGATTTATCTAGACTGAGAAAGCATACTCATGCCCGGTGTTTCGGACAACCAAGCGAATGTTGTGCTCGGTAGTGAATTTCATCGTCTTCGAAATATGCTCCGGTCGCGAGACATTAACCGCATAGTGAATCAAGTTACCTAACGTACATGGCTTCGAAACCGGATGAAAGGGATCACATGTCCCATTCGTGAAGAACGGTGCCATTATCGAGGATGAAGAGTCATAGCTTGCTCTTGTCAGCGGCATTCTCAACTTTGGAAATTTACGGATACACAATGAGCACATACTGCTGGTCAGGCACAAGCCAACCGTCTTTTGGATTCGAACATTCTCGCGCATTATAATTTGGTGTGTGGCAAGATGAGGCCAACGGTTTAGTTGCAACTAGACATCCATCTATCGACTCATTGAAAGAGGCCCAAAGTGACGGGGAGGGCCAACATTGATCCCCTGGAAAGCATCGGCAGTCAGGTTCATTGGCGCTGACTGCAGAGGTGAGGGCCACGAGGCCTGCAAATAGCCCCTGGAATAGAGTCTCAGCGGATAATAGCATTTTTCGGCCGATTTATGGAACAGCGCAGTAAGAAATAGTAACTTTGACAAATAAACACAAACAGGGAACAAAGGGATGGCTACACAGGGTGAGAATGCGACTCTTTCATAATGGCCCTCGGGGGTCTCATATTTTGGACCGAGATCTCTCATCGGAATTAGCGCCAAGTCATGCAGATCTATGCAGCTAGCTACATAGTGTCTGTTTGGTTGCAGGGATTGTCATCATGGCCTCTATAATTACAAGTCTATGTACGATGCTGTTAGATTCGCAATACATTTTTGTTCCTTTGAACATATAACCACAAATTCAATTAAACAGACAGACGTCTAACAACCTGACACTGAGTGAGGATCAATCAAGCAAAAAAAACATACAACAGCATGTGTATGACCGTGGTCACCTAGCGCTCACGGGTTGGGCATGGGCGGCTCGCCACTCTATTCAGGGCGGATATTCATCCACGGATATTCTTCGCCTGGATATTCAGTAGTCGTCCAATACCGGACTTTCAGGTGACTATGGGAGATTTAAACAAGAGGGGACCTTCGTTTTACCAACAGCCTCGGCAGACTGGTCGTCACAGCAGCCTCCCTCGCAAGCCACGGGTGGAACCTTAATCTTGCAAGTAACAGCAGACTCCTTACAACAAGGGTCTGCAGTTTCGGCAAAGCAGGGCGTAATTGTTATTGCTGCTATCCGTTTTGTCGTTGCTTTGGATAGTGACAGAAATCCGGCTGTACAACAATGTATGGGTATCCTACAATGGGTAATCATACAAACGTAATACATTCAAAAGTAGTAGACCGTTTCGATCACAATGACCCTGTGCTATATAACTACATGTACCTAGGTGCCTCACTATAATAATAAACGGATTTCAGGGCTCTAGGTGTGGTAGTGTTGTAGCCTGGCTGACCCTTACGAAGATTAGCTTGTGACAGAAGTTTGAATTGTACGACAGCGTATGGTAACCATGTTAGGTTATGTATGGCTCTAATTAAAATAACAAAAATCCGCTATTTTCCCAATCTGTGCGGACTAGCTTACTATTATGCAATATTGTACTTGGTATAGGGAAGTCCAATCTACGATTCGAGGATTTTCTAGGTTGAAAAGACCCTGTAATTTCACCACGGTAGGCAACCATGGTATTTGATAATTTGTCCATAGGAAACACCTAGTTTCGTCACAGCGTTTCGGGCCGACATTGGACCATTATCATCACTTATTGCTGTATTTGGAGTATGATTGATGTTTGACTAACCATTTTAACTGCAAACTGTGCGCAGATCCCCCGCTCCGGAGTTTCAGGGGTCACGGGCCTGAGCACTGCGCGGCTTTTCTCTAGTGGGACCATCGGCCTATTATCGGGGAGCTAACTGTATGCGGAGAGATCTTTAGCATAAATGCAATATACTAAAGGAAAATAACATCTGCAAAGGATTGGCAACCCGTGCAAAGGGTCATGGCAAGGAATGTTAAGGCCTTGGAGCCCGGCTGCATATAGAGAACATCTTGGAGATCCAAATATAAAAGGAGGCGAGCTTCTCCAATGGGTATCGTACTCAACTGATTTACCACAAGCCCAGTATAGCGTTCAAAAATTTGAGATATCACTTTTTCCTGAATTATGAAACTGTCCCACAGCCTGACAGCTTTTCTACTCCCTCTGATATGCACTGTATCAGCAGCGGATGTGAAAGCATGGAAGTCCCGCAATATTTATTTTGCCCTAACTGACCGCATTGCCCGTGGAAGCGATGATATAGGTGGAGATGCCTGCGGAAACCTTGGAAACTACTGTGGTGGAACTTTCCAAGGCTTGGAGTCCAAGCTTGACTATATTAAGGGGATGGGCTTTGATGCAATCTGGATCACCCCTGTTATTGCTAGTGAGTTCGAATAGTTCCTCATGCTGTTCTGTTCTCGGCGACACAACTTATCTGATCGTGTTACCATTTCTGTAGATGCGCCAGGTGGATATCATGGATATTGGGCGCGGGATCTCTATAGCATCAACGAGAACTACGGCACCGCTGATGATCTCAAGAGCCTAGTTGATTCTGCTCATGAGAAGGCAAGTATAATCCATAGAGTTCCTACGGTCCAAGGTGGAAGGTACTGACCAGCTTCGAAAATAGGGAATCTATGTCATAGCAGACGTAGTTGCCAACCACATGGGAGTCCCCATCAGCGATAACAAGCCAGAGCCATTGAACCAGGAGAGCTCCTACCATTTCACCTGCACAATCGACTACTCAAGCCAGGATAGTATTGAAAACTGTCGTATCGCAGACGACCTACCTGATGTGAACACATAGAGTGCCGAGATCCGGGAGCTCTTCCAGAAATGGGTCAAATGGCTTGTCACGGAATACGGGTTCGACGGCTTGCGCATCGATACCGTCAAGCACGTTGAAAAGGACTTCTGGTCGGCCTTCTCCTCCGCTGCCGGGGTTTACACCATCGGCGAAGTATGGGACGGCGACCCAGATTACCTTGCCGGATACGCAAAGGACATGGACGGCCTGCTCAACTACGCAGTCTACTATCCCGTGAATAACTTTTACCAGCAAAAGGGCTCTTCCCAGGACATAGTTGACATGCACGATAAAATCGATACCGCTTTCCCTGATCCCAGTGCCCTGGGCACGTTCATAGACAATCACGACAATGCGCGTTGGCTGAGCGTGAAGAACGACAAGTCGCTTTTGGCAAACGCACTCGCCTACGTGATTCTCGCCCGGGGCATCCCTATTGTCTACTACGGCACGGAACAGGGCTACGCGGGCGGCAACGACCCCGCAAACCGCGAGGACCTATGGCGCAGCAAATTCAGCACCGACGTAGACTTGTACAAGACCATATCCCTGCTCTCAGCGGCGAGAAAGGCTGCTGGTGGCCTCGCTGATAACGACCATGTCTATTTGTACATCGCGGAGTCGGCATACGCGTGGAGCAGGGCGGGTGGAGACCTCATTGTCCTTACGTCTAACGGTGGATCTGGGTCTGAGGCCGAGCACTGCTTTGACTCTAAGAAGCCTGGTGGGACATGGAAGAATACCCTTGGAGAGGGGACAGTCACCGCCGATGAAGGCGGAAAAGTCTGCATCTCTATCTCTAATGGTGAACCTGCGGTGCTGGTTGCGAGCACTTAACTGAGACTAGTTCTCTCTAGTCGAGTCCTCATAACTGCCTAGTTGCAGTGAGCTTGGGGTTTTCTTAATTCAGTTAGGGGATAGTCCCTATCATGTTGTCAAGCCTGCTCCCGATCAACAATATGGTTCTAACGGCGCAACGGCATTCTGTTTGGGATATTCTTGTTATCCTTCATTTCTGTATTTTATGTGGTTACATAAATCGAAGATTCTATTTAGCTGAAGGCTGTGTCAATGTATGCCGGCTCTATCTCAATTTCCGCTTCCACCCCGAGACCCATTCGGTTTAGAAGCAGTTGACTGTTCCAAAGAGGCGTATAAAACGAGCCACTGAAGAAGGGTAAAACTCAAGGACATTGTGTGATGTTCACCAAGTAACCCTTTCGGGTTGTCTTCCAACTAATCTACGTCCTGACACCTACGACACCTCTAACAACCATACTAGATCGCTCCTACGCTTGAGAAGTTCTACAACTAAGGGTATATGTGGCTTTGTAACGAACTTGATATACACTTGATCTCTGATGAGCTAGCTCTACGCTCTCTCGGTCTAGTAAACCTAGAAATAGATAATCGTGTGCCTTTTAACTGAGTGCTTTCTTGTAAAGTTGAAATTTTGACGGGCCTGAGATATTATATGTTATGTAGGGTAATCGTGCCAAGTGCCCAACACACATTCCATGTATGTTGGTGCGCCCCACTAGATGCAAAAAATTCCTCAATTATCAACTTCACATACATTTTTGTACTGTACCACAATGTCAGATCAAATCAAAAATATGTAAGCCATCTGGGCACTGTATGACTGTAATGACGTCCGGAAATAGATTGCCTGGTTAACAGGTCAAACATACTTTAGTGCACACCCCGACACCGCTTTCATTCATCTTACCGGTCGCTCCTCTGATTGGTAGCAAATTGGTCAGACTTACCTAGGGACCCACACAACGGGCTGTCTGGGTGAGGCTGTTAGCCGGTTCCAAAAATGATTGGTTGCATCAACTCTGCCCCCACCTGAGCCTTTTCACAACTATACATGTCATCCGACGAAAAATGGTGACTGACGGATTCGCTAGCGAGGTAATCTTTTTTTCTATAAGAAGAAGCTTCCAGCCCTTCAGAGGTAGTCCATAATTCCTAAGAACAATCATTCTGGGCTTTTTCCCACGATGGAGGTAAACATGGAGGATGCGCAGCAATCGGCTTGCGTCGACGACTGCCAAGAAGCTCTAGTGGTCAGAACGGAGGAGAATGCGGAGCCTATCCATCTACACCAGCATGACCCACATCTCTTCCTGGCTAATTCCTCTGACGGCCTCTACTGGCAGGCCTCTGGGATGTATGAGACCCAGTCGATTCCGAATGGAAATCATGGTATATATTCACAGAACTGGAAAATCCTGGTGAACTTTAACTATCTAAGTACTCACCAAATTTCAGCTGAGGTCAATTCGAGTCAGAGCATTGAGTTCATCCAAAATCTAAATTTCCAAAGTTTGGCTTTACCATCAATCCAGCAGCCAGTGATTGCTGGGCCTGATCCGAATTTTGATGGATATTCGTTTGTCCCTGTAGCGGACCGTACTCAGCCGGAGTATCTCCTCGGATTTGAAGAGAATATTTTTGATCTCGTTTCGAATGATTATCGATTTACAAGCACTCCAAGCCTATTCGGTGTCCCAGATATGGACAATCAGTATGCGCAACATGATGCATATTCAACATTAGGCGATGCCGTCTACCCACAAACACTTGAGTCAGAGGTCTATGCCCCTACTCTGGCACAAAGCCAGCCTTCCCTTTCTTCGCCCCAGATTACAATTCAGGGATATGATACAGAGGGTGCTAGCTTGTTTCCGGGCTCAGGAAGCTGTCAACTCCCATATATGACAAACAGCGATGGTATTGCGGCTGTGTGGGATATTGGTAGTTGGCCAAATAACGGCAACATCGCTATGCCTTGGAGCGCGCCCTCTACAGTAGCCAACGATGGGTCCTCCGGCTTGACTCTCAGTTCCGAAACTGACCTGTGGCCAATGTTCGCGTATTCGGAGTCAGTCCCGGTACAGGGAGAGCTATGGAATAATGAGGCTTCTGTTTCAAATTCCGTAGCTCTTGATACCTGGGAGGAAGCACCACAAACAGATCCTTTTTGCTCCCATATGCCGGAAACACTTGTTGAGACAGAAAGGCCTACAGCACCTATAGAGGTGGGGGAAAGACCACACACTGGTAGCCGACCAAGAAACTCCCTAGGTCTATCCCGTCCTATGTCATTACCGCCAGTTCGCAGGGGAGGAAGAAAGGGTCCACTCACAGCGCAGGAGAAAGTGATACGCAAAGAGGTTAGAAAAAGAGGGAGCTACATAAGTTGCCGGAAGATGAAGGAAAAGGTTAAAACCCGATCCAAATACACGAAATCAGACTGAAATACTGAGTCAAACTAACGTCTGATTAGTGCTATGCATTCATTCCTTGCAGCACATGCCTTCAGACATCAAACGAGATAATTTGGAGCACCCCTTGTACTCAGTTCCATTTCTTGGATATTCTTGAGATCGGATCATATTTTGAAAGTTTGTATTCCCTCACATCTCTCTTCCTAGGTGAGCCTCATCCAATTATCATGCAATAACTGAATTAGGGTCTTTTATTCCTAGGGGTTTTTGTTTCCCGAAACAATTTGATAACCAAATTGGATGAGAAAGGCATAGTTTTGCAGTTGCTGGTTGTGTTCTCGATTGGACAAGACGAAAATTTCGGGAAGATCATGACAGGACTCCCAGCTCCGCTGAGCACAGAGGGAGTGATTATTTGGAAAGTTGCATTCGAAATCCTACTTGACCTTCTTACCAACGATAACTACCAACGCAAAGGAATTTCTTTTGCCGAGCGAGTATCTGCAACCGCGTGTCTTCGCTCAAAAGACGCATCCCTTTTGCCTCCGATTTTATTTTCCAAACCTGAACACCTTGGCACATCTTGTTTAGACTGCATGGTAGGTTCAGAATCTGAAAGCAACATGTTCCATGCTGATACAATTGTAGCAAGCACCTTTGGCCTTCTGCCTGACAGACTTCAACTACAGTGGCAAAGCAAGCTATGGTCTTAATGAGGATATCATTTCACAGTCTCTCGAGGATACTTTGGAAACTATTGCGTGGCTGAGCCGCCGTCAATTTGAGCTTACCACCTTCCAAAGGCTACAGTGCTCAGCAAATCAAATATTTGCACGCACGAAAAAGCATCCACAGAGGCAAAATTACAGCACAGCAAAAACACTATTTCAGCTGTTGATGTCGGGCTCATTTGATAATTGCAAAGTGAAGTCTACCAATTCCGTGAGAAAATCACCGGCTTGTACAAGGAACATCTCTAATGATCATTGATCTTAGGAAAGCAATGACAGTGGGACTTTACTGGCGAGGGCGGCATACACGGAGCAGAAAAGAAGAATTCGCTGCGATCTCCTTCGTTACTTTGAAACAATTCTCAATAAACTTCCTTCTTGGAACTACTTTTTTGAGGATACAATTGGCTATGGGGATTTAGACGGCGCGGACTTCATGCGAGGATTGTGCTCAGATGTGGACAGCTTCGACGCAAAAACAATTGCTTACAGCTCAGTGGTCGAGGATCGTGTTACCCAATGGCTAGGATGGAAAGATACCTTCGATGACTTTAATCGCTATGACGAGTCTGAGTTACAAGAGGATGCGGAACTTGATCTAGCATGGTTTCAATCCTTCCATCGGGATGTCTTGCGGGGAACACCTTACAAATCTGATGTCAACGCCATCGAAACGGATCTGGATGAATACTATAAGCCTATTCTAAATTCACTGATCAGTATTTTTGGAGGAATTGCTCCTGAGATGGCCGCATTCTTGGAAGAAATTATGGTGGACCTGGGAAAGCTCCGAGAAGCTTTGTCGGAGAATTTGAAACATTTCGAGGACTGTACGGCTTCCCAAGAAAAAGGAGCGGCTCTTCAGAACTTGAAGGACAGAGTTGTCGAGTGCTATGAGTGGATGAAAGAATTTGATAACATGTATGAAAGGATGCAGATGCACTTCCTACCTTCCGGTGATCATTCCCAATATCCGGAAGGCCCTCGTTGACACAGGCGAGCGTGATTCCATGTTATTGACACACTTTCTCTTCTTGGAGTCATTAGAGGAGCTACAGCGGTCATTTTATTGCTATTAACGTTTTCCAAATTTGATTATGTCTTCTATCAATCAATTCCGACGGACGTTTTGAGATTTATGGTTTTTGAGAAGGATTCATATAGCCCATATTTAGGTATCGTGGCATGAAACGTCAGTAGAATACTTGACAAGACCTTAGCTAATATCTGGTGACAAGAAAGCTTATAGGTAATTCCTAATCTACATATGCATTTTGATCATAAACTTAGGATAACACAGCGATAAGTTTCAAATACTATATTACGTGACTTGTGGAGCTATGGTTTGATATTTACTCTCACTATATTCGAACCCTGCCTGGTTAGTTCGCAACTAGTTACTTACTCGTCTGACAATTAGCTAGTCACAGAGTTAGGGCTGCAGATGCGATCTACAATACCACCACGCTAAGAGAGCAACATTACCCGAAAGATGTTCTTTTCTACCAACTAAAAAAGGGGTTTCTGCTTCGTTACTCAATTGCATTCTCATCTCATCTTTTCACGACATGCTTGATTAAAGTATGTATTAGGCCAAACTCTAGTATGTAATTTATACAATATACGTGTTCTCCAGTAACCTGTGAAGCCAAAATAAATGTAGCTCAGGTGAAAGAGTACGGCGGCAAGAGGGAGTTTCTGAACGAATAAACAAAAAGCAAAAACATACAACAGTAAGGATTCGCTAGTGGTCACCCACCTAACTACTAACTTACCGGCGTGTGGCTTAAGTACGGCTGAGCGGACGGGAAGCCCTGTTCTCCACACCCTGTGGTCGTATGTACTTGATCCAGCATTGAAAAGAAACATATAGCTACAGTTTTCAGACACGCAGATCATTGTGATTGCTCACGACGAACTAACATAAGTGCATGCGTGTCGTTGTATATCCTGTGCGGCTCTGGTAGGTTACATGTAGACTATTCACTGGATTAAACCCTATATTCCTGCGTATGATATGGGTAAGCTAAATTTTGATACAAAAATATATCTGGAGTACCGTCCAAGCAAAAAACTTGGAAGTGCTCAATTTTTGTGAAAATTGTTTCATTTGGACAACTATCCAATTTGGAATTGCAATTAAACTGACAAATATCCTGTGCCCCTGCAATATCCTCAAATCCTCCAAGTAGGGAATCATCTGAATCTCATAAGTCAAGGATGTTTAAGGTGAAAGAGGCTCACAAAAATAGATGAACAAAACCAAGACGAAAAGATAAAATACACCTGACTTTTGAATGAAACTTGACTCGCACTCAAATGGCAATCGCAAGGTGTTCGCGATGAAAGGAGACCAGGTCGTCACTAGCCTCAGCTTGTCCCGAGCCGAACGATTTTAGGTTCCATTTGTCAACACCATCTACCCCCTCCAAGTCATTTCCAAACGTGTTGAACAGGTCTTGGCTAAGCTTTTCATATTCAGAGTAATCCTTTGGCCAATCTCCAAGGCGCTCGACTGCAAGTTTGAGCATGTGCAAGTGCTGTCGAACGTGTTTACCTTCTTCCTTTTCTCCTGGACTGGCAGGAGATGAGGGAGATGACATGCCAGAAATGACTTCCATATCCACATCGCTCGTAAAAGAGGATGGGTCGATGAATACGCGTAGGGCATTTTCATGCAGCGCTGCTGCCTTTCGGTAGTACCGATAAGCTAGCTCGTGACGGCCTTTCTGGTCCTGGTAGCCTTGAGCCATGCTGGTGTACATCTGTGAAAGTAGCACGGTAATCTCAATGGTACTCGGGTGGCGGGGCCCATGAACACGAGCGCAGTTGTATACAAGGTCTTCTGCAAGTCGGACTGAAGCTGCATAGTCACCAACGAGGTAGCGTGTAATGACTAACATACGTCCCAGGGCAAGTGTGTATGCATGCTGTGGCTGAGACAAAGCATAGGCATCCCGGCTGTTCCAGAGAGAGGTGAGAACCCAAGCCAGGGTGTGGTAGTCATGTTGCTCGTCGAGAACCTTGATCAAACTGTTGACGTTTGCGAGATCCAGCTGTGCGAGCTCGATATTGTGCTTTCTGAAATAGCCTAGTGTATCACTCAGAATTTTGGCCGACACGCCTAACATCTGCTTTTGAACAGAGGCTACGGAAGGCGCGTTGATTTCTCGACCAGCGATAGCTAGACCAAGCTTGAATACTAGCTTGCTTGTTGCCTGGTCCGAGTAGCCGTGGTGGGCAACAATGTACTGCGACGCCGCGGAGGCGAGGTGACAGGCAGATTGGTAATTTCCTGAGTCGAGCTGCTGGGACACGCGGTTGAAGGTAGCAATGGCCACTGAACGGAGGAAGTTTCGCGAGGCATGAGCGCTGAGATACTCAACAACGGTCTCAATGAAAATCTTGGCTTGAGTAGTGTCTAGACTCAAACTGGATCCCTCGGATGCCAGGAAGAAGCTGGTGTACTGGTCCAGCACCTGAGCGGCAGCTGAACGACGACCGGCGTTGAGCAGGAATGCGTGCAGGCGAGCGACCGTAGCCGCTGTATGCTCGAGCTTGCCAGCTTTTGAGCTGAGCACGTTGCGGAACCGCTCAAAGTATAGATACTCCTGGGTCAGGGCAGCATATACCTCATTGAACGTGGTTGGGGTGTTCGCGGATTCCTTGAGGATTTGTTCAAATTGAGCCAAGAATATCAGGCTCAGCCGGCGGTTTGTCGAATGTTTCTCCCCCTTGATCATAACCTGGAGATAAATATCGTCTGAGAGATCCCTCGCTTCTTGGATTTGGCCGGCTGCGATGTAGCCATATGCAATACTCTTTGCCGCTGCAGTTAACTTGATAGAGGATGTCTCGGTAGACAACACTTGTACTGTTGCTTCCTGCAGCAGTTCGGTAGCAGCTTGTGCTTTGTGTTGCTTGGTGTAAAGTGAGACGAGCTCCTCCATCTGGGACAAGGCTTCTTCGTGGGCCCATCCATAGCTGGAGCGGATGAATGTCAAACGTTGGGTGCGGATAGACTCAACCTTCTGAAGCTCCTTCGAAGACATATTTTCCACCTTTGAGGCTGTCAACGAAGCATTCTGTTGCTCATAGATAGCTCCAAGAATGGCGCGGATGTCTTGGTGGTCGATTTCGACTTCACTGGATTGGATCTGCAAGAGCTCTTCGTATAGCTGGGTCGCTTCAGTGTCATATGTCTTGGATTGTTGGCAGATGTTTGCCAATACTTTCATCGCCTGGATGGTGATTGACGCGTTCGCACCGAAAAGGCTGATGCACGATTTGCGGTATCGTACCGTCACGTCATGGATGACAGTGATGTCACTGCGAGCCTCGCGTAGGCAGTACACATAATGCTCATAGATGCTCTGAACAGTTTTCTGATCTTGTAGTTTCTGGCTGATCTTCGGACTTTGCTGCAGGGTCATGAACAAGACCCGGCAAGGCTTCAACGCGTCCGCGTAACGACCTTGTTTGAATAGCTCGGTGGCGACAAACAGGAGTGGCTCAAACGCTTCCGGGTGACAGGTCTCTGAATCCTTGTTCAGGGACTGGATGATCTGGAGGTAGTAATCCATTACGATGGGTTGCGGGTGCGTCAGTCTGGCCAAAGTCCAAAGCTTTTGGATCACAATGGGATGCTCTGTACCAAATCGCTTGGTGTAATCGTGCAGCAGATTCTGATGAATTTTGATCACCTTGTCTGTTTGAGAGGTGCGCTCATATAGACGAAGAAGGTTCGTGGTGATTCGCTCCAAGGTTTCATATCCGCACGCTGGGCGATCGCGTCGAGCTGCGCGATAAAGTCGAGTACGAATATCCTCTTCTTTAGCCGGACGCCGGCGGGATCGATAGCAGTCAGCCAGGCACTCTGCGAGTTCAATGCAGTACTTGACTTGAGTGGATGGTAGCGTGACTTCTTCAAGCGATGGCGCAAACAACGATGGCCACACAGTTCGCAGCACACGTTTCAAAACAGTGGTAGCATCATGCCACCGGTGCTGAGACAGGTACTTTTCTATCAGAGTTGTGGCCGCTGTTGTAGAAAGCTGCTCGGCACTGGATGCACTGTATACTGTTTCCTTGAGAGTGGACTCCGTCATCAAGGATTCTGAGCGCATCACCTCCCGGGAGGTGGAGTTAATATGCTTTTCCACATCTTTGTACGTCGCACTTTGACTGCTAGTACTTTGTGCGCAGTGCTTGTAAACTTCGATGGCCATCACAGACAGCCCCACAGACTTCATGATTTGAGCAAGCTCCAGCAAATATGGCACCAGGGCTTCAGGGCTGGATGTTGTCTTCTCGTACTGTTCCCAATAACCGGCAACGATCGAGGCGGTTTCATTGTTCCTCTTGAGGCTTACAAGGAAGTGAGCATACTCGAGAACAACTCGCAACATGACGAGTTTGTGCTCAGTAGAGTGGCTAAGCCGATACTCCTGGCTTGCCTGCTGCCAAAGCTCGACATACGTTTGTTCTGCCTCTGTAACCAAATGCTCTGCCTTTTGCCGTTCGGCTTGCGCCAAGTGAGTTTTCATATCAAAAGACCAGGTAATCGCCTCATCCGACTCAATCCCGTCCAAGGTCAGTGTGGTACTTCTTTCCGTCGGGTCTTTACGACCGTTTAGGTGAACCAGTAAAGAGTCGTCTGCCTGTCTGGACCCCTTCCGTTGGGGCGTGCTATCATCGGAGGACCCCTCCAGAGCAAGGCTAATCTCCTGGGCTTTGCTGTGCTCTTGGATTAAAGTATAATGCTCGGACAACTGCGTCAATGTGGAGGTAACCATAAGGCTTGTTGTCCCATAGTGGACCTTGTAGCATTCCACTACAAGTTGAAGCATTTCAATGCGCCGAGTCATGACTTCCGTCTTAGATTCAGTAATTTTGTCCGCTGTGCTCTCCAGGAAAAACTGGGCCATCTGCATAGTGATGAGATGGCGGACGGATAGCATCTTCCGGCAAATCATCGCCGCCTCGTAGAATATTTGACTACTCTCGGCAGGCAGACTTGTGTAGATCTGCTTGTAAAATAGCGCCTGGGATAATTTTGCTTGTAAAGTGGCCGGGTGGTTGCTGCTCAAAATCTCGCGGTACAGTGATGTTTGAATCGTATGAATGGATCGGAGCGACGGAGCCATCTTGCTAGCCCACACGGTCATCTCGAGAAGGGGTACAGTAGGACTGGTGGGGAAGACAGATCGCAAGCTCTTGCCGGCTGTAGTAACATCTTGGTCGCTGGTACACCCAAACGCAATCTTGACATGACTCGGCCAGTATCGGAGCGCAAAGTCCAACAGTGGATGTTTCTCCAACAGATGTTCCGTCTCCCGTCTGTTCAGTAGGTCCACAGATGGTTCATGGCTGTCGGTCACATTGTTCTTTGTGTAAAGTAGGAGTCGTTGAGCGAAGTCGATATTCCGATCCTTGACTGCGGGTAGGAATTTACCCTTCGAGAAGACGTCCAATATCGCAGTACGTATTTGGGCATGTCTGAGATAGACCAAGTTATTTTGTAAGAAGACAAGCGAGGCGACCGGCTTCAGTAGCTGAAGGATATCAAAGTCATATTTCTCGGTGACGTCGGGCTTGTTCGGCTGCAAGGAGAGGAGAGCGGCCAGTTCCCTCTGGGAGAGAGGGCGGCTCGCGGTGGCCAGCAAGACGAGAATCTTCTTCGTATCCTCGTCGAGCTTGGGCTGCAAGGTATGGGAAACAAGGTCAGTGACTTTGTATCCGGCTTTCACGATGCTTCCAACGGACTTGAACAGCGCAGAATCACTCGTCAGGTTCTCATCGCGCACACGCTTGGCAGCCAATTTTGCCCAGAGGAAGGAGCCATCAGACGCCTCTGTGATACGGGACACCGTCACTTCTTGGTCATCCTCAGACATGGTGTCAAATGCATTGTTTTGATGAAGAATTCTGCGGGTAACTGCGGCGATATCGTCGAATATGAGTCCCAGTGTGACTCGCACCGTCGTCTGGGGGACAACTGACTCAAGTGCCTGAGATGCGAGTGTGATCAGTTTCATGGAGGAGTTCTTGAACGCGGTCGCATGAAGTCGATGTAGCAGGGCCTTCTCCGTGCAGCTAGCCTCGTCGATACCGTCGACTACCAAAATGAGCTCTCTAGCGCCGGCCAAACTGGCCTGAATAGAATTTGCTAGGGCGTCCCAAAGCAAATCTTCAAGTGATGCTTCATCGACAGTAAGCTGGCTCTGGCTGTAAGCATCTGCCAACACCTGATACAATTGCACATTGCCCAGGTGCTTGTTAAACATTTGGGACAAAATTCCCTTGATCACAGCGCTTGGTGTCGTGGTGGCGGGAATTCGACCATCTGGCAACACTTGTCAAAAAGATGTGGGCGATCTAAGGGCAGCGATACTTACTAATAGGTACTAGAATGGACGTATACCTCGTCCCTCCTACGGGATGCTGCAGGTAATCATTGATCACAGTTGACAAAACTGTCTTGCCGGAGCCCGGCTTCCCAATGAGGGAGAGCACCTGCTGCTCGCCTTTCAGGAATCGCGTCAAGTATGGCTTCATCCACATACAGGTGCCCTCCTCACGCTCTTGAGCTGAGGAGGCCATCTCTGTGATTTGAGCCAACGTCGGATCTTCAGGCTGCAACCAGTCTTTGAGAGTATTTATTCCAACAGCTGCGTCAATACGATTAGAATGGAACAGATGAGTTAAGACGCCCTGAAATAACTCTACCTTGATCGCCATTAAGACCCTCTCGCATCAATTGGTGGCGCCACATAAGTTCCGATGCATGCTCGCAGTGACTACGGAAACTCTCGATTGGACCAGGGAAGGTACTATGAATATCAACGGAGACCGACTCCGAGGAGAGTAGCAACCGGTGAAAGTGTCTGGCCACACAGACAACGAGGGTCACTAAGTCAGCCAACGCGAGAACAAGCTGGTCCTTGATATCAGAAGAGACCACAAAGAGCTCTGCACGATCTAGCAGGTTGCCGAGACCGGCAGAGCAGCGGTAAAAGAAGCCAAATAGGTCCATAAGGGCAGGGGCGTTCGACTCGCCCAACTACACGCTCGCAGTTAGTGAATTAGTTTCATAGCTTCAGGCGAGCAATTCATTTGACATACCTCAAGCAGACTCGCACAGTATCCATAGGAAAGCTGAGCAGCGAGGTGGCTGTCACCGGCAAACTGCTCGATACCTGAATCGAAAGAATGTACACGCTCGACAAATAAGGCCGCCCACACAAGGGCCTTATCATAGCTACTCCCCTCGGGCGGCAGCTTCTTCATTCGCTCGCACCGAATCCATTCCAGCAGGCTAGCATAGTCCGTATCAGACACTCGTGAGGCCGTAAGGTCATCACTGTCCCGGCGCGCAAGCGAGTTGACTACTTCAACGAGCGTGGTACCTTCTCCACTGGACCTCATACTAGTTTGCTGATGTGGGCTGAGGCGCATCTCTCTGGTTACTGTCGCATGCTGCTCTAGCGGTTCGGTTGTCCGCTGCAAGCCAAGAAGAGAAGTAGATGCCAGAGGAGGTACACCATGTGGTAATGAAGCCATGGCTGGCTTTGTTTCTTTGTCGTATTATCAAGTTATGGAATATTATGAGAGCTGTGATTCAGTTCTGTATGCTCGGAACTGGTGGTCTTCTTTATACCTTCACTCTTCCCCCTTTTTTCACGATCTTATTCAGTATCTTTGCAAAGTCCAAGACGTCAGTATGAGGCAGGTGGAAGTAGACCCAGCTGAGCCAAGTAACTGCACGCCCAAGGAAGATTATATATGCCTTGCCACTTTTATTGGTGTCGCAGCTTCGTAGAACGCTCGGAGCTTTTCAGTCGATTAAGTCATATTTGTGACGAACTCAGGCAAACAAAGAGCAAATGGCCTAATACAGGTATGTGGCCGAAGATCCTTGGAAAGCTCCTTCCCGAACAGAGTCAAGTCTCCGAATCAGCTTTCCTTGGCAAATGGGGGCGTAGAGTGACCTCGACTAAGTTTGCACCGCAAATTCGAAAGGGTGGAAGACTTACGTCGTTAGAGCAACGACAAAGACCGAGCAGGACTGTGATATTGGATCGGTACGGGAAGCTCCCGTGGTCACGAACCACATTTGATTGCAGATCCAGATCCACCTCGTTACCACAGAAAAACGACCATGGGGACGTCCAATGTACCCATGGTTATGTATTTGGAATCACCGGCACGAAGAAAATACAGGATATGGAACTTCAATCCTGAAGCAGCCGGTGATGTAACAAACGAGTTCTCTTTCCTCGCTGTCAATTTCTTAATTAGCAGTAACATCATACTTTGGAACACTCCTAACCAAACAGACCCTCGAGTCTAAAGTTCGATTCAATCATGATAGTTGTTGAGGAACAATATGGGGAAGCACCATTTATTTGTCCAAGATATCACCCCCATTGGAAACCACGAGGGGAAGATAACGTTGTGAAATGGGTCCCAATTCAATTCAAAAGGGTGACGAATGCAATGAAATAAACTCAATTGAGAAGTTACTTTGAAAGGCGGCATTGGCCGACCTGCGAGCCGGTCAAAACGAATCGGTTTGTTTCAAAATTACTACTGCAATCTGTTGTTGCCATCAGCTCACGAGTCAGTTTGCCTCACGTATCTCACCTTACTGATCCATGTTTACTTGTACATACCCTTCATCTATCATTCTATACGTTGGGCTTTATTGGAAATCATGCGTTCCTTTTGAATGTGATATGCATTGATAAATTAATATAGGTTCTGGTATTGAATATAGCTAAGACGGGTGAACTCTACCATAAACGACATGCCTCCACTGTTCCGTCGCGTCCCGGCCCTTCGGTCATAACCTCATTGTGTCCCCACATGGACGCAACCGGCATGTCGCATGGGCCGCAGAATCATAGCAAACATAGAGAATCTCAATTTTATTTCACGGAGAGAACATAATAGCTCTTCAATGGACTTACAATGATCAAGGAACAAAAGAACAAAGGTGCTAATTACTTTGGACGCGGCGGCGGTGAACTTCATGACATTGAAACGCAGCATAGGCGAATCCTGAAAACCATTTGGGTCAAAGGATATCTGAGACCTCAAAGTCCGAACGGTCGCAGCCCCCCGCTTTGAAAATTGCTAGGCCTTACGGAAGTTCCGACCTAGACTTCAAGCCATCTGGACAACCTCAGGAATTTACCACGGTTCGCAGAGTTGTCATACTCAGAGCATTGATCCCGGGCCCTAAAAATGTTAGCCCCCATCGTCATGTTCATGTTCATAAAGTATAAAATTCGAATACCATGGCCATACTACATGTCTAGCCCAGTAGCTCTCTCGCTCATTGTCTGGAAATTTCAACAGCCAACGAGTCGCATAGTCGCGCAACATCTACAATGGATTATAGATGCTGGGTTGCTGTTTGGGATCTAGTGCACGAAAAGTATATGAGTGCGCAAACTTTCCTCTCCTCGTGGCTTACACCTACCTATTCGCACAAGGACCTAACTTGGATCTTATCACAAATCTAATAGGGTGGTCATTCATTTTCGACGATTCGCTTGACAAACCAGGCATTCTCAAGGCCTCGCTAACACACACTACAATTATTCTGAACACTTACCGCAACATCATGGATGGTAGTGCTATCGATGCACCTTAGACTCCGCTCGTCGCTTCTTAGAGGGAGCTTCTACACTTCTGTGCGGGAACGATCATCTAAAGAATAGCTCGGCACTATGCGTATTAGGAGAGCTTGTTTGAAGCATCCCAGATAGAGGCAGAGAACAACGCCAAAGGAATTGTTCCAGAAATCAACGATTATCTAGAACTACGACAAGCTACAGGGAGGGGGGGAGGGGGGTTAGGATTTGCCTTGACTAGGCTAAAGCAATTGGCGGCTTCGAGGTTCCTAGTCTTATCTATAAGGACCCGAATTTCCTCTAATTTCGGGAATCTACCGACGACGTGGTCACTATAACAAATGATATTTTCTCTGTGAGAAAGGAGTACAAGGGTGGCAACACCGACAACATTGTCCTTGTGCTCGCAAAGCAAGAACACTCTGTATGGCATCAAGCGATAAAAGCCACCCGAGACCCCATTGTGAAGACAGTGGCCGATTTCCAAACAACTGAAGCCAAATTTCTGTAGAGCACTCGCTTTTCTAACCTTGCACAACAAGAGGAGTCAAAACCTCTGAAACTTTTGGATTCAATGAAATACTAGATACGCGGAAGCCTTGAATGGCATTTGACTAGTCCTCGGTACCATTAATTGGATCTTACTGTGCATCTATGGCTTTCGCAACATCGGGCGCTTTTCCCCTTGGAAAAATGTAGATGCTTGGATTTCCAAGGCACCTGGGGCTTTGGGCCCGAACCTCGGGCCCATTGGTGGGCTTTGCGGAAGGTTAAGTATGCCTATGCTGAAATTATAATGTAATATCGTTGTGCTGAACTGTCCGAGAACACCGCGGCGAGAACTAAATAAGGGGGACAATTTATTGAGGGAGTTTTTCCGTACTAGAGCCAAGTGGAAAATGTGGGGAACTTTTAGTTCTGACAAGGTACATTATCTTAGAAGCACACCTGGGTGTGGTATATAACCCAGCCATGCTCCCCCCCCTCATCCGCCTAATTACCGCGACGTAATTCACTCCCACCGCTACCGCCAATAACAACAACAACAACAACAACAACAATGAGAGAAGGCCTCGACCTCCCCGAATTTGGGTACCTCCCATTCGACCATTTCGTCGTAGTAAGCGCCCCCCGGTCCTCAGTACACATCTGCAAGAGCAAGTCTATGCTAAGCTCTCTATTTGCCCAGGCAAACTGGGACACGACATCCCCGCGCTCCAAAAACGAGCAAAAAAGAATCCTTGTTGAGAAATGGATCGCGCTAGGAAAATATGGGCGAAACGTATCTATCTACCCACTACCCTATTCATTCAATGATCACCACCTACTAACCAAACTCCCAGGACTGGGCCCTCGCCATGTTCGATAACCCAATCATCGATCATGTTCCAGAGGGGGTACCGCAAGACCTCCTCTTAGAGGAAGACCGCGCAATTAGTAGTCTGCTCTCGACAGTCCTATGGATCCGGACCTGGTTCGGCGATCCTACAGATAAAACAAGCCAAGAAGCCGTAGACACGGCGTACGCCCGACTCCGGAAGGATGTCCTACAGCAGGGCCGCGAGAATAACCACGTTTTCTGTATCCCCGAGGAGTTCGTCTTCGAGGATCGGGAGGAATTAACAGCAGATGCCCAGCGGGACCAGGATGTGATTAAAGGCGTTGCGACAGGCCGTCCGGGTTCCGTACCGGTTTATCTACTTGCGGCGCTGATGCACTGCCCTGAGCTGTTTGAGGGGATGTCGGATAGTGCATGGCGGTATTTTGAGGGGGAGGAGCGGGCTAAGGAGCTGGAGGAGAGTGATCAGACACAGAAGGCGCTGGTTCTTGTTGCAGATCGGAAGGCCTGTGAGGAGGGTTGGGTGCTGGCCCTGGCGGTGAATCACCGGGGGGAGATCCTTCCGGTTAGGGTGCGTGAGCGGGCCACGGAGGCGGCGCAGATTGCCGTGAATTGGTTTGAGGGCGAGCCTTTGTCGGAGATTGTGGATGATGAGGATGAAGACGTGGAGTTTTACCTGGGGGAAGGGAATGGGTGGGAGTAGCTATGAGTAGTAGATTCCTGGATGCTCCTATGGAAGCTCCTATATACATGTTCTATTGTACTTAAAGAACAGAGATATGGCTACCTAGAGTGTAGCAGTAAGAGGGAAAAGACGGAAGAGCGTTGCCTCCAAGGTCGATAATATAGAGATCTATAATACGAAGAATACTAATGACGAGGATAACGGAAGTTATCTACTACCCGCAATACAGGCTAGGCTATATAGCCAGAGGATAAGGAAGCCATCAAAACTACTAAAAGGATTTGAAGGTAGGTTTTGTTGCATTCTTTTACAATGTTCTTTACGTCTAAAATGGTCGGACCAACAGGAAGCGTCACAACTCATAATCTTAACATATTTTGCAGAGTTTAAACTTGATTGGTATTCGGTACAAGCTTCTACTATGTGGCAGCATAGTAAATTGAGGTACTTCTCGCCATTTTCGAATTCTTTTGTGCGTGCTGCTAATCGAGTAAATATTATTAATTTATTGCATTAAATTGCCAAGCATCTAATGCTATTTTAGGCGTAAAAAATAATGTAAAACAATTTGCTGGACATGGGATGATATACAGCTAATTTATTAGCGTTATTGCCCATGTGAGGGAAGGAATGGGGTTTGTGTTTTTAGCATTGGACTATATACACCTCCCCGAAAGTAACTCCACTATGGAAGATTCTTCGCGCGAATACTTGCAGGATATCTGTCACCCTGTAGCCAGTGAGCAGTTCGTAAAGTACAATGTGGTGGCAGCTGTGCGCACGTGTTCCTCTAACACCTGTTGATTTGATAGCAGGGGTTTTAGACTTCTAGACGGCTAATATATAGCTAATTTATTAGCATTATTGCCCATGTGGGGGTGAGGTGGGGGTGTCTTTTCAGCAATCGACTGTATATACACTGTGCCTGAAATCTACAAAAGGCAGGCGTCGTAGGCAATATAGTCCAGGCCGGCACATTCTCGGGGACTCCTTTCTTTTGTCAACACCATGAAATATTTTACCCTGGCACCGTTGGCACTTGTAGCAGCACTATCCACCACCGCGGCAGCGTCGGGCTTGCCTGTGGTGGCAAAGCATCATGCACCACCTGCACCAGCGCATCCAACCCGGGTCTCAACCTATTACCCGGACTTTGCAACCCTGAGTGTTCCTGTGCCACAAATCACCCTTCCTCTCGCTGCGCCATCAGGATACGTGCTGGGTGGTAATGTGACGGCGCAACCTACCCCTTCCCAAGCCTCGAAGGTCGCGGTCTGTACAGTCATTCCTCACGGCTGGGGACGTGATGACTCGCAGCAGATCCTGGCTGCAGTCGAAGCATGTGGAACCGACGGCGAGATTACGCTCCCGGCCCCCTATGTCTACACCATTGGCAGCCGCCTGTACATGAATCTCGTGCGCGCCAAGCTCAATATCTTTGGCACCCTCTCCTTCACCGCGGATCTTGGATACTGGATTGACAACTCCCATCGCGTGGAGTTTCAAAATCAGAGCACGGCGTGGATTGTAGAGGGCGAGGACTATGTCATTTCCGGCGGAGGATGGGCGCAGGGTGGTGTTAATGGCAATGGGCAGGCCTGGTATGGACGGGCGGCCGGCCAGAGCAACCAATACGGTCGGCCCATCCCGCTGTCCATCTACAACAGCACCAATGCCACCGTCCAGGATCTCTCTTTCATTAATCCGCAGTTCTGGACATTTTGGGTCCAAGATTCCTACGATGTGAGTCTGACGGGCATCTACATCAACGGCACTAACACTGACCCCTACGGCAATGGCTCCAACTGGGAAACCAACATTGACGGACTCGACTCCATGCGTGTGAACGGCTTGCTCCTGGAGGATTGGGTATTCCATGGCGGCGATGATTGCTTCGCGCCAAAGGGGAACTCAACCAATATGACCCTGCGGAATATGACGTGTGTCGGGGGAGGCATTGCCTTCGGCAGCATCGGTCAATATCCCGAATCGCCTGACTATATCTCTAACGTCTCGGCAACCGATATCTCTGTGCGTCAGGCAATAAGCCCCGTGTATGGCGGAAGCACTGTCGGTGGCGGTGCCTACTTCAAGTCCTGGGTTGGCGTCGAGGAGGGTGTGCCCCCGCAAGGAGGCGGCGGTGGTACCGGACGGGTGTGGAATGTGACCTTCCACAACCTGAATGTCCACAACGCAACGCATGCCGTTTACATGAACAAGTGCTACTACAAGGTGGCCGACCAGGCCAACTACTGTGATACCTCCACACTGGAATTCGAGGACCTCACCTTTACCAACGTTACGGGTCTAGTCTCTTCGCAGTATGGCATCTCCTTCAATTGTTCTGCGGCGGCCCCCTGCAAGGACCTTGCGGTGTTTGACTTGGACGTGACTGTGAACAACGGGACCATGTCCGGAGTCTACTGTGATAATGTGGACAGCTTAGCGGGAATTAACTGCACAGCATAGAAATTCACTCAGGAAGTCAGGGATTGGTAGATATCAGATCTAGGATCTATAGACCCGAGTAAATACTCTTAAGCATACTTTATATATCGCTATTAACATCTCTCTCGTACTTATTCAAACTAATTTGCTTATAGGAGCCAGTCGCCGGGTAATCATGGTTCTAAATTTCCCTAATACTGTGTAATAATATTAACAGGTCTCATAAATTCTATCAATATGACCGTTAACGTTATAATGTAACTTTGTACGCGCTGCTCTCAACGATTTGTCACAAGCCAACTCCCTCAGGTCATCTATGCAGCCGTTAATTACATTGCGCGTGACTTTGAAAACATTATTGATGAGCCACTATCAATTTTTACAGTTCCCGGAGACGTTCAAGGGCAGTCTGTCAATCCTTCTTGCCCCCAAGTATGATCGAAGAAGCATTCAGGAACTTGCTTCTGCTTGAGTATCCAGGATTTAATGCCGATGCCAATTTCACCCAAAGTCTGAGTCTGTTTTCAGAGAAGTCTGTACTCTTGGTGGGCTTTTACAAATCAAGTCGAAGCGGTGTCAGTAATGCTTGACTGAACGCCTGGTTTAACCATTATGTTGAACACGACCCATCCACCTGTCCCGGAATTATTATTGCGCATAAATATATGTTACAGACTTGGATGATTTTTCTTCTTGATTTGTGGCCAAAACAGTGAGTTCATTTAACGTTATCCCAGGGCATATTACTAAGACTAATTAAGCAGATAAACCAGCTTAGATGCTCGAACTTTGCCTTCTCGTAGCATCTGGAGGCCATTTAAAGCCCCCGCCAAGCCTCCTGACTTCACCTGATATGGATGAGGCAGAATGCGACGCTCTTCAAGAAGCTTTTGCGCTGCAGCCCACCATTTAACGCCAAATTCAAAATTACTGGCATCTGGTGAGGTTTCTTGAGTCCCCATGCGGTAAGGCTCTCCCAACACGTCGTAAGCCATTGAGACATGCGAATCAACATCATCTCGTGCTGATTGGACATCCAGCAAGGCATTATAACAGCCTCCTGCGGAAGAGATGGCAGCGCTGCAGATAGCCGCTGACTGGGGAGTGGAAATTGTGTCGAGAACAAACTCCAGGGCATCATCAGTATCCTCCCTGATCTGGTCACCAACCTGGGAATCATGATAATCGAAGACAGCGTCTGCCCCAAGTTCAAACATCAAGCCGCGGTTGGCTTCAGAGCATGTCGTCACCACCCGTAGCCCGGAGAGTTTTGCTAACTGAATAGCAAGAGTACCAGTAGCCGTTGCTCCTCCGTAGATTAGGATATTGGCGCCTTCTAATTCGTCGGGATTTGCTCCAGGGAAGGGCAATTCCATGCTCTGATAAAGATTCTGACCAACGGTTGTCAAACCAACACCGAAGGTGGCGGCAGCCTCGAAACTCATGGAGTCTGGGATATGAATTTGGATGTCACCCTTGGCAATCACATATTCGGCAAATGCTCCGCCATTGGTACGCACTGCATTGCTGCCATGAACAAATCCAGCCACGCGATCCCCTTTCTTGAAGGCTTTCTTGACCTGAGGACCAACGGCTTCAACTATTCCAGCATAGTCGCAGCCCACAATGGCCCCATTACACGACACAAAGTCAATATGACGCCAGTCTGTGGGATTCAAAGCCACTAGGTGGTATCTTAGCTATTGCGGACGAAAGACGGGCATTGACCCAAGCCAGAGAAAGAAATACCAGCTTTTGTTTTGATTAAAATGTAGTCATCAGGCAGCTCTGGAAGCGGGACATCTTGACTCAGGATCGCGCGACCTGGTTCCTGGACGACGATGGCACTCTGAGTAGTCATTTCCAATGGATGCCGTGATCGAGGAAAGAACGACGAGAGAGAGGACGGAAGGTTCCCGTATTTGCCAAGGTTATTGGTCTAAATAGCGAACCCTGACATATGAAGGCCCTGTTTTCGTGTCTTTGCTAAGGGTTCTTAGAAGACCCAAACATTTCAGTCTAGCGAAATGCACACGCCAGTACCCACCCGCAATGGGGCTAAATCAAACCATTGGCTTTGGCGCTGTGGGGGGTCTGACTGGTAAGTGAGAGTTCCCCATTTGAGTAAGATTGTCCACATGTACATACATGCACTGTCCATAGGCCATATGTAGTGCGGATGTGGGTGATCAATTTGTGGGGGGAGGGGGGGGGGGAAGGGGCAAGTCCGCCCAGGGTTGTTCTAGAGTCACGTAACAGGTATGGAAAGAACTGATAGGAATGTTTAAAAAGCCAAAGGCTACATACAGCCCTTGCTCTTTACTGACTGTACAATAGACAAACCGCTAGTATCACCACGTTCGAGCCCGCGGACCGGAGTAAGGGGCGAGGGCGGCCCGGGGTCCTTAGGGCCGAAACTTTGTCTAAGGGAAGACTTCAACAGAAAAACTCAAAGTCGCAATTTCTTCCTGAGCACGAGGGAAAACAAGTATCGACGGAGTCCCGGGAGCCCGGAAAGGTGGGATCTCAATCAGGGGCTGGGAAGTGATCGTTCCCCACTGCGGTCTGTGAATTTAGGATCTCACCAACAAAAATTCCTGCATCAGCGATCGTCGGCTGTGACAGATGAGATTGGCTCGGCGCACTCCAGATTATGAGTGTGGATCCATGTGGGCTGGTGGAGTATGCATGCTATGAAGATCATTACCCCTAACCTGCATTACGGTGATCTTGAAATACAGTGACCGAGACTGGTAAGCTCTTGTCTCAATACATCGTACACTATCAACACCTTCTCGGTGTAGCTCCATGTATTGTAAAGCCTAGATAGTCATGACTTCCGTTGTCCTAGTGCATTCGCATTGGCGATCTGGTTCGTCGCATTCCCCACTGGGTAATTTTTTACGGGTTCTTCCTTCCTCAGTCGCACATTCGAAGGGATTTTAGGAGTTGAACAGAATATCTGTTGTGCCCATACACAAAACGATCAAGACCAATTCTAGTCAATTGGCTTAAGGCTGTCATCAAGATTGTAAGAATTCATAGTGCATGGATGGGGTCTCACCGACCCGAGCTCACAAGTTATATAGCGCTGTTTGGAGAGTTCCGTAGCTCCACTGCACGTTCTCCGCTTGCTAGATAGCCACTAAAACATGCATGTGAACTGCGAGGCTTCCCGCACTTATAACACTAGCCTCTACCTTACGATTAATGGCCTGAGTGGAGAAGGGCTTGCCGAGGCTAGCTGAGTAGCTCATCACCGAGTATAATACCCCACAGCCTCCCAACTCTCCGAATTCAACAACCTTATCCTTAATTCATTTGACACTTACAAGATGCCCGGCCGACCGACGGCGACCTCACCCCACCCAGAAATGGAGGGAATTGCAGTCATCGGAATCGGGTGTCGCTTTTCTGGAGGTGCAACATCTCCCGAAGATTTCTGGCAGATGCTATGTGAGGGTCGCACTGGACACGGAAAGATTCCTTCAAGCCGATATGAAGCTTCTGCTTGGCATCATCCGAGTCATGATCGCAAAGGCGCGGTGTGTATTTCCGACTCGGCTCACAGTCTCACTATTTCTTCGAGGATGTCAGCTGACACAATAGCTAGATTAATCATGACAGCGGATTCTTCTTGGAACAAGATCCCTCCCGCTTTGATGCACCCTTCTTCTCCATTACCGCCAAAGAGGCCGCGGGAATGGACCCAGCACAGCGTTTGCTGCTAGAGGTTGCATATGAAACTTTCGAGAACGGTCAGTCAAGTCCGCATCTCAAATTACAGAAAGACCGAAAGAGCTAAGAGTCGCATAGGCGGTATTCCAATCGACTCACTTCCAGGGAGTAACACAGCAGTGTACTCCGGGTCGATGACCAATGATTATGAGTTATTATCAACTAGAGATATTTACGATATGCCTCACAACTCTGCAACTGGAAATGGAAGGACTATGCTAGCAAATCGCTTGTCATGGTTCTTCGATCTCCAAGGTCCCAGTATCATGATGGACACCGCATGTTCCTCAAGTTTGACTGCAGTGCACCTTGCAGCTCAGTCTCTGCGTTCGGGCGAGTGCGGAATGGTAAGTTCTGGACCATTAGCCAGTCTGAGTTAAGCTAAATTTTGGGTCACAGGCACTTGTCACTGGAGCCAGCTTAATTTTACATCCGAATTTCACACAACGGCTCTCTTACATGCATATGATGAGTGCAGATGGCACAAGTCACTCATTTGACGAGTCTGCTAATGGCTATGGCCGAGGAGAAGGAATTGGCGCGGTGCTTTTAAAACCCCTCAGCGCTGCTTTGGCCGATGGTGACAATATTCGAGCCGTCATTCGCGGTACAGGTATTAATCAGGACGGTCGTACTCCTGGAATTACTTTGCCAAGTCCGACATCACAAGCAAATCTGATCCGGTCGACATATGAGCGGCACGGAATTTCAATGAAAGACACTGCATATTTTGAAGCACATGGTACCGGTACGCCAGTCGGAGTGAGTTAACCATCCACGACAATATGTGTGGGCTTTCAGTGTCTGACTAGATCAATAGGATCCCATAGAATTGTCCGCTGTTGGAATGACTTTAGGTGAAGCACGATCAGCGACCGACGAGCCGATATATGTAGGCTCCGTGAAATCGAACCTCGGCCACACCGAAGGAGCTGCAGGTGTGGCTAGTTTGATCAAGGTCGTTCTTTGTTTGGAGAAGGCCACATTAGTGCCAAATGCAGGCTTCAAAAAAATTAACCCCAAGATTCGTCTTGACGATTGGCGTTTGCGCCTGAGTGACAAAACGATACCCTGGCCAGATCATCTACCACAACGAGCTAGTATTAACTCATTTGGATTTGGCGGGTCAAATGCGCACATCATTATTGAAAGCACCAAAGAAGCCTTCAGGGGTAATGATGAAGACAGAGAGCCTCCTCCCCGTGTTGTGGTTTTCTCTACATTTGACCAAGCTGGTATTGACCGACTAGCTGAAAGTTGGAACACCTTCGTCCAGCGTCAGCAAAAGGCCGAGCAAGAAATCCCGATGAAAGATCTTGCCCATACGATGCTGAATCGCCGTTCTCAATTGGGCTTCCGCAGCTTCGCAGTTGCCAACACAGGGGATCAACTTGGGGAGATCCTGGAAAAGGGTCTGCCTAAGTTTGCCCGAGCCAGTCGCAAAATTCATACGCGAACCGCTTTTGTCTTCACTGGTCAGGGTGGTCAGTGGGCTGGTATGGGCCGAGAGCTTTTGAGAGCCGAAGTTTTTAGAGAAAGCATGGCGCGTTCACAGGAGATCCTTTCATCTATGGGATGTCCGTTTGACATTGTTGAAGAAATTCGACTCGAGGCAAAGGAGAGCCGTATCAACCGACCTGATCGCAGTCAGCCTATAACTTGTGCTTTACAAATCGCTTTGGTTGATCTTTTGGCCAGCTGGTCCGTTCATCCCAATGCAGTTGTCGGACACTCCAGTGGTGAAATTGGTAAGTGAACCTTTCATATACTACCTTGTCTGTAATCCCAATCAAAAACTATAGCTAACAGGGATTTACCCTATAGCCGCTGCCTATGCTGCTGGTTATCTCTCACACGCAGATGCCATGCGGGTCGCATGGTTCCGTGGCTTCTTTTCGCAGCAGATCGCAGAGAGTGACAAGCGTGGAGGTATGCTCGCTACCGGAATCTCGGCAGATGCTGCAAAGAAGTACCTTGACGAACTTCCGCCAAGATCAGTCGTTGTGGCCTGCGTCAATAGTCCTGCCAGCACAACTCTTTCTGGTGACGTGGACCTTATCGACCAGCTTGAAGTCAGGCTACAGAAAGACGGCCACTTTGCTCGAAAGCTGCGCATTGACACAGCTTATCACTCTCCTCATATGGAAGAGCTAGTGGATGTGGTCGGAAATGCTATCGAGTGCATCAAGCCGGAAGATCGCCACAATGGCTCGATTCCCATGCTTTCATCCGTCACAAAGGAGCGTGTTCATTCTGCCGAACTTGGTGGATCATATTGGGTGCGAAACATGGTCAGCTCGGTTGAATTCACGGCCGCCGTCTTGCAACTCGCAACCCTAAATGAGTCTAGCAAGGCTCGCCGTCGGCCGGTTCCTGTCAAATGGACCTCGCTGGTTGAGATTGGCCCTCACGCAGTGCTCAAGGGACCAGTCACTCAGATATTAAAAGCTGTCAACACAAGCATGTCTTCTCTCCCTTATCACTCCTTGGTTGCGCGTAACCAGCACGCGTTGCGAACGGCACTCGAGACTGCTGGCTCTCTTTGGAGCACAGGTCATGATGTAGACCTTGCTGCGGTCAACAGTAGTGTCGATAACACAACCCCATCAGTCGTTTCTGATCTGCCTTCTTATCCATGGAACCACCAAACATCATTTTGGCATGAACCGCTGGAGACAGCTCAGCTCAGACAGCGCAAACATCCACGCCATGACATTCTAGGCGCTCCCCTAGATTATCAAAATGCCTTGGAGCCACGGTGGAGAAACTTCCTGCGCTTGTCAGAGAATCCTTGGATGGCTGATCACGTGGTGGCTGGATCGATTGTCTTCCCAGCTGCAGGTATGCTTGTGATGGCCATTGAGGCGGCCCGTCAGCTCGCCGATGATCAGGCTAAGGTGAGAGGAATCGAGTTTCAAGACGTTCGCTTTATGCGCGGAGTGGTCATCCCAGACGAGGATCGGGGTCTGGAAACCGTTCTGCAAGTCTCCCCTCACCCAGGAATCTCAGGCTGGTACAAATTTGGCATCTTCTCCCTTCCCTCTGGGGGATCCTGGATTCAGCATGCGAAGGGTACATTTACTATGCGATACGAGAACCGAGAAGATGATGAAGTGAATGCAAACTGGGAAGCAGCTGTGGGCCGCATCAAGAACACACAGTCAACTGCACAAAAGGCCGATGTTGGGGAGGCATACCAATGGCTTTCTCATACTGGAGGACTGACAGTTGGCCCAGCCTTCAAGACCATCACCGGCGTCTCATTCTGTGAATCAGAGCCCCGTTTGTGGCTGTCAGGTGTTGTCACAGAGACAAAGCAAGCAATGCCCCACGAAATCGAGACGCCAAGTTTTATTCACCCCACGACTCTTGATTGCCTCTTCCAGTCTACTCTTCTGTCCTGTTCTGAAGCTCTGTCGAGCAACAATGCCAATATCCCCGTTGGGGTGGACCATATCTATATCGCCGATGCCTTCCAGCCAAAGTCTGGTGAGCACTTTGCTGTTCATACAGAAAGTCAGTGGCGAGATGGCAAATCCCGATCTAGATGTATTGCGTCCGATCCCTCTTGGTCACAGCCCTGGATTACATTCGAAGGTGTTCACCTTGGCCGTTTGCCTTTCAATCCCAACTCTCAAAAGAAGGAGGATGCGGCATCTGACAGCAGATACTCCTCCGTGGTTTGGGGTGAACACTTGGAGTCACCCATTGTGACTGGTCAGAGCCCATCTGACGGCAGTAAAGGCACCGTTGTTGAAACCAGTGATTTGCAGCTAGGAGACTGGATCAAGCGTCTGTGTCATACAAATGGTGATGCGAAGGCATTGATCACCACTTCAAATACAAACTACTCCTGGGTTGAAGACCTGGAAATGGTACCGGGTGCCGGAAAGCGACCCTGCCTAGGAAAGCTCACAGTTGCCTTGTGTGGCTTTAAGGATGAAGAGAAGAGCGATACCCAGAACAACCTGGTGGGGACACAAATTGTGCCTCTCAATGCACTTGGTGAAATTCCATCCTCTTCTCTTGCCGACCAGTCGTTTGATCTTGTCGTTATCGACGACCTCAGTCTTTGGGAAGGCGAAACCCCACAGGCAATTGCTTCGCTCCTTCCGAACATTCTTGAGCATGGTGGCTTTGTGGCAATGCGCGTCTCAGATCAAAATCTTGAATCTGCGGTCGAGGCGTTGCAGCAATTCAGTGGTCTTGACATTCACAGCATGACTGAGGATCGCAACTTTATTATCACGCGCAAGACGCCAGTACAGTGGACAACAGATTCCGAGATCTATATCTTGAGCCCAACAGACAAGTCCAACTCTTTCCCTGTGTTTGACCACCTTGAGAAGATCTTTGCCACCCATAAAGTTCGCCTAGTTTCTGTTGGATTAGAACAGATCCCTGCATTGGAAAACAAGACAGTGATTTCATTGCTAGATCTGGCCGGCCCTTGGGTGTCTGAATGGACAGCCATTGACCTCAAGCATCTCCAAGAGCTCATTCACGCACAATATGTTCTTTGGATCTCACCATTCTGGGCTCAAGGAGGTGTTGAGAATGTCGGATCAGGCGCTACGGTCGGTCTTCTCCGCACACTTCGTAACGAACATTGGAATACTAGTATTCCACAGCTGCTTGTGGACGAAGAAGATTTGCAGGATCAATTTGGGCTGGCTTGTGGAATTTTGCAGGTCATGCAGCTCACCACGCAGGAAAGTTCCCGCCGTCATGATTTGGAGTACCGTCTATCGAATGGTCGACTTTTAATCCCACGTGTCCTCGAGACCTCTGCAGTTGATGAGGCTATGCAGACACTGGTCAACGGTCCCAAGCCTGTATTAGCAGATCTGGCAATGGACTCTCGACCCCTCGAGCTGAAGATCGAGGACGCAAATCGTGCCCACTGGGCGGAGCAGCAAGTTCCCGAAGGAGAATTGCCGTCAGACCATGCCGAGCTCAAGATTGAGATGGCCGCGGTCTTTGAATTGAACGGAGACCTAGGTAAAAGCCCCGAGACCGCCCTACCAATGATTGAAATTTCCGGGAAGGTCACCCGGATTGGATCAGGAGTGAACGATCTCAACGTTGGCGACAAGGTTTTGACGCTGTCTTCGGCAAAATCTGGACTTTCCACAACAATTCGCGTACCGGAGAGCGACATCATCAGGATACCAGCAAACACAAATCCTGCACAGGCAATTTCAACTCCTCTCGCCTACCTCAATGCCTATCAAATCCTCACAGAAGTGGGTCGCCTGCGCGCAAATTCATCTGTTCTCTTGGTTGGATCGATCAGCCAAACCCTACGAGCTATGATTGATTATGCCCTTGTCATGGACATGCATGTTATCGTGGCTACCGACTCCCAGGCTACTTCTGATATTCTCTCTTCCCGCTACCCGCACCTTCAGGATCGGATCCTTGGTATCCATGGCAGCCTGGAAGCAAGTGTATCCAGACTGACCAACGGAAGTGGAGTGGAGGCTGCTATAGGTTTCCTAGGTGGATATTCCGGCTGTGTTGCGGCAAGATGCTTGGTTCAAGGCGGCCAGTACATCAATTTGTCCAGTGATATGAAGTTGAGTGCTTTGCCTGAAAGCTTCATCGAAAGTGGTTGCACCTTCTCCTCACCGAAACTGCAGAGAACATTTTCAGAGAAGCCTGGTAGCCTTCACGCCTCAGTTCGCCATGTCATTGACTTTATGAAGAAGCACAAGATGCTGGAGCGTGTGGAACCCTACGCTACTTTCCCTGTTGCCGATGTACAAGCAGCCCTGAAGCATTGCAAGGATACTGATACCCGAGCTATAGTGGACCTTCAGGCCCCTGGTCAAGTTCCAATCGTTCTGCCGTTGCCCGAGCTTGCCGCTTTACCGTCGGATAAGACTTATATCCTGGCTGGTGGATTGGGAAACCTTGGCCTTGCTCTTGCTGAAACTTTGGTACAGTCCGGGGCCCGTCATCTTGTATTCCTGGGCCGATCTGGTGGCGTCCAGCATGATCAACAACTCGCCCTTGACTTGTTTAGAGGCCGGGGATGCACTATCGACGTCGTGCGCTGTGACATCTCCAGGAGAGGAGACATTGATCACCTTGAATCCAAGATCCGCAACAAGAAGTGGACAGTTGGAGGTGTGATTCAGTGCACAACAGTCCTTAAGGTAATCACTCTGCTTTCAGTTATTGTTTACACCAGCTAACTCATTGCAATATACAGGACACAATGTTCGAGAAGATGTCATTCGATGATTGGACCCAATCGACTGATTCCAAGATTCGCGGCACATTGAACTTACACCATCTCTTCCCCAAGCAAGCAAGCTTGAACTTCTTCGTGGCACTATCTTCTGTGGCAAGCGTCATTGGAAACATGGGTCAAGCTAACTACTCTGCTGGAAATGGTTTCATTGATGCTCTCATGGAATGGCGCCGAGGCAATGGCCTTCCCGGCCATTCCATCAATATTGGCCTTGTTCCAGATGCTAGTGGGCTCAGTGATATCAACGAAGATCAAGAGCAGCGCCGCCGCCGCTACAAGCATCTTGCGGGTACAGAGATCATGACGCACGAGCTTCAAACCTTGTTGCGTGTGATCATCAACAGCAAGCTTTCTTTGCCTTCGCAGATTGTAGCCGGTATGACCGACTCCCTGTCTCGCAAAAATGCTCCTTCTGCTTGGCTTTTCGATCGCAAGTTTGATCACCGGCTTGCCCTTGCTGTTGAACAAAACGAGACAGCCGAAGTCCTCACCAGCACTTTGCTGAAAGAGTCCGGCTCAGTTGATGCCGCAACTCAGATTGTCGTCGACTCTCTGAGCGAATATCTGGCACATGCAATGGCTACTACAGCTGATTCTATCGACCCGGATCTACCTCTGTCTGCCTTGGGTGGTACGTCTGCACGATTCCTTTCCCCTGTGATCTTGCTGTTTACTGACTATACTCTCTAGTGGATTCTCTCAAAGCTACAGAGGTGCAGAATTGGGTCTCGCGTGAATTGGGAGCTGAATTGTCCTCTTTCGAGTTCCTTGGATCACAACCGACCAAGGCATTGGCAAGAAAGATCGCCTCAGCTAGCTCTTTCGTCTCCGAATCGAGCTGAAGCAATAGTGCGATCTAGCCCTGATGTCCGGGAAAATATTTACTAGTGATAGACTTTGACTCGTATTTTAAAATATAGTTTAATACCCTTGAGACTTATTTGGCTTGTCTCGTGTGCTACCTTCCGTGTCTTAGCCCCTGTCTCTTGTGTTGGTCATATAAATCGATGTCGAATGTGTAAAACTGTGTATGTTACTTACAATACCCCGTCATGAAATGTTAGGCCCCAGTGCCCCAATAGTTCGTGGAAATATGCACGAAGGTCCACAGTGACGGCCTATAGTCGACTTCCACGGTGGCACTGGTGGGTCTCGGATTATTGCCATCACTCATCTAATCGCTCTCACATGCCGGTCGGGATACCGTTCAGCCTCAGAGAATTTGGAACTATGTAGATGTAGATGCAGTAGGTGTAGATCAAGCGTGGAGTACAGTAAAAGGGTGTGAGAGGCAAGGCCTGGTTGCTTGGCGGTGAGCGGCAGAGCTCAATACACGACCAACTTTCTCCACCGAACTAACCTCGCGTCAATGACAGCAGCCTTGCACATCGGGAACTGGATCGACACTCTCAATCGGGGCGATCAGTTCATTAGAGTAAACGAGCTCATCTCACCGGTGTCATTTCTCGCCATTCGGCCGTCAGTGGCGGGGCACTGTGCGATGTGGTCCCCTTGAAGGATTCTCGAAATCTTTTGAAGCCAATGGGGCGAATGGGAAAGCAGACCACGATGCAGGAGAAGCTTTGTACTTTTGACCGGCACGGGTGAGCTGCATATTTTTCAAGAGAATGATCTCCCTTGCCGGCGCAGGATGCATTTGACGCCAATTGCTACCAGAACGGTATACACCGGTCGTGTTTGGACCAATATGCTGTGCCGGACGTTCCTTTTGTCCATTTTTTGACGGGTAATACTCGGCACCGAGGTCACACAAAATAGGGAGAAGAGTCGGTGTGGTATCCTCGGGGTCTATCAAGGTACATCACGGCGGTCCCGAGGTTCTCCGAATTTGTCAAAATTCAGCCCAAATTCAATAAGACATGCGGCTGGTCAAGATCTACAATGAGGGGAAGATTGTCGATCTTTTGGCTGGACCGTGGTCAATGGACCCAGCTGGCGCTATGATCAGCAGGAAAGTAACTACTGCAGGTAAGGCCATTGGTGCTAGGGCCGTGTCTCCTAGAGACTATGTTTCTAGGGCAATGCATATCCACACCGTGGAGCCATCTCAGCTGCAGGATGCGGGACCCTCTTTGCCATGCAAACCGGGAACTATGGGTTGGCGCGAGGAACTTTCCGAGATTCTGATTTAGCTACGGCGCTGACGCATGACCTTTCCTGATCTCCCACAAAATGTTACTTCCTTTGCGCACTCAATTCTACACTCCTTCACCCCCCTTCTTCCCTGCTCATTGCTTCCAGTCATGGCGGATCCAGAGAAGAATGGAGTGTCAATGCCAACACACCCGGTGAGGGTAGTCCACAACAATTCCAATTCCGTAGGAACCATTTTCTCGGACCACGGAAAGTTTGTGGACGACTATTCTGCTAAGGAGCTCCGGAGTCGCCATACTTCCGCCGCCCTAAGTGATCTGGAGGGCCAGAAGCCTGCCGAACCTCGGCGGAAGCGGTTTGCGCACTTCAGATATAACGTGTTCACTGTCTATCGACGGCTCTTCACGTTTGTTATGATCGTGAATCTGGCATGCTTCATCTATGTGATGGTCTCCAAACGACAGCTCGTGGCACTTGTGGATGCGACAGCCGTGAACTTGGTGGCATGCGGTCTTGCTCGACACCCAATGGTGATCAACGGCATCTATAGGGTCGTCTGTTCACTCCCCAGGTCTGCGCCACTTTGCCTGCGCCGCATGGCAGCCAAAGCAGCCCACTACGGTGGTGTTCACAGTGGCTGCGGTGTTGCATCACTAATCTGGTATATCGGATTTGTCTCTATGGTCTCTAAAGTATACTGGACATCATCCCCTATCAGCACATTGTCGAATGTGAAATTCACGGCTGCACCGATTGCCATTGCCTACATCATTCTTTTCCTGTTGTTCGTGATGGTAGTTGTGGCATATCCGTCATTCCGCAGAAAGATGCACGATTACTTTGAACTCACCCATCGTTTCACATCATGGACTATCCTAGCTCTTTTCGTTGCCTTGCTCATGCTATTTGCTCATGAAGTTAGTACGGCACAAAAGCAGACCATGGGCTACTTCCTCATTACTCTTCCCGCATTCTGGCTCTTGATTGCGGCCATTGTGGCTGTAGTCCACCCATGGCTTCTACTGCGGAAGGTCCCTGTGGAACCTGAGCCTCTCTCGTCACACGCCGTGCGGTTGTCTTTCAACCACACCCCAATCAGTTTCGCAAAGGGTATCCAAGTCACGAAGAACCCTCTTCGCGACTGGCACAGCTTCGCCGGCTTCCCAGACCCTCTCCCAGAGCCTGTTGAGGAGCCCACACCGGAGGCAGCCCCAGAGCCCGCTTCCGAGCCAGCTCCAGGTCGGCAATCTGCCCAATTCAAGAAGGGCCACAGGAGGAGCTTCTCTATTGTGGTATCAAAGGCTGGAGACTGGACAGCCGATACCATCGAGAATCCACCCAAGGAGCTCTGGAAGCGTGGATCACTGATGCGTGGCGTTGGCTATGGTCTCCGTCTTTTCAATCGCATTATCATTGTGACCACAGGTTCCGGCATCGGACCCTGCCTAGGCTTCCTCGGTGATGAAAACCGACCTGCGATCAAGGTTATCTGGCAGACACGTACCCCGGAGAAGACATACGGCCAGGATGTGATTGATCTCGTTCACAAGATGGGACCTGATCCAATCATCTGGGATACATCTGTGATGGGCCGTATTGACATGATTCCTATGGTGCGCCAGCAATACAAGGAGTTCAACGCGGAGGCAGTCTTCGTGATTAGCAACCCTTCGATGACTCAAAAAATCGTTTATGACTTTGAATCTCAAGGGATCCCGGCTTATGGCCCGATCTTTGATTCATGATATTTCTTCACGCTTTGATTTTCTTTTTGGGCAGTTTATGATGTTTCTGTCTACGCAACGTATATACGAAAGCCATCTGCAGCTATTTTAGTTTAGAACACTTGCCGGAGTGATGAATTTAATTTAATGATTCTCTTTTTTCAACGTTCTTTTTATAGATATAGAATCATCTAGTAGCTGGTCGAGACTGCCCGACAGGGTGAATGATAGCGACCGCGGTTTTTTACCCGCTACTCAATGACAAAACTCATTCGCTATAACACTATCAGCGCGCCTCTCTATCAAGCACTTTAACACATTAGCTGTGTGCGCTTCTGTCCCGAAAATGCCGTGATCGGGTCAAGCACAGCTCGCCCGCCTTGCAGGGTGAGATATTCCATTACATACAGGAGTCAGTCCACCAAGCAGTCCACCTAGTGATCTGATCACACCACGGGCGAACATTGACACCGGCCACGTGAATACCTAAGACACGATGGCGGTATCACCCGGATTTGCAGACACTTCGAAGATCAAATCTCATAGAAGACGTGCACATTGGCTGGCAATGGTCCAGCCCCGCCCGATCTTCATGGCAGATCACAATGCTAGGAAGAGGAGTGATATAACCTTATTTCGACCGTTGACCGTTACTACAAGAGACTTGTTTGTGCGATGTAATGCCCTCTACCCACCATGGTTCATGCACATGACAGAACCGTTCAGCCGCAGGGCGCGTGGACCGTTCCGTGGATATCGCACAAAGCAGCATGTGGCGTACCTGTGGATTTAGGCGTGTCACGCACTCTCCAGGTGGAACATAAGCCATACGAGCGGGCGCTACCATCTAATACTGCGTTAATCTCACGCGGCAATACAACTTATAGCTTAACGCGGCGACAAACCCCTGTATTTTGGTACCTCTCGGGATCCCAGCTGATCCACTTCAGGCTACCATGGCTTAGTGAATGGTTCAGTGAACTTGGAAAACTAGAGAACCGAAATTGAAGCACCGTATTTGGCTTTGGCTCAATATTGACACATGGTAAGCTGTGCTATCAAGTGTAATGAATCTGCGGGTAATTTGGAGCGCGTCTAATTCTCGGAGCTATGAAAGGAAATGAAGACTTTAGTTTGCCAAGTCACTGGCGCCGTTAAATCCAACGCCAACCAAGTCAGAAACACCAGGGCGACTCTTGGCGCAATTTCCTCGCCAATGAGTTCCGGACTAGCGCGAGACATGCAGCCTCGCTTACTCCAACTCTGGTGGCAATTCATTTGCCATGTAACCTTGTCTACTGTACTTCTTAAATCCATCAATCTCGCAGGTCGTCACATATGGTCGAATCTCTTTTGTGGCTTCAATATCACTAAATTCTTTGATGAGGCCAACCCCAAGGCGCAGCAGGACGAAAAGCAGGATGCTGGATGGGGAGAGTTAGGCCCCCAACCTTAGTCAGAATTATGATCCTAAGCCTGGCGCTCTTTTCAGCTCCCATTGGACGATGATTCAAGCTAGATGGCCGGCGTCTGCCTCCAGGCTAATAAATGAGAGATGCCAAATGCCTGTCAAGAATGATTTGTTTTTCCTTTTCCTCTCTCCATTAGACCTGTCCTGTACGGAAATTCCACCATGAAAAGTGGAATCCTCGACCAAAGCAGATACAGATCTCACAGTCATAGTCGTCGGAGGCCTATCTGTAATTTTTTAGCCTCACGGATTAGGCACAGACATTTCACGACGGGATGTTTAATTCTTGCGATCGCATTCCTTTTGATAACGGGAATTCGCAATTATCCAACTGGTTCGTCCCCCGCGGTAGCTATTCCGAGGCTGTGGTGGAGTGAAAGATGTTATACGATGCTAATCAGGGTGCAATTATTAGCCGACAGGGTAGCGCGAAGAAAAGCGCAATTCGAATTAGTTCAGAGAACCAAGAACTATCACGCTCTTCCCACGGATGTAGGCGTGGTCATACCAAAGATACGCTCAGATGATGTGCGGTGGCTTTGGGGCTATCTCAAAAAGCAGTACGCAACAGCTACAGCTTCTTCCTTAACCCCGCTAACAAAAATTCCGTCGTTAGCAATGACACAACTGCGTTTATTTATTCCACTGACAAAAAGCCCGAGCTGGACTTACATCTGGCGCATTCTCGTCGCGGTCGCGAAGTGTCCGCTTACCTCTCCTACGTGATCGACTACTATGACAACCTACCCCTATCCTCGATCTTCATTCACGCGGACGAGAAGCAGCGACACAATGATTTGTTTGGGCCGAAGACAAGTGTCATACTCGAAAATCTGCGCCACGAAGCTATAGAAGTAAAGGGATATCTTAACCTGCGCTGTATGCATACTCCGGGGTGTCCAAGTCATGTTGCGCCAAACAACCCCACAAAAGAAGATATCAAAGCGGACGATGCTCGTGCACACTTCGCGCAAATATATCGGGAGCTGTTTGGAATGAACGTGGTAGTTCCGGATTTGATTGGGGCTCCTTGTTGTGCCCAGTTCGCGGTAAGTCGCGAACAAATTCGGCGACGACCGAAGAGCGATTATGTTCATATGATGAATTGGGTGGATAAGACAAGTGCGCGGCTTATAGACAGTTATGCCGTCGGATGGGTTTTTGAAAGCCTGTGGCATGTGGTCTTTGGCATGGATGCAATTGAGTGAGTTGTTCATCTTCCAAGAAGCAATGTGTGGGATAACCGGGGTACTAATACATCCAGATGTCCTGCTTATGAACAATGTCGTTGCGATCACTACGGATGGTGCGGACCTCTGGCTTCTGGACGTGTTTTGACACCGATCGGACTAGGAGGCACGAATCACACGGACATTGAACTGTGATCACCAACAACTGACTGAGGGTGTCGGCTTACTTCTTTTTTTGCATATCTCAAGCGCAGGGGTTTTTATAAATGTATTCCGCTGGGGCTCAAGAATACCATTTTATGGCGTTACTTTGTTTTGATGCATTCATTGCATGCTATCCAAATTTTTTGAAGAACGAACGATGGTGTTTAACCGATGGGGACTTGATTAGTTGGTTTCAATGTGAGCTGTCATCTGCTTCATCCATCACATTGAGACCTCTCTCACTTAAGGAGTTACAATGACATTCGGGTTTACTTGCCCTTGGTCCAAATACTGCTACCGACCTGGATTCCGACTACCAAAGATCAAGACCAGCCATGCGACTGGTGACTTCTGCAATATTACAGGACATTCCGGACATACTTTCATACTCAGATGATAAAAGGCACAGCCAGAGTATACATCCCACCTCTTTCCCAATATGTTTTGAACCGAAACCCCTTTAGTGGGACCCTGAATCCACAACAGAGGTCAGTGGGTGAGACGTGTAGCCAGAGGCGTCTAATGTTACAACATGCTTCAACATCGGAAATTTAGAGGTGAGTTTTGCAGTCAATTGAGCTAAATGAATATAACTCCTGTACGATTTCTTTGCATACAATATCGAGTTTTCATGACTGCTGCGCGACATGGAAGAAATTTCACGAGATCCACTCCTCGTATCCATGCTATGACCCCACGAATAGCCTTCAATAATTTCTTCATTCCGGTAACTTCCAGTCGATCCCTGTCGAAATTCTTCATACGCATAGAATTATTGAATTACTTTTGCCTGAAAATGGTACGATCGTCCATGTTTGCAATGTCAAAAGTTGAATACCTCGGTTCCTGCATCCATTGTGCAGTGGGGTCGGCCGAATGCTACCAATTAAACCTTCAAAGAACAATCGGATCGTCAAAACTCAATCTCGCTTCAACTATTCATGCCAGGTTTGGCCACACATTGACCATTGACCTGCAATGAGCTAATCATGCACCCCTAATGGGGAGCAATTCGATTAATATAGATAAGCTCGAGGTGGAGAAATGGCCAAGTGAGATCTTCAGTCTCTCAACTCTCTACTCCAGGGTTCCATAAACCATGCATATTGGTCGACTTCTTGGATTGGCCGCAGCCTCTGTAGGCCTCGCCAAGGCTGTTGAGCTGACAGGCTACGAATACGTCGTCGTCGGTTCAGGGGCCGGAGGAGGCCCCCTGGCAGCTCGACTTGCCCTTGCCGGGCACAAGACATTATTGATTGAAGCCGGTGATGATCAGGGTACCAATGTCAACTACACTGTGCCCGCCTTTTCTGCCAAGGCATCCGAAGATGAAGCTATGGCATGGAACTTCTTTGTGCGTCACTATGCAGACGATGATCGACAGGCCTTGGACTATAAGACCACATACGAGACTCCCGATGGCGGCGAGTATACTGGACTGAACCCACCAGAGGGTTCCGTTATGAAAGGCACATTATATCCCCGTACCGGAACACTTGGTGGCTGCACTGCCCACAATGCAATGGTCACTGTCTATCCGCATGAATCCGACTTCGAATACCTCGCCACACTTACCGGGGATAGTTCATGGTCGCCCGATAACATGCGCAAGTATTTCAAGCGCATGGAGAACAACAGGTATCTGCTGCCGTTGGCCAAGGGCCACGGCTATGACGGCTGGTTGGGAACTGAAACGGCACCTCTGAGCATCGTATTGGAAGACCCCGAGCTTTTGAGCTTGCTCCTGGGAGGAGCGTTCTCCTTGGGCAATGTGACAAACACCGTTTTCAACCTAGGTACTCTGCTTGCGGGCGATGCAAATGCGGACTCTAAGCTACGCGACACCCTTCCGGGATACTATCAAATCCCGATTTCCTCGGATGGCAATGCTCGTAATGGTCCGCGTGAATTCATCACTGCTGTGCGCGATGCTACCAATAAGGATGGATCTAAGAGATACCCTCTCGATGTTCGCACCAACTGCTACGTTACAAAGGTCACTTTTGATGAGTCCGTTAGTCCACCGCGGGCTTCGGGCGTGGAATTCCTCGACGGCAAATATCTGTATCGCGCTAGCCCGCGCTCTCACAGCGCTGGGAGCGGCACCGCTGGATCTGTTCAGGCCACGCGCGAAGTCATCGTCGCTGGAGGTACTTACAATTCACCTCAGATTCTCAAGCTCAGCGGCGTAGGACCGGCGGATGAACTTCGCAAATTTGGCATAAAAGTGATTTCTGACCTTCCTGGTGTCGGCACCAACCTTCAGGACCACTATGAGACTGCTGTGCAGGGTCACATTCCCAACAACTGGACGGCACTTGACGGGTGCACCTTTAATCATGGCAGTGATCCTTGCCTAGAGCGCTGGGAAAAGGATGGACTAGGTGGTCGTGGCGTCTATTCGTCCGATGGATTTGCTGCAGCAATGTACTACAAGAGCTCCGTCACTGCCGATGATAGCTACGATGTCTTCGTGTTCGGTGGACCAGTCAACTTCCGTGGATATTTCCCCGGGTACAGTATCAACATTACTGAGCGTCACGATTGGTTCTCCTGGGCGGTTCTCAAGGCACACCCTCGCAACCAAGCCGGATCTGTGACACTGCGCTCGGTGGATCCTCTTGATATGCCCAATATTATTTTCAACTCTTTCGATACCGGCAGTGGGGACTACGAGAAAGACTTGCAGGCAATCACTGAGGCTATTGGTGTTGCTCGTGGTGCCTTTGATCGTCAGTTGGTGAAGGTCTCTGAGGTCCTTCCTGGTGACGATGTCCGGACTGATGAGGAGATTCACGATTATATCAAAAATACTGCGTGGGGTCACCATGCGTCATGCACCTGTCCTATCGGAACAGATAGTGATCCTATGGCTGTTCTCGATTCGAACTTCCAGGTACGGGGTGTTACAGGACTTCGTGTTGTCGATGCCTCAGTGTATCCTCGTATCCCAGGAACTTTCACCGCCGTCTCCACCTATATGGTGGCCGAAAAGGCAGCTGATGTGATTCTGGATGCAGTTTACGCAAGCGCGTAAGCATATCTTTTTTTGCGCTGGGTTTGGGGATGACTGATGAAATCGGAGAGATCGAATGTTACGGGTATAACATTTCCACATAGAATTTTGTTATGATCTGTCAACCAGAAGCAGCCAGTAACTGTCTGAGCTTCACACATATTGTAAGCTAATTTTTAATCCCACATTCAAGGCTTCTCCAGGCCCCAGACAATAAGCTCATCTTGCTCATATCGATATTCACTGACAAACTTGAAACTACACTTTTTCAACACCCCAGAGCTTCCAACATTCTGCGTCTCACACAGAGCGAAGACCTTCTCTCTCTCTCCTGGTTGCTGGGTCCCTTCAATGGTCCTTCGTGGAAGATCCCACCACATCTTCAACAACAAGTTCAGTGCTTCGGTCATGTATCCATTGCCCCAAGCCTCAGGGAGCAATGCATACCCAATCTCAGGAAATGGGTGCACAGCGTTGATACTCACAGATCCAATTATTTGCTCCTGTGACTCTGGAATAGATTTATTCAAGATTGCATAATTGAATGAGCGGCCGATGACATCAGATGGACCCTGAGTGAAGACTTTCGTGGACATCCATTTACGGGTTTCTTCAACGGATTTGAAAGGTATTTTGGGATGGCTACTTAGGTCAGCATGGAAACTCTGATCCAGTTGAGTTCCAAAAGATGATTGAAACAAACTTCATCTGTGCAACTTCCCATCGGGAACGAACTGCGAACAATGCAGGGGCATCAGCGTCTGTGACTGGACGGAGGCGGAGTCGGTCGCTTTCAATTGAGGGTCTCTGTGAAGGGATAATCGCATAGACTAGTTGTTGGGGTAGAGTATCCATGATGAATATGTGTTTTTATCGTATTAATTGAAGAGAAAAGAAAGCAGAAAAGGAAAGACATACGAAGGGGAAGATGTAGTCAAGGAAGCGGATACCGAGGTGAAGCGGGAAGTTCTAATTGGTCGAATATCTCCGTTTGCTAGACCAGTCTCGGAGCCCGACTGACTCATTGCTAGATGTCTTTCAAGAAATTGGTAAATATTGGTAAATAATGAGATGTCAAATGGGACATTTGACTGGATTTAGATCGATTATTGATTGGAGAATCGCGGAAACTAACGTCCTTGAAGCCGCAATGAAGGCATGTCACAACCAGGCATTTTACAAAGCTTTTGCATCTACCCATACAGGTCTCAAATGCTCAGATTAGTCCCTCAAACGATTTATTCAGCTTCGCATGATTATAGGAGCTTTAGTAATTCAGACTCTAACAGTTCAAATCGAGGATATTTACTGGGCAATGCCCTAAGATAAGAGACTCGGATATGAGACTAGCCCGAATTGAATCTTTTATGGTCCTGAAGGACGATTGACCACATTCAAGTAAATTTTACAATGAAGGATACATATTTTCTTCCGTGTTGCTTGTGTACTGGTTGGGTCTCTAATATATTATCTATCAGCTGCCTTGTCCGCGGTAGGCTGATATTTTTTACCTCGGAACTTTTATGTGTCATTTTAGAATGCCACTCGGAGTATGTATGAACTGGGTATACTTCCATAAGATTTGCCAGCAATGCGAGCCACTCAGCCGTCGGAGAATCCCGATGTATATACGTTCTTGTCTGTATTTTTACATTCTCAGTGGCTCCTTTTCTGGTCATCCGTCATTGTTATCAAGTCCGCATAACGACGATAACTTTACTAGAGTCATCAACACAAGTATTCCCTCGTTATCAAGACTTTTTTCTATCCCCTGGTTAGCAAAAATTCGGCGTCGTTGATTGGTTAGTGCCTTATCTTCTCCGCGTCACGGGGTTGACCCCACAGTTTATGTATCTGTCTTGATTTCACACTTCCGAGGTCCTTCCGTATCATTTTTGCTTCTTTCATTCGAGGTACTAGATGGTTATGGAACACCGCAAGCGTGCAGCACGAGCGTAAGTGAATAAAGTTTCACAATTGACAAACATGTCTGACATTCCCCAGGTGCGATGAGTGCCGAAGACTTAAGGAGAAGTGTGAAGGTGGAGCCCCTTGCAGGAGATGCTCTCATTTTCAGAGAGTATGTGCATTTAAAGGTCTAGTGCCGAGGAATCGCGAGTTTCGCCCTTATATTCCAAGGTAATATGTCATCACCTTCTACTAGCAGCAGTATCTAACATTCATTAGAGACAGGACTGGGAGATCTGACTTCCCAGAATTGATTGAGCGCACAAGGTACATGGAACGTATCTTAAAGCGCACAATAGAAGGGATATCTTTGGATACCAAGAGTCTGGGCAAGTTGGCAGACGCGCTTGACACTGATTATCATGATAAAGGCGCAATTTCCTCCGATCCTAAAGATCTTGAGAGTCTTGGGATGGACGATGAGACTTGTACAATGGATCCAGTTGGAGATAACACAACTCGTTCGTCATTTTATCGTGATGGAAAGATCGGACGCATGCTGAATGACTTTAGACTTTTCTGGGGAGTTTTCATATTGGAATTTCTCCATGCGCATTAAAAGTCACATACAAAGCCAAATCAAGGAGCCAGATACACGAGTATGTATTAACATTGCCGTCAATTATCTTGGCTGACAAAGATGAATCTACAGTACCCTGATCATTCCTCGGACTTTCCACGCGCCCATCACTTACGCCCCTCAAATAATCACCTATCGGCGGCAATATCATCTTGCCCTCCTCGACATATTGCCAATTTTCTAGTGAAAATATTCTTCAAGTACTCAGAGACCCACTACTATTTAGTGCAGGAATCATGGGTCTTATCAAAACTCGACCTACTCTACCATAACCCAGAAAGCTTTTCTCACAAAGGTGCGGAAGTCACCGTTGCCATTATATTATCGGTGTTTGCAATTGGAACACAATACGCTCATCTTGAATCTCTCGGGCAAGCTCAGACGAGTGCGTCAGGATCAACTTTCTCGGAGGATGACGTTGGTGCCACGTTTTATCAACAAGCAATCCGTCTGTTACCTGAAATCATTGAAATAGCTTCTCTCGAAAGTGTGCAGGCTTGCTTATTATTTGGCTACTATGCGCTACCAGTCGACGCGTCTGGGTTAGGATTCATTTATATCAACCTTGCCATGCGCCTTGGAATGCAGAATGGTATGCACCGGAAATGCAAAAATGAGGCCTTTTCGCGCTCCATGATTGAAACGCGGAATCGTGTTTGGTGGACGGCGTACGTATTAGAGAGGTACGGATATTCTGTATGCAAGACAGGCACAAAATTTGCTAATGTCCATCCAGGAAGATATCTATCTTTCACGGAAGACCTCTTTCGGTACTTCGGTCGGATGTGGATGCAAACATTCCTCTTTATCAAGCTAGTCTGCAGCCACAAGACTGCCCTGGAAGCATCACTCGAGCTGAGATCTCCATTCAATTGGTTCATTTCCTTGAAGACACCTTCCATGAGATGTGAGATATTGATCGTCCTCTCATTTTTAGCGCCTCGGTACTAACAATGCCAGCAACCTCCTGCGAAATTGCCAAAAACAAGAGATATCCAAGATTGTCTCACGCCTCTTAACAACAAAAAGCGCCCTGACAAAGTGGTGGAATTCTCTTCCGAATGATGTCGTGGCCGTCCGAGCTGAGCAACCCGAACATATCCGATCTGCAATGCACCTGAAGCTAGAATACTGTCTAGTGCGAATGTTTGTCGGCAGACCATTCCTCCTCAAACAGGAAACCTCACAATCCAACACAAGCTCACCGTCCCATTCCGACGCAATTGAGAATCAGTCCCGATTAACCGATGGTGGATCCCAAAAATCTACATCAGGCCGAAATGACCTGATTCATGATTGTATCCAAGCAGCAACCGAAGCACTTGATATCTGTCAAATATTGCGAGACAGTGGCTTAGGCCTCGCACGAGCGTCATACATCGAGTACAGTTCGTGCCGGGCCTCGCTGCTCGTATTAATCGCCTACTCAATTCAAAAATTTTCTGAACAGTTCCGCAAATCCTTATATGAAGGCTTGGATATGATTCGAGAAATGTCTGCCGCCGGTGAATCGGCTCGGTCGGAGGTTTCCTTGATCGAGTCACTTGAGCGTGCTCTTGCCCGGCTGCATACTGGAGCGCGAAATGATCGCCAGGGCGAACCTCAGCGAAATTCAATATCTGATTACGAAGCGTTCAAGAACTGGGGAGCATATTTGGCCGAAGAAGGAAAACTGGGTTACTCTGGATCAGCTCCGGATGCTTCAACTAGTCGGGTATCTACGGCAGTTTTGCCAACTGATGACGTTGCTGCCTTTGGTAACCAGCAGGACTGCATGCCTGAAGCTGACAATGACCTGTTCAATGCCTTCGATCCTATGATTCAGATGTCTATATTCGGTACTGAGAATCTATCTCCATCGGCTGGGTGGCCAACCTACACCGAGGCGCAAGTTTTGGAGCATTTCCTAACAAACCCGCACTACGGAGCAGACTGAGACAGGAAGTGAAAAAAAATTACGTCCTCAACAATCATGTTTGATAATCCCGTCGATTTTGCGACCAAACATCCGTTATAAAATCACATGTACAATGATATTGAGCATAAATACAATCAAACCGAAGCAGCCACAATCCTGTCCGCCATATCAGGTAACGTATCCGCCATAACCTCCATCTTGGTATCAAAGATCTCCTCACAAGACTCCTGCTCATAAATCGTGCAATAAGCACCCCGGAATCCAACCTTAGCAGCAGCCGATACATCCCACATATGCGCAGCAGCAAACCACTTAATATCGCCCTCCGCAAACTTCGCCAACGCAGGCCGATACGCCGCCAAAGCAGGCTTAGCCAAGCCCTGATTATCACAGCTAATAAAGTTCTCAAGCGGCATATCCACACCCGCACGCTCAAAGTATCCACGAACGCGCTTCGTATCGCCAGTCGTCAGACACCAGACAGTGAAGCCGGCAGCTCTCAGTTTAGCGAAACAATCGCTTGTTCCGGGTCGCAGTTCCAGCTCAGAATATCCCTGCACGCACTGGTCGCGTTCTGCATCGGTTGCGAAGGTCCTCGGAGACTCAATTCCGCACATGTATAGCGATCGGTAAAAGAGGGCTGTGATGATATCTTTGTAGGGGCGGTAGCGCTCCGAAATTGAGAGGAAGGTGAATTCAAGCTCAGCGGCTGTCATCCAGGCGAAGCCGAAAGAGCGGGCGGTGATGCTTTTGGCAAGGAGTTTTTCGCCGATGACACGGTTGATGCAGTTATAGAATGCGTCAAAGGAGACGCATGTACCGACGACATCGAATACGACGTGCTTTTGGTTCGTCATTGTAAGAGGTAGGATTCAATTGGGGAGCTTTGTTCGGAGCTTGGTCTCGATGCGCCGGGGGGGGATTGCGATCTTGTGGGCAATTGTGAGGGAGGGGCTGGGTATTAGATCTGGGACAGATAGTGATCAATCGGCTTCCGGTTATGAACGCCTGACAATCTGTTGATATTTTCCTATCGGACATCGCGAGCGCAATCGCATTCCCCGCACCGGCGTTCCATGGCTCGCTCGATTAGCGTACTATTCCAGATCGGGTAGGCCCGGCCCGGCGAACCCTCATTGGACGGCTCGAAGTGTATCTTGATAGGCAACTGCTGTGTCTTACTAGGACAAGTTACACTAGCATGATATCCTATCTTGACGTTTGTTCTAAAGTGGCTTCCTTTACTCTACAGCGACTGCGGAGATAGACACGATAAGCATTCCTGTAACTCAGATTCATTGGTCCTCTTCACGAAGAAATGTAGGAAACGACATTGAAGGGCTACGGTATGGAATGCAGATCTGGAAAGGGTGGAGAAGAAGATCGATTCGCTATATAACAGAATGCTAATAGTGCAACAATTCAAGACCACAAAACATTAAGCTTATTGAGACCGCGCTTGGGTTTGGGCTCCGGCTCAGGGTTATTCTGGTAGCTTTCGATGAAAGGCCGAATAGGGATTTCCGCCAGCGGAATGATTCTGGTCTTCATCCAGAACTTGTAGCCAAAGTATACAATCACAATGAAGGGAAGGTTAAAGTATGAGGAAATGAACGTCTCAGTGCTCCAACGGCCGTTCATAAACGTAGAAAATCCTCCTGTGAAGAAGAGAAGAATGAACACGAACAAAGAAACCCAAGTCGTGTACGGCTGGAATGGTGCAGCCCATGGAAGCTCCGCATGGCGATCAATGCCTTGCCTCTTGCATCCGTAGAGGAATCGTAGATAGACAACACAAATGCAGATCCAGTTGACCAGAGTGGAAATCGAGACAAGGTCTTGCAGCCATGTAAAGACATTGCTTGCTGAGCTGGACAGAGTCATGTATCCAAGAGCCATGAAAACGCCGTAAAGAGAAACGGCAACCCAAGGGATGCCGAAACGGTTGATACGCTTGAATACTGCAGGCGCATGCCCTTGGGATGCCATTCCGTAAAGAATGCGAGATCCGCCAAGCATGTTGGAGTTACCCGAAGACCATGCCGAGGTGAGAACGACGGCGTTGATGATGGAGGGCACAACCTTGATACCGGCGTTGCGAGCAGCGATCACAAATGGTGACTGGGCGGCGGTACCTGTTGAACCGAGCAAAGCATCATCAGTCGATGCAACGACTAGGCCAACCATAAAGATGGTGATCACATAGAAGAGCAAGATCCGGATAAAGATGCGTCTAGCCGCCATGGGAATAGCTTGGCGAGGGTTGCGAGTCTCAGCTGCTGCGACAGTGATATTTTCGATTCCAGAATAGGAGTAGAGGGCGTTGTCAAATGTTTTCCAAAATCCCAGAAACCTCCCCAGAGCACCCGGAAGTCCTAGGTACTGAACCATAGGTCCGTAAGGTGCCTTCCAGTACTCGAAGCCGATGGACTTGTGGTTTGGGGCTCCGCCACATGTAATAACCAAAGCCATAATGTTGATTCCAATCACGAGCATGATTTTCAAGATTGAGAACCCGAACTCTAGCTCTCCATATACCCGAACGAACATCAAGGCGGTAATGAGCATCAACAGACCAAAGACTGTGATCCAAATGGCGTTGTTCATCGTTGTCCAGAATTCGATAATAACGGCGGCGGCGACAATCTCGGAGGGAATTGAGACAATGTAAGAATAAACCTGGTTCCATCCATTGGCGAATGCTAGAGCAGGATCACAGAAGATCTCTGCATATCGAATCACACCACCATTGAGAGGAGCCAAGGCACCCATCTCTCCAACACCCCATACAACACTCGACACTGTGAGACCAATGATGGAGTATGCAAGGAATGCACCCAGCGGGCCAGCGTAGACAATTGCTCGTCCGGAGCTGAGAAAGAGACCGGTACCAACTGTGCCGGCGAGGGCAATCATCTGAATATGACGCTGGTGTAGACCTTGTCTGAAGTCTTTGATCTCCTCCAACTGGCAAGCGACATTCTCCACATCGTATGACTTTCTCATTTCCGTCTCGTGGTTGTGGATTTTCTTTTCGGAGGGCGTTAAGGTATCGATGCCATTGTCGTTCCCCAATGTATGGGTCGTGGATGGTGACATACTTGATGAACGAAGATCAAGACGAAGAAAGATCAAAGTTCCAACGCAAGGAGCCACACGTCAATTTTTGTACTTTTAGGCATGCTTCTATTTCTACGCTGCACAGACCATACAGTTTAGCAGCTTATCGATAGTTTATTGCAAATTAGCAGGATATCGTTGGTGGACGGAGCCGGATCAACATCGGCATGGTCGATAAAGAATCTTAGCCCTAAAAGAAGAGTAAAAAAACGTAAAAAAATATTTCAGGCGCTGAGGGCGCGTATGGTCCTCAATTGCGGAGGCGGCCATCAAGTGGATCCCGGTGAGTTGCCCTTTCGGGGAATATCGGCCCGGTCTTATCTTATCAGACCTGCAGGTCCGGTCACCGGCATAAACTCTATCTTCTATAAGACACAGCTATACAGAGTTCTTCTTTCGTATACTCACTATGGCTATCTCGAACGGGCTCACTGATCGCACTGCCGGCACGTCCAAGTGTCTCCCGACTCATACCCCTGGCGAATGTTTCTGGCAAACAGCTCGCGATGATCTCAGTGACCACCGATCAACTGAACAGCTCCCCGAACACAGTGACATCGCGATCATTGGCGCAGGATATGCAGGTGTGAGCGCAGCGTATCATCTTGTCAAAGATGGTGACGGATCCAGGTCTATTGCGATCCTGGAAGCTCGAGGCGCGTGTTCGGGGGCAACTGGCCGCAACGGTGGTCACTGCAGACCTGATTTCTATGGCCACATCCCCACATATATGGACCGCGCAGGTGATAGAGCTGGAGCAGAAATTGCTGAGTTTGAGATTGCCAATCTTCGTGCCTTGAAGAAGGTTATCGAGCAAGAGAAGATCAATTGTGATTTTACTCTGGCGCGGTCCGTTGATGTGTGGTGCAACGAGGAGTCTGCCAAGAAAGCCAAGGCCGTCTATGATAAGATGGTCGCTGCAGACTTTGAGTATATGGAAGATGCCGTTTTTTATACTGGCGAGCAAGTCGAAGGGGTATGTGATTTGGTCGTAGCTCAAAAAACACACGCAACTAACAAGCCCTAGATCTGCGGCGTCAAAGGCGCTAAGGCCTGCGCAAGCTTCACTGCCGGCACAATGTGGCCTTTCAAATTTATCATGCACCTCGTCAAAGACCTTCTTGCAGCTGGTGTAAATCTACAAACACATACCCCGGTCACCTCTATAACCTCGGACCCACAAGGTGGCTTCATTGTGGAGACACCTCGAGGCAAGATGCATGCAGGGAATGTGATCCACGCCAACAACGCCTATGTTTCAGGTCTGCTCCCAGAGTACGCTAAGAGCATTATCCCCTGCAAGGGAATTTGCTGTCGCATCACGGTCCCCGAAGGAACTACCGCGCCCCTTCTCAACAACTCATACATTAACCGAGCAGAAGACAACACACTTTCATATTTCGTCCCTCGAGCCGATGGCAGTATCATCGTAGGTGGCGCTGCCAACGTGTTCCGCCCACATAAAAGCCAGTGGTATGACAATGTGGATGACAGCGTCCTGATTGATTCTGCAAAGAATTACTATGATAACTATATGCAGCGCACGTATCGCGGATGGGAGGACACTGGGGCCAAGGTTGACAAGATATGGACTGGTGTCATGGGCTATTCATATGACTCGAATCCTCACATTGGGCACGTTCCCCAGAAGGATGGTCAGTTCATTCTGGCTGGCTTCAACGGTCATGGTATGCCAGTGATTTGGCTGGCGGCGAAGGAACTTGCCAAGATGGTTTCCAAGGGCCTTTCTTTTGAGGATACTACGATGCCTCGCCTATTTCAGACCAGTCAGTTCCGTATTGACCGTGCACAAGCTGGAAAGGAGGAAGATGGAGATATTATTGGCACTGGTAGCTTTGCTGCGACGAGACCTTGAGATGTGAAACCGCGAACATGTAATTTATGACCCACATAACTTTTTTTTCTAGCTTATATTCTATCTTACCCCCGAGTTTGTTGAATTTGAATCCATGGTCTGAATTAACGTCGTGTCGAGAATATAACATGCTTGGAAGTTTGTATTCGTATTGTCACCTCGATTATGCTACGCTTTGCGCACAATCAGGTCATGGAAGCAAGCCAGCAAGACAAAGAATACCTAACGGTCTATGTATATAGAAGCAAAGAGCATTCATTTGCTAATGCTGTGGAAACAAAGAACAACAAGGTATGACAAATCTATTACACACTGAGTCATATAAGCATCTTTTATCCCACCTGCTACTTACACCAGCATTAACACCGATTCGAGTCTTCTTGAAGCTACTGGAGCATACTTTCTATAACGTTCGAAGAATTCGTTTGCGAACTTTTACGTCACATTGGCAACAGCATAAGCTGGAACACTCCTAACGGCTTGTTCGGATGTTCAATCAATTTGAGAGGCTTGCAAGGAGTCGAGATTGAGCCAAACCGCAGCTTAATTTCCATTTGAACAACTCCCTTGCTTGGCGGTCTGAATTGAATATATGGCTCATGGAAGCTGGAAAGAACAAATTCGCTTAGTGGAAATTTTTTGATAGCTGGGTATGGATGAAAAGGTGCTTGTGTCGTTGGCATGCTTGATGGCTTTTTATTTTTAGAATTCCGACAGAATCTTATTTAATGAACTTCTCTTTTTAGAAAGTGCCACACTATGGCTGTAATGAAACCCAGTAAAGGTTTCACAATTCAAGTAAGTCCTCAGGCATAATTTCCCTATAATATACACTGTACCACTCGCTACTATTCTCAGCCCGACTGAATTAACCCTAAGTTACCCGAACTTCGAAGTTGACACAATCTGCATCACGATGTGATCGTGTTGAATTAAATCAAGCATAACTCTCAAAGTGATGTACTTAAGAGCAGCTAGCACCACTGGGCACGTTCTCGCAGCTGTAGGTCTTGCCACCAGTGACAGCAACATCGGACCAGGTCCAGTCAGAGCAAGAACCATCACCGCATTCGATGACAATGTTGTATCCGTCGGAGTCAACAGCATCAGTTCCAGTGATGTTCTCAATGGTGAGGTCAGTGATGGGGATGCCAGTGGAGGGGGTGCCACCGTCAAGATCACCGCCATCGTAGTTCTGCTCGATGAGGATTCCGTAGCTGTGAGGTGCTATTAGCTTTTGTGATTATGAGCAAGATCTGTTGCATGACTTACTCGGAGATGGACTCCAGGGTGATATCACTGTAAGTGACACTCTTGATTGTGCCGGTCTCATCTTCCTTAGCCTTGATGCGAATACCTAGGTATCGGACGTTAGTCTTGAAATTTTGAATGTCAAATGTAGATTTGCTTCTCTTACCATTGACAGAGTTCTTGACGGTGGAACCCTTGAAGGTAACAGTCTCAACAGTGTTGTCATCTCTACCACCAACAGATCCAATGGAAAGACCGTGGCCGCCAGAGCAAAGACCGTTCTCGAAAGTAATGCCCTAATGAAAGTATTAGCTCTAGAGTTGACAACCTCTTGACTTTTTTGAGCACATACGGTACCGGAGTTGATGGCAACACAGTCGTCCTGGTTGTAGACGGTAGCACCAGTAATGGTAACATCGCTGCTAGAACCAATATCGAAGCCATCAGTGTTGTGACCGCCAGCGGAGTCACCAGCCTCGTTGTTGATGGTCATATCAGTGATGGTCAGTCCATCACATCCATTGACGCTGACAGCCTGAACAGGGGTGTTCTCAATGTAGAGATCCGTGATGGTGGACGAGCTGAGGTCGTGGGCGTAGAAGAACTTGGGCTTAGTGACACCGCCGTTGCCTCCCTCGCCATCCCACCAGCGGGATCCGTCGGGGTTCAGCTTGGCGCCGCTGGCACCCTTGACATTGATTCCAGTGCCCTTGATCTGGAGAAGAGGGCCGTCCCACTCTTCGTATCCCCAGGTGGTCTCACCCTCGAAGATGACCTATCATCATGTAGTTAGAATCAAGATTCAAAGTAACTGGAGAAATTCGTGAACTATCACTCATACGGTGGTGTCATCCTCTAGATCACTGAGGTCGAGGGTTGTTCCGGAGGGCACAGCGACATCCGACAGAACAATAGTTGAGCAAGACTTCTGGGACTTGCTTGCACTTGCAGCACCGCTGGATCCGGAGAAGGTGCAGCTGCTGGCTCTCTTAGCGAGGCTTGGGGCCTCAGTAATGGCGGGCTGGGCAACGGGGGATGCGATCGTGGACACTGCCCACGTAGCCAGCGCAAGGGAACCAAGAATTCGGGACATTGTGGTAGTTCGACACTTTTCCTGAAAGTATTACAATGTCTAGTCCTTGGATGTCTGTCCTTATGTGCGAATTTCGATGGCTTTATAGCTTTGTGAAAAGTTGCCGGTCCAGACTGTTCCCCAGCTAATAACAGGTAGTGTTTGAGAATAAGCAGCTGCATCTGTTTTATCCTCCAATTGTTGGGCTCATATCCCCTCTGTGTCTTTTCATTGGTGCACAATGACCCGGTATAAGCTGAGCATAATTTCAAGCATCAGGGGCGTCATATTTTAGCGTTTTCGGAGGATCTTTGTGAGGAAATAAACTAAAATCAGCCAATAAGAGGAATGTCTCCGCTGGGGGTCAAACATTCGTTGTTTCTTGTCTTATGGCTAAGCAGCGCCACAATGCTTCAATATATGCGAGAGCTTTCAGTTTGCTGAACTATTTGATAGCCACTTCCGTGAACTCCTCACTTGGCCGGACTTACTGCAGGGGTCATGTATGTGTACACAGTGCCATGAAGCATTAGACAGCCTCTACGTGAGAGCCTCAAAGCGAGTAACGTTATACTGTCTTATACATTGCGCTCGCCTCACTTGAGCCTCTCTTTTTCGCCCGTGGTTGCCCACTTCAGATTGCCTTCGATCGATCACATAGATCATTTACAAGTAGGTGGTATGAAAGGGCTCATGACCCGGTTGTCTTTCCTGTATGGAGTAGCCGATCCCGGGATTTAATTTTCCATCAATTATTTTAGTGAAGTCCTGATTATAGACTAAAATTACCAGCTGTACCATTGTCACGTTTTTGACCTGGCTAATAAACGGCCTGTGTACTATACACCCCGCGTGAACGCGTCACACAGACTAGCCCCGGTCTCCTTGACGTTTCAGTACCCCGCCGCGTCATATTTCCACACTGAAGTGATAGTTCCAAAATATCAAGTATCTTAATTGACATGGGACCATAAACTTGTTGTTACCCGCGAAAGGTCCCGTGATGTGGTGAACGAAAGTGTTGTCTCTCAACGACTCGTCAATACTTCGAACCCATAGCAAAAAGGATGGGGGATCTCTCTCCTGGAAACAAGCGAAGATAGATAAATTGTTGATCGGTAAGTTAATTAACAGCGAAGCTTGTCAAAGCGCCGGATAAATGTGCTGTTACTTTTCTTGTAGCAGACTTGAACCGGATTTCTGGAAGCCGGATGTTTCCACCTGTGAGATCATCGGCATATCATATTGTAGATAATTCAAGTCCATCTGATAACTTCGATGGCTTCCTTCACTTCTTGCGAAAAGATTTTGGGTGGGTTTGGTGTCTGGTGTTTCACGCCCCTTTTGTTAACCGGCTTAGATTCTTTTCTCTCGTAGAACTTCTTCGTCTCACTTCAAAAGTCTACAGAACCTCAGAGTATTCGTGTACTCAAGCAGAGAGGCTACATAGTCTATCTGGTTGATTTCTAAACATTGCACAGCTATTCGGACGACATCCAGCACATCTCGCGCCAGGAGAAGGTGGTCAATAACATGATCGGAAGGACTTCTTCTTTCCCCTGGTCTCAAATTGCTTCGATTCTGAATGAAGGAATCCTACTGCTGATCAGCACGGGCGCTATTAGACAGGCAAAGCGTCGAACTAAGCCTGCCGGAAATACTCCGACAGTTCTTCCGCTCCGATCGGCTCTCCGCCATCAGGGCTCGTATAGCGGAGGTGGATCTTGTGGTGTTTTGGAAATCAATTCTTCGGGTTCGGCATCGGCCTTGTCTTCTACGATAAGCATAATCCCAACAAAAAAGCCCCTGTCTCAGATCGGAGTGATCTAAACCAAACCGTCAACATGAAACAGCGACAGCTCTGTAGACTACCCTAGTGCAATTAAACCCGCCGATCAATTGCTCATTCCAGAACTGAGACCCTACAACAGTGTTTCATAGCTTCTTGGCATCTGCATTCATATATTTGAACACAGGGGTTTAAATACATGTACATGTAGGACATTCCTAGTGCAAGCGCTTGGAATCAATTATTGATCTCGAATTGTGTGTTTGACAGGTCCGTTATCGCGATCTTTCAAGATGCGTCCTATCGTTGCTATACTTTCTCTATCCACTGCTGTGGCTGCTACGTTTGTCCACCCGGGCGCGTTGCATACGACAGAGGATTTCGAGCGCATTAGAACCCATGTGGCTAATGAAGATGAGCCTTGGAATACGACATGGACATTGTTGACCTCCAGCTCATATGCACAGTCATCCTACCTTCCCTCTCCAAAGGAAACTGTATGCCGCGGGAACAATGGGGTCGATTCTGAGAACTATGCATCTCTCTATCGGGATACCGCAGCTGCATATCAACTTGCCATTCGCTGGCTAGTCTCCAACGACACGAGCTATGCTGATGCTGCAGTGAACATTCTCAGTTCGTGGGCTGCATCACTCACGGGCATTGAAGGTACTAGCGACAAGTTCTTGGCATCTGGGTTGTACGGATATCAAATGGCCAATGCAGCTGAGCTTATGCGTGATTACTCCGGCTGGTCGAGTTACAACAAAACCTTGACTGGGACTATGTTGACCAATGTCTTTGCCTCGATGAATATACGGTTCTTGGAAGAACACAATGGGCAAGATTACTATCACTACTACGCCAACTGGGATCAGTGCAACCTAGCATCCCTTCTCGCCATTGGTATCTTCACGGACAATCAAACGATGTTCGACTATGGTATCGATTACGTGTGCACTGGGCCATCTAACGGCGCCCTGCCGGTCTTCTCTGTCGCCAATTATACCGAGGCTGGCACCTGCAAAACCTTGACCCAAGGCCAGGAGGCTGGTCGGGACCAAGGTCATTCCACGCTAGACATCATGCTTTGGGGTGTGATTGCCCAACAGGCATACAACCAGGGGATCGATCTCTTTGCCGAACATGAAAACAAGATCCTGAATTCGTGAGCACACCTACACCTCAACTTGCCATGACTTTTTTTAACTTTTCTTTTTTTTTTTTTTAGCGCCGAATATGCCGCCAAATACAATGTCGGCTTCGATGTTCCCTACACACTGTACCAGAGCTACCAGGGAAATCAAACTGTTATCTCGAGCAATTCGCGAGGAGTTATTCGACCTGGATTTGAACTTATCTCGGCTCACTATGGACAGTTAAAGGGGCTCGACTCATCGTGGACTGACGCCTATCGCGATATGGTGAACGCAAATTCCACGAGTGGTGTTGAGGGTGGTGGTGGAAACTATGGATCGAATTCAGGAGGATTCGATGGTCTCGGCTTTGGAACTCTTCTTTATCGGCTTTGATATGTGTTTCTACATTATTGCATGGATATCACTTGGCTCTCGCTGTATATCATTTTAACTTATTGCCGAAATTAGCATTATATCGTTGTGAAGGCGGATCTTACATTCTTGGTATTCCAGGGCGTCACTGACAAAGGAACGCCAAATTTTATGACCTGTGCCACTAAACGATCCGCTTCAGACTGCAGTTTCATTGTTGGTTGTTTATGTGCTGGACTTTCAAGAGTAAGGTGTAGAAACAAAGGACGACCGCGATATATATAACAGCTTGCCTGGTGATGCGAAAATGTCTCATCCTATACTCGACTATACAGCCTTGGAATTCGTTGATAATACCAACAAATATTTAAGCTGACCATGAGGTTCTTTAGAAGGAGTTTAGAGTTCAACAAGACGATTGATGTTCTGATGCGTGGTGAACAGAATCTGACACCAGATTAATCAGGCTTAAAATTATGTTGAGACAGCCTTCGGCATAAATCTAAAATCTGGGGCCCTCACAACAACTATCCGGCGGTCGTCTAGTTGGTTTATGGCGTCAGACTGTAATTGACCATTGTAATCTGAATGTCGCCGGTTCGACTCCGGCCCACCGGAATTTTTTTGTTTCTTTTTTAAATCCCATTCAATTTCGCTAGAATTTAATCGGCTGAGAATGCCCCACAGACACGAGCCTTTTAAGATCTCCGAGCCTATGTAAAGGACGTGAGTGCATCTCGGATCACTGGTTGGCAAAACCTCCGATCACCGGTTGGACCCATTGAAAGCCACATGATCACGTTTCTTTCCCAAGCAGCGATCCGAGCATTTGATCCGGGATTTTATTACAACCAGTGATCCGAGCTACACCCTGCACTAGTATAAATGAATGCGCCCAATTTCCGAGTGATTGATAATAGCCAGGCCCCTCTTGCAAAATGATACAATGATTCCTGATGTGAAATTTGGCTGAGAAACGTCTTCCGACTAGTAGATGTGAATTGAGATCGCTTTTGAACACCCAATCGGAGGACGTTTCAAAGCCATCTTTTGACAGATCGGGCCCGAGTCGGCAATTTTATCGTGTTCATGGGACAAGTTTAAGGCGAAAGAAGCGACGCGCCATGTGGATTAGGAGTATGCTTTTATGCTCAGTCGCTGGTGAGGATCCAGTACGTACCTTGCAGTAAAATGATTTTTCCTTTTTTTTCCAGTGCTTATTTATTGCAACCATCGGAAAGCTCATCCCCCGCATCTGCTCTAATATGGGATTTATATCTTTTGACATTCCCGCACAGCGAGCAGGCTTGAATTACATCGAGAGTCGAAAGAGATATTACCCTGTCCACATAAGGGAATCGCCATTCCGTCTGACACATTAGCTGTAAAGCAAACACAAGTTTTACGACAAATGCCAGTGATTACGTGGCAACTTCAGGGCGTAGATAACCAGCAGGGATGGCACAGACTCCGTGGGCTAATTCGGGGGCTGATTCGGGGGCCACCGTTTGTTCGTTCCCAGATGCTAGCACGTTTGCTCTCCGAGCCACTATTAAACAGCTGCAGCTGACCTATTGTTTCCTCTAACATATTCAAGTTCCACCAAGTTACCATCTGTACCTCTGCCATGGCCGAAAATAGCAACTGGGAACAATGCGAGGCACGAGAGGGTATCATAGAGACACCCAATGGAGCGGGGTTATTTGTCGCTGCCAGAGGTGCACCAAGACAACCCAACCACCCGGTCGTGATCTTTGAGTCTGGACTTGGAATGAGTGGCGCCTGCTGGGCGGCGGTTCAACGGTTGCTAGATAATCGGATCCGCAGCTACAGCTATGACCGTGCGGGCTATGAATGTAGCCCGGAGTCTACGGCACCGCGCAGTGCCGCTAACATTGCCACTGAGCTACTTCATGTCCTCCAAGCTGCCGATATCAGTCCGCCATACATTATGGTTGGCCATTCATATGGAGGCATCATGATACGTGAATTCCTTGCCGCCGTAGGGGCAGATGCGATAGCCGGAATGGTATTTGTCGACGCAAACCAGGAGAAGACACACCCTCTACTTCGCATTCCATTTTCTGACATGAAAGCACTATGTGGCGGGCGAAACTACTTCGATGTCATTGGGTTATTACGGGAGAATGCCTTCACTCTTGAAGAATTGAATCGTGTGGCGGTAGACGAAGGTCTCCCAGCTACGGCGCGTATGCTCGAGAAAGAGGGAGCGCTGTTGCTTGAAAGCTCTGGTGCTTTGGGAGAAAAGCACCAATTCGACGCTTGTCCGCTGGGGATGCGCCCTGTCACCGTGATTCGAGGCGACTCAAGTCGCGACTTTCAACGTCTGGTGATGGCAGCGCAAGAAAACAACTACGGTAGTCAAGAAAATCTGGAGGCAATCAAAAATTATCTCACCAATCGGTTCGACCTTTTTGATCGTGATCTGCAGATGGAGCAGTTGCGCTTGTCAGGGAATAGCCGTTTTGTTCAGGCGACTAACAGTGGACATACAGTCATGGCTACCGAGCCAGAGTTAATTGCAGACGAAGTTCTTGCAATCTGGGAGGCGAGCCTGTAGATACAGATCAATGCATATCTTGTTCACTTTTCAAGGCTTCTTTGACATGGTGTAAAGGATGTCGGCGGACATGATCTGATGTGAGTTTATACCAACGAGTATTTGAAAAAGCGGAACAATCTAACTCATGGAATTATGAGGACCTGCAGCAAGGGGAAAAATCAGGAAAAGGGGCATGCCATGAAGGTACGAGATTCTGTTAGAGGCTCCAAGAAGCCAACAGACGACGTTCGTCTGGAAAATAGTGAGTTTCGATTCGCACCTCGCTCATACCACTTGTTCGTTGCGCATTTTTGCACGTAGAAGCCGACATCTTCCAGTAATCGCATCGTATCGCTAAATATGACAGAATTTGCGGAGGGATTCTAGGAATGAGAACCACATTCCAAACATCATGAGAATCTGACGGGAGCTGAATAATTGACTCGGTTCAGGCATGCTGTTTACTTCCCAAGTTGATATTTGTTTACAACAGATCTCTTTTTTGCAAGGGGTTGATTATTTTTTTCTTCTCCACTCTCGGTCTTCATCAAAATGCGTGTGTCCACCCTTGCTTTGGTGACGCTTTTACTCGGTGCAGCGAAAGGAAAGAATCAAGATGGATCGCCTTCACGATACGACTTTGTCATTGTTGGCGGAGGAACAAGTGGTTTGGTTGTTGCGAACAGGTTATCCGAAATGACAGGCTATACCGTTGCTGTCATTGAAGCTGGTGATTCAGTCCTTAACAATGCTAATGTTACTGACGTGACAGGCTACGGTAGAAGTTTCGGAACGAATATCGACTGGGCCTACTTAACCGAAGAACAGAAATACGCAGGTGGAAAGAAGCAGATTATGCGGGCCGGGAAAGCCATTGGTGGGACAAGTGTTATCAACGGTAGCTTATCTACTTATGTTTATGGATAACAACATCTATTTGTGCTAATTTCTGCATCATTCTATAGGAATGTCGTATACGCGGGCCGAAACGGAACAAATTGATATATGGGAAAGGGTTGGAAATAAGGGTTGGAATTGGAAGTCGCTCTTCCCATACTACCTGAAATCAGAAGGGTTCCAGGTGCCGAATTCAGATCAAGTCGATGCTGGTGCCGACTATTATATCAGCTACCACGGCGAAAAAGGACCATTGAAAGTTGGTTGGCCTAGGATGATGACCAACGGAAGTGTGCTTCCTGTTCTCGATCAAACATTATCGCAACTACGTGTTCCCTACAATCGCGACGTCAATGGGGGGAATATGGTGGGACTTACATCTCATCCAAATACTGTCGACAGTAATGCCAATATTCGGGAAGATGCAGCTCGAGCGTATTTTTGGCCGTTTGAAAATCGCTCTAACCTCAAGATTATCTCGAACACCCGAGCAAATAAGATTATCTGGGGTGATGACTCGGATGGCCTGGCCGTCGCGACTGGGGTGGATGTTACTGGTCCAGATGGCGACGAAACGATATACGCCTCAAAGGAGGTCATCCTGTCGGCTGGCTCTTTGAAATCATCGGTGATACTGGAGTTGTCAGGCATCGGAAATCCAGACATCCTCAAAAAGTACGATATTCCGGTCAAGGTCAACATTCCCACAGTCGGCGAGAACTTGCAAGATCAAACAAACAGTGGTCTTTCCTACGCAGGAAGGGAATTCTGGATCGGTGGACCAACGTTCTCCGCGCTCCCAACTGCCGAGCAAATATATGGGGGCCGTGTTTCTGGACTTGCTTCATCTATCAAGTCCAGCCTTGAAGATTACGCAAAGACAGTCTCTAACTCCTCAAATGGCGCCGTCCAAGAAGAAAATCTCCTAGAGGCATTTCAATTTCAGTACGACCTGATCTTCAAATCACGAGTTCCATATGCAGAGATAGTGTTCCTTCCCCTTGGACACTCATTCTCCAGTGAATACTGGCCACTACTTCCGTTCTCAAGAGGGAGTGTCCACATTCAATCTGCAGATAGCTCCAGGTCAGCTGCAATCAACCCGAACTATTTCATGTTTGAACAGGACCTTGATGTCCAAGCCAATGTGGCCAAGTTCATTCGCAAGGCATTTGAGACTGCTCCTCTCAGTGATCTTGTCGCCGAGGAGTTTTCTCCAGGATTAGAGCGTGTGCCTGCGAACGCATCAGACTCTGCATGGAGTGACTGGGCCAAGTCGAATTGTAAGTATCCCTTCCAAATCATGCTCGTAGCTGAGATGATCAGCTAACGCTACTTCAGATCGATCAAACTTCCACCCGGTTGGTACGGCCAGCATGCTTCCGAGAGCCAAGGGAGGCGTAGTCAATTCTGAGCTCAAAGTCTACGGAACCAAAAACGTTCGTGTCATTGATGCTTCTGTTTTACCATTCCAGCTCTGTGGTCACTTGACAAGCACTCTCTACGCTGTCGCTGAAATGGCGTCGGATCTGATCAAGAGGAGATACATTTTCTAAACAGAGTTATGGCTCACACTTTACACGAAGAAACGACTGGATATGCAAGCGGAGAGATTCTCCTGGTGTACATATGGATGGTTTCGCGATATATGCTATGGTTGTTATGAGGTACGACTTGAGAGGGAAGGGCTTTTATGGCAACATTTACGACTTTGTACTAGAGTTTCTGTTATGTGGACTTGATGAAATGAGATGCATATCAATTTTTCTCATCGCAGTTGGCTTAATGAATTGACTCGATCTCCCTGTTTTCGAATTTCCAATTCCGAATCTTCTCCGTGTCCTTATGTACTGCAGTATACAGCACAGCTTCAACGCGGATTCTAGTTCCCGAGGGCTCTCGGCTATTCAACTGCCGATGTTCTCGTGACAAATTTTGTGGCCGACGTCACTGACACCGGTGGCAGGGGATACTGAGCCTTGTTAGATTACATGGCTTACAGATTTCTTCTTCTAGGAAATATATCTAGGTACAACCGGAGGTTTTTCGGTTCAAATTTGGCGTAGATGTCCTGGAGAGAGGGGAAAGGGTGTTGCCCGGCTAAGCTCGGAGAAACCCCAGGGGTGCGGGGTTGGCCTTTCCCAGGCTACAACATTGTTAAACATGAAACTTTTGGGCTTGGGTACACAATTGAATAGACTTAAAGCCAGATATTACTTATAGCTACTAATATTATGCTAATTATAAAGTTTTTCTTCTCTTAGCGATGTATTTTCTCTGATGAGAGGCTGGGCAATGAGCATCGGGCCCTTGTTTCCGGCGTTTATCACCCAAGTAGCTCGATCTATACCCGGCCTTCTTCAAGCATTGAGAGAAGATCAGTATTTAACATCTCTAGTCGCACATTGTGAGACGATCGACTGATACTACATCTATTCTATAGTACAATATCTTGAAACACTTTCTACTTTCTTTGTTGTACCATTGTACGAGTCTTTCGAATCATTTTGCAATAGTACTGGTCAACTTTTAAGCGAACAGACTGAGTTCAGCCATAATGTCTAGCCGTCCTACTGTCCGTTGGGGTATAATCAGTAAGTCTCCATCTATTCGACTTCAAAATCCAACACATTTGCTATGTTAATGCCTTGAAGCTGACATAATTGTCAAGCGACCGGCCTGATCGCCTCATGGTTCGTAGAGGATCTTTTTCTCCAAAGAGAATATGCTAAAGTGGAACACGTCGTTCAATCCATTGGCACATCTAACGCCGAAAGAGGTCAAGACTTCGTGAAAACATACTGCCAAGGAAAACCCCCACGAGTTTATGACACATACGAGGAAGTCTATCGCGATCCAAATGTGGACATTGTCTACATTGGTACTCCCCACGGATTTCATTTCCGGGATTGCATGCAAGCCATTTCCGCGGGCAAGAACGTTTTGTGTGAGAAATCATTCACATTGAACGCAAAGCAATCAAGAGAGATCTTTGCAGCCGCCCGCGAAAAGCATGTATATGTCGCCGAAGCCATGTGGCTCCGTCATCGACCGATTTTCATCGAGCTCCAGCGACTCCTTCATGAAGAAAAGATCATTGGAGATGTCTTCCGTGTCTTTTGTGACTTTGCCTCGGGTGTGGACATTGCCTCGCTTCCAAGTACCTCACGATACCGTGATCTTACACTCGGTGCGGGGTCTTTGTTGGACATTGGTGTTTATTCGCTTACCTGGGCCAGAATGGCACTCGGGGGTAAGATACCTGATCAGTCGGAAATGCCACGAATCTTGGCTGCACAGACTCATGAAGAAGGCGTTGAGATTAATACCAGTACCATCTTACAGTATGCCTCAACAGGGCGGCAGGGCATTGTTACTTCGACTACGAAAGCACTTGGTGCTCCCGGTGAAGTCTTTGCTGTTGTCCATGGTACCAATGGGTATGTTGAGATTGAGGGGAGAACGCCATCTGCGCCTGAATCTTTCACTGTATGGTCAAAGCAAGAAGGAAATCCGGATCGTGCGTTTTTCCCGAGGGAAGCTTGTCAAGGGAAGAAGTATGAGTTTGCAACCCTTGGACGGGGCTTTGTCCACGAGGCGGAGAACACGGCACTTGACATTATTGAAGGGCGTAAGGAAAGCAGAATCATGCCATGGGCGGAGACTCTCTATATAATGGATATAATGGACGAGATCCGACGGCAGGGCAAGACGGTCTATCCGAGCGAATGATATCTTCAAATCTACCTACCACACTCAATCCACTCACCACTCCCAATGTCCAAATACTGTCAAGTATGTCAAGTAGTCGAGTAGTCAAGTAGTCAAGCCATCTACGTAAATCTGAATATAGAAGCGATTCCCAAAGAAGAAAGTCCAGGCGTCGATCTCTCGGCTCTCGGTCAACTCTGGGGAAAGCGGGGAAACCTTTCCTTCTTCATATCTTCTCCTTCGATCGACATTGTACAGTTGAGCTACTAGCTACTCTGGGATACTCCGGCATACTCTCTTCAACGGCGTGCCGAGATGGTGGTGAAGGCCTGTGACCGCTGCCGCTCGAGTAAGGAGAAATGCGCCGTTGCGACTGATAACCCGGCGTGCACCAGATGCATTCGCCTGAAATTACCATGCTCTATCTTGCGTCGCAACAAGCGCGTGAGTCGTCGCCTCTCTCCAAAGACTCCTGTGGGAGAAACGCAGGTCGCCGTCTCCAGCATCAAGTCCGTGGCAAGCGTCAACCAAAACTCACCTACCGTGTCCAGCCGACGGTCGGTTTCGTCAATTTCGACCCCACCAATGCATAGGACTGAAGCATCGTCGACACCAATATCTACAGGTCCCGTTGTGATAGCACCGGAAAAATTGCTCGCCTCAACCCTCAACCTCCAAACCACATCAGACGCGTTGCGCACCGTGCTGGATGTGGAACAATTCTCAGTCATCCATCTACCCTTCATGCTAGGCTCTAGCTTCATTCCCGAGTCTCAAAAGACAGTCTATGCCATTTTATGTCTTTCGGCCCCCACCCTCACAGAAGGCTACTTGGCCTTTCTGGGCCTGATGACAAGCTACCAGAGATCACTTGTCATGCGTCGCGGCGAGCCTGATATGTGCAAAGCCGCAATGGGCTTGCAACGATTGCGAAGTGTGAAAATCTCACACGATTACGACGCGGCATGCGCGCTTTTTCTAGGCCAGACCATGTACGTTTTCAACGTGCTCACAGCACCATATTCCAATACGGCCCACTCAATCGTCCGGAGCGCGCTCATGTCCACGAAAAAATGGGTTCCGCGACTACTACAATTCCCCATCATGGATACAATAACCATGTCACCTATTCTGATCGACACGGTAGAATGCCTCGTTCATCGTGAAATCCCTATTATACGACTCCATCCCCAACGGCGCGTAATTGTTGACCGCTATGCTGGTCTGTGCGCAACTCTTCTGCCTCACCTATACGACATCTGCGAGTGCAGCCACGCTTTGAAGAGGAATGTGTTTGAGGCTGGTTCCGAGTCACATTCCGCAATATATGATCGACTGGGTAATATCGAGGAAGCAATTCGATATTGGCGGCCCAAAACGCCTACTCAAATTTTCGAAAATTACGGCCAACATGCCGTTCTGGCAATGGTCACGCAGGCGAATGTCTATCGTCTAGCGGCTCTATTACTCATTCACCGGTTGCGACATCCCCTCGGTGTCGAAAACGCAGGGGCGCAAAAATTGGCAAATAACATCTTTGCTGAGTTGGCTTTTTTTGCCAAATCGTCAATCAAGGACACTACCGCTCTACCGGTAGTGTTCCCATTGACAATGGCCATGTTGGAGATCAAAGGCCCTGGAGAGGATCTTTTGGAACGTTTAGCCTCATTCTCTGTCCAAAGCACAAGTGCCTCGCGACTTCAGGAGTTCGTACAGCTGGTCAGGTCTTCACGAGAGTCTGGATTTGAGGGCACTTTGTTCGATTTGGTTGAGTCACATCTTCATGTTGCAATGCCACCTTAGCTAATTCTATAAAAATAAATATAATACATTCCTGGTATCATTTTGTATTTTGTTCACGGTGCGAAAAGAAGAGGTCGATTAAGAATTAGGTTTCGTGGAAGTCAAAAAGATGGCAGAACTGTTTTCCCCCTTGGTCAATCCAATCACTCTAACTCCATCCGCGAACGATAAGCCTTACTTCTCCCAGGCAACTCCGAAGGTGGCGATCGGACAGATAACTCACTCAAAGGCGCCGGCCCATGATACTGATACTCAGCATTTGCCCAACGCGCATTCTTCCTCCCCAAGAAGAAAAACAATGCAAACAGTGTAATAGCCAAACCCCCAACCCCAACTCCATTCCCAGCCTTTGCCCCTGTAGATAAACCCCCATCCGAGGATGAAGACAAAGCCCTCTCAGCAGTTTGAGTAGGCGTCCCCGATGCACTCAACACGCCAGGCGCAGTCGAAGAAACAGAAGTAGAAGTAGGCGTCGAAATCCCAGCCGTCCAAAGCGTAACAAGGTTCGATTTCTCCGCGGCGGCAAATTTGTCATCTGTAGGATTTTCGCAATCTCGATTCCCGTCCGCGTCTGTACCGCAACATACCCACGTCGAGTCACTGAGGTATGTTATATCGGGGAGTCTATCAGTTCCTGGGTACGAGAAGAGTTGTTAGCTCAGCCATCATACAGTGCAGGTTTTACCTCAGAGGTACAGATCTTGATCTTGGAGTTGAGGTCGTCATACACCGATTAGGACAAATAATCGAATATCGCGGATCAGTATAATTCCCCCCATTCGAACAAGCAGCCGCATAGAAGCTCGTTCCGCCGGCTAGTGATTTCGTCGTGTGGCAGATACTATCTGTGAGACAGACCTCTCCTACGGCACAGCATGCTGCAACGGTGTTTGAAGTGTTCAGGGGTCCGCATGGTGTCAGGGCGTCGCTGAATACTCGGCCATTTTGCCAGGGGCAGTTTGCCAGTTTGGTGCTGGCGGATCAGTTGGTTTCGCCCAAGTTGGAAAAAATGCCCTCTTCGGTGGGAATGAAGAGGCTGTCAGCCTCATGCTGACCAGGCTTGAGCTACTGTGACTGCCCAGGCGAGCGCAGGAACTTGGCATTTTGCTATCTTTGGAATAATCGCATGTCGATCATTGTCAGTTGGGATTTGGATGTATGGATTAGAATGGCTACCAGGGGAAATATCGTCTTTGGAAGTCTATATCTGTGCAACATAAACAAGAGTTCGAAGTTCTCGCACTTTGATATTGATCAAGGTTGCAAAACGTGGAATTCCATGGTCTTTGCAAGGCTGGCTTTCGGCCCCCACAGGGTCTTGGCTCCTGGGCTGGTTCATGCTGATTTAGTGCTTACATCTGCAGTATGTTTGATATGCCACCCGTAAACATTAATCTCACTGTCGATGACAAGGGAGACATAGATGGTCTCAAATTTGCTCTCTTGGGTATAAGTTCAAAAAGGAGCGCAAATTATCTAAGCTGCCAAGCCAAGCTTCCACAAGCTTTCGGCCCACCTCGGCGCGACCCGTAAATGTTTTCGCCCAACAGTTGAGTGTTTTTCAGCTGTGCAGGTACGTCATTTCGTTTGTCGTGTTTTAATCTGATTCAATCTGATTTTTTCAGTCGATAAAGCCCAATGGTGGAGAACTGTCTCAGCATTGTATATTTTTGGGTCTGATCATGGAAGAACTACGACCGAGATAGAACAGAACAAACTCAAAATCTGCCTTGAAGCGTCTCGAAACCCCCTAATATCTGCTTCATTTCGGCTGGCTCATTTTGAGGGATTTCTCGCCTAAACAAACGCCTTTCACTGTGGCTGGCTAGCTAAAGTGGAACTTTCGGCAGATCTATACCAGGAATGCCTAATAGTGGTTCCGTGCAAAATTTTACTTTCTCTAATTCCCCGGAAGAAACTCATCTTCGAAGTTTAGATTGATAGAGTTTATATGAAGTTATACCGAAATATGCCAAGCGTACTCACTTAGCACTGAATGTATCTAAATACTGTAGCCATAGCCACTGTAGCTGAACCACTAGGGTCAAATCCTCATCCAAGTCCCCAAGGATAAGCGAAAGCACAGCAAAGCACTCATTTCAGTTCAGTGACCTCTTGGTCATTGAACGGAATGCCAAGGCTGTGAAGCAAATTGGTAGCGGCGGTTTCACCTGTCTTGAAAGCACCATGAACACAGCCATTAGCAACGAGAGTGCAATGCTCACCAGCAAACTGCAAACGACTACCCTTGTGATTCTCAAAGGCATCAATAAGCAACTGCGGATCATCCCCAACCTTGTCAGCAGAGTAAGTTCCAAACCCAGCCAACGGGTCCTGGGTCCAATGTGTAGTTTCAACATTAACCAGACGGGGCAGAGCCTTGTACGGCTCCGTGCGGAACAGCTTGAACAGCGGTTCAAAGAATAGATAGATCTCCTTGAGATCCTGCATCGCCTCGATACGCTGCGTTAGCGGCTCGGCGATCTGCACGCACAGCTCCTTGCTACCCGTCATAATCCACAGGTTGATGGTGACGGTGGCGTAGTTGAGGATATTGTCTTTCTCCCCGATGGAGTTCATGCTCGTGCTTGATTGCACGGAGGAACCGGAGGATGATGCGTCCGACTCCTCTGGTGGCGAGGGATAGAAGACGAACTGGTCGTTATCCTTGGACCAGAAGACGTCCGCGAATTCGAAGAATACTTTGCCCAGTGCGCCGTAGCTGAATCTGGACATGCCCTCTTGGATGTCACTCGGCAAGGGCGGGTTGAAGGAGATGAGCTTGTGGTGGTAGACGCCCAGCGGGCTGGTCATCACCACTGCATCACCCTCGACGAAGCCGATGTTTCCAGCAGCATCCTTGTACCGGATGCGGGCTGGCTCATCGCCAGATTCACTCCACTCAATGTTCTCGACAAAGTGGTTGAGGCGGATGATGTTTGGATCTTTGCGAAGTGGCTCGGCAGTCCAGTCCACGATCCGATCATAGCCACCTTTCATATACAGATTGCGCTCTGTAATAAAATAAGACAGATGTTTGGCCGAGGCTTGGTCGGTACTGGTTCCAATCCAGAGTTCGACCTCGCGGACAGCCTGTGGCGCCCAGTCACGCTCATCCTCGGTGATGAGCTGATGCTGTAGCACGAATTCTTTCGCAAACTCATGGACCGGACGGTCCTCGGCCTCGGGGTTTGTTTCGTAAAACCACTCGCAGTAGTCGGCGAACTCGTCGGCGACTTTCTTAGCTTTGAACTGGGAACCAGCTCGGCCTTCCCGGGTGAAATACAACGGGAGGCCATCGTCATAGTAATAAGGAATATCCAGCTGAGGGATCAGCTTCACCAGACTGTTCTGGGAGGTTTCGTGCATCCACGCGGCACCTAAGTAAACTAGTTAGCGGGTTGCAACCCCTATTTTGTTCTTATCTAAATGTTTGGCGAGTTGCTCTGAACAATAACAATCGCGATCGTACCGATGTCCCGAACCCGATCACCTGTTCTGCTGGTCAGGATTCTTCCACCAATGCGATCGCGCGCCTCGAGCACCACGACTTCACAGCCGTGACGGTGCAGGACGGCGGCGGCGCGCAGACCAGAAATTCCTGCACCTACCACAATCACCTTCTTGCACTCCGACCTCGCTGCACATGTTTTCGACTCCGGGAGAGTTGCGAAAGGTGCAACCAGGTCGGAGCCACAATTACTTGGTTTTATGGGACTACTGCCCGAGAGAGGAGAAGCGATGTGGAAAGATTGGGCCATTCTGAGCTGACAAGTGGACATTCGGCTTTAAAGCGATTTCGGATAAAAGTAAACAAGAGTGAGATCTGACAGTGAGATAGAGGGAAGGTCGGAGATATGAGGGGACTGAAATACGCCACGGGAGTAAGCTGAAACAGGCACGTCCAGCCGGGCCTTGAATATGCGCTTATCATGAACACAAACATTCCTCAGAAGATCTTGGTATGTGTAGAGTGAAGATAGACTAGATAGTAGAATAGGGCTGGTTGGGTAGAGAGATGAAGCTAGTCGGTTCCAGTAGGTCTACGCGTTGCTTAGCCCTCTTATCTTCGCTCCACATCAAATTCTTATCTGCCCAGTTTCTTCACTTTCTTTTCTTCTTTCTTTTTTCCACATAAAATGCATGCATAACTGCCCTTGGGCCACTGGATCAGAGTTCGCTCTGGTCGCCTATAGACATGGAGCCAGACATGGAAGTTCTCAATGGGACTGAACGCATCTCTGCCGCCAACGGTGAGATCACACTCATTCCCACGCCCACAAACTCACCAGACGACCCACTGAACTGGAGCACGTGGAGACGGTACTGGCATGCGTTCCTGGTCTTGGTGATAGTCGCCTTTACCGCTGCCACCTCGAACGATGCGGGGACGGCTGGCAACGGAATGGTCGCTGAGTTGGGGATCACCTGGGACCAGATCAATGTTGCCGCCGGGGTCTTGTTTGTGGGTATTGGGTATACCACGTTGCTGCTTGGCCCTGCACCTTTTCTGTACGGGAGACGCATCTCGTACATGATTTGTCTGCTTTCGACGATCGTTGGCTCGATCTGGTTGGCTCGGACGCAGACTTCCGGCGATAACATCGGAAGTCAGCTGTTCGTTGGGGCAGCCGAGTCATGCGCCGAAGCGCTGGCTCAGTTGTCCCTCTCTGATCTGTTCTTTCAGCATCGGAGAGGTCTCGTGCTTGGCTTATACGTCCTGGCGACTAGTATTGGCACCTTTACTGGTCCTTTGGTCGCCGGCTTTATTGTTGACAGTGAGGCGCTAGGCTGGCGATGGGTTGGTTGGCTCGCTGTCATCATCTCAGGGTTTTTACTTGTCTTGTTTTACTTTGGCTTGGAGGAGACTTCCTTCGATCGGAAGAACCCTCTTCAAGGACACGATGCACCGCCTACTCCACCGGGCGAGCTGACCGACCTTCCGCAGGACGGAAAGGAAAAGGACATCGCCAAAGTAAAGGCTATATCCCCTCATATTCTCGACGAGGAATGCGGTCAGCAGAAAGGGAAGACGTACCTCCAGCGCATCGCCCTTATCACCCCGTCGCCAACCTTGGTCGGCACGGGTTTCAAGCAGTACTGTCGCCGGCTGCTTCACACCCTGCGCGTCTTCACATTCCCAGCAGTCATCTACTCAGGAATGCAGTGGGGCGCCCAGGATGCTTGGTTGACCTTCTACCTGACCGTCGAAGAAGACAACTGGTACGAAGCACCGTGGTTCTACACCGACGCCGCCGTAGGCATCATGAACGTGCCAACCCTAATTGGCGCGCTCCTGGGCTGTATCTACGGCGGATGGTTTAGTGACTTCTTCGTGCTGTGGATGGCCAAACGCAACAACGGCATCTTCGAAGCCGAGATGCGTCTCTGGCTCCTCTTGCCGGTGGCGTTCATCGGCCCAACCGGTCTTATGCTCTTCGGTATTGGTTCCAACAATGGCATGAGCTGGCCATGGCCGTATGTCGGACTGGGATTCATCGGCTTCGGCTGGGGCTGTGCGGGTGATCTCAGTATGGCGTATCTTATGGACGCGTATCCGGATATGGTTTTGGAAGGTATGGTCGGTGTGTCTGTTATTAATAACACTATTGGCTGTATCTTTACTTTCTCTGCTGGGTACTGGATGGATGCGCAGACTCTGTCGCAAGTATTTATTGCTATTGGTGTGCTGAGCTTCTTCTTTATCATGACCACCATCCCTATGATCTACTGGGGTAAGAAGTGTCGTCAGCTCACTCGGAAGCAGTACGAGACTTTCCTCCGGATTCGTGATGGTCCTGCATAGTTGGGTGGAGTGTGTTGTTGTCATTTTCGCCTCTTGGTATAGAGTTATTTTGTCTTTTGTTTGTATCCTCCATTATATCCTCTATTCATATGCACGTCAGCAATATCTATGTATAACTAATCATGGCGTTTCATTCTCCGAAGACCTCTGTTCGAAGACTTCTGCTCAAACTTAGCACCACTATTTATAACCTCGACCCTGCAAAGAGTTCACGCGCACGTTTGGGTGTCACTTAGCAATCGCCATCGCTACCCTTATTGTCTTTCGAATAACTGCATCAATAGCTCTAGCCAAAAACTCAATATTCCCTAGGTCAACTGCAATTAAGTTGATCTTCTGTTAGCTCTACTCTTTGGAATTCTCCTTTGAATTAAAGGTCTTGGACTTGCTGCCAACAACACACATGCGGCCCGAGTCAAGCATATAAATGCTATGGTTTGTGCGCAAATAGACAACTTGTGCCTTCGTCAATCCCTTGTATGGAAACTTACCGCACTATTTTGAACTGGAGTGGTATGTTTAATCTTGACATCTGGAGTCTATTTAGAGAAAAATACCTGACTCAAAATATGTTCCCAGCAACCAGGTGTACTCAAATCATGGAGAGATCGGTACAATGCGCTTCTCATTTCCCGAATCCTTCAGTACATGTTTGCGGATCATTTCCCCACTGGGACTTAAAACCAGGAGTAGACAGTACTAGCGCAGCAGTCTTTGCGCCGTAGGCTAGAGCGACTAACATCTCTGCACGGTGAAGATTGAGCATTTGAGAAATAGTATTTTGAGCTGATTCTTTGGAGGGACAAACGATATGTAGAGAAAGCTTCAGTCTTCCACATAGTGGGCAATCCAGCATGAGCAATACAATACGAAATCCCCGAGCTCGGCTACACCATGCTTTGATGGCGACTTCGGCAAAATCGCTCAGATGCAATCTCACATTACAGTCACACAAGCCAACCTCATTAACCGATTATTTGTTCAACTCTAATAAAACTCGCCAATTCATAAACTTATATGTCATATACGAACACCCTAATCATACCTCTTCTTAAATCATGCCCCAAGCGCTTTCGAGACTAGCACAATGGCTTGGGGTAGAGGTTGTCTATATTAATGTCATTCGTCGATCACGTCACGGGGATCTACGTCTTCTATAGTCCACAATTCCTTCGGAACATCCTACGGTAGGTATTTAGCATTTAAAACATATTTACTAATTTTATTTAGGATATCACTTTATATCTACAAAAGGAAGGGACTAGCGTATCGAAAGAAGGCATTCCAACAGCCTACTAGAAAAGGCTGATAGACCCGGCGGGCGCTACATAACACTACGGACAAATGGAACACTATGACTTCATGCTCTGGTATATATTCCTGTGTTTGTTGGACTTTGAACAGCCTAAAATATAGAGATACGTTGTAGCGGTTGCGTCGGGTTCGATGGTTTGTTTTGTTTGCGCTCCCGGAGTCTCACCTTGAAACCGCAGTAAAAGCGGGTCTGCAAGGCTGAGCTCCGAGAAAAAGGGCTTATATTCTATCCTATGTTCATTCCATGAAAGCGACATATACCGCCTTGGGCTAACAAGGTCTATGAGCTGTTGTAGCAATACAATCTAACATCAGGTATCGCAAGGGGCTACTAGGCAAAGCCTGAGCGTAGATGAGTCTGAAGGCTTCATAGCTTAGGATTTCTTCGGTATAATTGTCGGCAGGAATGATGCCCACCAATTGCCGAGAGAATCTTGGCATGTGAACCTCTCACTTCATTTTACGCATCAAGAAATGATATGATAGGCAGGCTAGAAACCAGAACTCTTGGCTGCGCTGACTGGACTTTCGGCTACAGGGTCTGTTACAGAGTGAGCAGGAATATAGCCTGATCTGGGGTACATGTCCGTCCATAGAAACAGGGGTTTTCGAAAGCTACCCTGTGACTGTTTATTTAAAACATGCTGATTGAATTCTTGGTTAAATCTGCTCCAACCTTTTTGCCCCACAATATGCTCGACGGTGATCTGGACCCTGAATAGTACATCTCATCTCCTCTTAGCAATTCTCCGACTGAAGAAACAAGGTCAACGTATCCGTGTCTTGGCAACGTTTCGACCCATAAGGTATCTTTCTGTGACAATCATTCTCGGCCACTGCACGAGATTTACCCGGCTGGGATCCTTACAGGCTGTTGCTGTATCTGGCAAGACACCCGCCGTGGATGATGATCATGAAAACGGACATCTAACTACTCGGAGAATGATCTCCTAGAGCTCCGTTCTTCTTTAGGAAGTAAATTTTGGGGATCACGGTCGCCGCTTAATCATGGAACTCAAAGAGCATGTATAAAAACGACCATGACGCTCATTTTCAATCTTTCAATTAATCACAACTCCTTCATCTGTCATATCAACCTTTTGTCAGTTAACAATGATCCTCCTCCCTACCCTCCTGGCCCTAGGGCTTCTAGGCTCAGTCAATGCCGCTGCATCCTCGGGCTGCGGCAAAAGTCCCACTCTCACCAATGGAGTCCACAATATCAATGGCCGCGAGTATATTCTGAAGGTCCCTGACAACTATGATCCAAACACACCACATCACCTTGTTTTTACTCTTCACTGGAGAGGCGGAAACATGTACTCCGTCGTCAATGGCGATAGCATACAACCATGGTATGGTCTCGAAAGCCGAGCGCAGGGCAGCGCAATCCTAGTAGCTCCCAACGGCAAGAACGCTGGCTGGGCCAACACCAACGGCGAAGATGTGGCCCTTATCGACGCCATCATCCAGCAAGTCGAGGGTGATCTCTGTGTAGACTCGAGCTCTCGTTTTGCGACAGGCTTCAGTTGGGGCGGTGGGATGAGTTATGCACTTGCCTGTTCGCGGGCAAAGGAATTCAAGGCTGTGAGCGTGTTGAGCGGTGGTGTCATTAGTGGATGTGATGGAGGTAATGATCCTATTGCTTATTTGGGCATTCATGGGATCAACGACCCAGTGCTGCCATTTGATGGGGGTGTGAGTCTGGCAAATAAGTTTGTTGAGAACAACAAATGCCAGCCAGCCAACATCGGCAAGCCTGGATCTGGGAGTGGCGGTTCCGTTCGAACGGACTTTCAAGGGTGCTCCAAGCCAGTTTCCTTTATTGCATATGATGGGGGACATGTTGGTGCGCCCTTGGGCGTTCAAAGTTCTCTGGCTCCGGATGCTACTTGGAAGTTTTTCATGGATGCTTGAAGTTGGGGTTAGTGCTTGATAGGACGGGAATTTGTTAAGTTTCTCTTGGGAATATAACACTAACTAGGTTACTTAGTACAAATTTAGCTAGTTCTCCAGAGAGAGTTTCTTCCTTAATTAACACCGCTGTTCTTGCCTGCTGACTCTATAAATCATCCTTTCCGAAATAAACCCCTTGTCTAATACACACACACACACATATCCTTCTTGCCCGATTCTTGATCTTACTAGACGTCTTCGGTCTACTTGCTGTCGCTTGAAAAATAAAGAGAAGTTTGTACTACGGCTGTATGTTCTAGCTACATTGTTGCAACTGAAAGCGCAGAGGGAGCTTATAGTTATTGTTTTCCGTTAATCGATGCTGCCCTGCATAATTGCTCTTTCATAGAAACGCCTAGTTTACTAGCTAGATTACTAGGTTGAGACAGAAAGTAATAGTCTTGCTTAGCCTGCATTTTGACCTGAAGCAAATTGAATCCGGATCGAAGTCTTGTCTCATTTCTAGATCAAGCTCAGCACATTATTCGCACCAGGGCGGGCTCCAAGATTGTTGGCGCTATTGACTTCGTATTAGCTGCGTGATAGGCTCCGATTTTATTGGGAACTATTACTTGAACCGAAAGCGTAGATAGGCTCGTAAAGCACCAGTCCTTTATTATTACCTTTTTTATTAAAGAAAGTACATACGACCACAGGGTGTGGAGAACAGGGCTTCCCGTCCGCTCAGCCGTACTTAAGCCACACGCCGGTAAGTTAGTAGTTAGGTGGGTGACCACTAGCGAATCCTTACTGTTGTATGTTTTTTTTTGCTCCATCTTCATACAGATGGCAAAGTGACAGATGCCAGCATAAAGGGGTTTTTTCGCATATAGATCCATCTCATTGTGGCATCTATAGCCCGCTTCGCTTCGGCAAGAGGTCAGGATCACTCAATCACGGATAAATTCACATTGCTACAGTGTGCATATATGGCCTGACTTACATTTGATAGGTCATGTTTTCCAATTGGAGACCAAGTTAGGCATCAAGAAAAGGATTTCTAGGCCGAATCGGAGATCGGACACCGCAATTTGGCCGTGATAATATTATATCCGAGAAGCAGGTATCTATCCGTGGACATTAGATCTTCAACGTCAACTCAACCTGACGATTTAATTGGAGCACATATAGATTTTATTGGAGAACAACTCCTCTATACTCTGATCCATCCACAAATCTTAGACAGATTCATTGATATTAACAAAAAAAGTGTCGGGAAAAATATTTTCACGGGTATACGTAGCCCTTCCCGCTAGTTCCTCAGTTGGGGCCAACCACGCAAGCTGCCCCCGTCATCCCCCATCCAAGCTTTTCTGGTGGATGCATCAATTAATTATAACCTCGCTACTAATCAAAATGTGCTGTGATCCACCATAGTTCCTGGCAGCGGGGCCAATGGCGGTTTCTGAATGGTATTATCTGCAATCTGCGTCGTGGATGGATGTGATGATCCAAGGTCGGGGGGCAACAGATCGGGTTTGACACGCAACGTCTAAGAATAAGACTAAGTACGATTCCATGTTTTTGCATATATTGTCGTCTGTTCGTTAAGGCTGTTTGCGTTGCCTATAATCCCCGGAGGATCGCTGTTCTTTCGTCCTTTCTCTCGTTCATCCTGTATACTTCGTCTTTCGTTGATAGTATCTGCTTCAATATGGTCTTCAAGTCTTACTACCAGTGGGCCATTGTCGCCCTGGCTGCAACTGCTCAGCTTGGTGCTGCCCAGACTACTACCAGCTGCAACCCTCTCAAGAGTATGCATTATATCCAAGATTCTTTTTAGAAAAACAACGCTGACAATTGGTTTCTAGAGACTTGCTCCGCTGATACCGGTCTTAACAAGTACCGTCTCAACACTGACTTCACCTCTGGCTCCATGGGCCGCTGGAACACCACTGCTGGCACCGTGACAACCACCGACCTGGGAGCCAAGTTCACCGTCTCGGAGCAGGGTGACGCCCCTACGATCGAGAGTGAATTCTACATTTTCTTCGGCCATATTGATGTCAAGATGAGAGCTGCCAATGGTACTGGCATTATCAGTACCTGGATTCTCGAATCCGATGACCTCGATGAGATTGACTGGGTGAGTCCCTCCCTACTATATCAACTCACCTTCAAAACCAAAACCCACTAACCCATTCCACAGGAGCAAATTAGTACCTACAGCACCGAGATCCAAACCGACTACTTTGGCAAGGGAAACACAACCTCCTATGACCGCGGCACAACCGTAACCGTCACCACACCAGAGGAGACCTTCCACACCTACTCCATCGACTGGACAAGCGAGCGCATCGAATGGCTTCTCGACGGTGAAGTCGTCCGCACCCTTGAGTACTCCGACGCATTGAACGGCAAGAACTACCCCCAGACCCCCATGCGCATCCGCATCGGTATCTGGGCCGGTGGTGACCCCGACAACTCCGAAGGCACAATCGAATGGGCCGGTGGCGAGACCGATTACACTGAGGGACCCTTCTCGATGTACGTTGAGTCTGTCGACATCATCAACTACAACCCCGCCCAGGCGTACAAGTACACCGATAAAACCGGTGCTTATACTAGCATCAAGGCTACTAACGGAACTAATGTTTCTACCAACTTGGCCTCGAGCTCGGGCGTTGCCTCTTCCTCTGCTGAGGCGTCCTCTACTGCCATGGGAGCTTCTTCTACTGCTGCTTCCTCTTCTTCGTCGGCTTCTTCGGCTGCTTCTTCTGTTAGCTATGTGTCTGGTGCATCGGCTTCGTACTACACTTCCGTCTTTGTCATTGCTGCTGTCTCCCTTGTTGCTGGATTTGTGCAGTTCTAGGAGGCTGGGGTTGTATTATGGATCTATGTTTGTGAGTGGAGGTGTTTAGACCTGAGACTTTTGTGTCTTTCTGCTTCGTGACATTCCTTTTTGTGATATATTTATCTACCTAGCTTAGACTTAATGTCTCTTGCTAATTCTCTTAGCGAATTTGTCTTTTGATTTGCTTCTTTCTGTAGACGTTGCCGCTGCCGGTTATATATTTTGACGCGCCTCGTTGCTTGATGCTATTTTATGGCAACACATAAGCTCAATTGGATTTGGAAAACATATAACCATATTGATAGGTAGCAATTTAGTTATGAACTACTTCAACTGAAGAGTAACTACTCGAAAACGTTGTCTCAGAATGTTAAGAAGGGAGAAATGCAAAATGTGACGACCCCACCAAGAAATGGCGCTAGCGGATTTTGCTCTTGTAACACAAATGGCGTACTCCACACATCAACTAGCATCATTGGTCTAGTGGTAGAATTCGTCGTTGCCATCGACGAGGCCCGTGTTCGATTCACGGATGATGCACAGCAATTTCTTTTTTTTCTCTCGTGGTCTTGTGTATCCTCGACCTCAATTGACGCCTGAAGTCTCCTCCCTATGGCCGTGGCACAGAGGATTTAGCTTCCCCTACTGGTAATGCTAGAAATCCTCAATGTATGGGCTGACCGGGTCCAATCCTCGACTCCCCGAAATCACACTCTTTCAAAGGGCCCTCTTTGGTAATAAGTGCGTGCGAAGCATATCTCATTCGATTCTCCGAGACTTGTTGACGCGTTGACGGTGATTCCATATCATGACCATCCATTATCTGAAATATGTGGGCTTGATACTCGTCAGCGTAGGCTAGTAAGTTGCCAGGACGGACATATGTGTATATGAATGCATCAGCACAGAAAAGGATGTGGGATGAGAAACATGAATGTTTATACCGACATGTATGCCCCGCACTCTACATGTAGGAAGTTGAGCGCCTGACTCTCCTCAATGAGAACTTCTTTTACCATCTCTTTACAAAGCCGCTTGTTCGGAGGCCCTCTTTGAAAGCCACCCAGCCTTCCGAATGCGGGATGTGCGACCCATCTGGGCTAGTGACAGTGAATGACTCGTAGAAGCTGCGAATGTTTTCTCGTCCGACATGAAAATACTCAAGACATATATATTTTCGAAGAAAGGGAGTTTGTGGTGAAACATTGAGTTGGGGATATTCACCTTCAAGGCGACGTATCTTTTTTCTCTGCGTTCACTATTAATATAGCCACAGGCAAGAGACAAGGCTACTAGGGATTGAGTCAATGGGTAGAGAAACGTCATATCTCCGGCTGGCCATGCCGTAGAGCAATTTTTCAAGCCGAGTTTGCGCGTACTTGGAAGCCATCTTGGAATACCTTGCCGATGTGGACTGGGTAGTATCGGGGACTGTAATTGGATATTTGTTATTCGATATCTTGAGTTTCTGCCGGGATAAGTTTGAATCCATCTGTTATAAATCGTCGAGGCCTCTCTTTGGGGACTTGATAGCCATGTGTAGAAAATAACGTCAATATGGTGGCTTTTGTGGCCCGTGGAGGCAGTTTGGGGTTAAGACTGAAGGATATAGTTGTTGGTGGTTTCAATATGAAGCCGTGAGAATTTCCAGCTCTTTTACACCAATGCAAGCCCTCAAACTATGTCTTGCTATTAATACCATTTATTGCAAGTCACAAGAGAGCTTGGGCTTGGGTAACATGAAGTCAGTGCGGGATCGACGTTGCGGCTCTATCCCTGTCATTTCTAATTTTAGTCCTGCCCAGGGTGGCACAGGCATGCTTGCACTAATAACAGTGTCCATGAAAAAAGTATTAATCGTGTGTTTTTATGGTTTTGTACTGCATTTCGGTGGTTGAATCGAGAGAGACTAATGAGAGGAATAAGTGGTCTGGTCATTAAACATAGATAGATGCGTGATATTCACAGCAGTAGATCAATCAATATGAAAACAAAAGTATACAAGAAGATGTTCATGGGGTATCAGGATGATCACCAACGACCATTTGTATGGGCATAGAAAAAGGGTATTGCGCATCAAAATGATCTAGCTCGCTTCCGTCCCCACTGTACCCAATGCTATCGCGGTTGTCATCCGTAATGCGACCATATTCAAGCAGAAGAAGATACAGATAAATTTCAAGATCTTCATTGCGCAGTGCCTGCTGCGCCCACTCCCGACTCTGAGCGGCAATCACTTCAGCCTCAAAGTCGTGGCTTTGAACGTATGGCTCTCCGGACGCAGGCAATGTGCTGGATGATGAGTTACCGAGACCAATGAAATAAGTCATCAATGCGTATAGGTCATCGTAGCGATTATCCATCGGAACAAAATGGCGCCAGGGGAAGAGTCGGGAATCGTGCCATTCGCGGAAGATGGTGGCTTTGATGCCTAGGGATTTGCTGTGCTGGAAGGCACGCCAGCGGCCGGAAAAACTGTGTCCGTCGATATCGACAAGGTACTTTGATTTGAATTGCTGGCTGAAGTCTTTTGGCTCTTTGTATGTCCAGATATCGTCGTAGAAGGAGCAGTCAGGAATGCAGCCCCAGGCTTCAGTGAAGCCGACATCGAAGTGATCCAATGAAAAGTTGCTAGGGCTGAAATCGGAGAAGTTTCGATATTGCTTCATGTTGTTCTCCGCTAGAATCGGAACCGTCCGTGATTCCATCTCAGTGCTGTTGGCAGCCTGGACGAAGCGTTGGCGGTGTAGTCGGTGCCAATTGTCCGCGAGCTGAACTCCCCCAGAGGTAACGCCGCGCCAGAGGAGAGTGTCGGATTTATCCTCCCATTCGTTGTCGTGGCGCGGATTATAGACATATCGCTTATCGTTCATGAAATACATGTTCGCGGGGAACAGGATATCATTGTTCACGCTGACCTTGCACTCGCTAAAGACCGGAAGCAACTTCCTCGAAATGATATTGCTAGAAGCCGAGAACAAAAATCCATGGCTGTCTCCGAGAACAGGACCGACCGTGCACAGATCCGAAGAGGCCGTGAAGTTAGTAATGAAGCCAGCCGACGGCGACTTATAAAGCTTGTCGGCATCCTTGGTCGAGATGTTGGCGCGAGCAGGGGAACCAGGCGGACAGGATTCATTGGCAAAGCTCATGTATGGTCGTCCTGCAATCGAAAACCATTCTGGCTCCACGCCCTCAATGGTGGAGTCTTTCCCATACAGATAATCCATTCCCAAAGTGAATTGATCCAGCGCATCGCTCGGCAGACTTCTGCTCAGTGCTTCAGTACGGAGATATTCCTGTGTGTCATTATAGGTAACCATGACTCGAGGCTGGTCCATAACATTGAGCGCAATGTCCATATCTGGAAGAAACTTCGCTATACGTTTGATGGAATCGCGCAAGGTCTCCGGCCGCCAGCTTTCCATATCGATAGAAACCTTGTGGTTTCGGATACGTACACCAGCAATCCCGTCGCTGTTCTGGAGCTTGGCTGCCATTTTTCGGATATCGGCTGGAGCTAACGCCCAGAAGGGTCGCAAGTCGCCACTGATCTGCTGGAAGTCGTCCACATTGTGCGCATTCTTCTTGCGCGCAAACATGTACCACTCCTTAAAGCCTGGGGGTGGGTGTCTACCATGGATCTCACGGTACTTGGCCACAGTCCGGCGGAAATTTGTAGAGCGACTGTTATCGTACGCCAGCCATTGGCGGTTGGCCTCTCGCATAAGACTGACAATCGGGTGTCCATCGTGCGCATATTCCCCCACAGGCTTTGGTTTTCCGAAGAAGGTGAACCCGGACAAGCGGTGATTGTCTACTGTCTCTGTCAGATAGAACAGGTTGATCAGACAGATCGATGTCGCCGCGCACGCCAACAGGAGGTAATAAGACTTGCGACTGCGGGTGAAAGACAGCATCCTGGAAGAAAACCCCCAGAATCTGGGGAGCAGATCCTGAAAGCAGGGGCAAAGACTACGAAGACATGAAGAATAAAAAACAGTGGGGTAGGAAAAAAGAGGCCTTTGCCCCCTTAATGTAGTTCAAGCCCGTGCCATGGGTCCCGGCCTTTTACAACAAAGCCCAAATCGCTATTCTTACATGTATTGTTCTTGATAAGCAGCCCTGGATCTATAGTTATGTGTAATGTGATACTTGATATATCTATGCCTATGCATATCTCAGAAATGCAAGGTGGGCAAGCTATAAAGCACAGGGGTGCAAATGTACATGGGGCGAACAAGGTTTGTTGATTTGACCTCGTGTTTGGTGGGCCGCGCTAGTCACAACGTCTGAGAAGAGGCTTCTTTTGGCGACTGGAGAGATAAGGCATATTGTACAATATATGCAGAATTACTCCATATTGAACAATCAATATAATTGAGAACAACTTGATAGAAAGATCGTTGAAGATCTGAATTGATCGTTGAACGTCAACAGACTTAAAACTTTTCTTCACGGCCCGAGTCACGCGACATGACTAATATATTATATAATCAGACATATTGCCTCAGGCCCACATCGCGACGAGCTCAGACAAGAACTATCGCAACATATCAACTTTCGCATCTCGCAAATGCGGTGGCCACCCTCGATGGCTGATACTTCCCAGGCTCGATAGCCATGGCAACCAAACGTACTCGTGCCACGCTCGAGGCCGAACTTCAACAACAGCAATCACCATACGCCTTCTATGGAACTCCACTACCACCACTCGATGACAGCATTCGCGATGACGGCTCCTTCGTACCAATATGGAAACAGGAAGTGACTGATGAAAGAGGGAGGAAGCGCCTACATGGTGCATTCACTGGTGGATTCAGCGCGGGGTGAATTTCACAATACTCAGAAGCTCGGCGCAATCGCTGACATTCTCTAGGTATTTTAACTCCGTCGGATCGAAAGAGGGATGGACTCCCGCAACATTCGTATCGTCTCGACAGAAGCGCGCCGAGAAGGCGCAGGAGCAACGACCCGAGGATTATATGGACGAGGATGATCTGCGGGAACAGGAAGACTCCAGAAAACTCCAGACCGCAGACGACTTTACCGGATTCGGGTCGACCGAGAATGACTCTACAAGGCGAGCAGGGCTCATGGATGTCTTGAAAACCGGGGGCGAGACCAAGGGAATCCAGCTTCTGAAAAAGATGGGATGGCGCGAGGGACAAGGAATAGGTCCTAAAGTCCGTCGCAAGGCCAATTTGGAGGAGGGTGCTGCATCCGGCGGTGATGCTGAGCCGACATATCTCTTTGCGCCTGAAAACCCGGCGTTGGTTGCCTTTGTGCGCAAAACCGACCGCACAGGCCTTGGGTTTGAGGGAGAAGCGCGCCTATCCGATTCAAATACGCGCAAGCAAACCAATGATAACGAGGAATCTGATTCTTTTTTCGGTGGGCGGCTAGCTATCCAAGGGAAATCCCAGCCCTCCAAACCGAAGAACTCACGGCGGGGTGGGCTTGGGGTTGGAGTACTCAATGATACTGGATCAGACGACGAGGATCCTTACTCTTTGGGCCCGCAGATCTCATATAACAAAACTATTGGAGGGGACAAGAAGAAAAAGAAGAAGGGCAAATCGGATGATGGAAAACCAACAATCGCATCATCCAACCCTCTCCTCAATTCAAAGCCGGTGTTCATTTCGAAGAAACTGGCAGCTTCACGAGGAACCGGAGGATTTAGAAAATGCCGCGATGGGCGTCTACCACTGGATGGGTTCGTTCTTGCTGAGGGCATGGCAGGCTTGTCGATTTCTAGCGACAAGCGCTACGATCCACCAGTAATACCAGAGGGCTGGAAATCAGCAAAAGAATTCTCGTCTACAAAACGGGACGGATCAAATTACACATCAACAGCCGACGCCGCCAAAGCCTCATCACTTGACCCGACATCGAGAGCAGCTCTTCTAGGTGAGGCTCAATTGCCAGGGAAATCAATCTTTGATTGGATGACGCCTGAGGCGCGAGATCGGATCGCCAAACTCACTGGCAACCAAAACTTACCCCCCGCCTTGGGAGAAAAGGCTCCCAAGGGATATGAGGTTCCCGAATCACAGAGGCGCAAGGACCTCTGGGATCTTGTCCCGAAACTTGACAAGCAGATTGCGGTCCAGGCCTTAAAACGCACTGTAAGTGGATGGATGCCCTATTCAGAGGATGAGAAGAAGCGTGCCCGCTATCGGGTCTTCCTTGAAGTCAGTGCAGGGCTTCGCGAAACTCTCCCAGAACGGGTCGAAGGTTCCAACACAGATGAATGGGTCACAGAGATGCAAGAGTTCGGCCGAGCTGCAGAAGTTTTCAAACCCATGTCTGGAGTCATGGCATCCCGATTTACCTCGGCATCCTCCGCACCACAGGCCGCCTCAGATGCCCCCGAATCTGCGGATGCTCTCCTCAGTCGACCCGCCGAGAAGCCCGATACCCCAGCAGTGGCAGCAGCCAAGATTGGCATGTTTGGCCAAATGACCCGAAGCACGATATCATTCTACCCATCACGTCTACTATGCAAACGTTTCAATATAAAACCTCCGGCACATGTACAGCTTGATCCTGGCGAACGACCTGGCGCATCCGAGTCTCAATCAGGCACACGGTTCCAGTCTGCCGGATATCAGGCTGACCCTGGAGCTAACACTGGACCCAAGGAGTTGATTTCCCAAGACGTCATGAACCAGCTTCTTATGGAGTCGCTCGGTCATATTCCTGGTGCCACTGGTCAATCTTCAGCTCCTGAGCCTCCTCGTCCGGCAGTTGAACCAGAGCGCAACGATGCCCTGGAGGCAGAGCGACCTGGTGATGCGGTATTCAAAGCTATCTTTGGTAGTGATGATGAAGATGAATAAATAGAGCATATTACCACATCATATATTGTAAATATCGATAGGACCCTTGGGGTCAAAGCTCAATAACTAAGCATTGTCGATCATTTGAGGCCGTGTGTCCCAGTGTAGTATAGAGACAAGATGCGCGCATATGTTTGGAATGTACAATTCCAGAGTCCCTATTTGTTTTCCTTGGTCTTGATTTCCTGATCCTTCTGCCTGTTTCATTTCTCTCATTCCCCCTAATGGCTTACTCTCCCCATTCCACCTCGTACCTGGTTCCCTCTGAAGTCATCCACTCTGAAGTCATCCTTGCGGTCCGTGCTCTGCTCTAATTTAGCTCCGTCACTCTCCCCTCTCGACACTCCCCTCAACTTATGGAGGCTCTGGACATGCAAGATGGTAAGAGTGTCCCTGTATCCCCCCAACCCTGCAATATATCTGAGATCGCATCCCATTGCTTGGCACTTATGGGACGTCACACGACCAGCGCCCTTCACAACCAGACCGATCCGCAGCTCGACCCCAACTCCAAGACACACAAAGACAAAACTAACAAGATACCTCCTTACAGGGCTGCTGCTCCTCCGTACCGTCAGATGACGACCAGCAAGACTCTCCCTACGCCCACAACCATCACCCCCAGACCCATACAACCGCAACAAACCGCAATGACACAACCCCCACAACGCCAACATCAAGAAATCGCAACCGACGCAGCAGACGTGCTCCAAATTTACCATTAAATGAACACTACAACGAACCCGTGCGCCACCATGTCTGGTACAGCAAACGCCGAACTTGGACCCGCGCCCAACTAGACCGCGAACGCACCGAGTTCTTCGAAACGCGCGTAACAGGCCGTTCAGAGGTATGGGCTGCAGTTGCGAGCGCGATACTGCTCATGCGCGCGGGCGATCTAGCCACCGCGCAGAGTATCGTCGATGCAGCGGGCATTACGGTTCCCACTGGTGATCTGTGCGAGGGGTGCTATGACCAGCAGGGGGTGCTTTATCGGCTTCCACAGTGTATTGTTAGTGATCCTGAGAATATAGTTGTCACGCCCGATACGGATGCGACTGTTTCGGAGCGGGATCTTGGTGATGCTGGGGATGGGGACGAGGATGATGAAGATGAGCTTGATGATAATGGAATCCATGATAGGAAGCTTGCCACTGACGATGCTTCTGGGGATGAGCTCATTGAGCGCGAGATTGAGCGCAGGAGAGATGAAAAGGGGAAGACTAGTGAGCGGGATTTGATCCGCGTGCTTGCGCGATTGAGTGATCGCGGTGGGCCTGATTTGGTGCTTTCTGTTGGGAAGGGACAAACTGTTGGCTTTTTGGCGAGGAGGGTGCATCAGGAGGCTGAGGTGAGTTTTGAATATCTTCGTGCTTCTTTCAAGGGTATGATGCTAACTGTGTAGTAGCTTGCGGACAATGCGCGTGTTCGAATTGCTTATCTTGGCCATTTGCTCAAGGAGCAGCAGTCGTTGCTTGATCAAGGGTGGAAGGTTGGCGATGTTGTCAATGCTTTGGTCGTTTCACTTTCTAATGGGTCAGGTATTCGTCGTTGATCCTAGGACTGCTGAAGGCCATCATTCCTTGAGTGCAAGTCTGCTCCAGACTATTTTTTCCTTTTTTTGTCTGCTTTACTCCCACCTTTCCATTTATTGGATATCTAGCGTTCTGGCGTTTTGCTCTCTCGTCTGATCTTATTGCACAATACCCCTCGTCTTTCACTTATTGCTTCAACTCCACCTGATGCGTCAATCTCAATTTACTTCGGCATCCGCTCTCCCGGTTTGCTTATCCTTCTTTAATACGAAAGCAGACTGATCTTTGGCATAAGATCTGCGTCTTATGAAACGACCCGCAGCGAGTCTGATATAAGTCATGATCTTGCAATCCTCTCAATTCTATTGGTTTTTGCTACATCTAAATGCATCCGATGGTAGCTGAATGATATCAACTATTCCAAACTAACGCCTCCGATTTACAGAATTATGTAAAATAAATGCACTTTAATGAAACTATTCGAGCTTGAAACAATACAACACCAGACGAATTAAACCAACCGACCATTATCAGCTTCCTTGCCCTTCGGCGTCTGTCCAGAACGTCTCTTAAACACCCGACACAAGAACGTAGCGCCATTTCCAATACCACGCACTAACGAGGTAGGGTTGTAATGCTTAACGCGGAACATGTAGTAGAGCAGAACAGTACCAGCAATATTGAAACCGATATAAGCCCAACCGAGACCGAAATTGCGCCAGCGTTCGTTGTAGACTATAAAACAAGTCAGTATCGGACAATAAGAATTGGGCCTTGTAGAAGTAGCACTTACAGATATTACTAGCAGACAAATACTGATCCGCATTCTGCAACTGACAATACTGACATCCACTAACAGCAGCAGGGTTATACAGCTGACCACCAGAAACCTGCAGATAAGGCGCAAGATAATCACCACACGACAACCCAGACGGGGGATTAAAAACACTAAGCTCGGCATCCGCACACTGAATCTGCCGACCATGCAATCCCGTCGCCGTAAGACCAGCAATGAGATAAGTCAACGGCGAGACGCGATACATGAAGATCCAGAATCCGGGCAGGGCATTCGGCGGCTGCATAACACCGTTGAAGGTCAAAGTCATGATGAACAGGAGCGTGGCGATGGTACCACCTGTTTCGGCGTCTGGCAGAGACGAAATTACCAGTGATGCAAAAGTCGATGTGAAGATGTAGAACTGCACCACGAATAGTAGCATCAGGCCCTGGCGGTGAGATGCTTGTCCTGAGCCGTAGATTGGGTAGTAGTAGCATGCCCAGCTGATGACTCCAACGAGGATTTGGTACGGGATTTCGACGATAACGTTTGCTATTAGGAATGCGCCCCAGGAGTAGGCTTTTGAGGGGCGTTCGCGGACTTCGTAGAGGGAGCGTTGGACTACGAATTTGGGCATGATCCTGGGTGAGATGTATTAGTTTCTTTTAGTTCGAGAGGGAATGGATTATGGAATTGTTTGCGTACTGTTGCACGAGTGTTGAGAAGATCGATGTTAGCATGAACGCGCTGAACAAGACATCTTGGAATCCCTGTAGGGAACTGTCTGGTTTGAAGAAGGTGAATCCGATGAACAGTCCCGACATTGTTGCTAGCATGATCTTTGCCCATACGTATGATGGTTCACGCCAGAACCCTTGGAAGGATCGGTGGGTTACGTGCCATAGCTGTGAAGTGAATGGCATTGCGTATTCGCCTGTCTGGGATTCTCCTTCTTCGCTGGTACTTGCTGCAGCTCGATCATCGTGGATGCGGTCAATCTCAGACTGGACGTCTTTGGCTTGTTGGCTTTGATTCCATACTTGGGCCCAGTCTTGAGTTGACTTTCCGGATGCGCCGGCGCCAATGATTTCAAGCATGTATTCGGCAGGCTGGCTTTTTGTTAGTAGATGTGGCTTGAACATTGAAGTGGTTGGGTTTTACATTTTCTTGTGAAGTACAAGCCCTGGCCCCATTGCTCTCGAAGTAATCAAGTAGTGTCCGGGATTGGTCTCCAACCTGACCAAAGTAGACAGTTCGTCCTCCCTTGGCGAGGAAAAGAAGACGATCAAATTGCTGGAAAAGCAGTGCACTGGGCTGATGAATCGTCGACAAAACCGCTTGGCCGTGCTCAGCGAGCTTTCGCAAGAAAGCACAGATAGCCCATGAACTTTGCGAGTCCAATCCGCTGGTAGGCTCATCAAGGAAAATAAGAAGAGCAGGCTTTGCAGCTAGCTCAACTCCAATTGTCAACAGTTTCCTCTGTTCAACATTCAATCCTTCTCCAGGTGTACCGACAATGGCATCTGAAAAGTCCTGCATACCAAGCATGTCAATGACCTCTTCGACGTAGCTGTATTTCTTTTTCTTAGAAACAGTTTTAGGTTGTCGCAACAAAGCACTAAACCGAAGTGCTTCTCTGACAGTATTAGTTGGAAGGTGCAAGTCTTGTTGTTGAACATAGCCTGTTTTCCTCTGAAAACTGGTATCAAGGGCTTTACCGTTGACCAGCATGTCACCGGTGACAACACCAATAGAGACACGCTTAGCCAGGACATCGAGCAAGGTAGTTTTTCCGGCACCTGATACACCCATTAGAGCTGTTAATGTGCCGGGTTTCACCCAGCCGGAGACATTATCAAGTAGACGTCGTTCGCCTCCTTTGACTGGGATGTCATAGCAGACATTTCTCCAGGTAAAGATATCATGCTGAGCTGGGATAGCAGAAATGTCTCTCGCTTCTTCCGAATGCTTCTCCTGCTTAACCTCGGCTGAACTGGTACTTCCTTCTCCCTTGCTGAGATTTCGCAGATGGGCAGGGACATGACCTCGACGGAAAACCAAGAACTCAGCCTTGGAAGAGGTAGATGAATTCAACTCCGACGCGAGCAGGTACAGCGAAATAAAAAAGATCCAAAACCCAATCAAGATACCCAGATTGCGCCATGCATGCGCATAGGAATAACTGTACTGGGTTTCAATATAGGCATCGCCAGAAACGGTTCTTTCACCCGCTACAGCACCTCGCACGGCACAGATAAACGAATCACCTGTGAGGCTGGGATAAGCAGGGATGAATTGCGAGCATGTAAAGCGACGACCATGGAACTCGTTTGCGATCAATGCTTCGAAGGTGTAGTAGACTGGATTGATCCATCGGATCCAGCTGAACCAGACGACCATTTCTGGGACTGTGATCACAAAGCCCGTGTAGATGACGATTGCTAGAACAATCACTCCGGCTAGAGACATGGCTTGTGCGAGGGTTTTCGTGGATGCTGCTAGCGTTCGGAAGACACCTGACATCGCGAGGGTGCTTAGGAAGGTGAAGAGGAAGAAGATAAAGAATTGGGAAGGTTCATATCGCTGTATACTCTCTTAGACGGGCCACAAAGAGGACAAAAAACAGACATGTCAACCAAGATAGTTTGGGGTTTCTTTTGACTTACCAGACCGGCCAAAAAGTAGAAGATGATGTTGAACACCACGGCTGATACAAATTTGACAGGTATATCAGCGACAATCCCTCCTAGCGACTCTGTAAATGGATGAACAAAGGCATAAGAGGCTTGTTTCTCAACTATTGGTCGCTGGTCATAGAGAGAGTTGATCTCTGTGATACTGATGAGGGCGTTCATTCTGAATAGAATTATCAGTCTGGTCCATTCCACCCAAGAAAACAGCCCCAAGAGAGATTATCAAGAGGTACTCACAGAACAGAGAAGAAGAGTGCCGCTCCTTTACTTTGAAATCCTGCGGATGCGTTGGGGGTTCTGTATGTATAAGCAACATGTCCGAGATGACAGGAGAAATGAATTTACCCGAAATAAATCGATCCAATAATCAAAGACATGACGATACGACCAATGACAGTTGTCATCGTAGAAGGCTTGTCGTTCCAAATCCTAGAAATAGCGTTAGTCGTGATAACATCGAAGGTCAAGTCCTGAAACACACCTTTGATAAGCTCTCTTTGTGCAAAGCTTAACCTGCATAGGAATAGAAATGACATATGGACTCTTGGGCCGAACATGCTTTGCCTGCCGTAGTCTCTTCGTCTCATTGAAGCTCTTCCCAGCCTCTCCGCCAAGCGGATACTCCTCTCGGTATAGAGCAATGGCTTTCTGCAGTGAGGCATAATGAGAACTGCTCTTCCAGTATTTCTCAAAGTCATCAGGGGTGCGAGGAACTTTGTTCTCCATGCCTTCGCGAGCAGTGCGCTCCTGTGGATTTGTGACAGAGGTCAAGAAATCACCAGTAGTTTGGCGCGCGGGACACTCCCAGCCCATCTCCAAGAAATAGTCTTTTGCTTGATTGCAAGGACCAAAGAAGATTTCTCGGCCTTCATATAGGACAATGACCTTGTCGAAGATATCGTAGATTGCCTGCGAGGCCTGGTAGATTGCAACTGCGTGGCAGCTTCCGATGAGGTTTGCGGATACTCTCAGGGATTTGGCAAACTCCAAGGCACTGGCGGAATCCAAGCCTCGAGTGCTGTTATCCCATGCTGCTACGGGGGCTCCAGAAAGTGCCATCTCAGCAATGCTGACTCGCTTTCGCTCACCTCCAGATACTCCGCGAATGTAATCATCTCCGACCTTGGTGTTGTATGTATGACTCAATCCCAACACAGCCATGGCTACCTGAGTGATATGTTTGGCGTAACAAGCCCGGCTGATCCCATTTAACCTATGCTCAGGAGTCCTAGCCGCAGCCGCAAACTCGAGCGTCTGGCCGACGGTGAGATGGGGAAAGTGCTTGTCAACCTCCTGATTGTAGAGAACTTCTCCTTTAAACTCCTTGTGCATCTTCTCCATAGGAATGCCATTGTACTGGATATCCGACTCTTTGTCGAGTTTCAGTCCGTGAAGCTCACCAGAAAGGGTCTTGAGAAAAGTCGAGCAACCACTCCCAGGACGTCCAAGGACAATCAACAACTCGCTGCTCTCTAAAACACCATCGAAATTGCGAAGGATCTTCTTCTGCGGCGTACGGCGCCCGCAAGATATGTATTCCTGGGGCCGAAACAGCGCCAACGGGACCGATCCCACATTGTTCTGGTACTGCAATGCAGATCCTGAGCCGGTTATATTGAGGTTCTCCCAAACGACACCAGATGATTTGCGGACAGGAACACCTTCCTTGTCCATCAGCTTCAACATCATGCGGGCCCACTTGTAATGGTCGAATTGATCGCTCGTAGGATCAAGAACCGGGCTTCCTATATCGATATCCTCTAGTGTATCTTTGCGTTCGACGGCTGTCATTCCAGACATGTCAGAGTCGGTGGCACGGTGCCGAGGGAAATTTGATGCGATTCGAGACAGCTCGGCACGGTCCTCAGGGCGAATGTAGTCGAAAACCATTCCATGACGCTTTTCCTGTGAGGGAGTCACATTTGTAGGTGAATCAGAGCCTGCCTGTGACTCGTTGCCATCGTCCTTGGAGGAGGGCTTGATGGCATCGTGGTCTTCCCCTTGTTGCGCCATGGCAGATGAAATTGGTGTTGAATTTCAACCGGTATACTCTAGGAAGTTATAGAGTTAAACAATCAAGGAAAATTGACTTTTAAGTACGGAATTCAGAGGGAAGTGGACTAAAGATGTATTCCTAAAGTACTGGACATCTCGGTGGATCAAGCCTGTAATATGTTTGTGTAGCATTCAGGTCCCTAATATAGACTAGGAAGTTGTTTACCCAAGGATTCTGTGATCTTATTTGGCAAAAATAGTAGTCGTGATGTCAACACCCAGTGCTTCCAATGATGGAGACTCGGCAAGCCGGATGCAGAAATGGCAAGTCAAGATGCTACATGCATTAATTGGTACCTGAGAAATTTCGCAAAACAGAGCATTCATATTGGCTGGTTGAAGCTTTGAGCCCCATGATATGCCTTGGGTAGTCAAAAAGTGAAAAATATACTGTAGTCTGCTGTCTTTAGTGAGGCGACGTCTCTGCCTCAGGCCGCAACGGAAAATGATGCACAGTGGAGCTTACCAGCAAACAGTGCAAACATCTATCCAAAAAAAAAATAATTTATCGCAGACTCCGCTCAAGGCAGTTCGATCTCGAGTTTGGAGTTGATCTCCTGAACACATTTATCTGAAGGCAGTCTTTCTGTACTTTTCTAGATATCAGCGGCTGCAATATCTCCACAATAAGAAAGCCCCAATTGCCGATCCCATAGAATCTTACTATGGACGGCCAAAAAACTCCCTTTGTGAGGGAGCTTGGCTCTAGCGGTATGTGATCATTCTATACAAATGAGCTGTGCAAAATTAATCAATTTCCTTCTATTCAGACCGCAAGGTCCGCGACAAGGCCCTTGACTCTCTCACCCAGTTCCTGCGCTCGCGCAATGATCTGACCCTCATCGACCTCCTCAAGCTGTGGAAAGGACTGTTCTTCTGTAAGAACGACCACCGAACCTACAAATCAAGATCCCATCAATCTAACAATTCCCAGGCTTCTACCACTCTGACCGACCCCTCACACAACAAGCCCTCGCCCGCGCACTCTCCTACTCCCTCGTCCCAACCCTCCCCCAAGCAACCCTGCACCGCTTCCTGCGCGCCTTCTGGATAACCATCGGCCGAGAATTCCACTCACTAGACCGCCTCCGACTGGACAAGTACCTCTTTCTGATCCGCTGCTACGTAGGCATTGCATTCGAACTGCTAGTGAAGAACACAACAACAAAGGCAGATGGGAAGAAGCGCAAGCGCGAAGATGCCGCCAAGGCAGGCCGCGGCAAGAAGCAGAAGAAGCAGACAAAGGTCGAGGCCGAGACCACCGAAGACGTCAATACCAACGGCGAAGAAAACGAGGAGGCCAAATTCCCCGATCTGGCCGCTTATATCTCCATCATTGAGGAGGGTCCTCTCTGCCCTTTGAACTACGATCCTGACCAGTCGAAGGACGAGGGTGATCCTAATTTCGTGCCTATGCCTCATGGCCCTGATGGGCTTCGTTACCATCTTGTTGATATTTGGGTTGATGAGTTGGAGAAGGTTCTTGAGTTTGAGGAGGTGGGCGATGAGGAGTCTCCGAAGCGGAAGATTAAGAGTGATGTTCCTATGGAGCTTATCCTGCGGCCATTGGAGAAGCTGCGTACCGAAAGTCCTTACAAGCCTGTTCGTACGAGGGCTGCTGAGGCTTTGAATGATGATCGTCTTGTTGAGTGGGGTGTTCGGACGAGGGAGTCTGAGGAAGATGATAGTGAAGAGGAGGAGTGGGGTGGTTTCGGTGATGAGTAGATGTTTTGTATTTATGGAATTGTGTATAAACAAAATGAATTCATTGCACAGCGTGGTAGCGATCATACCATACCAATCATGATATTGGAGTTGAAGTTTTTGTAGCCATAGGCCTACAAGTATACAGATTACAAGAACGTTGTATGCATTGATATGTCTGCTTCATTGTGTTATAATATACAGTCTGGCCACAGAGCACCAATTGTCTAATACAAGTGAACAAATCGACAAAACACCAAGTCTCTTGCGCTAGGGTATCATTGAGAGAATGCAAAGACATGGAAAGCATCGAGCGTATATATCACAGTCGAAAGAAACAACGCGGTATTCAGCAGCCCCTTCGACGACGCTCGGGATGCAAAATTGAGAACATTTATTAACGAGGTCCTTCTGCTTCGTAGAGGCGACCCGACTTGGTGAGAATCGTGCCGAGCCCTTGGTGGACTTCAGCCTGGAACGCTTCAAAGGGCACACGTTCGCCATCAATGCTAATGTACCCTTCCTTTTGGTGGGGCACAAGACGGAACGCAGATGCCTTGCGGATATTAAGCTCTGGCATATCGAAGAAGCGCCCACTAGGGATCTCGTTCATCATTGTGATTGCGGTGCCACGGCTGACTCTGCCGTCAATGGTGATCACGTCCATCAGTCCGTCGTTGGGTAGGGTAGCTGGGAACATGTTTGTGTCCTTCGACACAATTGCCATATTTCCGGCATAGAAGTTGCCCATCGTTTCGCCTGGAACAACTTGCCAGTCACTTGGCACGTCGTCTGCAATTGTACCGTACTTGAGCTCTGGTAGTGTTGGTGACTGTGCCGCAGCCTCGAGACGTTTGGTATCGACATCCGACTCCTCAGGGCGCGTGGACCACGTAGCATAATGCTCCTTAATGGCCTCCTTGTCGCCAATATCCACCTTTACGGTCAGGTCGCATGGCCATATCGTTTGCCGCATCAGGCGAACCAAGAAACCGTAGGTGAACCGCTGAGCGCCCATCCACCGGATGTTTTCAGTGGCCAAGTCCGACTCGGCAACAATACCGAAAGACTGGGAGAGGAAAGAGAGCGTGCGCGAATCTTTCTGTGAGATGGAAACCAAATCCAACGGCGTCCTCAGTCCCTTGACAATAGCCAGAGCAGCAATGGAGACACTTCCAGTGCCGAAGGCGTTCCACGTCATCCCATTGCCAGAACCACAAGGAAGCAAAGCAACAGCAGTCTTCACCAGCGCAGTCCGGGCATCAGGCCGCTTACCAAGGCCATTGAAAACCTCATACGGCAGCCCATCACCTGAGCAACAAACGACGGCATCATAAGCATCGACATCGAGATTCTCTGCGATATCAATGGCATGCCCGCGGTGCTCGGTGCTCTGCAGATCAACCTGACAATTTGCAGCTGCAAAGACCGGCGCCGCATACCTCTGGTACAGACTGGCCGCTGCGCCTTTGCCACCGAAGGGATTGATCAAGACCTTCAGTTTCTTCCCACGCATTGCCTTGCCATAAGCTTGATCAACCAATTTCACAACCCACGCCTCGACGGCTTTTTTTTCTTTTTCGGCGATGGGGTATTGAACCGTTGCGACGGCTACATCGTCCTTACCGGCTGGTTGCGCGTAGGCGATGACGATGTTGGATGCTGTGACTTCCGCGCCGAGAACGTTGTAAAGCGAGATGGCGTGTGTGGTTTGGGACGCTGTCAATAAGCCGAGGTTAGCACTAATATAGGTACAGGGCAGGTTCGCGCCGATCAGAGGGCGCGAGAGCGGGTTGGGAACAGGTCTGTGCAGTTGCTTTGGTTATCTTACATGACTTGAGTAGACCACAACAGCGACGGTTTGGACGAGCTGGACGGTCGTCTGGTATATCTCGTTAGCCTTGGACAAAGAGCTGGCTTATGGGCTGGCGCAAAGTACCGATGATGAGGAGAGAATCGGTGCCCAGTGTCAGGGATACGGAGTCGACTTTCAGGGTTGAATCGTGCGCATCTTGCGCGGTGTCTGTGGTGGACATGATGATAGATGTCTAGATCATGTTAGGGAGGGGATAAAGATATGCTCAAGTAACAAAGAGATATGCAGCTAATATCGGGAGCCGCGGAGTTCCGGTGGGCCCGTCCCTGCTGCTCAGGTCCAATTGGAAAGTTTACTGCGAGAATAACTATATGATTTATAGGCCGATAGAAGTAGAATACTGAATTTAATCTAACATATAGGGAGCTTATATTGCTCGATGAAAGGTGCAGTTTAAAACCCGTAGGGCAAACATACCCTGACTTTCTGATAACAATGTGTTGTTTATGATTGCAAACATAAACATGGCCTCGAGGGACCCGTGTTGATAAACGTAAGTAGGGTTGCTTTTAACTGTTAGCCAAATTGGTGCTTATAGCTATTTAGGCAGCCTGTACACATTTATGAAGATCAAAACCATTGTTCTCTATCCACTACTCCCGATGAGACCTCCATCTCATCTACAATAAAGAGACTATAAGTGAACAATTTGTCTCGAGAAATGAACATGGGGAACACAAAACACAACAAATGGAGAAAGAGTAACAAAAATCATAGACCGCAAACCGCTGGAAAAACATCAACTTATGCAGTCGCCGCCTTGAGGCCCTTCAGAGAGCCCAGGCTCAGTGCTAGGCCCTGCGAGCGACTTCTTATCCGGACAAAGCCAGTAATTGGCCCATCGTCTCCCTCCTTCTCGATACTCAGGTTGGCCAGTGCATCCTCGCCTAAGTCATAGTTAGTTACTGTATAGATATCTATCAGGGAATGAAACATACCGAATACACTGCGAGCGTACAAGTTAGCACTCAAGAACCGACAGTCACCCTTGAGGGAAGCATCAGGTGTCAAGCAAGCCATGTTGGTGCTCTCCATCAGCTGCTTGAGGAATTCGCGCAGAGTCTTGGCCTTGGAGTTGATGTTGACCTTGTTCTCCCACTCAAACTCGGTCCACATGGTCCGGAACTGGGTCTCGGTGCAGTGGGCCGGCTGGATGTAGTCCATGATGTCGGCATGGATGTCGTTAAGGATGACCACGTGGGTCTCAGTGGAGCTGGCGCCGTCGTAGACGATGTTACCGAAGATGACACCGGTGTCGGTAGAGGAGACCTTCACCGTAGCCTGGACGTTGAGGAAATCACGGGGGCCGAGGTTGTTGGTGGATGGCCGCTCAACAACCTTGAGGTCACCGAGGGTTGCAAACTCCACAGAGAGGTTCTGTAGGGTCTCAGTAGTCTGGTTAACCAACAGCACATCAAGGACAATGTCGAATTGGTGGACGGTGACATAGGCTTCGGCGTAGACCGAGTCGGAGAAACCAGTGAGTTGCACCACGCGGCTGAGCTTCGAAGCGTTGTTCTCCACGGTCGAGTCACCACCGGTGGCCTTGACGAGATCAAGCTCGATCTCTTCAGCACCCTCGACGGTGTTCTTCTTGGTGAATTGACGAATGGGAATGGCGTCGTCAATCTGCACAGCGGTCTTAGCCTTCTCCACGGCCTCCTTGGCAGCCCGCTTCTTGTCCTCAACCTGGACCATGGCGCGGAACGCCTTTCGGGTATCCTGCAGGAAAGAGGCCTCGAGCTCCTTCTTTTCAGAGAATTCTGCCAGGGAGCGCACGCAGGTCATGATGCGATCAACGGAATCTTCATCAATGGGAGCCTTGACGAAGTGAGATTGGCCAACACGGAGGATTGAAATCATGATCAGCATGGCCTCGGCACGGAGAGCGTTGGTACGGGCAGTGTCCTGAGAAACCTCGGAATGGCGCATAACCAACTTGGTCAGAGTTGAAGAGAGAACAGTCGCCAGGTAGTAGTCGCCATCCAAAATCAGTTGACGGAGAGGGGGCTTCTGTGCGGCCTTGACGGCTTCTAGGCGAGCAGCAGCAGCCGACTGGCTGGTGAGAGCACTCTCGGTGGCATATGTTCCATCAGCAAGCACCTTGCGAGATCCAGTAGGTGCGGCCTTGGCACCGTTGGCGTGTTCCAGAAGCAGGGCATTGTCATCAGGAACCTCGTCCAGAAGGCGCTGTTCGGATGCCAGGATGGGAATTTCGCCGAGGCTGGTTCTGATACGCTTCCAAGCCTCACGAATATCCTTCTCCTCCAAAGAGTATTCACCAACAACCCACAGAACTCCACGGTAAACCTTTCCAGCCCGGACCTCGCTCAAAGTCGAAACCAAGCGGTCCACAATCGAACCACGTAGGTCGGGGAACTTCTCCACAACCTCCTTGACAAATGAGATAACATCGACGGCAGAGTTGTTGTTGAAGTCAGCAATGAAGTCCATCAGCAGATCAACCACGCTGGCGGCGATTTCAGAGAACTTGATGGCGCAAGAGTGTATTGACTGCACCAAAAGTTGACGGTACTCGCTGTTTTGTTCATATTGTTCGTCAACGGTCTTGGCAAGTTCCTTCTTGAGGAGCATGATGATCTCTTCCACGTTCTTGCTGGAGACCATCTCCATGGCAAGGCTGAGGGCCTTTCTCCGGACATCAATATCAGGGCTGCTGAGGACACGCAGGGCTTCCATGGTCAGGTCATCCAGAACACCCTCATTGCGAATTCTCAATTGGTCCACGCGATCCAAACAGATAAGCTTGACGTTGTTGTCGGCTTCCCGAATGGCGAGCTCAATCAGCTTGCTTGCGGCGGCTTTAACGGCGACGGGGTTGCTGGTGAGGGCGGTAAGAGATGTGGCGGCTTCGTAAACAACAGTGCTTGTAGAAGCATCGAGAAGCTCGAGCATAAGTTTCAAGTATCGTGACTATTCTTCGTTAGTGGTGCCTGAGACCCTAGCTTGATATTTCCAACCCACCTTATTCTGAGTGTTCTGTACTGCATCCTTCCGGAGGAACTCCAACTCTGCTAGCTGGAGCAGCTCATCTGTGTTGGGAATGGTGTCGAATGTTGTGCGCAGATACTCGAGTGCCTTTTGGTGGCTGATGGACATGAGAGCCGCAAAGGCATTGCGCTTGCAGGTGCTGTCAGTTTCACCGTCGAGGAAAGTCTGGATCAGCTCCGGCGCATCGGGGATGAGAGGTTCGGAGTGTTGGAAGATAGAAGCCACAGCCCAAACTGCGTTCTTGCGCACATAGGCGTGGCGGTGTTCCAGACACGAGCGCGCGGAAGAAAGGAGGGGCTCGATGAGTTCCGATTCGCGGAGTTTGCAAAGGAACCGAAGGGTATTTCCTCTGATATATTCGTTGGGGTGTTGAAGGTCGTTGCGAATACCGTTACTGCAGAGCCAAAAAGTGTTAGACCAAAGCGAACAACACGCAATGCCTGGAGTCATCCTTACCAGACCAAGATCATCTCCTGCTTCAGCTTGCCGGTCGAGTCGTGCTTCGGGCAAATTTCATAGAAGAAATATAGCAGCTTCTTCAACGGCTTGCTCTTAGACGGCATAACAAATCGAATGATGTGCATAAGGATTTGTGGCATCGGGTCGCCATTGAGCATGATCGTGATAATCGTCCGCATGGTTTCCAACTTGGTTTCATCATTGCCCTTCTCCAGCTGCAATTTCAGCTCCTGCACAGTCGGTTGGTCGGCAGTGTTGTCCAAATGGACCAAACTGTAGGTGTTTTCGAGGAACGACGCCATGGTGGTGGATTAGGGAGTAACGAAGGAGAGCTGCAAGTTGTCAGTTCCGGGGTTGTTTTGGGGCCACATCAGCATTGTTGGCAACATACACAAAGGATAAATCTCCCGGAGATAGGAGTCCGGGTAGGAGTCAGAAACAAGCAATTAGTGTAAACCAACACCCCTCGCCCTTGAAATCATTAAAGAGTTATGATGCGCAATGGAGAGGGTCAACTTGTCCCTTAATCTGGCCCCGTCTGTGTGGATGACTAAGCTCCGCCGCTTTTCCACTTGGGCACTTTTGACGTCGACCTCATTTCTGCTACACCATTGCAAGCATGTCGAATGAGCCGTTTTACCTACGATACTAGTAAGGATGGATGATAAAAGCCCGGGTTTCCTCGGCTGCTGACACTCTTCACAGCTCAGGTCACTCTGGGCGGTTCGGGCACGAGTTCCTAGGTAAGTCTACAAGCTAGTCATATGGGTGAGCTTTGCTAACTTGCACCAGAATTTGACCTCCGCACTATTGCAGAGGGAAGCAGTGCCGCCGTACGATACGCGAACAACTCGAACTACCGCAATGATTCCCTGATCCGCAAAGAAAGTGAGTGCGGGGATCGACGACAACGATCGAACATAAGCTGATGATATTGCAGTGTGCGTGAGCGCTGCCACAATCGCAGAAGTGAAGCGCATCATCAAGGAGAGCGAAGTCCTGAAGTACGCTTCCCCATTGATTCCCCAGAAAGAGCATGCGAGCTGACCCCATCCAGGGAGGACGACTCCAAGTGGCCCACGAAGAACAAGGATGGACGTCAGGAGCTTGAGATTCGAATTGGCAATGAGCACATTTCCTTCGAGGTATGCAGATTGTGAAATACGAGTGGACGCAACGACATATGACTGACCCGATACTGCAGACCGCGAAGATTGGCTCGCTGGCCGATGTGACCGATTCAGATGACCCCGATGGTCTGCGAGTGTTCTACTACCTCGTGCAGGACTTAAAGGCCCTCATTTTCTCGCTGATCTCTCTCCACTTCAAGGTATTTTCCCTTTTGTCCTCTATGTGAAGCAGTATTTTGACCATTTGTGATACAGATCAAGCCCATCTAAGGGTTGAGCGATTGAAGCAAAACTTGATGAACAACTAGGGGGTCTTGTCTAATGATACTCACCAGGCGTTGAGGATTTTTCGGGGTGCGAAGTCAAGCCATAGCGAAATAATGGAATTGATACCACCCAAACATTGAATTTTCACATTAAGATGCAGCCTGAAATTTTGCCAATTCAACAAATAGCGTTTTAGGTGCCTGAACTAGCTTCAAAGTAGAATTGATGAGTCGTCTGCAGGAAAACGCCCTAAAAGCTGCAGTGACGCAATGTAATTGAGCTGATGCGACCAACTGGCTCATTTTCATTTCTAATGTACATGACACTAATGGCAGAATATTTTATAAAATAAAGCAGAATAAAAAATAGCTATTACCCACCAATTCCACGGAATGATCAGCAATAATGCATGCCAGAACTACTGGCGCGTTATCCGCGGCTCCTACAGTTGACTTTAGTGGCCAAGACATACAAAGTCGGGTCTGTCCGGCAGAATGCCGGGCAGTTCCCCACCGCCTGAGGCACCTGACCTCCAGTCTTCTGTCAGTTTTTGTCTTATAAACAATTCTTGCCTTGTTCTGTTTAGTCCCATGATCTTCACACTTTCATCCCAATTGTCACTTTGGGAGTCAATGCAGCAGACAGGTCAGCTTACGCAGTATATACTTCAGCCCAGGCGGTGACCAAGGCGGTCGGGCCCAATATACCTCGAGTGGCCGCAAAGCCACGCAGTAGCCTCCCCCGCTGTGCGCTCGCATGACCCCATTTGACCCCATTCCCGGGCCCCGTCTTTAAAAGACTCAATCTTCAACTTTGATTTTCATCTTGCTTTCTTTGTTTTTCTCTCTGGAGTTTCTTTCGGTTCGATGTTGCCTCTCTTTTAATCCGCAATGCCGACTCCGAGTAACAACGCTTCGATCGCCGAGGTGATCTCCACCCGTACTTGTCCACCAGAGCCAGATCGGATTTCAGCCTGGCGTGACTCGCCCGATCCTACTGATTCTGGCATCGAATCCTTTGATGCTCTTTCACCCGAAAGCGCCATCGCACCATCTGTCTTAAGTCGCTCCGACGATGGCAGCACCCTCTTGGCAACGGAGCCGCTGAAGGTGGAGAAGAAGCTGACGGGCGCGGACGAATACACTGCACCCGTGAGGTCTAGTTCACCTGCAGAATCATCCTGCATCCGTAGTCAGACACCGACATTGCCAACAAATTCCTCGCTGCTCGACTGGGAATTCTCAAACGTTCGGGTATGTTGTTAGCCTGACTGACCATCGGAGTCGCCACCCAATTGTATACTAACTATTGCCGCAGCTCCTACCAAACCACACATCATCCTTTTTGCGCTCTGGAAGTAAATTTGTTGGAACACAACAATCGGATCGCCAAGTTTACAATGTCGATGTTGAAATTAAGCACGTGGATATGGCGGAGTCATATCTTTGCGGCTATCTCCGCATACAAGGTTCGTGATTCGCGTGCACGGGGAACCTGCATGGGACCTATCCTTACTGACCCTTTTTTGCTCTTTATAGGTCTCACAGAGGATCATCCCACCTTGACCACATTTTTTGAAGGGGAAATAATTGGGACCAAACACACTTTCCAGACTCGCAATGAGGACTGGGGCGCCTCGGAAAAGACAGACCTCCACCACTGGTCCCGGTTTCCGGCCTGGCGTCCACTAGCAAAACAAGCCAAAAAAGCAGACTTCACTTACCGTAATTTTGCCCAGCGCGAACACATTTTCATGAGATGGAAGGAATCCTTCCTTGTTCCCGACCATCGCGTGAGGACGATTTCAGGTGCCAGCTTTGAAGGGTTCTACTACATCTGTTTCAATCAGATCGAAGGAACCGTGAGTGGTGTATACTTCCACGCAAAGAGTGAACGGTAAGCAAATAAACCTAACAGCACCAGACTTGTGCAACTAACGTTGTTTTTGTCCCAGATTCCAACAACTCGAACTCAAGCATGTCGAGGATCGTGGATGCGCGCCAGCACTCGAATTCCGTTAAATACGGTGAGCTCGATTGCTGGCGCACCCACATATCCTTACCATCCTCACCTTTGAGCCAATGCTTGATGTTTACGCTCATACTCTACATCTTGTTCTTTTATCCGTGATACACCATGTCTAAGCAGCGCTTCCTGGTCCCATGTCACTCGTGAAATTTGGATGTTTGACATTCCTCTCGCGCCGTCTTTCCTGGTTGCTTTCTCTCAAATACCCACTGTCTCACCTCTCATCTCCCACCCACTCGTCGAAGATTCTTTTGTTCCCACACACCATACAAAGACTCAAGACTTCCTTTTCCGACGCTATCAAAGCGACCTGGATTTTATCCATTCTCAAATTGTCCCTTATGTCTCATGATATCGTGATCTATGAAACGGCGTTTTTTTTTTCCCGCCTCTGGCGGCCCTCTGGCAACCTGGTTTCGGTTCCTTCGCGCCCTCAACTTGGAGCTCTAATCTCTTATCTTCTTGTTCGTTTATTGTCATCCTCTATTTCTTCTTAACTTAGTCTGTTAGTATCTCCTCTTTGGGCATCCGGCCAATTGACATGCATCCGGTCTGGAAAACTTTTCACTCTTTGGCAACAATTTTCACAATTGCATAATACATATGGATAAATGAGGGTGTTTAACACTGGAAAGAAGTCAGATCACCGCCCGCCTTAGAGACCATATCCGCCAAAAGTTCATGATGGATAAACTTCCTGAGAAGGCATAAAAGCTCTGCTTTTGTCTTTCGGGTTCACAGCAGCTGGTTTGACTCCAGGCTGTCAATCTAGGTGGTGGCGACGGCTGATAGAGAACACTCTGAATGACCGTGTGCTCGTCGATAATAGGACGGACATAGCCAGGCTCGACTTCTTCCTCACCCAATTTTCCTTTGGGCGTTTTCAGCTGGGTGTATGCAAGACTTTTTCTCTGATTCTCATATGGGAAGACCTTCACTGTCGGGTACTCGGTAAAGTGGCCGGCTCGTGGGATGACCTGACTATAGTTCTGGGTATTTTGGACGTGGGCCATTCAGGGCGTCTTTGGTGAATGGTGCGGCAGGCGGGCAAGGAGCTGGTGTATTTTGCATACACTTCTCGACATCCTTTCGTTGGTTAAAGCCGTGTTCGTGGCGTTGTCCTTTCTGGAAATTGGCCAGCGTGGGCCGAATCTCATAACCCCGGTCATAAGTTAGCAAACAAAACCCAACCCATTATCAATGATAACAGTATATTAAGACAGATAGGTTCTATTAAACTGGAAATGAATATATACTACTGGAATCCGCAGGTCAAGCGGCTTGTCATTGGAGGGGAGGGGGGGATAGACGGAGCTTGAAAGTCAAACTTCCCTAGTTAACCGTGAAAGTGGTGGCTCTTTACTTTCAATTCCAGCTGTACATTTGCTCGACACCATTCAGGAAGGTTTGTCTTAAGGCCTAACACTTTAGGAAGCTTGTCATCAGTCGCCAATCGATCACAGTCCTTGGCGGTTTGGCAAGCTTCTAGTCTCTCCTTTCAAACCAACGACCAGTGTTGAAAATTGTTAAAACCGACAGCTCCGTGACCGAAGAGAATGCCGAGAAGACAACTCCTACAGAAAAAAAGTATTAACTCCTAGATAGTTGTTGCACTTAGTCTTCCACGGCGATAATAGCAGATATCCCGAGCAGTATAAAAAAGTCGTTTAATACTAGCACTAGTCGTAGGGACTAAAAGTATATCTCGTGTAATGGCGGGCTATAAGAGTAAGGAAACGATAGGCATTCCCCCTCCAAAACACTAAAGGCGCTAGCTATATCTATTGTAGCTATTTAATAATTAATATCATATTTTCTAAAACGATTGAGTATCTCTACCATTATCAAGATATTGTGAAAGCTTTTCGCCTGCTGTAGTGGAGCGGGACGATTTAGTTTTACTATCGAGTCAAGACGCGATCTTCCGCCCCCCAACATGAAGGGATTCAGAAGATATCACTTAGTGGGTAAGACGTTCTTTGTCAGGAACCAAGTGCTCTTCGAAAGCCGCAGCTGAGTTACTTGAAAACATCTTGTTGATGTGCCGAAAAATTGAAATGGAAATGTGCATCTACGCAGACGACAAGATTGCTGGCTCTTAGTACTCCGAAAGATGGGACATGACACGTATTCCATTCTATATTTATTTTCGAGAAAGCAATCTTCACACATACAAAAACGCTGGATGAATATCCCTTGCGTCACGACAACCGCGACCTTGTGGTGCGCGTTTGCAAACCCTTGGGAGGGCTAGATCGCCGTTGGGGGGCGCCACAAGACATGTTCGTTAGTTATTGCACGCACAGTATAATAACCGCAACGGCCTAGACTAGACCAAACCACAAATCTGAGATGATGGGTGGTGCAACAATAACGTGTGTGTGAACCATGGATAGGCCCGACCTGTGTTTCTTTACTCATAAGCTATAACTCAGATGGCACGCCACCTCTTCAAACCGATGACTAGATGACGTTTCATGACCGATCCTGGCATTACATGGTCTGTCGGTTCAGATAGACTGGCATTTATGACCGACCGCTGCCTTCAAAACTGTTACGGTTGCTTCATATTTGTTTCTGTCTCGGCGAGACTACACGATACTTGACTGAAGCATGACTACTATGCCTGGCGCCATATCTGGAAGCGGCAATGAAGTCGAGAGACAGAAGTCTGTATATCAGCATCAGCTAAAGCCCCAGCGGTGGAAAGACGACTGGACGGGGCCGCCATTCAGTGTATGGAGCTATTTCACGTGCTCAGAAGTTGTATATTGACCCGTCGTAGGCTATCTATGCAGGTGCGGCAGTTCGATTCCACCTCCTGGCTGGAGCATCCCTTGCCCTCGCCGTGCGCGATACCTCGTATCCACTGGACTTTGCACAATTCGAATTCCCTAGTGGCAGTCATCGAGATGGTTGGGCTGGGTTCACGGAATTTATTTTAGAGAAGGTTGGTGACTACCAGGAGAAGCACAGCCAGAAGTTCGTCGGCTTAGCGATGTCGACCGAACTGTCCGAACGGTGCCCCGATCTCTGTTCGCGCCTTTGGGCTGAGCTAGATATCATCCCGATTGTGCTGCGCAATTCGGAGGAAAAAGTCAGTTGGGGGTTATACGAAGAGAACCTATCGTTCAAGTCATTGGACGAACATGCCGAGTCGATCGCAAGGAAATGTATCAGGTTCGATTTTCACCTTTGCTAAGTCCAGCTTGGTTCTCACTTTCTCGATAGGTTCTTCGGTCCCAGCCAGGCTCCCGTCCCAGAGATCGGGGTCCGAGGCCTTGTTGAGGTCGACGCCGCATTCCATGTCAAGTTGACCCAGCTTGCGGACTATGAGAAAACAGTGGAAGCCCCGACTTGGGCGGCAATTAATAAATATGCCAACGACCTAAAGAAACGCAGGGTAAAGATAGCCTTCTTCAGTGCTACTCCGCAGGGTGGTGGTGTCGCCCTAATGCGCCATGCCATGGTTCGATTTGCAAAAGTACTCGGTGTCGATCTTAGGTGGTAGGTTTTTGCTAGTCTCGATCGCAGTATCCATCTCCGTTCTCTGCTCACTATTCATTTAGGTATGTCCCGAAGCCGAGGCATGGTATCTTCCGAATTACCAAGAACAACCACAATATCCTCCAAGGCGTCGCCCCTCCCGGCACTCGATTCACTCAGGAAGATAGGGACGTCCTCCATGGTTGGGTCCTTGAGAATGCAGAACGCTACTGGTTTAAGGGGAAGAAACTCCTAGCTCCCCAGTGGATTGAGAACATTCGCTCCTACGCCTATCCGTTACTCCAGGAACATGGTCCGCCCCCTCCACCTTGGCTTCAAAAGAACGGCCCTTTAGTGCCACCGTGGGAGGGCGGTGCTGATGTGATCGTCGTTGACGACCCGCAGCTGCCATGGCTGATTCCGCTCATCAAGGAACAAACTCCGGACCGGCCGGTCATTTTCCGTAGTCACATTCAGATCCGAAGCGATCTTGTCGACACGCCTGGCACCCCGCAGGCCGAGGCTTGGGAATTCTTATGGGAAGCAATCAAGCAAGCAGATCTCTTTCTCAGTCATCCCGTACGCGCCTTTGTGCCGAAGAATGTGCCTCCAGAAAAGCTTGGATATCTGCCAGCTTCAACAGACTGGCTGGACGGACTCAATAAGCCTATGGAAGACTGGAGCACCTCGTACTATGGACGGCTCTTCAACTCCAAGTGCCGGGAACGGTACATGCCGAACATTGCATTTCCAGAAGGTCAGTTACTCCAGCAGGGTGGGGGTTCTCTCCCTACACGTCTACCTAGAATTCAATAAGCTAATATCAAGCTAGAGGATTACATTATACAGGTTGCCCGATTCGACCCTTCAAAAGGGATCGAAGATGTCCTCGCCTCCTACGAATTGTTCCACAGACGTCTTGTCGAGGCACGCCCGGACATGAAACCTCCTAAACTGCTCATCTGCGGACACGGCTCCGTCGATGATCCGGACGGGTCGATCGTATATGAGGCCGCCTTAGGTTTTGTCGAGCAGCATCTCGAGCATATTCGGTCACTGATCTGCATTATGCGTGTCGGCCCTAGTGACCAGGTGCTCAACTCTCTTCTGTCCAAGGCAAAGATCGCCCTACAGCTCTCCACTCGCGAGGGGTTTGAGGTCAAGGTATCCGAGGCGCTGCACATGGGCAAACCGGTGATCGCGACTCTAGCCGGCGGAATCCCACTCCAAGTCCAGCATGGCCAGAACGGGTTCCTGGTTGATGTCGGCGACACCGAAGCGGTAGCTAACCATCTCTTTGAACTGTGGATGGACCAGGAACTGTATAACCGCATGAGCAGATATGCAGCAATCAGCGTAAGTGACGAGGTGAGCACCGTGGGCAACATGTTATCGTGGCTGTACCTGGCATCGGAGTTGTCGAAAGGCGCGATCATTCGGCCCAATGGACACTGGGTCAACGACATGGCTCGCGAGAAGGCAGATGAGCCGTATGCTCCAGGGGAGAACCGGCTTAAGCGGGTGTTGACGACAAACGCTGCGAAGTGAGGAGATACTCTACCACAAAAGCTACTCATTTGTAAAATTGGATTTTTTTTTTCCCTTCATTTTTCCTTCTTTCTTTCTGCCATTTGAACCCTCGAATTGGTACGCGTCAAAAATTGCACAGTGACCGGAAGAAACGAGATGATCGCAGAACGCACGAAGTATACGTAGCCGTCCGCGCATAGAGTGGGTATTTACCCCTTGCAAGCGATTAGTTTTCTTGGCTATCTCAGCGTTGTGACTGCCGAGTATCGGCGCATTCGGGAGGTATGCCTGAAGCGCACGCTACTCTCTTCAATCAACGAATTTGATTCCGCTTGATCTCATTCGTCATACATGCACACTAGACCATACGCTCTTGGTTCACGTAATTCACTACCAAGCTGGACAACCCCAAAAAACCTTACTAAATGCAATAAATTACGTCTTGATATCCCGTGAGTCTATAGTTAATTACCGGTAGAGTGAATCCGCCATTGTCTCCTTGAACAATAGAATAATCACATCAATCCGTGACCTTTTCAGTACCGTGGGAGCGTAACACGCACGAAGTTAAACTATGCAGGGTGCCAAACGGTAAATCATGTGCCTTTTGGTTGCCACCAAAGAGGCAGCAAACCCATGCCATCTTCTCCCGTATTTATGAGTCGAGTGACTCGATGCCAACCATAATTCGCTACTTCCAGTCTGAATTTCCTCATCCCTCCGTCAGAGGCCCTTCTAGCCCGCTCCATCCCCGACTGCTATCTCCAAGCTCGGTGTAGGGCTCCGAGGAATAATTTCGATTTCCCTCATTCTCAGAAAGTGTCTCCTCCCATCTCCCCCGCCAGTACCAACCATATGATCGGGTTGGAAGCAGAACTATCGGTCCAACAAACGGCATCATACTTCCCATATAAGCCCTCTTCATACCTCTGCATCTTTTTGAGGTTTACACACTTGTGTCATCCCGCTTTCGCTGAGTATATATCTGACTCAGTTTATGCTGAGGAATGGTGAAGATTGCTCAGCAGATTGACATTGGGATTTTCGCATACGCGTTACGGAGCCAAGACAATGACGACTGCTACAGAGCCGTCCGCAGACATGCCCTGGAATGCCTCCAGGGTTAGTGGTCAGGCCCAGTCGCGCATGAGGACTAGATTGGAATCGGGTGTCACAGTGTTAAGTGCGATTGAGTCCTTGCCATGACTATTCTTGCGCACACCCCTGGAGAGGATCACACAACAATAATGGGTTACGCTGCTTTGAATACCTGGTGCTAACTTGCTCTGCTATTAGGAGATGGACGCTTGGATATCAACTTGTCTGACACCAGTCTTGTGCGATTATTGGCTCCCTTCAGGCCTTCTCCGCCCTGTCCGCCTCGTGCAGAACTCGCTGAACGGGCAGCCCAACGAAAGGAAGAGGATGCAAGTCCCTTCCGTCTCAACATTGTCATCCAAGTTGTAGGGTCTCGTGGAGACATCCAACCATTTATTGCGGTTGGCAAATCCTTGAAGCAGTACGGTCATCGCGTCCGACTGGCGACACATTTGACATTTAGAAATTCGGTCATGGAGAATGGACTAGAATTCTTCGATATTGGAGGACATCCAGCAGAATTAATGGCCTTCATGGTGAAGAACACGGGACTGCTACCTGAATTTAAGACGATTCGAAGCCGAGCTATCCACCGACACCGACGCGACATGGATGACATTATCCATGGCTGCTGGCGCTCATGCTCCGAGACTGGAGATGGAACGCAACTGCACCAGATTCCGGATGATTCCGTGCATGGTATCGTCGGTTGCCGACAACGGCCATTTGTGGCGGATGCAATTATTGCAAATCCCCCGAGCTTCGCTCATATTCATTGTGCGGAAAAGCTTGGGATCCCTCTCACCATAATGTTTACGTCAGTCACGCCCCTTAAGCAGTGCCTGATATCACGTAGAAGATGCTGAATAAGAATCTATAGGATGCCATGGTCACCTACCCAAGCTTTCCCACACCCGCTAGCCAATATCAGACGATATAAGACGAAACCAACGGTGGCCAATGCTGCGTCCTATGCCATTGTAGACATGATCCACTGGCAGGGCCTCGGCGACATTATCAACAGATTCCGCAGAAAAACCCTCAAATTGGACATTCTGGATGCCGCTCAAGCTCAAGGCATCGTTCATCGGTTGAATATTCCGCACGCTTATCTCTGGTAGAGCCACCTTTCATATCATGCAAGTGAAGATTGATCCGCTGACGTAGTCTAGGTCTCCTGCATTACTTAGCAAACCAGAGGATTGGTCCGACAATATCGACGTCTGCGGGTTTACCTTTCTCTCCTCTACAACCGACTACACCCCCCAGATGATCTTGCTGCCTTTCTACGGGCGGGCCCGCCCCCAATCTATGTCGGGTTTGGCTCCATTGTTGTGGATAATCCACAAGCGTTAAGTCAAATTATCCGCGGCGCCGTTCAAAAAACTGGCCAGCGTGCGATTATCTCTAAAGGCTGGAGTGGGCTAGGAGCGGATAGTGTGGATATTCAAGAAGGGAATAATTTCCTCTTGGGCAACTGTCCTCATGACTGGCTGTTCCAGCATGTTTCCTGTGTGGTGCACCACGGCGGTGCTGGGACAACCGCAACTGGTCTCAAATTTGGGTGTCCGACAGTCATTATTCCATTCTTTGGTGATCAGCCTTTCTGGGGGGCCATGGTCGCCCGAGACGGAGTTGGCCCGTCTCCAATTCCTTATAAAGACCTCACTGTGGACAAACTGGCGGACGCTATCTTGGAGGCTTTGAGCCCATCACCAAAGCAGAAAGCCCACGAAATCAGTAAGATCATCCAAGGCGAATCAGGTGTTGAGAACGCTGTCTCCAGTTTCCACAGGCATTTGCACTATGAGCGAATGAGGTGTGCTCTATGCCCGTCTCGTCCGGCTGTGTGGTGGCTGAAGGATTCCAAACTCGCCCTGAGTGCCTTTGCAGCGACTGTGTTGGTTGAAGCTGGATTACTCGATCTGCATGGTATCAAGCTGTAAGTAAAATGGCACCCTTACTTGTGTTTGCCCGTTTGGGATGTTGAATAGGAGACCTAGGTACCGTTCTGAAGAATACGACACTAGCAGAGATCCACAGAATCCGCTCAGTGCGGGATCACAGGCACTATTTGGCAGCATGACCAAGTTTATGATTGACGTGGGAGACACGGCCTCGGAGATTTTTGACTTGGTCTCGGGCAGACGGTGCTACGCATATTTTCGCGGAAAGCGTCAGAGAGAGCCAGGTGACCGTCTTCAAAGACATGAGTCGACTTCCGTCGAAGAACGTGCTGGGACTCCCACTGTGCTGAGGGATGACTGGGATACAGTGAGACGAGGGTCATTTAGTGCGCGATCCAAAAGGAAAGGCAGGAAAAGGTATGCTGCGGCCTTTGAGAATTTCCTGCCAACAACAGCGGCTCATGCAAGTCGTTTGGCGCGAGGGACCCTGGATATAATCATCATACCCCCCATGGAAATCAGTCTTACCTTGTCCAAAGGTTTTCGCAATGCGCCCTTATTATTTCACGACGATACTGTGAGGGATCGCCCGAGGGTAATTGGGATTCACAGTGGATTGCGAGCTGCGGGAAATGTACGTATGCGACCAGAGCTCCAAATCATACTCACTACGCCGCACTTCAGTCCATACCCTATTAACTTGTCGTATAGGAGTTTATATTCGGCATTTACGACGGTATCAGCGGGCTGATCACACAACCTCGCAGTGGCCTAAAGAAGGCCGGAGCTAAAGGCCTCATTGGAGGAGTTGAAAAAGGGGCTGCAGGTGTTATGCTCAAACCATTAGCAGGTCCGTACTCATCCATATCCACTGTAACACTACCGCTGCTTAGGTAGGAAAGCATAGGCTAAATTCTGGAGCAGGACTGTTTGGATTAGCAGCATACCCTTTGACCGGTCTTCACAAGCATCTGCGGGATTCCTTATCCGAGGGGAAGCAGAGGCACATTCAGCGCTCACGAATTGCTCAGGGGATTGAGGAATTCCAAACTTCATCCTCTGACGAACGGGCGGATGTCATCAGACAATGGCGTGCTTGAAATCTAGCAGGTGCGAAGCGTAAAAAAAGGACGGACGCCTCCAGGTATATGATAAGCGATAGAAGCGCAAAAAGATCGTCAGGTCGCCAGCTGTTGTTATTTCGGAATCAGACGCGGGACCAGTTAGCTGATCAGATGCTTGCTATTCGATCCTACGACTCTTCCGGGAAACACCTCCCTGTCATCGAGCCTGAGCTTTATACAACTACTACCAAGATCCAATAATGTTTTTGGTTCATCGGACTGGTTCCCGTATCGGCCTTGTGAGACGCTCCAAACGGGCACAGTGGCTATCAGAAAGAAGAAGGAGCGAGAGACACCGGCCGTGTTCCATGATTATGACGACGGAATCAGGGAGACTTACGAAGTAGACTCTTCTGCTTCTTTCCGGCCTACTACACGGGGGGACGGCATGGCCTCTTCAACGTATGGTTATGTATGTCTGATTTGAAATTACAGAAGCGGAAACAACGTGGCGACTGAGCAAGACGCCCTATTAAATCTCACGAGGCTTTGAGGCCTCATATGCAAGAGGTGTCAGCAGTAGATCTTCTCATTTGAGCCAATTGTCATTCAAGGACTTCGAATACGATTTATCCTATGATGTCTCACATTCGCAAGACTTTTGTCAGCGGTGAGAGCCGTATCACTGCAGGTATGCATGGAACCATGCGTAGGCCCTTCTCTTCCATCGTATTGCAGCGTCTGTTTGGAAAGGCCTATTTTTGCCCGGGTATACAGATTGCGGTTCAACATGGACATGGAAAATTGACAAGTGTTGTGGGTTAACGCGTTTGGCTATAAGGCGCTGGATTACGAGATGAGTCGAATGACCGATGAGAAGATAGCTAGGGATGTGTGACTAAATTGTTTAGCTTAAATAAAACATAATGATAGAGCAAGCCCGTATGCAAGCCCATAATGGCTGGCATTGAAGCGGAATTGCCATAGCATATGTTTATATCTGATTATATTGCGCGACTATCCGTCCTCATCCAGGGATAGATTGAGACTAGCAAAGTCAGCTAGCCATAACCAATTGATTACCCCAATTCGAAACAAGAGTAATATGCCTCCCAAGCATTGTGGATGCACATCAGTTGAAGTAACTGACGAGAAGATAGCAAGTGATGAATGCCCCAAAAGATCCAGCCTAAATAAAATATATTGATAGAGCAAACCCCAAAGGGAACCACAGTATATGCTAGATATGCCGAAAAGAAAGATGCAAGAAACAGCATATACAGAAAGAGACAACAACAACCCCCTAATTCGTATACATCCGAGTGTCATACAACCAAGTGACATCAAAAAGAAATGCCACAAAATACCGACGACGCCCAGAACAAGAGATCGCACGCGAAGAACACGGACAGAACAAAAACAAAAAAAGAAAGACCAAGATAAACAAGAAACCGGAATGCGTAGATCTGCGGTCCAAGGCATGAATAATATAGGACCGTACCGTGATTATGAAATGAGATGGCGTTATCTTATGAGATGGGGATCATGATATGACATGACAAAAGAGCAAAAAGAAGTGAGCAGGGGTATCACATGCGACGCCATTCTCGAATGGCGAGATCGAGCGAGTGTGGTTTTGCGTTGGGTTGTGGGAAAAGTGAAATGCTTTTTGGTTCCATGATCAAAGTTCAGAAGTTGTATCGTGAGTGATGACAACAGCGTAGAAACAGAAAGTCGCAGAAGAGAGTGGGTGAAATCACAGGTATGTGGAGTTCTGACGGCCATTAGTGGAGCTGCCACTACTGCTGTATTCGCTGCCCGGGGTGGGAGGCTCCATGACGACCTGCTGGCGGATAGAAACGATCCATTCGTGCTGCAGGAGTTCGGCGGCGGTCGGGCGGCGACAGGGATCACATTCGAAGCAGCGGCGAACGAAGTCGATGCCCATGTCGCTGAGTTGGTCGCTGGATGGAAGTACTGGCTGCTTGCCTTGGGCGATGTTGTACATGATCGCCCACTCGTTGTCAAGGGTGGACCATGGACGACGGCCTGTGGCCATTTCCAGAATCACACAGCCTAGAGACCAGATGTCCACGGCGCCTTGGCGATTGGCCAGGTCTGAGGCATCGCCGCGGATGACTTCGGGGGACATGTACATGGGGGTTCCGGTGGTTGTCTTTTGGTTCTTGCGTGTTGGTTCCTTGTTCAGCATGGGATCTTTGTGGCCACCAGCTGCTGAGCCCTCATTGGGCATTACTGTCCGACCTGAGCGGGCAATGATCTTGGCGGCGCCGAAGTCAACGTACTTGATGACACCGTTGTGATCAAGTAGAATGTTTTCAGGTTTGATGTCACGGTGGACAATGTGGGCTTCGTGAAGATAGGCAAGACCCTCCAGAAGTTGAAGAGCATACACCATAATCACGGTCTCATCCTCGATGCGACCATGCTCCAACAAGCTGGCAAGCGAACCGCCGGAACAGTACTCCATGAAGATGTAGACTTTGTCACGATGCACTTCAATTCCATGGTAAGACACAATGTTAGGGTGGTCAAGTACCTCAAGCACGCCCATTTCGTCTCGAATCTGCTGAGCAATCTTGGGAATGAGCTGGGGATCCTGAAGACGAATCTCCTTGACAGCCATCAAATAATTGCTATCCAGGTTGATAGCCACGTAGACGGAACCAAAGGTACCACCTCCAATGAACTGGCCCTGCTGCCAACGCAAAGTGACGTTTGTGGCAGATGAAGAAAGTACCGTGAGAGATCGATCGGCTTCATTAGATCCTTCCAGCACTCGTCCAAGAGCTTGGCGCTTAGCATCTTCCTCGATTCTTCGGTCTTCAATCTCCAAAACACGTGCATGCCACGTGTCGCGAACAAGCTTTGACGCTTCTTCGTCGCTGGTGATTCGACCAGCGCCGATCTGTCGGGCACCATTACGCTCTTCCATGCGCTTTTCGTTCTTTGCTGCGAGCGAGGAGCGAGCGCCCATGATATCAAAGTGTGAGATAAGGAGAGACATACATCCTGCAACCTTTAATCTGAGGCTGCTGAACTGGTCCTCATCCATGGAAAGAAGGTGCCGGCTGGATGTAATCGCCATTGCGAATTCGAGAGCGGCGACAGCCCACTTGAACGTCTTTCGGTCTGCAGCATCGCATTCATCACAGACGAAAGAGACCCAGTCGAGAGACAACTCGACCAATCGAGCACTGTTCATTGCGCGTCTATTGGCGTCGACATAGTTGGATGACCGTTTACCGAACTCGGTTGCAAATGCATAACAGGCCTGGACCAGATCATTGTTCTCCCACTTGATTTCTCGCAGCTGGTCTTTGATGACAGCAACACTATCCATGATGGTCATGGACAGCTTGAAAGAGATTTTCTTGATCTTGTTCAACTCCACATTGACACGACCAAGATTGGCACGTTGCTCAATGACCATATCAAGTTGGATTCCAGTAAGCCGCGACAATTCCATCCGAGCATTTTGCAGGCGCTCTTGCATGCCTTCGACAACAAGACGCAGCTTGCCCAAGCGCACGTCGGTTGGGTGCTCCAAAAATTCCACCTGCAGTTGCTTACCTGCCCATGCAAGAGGTCTTTCAGGGCGAATAACCAGGACATATGGAGTGTGGACATCCTCCGCCGTGTCGTCTTCCTTGAAGGAAGTAGACAGAATGGCCTGGATGTCAGCAGGACGATTCCACAAAGCAGGATGGGCGACCAAATAGACACCCTTCTGACCCCCAGCATTGGAAGAAGTAACGAGGAAGTGGTCGGAGATTAAGAGCGCCTCGAAGAAATCATATGCAATGTCGGTGGTGATGTTGTATTCGGAAGCATTTTCGAAAAGCTGACACAAGAACTTGGAGAATCGATACAGCTTGCGTTGGCGAATACGCGTTGAATCCAGAATACTCTTGTATCGCTTGTCCATGTCTGACACGGTTTCTTGGGGTCTCGGGACGAGTTCGCGCTCGAAATGAATCATAAGACGTTGGAGTGATCTAGCAGTCAAAGCACTATGGTTTTGTCAGCGCAAGTCGTGAGTAATATTCCAGATGAAGACAATACCTAAACTGTTCAGCCACCTCAATATCTCCACCGTCAAGACGGCGGCCGATATCGTAGGAGTATCCCCATTCCTGTTCCAAGATTTCGGCTTCTTTGAAGGTATTCTTGTTGGCATTCAATTTCCAGTTGAGCAACCGGAAATAGTATTTCATGGCATCCAATACCGAGTTATCAAAATTCTCGTCAACACATGGTGGTAAATCCCAGCCAGGCTCTGGCCTCGAGATGTCAAGGTAGCGGAACTTAATGTCAACCGCAACCTTCATGAGGATTTGGAATTGGGAAATCATCTGGTCAATCAGGATTGGGGCCTGTTGAGCTGGATCCTTCATGTTTTTAGCATAAGACAGACGGACTCGGATGATCTCCTGGATCAGCCGAGAGGGAAAGTTAATCAGTGTTAACAGCTCCTCGATATATGGCGGCAAATGACGCGCCGCAAACGCTTCTGCGTTCTCAATCAAAGTACTCTTTGCTTTCTGGATAACGGCAAGGATTCTAAGAAGCATGCCGTCCTCATCCTGGAGAGTCTTCAGGCCATCTTCCTTCATAATGCGATCCAGGAAGGATGAGCCATCGGAAAGATCGTTCTTGGCAGACTTAACCCTGGGCTGGGCGAAGTCGAGAGCCTCGTTTCCGACCCAGCTCTGCAACACAGCCAGCTCGGTATTGATCAGAGCCGTGATGTTGTGCCACGAAAAGATAGCGGCGCGACTGGAGACGAACTCCTCCGAAGCGACACGAGGGTTCGCAATCTCCATCTCCTTGTGTGACGAATAAAGGACCTCACATTTCTCGACCTTTTCCACAACATCCAGGACCTGTTGCCTTGGCGGTTTGCCAATCTCAGTCTCGCCTTTAATCTGGAAACTGATGATATCCTCGATAAGGGGGCCAAGGTGCGACCGAGCATCCTCAATCAACTTCCGCTGAAGAGGAAGACTTCGGCCACATGTTCTTGCCCGAACTCCGATCCAAAGCGCGTAGCTTTGGGCCGCCGACCGTTTTGATTCCGCGGACCCAATCAAACGCTGCTTTTCTTGTTTAACCACATCACCTTTCAACACCGATGCCAACATAGAATGCCACTCTAGTCGCTCCTGGTTCTTAGGATGCTTGAGTTCTTCTGTCGTTGGTAGGTTGTCGTCGGGAAGGAAGAGTTGGGTATCGGGGTCGTAGGAATCATCTTCAAAGGCTACCTCTGATGAGGGAGAAGGGTCTTCTAGATCGGCATCTCCATCTATCATGTTGTTTGTCTGCGCGTCTTTGAAGTGATGATACCAAGCCTGTGGGTTCGCTCGAATCCGCTGGACGTAGGCCTTCTCTTGGGCTCGATATTGCGCATTCAGATCGCGCCGGGTTCCGCGTTTGGCTGATGAGGATCGTTGGCGGTCTTCTTGAAGGCTTATGTACTGGGGCGGTCGGCGCTGCGGTGCGTAGGTATGGGAGGGAGTCCGTACAGGGACGGACGGGCGCTGAAGTCGAGGGTCGCTAGCCATGGCGAGGCCATCGGATTTGTCGAGCATAGAGGAAGCGCCAACACTAGCGCCCCGTGGTCGTGTTGCCGGGGTACTAGGCCATGAGGGAATACCTGGGGAGTGATTTGGAGGGGAGGACGTGATGGTTGTGGCAGGCGTCTGAATTGCGCCTTCAGGAATCTCTACGAAAGAGGAGTTGGCCCTGGGATATTGGGTAGGGTACTCATCAGAGGACCCTGAGCCATCTGAATCAGGACTGGGAATGTCCGGGTGCTCCATGGTGGATATGTGTGGTGGTCACGTCGTTGAAGCCCTGTGAAGTGATAGGGGCGTGTGTGGCGGTGCAAGTGTGGCGGAAAACGGCCGGATGTCAGGGATCTTCCCCGCCGCCCACCACTGACCTTCCGATCTGCCGAGTATCTTTTCCTGTTTGATGCTTAGCTCCTACGTGGTTTAATATCTGACCAGCATTTATATTAAGTCCAAGCCTAGTCTACGCGTCCAGTCCTAAAACGAACCTGTCTTATGTGCTAGTCGTACTTTTGAAACATGGAAATTTCCTTGTTTTTGCCCTCGGGTTTGCAAAGAGCTCATGAAATGCCACAAGCCATTCCTTGAACTGATTGGATGCGCTCAGGACAGATGACCAAACGCCGGGTGTTGGTGTAATATGGCGTTAGAGCTCTGATAGGCAATTGGATTATTGTATAAACATGTGCTCCGGGGTTGGATGCTCTAGGCGCACCTTTTTCAAAATGGAAGAGCACATCATATTCATGGTCAACAACAGCCGGCTATGATTATCAGCGTGTGGCTGATAATTGCTGGGTCTATCCATGGCGCGATTTGCTGGTCAGGATTTAGCGTCTACTTTGGGACAAGCTGACGGAAATTTTCGGTTAAGCAGCAGGGATCTGTATGGTAGCTGTGGAGCTGCTGATTGGCTGGCAAGTAAGGCCAGTCGTAGAACAGTCAGTAAGCTATCAAATAAAGTATTTGGGGATAGCATGGAAGTATGCGGCTAAATTGTGTTGTGGATTAATCCAAGGTCCTGTTTGCCTTGGTTACGAGTGATGATGATGTGCAATGTGGCTTGTATTCGGGCGATCGTTGAATGCTGATGGAAAAGAATAAATATGACAAGGCATGGAGGGCACAAGGTTTGATCTGAGAGAAGAGACTATTGATACAAGGAACGATCGTTATGCATCAAAGAGCCTATCTACATGTTAAAGCTCTATTGTTTTGTCGATCCGAGACTAGGAGATGGGCAAGTGCCTCATGCTCATCGCAGGATGAGATGATCAGCCCACGAGAATCACTAATCTGCATCTAAAAAGCAATTTAGTAATAGTCCCCATCATAAAATCTGTAGAGCACTTGAGACTACTAGACTAACTAACGTCAGTCCAGAAAGTACACTTCAAACAGCAAGAAATTCTCGTGGTTATAAACTGCCTAAACTTAATGTTCGAATACATGTACATTTCATCATGCACACATAAAACATTACAGCGTCTTACTATTTACAAATATAGAAGAATTACCCCTGACTAGAAGGGCATTGCATCCACGCCTGATCATCGACGATCTTGAAGGCTGTCGATCAGTGGACCCGATGTGAACTCAAGGATCGATTCATTGACAGTTAACTGGGGCTCTAGAGAAGATCTGCAGTAACTGATTCAAATAATGACGACTTTGTGATATCCAAATGGATCTAAATGGGCAGTGCAAATTCCCCATGCACTGCCTGTGCATATACTCGGAAACTACACAATGTTCATGCAAAGCACGCATCATGACTTGCAAATGCGGCAATGTTCGGGTATACTATTTTATACGAAGCCAGGAGTATCAATAGCGTAATGAGATGCATATCAGCCCCGGAATGTGTTGTCCATACAATGCATTGACTAGAGTTTCCCCGGCGCCAAGACCCGGGATGCCGAAGTACGCCCCGCCAATGACAGACGACATGCTTATCTTGACTCTAGCAACCCGCATGGCGAAGGGTTTACCTTTCGCCCCCATGCGTTCTCCGTTCAATTCGTGTGGAACCGGGACAGTTTTATTTGAGAATATGCCAGGAACGGAGATAATCTAGAACCCTGTACACTGTATGAAGTACAGCACTGTACATAGCGCATTCTGTACTCGTACTCTTGTATGCATGTACTACGGAGATTAAATCAATCTATTCTACGGACATTCATGCCCGGGCTTCTGGCATTAGCATTAGGCGCACTCCGAAACAAATATGAACTGGCGGAAAGCTCGACAACAAGAATAATCTCCCTCGCATGGCCCGTTCTATAGCTCCGATAACGTATATTGCACGGTGATTGGCTGACGGGATGACTATGATAAGAGTCCCATTGACCTACTTCACGTTTCACGCCACGGTGAAGTAGTTGGACATGAACCCTAAAGACATGGACTCCGAACTCTGGGGGCATTGATGGCTTGACAACAACCAAGGGCGAATTGTATGGCGGACCAAGCGATATACGAGTAAACAACCTTGGAAGCCCTAAGTCGAGATAAGCAAACAGCTCTGATTGGTCAGTTCAGTCATATCTACAGCCAGTCGTGGAGCTCTGTCAGCCCTGCAAATTCACTGAAATGACCCAGTCTGGCTCGATCACTTTATTATTTCCCCCTGCTTATCAGCGGCCAATGCTTACAAGTCCTCCGAGATGCATGCTCCAGGGGTATAGTTCTTCGACAGAGAGTGAGCAGGCCCTGTGCAAACAGTTCTACTGTTCAGGTCTAGACCTGGTTTCTAGAATACTACTCCGTACTCATATCTTAAAGAATAGAAGCATACCCGTAGCTGTATATGAAACGGACCCGAAATTCCCCGGTTCAAGTCTATGGAGTACATACCCCCGGTCATAGACCCGGACATGGCTGAATTAGGCTGTCTTGGCAACTGCTATCGGTCTGATCAGATGAATCATATCATAAATCATAATGACCAGCTCCCACTATCGGAACTAAGATCGATGGTCTGGTAGCCTTGTGTGGAGCATTCTGGTCTGTGGTTTGTTATTTAATTATCGTTTGTCCCTGCAGGCTAGACATATCACTTTTCTCTCCTTTCATCAGCCAGGTGCTTGAACAGGACTTATTTTTATCCCACTCTTCCTCTTTCCAGATTTTGGACTGTTGATATCTGTTCCCCTTATCTCTTCTGTGATACACAGCCTTCGTCATGTCGGCTTATCCGGTTGAGTACAATGGCACCATTGCCACAGGTGGTGACTCGCTCACCGAGGATTTGAATATTTTCTATAATGTAGGCTATTATTCGGTCTACCACACAGTCAATGGAGCTGTCAGCTAACAATGGTATTGTAGGCTGGTGATATCGCTTGGGTGATCGTCTCTTCGGCCCTTGTGCTGCTTATGATTCCTGGTGTTGGGTATGAGTTACTGACCACCCATTCCATGATATCATATACTAACTTTGCTTCCATAGATTCTTCTACTCTGGTCTCGCTCGACGAAAGTCTGCCCTCTCCTTGATATGGCTGTCTATAATGTCGGTCGGAGTGGTGTCATTCCAATGGTTTTTCTGGGGTTATTCATTGGCCTTCTCCCACTCAGCTGGTAAATACATCGGTGACCTCGAGAACTTTGGCTTCCGCAATGTCCTGGCTGCTCCATCCGTTGGAAGCAGCAAGGTTCCCGACCTTCTGTTCGCCATCTTCCAGGGCATGTTCGCTGCCATTACGTGAGTACTATACAAACATCAAGTCATTACAAAGAAAAGAACTGACAACATATCCGCAATCAGAGTTGCTCTCGCAGTCGGTGCCGTCGCCGAGCGTGGTCGCATGCTCCCCTGTATCATCTTCATGTTCATCTGGACCACCATCATCTACGACCCCATTGCCTGCTGGACATGGAACTCATCTGGCTGGGTCTACCAGCTCGGAGGTCTCGACTATGCCGGTGGTACTCCCGTCCACATTGCCTCCGGATCCGCTGCTCTTGCTTACTCCCTGATGCTGGGCAAGCGTCGCGGCCACGGAACCCACGAGCTCAACTACCGCCCTCACAACGTTACCCACGTCGTTATTGGCACAGTCTTCCTCTGGGTTGGATGGTTCGGTTTCAACGCCGGCTCTGCTCTCTCGGCTAACCTCCGCGCTGTCATGGCTGCCGTTGTCACCAACCTTGCCGCATCTGTCGGAGGTGTGACCTGGTGTCTGCTCGACTACCGTCTGGAGCGCAAGTGGTCTACCGTCGGATTCTGCTCTGGTGTCATTGCTGGTCTCGTTGCCATTACCCCCGGCTCCGGATTCGTCACTCCCTGGGCTGCTTTCATCTTCGGTGTTGTTGGTGCCATTGCTTGCAACTACGCTACCAAGATCAAGTTCCTCATTGGCATTGATGATGCTCTTGATATCTTCGCTGTCCATACCGTCGGTGGTCTCGTCGGTAATCTCCTTACCGGTCTCTTCGCTGCGTAAGTTTTACTTTTCCTATCCATTCCGAACTATAAATTAACATCCTCTCAGTGACTACATAGCCGCTCTTGACGGTACTGAGATCGACGGTGGCTGGATCAACCACAACTGGGTCCAGCTCGGCTACCAGCTTGCCGACTCCGTCTCCGGTTTTGCCTACTCCTTCTTCGGAACATGCATCATCCTCTTCCTGATGAACCTCATCCCCGGTCTGAGCCTTCGCGCCCCCGAAGAAGATGAGATCATGGGTATCGACGATGCCGAGATTGGCGAGTTCGCCTACGACTACGTCGAAATTCGCCGTGACGTTGTCAACGGTGTCGAGGCCGAGGAGAGCGCCTCCAAGCGCACTATGACCCCCACTGGGGAGAACACAACCATTGACACTAAGGCTTAATTGATATCCGTGGATGTTGATTTTGTCTTTTTTGGTCAGCTCGTTCCTTTAATATTTAATATTCGGGCTGTTTGCCTCCTATCATTTATGATCGCCTTTCTTTTCTTTTTTCATTCCCTCTTCCCTTTTTACCAGGTTCTTTTTCGGTGTGGTGTTTTCTTTAGAATCACAGGTCTCTTTTGGGATGCTCTTCTGGATAAAGAGTATCCCGTTCTTCACTTCGTTAGCATATCTCTGATACCCAAATATCAATACAATTATCTAAAATCTGTTCCAGTAAACCAGTACATAAATGCAAGAAATATACCAGACTGTGGCTTCAAGAGGGTGAGCTGCCCAGAATATATGGTGCATAGTATGTCACCCATTCGCCTTGTGTGCATGTCAACCCAGTAGCTGGCCAGTGCCTATACTAGTATACTTACGGTAGAGCCCTCCCGATTAAGCACCGGCCAGTTGATAGATGAGTCGTCCAATAAAAAGCGGGTCCGCCGGAGCTGTCACATGTGGCCGCTCCGCGCAGAGCTTCCGAAATCCCGCCCCGCCAATTCTTTCCGCGATCATTCTCCACCCTCCGCGGAAGCGAATCATCCAAACCCATTCGTTTTACCCCAATTATCTCGCTTAGTTCGAGTCCTGCCATCAAGATGGCCTCGGAGACTTCTGGACCTGGCAGTCGTGCTGGCTCCGTGCCTTCGACTAGCTTTCCCACCGATCCTTCGGAGTTCGATAAGGACCCGCGCATCTCCTTCTCCAAGCTTGACAATCAGTACATACTTGAGACCGACGATGACCGTGAGTTCGTGTGGGACACTGGCATCAAGCGCTGGGTTGAGTCGGTATGTCTACCCCTTCTCCAGCTCACGGGCGGTCACTGGCCAGCTTGGGGTAGCTCATGAAGTGCTGATACTAATTCGACATGCCGGTTCAGATCGACGAGGAGCTCTTGCGTCAGCAGCAGGAGGCTTACAAGGTTGAGGGAGTCGATGAAACCGAAGCTGCTCACCCGCGCGATCGTAAGAAGCGCAAGCAGGAGAACGACGCGGTAAGGGTTGCAGCTGTCGCATTTTTCAAGATTGACGCTGACGAAGTGTTTTTTCTCGTTTTAGGCCACCGAACCCAAGCAGAAGAAACCCCGTGTCAACTGTGCTGTTTATGTCTCCTCCATCCCTCTCGACGCGACCCTGGACGAGGTCGTGAGCGTTTTCAAGAAATTCGGCCTCATCACTGAGGAGATCGACACCGGAAAGCCCAGGGTCAAGATGTACAAGGATGAGAATGGAAACTTCAAGGGTGATGCTTTGATTGTGTACTTCCGATCTGAGTCGGTGGACATTGCGATTCAGATGCTTGACGAGACGGACTTCCGTTTCGGTGTCACTGGCCCCAATGGCCCCATGCGTGTTCAGGCTGCCGATACCGCTTGGAAGAGTGAGGAGGCAGATTCGAACCAGGATCAGAAGCAGAAGCAGTCGCACCGCTCCAAGACTGATCAGCGCAAAATTGCCGAGCGCGCTAAGCGTCTCAATGAGTATGTGCTCTGTGTTGCGAGTCAGAGATAATGTGCTGACTTCTTTTGCGTAGGAAACTCAACTGGGATTCTGAAGAGGAAGGTCCCACTTACTCGAAGTACGACCACATGGTAACTTTGAAGCACATGTTCACGCTTGAGGAATTGGACGTGGGTTACCCCATTTGTGTCATCGAGATCTAGTCGCTAACATGGTTACAGGAGGACCCAGCTGCCATTCTTGAGATCAAGGAAGATATTCGCGAGGAGTGCGAGAAGATCGGTGAAATTACCAACACCGTGCTCTACGACCTTGAGCCCGAGGGCGTGGTCACTGTCCGCTTCAAGGACCCCGCTGATGCGCGTCGCGCTGCCGAGGTAGGTTACATCTGTTATGTGGTCCATTACAGCTACTGATGAAAATTTAGGCCTTTTCTAAGCGCAAGTTTAACGGTGTTCAGGTCGTGGCCTACGTCCAGCACGTTCGGGAGCGATACCGCAAGTCCGGCACTCAGCGCGATGCCCTCGAGGGAATCGATACCGAGGCGGAGGAACAGAAGCGTCTTGACCGCTTCGGTGATTTCCTCGAGGGTAAGGGCACCTAAGTGATGACAAAGTCGCGAAAAAATAGGTGTAAGAGCCATGAAGGTGTGGTCCGATGCGGTGAAATGCGGTGTGGAGGGGGGGGGAGTGATGTGAATGTCTGCAAATTTCTAAGCGAATACCCGATGTAACAATAGCGAATACAGGAAGAAATGCTATGAAGCATTGAAAGAACACGGTCAAATCGTAGTAGACATGAAAGAGTTGTTGTTGTCCTCCACGCGCCCAAAGAAAAGTGAAGTGTGGTTCGCACCTCCCCCCGAAGTCCCGTGATGGCACTAGGCCCAATCAGGCATCACCCCCCCTGAACCCATTCAGTTGTTGACTTGTTGATCCCACACACACCGCTCAACCCATCCTCTCTCTTTCTCCTTCTCCCCATCCTCTCGATTCTATACTCCCCCTATTTTTCTTCTGAATCACCTTCAAAATGCGTGAGATTGTATGTGGTCCCCATGAGACGCGTCTTGTTTCTTGTTTTCTTTCCCCTGAACCACCCCCACCCGTTCTAAACAGATCTTTTGCTAACCCCCAATGCTCCATAGGTTCACCTCCAAACCGGCCAGTGTGTAAGTGCGACATTGAAGATGGATACCTTTGTTGGATTACTTTGGGATTGGGACTAAATTCGACTTGGACAGGGTAACCAAATTGGTGCCGCCTTCTGGTACGTGGACATTGATATCGAAACTTTTTTTCGCGTCATTGGTTTATAATTCACTAACTGGATTACAGGCAAACCATCTCCGGCGAGCACGGTCTCGATGGCGATGGACAGTAAGTTCGTTGAGATTTGTTGTGGTGGATTGGGCAGCTGATATCTCGTTAGGTACAACGGTACTTCCGACCTCCAGCTCGAGCGCATGAACGTTTACTTCAACCATGTGAGTACAGGACAATGAAATTGGCTATCTCGACATTATCTGATTGTTATGTTTTGACCGCTCAGGCCCACGGTGACAAGTACGTTCCCCGTGCCGTCCTCGTCGACTTGGAGCCCGGTACCATGGACGCTGTCCGCTCCGGTCCTTTCGGCAAGCTCTTCCGCCCCGACAACTTCGTCTTTGGTCAGTCCGGTGCTGGTAACAACTGGGCTAAGGGTCACTACACTGAGGGTGCCGAGCTCGTTGACCAGGTCATCGATGTCGTCCGCCGTGAGGCCGAGGCTTGCGACTGCCTCCAGGGTTTCCAGATCACCCACTCCCTCGGTGGTGGTACCGGTGCCGGTATGGGTACACTTTTGATCTCCAAGATCCGTGAGGAGTTCCCCGACCGTATGATGGCCACCTTCTCCGTCGTTCCTTCTCCCAAGGTTTCCGACACCGTTGTTGAGCCTTACAACGCTACCCTTTCCGTCCACCAGCTCGTTGAGCACTCCGACGAGACCTTCTGTATCGATAACGAGGTATGCACCTCGTGGAAACAAGCAATGGCACAATACTGACGAATTTAGGCCCTGTACGACATCTGCATGCGTACCCTCAAGCTGTCCCAGCCCTCGTACGGTGACCTGAACCACCTCGTCTCCGCCGTCATGTCCGGTGTGACCACCTCTCTCCGTTTCCCCGGTCAGCTCAACTCCGATCTCCGCAAGCTTGCCGTCAACATGGTGCCCTTCCCCCGTCTGCACTTCTTCATGGTCGGCTTCGCTCCCCTGACCAGCCGCAGCGGCTACCAGTACCGCCAGGTCAGCGTTCCCGAGTTGACCCAGCAGATGTTCGACCCCAAGAACATGATGGCTGCTTCCGACTTCCGTAACGGCCGTTACCTCACCTGCTCCGCTCTCTTCCGCGGTAAGGTCTCCATGAAGGAGGTCGAGGATCAGATGCGCAACATCCAGAACAAGAACCAGAGCTACTTCGTTGAGTGGATCCCCAACAACGTCCAGACCGCTCTGTGCTCCGTTCCCCCCCGTGGCCTCAAGATGTCTTCCACCTTTGTCGGAAACTCCACCTCCATCCAGGAGCTCTTCAAGCGTATCGGTGACCAGTTCGCTGCTATGTTCCGTCGCAAGGCTTTCTTGCACTGGTACACTGGTGAGGGTATGGACGAGATGGAGTTCACTGAGGCTGAGAGCAACATGAACGACCTTGTCTCCGAGTACCAGCAGTACCAGGAGGCCTCCATCTCCGAGGGCGAGGAGGAGTAGTAAGCTTACCCATCCATTCCCCTGTCAAGATGATATCCAGCTAACATTCTCTTTAGCCTTGCCGAGGACGTTATCGAAGATGAGGCCTAAATAAATCTCTCTGAGATTTGTTCATAATACCCTTGTCAAGCCTACATTCACTACCATTCGGACCGGCTTTGTGGGCTTGCGCCCCGAACCCAATTTGTTTGAGCGCTCCTAATTTACTTTTTTTCTGTCTATCTTCCTACTCGGCTTGGGTCTTTTCTTCGATCCCTCCAGAATAGCACATAGTGGAAAAGCAATTGACAACATGACTTTCCATTTCTTCTCTTGTAGCTTGATTATTCTTGTAGTATCACGCTATGTTTGGTTTGTCGTGTTTTACATTCTAAGTTCATACTTCCCTGTCTCTACTTAATATACGAGTACACCTGGGTATGAACATGGAAGCACAAGCACATTCTTGTCTTCCTTCTCCGCCATGACTGGATCCCAGGTCCAATATCTTCTCATCTGTTCCCTATCAGAAATTGCCTCAGTCTTCCTCGTTCTGATATTGACCCTCGTTATCACTCCCAGGGAATTCTGGTAGGCCTCGGGCTGGCATGTTGATTTCATACCCCAAATTCCGCGCAGTGAGCATGGGAGACTGGTATATCAACTGTAGCCAAGAACGATGTTGAGGCTAGTCACGGCTCTATCCATTGCGATCTCCCGAAGTTCATGGTAAGTTTATCGGGAAGGCGGGGCTGGTTTTCAACGGTGTTGGATATTTCTGGGTTGGTATTAGATTGAGTCCGGTTGCATGTTTCAGCAGGTATGATATAAACTTCGGGTCGAATTGAATGATTTGAGGAGCTGTTGCTTGGTTTTTTAAGGGGCTGCCTGGAAGGGGATCTTTATCATAGATTGGCTGCCTGTGTGGCATATCGGGTTGTGTTTCATTGTCGGGTTTCGCCGTGAGGAAGAGAATAGCCAGAATTATGATTGTAGGTTAATGCTTCGGCGAGGAACGATCAATTCTATAGATGATGACTTGCTGAGATGGATGTCGTATAGCGAGCAGGAGTATTGGCTTAGACGACGGTAGGGTAGCGTAGCTTTATCTATCACTTCTTCTCCAAGTATTTATTGCATTTATCATGCCTCTACAATGTTGCACTGGCCACACTGTAGTGGTCGACTACTATGAATGCATGCTTGAGCAGAGGCTAGTTGGAGCATTCTGGAGTGGTTTGGGAAGGGGGCGGGTTCGGCCGGGTTTGTTAACACAGATGTCGCTACCGTGGGAACAGGGGAGGCTGCCTGGAGCCTCTGCTGCTTCTGACTCTGCCTGGCTGATAGCTTGGGTGGCACCTTTGAAAATGGAGTTTAATGATGCAACACGGATGATTCTTTGAGTGCTTGAAAGAATGTGTGAACCATATGAAACGTATAACAGGAAAGGATGTTTTAAGTACTCGGAAGTGTTTGCCATTGCATGAACGTGACAATCAAGAGAAACAATATCACAATAGTATTCCAAAAAGCATCATCTAGCATCATAATTCTGATATTTCTTAGCCGGAAATCATGGATAGCCATCTTTCTCTGTATCAAGAAAATACTGATATGTCAAAAACCCGAGTACACTGTACTCTATTGAGCTTCATATATTGCAGCCAAGCATACATCACAAAGTTTGAACAGCCTTTGAAGATTTTGAATGTATAGTCAAGGCAGCACTCATAAACCTGCTCTCAATAGGATATACCAAATCCCTCGTGTTGTCAACATCCTGCCGGTGTTTTCTTGATGTGGAGCCAACCCTAGAGATAAGCATATTTGAACCAAACCGAAGACTCACGGGGCTCATGTGGAGGAGCGCGTCATAAGCTCGGCAATAAAATTACCAATCAAGAAAAGTTTTCAATGGGAAAGTCGGCATTTCTTTATAAGCACGTTTTGTATAAAGGAGTGTCTCGGCTTCACGGATTCCGGCTTGTGGGTCAACGGGAAAGCTTGACTGTGAAGCCTGCAACTCATCTGGGAGCTACATCATAAGCATAATTCGGGATGTAACATGTGTGCGAGATCTACAACTGGCGTGATAGGCATAGATTATAGCGAGAATGGCCAAGGTTTCTAGATTCAAGCAATGAATCCTCAACAGAGTACAAATCCAGACTTGACCAAGAAAGCTGTAAGTCAACGCCGATGACAACCGAGCTCTCCAAGCCACAATAGCTTAGTAAACCAATAAAAAGACTACTCTTTATGAACCCCTTCCCTCAGACCCCTCACACCACCTAGAGCGAATCATCACAGAAGAGACAGTGGATGATAGGACTTCGGATCAATCACAGGACAAGAAGAGGACATTTTCCGCGGAAGCAGAGCGGAGCTTTAGCTGATCACCCTCGCCCCGCAGACCTGGTTTACAAATCTGAGCATCGTATAAGATCGTGAGAAAGCCGCCCTGGGCAGCATTCCGCAGGATGCATTTCGGAGCTTTCCAGTATGCTACTTGCTCCATATGGAAGTATTGCGCGGATCACAGGGACGTGTACGATTATCACCAATGCTCTCTGATGAGCCGATATGCTGGGGTATTGGATATGATGTGACTTGAATCTAATATGATGTTGGATCCCAGAGGATGAGTTCATGATCTACAATCCCCGGGGAGTAATCAAGCTCTGTGTTTCATGTTATTCTTGTACTCCCCATTGGTTAATGGGCAGTTCGGTGCCTTGATTGCTGAGGAATGCCCATTACCGGGTCTCCTGGGGTCGTACACCCGGCTGGCAAGACAGGGTGATGTCAGGTCCAACAGCCTGACGACGACGCACTGGCCTTAGGTGCATTTTCCTTATATCTATCATGCCAGAGCTCTCCTCCCCCTCATACTACACCGGAGCTTCCCTTTCTCTCTGATCTTGTATAGCTGTAGATTTACGACATCCAGTATATACCGCCAAGTTCTCTGCGAGTTCGATTTGCTCTGTTTCGATCCGGATCACAGGTTCCATTAACGGGATATTATCGACCTGTCTTGACGCCAAATCCCCCCGTTCAAGAATGAAGCCCGAAGATGTCGAAAAAGCTCATGGCTCCCCGTCCGTTGAGAGTATGGAGCAGTTTGAACTCAATAAAAGCGCCTCCAGCAGTTCCTCCGATGCTACAGTTGTCGAAAAGCCCGAGATTGAGCCGCCTCGATCAAGGCTCAAGCAGTATTTTGCTAGTTTAAAGGGCATGGAGAATCGGGGAATTGAGCGCGTTCCCCTTGAAGAACGGGAGGAAGTTACGCCGTCGACTTCGCTGCATATGATGCTCATGTGGTTTAGCATGACGCTCGCGACCAATAACATTGTTGTCGGGTCTATGGGGACACTTGTTCTAGGGCTCAGTTTCAAAGATGCAGCTTTGTGTGCCATTTTTGGGTGCATAGCCGGTGCCTCCATCATTGGTTATATGAGTACATGGGGTCCTAGGAGTGGAAATCGAACTTTGGTTTGTGAATCTGTCAAAGTGTGTGCAAGATCGAGTACTAATAGCTTTGGCAGATCGTCGCCCGTTATTTCATGGGCTATTACCCCAGCAAAGTTTGCTGCGTCCTCAACATCTTCACCAACGTCGGGTACAGCATGGTGAACAGTGTCGTCGGTGGCCAGATCCTATCAATGGTCTCCGGTGGCCAATTATCGGTCATAATTGGCATCATTATCGTCGCAGGCACAAGCTTAGCCATGGCATTATTCGGCATGCGCATCTTCCAAATATATGAACGGTAAGAAGAACATCTCAGATTTGCCCCAACCCAGCTGACCAGACTGAAGAGTTGCTTGGCTACCCCAGCTCATGGTAATCTGCGTCATTCTGGGCTCAGCAGGACCTCACTTCGACTTCAATATTCAAACAGCCGCGCCAGAGTCGCTCAACGCCAAGCGTATCACCTTCTTTTCTATAGTTCTATCTATCGGTCTCGCATGGGCTCCCTTAGCCGCAGACTACTACGTCTACTACCCACCCCAGATGAGGCGCTGGCGAACATTCCTAATGACCGTCCTTGGCGCCGCGCAGGCCATGTCTATCACCCTCCTTGTCGGCATAGGACTAGGCACAGTTCTTGCAAGCTCCACATATTACTCCAGCAAATACGGCACAGGTCCCGGAGGCCTTTTGATGACAGCCTACGACAGTCTAGGTGGGTTTGGCAAAGTCTGTGCTACTATCAACGTCCTTGCCTTGGTTGCGAACAACACCCCCGGGGCGTACTCCATGGGCATCAACCTACAAATGCTCGGTGGATTCCTCGGCAGAATCCCGCGACCTATCTCTACGACTCTTGCCACGATTGTCTATGCTGCGTGTGCTATGGGAGGTCGTAACTCTCTTTACAGTGTTTTCAAGTCTTTCTTGCCCCTCATTGGATACTGGGTTGTTATCTACGTTGTGATTGTTGTGCAGGAGGATGCTATTTTCCGTCGGCGAAAGGGGTATGATTGGTCTGCGTGGAACACTCGCGCTCAACTGCCTATGGGTCTTGCTGCGAGTGTTTCCTTCTTTGTTGGATGGGCTGGTGCAATTGTTGGCATGGTATGTTGGATCTCGACGCCTCGCTAAACTTTACCAATGCTAACCTATGACTCTAGTCCCAAGCATACTATACTGGCCCAATTGCGCGGCTCACTGGTGGAGCTGATTTGGGTCTTTGGTTGGCTGCTGGCTTTACCATGCTGGCCTTCCCGGCTTTGCGAGTATTTGAGCTGCGGTATATCGGTCGCTAAGTGAGTGTGGGAGATAATGAAGAGAAATCTGGGGTTGGATATACCGCTGTTAGGTCAAAGAGTATATAGTGAGGCAAGTATAAAGAGTGTGGAATGATTCAAGCTGCACAGAGCCCTATAATTGTTAAAGTACATTCATACCTTGCGATATTCGTGTGGCTTCGGTTAATGGTCGAATAAAAAATTTCATCTGCATGATTGGGCACTTGTGCCTCAATGGTTCTTCTGATCAACAATACCTGCATTATGGTTGGTCGATCAGCTGCGCCTTGGAGAAAGGCATCTGCATGGTGCATACTCCGTATATCCGAGGACCCCGGTCCGCGGTCGCTTCACAAGTGTAGATCTATGCTCTTAGACTTTGCTCATTACTTAGAAATTGACCAAATAGTCCTCATACCAGGTTTTATTTAGCTGTAGTAATAAATATCAAAGAAATATCCTCCATTTCTTTGTTTGTGAGCTATCTATGGATGCCGATCCCTTCCTAAAGCTGCACAATTTCGAGACTATCCCGACTTCAGCTTTCCCTTCGACTTCAACTTCAACCTCAACCTCAACCTGAGGACTGCGGGCACAGTTTTCTCCCACGGATTTCAGTCGCATTCAATATGAACTTTATCATGGATGACACCAGTATGGTGTCTTCGGGATCACTTCTATCAGAGGCAGTTGGAGCTCTCGCATCCCCGCACAAGCTGCTCACCTCCATGCTATGTCTCCTGATCGCCTGGCCAGTAGTAGCAAGCAGCATACGCAACCGACGCGCGCGAAACCTCGTAGAGAACTATCCATACCCAAACCGGGCTTCGATGTCGCAAATGACCGACGAACACGCCTTCCAAATCCAAAAACAAGTCGCCCAACTAGAATTCCCCTTCATGTTCATCAAGTCCCTTCAGTTCGCCTTGTTCAGGGTATGACACCTCAACCCCAAACAGACAATCCAAAGTTGGATGGTTCTAGGTATCCAAAATGCTGATTTTTCAAAAAGACCTACGGCATCCCCACAATTTCAGCCCTTCTAACAAAAACAACCCAATTCTCCAACCCAGAAACATCGCTCAAGCGCTACACAGATACAAGCGCTCTCGTCCAAGAAATGGTTGGCAACGATCCAACATCTCAGCGCGCTTTCCTCGGTCTCGCGCGTACCAGATATCTCCATCGCGGGTATAGATCCTCTGGCCAGATCCTCGAAGAGGATATGCTCTACACGCTAGGCTTATTCGCTCTGCAGCCTATCCGATTCATTGACCGGTTTGAATGGCGTACTTTGAACGAAATGGAACGGTGCGCTATTGGGACTTTCTGGAAGAGTGCCGGTGATGCTCTTGATATCAGTTACGATCCATTGCCTTCTGGGAAGAGTGAGAGTGGATTCCGTGATGGGATTCAGTGGCTTGAAGAGATGGAGGAGTGGTGTGAAGAGTATGAGGCTCGCTGTATGCTTCCTGATGTTAAGAATCGTGAGGTTGCGGATCAGACAACTGCTGTGCTTGTTTATATGCTTCCGACATTCATGCATCCTGTGGGACTGCAGTTCGTTTCGTTCATGATGGATGAGAGGCTGAGGAAGGCTATGCTGTGAGTTTTATACTTTCCCCTGTCCACTCTGTCGTTATTTGGTCTATCCTTGGATATGTATGGGGATGTCAATCCAGCAACTAACAGCCAACGAAAAGTTATGACCCTCCCACACCGTTCTGGAGTACGGTCTTCTCAATCCTTTTGACAACCCGCAAACTATTCCTCCGCCACTTGATGCCTCCCAGACCAAACTTCCTGCGCTACCAATCATTCACCGAAGAGCCAGACGAGGATGAGCGATTCTTCCTGACGAAATGGGAAGCAGCGCCGTACTATGTGAAGCCGACTCTCTGGAACCGCTGGGGTCCGACGGCATGGTTGACCTGGGCTCTTGGAAGACCTGTTCCTGGAGACGAAGGTGATAAGTACTCGCCTACCGGGTATAGCATTTCGGATCTCGGGCCGAAGGGGCTTGAAGGGAAGGGAAAGAAGGAGCTAGAGGATTTCTTGGCTCAGATGAAGGATTATCGGACTGGAAAGTGTCCTTTCCATTGAGTTTGTCAGTATGTCTATCTAAATTGTGACAAACCCCGAGGTACCCAGGTCGAAGAGACAGACCCCTGAAGGATGAGAAAAAGGATCATAGGACAAACAGACAAGTATCAACCAACAAACACTTCTCAAATGCTCCTAGGATCCAACAACGGATCAGTAATCGCACACCCCCTAGCCCTAACCCAAACATCAACCACCTTCGCCGCATCCCCATCCGCATCAGAATCAACAACAAAATACCACCCATAATAAGCCCCTGTAACACAAGAATGATTAGGGAAGATCTTAACAACCTGCCCAACGCTCAATGGAATCTTCTCCCGCTCAGAACCACCCTCCCAACCAAGAATAGCATGCTCCTGGCTAATCCTCTTCACAATCAACCTCCCACCTTCACCTCCATCCCCACCACTCCTCTCCCAAGAAGAAACAACCCCCCAACCCTCATACCCAGCACAAGGCTCCCGACCCAACGCAAGCGTCCCGGCAGCAACAAGAACCTCAGCAGTATCCCTCTCATCATTATACACAGAACAAACCTCCGCAAGAACCGACAGCACAACATCACGCTCAACCCCGCGCCGCCCAACAACAGCATGTGTACAAACCTGCTGCATATCCAAAATAGGATAAACACCCGCATGCAATTCAACAGAAACATCACTCCCACTCCCACTCAACAATTCCTTCAATTCAGCCGCCTCCCCACAAGACTCATCCCCCTGCATCAAATTCTGCGAGGAAACAACCTGCGGCGTGGCTCCCACACTCAACACCAATTTTCTCCCCTTTTCCTCCAATTGCGGGAGGAGAGATGTGTTGACACGTAATGCCTCCCTCAACCCCCGAATCTCAATAGATAAAGCCTTCATCGCCTCTTGAGGCGTCGAACCATTATAGCTGAGACTATTGCGCGAATATAGTCCCAATAAATTTACCGTGCCCTGTGCCTCGGCCTCCGCAATCTTCTCCAGGAGACCATTCTTATTCAAAGCTGAAGGCGGTAATCCGGCACGGTGATACCCCGTATCAACCTTGACGAAGATATGAACGGCTTTGCCTGCTTCCCTGGACAGGCTTTCTAGGTAAGGGAGCTGGTCTGGGTGGTCGATCATTAGGGAGAGGGTTGCTTTTCCTTGGTTTTGAGATAGTTCTTTTGAGATTTTGATTAGGCGCGGGATTTGCCCTGGGATTAAAGGGATGCCGTAGAGGATGTTTGTTTCTTTTGTTTTTTGGAGGGTTTGCATGAGTGGGATCATTGTTTCGATTTCCAGAGGGGTTGAGGCTATGAAATTTGCTGTTTTGGTGTTTTTTATTTGGAGGGCGGCTATTTCGGGGGTTTGGGTTTGTTAGGTGGGATGTTTGGGGTTGAGATGGGAGTTGGGGTTGGAGTTGTTTACCTTGTGGGTTTTGGTATGCGCTCTAAAGCCGACATTGAGGGCTTTTACTGTCTGTAACATTGTCTCGCAGTGGCGGCGGATTATCGCTACGTCCAGGACTGCTGCTGGTTTGGGTACCTCGTTGATTCCTTTGCCTATGTAGAACTGTTGCAATTGTGCCTGAGTCGGAAGGGAAGCCATGGTGAAGACTTGAGCGAGGACGTGAATGGAAGAAGTGAAGAAGTGAAGAAGTGAGCATGAGGGGAGGTCAAGTCGAAGTACTCATAGTTTTGTGGGGCAGAGGTCAACGCCGCGGTGAACGCCGCGGTCAGATCTACACACCGCAGACAAAAGAATAGTAAAGAATGAAAGTAAAGAACATATTCAGAGAATTTTGAATTGGACAATTAAGAAGGGGGAAAAAAAGAGTATGCTAAGTGGCATCCGTGTGTACGCCTTGAAAGAAAAAAAAAAAAAAAAAAGACCAAAAGGCCAGCCAAACCAGGCCAAACCAGGCCTAACCAGCATGCAAGTGATAGTAAGAGTCCCAAGCGGAGTCTATGCATAGTTTTGAACAGCCAAAATTGTTGCGCCAAGCCCTTCCGTACTCCGAAAAACAAGTCAAGTCAAGTTGACGACAAAGAGAGGAAAAGAGAAATTACAGGTCCAAGGCGGGAATGAGGGAGGATAGGAGGATAAAGATAGGTAGGAGGGGGGGGAAGTATGATTAGCTCAATCGGGTAGTGTTTACACCTGCGACTGGCTGTGACTAGATCTCGACCGCTGAGACAGCGAGCGACGACCACGGCTAGAAGGAGCCCGTTCCGGCGGCGCATGTTCAAAGAACGGAGTAAGATCCGGATTCTGACTAGGCGGGATTTTGGAGGTGGCAGAGTATTCATTCAAGAGCTGGTCATTGGCATCTGTATCGGGATGCACTTCAATGCCAGGCTCTCTGTCCAAACCACCATGGGGCCCACCCGTAGTTGGAAAAGTGATCGAGTCAGCTTCGCCATGTCCACGCTCGATAGGAGACCATCCTGCAATACTGCCTGCAACGATACCGGCCATTGCGGCGGCGGGGCCGAAGGTCGAGTTTGAGCGGGAGCGGGTGTTGCGTCTGGAGCGGGACTCTGGGGTGAGGGGTTGCGGTGTTGGGCTGCCATTGTCGTTGTCGCCGTTTGGTGTTGGGGGAGACGAGGATGAGTCTCTGGAACGGGAGCCACTGCGGGACCGGGGGAGGAGTTCCTGGGGGTGTTGCAGCTTGTGGCGTATGTGGCGGAGACGGCCGCCGCGGACGCGCTTGATGAATGCGAGTTGGTCACGAATTTCTTCCAGGGCTGGGTTCCATTCGTAGTGGCGGTCTTCGTCAGAGACGACTAGTTCGGGGCTCTTGTTGCGGGACCAGAAGTGGGGGATAAGTCGGCTGATGAATTCGTCTGGAATCAGACGGATAATCACGGCGATGGGGAGAGAGATGGCGCCAAGGACGAGACTGACGGCCCACTGGGAGCCTTGGTCGAGTCGCTTGACAGAGAAGGCGGCGCCACCGACGAAGATGATTAGGACTTGGCCTCCGATGATGATCAGCTGGATACCGATGAACCATTTGTTTTTCCAGACACGCTCCATAATGTTGAAGTTGTTGTCAATGCGACGGGAATTGTACTGGTTGAAAATCTGCATGAAGACGAAGGTGTTGAAAACCACAGTCTGCATATGGTCATGATCCCAAGAGAAAATCGTGTCTCCAGCAAAGTTCAGAACGAACGTCACAACAAGTTGGTAGATGGACTGTCCGATGATCATCTTCCACATGGTCAGAGTAATAAGCGGGTCGGATTTCGATTCCGGTCTGCGGTCGAGCACAGTCGGTGTTGGAGGATCCGTAGCCAAAGCAAGAGCAGCAAAAGTATCCATAATCAAGTTAACCCACAACAGCTGGACTGCACTAAGCACGGAATCCTCATTGTCGCTAGCAACAGCAGAGACGAATGTAAGGATAACAGCAGTGATGTTAACAGTAATCTGGAACTGAAGGAACTTCTTGACAGCATCGCTGACAGTACGACCCCAAGCCATGGCCTTGACGATAGAAGCAAAGTTATCATCCATGAGAATAATATCAGAGGCCTCCTTGGCAACTTCAGTACCAGTGATACCCATAGCAAAACCGACATCGGCATTCTTGAGAGCTTGAGCATCGTTGGTTCCATCACCAGTAACGGCAACAGTCTCGCCAAGTTTCTTGAGCTGGTTAACCAGAATCTTCTTATCCTCTGGACTGGACCGGGCGATGACCTGGAGTCTGGGAATGATCTGATTCATTTGGCGCGTGCTCAGCTTGCGGAACTTGGGTCCTTCAATTGCGATACCGCCAGACGTGTAGATACCACACTCCTGGGCAATAGCCTTGGCAGTCATGATGTTGTCACCAGTGACCATGCGGACAAACACACCAGCACGCTGGCATCTGTGCACGGCCTCGGAGACACCTGCTCGGAGAGGATCCTGAATACCATAGATACCTAGCACTGCCATATCCTTGAAGATAGGTTCAAAGAGAGCCTGGTTACGGTCGGTTTCCGAGGTCGGGGCTCCACGAGGTGGCCATTGCTCGAAGTCACGGTAAACAAGGGCAATGCAGCGGAGAGAACGAGAGGCGTAGTTGGTCATGATGGTATCCAAGGTAGTCTTGTTCTCCTCCGAGAGAGGAGCCTCGGACAGAGTATCAGTAGGATCACGGACGATGCGAGTCGAGTGAGAGATCAGGATTTCAGCAGCGCCCTTGACGAGCATTCGGTATTTGCCATTCGCCAGCTGCATCACTACTGCCATGCATTTCCGTCCAGAATCGAATGGGTACATCTGCACCATCTTGCCATTTGCTTTGAATTCGCCAAGAACCCCCATTCCAAGGTAGTCTCTGGCAAAAGTCAAGAGAGCGGTCTCTGTCTTGGAACCAATAAATGTCTTCACACCTTCAACCTCGCCTTCGAAGGCGGTGGAGTTGTAGACAATCGACTGAAGTAAAACATCTTTCACAGAATCAGACAGCGTAGACACAAACTCTTGAGCGGAAATCTCAGAGGAGTCCTCCGGTGAAACACCCGAGTACTTTCCAAAGCGCGACGAAGTACCCAATGTTGCAGCTACTGCCGTCATTTTATTTTCCGTCAAAGTTCCCGTTTTATCAGAACAAATCGTGGTGGCACCTCCCATAGTTTCACAAGCTTTGAGGAAGCGAACCAAATTGTTGTCCTTGATCATTCGAGTTGTTGCAAAGGCGAGAGCGAGCGTGACAGCCAGTGGCAACCCCTCCGGCACAGCAACGACGACGATAGTAACGGCGACAATGAAAATTTGTAAGAAGGCTTGACCCTTGGCATCTGCACCGCCTTCGATATCCTTGAGTCGGACCAGAAATTTGATGAACAGAACCACGAAGAGCAAGAGACCAGAAGCGAGACCAAGTTTGGCGATATACTCAGCCAACACGTTGAGCTTAGTTTGCAAAGGAGTTGTCTCGCCCTCCTCTTGGAGGGACATCATTGTCCGACCATGAGTCGAGTTCGTTCCAGTAGCAGTAACCAAGAAGGTACCAACGCCTTCAGACACCTTGGCACCGGAGATGATGAAAGGATCCTTCTTTTTCAAATTTTCGTGGTGTTCAATCATCCGATACACTTCTTCGCCAGGAGTCTTTCGTAGAACGTCAGACTCACCAGTTGCCGAGGATTCGTCACACTTGAGATCATGACCTTCGATCAAAATGCCGTCGACGGGGACCATATCACCCGGTTCCAAAAGCATCACATCGCCAACCAAAACATTGTGAATCGAGATTTCTTCGATTTTGCCTGATCGGGTGACCTTAACCTGCCGATTCTCCTTCTTCTTGTTGAGTTTCGCGAATTGCCGCTCCTTTTGCCAATCGTTGGCAGCGCCAACAGTGACAACAATAATGATAGCCACCAAAATGGCCAGACCTTCCACCCATTCAACACCCGGTTCATCGGGATTAGCTGGATGAAGCGACTGCGGAATACCCACAGCAAGGGAGATAACAGCCGCAACAGTCAACAAGATCAAGACCTTGTCATTGTACGCAATCCAAGCAAGCTCCCAGATAGACTTCAATTTCCGCTCTGGCAGCTTATTATCACCGAATATGCGTCGTCGATCGACATGATCCTCACCACCAGCCGTTACAACCGAACCCTCGGTAACAGCCGGTGGTGTCTGAGTCGACGAAAGATATTTGGGCGTCTGCTCAGGTGAGACCGCGGTGTCGAAGCTAACCGAGCCGTCCAGGATTGTCTCATCCACGCTCAGCCCACTCCGGACATCAGTCCGCAGCCCCTTTTCCAGACCGCGCAAGCCACCCAGCGCACGGAAGGCGCCAAAGCTCTTCGGATTGAGCAGCTTGTTCAGCTGGCCTGGTGAGAAAGCAAACTTGTTATCTTCGACCTCGAACTCGGATTCGCGGCCGGGGTCTGGGTTCAGCGCGTCTTCCTCGTCGACACTGTGGTTCTTGATCAGGTCCGCCCGTGAACCTTGCGATGTGGAAGTCACATAGGTCTCGCCGCCGTACGTGCTCGATGTCTGGCTTGTGTCTTCTGACTCGAGGGAGTTGCCTCGGGACCGGGCTCCGGGCACGGAGAGGAAGTTCGAGTGTGTCTCGGGCACCTTGGTCTTGGGCGAGGAGATGTTGTGTGGGGATGTTGGGCGATTCTCGGGATCTCGACCTTCGGACGAGGCATTCGAGCGGAGGGAGGCTGGAGACCTCATGTCTGTGGGAGAGACGCTGCCGTTATTTAACAGGGCGCTTGTGTCGCTGTGAGCATTCTCCGTGTAGGTCTGGATGGAGGGATGAGCTCCGGCGACATGAGCTGGGGGTTGGAAGGGATCCGGGGAGTTCACGGCCGAGGTATCTATTGTGATTGTTGGCGCGCGCTCTCGACGTAGGGGAGCCGACTGCTGGGTCGGCTCGTCGGGGCGTGAATCGGACATAGTTTCAATCCGAGCGCGGTTCACGCGACAGTGGAGAAGTTGATAGGCTCATAGATGGGATAAGCTAGAGCCCGTAAGGGGAGTGTACAGTAGAGTCGAGAGTGTCAAGAGGTAAGTAAGGAAAGGAAAGGAGATATGACACCCCTGTGGTCCACCTTGGGTCTCGAACTAAGATTCATCACTTTATCCTCCCGCATCTCCACAGCACAGCCCCAGACAGATACTACGTAGTGGACAGTAATAGCTAGTACATCACAATTATTATCTGGATATTTAGTATCATTATTATCCTAGTGATGCCCTTGTTTACCTCTTTCACTACCTACAGAGTTTTCCTACCTATGTGGCATTGTTTGCCGAATGGCAAATACCAAGCTCTATAGCGCCTGCACTGCCTCACTCTGCCAAGCCTCCAATAGGGGCCAATTAAATTACGGGGACTAATGATTAATGTCAATTATATGAAGTCTAGCCTATGCACTTTTCGCATTCTACGCTAGTCACATTAACGGTTCAAGTGGTGACGTTTCCCCTAGATCGACCGATGATGCTCAAAACTTCATGTAACCTCGAGCAACGAACGTTAACTTAGTTACCGAATCAGTTACATATATGTCACCGGAAAGACCCCCGACATGGTCAATTCCTAGAAATAAAAGTGGCAGATAATAATTAGCTTGGTTAAAGCTTGATATCTACAAACTTAACAAGATCAACCCCAAAAACAAGTTGTAAGTTACGCCGTAAGTAGAGTAGAAGTACATGTAGCGCAAATCTGATATCATCACTCCATCTCCCCCCCCCCCATCTTTTTACACAGCCACGCAACCCACCCAAAACTTAGACCTCATCCACAACACATCATCCAAACACATCACCTAAACAGATCATCGAAAGATCCATATCCAAACCCAAACATGTCCACGTCCACGCCCAAACCCATGTACGGCCTCACCGCCGTCCCAGCAACCCCCAACACCCTACTAACAAATAAACGACCAACCCAACCCCCAAGCCCAACCAGCGTCCAGCAAACCCCAATCCCAAACACCCCACTAGCCCAACGCATAAACAGCTACGCGCACCACCATCTCCCAGAGGAAACATATAACCACTCTCTCCGGGTGTACCACTACGGCCAAGCAATCAAAGCCTACCGGTTCCCGGCATCTCAATTCCCAGAATGGCATTTCGACGACGAGACGTATTTCCTAGCGTGCGTGTTGCATGATATCGGGACCACCAGGGAGAATCTAAGGGCTACGAGGTTGAGTTTTGAGTTTTATGGGGGGTTGCTTGCTTTAAGAGTTTTGCAGGATGTTAATGCCACTCATTCTCATTCTCATGCCCATTCCCATGCTGGTGTGAATGCAGGTGCGGACAGTGATGAGGACAAGGTGGAGATCCGAACTGGAACTGGGATCGGGGTTGGTGCCAGCAGTGTCGGTGGTCCTGCTGCAACGACAACCGCAACTAATGCCAATGCCGCGGCGCCGCGTGAACAAGCTGAGAGTGTGGCGGAAGCCATTATTCGGCATCAGGATTTGTGCCATGTAGGCAAGATGACGGCTGTGGGACAACTATTGCAGTTGGCGACGATCTTTGGTAAGTTGTCAATAATTTGTGTTGCATATCTTCTCCTTTTTCTTGCCGGTTTATGGTTTTGGCCAAGATGTGGCTTGGGAGGTTGTTTATTGTTTGACGGGATATGTACTCCGTGTATCCATATTTGTTTGATACGTCATATTCTATGGAGTACTCTGCTAACCTGCTACCTTACTGTACTGCATGGTTCCCGTCTTTCGAAACTTCGCCCTTAACTTATCCTTGTCATGTTTTGATCTGTGCGCTGATCTTCTCATCTTTCGCTTTAGATAATACTGGCGCCTATGCTGATCTCGTTCATGCTGATACCATCAAGGATGTCTGTGCGCATTTCCCAAGGATGAAGTGGAGTCGTTGTTTTGTTGCTGCTGTTCAACAGGAGATTGAGTTGAAGCCTTGGGCTCATAGTACTGCTTTGGGTGAGGAGTTCGAGCAAAAAGTGCTTGGTAATAGGTTGATGGAGCCTTATGAGTGATCTGATCTATTGAGAGAGCGTCTCCTAGGTTTGTGATTTAAGTATGTTTATGTTGCAACTGATCGACAGGGAAGCTAATGACGCATGATACCGATACTTTACCAAATTGACGAATTGTGGAAAACAATCCACTCAACGTAAATCTCAGATTCAGGACTGTCATGATTGTCGAATGTAAAACCGGCCCTCCTATTCATTCATTTGATGGATCCATTTCAGCCTCCGTAAAACAGACAAGCCATGCTAATGTACACAACATATTGCACCCGCTCACATCTCCTGGAGATTATGAAGCCGGGTTTCACCCTCCTTCTTGGGGATCTCAACATCCCAGATCTTCAATTCCTGGCCCTTCTCAAAGTGGGGATCCCTCTTCTTATTGGACAGCTGGAACTCGAGGTTCCGGTTGACCATCGCCTTACTGGACAATGCCAGTGCATCAACGAGCTCAGCCATGCGCCGGGACTTGGTGAAGGCATTTGTCAGGTGCTTGAAGTTGGCCACCCAGACCGATACGATCATGCATTGGGTCAGTAGGTCGTGCCTCTCTAGACAGTGGCTGGCATAGTGCATGGCGTTGTGGTAGTCGAGGACTAGTTCTGGGAGGTAGGTGGTTCGGATTTGATCGTAGTCTTTTTCTTCGTCGGCATCGGTAGATGTGATCAGCCAGTCGTCGTTGACTACTGCTCCCAAATACTCTTCCATGGCTCCGACACACTCATGCATTTCATCAGTCATGTCGGTAACGGCACCTGAGTCACGGCGACGTTTGGTCCTGCGCTGATTAGATTTGTATTGCATTAATATGGGAGAGAACTTACTTGGAGATCTGCTCGTGGATCTGAGCAAATTGTTCCACTGTATCGAATCCGAGGGTCAAGACCTCCAGATCCGACATCCGTTGGCATTGGTACCATGCTGCCACTAGTCCAAAGTTGCTGGAGTTGGAGATGCTGCGTCGGTGAAGACTGTTCAAACTGTTCCTCTTCTTAGATGGACTGGTTGGTGTGGGCGCCTCAACAAGGTTCTCTTGTGGGGGGATGGAAATGATATCGGAGCCGAACTTCTCAATCGAAATATCAGACAATCGCATACGGAGACTCAGCTCGCGAGCAGCGGCAAGCTTATCAGCAACTAGAAAGTGTCAGTCAGTTGGATTTGAGAGAGAGAATGATAAAACATACCAAAGAACTTGCGATATAGCCAAGCGCCGAGCTCACAAATCTTGTCCCATTGACCGTCAACGACACGGAACCACTCCAGACAGCGGATCATCTTCTCATCTTCATCGGCAACAGAGGTACCAATCAAATCGGTCTTTGGTGACACCAGCGCCCGAAGACCATCAGGTCGTCGCACCACTCGTGAATATCCTGTAACCTCTCTGGAGTGATCGATAGTGGGAACATTAGCACTCAACCACTTCCATTGAACCTCAAGAACGGCTTCAACGTCGATTCCATATCTACGCATAAGTCTGACCTGCTGCATTTTCTCTTCGGGGTCGATGATCTCAATGAGAATCTTAGAGAAGACACTGTTTGCCATCTCAGTAGGAAGAAGAGACACGTAAAGTGGAATGAGGTCGAAGAGGCACTTTTCTTCCAGGATGGCAATGTATCCAGCAATGATCACTGATGCCTGCTCGAAGAAATGGGTGTCTGCACGAGCATAGGTCATCGAGCTGGCCACGATGTAGGTATGTGTGGCAATCTTGAGAGCCTCCTCGTCATCGGCAGCAATGAGGTATGATTCATCCACAGGGCTATGCGCAAGCTCTGGAACAATGGATGCCTTGCCAAATTTGGCAATGCTTAGCTGCGAGACAGCTTGAGCGAGCGCCGGGAAGAAAGAGTCGTAACCCTTGCTGAGAATGGCGGCTTGGATGTTACGGAACGGATTGCGCGCTTCACCGCTGACTCGCTCAACGCCTCTGAGGTAAGCAAAGAACTTTTGAAGTTCAGCATGACCAGGCGCTTCTGGTGTGAACACTACAGGGGTGTTAGGCGCGAGACTGAGTTTGCGCTGGAACTGTGTGCAGAATCCCCGGTAGCGTTGGAGCACAACACTGTTGAAGTGTACGTAGAGATGGTCGTCCCAGCTGCGGCAGACACTCGAGGCAGCATCAGTCTCGCCAGACAGTAGTGAATAGACTGCCCGCTGGAAGTCATCGGTATTAGGGCTGCGTGTCAGGGCTGCGCAAGCGGTGCGCCAGGAATCGTGTGCCCGACTGTTCATCAGTCGCGTGTGACTATCATTGGTGGGGAATCGAGTCGTCTTGGGCGCATTATCATCCACGCTAGAGCCACACAGGCTGACAGCCCTCCATCCTTCCAGACGGCCCTCTGCCCATTCACGAATCTTTGTCCAGTTCTCGCCTTGTCTCAGCATCTTCCAACAAGTCAGCCAGGTGGCGCGTTCGTAGATCTCGTCCTGCGTTTCCAAGCCGCGCTTCTGTCGAGTAAGAGCATCGGGATCGAGTTGTGTGACCAGTGGCTTCTGTTCGTCGGTGCTTAAAAGCGAGCGGGAGATACCCGGGTCAGTCGACTCAAGAGGTTGTGGCCATGCGCGCAGTCGCTTATGACCCTTGATCGCCTCTTTAGTGTAAAGCCATCCGTGCGACCATAGTCCCTGGCCCCGTTCCGAGCGCTCCTCCATTTGCGCGATCAAATTATCGAAATCCTGTGTACTAGTCTTGGAGGTCTCCTCTAGCCATCGCATAGCAACAACACATTCAAGACCATACTGATCGGCGTTCAAGAACTCCTCCCAGATCTCGCGATCAGATGAGTAGCGGTGGAGATTCTGAAATGCTGTCTGGCGGCCTTCCTTGAAGCTAGCGCGACTGGCGGGATCATCGATACTGATCAGGTTGAGCAGAAGACGCCAGGTATCAACCTCGAGTTGCAATCGCTGGATTTGCTCATGGGATTTTATATCGCTTGCGCGATAGCTCGCCCGGTGTCGGTTGGCAGTTTGTTGTGACTGTATTTCCTTGATGGCGTTTTTCGCAAGATCGCGGTAGCTCTCCACGAGCTTGTAGGCTGCCTGGACATTCTGAAAATCGTCGGTAGTATTTTTGCGCTTAAATTGATCGAGCTTGTCGGCGAATGCTTCAATTTGACGGGTGACGCGGTCGGCGGTTCGGCGAAGGGGATGCAGTGCTTCCTGAGCACCCGCGGCTGTAAACAGCGGGGTATCTGAGATCCATCAGTGGATGTTGTTCGAAAGTCGATGTTCGAACCAACCTTGTCCCTTGCCCGGAATTTCGTAAACAGACTGCAGCGCAGGCTCTGGCTCCGACTCCTCGGAGCCGGTCTCCGATTCCTCCTCATTCACGCCATCCATATCTTCATCCATGTCCTCATCCTGGTCTTCAGATGTTGGTTCTTCATCTTCTGATCCTTCATTCTCATCATAAGATTCACTCTGATCCTCTTCCTCAACACTGATGATCTCATTTTGCCTAGGAGGAGGCAATGCCTAGGGAGATTAGCGGAGTCGAAGAAAAAAAGAAATGCGACATACCTGTGAAAACAGGTTACTCCCTGACGAAGCAGTACGAGCTGAACGAGTTAAGGGCGCCATGATGAGAGGCGTGACAAGGGAGAGAGAAGCTCTGAGGAATTGCCGTGTGTTTGTCTCTTTTGGCGCGTTGGCAGGCTAACCCCAATGTGGCCTAGCGCCAAATGAGATCCTATTTCACCGAATTTTCTCATCCGCAATTCCTCTTCTTCTTTTTTCTTCCACAAATGTCATTAGGCTTTCATTAGAGTCTCGGAACGAAAGCTCAATTTTCGTTCAGGTCCTTGAGGCCTCTCTGCGTGCTCAAGATTGTCTTAGAACAATTGCAGTTCTTCAATTAGCCTGGTTTCCTCCATATGGAAACTCAGACCGCAAGGGAATTGTGACATGCCTGTGGAGGCAATTCGTATGTACATTGTAGTTTAATAGGGATCTATTTCTTGCTCTCTGTTGCCTGTGCTCGCTGTCTCATCTTCAGACGCAGCAAATTGGCCTTGGGACAGCTGACGGTAGACGCCTGGTCTCCTCGTTCCTGGTAAAAGGCATTGCAGCATTCGTATAAGGCGTCGATTTGTGCCTGGCACTTGTCCTCGTTAAACGAATTTTTGGTCAAGCAATCTAGCTCGGGTTAGAGACTGTCGTCATGATCAATTAGGTTACAATTACCTTGAATGGCGCACTGATATTGTTAGCAAGGCCAGGATATCAAAGGCTTCAGGAGACATACAGCGCGTGGGTGACAGGGCTGGTCATGAGACAGATCTTGTTTAAGGTTCCCCTGCAGCTTCTTAGTATCTATCCGAGAATTCCCAGCAGTATCCCATACCATAATGCAGAGCTTCAAAGACAAATGTACTATGGACGAAGAAGACGTGTGAGCGGAATCCCTACGGCAAAATAGCGTCACCGCTTTAAAACCGTGGGGCGAGGCGCTATTCTGCCGCTGATCTCTCTCTCTCTCTCTCTCTCTCTCTCTCTCTCTCTTCTCTCCAACTTTAACTTGACTTCTTCACCGCCGTCCACTGCTCCAGTTTATCCAGTAAGTTCTTCGTCTTCCATCTCCTCATCTCATATCTGTTTGGAATCTATTCTAACCATCTTCTGGCTCTCTAGACAGACTCATTTTCAAGCTCCCGCACCAATTTCTTTCCACAAGCATTACCACGAAGGTGAGCCTCTTAGCCTGTCGCCACATCGCGTCTGTGAAGTCAGTCATCTAACAGTGTTCAGCCAAAATGTCTGACAAGGAAAGCGCACCACCCACTGAGCACCTGAATATCAAGGTCACGGACAACAACAATGAGGTCTTCTTCAAGATCAAGCGGACCACCCAGCTTAAGAAGCTGATGGATGCGTTTTGCGAGCGCCAGGGAAAGCAAATTTCTACCGTGCGTTTCCTATTTGACGGTACCCGTGTCCGTCCTGAGGATTCTCCCGATACTGTATGTCCTTCTTTCTTTGCCCTGAAGGTTTTGAATTTCTTGGGCTAAACCATTGCAATAGCTCGATATGGCCGACGGAGATACCCTGGAAGTCCACCAGGAGCAAATTGGAGGATGCTAAACGTCTCGCTCCGTCCACGCTCGAGTCGCCAGTATTCGCTTGATACTGATATTCCCACACACGTGATGGGAGGGTGGCAGAGTTGTTGTGGGTTCTGATAGAAATTTCATTCATGGCCCAGGCGAGGGAGTTCATATGGCTTGTTTTATGAGACACGAATTTACAAAAGTCGCTCAATCTTTAGATTGCGGTGCAACTTTACTTACCTTGATCGCCTCCGGATCTATTATATAGATCACCACGTAGGTTCCCAGGTCAACCCAGATTACCTCGCCTTTGGTCAATTTCAGGCTATCACACGACCAAGGGGAGTAGCAATGGGAATTGTGTATGCCGGGCTTTCCTTTCCCATTCATTCAGAGAGGGGCCAATGGCATGTATCAATCGCAGCCTGGATGCTTTCCATGCTCAGTACAAATTTTCTGGGTTGTATTGACCAAATTTAACGCGCCACATCTATGTCGCGCTTATGCTTACGCGCTATCTGACTATCAGTCAATCGATTCCAGAGTCCAGAGCATAAGAGAATGAGCATGAGTATTAAGGCTTCCGCCCAGCTGGACAGAAAGATCTACCTACACACGGGACTCCACCACCAGAAAAACGAAACAACAAAGCGTTGCCCACCGAGCTCTCCAACGGACCAGCCAGGAAACCCACAAATAGGCAGTACACATCAATATAAACAGCCCAACCCCAACGAATACAGACACATATCAAGATTTCCAGTATAGACATCCCCAAAATCAAACTCAACTATCCCAAACAGCAAGCTTGGCCTTCTCATTCTCCTCATGGGCCTTAGCCTCCTCCTCCTTCTCCTTCTTCTTCCGTCGAATCTCCTGCTCCTTAACAGACCGATCATAAGCCCTCTGCTCCTCAGTCCTCTTCGGCGCCCGAATCCCCAACGCACCAGCAATCAACCGCGACGCAACAGCAGTCTGCTTCTCAGGCCGTCGAGCAGGTCCATCCCTTGCCGCAGGTGATGCTGCCCTAGCACTGGCAGCAGCCCATGGATTGGATGTTTGTGGGGATATAGGTGTTGGGGGCGGATCAAGAGGACCCTCTGTTGCGCTGAGAGTTGGCGAGAGAACGCCGTCCTCGCCGCGGGGTTGGGCATCTGATTCCGATTCCGATTCTGGTTCTGAGGCTGAGGCTGAGGCTGAATCTGCCTCGTCTTCCCAGGAGTCTGCGATGGGTTTCGCTTTCTTGGTGGTTGGTCTTTCTGTGCTGGGCTCTGTTGTCTTCGTTGTTGGGCGGGCGATGTCTGGAACCGGTCCCTTTTCGCCGATGGATAGGTTGCGGAGGGTGGATTGGAGCTCGGCGCTTGGATCGGACATGATGTATGGGATGTGTGGATTGGAATTGGTGTAGCAGGTGTGGAAATAGAAGTGGGAGGGAATTTTGAACGGAATTGTGGGAATGGAAGAATATATATAGATCGAGACAACTCGAAATAGAATATGGCGTCAGTGACATTCGTCGATCGTGGAGAAGGGCTAGACCACTTCGGGTGTTGGTGCCTGAGGAATCAACTCACCTCGGGGGTATACCTCGGGTCTATCATTCGGGACTTGTCTTGTGAAACACACTAATTGCTTAGCAGTTTGCCTGGAACAAGGCTGAAAATTGAGGTTCTGCAGGTCATCTCCCTTCGCCCTGTAATTTATTGAAATATGTTCCTTGTTGCCAAGGGTGTGGTGATCCTTGCTCGGGTTTCAGGGAGGCTTTTGTTCGAACGCCCTGTTCATAATTAGTGAAGTCTCTCTCAAAACAGGGCTTTATCCCGTTTCGATGGGTATGAAATTGAATGTGTTTCTTGCTCACATTCTCTGTGGCTTTTCTTTAAATCACCTACATCCACTGTCCTCTATGTAGAGCAGAATAAGATGGTAGAGGTTAGCCCCCTTCCTGTTGGAGGTCTTACTTTCCACTTCCTCAAAGCCATGTTGACTACTCGTGCTGCAACCCACGCTTGCAAAGAGGTGGTACCAGAATGTCCGGTTGAAGGAACGATTTACGGATATGCCCCGGATTATTCTACAACCGTCGAGTTCTGTGTCATATTCGCCATCTGCTGTCTGGTCCAGCTAGTTCAGATGTTTAGATGGCGTCTGTGGTCGTTCAGTGTTTCTGTTATTCTCGGGGCTTTGACTGAAGTGATCGGTGCGCTAATCTCATTTCCTTGTGTTAAGTTAGCAATGGAACCAGAGACTTACCAGACAACCAGGCTATTTCGGTCGTATACTCCTCAACCAGAATCCATACTCATCAATCGGGTTCCAAACGCAGATTGTCACGTTGACCCTCGCGCCCGCTTTCTGGTCTGCTGCTATATACCTGACGTTGAAGCATGAAGTGAATGTATTGGGACCGCAATATTCGCTTATACGAGCGAAATGGTATCCCTATATCTTCGTCACTTGCGATCTCATCTCTCTGGTTCTTCAGGGTGCTGGCGGTGGTATCTCAGCTACAGCAAAGACAACCAGAATGATTGATATGGGCAGCCATATCATGATGGCTGGGATTGTCTGGCAGGTAGTCACATTGACGTTCTTTGCAATGATGTCAGTCCTCTTCCTCTTGCGAATCAGAGGTGCTATGAAAGAGGAGTTGACTTTCGAGGCTCAGAGGGTTTGGAAAAGTTCAAAGTTCTGGTCGTTCTTCTGGGGTATTGCTATTGCATTCTCCACCACTTACGTCCGCTGCGTCTATCGGTGAGCCCTTGAATCCTTGAACAGCCTTTGGCAAATGGCACATACTGACTTTTCTGCAGTATTGTAGAGATGGCCGGTGGGTGGAAGAACGAAATCATGCAGGACGAGTTTAGTTTCACTCTTTTTGAGTCTGCGTAAGTCATGGCCTATTTGAGGTGGTTGCAGCAACGGAAACACTAATACTGTCGATTTTAGTATGTGTGTTGCCGCTGTAGTTGCACTTTGCATTGCACATCCCGGCTATCTTTTCAAGGAGATGCGTAGAGACCATGATGAGGAATCTGTGGTGGATCTAAAGGAGATAAATTATAGGGAGAAGGAAATTAGTTGATGATACTGCTATGTACGACCCGATTTGATGAACTGATAGAGGCACTTGACATAGGCCAAACAGATGCCATCGTAGGGCGAAAACAATGTATGAAATGTGGAATTCGCTTTGCTTTCCAACACCATACTTTTTTTCAAGTGGCACCTCTGATCTTCATTCCCTTTATTGCCAAAGATATGAGGAAAAAATTAAATACTCGAGCAGCAAAATTCCTCGCGGTGGCAGGAGTATAAAAAGTGCAAAAAAAGAAACTCTCCCTCGGGGAATCGAACCCCGGTCTCCCGCGCTTATCGGTGTTAATGACAAGCGGAAATCATCACCACTAGACCAAGGAAGACTGAATGACCGAGTTACTGCTCGACCACTTGGCTGGTTGATGGAATGCTCCGCCAATTTTAATATTATGTTCTCCTAAAGCCGATCGCATAACGCATCTCAGCACCACTAAATTTTGCTTCCTTTGTTAGCAAGATCGATAATATTGGCTGGATGGTCATAAAAACGGTTAAGCTAGCATCAATCATAATGAACTCAATGTATTATAGCTATCTTCTTGCTGTCTTTCTTTTGCTCTTTTTTTCTTGTATAAGATGTCGGATATATTTTTGGAACTAACATGGCAGAATTCTATACCACAACCAACGAACACCATCATGTACACAATTCTAAAATACCAACCCTACTCCTTTGCCAAAGCAACAACTTTCCTAGCAGCCTCCTCAAACCCATCAAAAGCATGTAAAGGAAGCCCACTCTCCGCAATCTAAAATCACCAGTTAGCAACAAGACAACCATGCACCAAGAGCCAACACATACCATCTTCTGCCCCAATTCCTCATTCGTACCACGCAACCGCACAACAACAGGAACCTTCATATTCAAATCCCGGAACGCCAAGATAATTCCGTCAGCAATCATATCACAGCGCGTTAATCCGCCGAAGATGTTGACGAAAATCGCTTTGACGCGTGTGTCAGAACAAATTACTCGAAATGACGACTTGACTGTTTCAGATGTGGCTTTGCCACCCGTGTCAAGGAAGTTGGCGCAGTGGCCTCCCTGGATTGTTAGGGCGTCTACTGTGTTCATGGCGAGGCCAGCTCCGTTCACTGAGATGTTGTTAGTTGACCGAACGTGGACCGGTGTGGCTGTGTGTAAAGGAGCAGGTGACTTACCTAGTGTGCCAACACTGCCTTCGCCTTCAAGCCTGTTTCTCTCTGTTAGTATATGTAGGTAGTTCCCATAATGTATCGACACACTTGATATAGACGATTCCATCCTTCTCAGCTTCAACTTCTTCCGGAACTTCTTCGGAAGTATTTCTCAGCTTGTGAATATCTGCCTGACGACCCGAGCTGCGATATGCCGCATCATCGAACCCAAATCGAGCACCGTGGACTTCCAAGGATCCATCAGAAGACCTACCAACCCGTGTCTCCAGGACGAAGGCTTCTTTCTCTTTATAGATTTCCCAAAGGGATTGAACTAAACCGGCAAGCTTCTCATTACCAGAAACCGATAGACCTAAATGGGAAGCAGCGTCGGCAATGATAGGGCTTCCATCAAACTTGGTTTGGGCATATGGAAAAGGAAACCTGCGCGACTTTGCCAGGTTAAATTCGGCAGTTGGAGATGCGATAATGCATGGCGACAAGGCTGTTCGATCGACAGCAATTGAAACAGAGATATCAGAGCCCGAGGCTGCCTCTTTGACCGAAACTGACTTTTCTTTGAGGAGATCAAATGCCTGGAACTGCTTGATGTATAGACTGCGTTTTTGGCTGGGGATGGGCCTCGAGACTAGGGTAACTCGTCTCATGGTGTGTAGACCTCGCTTCTGGGAGCCTGCTCCGGCGATTGACTGTGAAAATGTTAGTTAATCAACATCTCAAATGGCATCAATGCAGAAGAGGAAAGCATTTACACTCATCCCCGGGCGATTAGCCCGACTATTCAAGAGCACCTTCATCCCAGCACCAAACTTCTCAGGATGGTCAACCATTACAGCACCAGCACGCTCAAGCGCACGGTACTTAGTCTCAGCATCAGGTTCACCAGGTGCAGCCCAAGCCCCAGCATGCCCCATAATCCTTCCAGGGGGAGCCTCACGCCCACCCACAAGCGCCATAATAGGCCTGCCCAAACATCAGCAAACATCCCATACAACCAAAAGAAGAGAGAAGAAAAGAAAAGAAGGTTGAAACGTACTTCGGATCCACCACCCTCCCCCGATAGTCTTTAATCCACTCAGCAGCATCCAACTCCGCCGTCCCTCCAATCTCCCCAACGATAATAATCCCTTCAGTATCAGGATCATCCTCAAAAACCCTCAACCCATCAACGAAATTAGTTCCAGCAAGCACATCCCCACCCATACTAATACAAAGACTCTGACCCAGCCCGGCGCGCGTCGTCGAAGCAACAGTCTCGTAACTCAACGTGCCCGATTTAGCCACTATGCCTACATTACCCGGCGCGAAGCAGGGCAGTGGCTGGAATCCTATGCGGCATTTGCCTATGGCGGAGATTATGCCTGGGCAGTTGGCGCCTACGAGGCGGGTTTTGGATTGGGTGGCGAGGATTGAGTGGATCTGGTGATTTTTTAGATTGGATATCACAGCAAGGGGATGTTAGGGATGCGAGAGAGGAGGGGGGATACATACGCGCAGAATGTCATGTATGGGAACATGCTCCGCAACAGCAACGACAAGCGGAATCTCTGCTTCAATGGCTTCCTCGATTGCTTGGGCTGTTTGGGCGCCTGGGACGTAGATGGCTGAGGCGTCTGGTTTGGACTTTTCTTGGGCCTGTGAGACAGTGTTAGTTTATCGAACTCCAATACATGATACCATCCCACTTCGAATACCTCAATTCCAAAAACAAAGAATCAACATATCAAATAGAATAGAGTACTTAAGTGCAGCAAGGTGTGTTATACATACCACCCTAACAGACGGAAAAACCGGTAATCCCAAATGTTCACCCTCAACACCGGGCTTAACACCACCAACAATCTTAGTTCCCCATTCCAGGGATTCCTTGACGTTTGCTGTTGCTTGTTTTCCTGGTGTTGTGTTAGCACCTTATTCCGTGAGGTATACAGCGGGACGGGATTGGCATTAAATCGGATTTGAATGGGATATGATAATTACCTGTAAACCCCTGAAACAAAACCCTAGTATGCGCCCCGATTTTCAAATTAGACAATGTATCCGCGTAGCCCGTGACGCGGCGGGTGCTTGTGAAACTTCTTGTTAGACGCCTGGATGTGCGCCATGGTGTTGTGGGAGGGCGCTTTGGGAGGGAGTGGAGGGACATTGCCGATGGAGTCGAGTGCTGCTTTGTTATATTCAACTGGGTTATTTGGTCTTTACTGGGGTTTATGTATGCCGTATGCAATCGTTCATGTAGTGAGGTGAGGGGGATATGGGGTATGGGGTTAAGAAGGCTACTTGGACTAAAACGGCTAAGTCGGCTAAGCCGGTGTCGGAGGCTCCACTGTTTGCCGAGAGGGCTTGGGGGAATATTTGACAGTATTTGCTTTAGTTCTATCTGTTTCTTGTTGATTTAGGCGTATTATTTACCGTGTAGAAAAGTAATTCGGGTCAAGTTTACTCGGGGAGTCAAAGTACCAGTGAGGCTTGAATAGTAATAGATGCTGCTTCATATCTCTTCAAATCATAAGGTATCTAACATGAATATAGATGTGAATCGATATACCGAATGTCACTTCCACTAGGTTATCCACCACATCAATACTCATTTAGATGAAGCTTCTTGCCGACAAACCGTCTCCTAGCCGGCTTTTCACCACGCGATTCCCGTTCGGCATTAAGACCCTTCAAAGCATGAAGGAGCATACCGGCATCGAAGAAACCGTCTAGAAAAAAGAAACACAGTCAGTAAAAGTCCCACAAAGTCACCAGAAAAGAAGAAAACTTACATCCACCCATCCCATCATCCTCCATATACGCACTATCAGCCGCAGAAGTAGGCGTTTCAGCACCAGCCCGATCACCACCAGGACGAACAATCCTCCCGCGCCTGTTCGACTCAGCTTGCAAACCCTCAGCCAGGGCTTCGGTCTCACGAGCACGGCTAGTACGCGGACTTGTAGTCTTGCGATTAGTAGCGCGCAGCAATTTCCTTATCTCAAAGAGGTAAGATTCAAGTGTCTGCATAAGACGAGACGTCTGACGATGCTTAGAAGAAGCACAGAAAGAGATCGAATCATCTTTGATGATATAGCCGATTCCGAAGCCGTCGGCGGATGTTGGACCGAAGCCGAAGTGGCGCAGACACGGGTTTCCGCAGTTCGAGGTTGAGAGGATAGTATTGTTGATCTTGTCCCAGCCTGGGTCGCTGAAGATAGCCGGTGTAGGCGCTGTTGTTGTGCGGTAACGGGTGCTACTTCCGCTTGGTGAGGACATGCCATCGTCCGAGTAGGGTGGTTCGGAGAGCGGTTTCGGGGACTCTGGGCCTGGGGGCGAGGAGGCTTCGCCCGGGCTTGAGTAGCCGCCTGTTGAGCTTGCGTCTGGGAAGAGGCCTTCGTCGAAGGAGCGTTGCCAGAGGCAGTAGAGGGCGTAGAGATGGCGGTCTTGGCCTTGGCCTTTGGAGCATTCTTTTGTTACGGCCGTGTGCTTTTGACAGGCTGCGCGCAGGGAATCGACCTTTTGTTCAGCTGCGTTCTCGCCCCAGAAGGCTGTGACAAAGTCTACCACCTCTGGTGTGACGGTTCGTACTGCTTCTGTGCGACCGTGGAGGAACATCTTTGTCATGGCTGGTTCGTAAGTATTCTCGACTCGGCCGTAAAGACCGTAGTAGGCGGCTTGGAAGGCCATTTGGACAAAGGCATCGGGTGAGAAGCCCATCGAGGTAATGAAGTTCTTGCCAAAGCCTTCGAAGTCGAGGACCTGGAATTCGTGCTGGTAGAGAAGGTCGGAGAGGTGAGATTCAGCAAAGCGGAGAGCAATGTTGAGCTCAGGAGTCATGTCCCATTCAAGCTTGCGGGGTGTGGTGCTGACATTGCCGAAACTGCGTGGATCCCGCTTAGCTGGATCTGGGCTACTAGTTGCCCAGAGGCTTGGTGCTTGGCCGTTGATGGTTTTAGCGAAGCGCAAAATCGTGTCGGTGTACACATCACTGGCGAAGCGGAGAACAGTGTGTCCATCTACGCCAGTGTGCTCAAAGTTGATACCCGCGCTGCCGTTTTTGCACACTATGATTTGGAGCTTGTCATACCACCGGTTGGTGCAAGTTCCAACTTGAACTCCTTTAATCACCTCACTTGTACCGCAGAGCATGTTGGCACAGAGGGCAGCTGTGGTCTCTGGCTCCGTGTCATCAAGACACAGCATGAAGAGCGCGGTATCAACGATATTCAAGCACTCAGCGTTATTGGAGCTCGGATCCTTGGTCATGATATCCCGCAGCCCAGACCAAACTTTTCGGTTCTCCGTACTGAGAACGCCCAAAGCGCCCTTTGCCGCGTGATGAAGGGGTGTCTGGGCAGCATCTTCAATAATGGTCTGCAGATTAAGCGAGATATCCTTCTCACTCATAATCAAGTCACTGTTATCATCCAAGACGTCAAACCAGTAGAACTGGCCACGGCACATGACAGCTAAGTGCTTGGCCGAGGGATACTGGCTAATGACACAGCCATTCTCCGTGGGAAGACGAGCGGTTCCAAAAAGGCGCGAGTACTGATACATGCAGAGAGGAGTCCCTCGGACAGTATCAGGAGGCAACTCTTCCCGACGCACAGCCCTGACGAACGCCAAGGCCGAAATAACCAAAGAGGCAGCGCGAGTCACCTGGTGGTTTCTAGCGGGCGTCGGGTCATCTTCCAAAAGGAAGAATGGATTAAGGTTGAGAACAACAGCTGCGAACGTTAGATGATATCCTCATTCCAAGAAAAAAAAGAGCTCGTCTTACGATTATCAAAGTTCAAGTATGAATCATACCCTGTAAGGTATCAGCATCTGTCCCATATCAAACACGCACCAGCACTCACAGAACTGTTCAATATAACTAGTCTTCGACCCAGCATAAGTCTTCAACTTCTCCTGCAAGATTGGCCCATCATTCTTCAAGAAATCCTTCACAGCAGCCTTAGTATCTTCATGCTCCCGTGGACCCTGCAGCGCCTGCAGGGCATCAAGATGCCTGCGACAGGTATCTTCAAGATCAGGAATCGGAAGCTTGGGCAAAGAATCCTGGTTTGCAAAGGTCAAGCCCTGACTCTTAGAGCTGTGCAGTTCTGCAACCCCCGAAGAAGATTGCTTCGTCGAGACATTCGGCCTGACGACGGTGTGGCTCTGAGACTGGGCATCAGAGCCAGAGCCAGACACCTTTGAGTTTGAGTCGGTGTCCATGGCATCACCCAGTGGTTTAGGCCTTTCAAAGAAGCGAACTGCCGTTTGCGAATAAGACATGTTGTTAGATGTATTCCAAGCAATATTGAAAAGTGAGAAACAAGTGAAACGCTAAACCTAGTTGCACTAGGCGTAGTGACTAGCAAGGACGGTGGGGATTGACAAGAGGCGAAGGGCAGTGCGGTAGAAGTAGTGGCAGTCTTGGAGGTAGTAGGATGGCATTGAGACTATGTCATGTGCGTGTGCATTTGCATGTGCAAGTGGAAATGACGAGTGACAAACGACAAACGACAAGCGACAAGCGACAAGCGACAAGCGACAAGCGTGTAGAGTTATGTATGAGCAAAGTGGAATGAAATGAAAATAGAAGAACAGAGTAAAGTCCAAGCGAGGAAAAGCTAATAAATATTGAAAATGATAGAAGGCAGAGCAGAGAGTGGATCTCGGGCCTAAGGGGAGGGACAGAAGGACTTACTATTCGCAGTAAAGCAGCCGTCAATCACCGGGTGGTGATCGGGTGTGGTATTGACAGTGGACAAGCGCAAGGATAGCGCCGGAGAAACGGATGAGCTTGGCTCTGGCTCTGCGGTCAGATGATATCAGTATTAGTATCAGCGGGACTGGATAGTCTAGACTATCTTGTGCATAGAACGATTCTTGTGGTCCCGAAGATCTGGAGAGAGGAGAGAACAGCTTGAATGAAGAATATCCCCCACTACTAAGGGAAGGAAGCTGGGGTGGGCATCCCCCAGTTCGGGAGGAATCTATAGGGCGGGATGAGATGGGGCGCACGAACACTCACCTAATCCGAGTACCCTGCAGGATACTGCGAGGTCGAGATTAGCTTGTGGCGGGGTATCAGATCAATGGGAAGAGTAAAGCAAGAGCTCTTGATTATGAAGAGGTCGAATAGCTTCGTACAAATAGCACAATGGCTCCAACAGTCCAAGTCTTCAAGTTCAATCGGGATTGAAGTGATCGGGAGAGGCCGATGACGTTTCGGGCGAAGGGAGACGCGGGGAGAGATGTCACGTGATCGAGATTTACACTACAACATTGATATAGACTACGGAGGAGGGAAGCTTACTACATCCAGGATTGTTGAGAAAAATTCATGATCACGCTTGGGTCATACGGAGTACATCACGCTCGCAAAAAAGGACGCCGGAGATTTTGATATCCACAGAATGAACCGCAACACATTGCGGGGAGACAAGATGTCAAAAATATTCACAATTGAACGGTATCTGCATGCCTTTCCAGGGAGGGCCAGACACGCTTGCATACATACAGTATGGGGTCCAACTAGCAACCCCAGCCTCGAGGGCTACGGACTGGTGCTCTCCTGGAAGTGCCCCACGAGCGAGAGCTCGCCCGGGGGCTAGACATGCACACAATCAAGAAGAGAAAGAGACAAAAGATCAAGACAAGCGAATCGGGACTGTCATGGAGGGAGGGCAAGAGTTGGAATGGTAGGATAGATGGTCCGAGATCAGACCACAACCTCCACATATAAACAAAGTTCGGACATGTGGTTCCTTCAGAGCAGTCATGCATCGCGAGTCACCTAGGCAGTGTAGATGGCAGCGCCCTGAGGAGCCAGGACGTTGGCGGCATACTCGCCGTCGTAGTTACCGGCGGGCGAGTAGTTGCAAACGGTGAAGGGAACGTTGGAGCCACCCGCGTTGCCGAGCGAGGGGCAGACAACGGTGGCGCAGCCAACTTCCTCAGTGCCCTTCCAGACGATCTGGGAGAAGTGACCCCAAGCGTCGAAGTTGGACATGTCGGGGCTGGCGGTTCCGTAGAGTTCGGCGAAGTACATCATCTCGTCGTTGTACATCAGGTTAGTGATCATCTCACCGATGGAGGCCTCCTCAACACCGTATCCGATGTTCTGACCGTAGCCACCGCCATCAATGGAACTAGGGATGAATGTTAGTATGGTTGCGCCATTGGAAAGGGATACAGGGATACTCACGTGTCGTGCTGGTAAACACATTTGGCGGCAAGAGTACGGGCGCTGGACTCGAGGGATCCAGACCAGGTGACAGAGCTGGCAGAGTGGTTGCTGCGGTGGACGTTGTGGTTGTACAGGATAGCCTGCTGGTAAGAGTTGGTGGGGGTAGATGCGGCGGCAGCGGAAGTGGTGGCAGCTAGGGTGGTAGGGGCAGCTTCGGTGGTCGGGGCAGCAGCCCCCTCAGTCCAGTAAGAGGTCTGGTACCAGGTGGTGGCACTGGTAGTAGGGGCAGGAGCCTGCTCAACGGCGTCCTGAGTGGCAGCCGCGGCCTCCTGGGTAGCGGATTCGGTCACGGTGGACTTCTTAGACAGGTCGACGGTGGGCAGGGCATTGACGGTGGGGGCCACGGAGGGCTGGGAGTCAACAGTGTCCTCCTTGACCAGGGCTTGGGTGGTCGGGGTGTTGGTGGGCCAGGCGGTGACAGTCTCGGTGACGGTGGTGGTGGTCCAGTCGGTCACGTAAACATCCTTCTCGACAACCTTGGCGCAGGCGCCAGCGGCCATAGCGGCGAAGATCAAAGCAGAACGCATGTTTGTTGTGAATCACAGATCAAAGATGCAAAAAAATCTTCCCCAGGAAGTTGTGATGGTCGGATAAGAGTCAAACAGATCTACTGTCGACAAAAGGAGTGTTTCAGATCGGCGCTTAAGGAATGACGGGCCTAGACAAACTTCTTTCTTCAAAGAGTGAAGAGAAAGAGAGTGACAAGGCTGAAAGAGTGAAGCGTGGAGGAAGGGAGAGAAGAGAGGGAGAAGTCGAGTAAATGTAGAAAGGGGAGAGTGGGGCCGTGCGAATGTCGCAAATTAGTTTAATGAGATGAGGATGTTAAGGATTAACTTATTATTATTGTCGAGATCAAGCGTCTTCTTGGTGCAGATTGGCATTGTCGACTACTTATTGCTTTCTATCATGCCGGACTTTCTCTCCAACCTCTTGACATTGTACATACCTTGCCCGGCCACCTTCAAGCCTGGCACATTCCTTGCGACATTCCTACGCGTCCTATATTCCCACACAATTGGTGTATGGGTCAGAGGGCTGGAACCGTGGACCCGAATCAAATATTCTCCGAGCCTGGCCTGTTAATCTCTATCAGATATTAAGGATCTGTTCATTAATTGTGTATGAAAGAGGTGATCTGCCCCCCTGGACCCTCTCCACTAGCGCTATAGACCCCCTATTAGCCGCGCGTTGGAAGGGAAAGTGGACACTGGAAAGTAACAATGAAGAAGCAATAGAAGTAACGTGGACAGCAAAGTGTCACTAGAGGAAAAAGAAGAAACTTCATCGAGATCGCGACATCAAACACAATGGAGACGGGGAGTATAATCCCTTGCCAGGAGCAGTTTCAAATAGCCCTAATTGGCCAATCATAGCACAGAAACCAGCCAAACAAGACGACACAGACCCACCTACAACGCCCACTAAACAACTTGGCTTTGAGTCTGGTCCATTCGACTGCACGGGCTGATCTGAGATTAATTAATTACCCCCGTTGCGATGTTTCAGCCACGAGATTGTGTATTGTTTGTCCTATTGCATACATGTGATGTATAATGTATGAATAGCTACTACTCCCTATAAATACTGTATACGAGAGGCACATTATTCCCTGTTTATTGAGTTCAGCCAGGTCCCAATAATGCCTATGGATCGTCGTGCGCTGGTGGATAATGAAAAATTGGACGCATTGGAAACACGACGCATCATTATTGTGATCGTTGAAAACGCAACCAATCAAACCTGCAGACATACGGTAATTTCGCATCAGCCTTGGAAACTCCTAGCGTTAGGCGTTAGTTGCCGGGGACCCCCGGGTGAGACAGGTGCCTAAAGTGCATCCGAAACGTCATACTACAGATCTGTTTCCATACTCTAGTAGATCGAGATCGACCTGAGGAATCTTCTACCATTTACTAGTTGCGTCGGCATTTCGGGACCGCCACAGGGTCCAGACGTAGCGTGAGACATGATAGATTTTGATTCCCACGTACAGTGCATGTACACAAAAGGACCAAACGGCCAGAACGCCACAAACCCCTGAAATCACCCACGTAATCAAGTCAAATCATGGCATACGTCTCTATAGGTCAGCTGTCGTGCATTTTCCCGCTTCACACACCATTAGGTAATTCTTGGCCGGCTCGGCGGCTTTGAGTTCTTTGAAGAGCGGGTTGCGTGACTTCAGCCAGAACGACTGGTTGCCGACAAAGTCTTTCAGATGAGTGGGACGGATGTCGATAAGCGAAGTCACTACGATGGATGAGGACACTGCCATGCCAGCCTTGGCCCGGACCCGCCGCCTGATTAGGTCTCGTGCCGACAGGGGTTCTTCGGTTCGGCCAAGACTCGAAGAGAGTTCAGCGGTAGAGAAAACGCCTGTCACTGTGCGAGTGCCGATCTGAAGACCTACGATCACGTCCAGTAATCCGACAAATAGGAATGGATGCTGGATGATCTCCACTGCGAAAGAATTGCAGGTCTGTCGGGCCAGGCTCCGATAGCTCTCATCCTCGAGGAGGGCTGCCAAACGCAGGAGATTGCGTGCAATCACGCCGTTCACAGAAGGTGTAGCGGACTCGGTGCCGGTCTTCAAACGAAGGAGTGGGCCGGGCATGCCGGGGGTGGTGACTGACGAGGTGCTGTAGTATCCGGTAGAAGTAGAGCCTGATTCGGCCAGGAAGTATTCGTTCAGGTACTCTGTGTAAATGTTAGCCAATGCAGCCCAAAGGACGGGACCGGACTTACCTTGCAGTCGCTCGGCAAATTGAAGATAGCTGTCGTCGAAAGTGGCTTCGTACATGTCGAGTAGGCCACTGGTCAAGTATGCGTAATCATCGGCGAAGCCGGGAGTATCGCCACGGCTGCCATCACGGTAGATGCGCCAGAGCTGTCCAGAGGCCTTGTCGAAGAGGTTCTCTTTGATGAAGCTGATCGCACGTGCTGCAGCCTCTCGGCACTGTACAGCCTTGGAACTCTCAATCTCCTCAAAGAGAGTGCTGCACTTGGCGAGTGCCCCGATTGCCAGACCGTTCCATGCCACAATTATCTTGTCATCTAGGTCTGGGTGCCCGCGTGTTCGTTCACGGTAGTCGTGCAGCTTCTGTTTTCCAGTCTTGATGATCTTGACCACCTCCTCCTCGCTGAGACCAAAGTCCTTGGCAAGCTTGCTTGGTGTGGCCCGGATGGAAAACACGTTTTGGTTCATGAACTCGTCGTGTGGGTCGTACTCCGGTGCGACGTTGCCATCGGGAAGGACACCCCAGTGTTGTGCGCAAACAGGGGCATCTCGAGGACCGAGAACTTGAGTTAGTTCCTTGAATGACCAGACATAAAAAGCACCCTCGCGCTTTTCTGTGTCATTGGGGCTTGGGTAGCTGTCCGCGTCTTCAGAAGAGAAGAATCCTCCAGTGGGCGATTGCAGTGGCTCTGTAGTCAAGTAGGCGGCAAGATCATACACAGCACCGAGAAGTTCAGGGTCATGAGTCAAACGGAATGCATCCACATAGACGTCCAACAGCTGCGCCTGGTCGTAAAGCATCTTCTCGAAATGAGGGAGACTCCAATCCGTCGTCACACTATAGCGCGCATATCCATGACCGAGATGATCCCGAATTCCACCGCGAGCCATGTTCACCAAGGTAGTGACAGCCATGGCGGTTGCTTGTTCACACTCATCCTGCCCTACAATATCCTTAATCTCAGTCGGGTAGCCACCGAGTCGGAGTAGGAAGCTGAGGTTCGAGGGAGTAGGAAACTTGGGTGCGCGGCCGAATCCGCCGTTGATCGAGTCGTAACGAGATGCGAAATGCTGGTAGGCTTCCTCTAGAAGCTCAATGTCCATATCCTCGTCCACCTCGCGCTCTCCATGAGAGTGAGTTCCTTCCTCGGCGAATTCTCTCAGCTGCTTGGTAATGTCCTTTGCACTATCAAGGCAGCGCTGCTGTTGTGTTTGCCAGACATCTCTCAGCTTCTCCAGAATCTCAACGAAGCCAATCGCATCCGGGCCCATGAAGGTCGTTGAATTAGGGCCTTGCCAGTAAGTACCACCAAACACTGGCTCCAGGTTTGGAGTCAAGAAGACGTTCAAAGGCCAACCGCCAGAGCCCGTGGTGGCCTGGACATAGTTCATGTAGATGTCATCAATGTCAGGACGTTCTTCGCGATCAACCTTGATCGGGACGAAAGACTCATTTAGGATCGACGCCACTTCCGGTGACATGAATGATTCTTTTTCCATGACATGGCACCCTGTACAATGTTTGTACAATGTTAGAACATCCCCACCTCAGTACCTAAAGCAGAACTAACAGTGACACGCAGAATAACCGATGCTCAGGAAGATCAGTCGATTATGCTTCTTGGCAAGCTCCATAGCTTCCGCATCCCACGTTTGCCACGCGACGGGATTGTTCGAGTGTCCTCGGACCTATAATCTGTCAGCGTGACGCAAGTACCCCTCGAAGGCACACTCACATAGGGAGATCTACTCTGCGCCAGGCGATTGACCATCTTGGGTCCTGTTTCATGTACCTCATGGCGGGGGTGTGAATGGATCCCCGAGGCTGCCATGGTGACGCGATGGGACAGTTATCGAGACTTTTTTCCTTCTGGGAGACTGAGTGCTCGTTAGGCCGCGGCTTAAGAGGGGTAACTAACGGGATCCGGTAATACCCGCGAAGTAGTGTACCTGTGCCCCACGTAATGGAATACAAGAGGTCAGAATCAAATCAAAATATATAGCGTGAAAAAAAGACCGGGGGTTGAAGAACGGCCATAGGCGGGGTCGAGGCGAAGGTCGAGGGACGCGGGAGATCGGCCATGTGCGTCATGGCTGCATCAGGAAGGTCACGTGGGGTATACGAACACTTGATACATTGGCTATTTCATTAGTACTTATACCTATGTGAAGCCGCCAGATCCAATTTAATTGTGTATCACATAGGGTGTAGACCCTGAATTAAATCTAGGCAATATGAGTCCTGCCCGTGTCAAAAGCCGCAAGTGTATACTACCCCACAGCAACAATGTACATGCATGCATCTTATTATTTCGTACAGATTATGTATCAAGATAAGACTTAGAAAAGCAAATAAAAAATGCAGATAGAACTATAGGTTTCACAGCTTAAAAGTCATGTCGCATCAAGTCGGGTCGCCGTTGTACAGCGTCATACCTGTGTTTCATGACCAAACGGAAAGACGATAGCTTATAACATCTCACGATTTAAATTATACACACTGATTGTTTAGATATGCACATTTTCAAAACAGAGTGGGTATCAATCCATCTAATCATCCATAAGTTCGGCCAACTCCCGTTCTTCTTCCTCAGTGAGCATAGATTCCGCTTTCGATTCCTCCTTGTCAACTACCGGCTTCCTTGCCAGCTCAACGGCCCGATGAAGCTCATCAGGTCGAAGAGACCATTGGCGGATAGTCGCATCGATACTCACGCTGACAACGGTTGATCCAACCAGAACGAGACCAGTAACTTCTTCGAAATGACCAGAGAAAGTATGATAGAGCTCGCCAGTCTATATGGGTCAGTATAATTCAGCACTCAAGCTTAGGGAAGAAAGAGAAAGCACTTACCGATCGGCTCCACACTCGAACCTCTTCGTCACGACACGCGGTCACGACCCAGCCTCCGTTTTCATGAATGACAACGTCCCGCACGAAATCGGGATGCTCCAGGGTCATATTAGCTTTCCATCCATCCTGACGAACCAGACATTTGGCAGTCTTATCGGCCGAAGCAGTCCAAAGGTCACCATCGTTGTCAAAAAAGAGCTTGTAGACGCTGGTTTCATGAGGAAGTAGAGGATCAGGGATATTGCTGCTGTCAAAGATGCTGAATTGACGAATCTCCCGGTCGCTGCCCGCACTGAACACAATGGGTTGAGCGTCTTCTGATTCAGGGTCAACGGCAAGGTCTTGGATGCCTCGGGCGTGGCCTTTGAAGGTCTCAATGCGCTCGCCAGTGGCGATCTTAAAGACCAGAACTTTTGCGTCAGCACCACCGGTGATAAGAAGATCCTCCCCACGCAGTCTGGCACTGGTAATAGAGCGGACAAAGTCAGCATGGCCTTCGTACTTCTGGCGGGCTTGGCCTGAGGCTGTATCCCAGCTCCAGATAGCCTTGTCCCAGCATCCGGCAAACAATAGCTTTCCATCAGGGCTCACACAAAGACTTGTTACAGGAGCCATCGGCCCTGTAAACATCTTGGCGGTTTCTCCTGTCTGTATAAGGTGAGAATTGGTAATGATCTGCGAGTAGAGTTGCACATACAGAAAGAAAGATCCTTCTCACAGAGCCATTACTTTGTGCCACATAAATTGAGCCATTGTTCAAAGGGTCTGAATGAACTGCTAGTATCTTTCCCTGTAGGCGAATGGGATTGCCGTAGTCATTCTGAGACTTCGCATCTTTCCGCTCCTGCTCATCCAGGGAAGCGCTACAGAATCAATTAGTATGTACAGTATACTCCCCCCAGCTACTCACTCACGATGTCTGAAAGAAATGGTCTCGATTGGAAGAAGTAGTCATTGTCGTTGTCGTTGGTGCTATCAAACTCCCCCGCCAATGCCCCGTCAAACTGCTACCTGAGCTCGCGTAGTCCGCCGTAGCCCGAATCCACCACAAAACCACAGATTTTGCTCTTCTACACGCTTCTCTCCTCGCAACATCACCTTATTTCATCTTCAATCTCGTCACTGTTTATCTCTCATCCTCTTTGTTTCCACGCGCGACGTCGCGCAGTTCTCAATCATGGAGATGAACCATCTCATTGGGTCAGTCCGCCCTCGGAGGTCCTGGGTGTAATGGGAGTTAACACCTGGCAGTCAGCGTTTCAACCTGATCTCCAAGAGCGACATTCGGTGAGTCTCCTATGTTTTCCATCCATGACTTGAGCTAATGACTTAGCTATGTCGGCACACTTCACGAAATCAACCCCGAAGCCTCGACGATAGCTCTTGAGAATGTTATGTCATTTGGATCTGAGGGACGCCGGGGTAACCCCGCAGAGGAGGTCCCTCCTTCCACCAGTGTCTACGAATATATCGTCTTCCGTGGCAGTGATGTGAAGGATATCAGCATCGCTTCCGAAGAGCAGAAGGAGGCACCACAGCCAGAGGCGCCCCGCGTGCCCGACGACCCTGCTATTCTTGGCGTAAGTCAACCTCCATCGACTCCCCCAACCCCGGCCTGCTGGCCAATTGATCAAATGATGAAAGATTTTCGGATGTAAACCACAGACCTGTTCTGAATGCGCAAAACCGTGTAGAGTTTTCCGTTGCCTTCCTTCTGATGATCAATCTCACTATGCTCTGATGCATTCGTCTTATGCTTACCTGTGCTAACTGTGAAACAGGGCATGCAACGGCCTGTTCCTAGCCAGGCACCCGAGTCAGGCCCCCAGAGTGTTCCTCAGGGCCCTCCCCAGCCACCTCAAGGTGCCGGCCAGACACCTCCCGGCTACCCCCAGCAGCCTCAATTCCAACAGGGCTTTTACCCACCCTATGGCCAACGCTTCGGTCCTCCTCCTCCTTTCCCTCCCGGTCCTGGATTCCCTCCCTATGGTGCTCCTCCTGGGTGGTACCCTCCTCCTGGCCATGGTTTCCCTCCTGGCCCCGGCCAATTCGCCCCTCCGATGCCCATGGCCCCTGGCCAGCAGCCTGGTCCTCAGCGCCCCGGCCCTCCAGGTGTTGCCCCCGGCCCGAAACCCACCTCTGAACTCCCTGCTGGAGACAAGGTCCCAAGCAAGTCCAACAGCCGTAATGCAACTCCTGCGGCTCAGAATGCCCCGCCCCCACCTGTCGAGTCTAAGCCGTCTGTGGCTGAAGTCCAAGCTTCTGTCGGCTCGGCCCCCGCACCTATCCCCCACAAGAGTGGCCGAGTGATGCCTGCTATTCCAATTGCGGCCCCCAAGGCTGCTCCTCGCGCCAACAACCAGCCCATCACCGATGCTACCGCAGCTGCCACTGCCGCCGTCGCCGCCGCTATGGCGAAGCTGCCTCAGCCTGGTGTCCAGAAGCAGCCCGATGCCCCAGTGGATACTCTCACCCAGCAGATGAACAACATGCGTCCTTACGATGGCGCTCGCGGTGGCCGGGGAGGTCACCAGCACCATCAGCACCAAAACCAGCATCAGCCTCGTGGTGGCCGCGGAGGAGCTCGTCATCACAACCAGCACCAGCAGCACAAAAAGATTGAAGTTCCCCAGTCCGACTACGATTTCGAGACCGCAAACGCCAAGTTCAACAAGCAGGATTTGGTCAAGGAGGCTATTGCTACTGGAGTCCCTGCCGCTGAGGCCGAAGCCCATGCCGAGGAGGTGGAATCTCAGGATGCTGCCAACCACGTCGCGACCTCTTCCAACAACATGTACAGTCGGTCATCCTTCTTCGACAACATCTCGAGTGAAGCTCGTGACCGCGAAGAGAACACCGCTCGCGTTGGTGGTCGTGAGTGGCGCGGCGAGGAGGAGAAGCGCAACATGGAGACCTTCGGACAAGGCAGCGTTGATGGCTACCGCCCCAACTACCGCGGACGTGGCCGTGGTCGTGGTTACGGACGTGGTCGCGGTGGATACGGCCGTGGCTATGGTCGTGGCCGTGGAGGCCGGACCCAGTCCGAGTCCACCGGTGTGCCTTCCCAGGGCTAAACGAATCCTCACTTTATCTCATGTCCTTTCAGCGATGATTGCTATGTCTTTTGATATTTAGGAGTGGCAAGACCAACGACCGAAACGAATACTCACGGTTGAGTCGTCTTGAATCGTTTTCTTGTCTTCGGCGCAATGGGATCTGGGTCTTGGGGGGCATACTGGGATGGCCATACGATAACTTTTGCGAACCGGCAATCATGGGTGTTCCTTGATTTTTTGTTTAGTTTTCCTTTTCTTTCTCTCTGTCACGCATACCCTTCCTGCAGCGTCTTTCCTTGAATCCCCGGATCGGGCGGCTATTTCCTTTATATGTTTTGTGCAGAAAGTGGCAGATGAACCACGAACTTCCATTATGGAGTAGATTCGAGCCCGCCATTGGCGAGGCAGACATCGTTGTGTGTGTATACCATCTGGGAGAAACTCCCTTCAAATGAAAATGGCAAAAAACGAGGCCAATTGGCCTACGCAAGTGTGATATACTTTGACTCTTAACTTCTAGCTTCCCCATACTATACACGTCATTGTGGGGAAACCACTCTATCTCCGCATCCCCGGCTTTCCACCGGAGTGTATCACCCTGTGTAGGACAATATATACCCCCCCCCCCCCCCCTCCACCCCCGGCAATTCCCAGCGCAATTGCAATCCCGAATTTAGCCTCGGGACATAAGCCCTGCAACATCCTCGGCTTTTATAAACTCACTTCCAGTTCAAATAAACCCAAACCCCTCTCATACAAAGAAACTCGGTACCGCAAAGTTAAGGACCCAGGAATGAAAAACCTAACCTCACTCCTAAATCATATTTGAGCCATGGCATCTCGCAGTTCCTCCAGGCTATCCGCTATCTCAAGCCACATCGACAATAAATCGGCTAGAACTAACCCCGAAATGTCTTCTTCAGTCCAAATCCCAGACCAATTACCCTGGAATCCGAACAACACACAGTTCCCTTCAATCAAGAATCTACCGAAACTGCCCGGCGCACCGGAGGACGCTGCTTGGGTCTGGGGAAAAGATGATGAGGTTGATTATTTCTGATACTCACACTTGGTATCTGTTTCTCGCAACTAATTTGATTACAGTTGGGTAGATTGAATCTGTTAACACCGCAGCGGGTTAAGGCTTCGACTGCTGAGATCGAGACAGGCCAAATGGTTCGATTGGAGTATGTAAGGCTGATGTCATAGAAAATTTTGCTTTGCTCACAGTATACTCCGCACAGTCTTCCTCTCACGGTGCCCGAGAAGCCTGCTTTCGACCGTGAGGTCTTCCAGCATAATATCAAGACACTTGCTGCGGATATATCCTATGATGATACATATACCATGAACACGCAGAGTGGGACTCAATGGGATGGGTTTAGGCATGTAAGTTGTCAGACTGAGCTCACATTACCACTACCCATCTTCAGTCTAACATGTGTTCTAGTTCTCCCACATTGACAGCAAACTATTCTACAACGGGGTATGCACCCCGCACCCCAATATATCAAACCCAACCCTAACCCCAACCAGGCCAAAAGCACCGACTTCCTAGGCCCAACAGCAAACCACCGCTGCAGCATCCACCACTGGTCAACCCACGGCATAGCTGGCCGAGGAATCCTCCTAGACTACTACCACTATGCGCAAACAAACAAAAAAGCCTACGATCCCTACACAACCCACAGCATAACTTTATCCGAGCTACAAGCCTGCGCAAAAGCCCAAGGCCTAGACCTCCGCCCGCAATTTCAAGGCGGCGACATCCGCATCGGAGACATCCTCCTCATTCGCTCAGGCTTTGTAGAAAGGTACTACCAACTCAGCTCGGAAGAACGCTATGCGGCAGCAACACGGTCACACGAGGCCCTGTGCTTCGCGGGAGTGGCGCGCGAGCCGGACATGCGGGATTGGTTGCATGATTGTTATTTTGCTGCGGTTGCGGGAGATTCACCGACTTTTGAGGCGTGGCCGGTTCCTAATCATGATTATTTGCACCAGAGTATGTTGGCGCTTTGGGGTTGTCCGATTGGTGAGATGTGGGATTTGGAAAGCTTGGCGAAGCTGTGTCGGGAGAAAGGGAAGTGGTCGTTTTTTGTTACGAGTGCTCCGGCTAATATGCCTGGTATGTTTCTTTTTCTTTTCTGGGAGGGCTGGGCTATTAGCTAATTTGTTTACAGGTGGCGTTGGATCGCATGCGAATGCTACTGCTATTCTTTGAATGAGGGTTGTCTTCTTGTGCTTTTGGTGGATATTTATACAATGCGGGTTATGTATTGTATAGAGCGCTACCAATGCCATATTCAAGAAACTTGACTATATGCTGTATTCAATTTGTCATGAATCTCTCTTTCATTATGATAAGCACAATAATTGCAGCTATCATCCATAGCTTCCGACCTTTAATTAAGCCTCCCCATGATCTACAAACCCGAAAATAAGCACACGTACAGAACTGTAAGGACAAATAATCATCGGGGCCGCGAAAGCACACTGCAATAAGTCAGTAAAATGAAACTTTTGTGCGATCGATGCCTTTCTTGAACCCCCTAGAGCATTCAATCGATCACCCCTGAGGAGGTTGATGTCATACACGTTATTGTCCCGATTGACGATTGGTCTTATAAATCTTGTTTCTCCGACAGCAAAAGTACAGGTAAAGGACAATCGAATCGAGGATACATGTACGGGGTATCTAGTAATAATGATTCCATTGCATCCCCTGTTGTTTGCCTTCAATTATTTACTAGCGAGGCTACATCATCCAGGCAAATGATTGACCGATCTTCACAAAATTGAAGCAAGCGGATCCAGATCGGCAATATCTTTCGCCACCCGGAATTTGTTGTTACGGGCCGATTGTCATATGTAGGGTGATGAGAGCCCGGGTTGTGGGCATCTCGATCTAATAAGGGAATGGTCTCAGAAGAGTGCATTTCTCTTCCAAAACGTTGCTGTCGGGAAACCTTAGGGGCTTCATTAAACGATAATTTGATCTACATAATACAGTACATGTACGCATTACGTGTAAATAATTTGAGGCGATGTTCCACCTCAGGGGTGATCCAGTCAGGTTGGCGCCCGGGCCAACTTTATGATCTGCACGTATACGAATCATATGGAGTCAACTCGCAATAAAGTATCCATGGATTATAGGCTGCAGCTCTAGAACTTTTTGATTATCAGGCTTCTGGCGTCCTCATCTGCACGCTGCATAACAGTTTGACACTGATATTTTTCCATTTTCACGTTTGCACCTTTGTTGATCAGGTATCTAACAACGTCGTTCCTTTTGATAGCCAATGCCGAGTGTAATGGAGTCGCCCTCATGGAATGTAACATATTCCAAGAATATTGATGGTATTGGTACCAGAGGGAATTGAAAGGAGCGCCGTTATCTATAAGGGTTCTGACTACTTCGAGCGTTTCAGATTCTTGGTAAATCGCATTATGCACAAGCTGACCTTTCCTAACATCACCGCCACGCATTAGGAGAAGATTAATGACGGCGTGAGAGAGCAGTGTGTAGTCAATGTCGCATCGTATATTGGGATCGGCCCCATGATCAAGGAGCCATATGGTCATCTCCTGGTCCTTGAGCGCATTGCTAGAAGCAAACAAAGGCCATTCAACTTGCCATTTGGAAAAGACGATAGATGCCTTTTCTTATGTAAGGGCAGTTGAGCTCATTCTATCTGTTGGCTTGTTGATATCACAGGTAATAGTGAAGACATTGCTAAGATGACTTTTGCCTTCAACTTAATAGCTTCGAGGACATAGATGGATGATATAGGTAGACCGCGACGTAGTAACTTATCTACAAGAAACATTTTGTTTGAATTTATGGCATCAATCATCGCCCCGAGGTAATGAATGCCACAATCTCGAGAGAGAGACTGATCAAAGACTTGTTTCAACTGTTGGTCGTCGTTAGTTCCTTTAAGCGGTGAACTAAGGAGGCTATCTCGGTTGGTATCGGCGGAGGGTCTACGCCCCGGTTAAGATGTCCCTTTTGGAGGAGATCATCGGCAGACATGGTTGAATATTTAGACGGAGAAAAGTGAGAAACAATGTCAATGATGGTTCGGTTCGAAAAGCAGAGAACAAGCTCTCTCCCTAGCAGTAAGGGGTGGGCACTAACACGGAAAGAGACAGCCAAGATTTGCTACATGATCCGATATACGGAGTAACGTTACAAGTATAAGTGTACATGTATAAGCAAGTTCGCAGATCATGACAACGCGCAGCGCATCGGCCCATTTTCTAGTCAAAAATAAAATCGGGCCTCATGTAAAAAGTGATGCCTTGGGTCCCATCATACGCATGGTCTACTACTAAACTAAGCAATAATCGACGGTCCACATTACTGAGCCCTCGTCAACAAACAATTGACGAGACCGATCCAGGAGAATATACCCCAGGCACTTGCCATCCCTGATACTGTACAGGATTATCCCCATGGTTCTCCCTATTCATGTGGGTCAATTACATGAACAGAGGCGACCCCCAGGGGTGTGCTCCGTACATCTCAAGTATAAGTATAGAGACCGACAGCCCATAATATCTCACAAAAGTCGTTCTAAATCTAAATCACAAACACTCTCACAAGATGCTATCCGCAATAGCATCAGCCGTTCTATTCACGGCTCTAGCACAAGCCAATACCCAAAGGCACAACCTCACAATTTTAAAGAATGCACCAGAAAAAGCCTACCATGTGCCAGCCGACTTCTTCAGCTTCGGCTTCGAAACCGCCTTCTTCCACCAATTCGACACCGAACTATCAGAAAACATAATCAACTCAATCAGCTCTCGCATGAGCAAGCCCTTAATCATCCGGATTGGCGGCACAAGCGGTGACCTGGTGCGGGTCAACCAAACACAAGAAGAACCCGCTCGCTGCATTAGCGGGCCTGATTGTCCATACTCAAGTGAAGATGCGTTCACTATTGGCCGAAGTTATTTTGATACCTTCAAGCGGTTCCAGAGTGCAACCATGACCATCCAGGCTCCTATGTCCCCTGTGAAGCCTGACAGCAAGGACGAAGATTGGATTCCTAATTCGATGGATTTTGTTCAACAAGCCTATGATGCTCTTGGAAAAGAGCGTTTGAATGCTGTTGCTTTGGGCAATGAGCCTGATTACTACTCATATGGCGTAGAGCAGTATGTTGATCGGGCGCTGAAGATTGAGAACCATACCATTGAACAATTGGGCTTGGAAGGTGAAGATAGACGTATCTTCGAACTTGGTGATATTGGGTGGACGGTTATCAAACAGCGCGATGAGGATGGGGAGGACTTTGGCTTACGAAAGATCTTCCAAAATGAGCTCAATGCGAATGGATACGGCAAGTATGCTGCACAGCATTACTACCAGACCGACGAAGGGGGCAAGTATGATTCACAGGCACTGCAGGGTACGTGTTATTCCTTTTCCAACGCATATTTTAACGCAGGTGAGCTAACTTTGCTCGAAAGATCGCCTCATGAATCACCATGCCATCACCGAACGCTTCCCCAAAATGAGAAGAGGCATTGAATACATCCACAAAGCCGACAGCAAGATTGGATTCGTGATCTCCGAGCTCGGATGCGCCTTAGGAGGTCCTCCAATCAGCTTTGCCGGTGCATTTGGAGCAGCTTTGTGGGCGGTCGACTTCCACTTGACAGCAATGGCACGTGGCGTAAAACGTGTCTCCAACACCATGCGCCCAGAGGCCACGCACTCGTTCTGGGTGCCCAATGACATGGGTTCAATGACCAGCGGACCTTCGGTGCAGGGTGTTTTCCCTGCAGCAGCATTTATCACAGACTTTGTGGGCAATGGTGACTCTCTCGGGAAAGTCATTGAGATTGATGTACCTGGCACTCCGCAGTTCTTCAGTGCGTTTGCGATGTATCATCTCCAATCAGGGAAATTGGCACGTGTTGCACTTGTCAACCTGAAGCAGTGGGATCATACCTCCCGGGATGACCGGGGTAGTGCTGAGGTTATCTTGAATGTCGATGGTGATATTGGGTCACTACATGCTCGAAGATTGCACGCCGAGAAGGGTACTTCGGCTGTGGGCTTTGATCTTGGTGGTCACGACGACAATGTTACTTGGGCTGGAGAGCAGTGGTCTCACACCGTTGATGGGGGCAAGGGCCATTTTGTTGACGGTAACATGGTGCAGGAGAAAGTAAATGTTGAGAAAGGTCACGCTACTGTCTCTGTACTTGACAGTGAGGCGATCATTGTGTATTTTGATCAGAGTGTTAGCCTTTTGGATCTTTTTCAGTAAGGAATAATTCAATAACCTGAATGGTTTTTTAGCCATTGAAACAGGGATAATTCAATGGTCAAAGTTCTGAAGAATAGGATGTCCATGCTCTAATTGAAACCGCACAATTTCATCGCCATGGATATTCAAAACTCTATTCTTAATTCTCGAATGAAGACTGTTTTCGAGCTTGGTATCGCATGAATCTATTTAGTGAAGCATTTTCTAGATGAGGGATTTTTATTCTTGGGGCTCATTGGATTCGTCTGTCTTTGTGAAATTCCCCTCATTCTAATGGTTATTGTGTCTGTTTACAGTTTGCGAATCTATCTTGGGGGACTTTTTCCTCGAGGCTGATTGGTAGGGCCCTTGGTGGTCCCTTCTCCTCTCCTCCAAAAGGCCCTCGATCAACCCATGCTGCTCTTGGCGCAAGGTCGGGCCTTTTCTGCTTTTATCATGTCAGATATCAAAAGTATTCGAGGAATTATGACGGCTACATTTACCTCCGTATCTGTCTAGCGTAAATTATCACATTGAGAAATAGTAGCGTTGTTGACTTCAACTTCTCAAGATTACCTTTCAGTGGATCTACTATTTCCAACTCTTACGAATATGTTGATATGGCTGATTTTTTCAGTGCGAAATTGTTAGATTATCCACAACTAAGACAACAGGACATGATTGGGGAAGAAAATTCTCAAATGAACACGTTTGAAACAAGGAGTGATATCATTTCTCAATGCAGTCCAGAATTCGAGCATAGCTATATCAGTGAAAGAGGCTTCGAGCTTATTGACGGGGAGCAACAAAGAGAAAAGCTTGAAATTAGTGCTTAGCTGTAATCTTATTATCAATACACAGACTTACACCTATAATAAACCATGGTAAACACTTTGAAAGAAGGTCGCTTAACGTAAGTACTTCGGCTAAACTCCGGGCCAAGAAAAACGTGGGGTCTCCGCATGCAAATGCAACTCCACGTTCACTTTCTCTCCGAATTTATAAGCAGCGACAAATGAACTTGGAAGCCCGAGTCATCCTCGTCCTCCTATACTTTCTCACTCTCTACGTCACTTTAAGACTGGAAAGTCTCAGACATCTTCACATTGAAACTTGGCTCGACCCAACACGTCTCACTCTCAAGTTCTATGTCATCACAATGAGCACACAAACACAAACAATCATACTCCAACCAACATGTCCAAATGAAGCCAACATAAGCGAATATGAAAACACCCAACACCAAAGCCCCCCAGAAGTGAAATGGAAGTATCCCAAGATCCTCAGCGCAGGATTATCCTTCTTCGTGGCGGGTATCAACGACGGAAGTCTAGGATCGATACTTCCCTACGTGATCCGCACATATGGAATCAACACTGACATGGTTGCCGTACTGTAAGTCAATCTACAAATATACATACCCCAACAACCCAAGCCCTCCTCCCTTGAAGACCATCATACTAACACCCCCAGATACGGCACAACCTTCTTTGGCTGGCTCTTCGCAGCCCTAACAAACAGCACAATAACCCAATACCTAGACTTAGGCCCAATCCTCTGCCTAGGAGCCGGCATCCAAATCCTAGCACACGTGCTAAGAGTCTGGCTTCCCCCATTCGGCCTATTCGTGGTAACGTTCTTCCTCGCCAGCTTGGGCCAAGCGTACAATGATACTCACGCCAATACATTTGTTGCTTCGCTTCCTGGTGCGCACCGTTACCTCGGTTTCATACATGCTATGTATATGGCTGGGTGTTTAGTAGGGCCATTTGTGGCGACGGGTGTTGCATCTGCAAATGCTGATTCGAAGTGGTCCCTTTTCTATGTTTTCCCACTTGGGATTGGGATTGCAAATCTGGTTACTGTTGGTGTTTCGTTCAGTGATCGGATGGCTTCTGCTTTGTCTTTGATTTCTGGTGCCAGGAGGGAGAGAAATGCTAGTGGGGCGGCATTGAGGGAGATCAAGGATACGCTTTCTATTTCTGGGGTTTGGTTATTGAGTTTGTTTTTCTTTTTCTTCCTGGGGGCTACTATTACTGCTGGAGGTCTGTCTTCCCACTCTTTGTTCGATAGTCGTTTCTTTGTGTTTGCTGACTTTGTTAGGCTGGATGGTCGAATACCTCGTAAATGTTCGCGATGGAGATGTCAAGCAGATGGGTTATGTCCCGGCAGGCTTCTATGGAGGTGCGTTCCTTGGACGACTTCTTTTGGCAGAGCCTACCCATCGATTTGGGGAGCGGCGGATGATTTTCATTTATGCTGTGCTGTGCTTGGGATTACAGTTGGTATTCTGGCTGTGAACATCACTCCTTCCTCTTTGATATCAAGGTGTACTAGCCTGAGACAGTGTCCCGAACATCATTACCGAAGCAGTGGCTGTCAGTTTACTCGGTTTCTTCATGGGCCCATTCTTTGCAACGGTTTGTCTTTCCAATACCCTCACTCATATGTGAAGTGACCACGAACTCATGTTTGGTATAGGGCATATCGGTAGGCACAAAAATCTTCCCGCCAGAACTTCAATCTTCCGCAATTGGTAAGCCTTCAGAATTGCATCCCATCTTGTATCTAAATGACCGACGGAATAGCATTCGTCTTCGTCTTCGGACAGATTGGCGGCTCGATTTTCCCCGCCCTAACGGGTATCATTGCCGCCAGAGTCGGTGTGCAGGTTTTGCAACCTATGCTTGTTGGCTTGATCGGGGCGTCGGGGTTGAGTTGGTTGATTTTGCCAAAGGATGCCCCGTTGCATCGGGATTAAGAGTCGACAGGGTTTGGTGAATGGTGGTTAGATTCTTGCATGAGAAGGTGAATCTAGATGAGATTTTGGTGTTAGTGCTAGAGTAGAAGGCCTCCAAGAAGGTTTTCATGGCTAGTTCCTAGTATAATCTCATTCATGAAAAAAGACGTAGATAAGAAGCAGCTTTTGGCTCGTAGGTGATTATATACATATCCGATCAAGGCGGAAACCCTTATAAAAACAAAGAAGGAAAATCATCTCTCTCGTTCAACCGTTCAACCTTCACAGCCGCGACAACTTCATGTGACGGTTCACATCTTTATAAAGCAGGTAGCGGAACTTGCCGGGGCCACCAGCATAACAAGCCTGCGGACAGAAAGCACGCAACCACATGAAATCACCAGCCTCAACCTCCACCCAATCCTGGTTGAGACGGTAAACAGCCTTACCCTCAAGCACATAAAGACCATGCTCCATAACATGAGTCTCAGCAAACGGAATAACACCACCAGGCTCGAAAGTAACAATAGTAACATGCATATCATGGCGCAGATCAGTGGGGTCCACAAAGCGAGTAGTAGCCCAAGCGCCATTAGTATCAGGCATGACCGTCGGCGCAATCTCCTTCTCATTAAGGAAAAGCGGGGTTGGGTAATCAAGACCGTCAACAGCCTCGTAGGCCTTGCGAATCCAATGGAAACGGGCAGTCTCTGCGCCCTCGTTGCGAAGTGTCCAGCCGCTCTTTGGTGGGAGGTATGCGTATCCGCCTTCGGTGAGGGTGTGCTTTTCGCCACCGAGGGTGATGGTGATTTGGCCCTCGACAACGAACAACACGCCTTGTGCGCCGTCGTCTAGTTCTGCCCGGTCACTGCCACCGCCTGGTTGTACTTCCATGATGTACTGTGAGAATGTTTCGGCGAAGCCGGAGAGTGGGCGGGCAATTACCCATAACCGTGTCTTGTCCCAGAAAGGGAGGAAGCTTGTCACGATGTCACTGAATGTGCCTTTGGGGATTACTGTGTAGGCTTCGGTGAACATGGCGCGGTCGGTCAGGAGCTGGGTCTGCGGTGGCAGACCACCGGTTGGTGCATAGTAGGCACCGATCTTCTTATCGTTGCCCATGGCGGGGTTATTTAGGTGGGGAGTGGAATGTTGTTTTCAATTGAGAGAGAGGGTGGGAAGTGAGAGAGAGTGGAAAGGTAGAAGTTCAATTGCATTAGCTATGGGAGATAAGAGACATTTAATAGACTTTCCCCGTCCACAACGCCGGCGTTGGCCGAGTACTCGGGTTAGACCGACGGTCCCAGCCGTAATGCGGGAAAACTCCGACCTCGGGCGAGGAGCCTAAAGGTCACCAGTTGCTAAGTTCCTGCTTTTACCGCCTGCTGGATGCAGCCTTACCGCCCAAGTATCAATAGCATTGAGTGGCTGATATGAGTAATGCCGACAGAATAACTAGCGCGGTACTTACCCTCCGCAATTACAAGATAACGTTACTGTATTAGTTAGGTATAGGGCGGTGCAGATGCGTTAGCTATTCCGAGGAACCTCAGTCAACTGAGCTAAAAATTACTATACACTGCATGAATTACTTATATGTATGTCCAGGAGAGTCAAGATCTCCAACGCTGCACGTGCACGTTTACCTATCTTTTGAGTCTCCAACGTTGTAGATATCCGACATCGAAGATTGCCGCTTTGAGTCTATATTCGTGTAGAATGGATTCAAATACAGCACTGGTAGATTCAAGATAAGAAAAAAAAGTCGCGAGGTCGAACGCAAAACGTATGCATAAACATATAACATTAATCCCGCAGGGGAAGTCTACAGCTAACAGTTTTATTGAGCAGTGATAACTCGATCCTGGCTTCGTAGACCAAAAGAGAATGCAAGCTATGCTCAAATTTGGGGTAGTTTCACAAACCTTCTATAAGATCCCCACAACTTACACCGTGATATAGGCAATAGATCCACGATTGGAAGCTTTCGCGCCGTCATTTTCTTGTGAATGTAAGCGGTTTTTTTTTTTTTTTTTTTTTTTTTGGCAAAACAGTGCTTAATTGGTACCTTCCTTTGCTGATTGCCGTTTTCCTGATTGCCGTTTCCTGAGTCCGAACTGCCTCAAAATCCGACGTATAGTAGAGGGTGACGGGTGCTGAGATATCACAGCACTGAGCTGTTTATAAGTCCAAGACGAATGCCGACCGGCCTGCAAATAGAGAAAGCGACAAGCACGAGCAATCAGAATAGTCGGCCGGCCGGCCATGCATCGATTTTCTAGCTTTTTAGTTTCCGAGTAGCGCTTAGGCGTATTGTAGATTGTCTTGCGGGAACAGCCGAAATCATTAGCTAATTGCACCTGCGATGCGCCATTCTCGTGGGCGTAGACAATAGCTGACCTTTGGGCTATAGATAGCTGCTTCTTTTTGTTTATTTTTGGTTCTGTTTTCATTGTAATCGGAGCAGGAGGGGAGGTGTAGGAGGGAAAGGAAAAAGGTGAATTGGTTGTTGGGCCAATATAGTGGGGTGAGAACAATTTATGACTAGTATCTGTATCTCACGTTTCTTTACGTCCTAGAACCAGATATAAGCTGTTGTAAGAAACGCAACAGAATTGCAAACCTCCTAATGACTGTTGTTTCGGAATGAAGCTGTAACATCCCATTTAGTGTCCTGTTTGGATAGACCACCTGCTTGCATGGGCCACTCATTTTTCGAATAAGTGAAATATAGAGCTAGATATGACAACGGATTCTGATATTAAACAAGCAATAGCACAAGATAAAGGAATTCAGTTAGTAATATTACACAGAGATCCACGTAAGGTTCGGCACCGGGCCGACGGCGTAACCAGTAATTCAACTCAAACCATAAGAAAACATGACTGAGCATTACCGCATCTTGTTTATTTAGTGCAGAATTTCAAGCGGAAGGAAACAACAAACACACCCAAGGCGCCAGGGTATAAACCGTCATTACATCATAACATCACACGAACAACCAGATCCAGATCCAGAAATAAGACACCTAAGTGCCTAATACGAACAACCGTTCAGATCCATAATAATCCATGACCATAATCCAAAGCGAAGAACAGAACAGAGCACGCTAATCGAACAAACCACCACTCTTAAATAAATAAAACAAACCCCTCAAAAGACATCCTCAGGCCACTGATAATCCTCCAAACCACCAAGAAGACGAACAGAGCCCGGTTCAGGCGAGAGAAGGGCCGCAGGGCGCTCAGGGCATGAGACCGGTCTCTTGGTGGGTGATTCAGTCTTGTTCTTAGTGACTTTGGCAGCGTTCATGCGCAGTTCCTTTGGGAGGGGTGGGACGGGAGGGACGTCCTCGTTCCGTGTCAGACCGTAGCCGTAGCCTCTCTGATATCCCGAGGGCGGTTTGGAGGGAGAAGGGCGTGGACTACGGTCTGGTTTTAGGGTTCGGTGGGATTGGAGGTAGAAGGATCGGTGGGAGTCGGGTTGGTTTGTTGGGGTTGTTGGTAGAGGCGAGAACCAGATATCAGTATTGGACCGATCTGAGGTGGCGGATTCTGAGCGCAGGATTGGCTGGCTTGGTCTCATACGGAGAGGGGTTGAGGGCTTTAACTTTGGTGAGCGACTAGTCGTGGAAAGTCTTCGGGATCGAAGAGAGGGAGACCTTTTGTTGATTTGGTTGCGGTCTGCGCCGCTTTCTTTGATGGTTTTGGGGATCTCTTTTTCGACCATTTCTGGGATCGGAGTGAGAGCGGCGTTGTCGATGGCTTGCTTGCGCTTAGCTGAGCCTGGGCTTTCGCCTGCTTCGGACTTTTGCCATTTTGCTTTGTTCGGGGGGCTGAGAAGACCGAAGTCGATCAGTTCGTCGAATTCGTATTCGGGTTCGAGATTGGCGTCGCCGCAGTCCGTCTGACTGGGTTGAGAAGGGCTCCGACTATCGACTGATTCAGGAATGGGTGACTTCCGTTTACGGGAAGAGCTGTTCTTACCCATTGACGACGGCCGGGCCTCTTTCGAGCGGCGTCTTGGAGTTTTGGCCGCGGCCGGACTTTGAGCTGGGCGTGGCTCTTGGAATGAGAAGCTTTCTCGGTCTTCCATAGGTGGCAGGGCAGTCACTGTCACTCTGGTCTCATTGAACCCAGACGCTTCTGCTTGCTGATCCAGAAGTCTCTCCGATGGAAGGGTAGGTAGAGCTCCAGGGACGAACTTCCGTGGGAATGATGCAGGATCAATTTCAGTGTTGACAGGCTTGGAGGGTGGGGTCGGGGCTGGTGTCCGCTCCTCATTGCCAGTCAACTCACGAAGCTCCCGCCGAGCACGAAGCAGCTTCTCCTCGAGGTTGCTGACTTTCTTGAGCAGCTTTGCTTGGCGAGACAGTTCTCGACGAGAGGGTTGCTTGCGAAGACCCGTAGGCTCAGACTCGTCCGAGGTCTTGTCACAGTAGACCGCAGGAGCAGCAGAAGGTGATTCATGAGGCTTGTTAAAGAAATTCATACGCAGATCTTGCAAAGAGGAGCGTTTCGAAGCCGAAGAGTCAGAACGCGAAGGCACAGCCCGATCGTGGCGGTCAACAGAATGACGACGCGAATCCTTGGCGGGCGAGCCATTCTCCATCGTCTCCTGAATAGCCTGCCAAGTCTGATCCGCATGAGAAGTATCGACACCATGAGTCTGGGTATAAGAACCCTTATTGGTACCCTTGTAACCAGCCTTCTTCAACTCAGCATAAGCAGCCTCGGCCTGATTGATAACATCCTTCTGCGGCGACTTATTTGCGTCCTCAGAAGTCTTGCCCCAACCACCAAATGGATTGAAAGCCGATGCAATAGCCTTCCCAAAGCGGAAAATACCAGACGAACGATTCGGCCCAGCAGGCTTCTGATCACGGAAATAAATACTAGGCGGCTTCTCACTGACACTATCACTCATAGTGGCCTCCACAAAACGAGACGTCCGACCACGCCGATTATGACGGGGACTAGAAGAAGAAGCAGCAGCAGCAGCAGCGTGTCTCGCACGCAACGAAGCCAAAGATCCACGAGGCGAAGCACGCGGTGAAGCACGCGGTGAAGCACGCGGCGAAGCCTTATATCCAGGTCCAGCATTGCTGGCGCTCAAGTTGCCATTATCACTCCGGTTGGCGCGGCGGTCATTTGCGCCATCGCTGGAACCATAGTCTGCAGCTTCATCAGGCAAAGGCCAATCATTAGATTTGCGGCGCTTAGCCAGGTTTGCTGTGAGCGAGCCCGAGCGGTGCTCGTCCTGGTCAGCCTCTTCTGCGTCGTCGAATTGGCCAGACACATCCGAACTCCAGTCGTAGTTGTCGTCATCATCTGAGCGCATGTGTTTGCGCGAGGAGCGCTGCGCGGGGCTTGGGTCATGGTCCATTTTGGACTTGGACTTTGTCTTGGTCGCGCGGGATATCTGAAGTGCGCGCAGGGTTGGTCAGTTTCGTTTCTTCTTATGGGTTATGTCTGGTGTGACCTGTGATCCCTTCCGTGGGGATTCGGGCAAGGAGACTGGATACTGGATACTGGATGCCATACCTTTGCGGTGGGGTTGTCCTTTGCCATCCCTGCTCCGCGCGCCCTTGTTGAGGGGGAGATATCGCGAGACTGGGAGAAGGGGCTGTAGCATAGAAATATGATGCTGAGGAGAGAAGCAGAATAATAAAAAAGTAGAAGAAAGAGCGTGTTTGAAATAGATGGGATGGGCAAATGTACTGGGTTTGTTTACATACTCCGCACTTGCCAAGGGGGGAAGTTTGTTGTGGTACCTGGTACCCGAGTCACCCGCACTTCGCCCACTGTCCGTCAAGTACCCGCTACCAAAGAAAATATAGAATGTCTGCTAAATTATTGGCATATTATTGTCATCTTGTATATCCCGTACCTTGCGGGGAGTCGATATGTCCGATCAGTCCGCGTGTCTCAGACATGTGCTTGTGAGGAATGCTGATACTGTTTACATGGACCTTTCCTCTAGAGATTCACAGGCATTCTGCTAGATTTGTGCAAAGGATTGATTGAGGTAACAATGCTAGGTATCAGGGACATGCCAAACGCCGATGTAAAGAGTATATTAGGCCTTCGAGGATTCAAAGCAAGGGAGGCTACCGCAACGTCTCAATGCAGTTTCATCATGAGACCCGCTCTGACTGTCCATAAAACAAATAATCACTATGCCGCCCTTTTGAAAATCCTATAAACCAGCCCATTACCTAAGGTAATAGAGACGAAAAAAGATGCAAAAATGACACGGGAAAAGAGAGCAAAGATGAAGCCAGGGACGGAAAGTCCCTGTAGATCATAAACATCATCCCCGTTGGCGTCCGAATCGGGAAGGGATGGAATTTCCCTGATTGCACGGCTTGGGATGAAAGGAGCAGTGTGCCTTGCGCTTGGCAAGAGGGTATTCAAGAATGGTGTACTGTAGGTCTGTAGTTCTTAGGAATGATGCGATTGGAAGGGATCACAGTGGCCTGTTCCTGAAGAGAGAGCTGTGCAATGCGTCGAGAGTTCTAAGGCTCAAAATGCAGCAGTGAGAAGGAAATCATGTCATGTACAATAAATGCAAGTGACCGTGTCAGAATCCGGTCCACTGACTGGTTCGTCAGTCATCAGGCAAGCCCAATGCGAATAAGTCATGCTCAGCCATTCGGCAAATGCACTTTAATCTCAAGTCGGCGGAGGAGCTTTCTGTACAGTGCGGCCGTTGGCACGCTTGTAGGACATTTCAATGCCCATTTCAGCCATCAGTGCTGCCCGGCTCTCGCCAGCGAAATCGCGGTAGGCGGGAGGATAAGGCTCAGCATCTGGCCGCATACCATTCTGCATAGAGCGCTGATCAAGTCCGAATGAATCTTCGTGGGATCGCTTTCCGTATGCTGGACCGGTCTGGTATAGCATCCGCTTCCCTGAGACATTGTCGTATCCTGGACTTGGAGACGTGCATTCCACCGAGGGAACAACCTGATTGGAATATTCATTGGGAAGAGTTTTCAGAGGCGGCAATGCCGACACCATGCTCGGGGCCTCAGTGCGCGACACTGCTGCTTGTGGCACTGGGTGGTAGAGGTTCGGGTCCGGCATGCGAGATTCCATGCGTGATTCCATACGGGGATCCATGTAAGTCGGTGCTTTTGGTGGTTCCATGCGAGGCTCCACGTAGGATGATTGCATTTTTGGCGGCTCCATGCGAGGGTCCATGTACGGTTGTGCTTTGGGCGGTTCCATGTGGTAGGAAGTCACCGACGGCTTAGGGTAGCCCATCCGTTGCTCGGGCATCCGAGGTGCCATGGGGTACCCACCGGGCGTCCCTTCATACTCGGAAGCATTGGATTGGTGTCGAATTTGTGCATATGTATGTTGCGGAGAATACATCCCTGATGATACAACTGGCGGAGGTGTAGGGGGCATGTGCGGAGCCGGGTAGTGAGTTGGCGTAGAACCGAATGAGAGGTGTGACTGATATGAAGGTGTTTGGGAGTGGGAAATGGGCGCAGGTGGCATAGGTCTTTGATATGGTTGCGGGCACTGGAAGCCATAATCCGGTGCAGATGGCCGGCGATCCGGTGGAATAAACCCATATGGCGATTCAACGACGCTGCCGTTGCTATTTGATCGAGGACGGTCCATCGCAGCCGCGTAGCGATCCGGTGTCGAGAATCGATCTGTAGGTCGTGCATAAACGCCGGTGCGTTCCTCGTCGAATTCGTAATCCTCCTCTCGCTTGTCTCCCCGACGTCTCATGCGGACATCACGACGGATACGAACACGGCAGCCCTGCTCAGCAATGATGCGACTTAGAGATGTGCTAGTCGCTAGGCCCGGAAACTTCTTCGCACTGTAGACTGTGAACGGTACTGACTTGACCTCGAGGCGGAAATGCAGGAATGCTTGTGGCGAATCTGGCTTCGCTCCGCCGACAGGAGTAATCTGGTTAGGCAGAGGAAGATTCGAGTCTCTATCGGCATCCTTGGCGTCCTTGATCTCTTCATACAGGTGGAAGTTCAACCGATACCGTCCTTCGTGGCGCACCGATAGATCTGGGAAGATGAAGTAACCCGCTTGCGATGGACGGTCAAGGTACGCGATGCCAGCGACTGGCACACCAGTCAAGACCGGACAAGACGGCGGTCCAGATACCCGCCCGTGGGCGATAGGGCGTGCAGTATCCAAAGTCGCGTAGAGGAAGAAGTTCGCATTGTAGGCAAAGGTGATATCGGTCTGATGGGCTTCGTTGGTGGGATCGGACTCGAAGATACGGAGTTCGACGACCGGCGGAGGATCAACAGGGCGACGGTCGGCAGATGCTATACGAGATTTTCAGCGACCGGCGACCACGGCTCGAGGCTCGAATTCTTGGGCTTACACTTTGCTCCTGCACCACAGGCTCTGGCCCGCTCAGGCTGCTGCATCACACTCAATTTGTAGGTAAGCTGTTTGCCCTCTCGAGTTATCCGGCTGACCGAGTGTTCGGTCTCATTATGAGGCGGCATCATCGGTGGTCTAGTCGCCATTTTCGCGGATTGATGCTGTGATTCCAGTGCTTGCCAGTATTCTGCCGGGCGCAATATCAGCAACACGTCCGAGTGCGATGATGCGCGGCGTACAATCCCACAATTGAAAAGCAGGACCCAGTAACGAAATCAGGGGGGTTCAGCGGTAATCCCCCCAGCTGAACACTCCTCAAGGATCAGACAATCGAATCAGGTTGACATACGAGATGAAAAGCAGGTTGCGAGAGAAAGAGAGGGGGAGAAGTCACACTAGTGGGTACTTCGTAATGGTATGTAATTTACCTCTACCAACGACTAAGCATAGGAAGATACAATAATTAAGTTATAAGTTGAGTTAACTGACATACTGTAGAAACAGGGAACATCTTTCCACTAATGTTCAATGTAATTCCACGTTACCCAGTTCCAGTCCCAGTCCAACGGACCGGAGTCCCCTATCCGCACTCTTATTCTATGTGTACCCCCCTTCTATCCAATCCTACCCATTTCCAACGCTTGAAAGAAGCTCACCCACATCCATGGAAACTTTGGGGTTTTGTCAAACCATGGCTTGCCGACTAAATTCTCTATTCCAGGGCTGTTAGTTGAACCTGGGTTTTGGTCTGGAGTTCCTATGGGAACTGGTACTGGTACATTACATGTCTTAACGTTCACGTTTGTGTTCCTTAGCTATCCCTACCGTATTATGTTGGGCCTACATAGTCTTAACCTAGGCACAGGGTACCACAAATTGGGCCTGCAGATGATTTACGAGAGGTATGGTAAGTGTATTTCTCTGAAACAGTAACTCGGGGAACTCGGATGAGGGCTTCTGCATTAGCTCTTCCAGATCGGTCTACTGTACAGTACTTAATGCTCCCTATATAAACTGCTATACAGGTGGATTGATCTTATTCCCATGAAATAGTTCCCAACCAGAACCTCTCATTCGGAATTTATACTCATTACCCGACATACTTATCGCAGTTGCATACGAAATGTTCGTGGCGCTGTGATCGTCTGCACTGGTCTGCACTGGATCGGCGCACCTCGATCTGTCTCGATTGACTTTTCTGTTTTTCTGTTTCTTTTTTGTGTAAATTTACAAAAATTCAAGTGCAGGGCTACCTACTGGCTCCCAATCCTTGATGGTGTAGAATAAGTATACAGTAAGCTGTGGGATCATACCATTGCTTTTTCGGGGATTCACCATCGCTATGATACAATGATAATCCGCTTATCATTACCACTTGCGAGCTGAATGATTACTGTCAGCATCCCTGATTCCTGTCTATCCTGGATCGTGAACTCGCACCTAGCCACAGGTGTTTCCAGAACAGGTTATAGTAACTAACACTAGATTTGGAATCGCTTTCAGAAGGAACGACTTTAGCGCTCCGTAGTCTCTTGGCGGGTAAATCTTCCAAGCAACAGCGTCCAGGACTTAACAGCATCTAGTAACGAGCGGAGTACTCTGTAATAGACATAGGGTAGTTTTAGTTCTAGACGTTGTGTACAGTACGATCATATCCACCCCCAGGCCTAGTCCACATCAGCAATAGCCGAATGTCTCTTTCGGGCAGGAGTCTCATTTCTTGCACATGAGTGTATGCAGGTGCAATGACGAGCAACCGATTACTAGTCGGAATACCGACTCCCTACAGTATTTCCTACTATAATGTATACTATACGGGCTCGGCTCCGAAACCCTGTCAAAATGGGCTGGTAATGCCTTGGCCTAGGTGTTGGCTCTTTGTTCGCGACACGCTTCTGAACGGGTGACTATCTTAGATAGCTAGCACTTACAATAGGTCGAGGATGCGAGGCTGCTTTTTGCGTCTGGGCTAGCGGAATAAACCTGGATAATGCAGCGGTCACATCAGGCTACAGGCTACGCGAGACAGTTCGCAATTTTTACAGAATCAAGGACTGGGATTGGACTAGAACAAGGACTGGAGGGCACTGACTCGCAAATGGGGGCAACGGATTGGATGAATTTGCGTGGCTGTACCGCTACTGCAGGTATGTTTGTTGCGTCTGATATTGATTGAACTGAAAAAAGTCCAAAGTAAGTCCAAAGTACGTGGGTGTAAGGCACATAGGGTGAGTCGCTTCGACAATGACAACCTGATATCAACAAGCATGCAAGCCATTGCCGAATACTCTCACGGTTAAATGGTCCGATTGTACATATTTGTTGACCGAATACCTGGCACTCGGGACGACTTTATTTCCACGATGGACGACCTTGCATAGAATGCGACCTGTCATTTTCTTAACCCTGTCTCTTTTTGATTTTCAGCTAAGCGAATGATCAGACCGCTAGTTTGATCCTTACGTTGCCACGTGGAATTATTCCCTGTCGAATCAGACTTGGGCCCCGGAGTTGGTTCGAGGGTGACATCAAGGACTTACTGTGTACAGTATAGCGGATCAGCGCGCTTTGGGCTTTGACGTTTGGAGGCCTTGGACATGGCCTGTACTGTTTCTACTGCAGTTGACGAGTCAGCCGGGATCTGCCGAGGTCGAATAGCATGATTCAGATATATGCATTCGATGTTATTTGGTCACAGTGGCTTAACTTATCTACAGTACATAGTCGTTTGTTGTCTTTTCCGCGAACGGTCCGATCGTGAGCGGAAATCCCCAAAGCCACCTTTACAATGTATCCACCCCCATTCCTTGCGGGACAAAGGTACATAAACTTGTACGGACTTGTACAAGCTAAGTGTAATTGGCTTTACAAGTAATGATTCAACCCACAAGTAAGTTAGAATTCGAATGATCTACCCGTCCCAGCTCTTTGGAAAGGAGACCTGCGTGGGTTCTATTGATAGTCAATGTTAATTATGTCAATATACGCATACCGTAGGCCCTTTTCGAATAACGTTCTATCAAGTGACATCTGTAGTAAAAGCTCCAGTGATATAACTTACAACCAGGTCTTTCTTGGCTCAACATCGTCTTATAACCTTCCTATTCGGGAATTTCCATGTGATCCGCTGGTTTCGGACGACAATCACTGGAAAGTATAAGTACCCGGAGTGAAACAAGTTTGGTCAAGCTAAGCTTGGGTATACTAGCTCGTTTGGGAAACTGTAAGCAAGCCATTTCTGGTGTTATAGGGTGTACTGCGAGGGTGTCTGCTGTAGTCTTTCGATTAAAAATTGTTTGATGTATTCGAGATACTCACGTAGTTTTATTCTGCAGAGGACATGGCTATGTTCATACTAATGTGTTGGTTTTGTATAAGGAAAATTCGGCAACACAGAAAGATATATAGATCAGCGAGGCTCAAGTCGTCTCGGGTGGTAATCATAAGCTATTGGACTTGAATAATTACATAAAACAATTCTCGCATCAGGTCATTGAGCTCTGTCATTATCGTAGAAACCTATATGCAGTGACTAGGGAGCCGTAAATAGATATAGTTGGAGCTGTTCATTGACATTATTATCACGTAACCAAGACAAGAAGTGTATGAGAAAGAATGGAAAAGCTTCTCATCAGAGAGAAGCTGTAGAATTATAAGCTAGCTAGAAATCAAAAAAATCAAAAATCTCCAATGAGTTATAGACGAAATGTAGATGTAAACCTCAATTCCGCTAACCAAAAGCCCATGATTGGTCCGGAGCCCAGGAACAATCGCGACACGACCACGCCGCGACTCTCCTCCTGTCACTCCTATGGATCTGCTAACAGTCCTACCTGGCTTCAAAACAAAACCATACCAACACCTCCTCCCAGCACTCGAGCGAACAAAAATCACCACCGTTGACTTGCTCACCATCGAATTCCTCGAAATCGCGAAACGCGCCCATGTACCCCCCGCAGACATTCGGCGGCTCTGCGACCGCGTTGTCGAGGCCCTCCATGCCGATATTGGCTTTGTCGAGCCCGAGCCAATCATAGGAGACTCAGACGGAGACGATGATGAAGAGGAAGAGCTGGATTCCAGCATACACCCGACTGGCCTAGTTCTTGGCCCTGCGACGAGTCGCACGGCGTCACAATGGAATATGATCAGCACCCTGGACCCCGCGATGGATGACCTGCTCGGTGGTGGGATTCCGACGGGATACATGATTGAAATTACGGGTGAAAGGTATGTACATGTACATGTTGTAGATGCCGATCTCGAGCTCTGTTGGACAGTTGGGTCTGACGTTTTACCCGTCTGCATCTAGTGGAAGCGGCAAGACCCAATTCCTTATGAGTCTTTGCCTAGCTGTCCAGCTCCCTAAGCCGTATGGTCTACGGCGTCGCGCATTATACATCTCGACCGAGCATCCGTTGTCTACGCCACGGCTTTTTCAGCTCATTGAATGTCATCCCATTCTCTCAACCTTGCCCGCTGAGGATGCACCGTCACTGGAAGATATCCTATCCATAAACGCCATGGACTTGGAAACGCAAGATCATATTCTGAGTTACCAGCTCCCTGTTGCAATTCAGCGCTATAATATCGGTCTAGTCATTATCGACTCGATAACGTCAAACTATCGCGCCGAGCACTCCTCCACCAATGCCATAGCCCTGGCAACACGCACCACCGAGCTCGCTAAGCTGGGCCATATGTTGCGTAACCTCGCTGTAGATGAAGATGTTGCGATAGTAGTCGCAAACCAGGTATCCGATCGCTTCGATATGCCTGACGTACCGGACGATCCAGATACTGATGATGAGCCCGCGTCACAAGAGCCCGTGCCGAGCCAAACCGGAGAGGATATTGAATTTCCTGATCCTATGTCTAATGTTTCAATGTCACAGCCTGCAATGTCAGAGCCCTCGATGGCCCAGCCGGCTATGTCACAACCTCCAATGCCTCAGCCTTCAATGTCTCAACCAGTGACCATGGACTTTGAAAATACTCAGCAAGCACCTTCTGACTCCCAAGATCCGCCTTCATCATCTGCCATTTCTTCATCTCAATTCTACGGGGACCACGACGAAAATACATTTCAACAGATGCACTGTGACACAGACCTCACGTTCAAACAAGCCACGAGTGTCCACCTCCAAGAACGATACTTCACCGGCTGGGGCGATGATTTCTCACCCCATGCATCCCTAAAGAATCCAGCCATGGGAATATTCTGGTCAAGCCAGATTGCCTGTCGCATTGCACTGAAGAAAGAGGAATCTGGGCACGAGATTGGAGCAGATGACGGTTCATACCCGGCATTCGCACCGGAAACAGAAGAAGCCGAACCAGAAAGTACAGAAGAAAAACCTATCACAGCATCTGAATTTCTCAGATCTTCCCAGAATCAACCAGACATCGAGCAAGTCGTCAATCTGGCCGAAATTCCCGCCCCAGAGTTCAGGGATAGAGACAAAACAACCCCTGATCACCAGCCTGGTTCACCGGATGGAACAGCCCCAGACCCAGATCCATATTCCCAGGATCAAGATCTCGACTACCCTCCCGATCGTGTCACGCGGAGAACAATGAAACTAGTCTTTGCGCCTTGGACAGGACCGACAGAGCACGAAGAAGACCTCTTACCGTCAACTCCACCAGGCATAACCGAACCACCGGCCGGCGAGGTAGATTTCGAGATCTGGGCCGGGGGACTGAGGAGTGTCAATTATGAATGAATCATCTGTCAGATATACGATGCCATGTTCAAGCTCATGGCCACGGTCATGAATTCATCTAGCCTTCGATATCACATTTGTTGTGATGATATGCATTTTGAGCTGGAGCATAGAAATATACCCATACCATTTACCACCATCAAAATACTATATACAGAAACAAAACAAAAAAATCAAATATGACCCTATACACAGAGACACAATGCTTAGAAACGCCGAACCGGCAAGTGGCGGAAACGGGTCGACCCCGCAGAAACCAAGTTTTGCCCGACGACCGTGACGTCGCTTTCTTCACTCACCGTGCGCCTTTTCTTTTCTCTTCCTTTTTTTTTACATACTGAAGACATACAGATGCAAAGCTTTCATACATGGATGACTCGTTTTGCACTGGGATCACTGCTTCACAGACTACCCCGTATCTGCTCGCGAAAAGGAGCACCTCCGTGTTGAGGACTTGCAGATTGGCACGAGACCACTGACGGTTGTTTGTCGATCGTGACAACTGGCATGGCATAGCCTGACTTACTTACTCTGTTGCCTGTGCTTAGTGCGGGTATTCTCTTCACTTTTCTCCTTTGAGTGCTGATTGCTAATGGGATGGACTGGAGTGCTGATGAACAGGGCGGTTATCTAGCTAAGATGGACAGATCGAGTCAACTCTTACCTGCTTGACATAGACTCAAGTCTTGAGCACCTTGTCGACGAGGACATACGACTACGACAAGGACGTGCTTGTACGCGAAGACAGAGAGAAAGAGAAAGAGAAAGAGAAAGAGAAAGAGAAAGAGAAAGAGAAAGAGAAAGAGAAAGAGAAAGAGAAAGAAAACACGCTTCAATTAATCACAATGAGATAGGTGAACAACATGAGAAACAAAATTCTCAATACGAACAAGATCATCACGTCTTCGCCATGCCATGCCATCACCACATCTTTTTTTGGTCTTGTTTTATTCTGATTTGTATCCAGCTATGCCTCTTCCTCTTCAACCTCTGCCTCCACCAACTCAAACGAGACGAACAACTGTGACGATCACGATCACGACAGCAAAGAGATGACAAAGAAAAACCATCAAATTCGATCTATGTCTCGCCAAAACTCACAAAGAATCTCGATGTATCCGTGTATCTGTGACGCAAGGAGTATACACAAGATTTCAAAAGAAGTCAAATCTGAAAGCGAAAATGTGAGGAGATAAAATCAAAGGAGAGAGAAAGAGAAGATAAAACCCGCAACGGAGTCACACTACATTAAACCCAGCAACAAAACAAGCAACCTAACAAGCCACCGAGGACCCATCTATTGAGCCTTGGCAGCCATCTTGGTAGGAGGAATACCGATACCGTTGGTGTTACGGTAGAAGAGCACACCCTGGCTCTCGCCAGTGGCACCCTCGGTAGGCTCGACGAAGTGGCAGACGCGGGCAGAGGTCCAGAGGGCCTTGAAGAAGCCAGTCCAGCCGGTGTGGGCTTCGGTGCGGTAGTGGCTGCCCATGACTTCCTTGATGGCGTCGCTGGCCTCGTCGGCGTTGTAGAAGGGGATGTTGCTGACGTAATGATGCAGCACGTGGGTCTCAATGATGCCGTGGAAGATGTGGCGGCCGACGAAGCCGAAGTCACGGTCGATGGTTGCAGCGGCGCCGCGGGCGAAGTTCCAGACTTCGGGTTGGTAGTGGGGGAGGGAGGGGTCGGTGTGCTGGAGGAAGGTGATGGCCACTATGAGATGTCAGCTGATGTTCTTCTATATGGATTTGTCTTACGGGGCAAAATTACCGAGCCAGTGGTTAACCCACAGGTATGGGATACCGTACCAAACCAGCAGGTTGAGCCAGCCGAAGTTGCTGCCGATGAAGTACAGAGCAGTGCCGGTGAGGAAGAGACCGAGGTCACTCAGGGCAATCAGCTTGGCGTCCTTAGCCTCGTACAGAGGGGAGGCAGGGCTGAAGTGGTTGACACCACCGCCCCAGCCGTTAGCCTTGCCTTTACCGCGGCCCTCGGGCTGCTTGGCGTGGTTGTTGTGGCCGGTAACGTTGATGAGGAGGTACATGGGCCAGCCGAACAGCTGCTGGAGCAACAGGTTGGAGGCAGTCAGGATAGGGGTCTCCTCCATAAGCTCGCCGAGCTCGTGCAGGGTCTTGCCGACGCGGGTGGCATACTGCTCACGGGTCTTGGGAACGAAGACCATGTCACGGGCGAGGTTACCAGTGGCCTTGTGGTGCTTTCCGTGGGAGATCTTCCACGAGAAGTAAGGGACCAGCAGGAGAGAGTGGCAGATCCAACCGACGGTGTCGTTCAGGACCTTGGAGGGAGAGAAGGCCTGGTGGCCGCACTCGTGGGCGAGAACCCACACGCCGGTGCCGACGAGACCCTGCACAATGGTGTACACGGTCCAAAGGGCGACGCGGGCCGGGAGGAAGGGAACAGTCTGGGGAGTGACATAGTTGTGGAAGAGGTAAAAGACCGAGGCCAGGATGGCCATGTCCCGGAAGACATAGTACATACTGGTGGCAGCGGAGCGGTGGAAGCAATGAGCGGGGATGGCATCGCGGATCTGCTTGATGGTATAGTCGGGGATCTTGAACTCGTTGCCATATGTGTCCAGCATCTTGCTAGCCTCCGCGTCCGAGGCCATGGACGACAGAGAGGTCGACGAGGGCGACTGGCGCGGGCTGTCGAAAGGTGAAGCCGAGACCGAGCTGGCCGCGGAGGACTCGGTGGCGGGGTTGCGGTGAAGCGCAACGCGCTTGGGGACAGCAGTAGACGACATGCTGAAGTGCTGACTTTGTTGACGATATATAGGAAAGGAAGATTCCCTTTAACCCAGAGGCAAGTGTCGGGGAGAAGTACTGGGGAGGAGTCAGACGAAGTTGGGCTAGCGCCGAAGGGTCTCACTCACGCCTAGGAAATGAACCAGAGACAGACAAGGGAATAAAAGCAGCTAAACAAAGCCCCCCAAAGACCAACGAGAGAGCAGACAATTGAAGAAAAAAGAGGAAAGCGAAGAAGGATAAAAATGAGCCCAGGGGTGTGTATTTTGCAATACCTCCCCGCAGTCTTGACTATAGGCGGGACTGTATTGTGGTATTGCAAATACATGCATGAACTCTTCCGATCCTTTCTCTTCTCCATGTGCAGACTGACTTTTCACTGGATTTCAGCAACGCCACTTCAGCTCTACATCTGATACAACCATTATTCTTCTCTGCTCTACATAGTCCATGGACAAATCCGTCCATTCCCATATCCATTATCCATACATAGGTGTTCTTCACGGAGTCACCGCCTCTCTACCTAAACCCCATTCGGGACCCCAACACTTTTTTTCAAATTTCCATTGTCACTCGAACACTCCAGAACACATTAATTTAATTATTTTTCTCGGCGATGAATCGGCCTACACTAATGTAGCTAACCATCTCCGGTCATTGTATTGACTCTGACCTATAACACTTCACATGTACGGTGAAGCTGTCTCCAGCACATGTGGATCGATCGACATGCCTCGGGTCATTTACGTGTAACCCTTTCGACCTGCGCGGATTGGTCTTCAATGTGGCAAGTAGTGCTTTTTCTTCTGCTTGGCTTTTGACGGAGTACGCTGATTGCTTATGCATGTGATTCGGGGTTTGGTTCCCAACTTTTGTCGGATTGTATGGATCCACCTTATAGTTCGTGAGGGTTTAGTGTATACACTGTCTGGATGTATAGACTCAACAATTGAATTGATTAGAGGTAATGAAATAGAACATTGTATGATATATGGTATGATCCAGGTAAGTAGTTAGAGAATGTATACACAATCACAGCAAAGAAGAAATAGCAAGGGGTTCGTTCCCAAAGCGCTTGTTGGGATTTTGTTGGGCCCCACAAGTGAAAATAACACAGGCACAAACAGCGCAAACATCTTTAAATTTCTTAGTTTCGCCACCTTAGATAAGATCTTATCTCCACTCCCTACCCTATAGGCTATACTATACAGTAGTTCGCTATGAAGTGGTCATGGATTGACATGGTTGCATGGTCATGCTGGTTCATTATCGTAGATTTACTTACTGCATCTCTCTATACACCAATCACACCACCGCCTCCACTCACCCCCCATCTCAATTAACCTCAGCCCTCCGCTCCGAATCAATCAACCAAGACCCTGCACCAGCGTGGCCCCCAGAAGCACTGAGACTCACCGTAGTCTTCCTCAAATCAGGAAGAACGAGGATGGTCTCTGCATGGTTCCGGTAATCAACTTCACAAGGGACCGAGCGGCGAGACGGGACGGCCGAGTCCGCAGGAGGTGAGGTAGGGAGCTGAGTCTGCGCTGGGAAGAATGTACGGATCTCTAAACCTGGCAGGAGGAGATGACCTGGTTTCTGGGGTAAGAGGAGGACTGTGAAGCGGGTGGATTCGCCGTCGTAGGCAAGGAAGTTGCCGCGCCGCCGACCTCCTAGTTGCCACTGCTCTGGATTGGCGTGTAGCTCGTAGGAGCATTCGAGGGGTTGGTCGGCTAGTTCGGAGTTGCGGGTTGCGGGCGAGGACCAGCGGCGGGTGTGGCGGAGAATTAGTTCAGCTGTTATCATTTGGCCGACGGCTGCATGGGTCGAGGGTCCTAGCTGGAGGTTCGGTTGGGGTTGCAGTTCTGCTGTGTGCACGACTCGGATTTCTGGGACGTCGACGGGAATTATTATGCGCCGGGTTGGGATTGTTGGCTGGCTGGGAAGGTGGATGGTTTGGTTTGTCTGCTGCTGTTAGTATGGGGTGGGGTCGATAATTCGGGATGAGTCTTACCTTGTGCCATTCCTTTAGCCACTGTCGTACATCCTCGGCGGGTTCTTTTAGTGCTCCCAGCAAGTCATCCCATCGTAGGCTTTTGTATGGTAGCATGTCTACCTCCCGAATGAGTCCAATGGCTTCCATGTCATTGGTGGTCAGCTGCCCGCGGAAGCTGCTGACCATGTGTGATGTAAGCAATGCGGCGTATTCACGGAATGGGCTTGAGTTAATTGAGTCAGCGAACCGCTTCTCAATTGCATCGATGCATTCATCGTCGACGCAGGTGAAATCGATGCTGAGACGCAGGCTGCGAGCCGCTAATTTAGCAGCATCGCCTTCATTCGGGCGGATCTTGTAGAGAAGCGAAGCAGGCTGTTTAGGGAAGACGTCGAGGGCGACAGGGCCGTTGATGCCAGGTTCCACACTGTAAATGTCCGAGCTGGGCAGACTGCAGTTTGTGATACGCAAGGGAACCTGAATGGCAGGACTGACAGTGAACCGTGAGAACAGCAGCTCGTCCTTGAAAATATCCTGAACATTGACCGAGATTGGCAGCGTAGAAAGAACATTGAACGAGGAAGACGAAGCAAAATGGCCTTGCTCGGTCTCGTACCCGATCTCTGCTCGCGCCGAGAGAGTCGTAAATGCCTCTTCCACTGTGTAGGGAATGCGAAGCCGGACGAAGGAATGTGCCGCCATTTGTGTGAACTCGATAATACCAGACTCGGAGTTGGCATTCACCTCGAGTTTGCCATCCACAACTTCTGTCTCCGTAAGACGAAGCCGTAGACCTGCAGTGGCTGGTCGGACACGAATTGTGCCGCTCTTGATATCATTTCGTCCGCTATTGAGTTCCAGCTCCAGCGTCCGCATTGACTCCAGATTAATCAAGTGTGGTGATACAATCTTCGCCTGGAGGCCATCGGCTGGAGGGTAACAATAGATATATGGCCGCTCATCGGCTTCTTCTGCTTCTTCCGTTTCCCGGAAGCCAACAGGAAGTGCAGAGTCCTGTCCGCTGTTAAAGTGGAAGACAAGATTGCCAGCCCTTAGCTCGAGACGATCTACAAAGTATTTGCCCTGCAGTGTGGTCTGATAATGGGTCAGTTATCAACAGCAACGGACGAAACGAGTAAGTACTTACCGAAGAGTCAATCAGGATCTGTGTCGATGACGACTTCACAATAAATTTAGACGAGCTCTCAACCCAATGTTCAGAGTTCTGAGAGGTGTTCGCGCTAACTAGACGAGCCTTGAGAGAATCAACTTCAATCTGCCGACCCAAGAGGAACCGCAGTGATAGCTGAATCTGGAAACCATCACGATCATGGAACAACCGAATAGCCGGATCGACCTTAAGATCGGCAAAGAAGTCCGTCAAAGAAGCCGGTATGTCTTTCTGGAGAGCCCCAGACGCCTCGAACAAATCGCTAACATGTCCATCCAACAATTCCTGCTCAGTCGACGGGATCGAATTGACTAGGGTCTTCTGCCTCACTGACAATTGCGCCTGCGCATATGAAGCAAATTTGGAAAGTAACCGTAGCAGCATCCGAACATATTCTTCGTTCTGCTTGAGTTCCTTCAAGCACCGAGCGTGGAGTTCCAACATACTTCCTTCCAGGATAACCCAGAATTTGGTACCGTAGAACGGAGCCATGCGATGGAAATACGAAGCTGCTGCCTCATAATCCTTCTGTCGGTATCGTAAAATGGCGATTTCAGCGAGGGCCGATTCAGCAGAGTTAACACGGTTTGCTGCCATATGATGGCGGATCAATCGGTCTGTAAGGTCCTCGTAGACCAATAAGAATGAATCTTTTGAGCCCAATGCAGCTTTCAGACCAGGAAGTTCAATGCCTACAAGCGACGACTGCTTGGTCTGTGAGTCTATCTCTGGCTTGGAAGTATCGTCATCTAAAGAGACCTCGGCCAAAGCACTCGCCCCAGAGCGATGCCGGTCATCGAAAAGAAGGTCAAGGTCGTTCCACTTCTCTGCCCAACCCCTTCTCCGGGCAATTTCTTCCAGCGAGCGTCGCGCAAGTAAAAGCAACTCCGCTCTGCCGGATGATAACTGCTCAGAGCCGGTCTTCTGTGTAAGAACAGGCGCAGGTTTAGGGTGATCCATAGTCGACCGACGCTGCAACAAACCCACATTATCAGAAATATCCTGAGTTACTGGTCGACCAGGGCGGCCACCCGCCGGGCCGATAAGCGAGCTTGTGCGACGAGGCACATTGGATTGAGATTCTGCAGCTGTGACAGCAGCCGCTTCACCGTTCTGAGCGACGACATGGAGAGAAGACTCGGGCAAACTGAGAGTCGGGGTGAAAGTCTGACTCAATACCTGGAAAGCTGCCGAGAATGCCCATGAAGAGACGAAATTGTTGATAACGTCAGTCTTGCCATCATGCTCTACGTCCGCCAGCCCGGATTGGAGATCAAAGCGAAGTGTACGCGCAGCCAGACCGATGAACTCTGTCGATCTTCCACAAACCTCGGATAGCAGAATGAGATTTTCGGGCTTCTTCTTGTCAATTTTGCCTGCCTGAACATCTGCAGCAGTCTCGTTGCCAAGGAGCGAGGGCGCGCGCGCAGCTCGGAGCAGTAGAGTCAATTGCCGAGCAAAGATGTATGTGCGGAAGTCGAAGATGGAGATGTCGCTTGCTAGGATCATTTCCCGGTAAGGCATCTTATTGGCATTGAGTGGAAACTCATCCGGCTGAAGCTCCGTGAATGGACTGGCATCGGTTTCCTCGGAGGCACCACTCTCCAATGCCTTCTTGGCCATCTCTGTCCAGTTCTTACTGGTAGTCAAGAGTGCACCGCCATGCTGATCCCCACTTCCCTCGATTTGATCTCGAATAGCAGCATCCAGCCCAACTCCTAGCTCATCATACCCTGCCAATGCATCTTCAAAGAGGCCCACATTCTCGAAACCCCTGGCCAGACCTTCTTTCAGGATAAAGAACGTGCAAAAGTTCCACCCGGGCAGACTACGCTGAGAGTCTTTCTCCTTGATATCTTCCTCATACTGAGCCACACGGAGATCGAATGATGCCAGAATGCCATTCTTGATTTTATCAATCAGGTCCTCCAATTGTTCAGCCAATTCAGGAGACTTGACCCCCGGCTTCGGAAGACGCAATTGAGCCACCCGGTCTACAGCAGACTTGGACGACCCATTGAAGTCTGCTTTCGCCTTCTCCAGCACCGATGTTGACCCCCGGCCCCATTTGGATGTGGATGCGGCTGCCTTCTCCGCAGCTTCACCGTCCGGCACCACGTGTAGAATCAACCACTCGAACGCATCGTGCTTTTCCTGGTTGGCAGTCGCAGACTGCGAGCTTTGTGAAGACGCATTGGCCTTAATCCATTCACGCAGGTTCCGTCGTGCTGTGGTTTTGTAGGTCTCGTTGTCGTCGCAGCGGAGGAGGTAAATCTTCAGGTATGGTGTCTGCCGTAGACCGGGAATCTGATGCCGGCGGTGGGCGACTGCGCCGGAAGCAGCATCGCTAGAGGACTTACGCTCGTTTGATTCTTGCGCGGGCGTGAAGCCAATGCGAAGCGACTCAATTGAACGTACGGGGCGGGTTGGTGATTTCCAGTGGAGGTTCTTTAGAGGTAGTTTTGCTTCGATAACTGGTTGTACAAGCGGAAACAGACCAGATGGATCCGTGTATTCAACTGTGAGGAGGTCATTGGTTAGTGCGAGCTTCTGTCTCAATCACCGCTGAGCTTACCCGTTACATTGCTTGAAGCTGCCTGTGAAGGGTCCATGATTTCCCAGGCGAATTCGGGAAGTGACGGGTTATCTCCAGGGCATTCCGCTCAAATTAAGAGTAGAGGAGCTTGCACGCGATTCTAGTGAGCTCGGAGAAATGTCGCGGGGTGAGGTGTTCGGAGACATGTGTTGACTGCGACGCACGGCCGCGTCTTGGCGTTCTCCTGAGTAGGCTGGAGTATAATTCAACAGACACGCAGCCAACTTATAATTGTCTCTTTTCCAAAACCAACCCACAAACTATGTAGTAAACTATAGAATATATGATGTCCTCAAAGTTTATTCAAGAGCCCGTTTCCTCTATCACCGACAAATGATGTCTAGAGAGGTCACCCAACGAAGCACAACTTTCTCAGTGAGTAACAAAGACTCAAGAATGATAAATGAGACTGCTCACCCTGCAAGTGCCATAGTGGTAAGAAGCTCTTCTTCGAGGATTTTCACCGCAAACTCAACTCCTTCTTGTCCATGATAGTGCAAAGGTATATTCGTTAGCTTAGGTTACTGATCTATATCACGAGAGACCACACACAGCAAGGCCCCAGATAGAAATTCTTCCAATGAAGCAAAAGTCTGCACCCAAAGCTAATGCCCGAAATATATTAGCCCCCCGGCGAATTCCGCTGTCAAATCCAATCTTGATGCGTCATTTTGTTAATCGGAGCGCATTCACCAAGGCGTCAATTGGTGCTGGAACACCATCTAGTTGTCTTTCTCCGTGGTTCGAGATGGCTACACCATCAAGGCCGTAATGGATTGCTTCCACGACATCATCTGGACAACAGACTGGTCTTCATTAACGTCTTAGAGTGCGTATGCCTAAGCTTCATACTTACTCCCTTTTAGCCAAGTCTCCAAGTTCGTATCCGAACCGGTCCGTCGACACCTAAAGCTATCGAGGACATCTCCGCACGCGAGAGAGCCGAATATCCAGACAAATATGACACCTCAACAACAACAGACGTGCTGCTCAACGAATGAACAGTTTACAAAAATCAAACGTACCGTTCGCAGATGGTGAGAAGGTGCCGACTATATTCCTACAATGTACTGGGATGGAAGTCCATGCACTTTGCACTATCACAAAATTGAGACAGGTTCTCCCCCATTTAACGTGAGATGAGGACCGCCTCTACTTTTATCCAGGAGCATGAGATAGATACCGACGGCAACAAGGAGGGAGGTTTCAACCGGAAACTCATCAAGAATGTGGTCCTTTTCGTCGAAGTGGAATCCATCGAGACTTCGCGATAAAGAGGCGGATTCACTGCATAGTATGTGATGATTCCTTCCCATGATAAAACTGAATACAGATTGCTAACATGACCCTCAAGGAATCCCGATATGATACAAGTGAGGATAATAATTTATGTTGCCGCCTTTGGAGATGGCAGCGGCTCGAAGGAATCGGTCGACATCTTTATGCAGTTCTCTTGGGATGTTGCCAGCGAGGATGACGATTTCGATATTGATACCTACGGAGATGGTACTGGGGCGACACATTACAATACCTGTTTGTTTGTTTTTTCATCTGTGTCGCGGCACCTTTGACCATATGTACTTATTCTATTGTGGAGAGACCTCGTAGTCATATGAAACCAAGAAGATAATGAAATCAATCGCGGGTAGTGAGAAGGTAGAAAGTAATAGAGAGATAAAACAAGTCTTATGCTAAATCTGTACATTTGGATGCTACTAGAAGGTGCAACATAGTCTCATGCCGCGTCATTATAAACAGAAAGGGGACAAAGAGAAAAAAAAAGAAAAGAGGCAAAAAAAAAAAGAGATAACCGACAGATAATCCAACGGATTAAGTTATATGAAAGTTCAGTCGCTCAGGGGAAACGCCATAGAGATATATGACCAAAAAAAAAGAATACTACCGGTAATCTAAATGCCCATTTCCACAGCCCGCTGTGTAGAGCGAGCCTTCACAAATTCGAAGCTGTCCGTGACGCCTTGCCAGATTCCGGGTACATAATTGCGTACCCATGCGCAAATAACCAAAAGAAGAAGGGGAATCTAGATAGATGTGTTAGTTGTGAACGATAAGAGTGGGGATGGAGTGTGGTTACTTACCCAAATGAAGTAGAGGTTGCGGTCGTTGCCTAGACCCTTCATTCGTCGGGCCTGTTGTTCTCGGAGATGCTTCTGTTGCTCACGCGAGATGACCTTGCGTCCGATCGTCACCTCTTTGAGCTCTTCCTTGTCAACCTGAGCCAAGGCAGGAACAGAAGCTGATGCCGATGATGATGCCACGCCGGTAGCGCTGCTTTGGACCTCGCTCTGGGCCTCGAAATGTTGATCCAGAGCTGCCTCGGTTGCGGCGCGAAGGAGAGATGTCTTCTTCATGTCGTCGTCGGCATTGTTCCCTGGGCGAGGATACAGCTCATCGTATGATGGTGGTTGGGTTGGGCTTGGTGCCGAGTTACCTTTCAGGTAATCCCACCAGCCATCGCGAGCAGCAGGCCGGTGAGGAACAAGGTTGGTGATGCGGCGCATCATGCCCTGACCTTGGTAATCTGGAAGGGCAGGAATTGCGGGGATCGCAGGCATTGCAGGCATCTGGGGTAGAGCCGGAATGGTGGGCCAAGCATTCGCCACGCTGTGCTGGAACTGGTTGATTTGGACAGCCAGCTGATCCCGCCAAGCGACAAGAGGGGCTGGTGGAGCAAAGGCTCGCGCATGACCAGGTGCAGCATTTTGTTCACTGTTATCCACAACAGGAGGAATAACATCTTGATGCATGCTCGAACGACGCGAAGAGGGGAAGTGAAGAGAGTTCGAGTCTGAATCATCGCTGGAATCATCCTCATCGTCAAAGTCCTCCGAATCATCAACAGCATGACCAAGAGAGCCCGAGGCCGATGAAACCTCCCACATGGAGCTGAGCGAAGCTGAACTACTTTGCCGGCGACGAGATGTGAGGGAACCAACGCTGCGAGACCGGTGGTGGCGGGATGGAAGAAGGGCAGCCTGGTGTGCTGCAAGGGTTGTCGCCAAGTCGGCGGCAGTGAAGCCCCGAACACTGCGGGCATTAGCGTTGGCACCGGTCAGACGTAGGCGGTTGACGATATGGGCATGGCCATTGAGTGCAGCCAAATGCATAGGCGCATTGCCGGTGTTGTCCTGGACATCAGGGTTGGCACCCCGAGCCAAAAGCCCAGCAACGAATCTAGTCAGTCCCAAAGAAGCAGCGAAGTGAAGAAGACTCTGTCCTGTAGCACTGCGAGCATTGTACCGTGGAGAACGTGGGCTGTCGTCCAAGTCAATGAATTCCAAGTATGTCAGCATTTTAGAGTCAAGATCGCTGAGCTTGCCCTGGTTTTCAAGTCCGGGGACTTGACGTTGCTGACCACCAGTAGAGTTGCCTTGCATGTCACCCTGCATGTTGAAGAAGGCATTCGGATCGCTTCCCATAATCTGCTGAGCCGTTTGGAATGCGTCCGCCTGGCTTCCCAGCTTCTGACCAAGGATGTTGAGTGCCAACCTGTACATTTGAAGCTCACGATCATCCACGTAACGGAAGAACAGCTGCTGCTTCGGCATAAGGGGCTGAGGCTGCTGAACTTGACCAAATGTCGGGTGCTCGTGCTTGAAGACTACAGACACCAAACCTGGCTGGAGAGCAGGGGGAGTCAGGCAGTTGAGACACTTGTCACCCCAGAACGTGGTGGTTGTTGCAAGTGTGTCACCAAAAACAACCTCCATGCCGGGATAAAATCCGCTACCCAACAAAGTCACTTCAGTACCTCCAGTGATTGAGCCCTCGGCAGGCACCAACTTGTGAATGACCGATGGCAATCTATTGGGAGCATTGTTAAGTGGAGGCCAAACCTGGCTTGATGAGTTCGCACCAAGTCCAAGAGCGAGGTTTGGATCCTGGAAGCCATTGCGATTTGAGCCACCCGGTGTCCCAGGACGACTAGGGTGGGCAGAGCCAGGTGCAGACCCCATAGGAACTTGAGCCAGGCTGTCCAAGCTTTGACGCTGGGCGGGAGTAGGGTTGAAGAAGGGGTTGTTGTCATTGGTTTGGTTGGGAGTCGGGGGGCCGTTTCCATACTGCCCGTTCATCGAAGATGGTGTGACGAAAGGCCGTTCGGTTGGTGAAGCATAGCCACGAGCGGCTGCGATTTGTGCGGCATTATTCATTGCTGAGGCAGATGACTGAGGGGTCTCAAGACGTGTCATCGTCAGTTCAGAAGGTAGCCTTCCAGAACTGCTGTGCTTGCGTCGTTTGCTTTGTGGCCCTTGGAATTCAGATGGCGAAGCTCCTCTAGAGAGACTTCGAGATGATTGCGAGTTCACCGAGGCTCCATTTGCCGAGCCGTGAGTTGCAAATGAACTAGGCGTAAGTTGATATTGAGAGTTGAACCTTTGCTGGAGACCTTGCAGATCAGTCGGCGATTGGGGCCCAGCGAAAGGACTCTTTCCGTTCTCCATATTCTGCCCCGAGGGGAACACGCCGATTCCTGGAAGCTGTGTCCCATCCGCAAGTGAAGGCGAAGGACCAGCGGGCACAGGCGCGGAAGGAGCCTGGGTCTTGTGGTCGTCGGTAATCATAATCGAATTAGTGATGGCCTGGGCAACCACATTGTCCGCATGATCTTTAACGGTGAAAATGACCTGGAATCCGAGCTTCTCGTTTTGGTGCCGGCAGTAACAAGCGATTCGCATGGGCAACTCTACCTGCATAGAGCCGGGCGGTGCTGATCCGATGTCACCATAGCTGCCATTGGCGTTCTTCGATGGCTCTGTCCACTCCTTGATTTCGCTGGTGTTGAAAACAATGACACGCTTTTCCTCATCCTTCTGGAACAATTCGTCCTCCTCAGGTTTCCGTTGCTTCTTGCGGGAAGCACGTTTGCGCTCTCGCTGTATACATCCGCTGCAGATCTTCACGTCACCTCCGTCTAATGGACGCTCATCATCTGAAGTTGGTTGATAGTGCCCACCCCTTGTCCGTGCAAATGCCCGCTTCATCTTTTCTCGATCTTGCATGGCGCTTGTGCAAACGAGACTTGTGTGTAGTTGGAGGGTGTCATTGAGGGGTTCGGTAGCAGGAGGAGCGAGGAATTTGAGTTTCGAGATGGTGTGTGAGGGAAGGCGGAGTTTCTTAACGCCAGCGGGAAGAGGAGAGAGGGTCAATCGGATGGGGATCTGGGTTTCGACACGAGATTTGAGGGAAGTCGGATGCACTGTAAGAACGTGCTGTAGAGGGGTTGCGGAGTTCATCGGAGGTTGCGCTGGGGAGGAAGCGAAGTTGACAGGGAACGGGTATGCTGCGGGTGAGCCGAAGTTCATGCTGGGCGAGAGGGAGGCGTTGAGAGGCGATTGCCGGTTCATGTTGATGCCTCCGAAACTTTCTTCTAGAAGAGATGAAGGCGACTGTCCACCCCATTGCGGAACCGATCCTTCCAAATCATGATGCATGTTGTTTGAGTAAGGTGACTGGCCATTGAGTCCAAAAGCGAAAAACGGGGATCCCGGCGCATGAACCTGAGACATATTAGCCATATTTCGACGAGGCAGGACTTGGTGACTCACCGGAGCTGCGGCATCGGATGAAAGCCCAGCGTGGTTACTCGAAGGACTCCATAGGTGAGATTTAGGGCGTTTTTGTGGTCTCGGTAGCGAGGCATGGTCGGACTTCAACGGACTGGGGCTGCTGGCCGCACTTTCAAAATCAAAGGCGGCATCCATCGCTTTGTTGCTAACCTCGAGATCGGGATCCATGGAAAATCCGCTATCCATAGGAAATGAAGGCTCAATATTGAACGGTGATTCCTCCTTGACAGACGATAATTCCGGGCGCATCCAGTCTTCCGAATAGTTGACAGAAGCCATAGGATTCTCGCTATGAGCGGCGGAGTTTGTGGACGCAATCGAGGTTTGTCGTAGGTGGTTTCGCGGGGATTCGGACGAAGAACTACGACTGGAATCATCGGGCGATTCGGCTGGGGAGTCAGCCGCAAAAGCAGACACCTGCCTCAGGGGGTTTTGGTCCTGATATGGTTTCGAGGGCCCCGAGGCACCGTTCTGACGGGAAGTAGTCGCTCTGGCGAACAAATCATCAAAGTCTCCGCCGGCGCTTTCAGTCGAAATTTCGAGGTTTGTTGGGTCGAGGAAGTCCATGTTGGCGTTGCGGAAGGTGGACTCCAGATCGTCGTCCATGATGATCGGGTCCAGAGAAGGAAATGCGGGTGAAGAGGGTGCCTGTGCTGATCCCATGCTTCGCTGTTCTCCAAATTGAATCACAAAAATCACAACAGTTGAATTCACCCGCCACCTTCACAGTTGCCAAAAGCTGACTCGCGGTCGGAAGATGAGATACAATTCTGACACAAGTTCTAACAGGACCAGTCTCCAGAGACCATGGCCCTGCACTCGGGAGGTTGAAAGTGATGAGATATGGGGTTGGTTGTTTGGGGGAAAGTCACTGCCTGGACTTGTGGAGGAAAGGAGAGCGGGAAAAGTGTGAGTGCCGATCTAGCCCGGCAGAACGTCAATAGAGCAAGTCCACCAGTTCGGGATTATGTAAGGTTATACGGAACTAGAATAGTAGAAAGAAGCATAGAAATGGTTCGCCCAATTCAGAATAACCAAAAACAAGATGACTCGACGTTGAGATGTTATCTTTCAATCACTATAAGCTTGACACCTCAGGCACTAAAAGCGGTGACCAAAACGGTACACATAATACGCTGTTCACCGACTCTGATTGGTCGGCCGTTTGACAGCCTCTGATCTTCCTGTCCATTTCAACTTCAGATCACATACTCCAGCCAGAAAATTGTGTCACCGCACATTCTTTTCTTGTTGGACCTCTCTCTTCTCTTCCACGCATCCGGCTTTTCTGGGAGTGGCCTGACTGCCCGGGATACTTGCATTACGTATTTTGCCAAGCATCCCACAGACGTCGGGCTATCATGCCCTTGCTAGATATTCCCGCTATCGGCTGTCCGACCATTGAGTAACCCAATTAGCTGCAGTGCACTTGGTTGACCACCTTATCAACCCCCGCACGTTGAGACTTGGATATGATCGCCATGATCTCCCGAGCCCATGTCGGCATCGGTTTGCGCAAAGCCCTCAACACGGCACATCCCGTATAACTCACGCAATCTGTATGTGTAGAGATCGGGTCAAAGGCAGACCCGAGGGATTATCGTGACCGTGGAGGCAAGCCTGCAGATGGAGTTCGAGTTCACGGACAGCCACACGCCCGAGACTGACATTCCATTCGGTGCATCTAGATTTGCATGGGTGATTGCCCGGCTAATGATGCGCACTGTCCCCGTTGAATTCGCGAGAGGTGTGCCTGGAATATATCTTAGCCCACGTCCAAGGTATCTTGGAGGCGATAATTCCTCAGGATGGCAAGACAATGCAGTCAGCATGCACTGGGCCTTTTGAACGGCGTCATTGTCTTGGCCTCAATTTGGAAAATAAACAATTTGCGCCTGAGTCCTTAATTCGAAGCTCTATTATGCAAGGAGCTCTCAGCTTTAAGCCCCTGTTTAAGATTAACTTCTCCGAGTCGAAGCCCGCTGTCACCGATGCAGGTCAAAGGCCGCTCTCGGACTCCATGCGGGTCGGGGTGCCGGGTGTTTCAGAGTGAATGCGTATAAGCGCCGATGCCCCTCAGCCAAAGGGTCAAGTTAAAGTTCCTCTCGGAGAAAGCACGGAGAAAACAGGCGTAGAGTGAGACCTGGATGGTAAAATCAACCGGTTGGATTGTAAAGAAGAGAAAACCCGTTGAGTTGTCCGACCCCAAATATTTCATTCTGCCACTCTCTACCTCGCATCATCACCCACCACTTCCTCTGTTTCAACTTGATTCATTTTGTGTACTTTAGACAGCCCTAGTCCTGTCAGAATGCCTGGTGGAGACATGTCGCCTGGATCAGTCTCCTATTGATCAAGCTTTTCCTATATTTCAACGAGATTATTCCGAAGCGCAGGAGCTCGGATTGCTCCTTGGCATCGTGGAGGTGTCAATCGATGCAGTGACCGATCACTTCCAAAAAGGGGAGCAGAAGCCCTAGTGTCTTCGCGACTGTCACGATGAAACTTGGTCTGTCGCAGACAACCGCCCAGGGATCGACAGACACCAACCAGAGCAGGCTCACTGTCAAACGCCCCCCTTTCATTTGTCCGATGGGGCATACCTTAATTGACTTTCTCTTTCATTAGTCCGATGGGACATACCTTAATTTATTTTCTTTTTAGCGCATCTTGGGAACACCCAGCGCGTTAAAGATCAACTCGCTTCATTTATCTCTCACCACGGAGCTGCTGGTGTCTCAGTCCCTGAAAATTCTCCACCTATGGGCGCAGAAGCAGGAGGGCGGAAATCCATGCAGTGGGAGACATACCTGAACTATGAATTGCTCCGTGATGGGTTCTCTTGGCAGGGGAAACAAGTGCGGCTCCTCTCATACCGAAAAGAGCTATGGTGCCGATGAGGATGAGCATATAAGACTCTGGCATCACCGTGTGAGTTGATTTTTTCAATCCATCAGTCCTCTGCAATCCATTCTTTTCACGGTCCAGTACCTTCCTCTCTCTTTTTACTATTTTGGGTTGAATTCATTGATTGAAGTCCCCTTTGCATTCTTTTCTCTTGCTCTCTGATCCTTCGATCCAAACGCTGTGCGTCCTTTTCATCACAACTTCTTCAAGATGTCTGTGTCCAAAATTGCTGGTCTCGTCCTCGCCTCGGCCTCCATGGTCGCTGGTCACGGTTACGTCTCTGGTGCCGTTGTTGATGGCACCTACTACAAGGGTTTCATCGTTTCAAGCTACAACTACATGAACGATGTTCCCGAGAACATTGGATGGGCAGAGGATGCCACCGACCTCGGCTTCATCGACGGTTCTTCCTACTCCAGCCCTGACATCATCTGTCACAAGGATGCCACCCCCGGTGCCATCTCCGCTGAGGTCAAGGCTGGTGGCTCCGTTGAGCTCCAGTGGACCGAGTGGCCCGAGTCCCACCACGGTCCCGTTATCACCTACATGGCCAACTGTAACGGTGACTGCTCCTCCGTCGACAAGACCACTCTTGAGTTCTTCAAGATCGACGAGGGTGGCCTGATTGACGACAGCTCCGTTCCCGGCACCTGGGCTTCCGACCAGCTCATCGCCGCCAACAACAGCCGCACTGTCACTATCCCCAGTACCATCGCCTCCGGCAACTACGTTCTCCGTCACGAGATCATCGCCCTGCACTCCTCCGGCGAGATCAATGGCGCCCAGAACTACCCCCAGTGTCTCAACCTGAAGGTCACCGGTGGTGGTAGCGACAAACCCAGCGGTACTCTCGGTACCGCTTTGTACAAGAACACCGACCCCGGCATTCTCGTCAGCATCTACACCTCCATGAGCTCCTACATCATCCCCGGTCCCGCTCTGTACACTGGCGCCTCCTCCGGCTCCGCCACCACTGCCGCTGCCTCTACCGTGAGTGCCACCCCCATCGCGAGCTCGTTCTCGCACCCGGCCTACAGCCGCACCAAGCGTCCTTCCCGCAGCGCCACTCCCTCACCCTCATCCATTCCTACTTCCATTCCTTCCATCTCCATGCCCAGCGCGGCTGAGGCTACCCCCGTCGACAATGCTCCCTCTGAGGTCACTGTGACCGATTATGCTACTGCTCAGGTTACTGACCAGCCTGCAATCCAGACCGCCAGCGCCGCCACTGTCACCGCCCCTGGCCAGGCTGTTCAGAGCGTCGCCCCGGCCGCTGACAATGAGACCTCCGCCGCTGCTACCACCACCACTGCTGCCGCTGTGCCCGTCCCCACCTCCAGCACCAGCTCTGGCTCCAGCTCCTCCGGCTCCAGCTCCTCCGGCTCCGGCTCCAGCTCCACCCCCTCCACTTCAGACTACTCATCCTACCTCAGCTCCCTGAGCGCCGATCAGCTCCTCAGCGTCATTCGCTCTACCCTGAAGTGGCTTGTCTCCGACAACAAGGTGCACGCCCGTGACCTGTCTATCTAAAAGCGCTCAGCGCCGCTAGATGTATAGAGATGGATGTTTGAATGTTCATATCTATATCTCGGTTTCTCTTAGTATGTTCGTCCGTTTTTTGGAATCTGTTGGAATACGGATGTGGTATCCTGTCTGGCTTGTGATTTCTGGGAGGACTGCATGTAACAACACCATCCCAGGGATTTTCTTTACCTTCCTTTCTTTTTTCCTCCTCTTTTGGAGATGAGAAACTCGCCTACTGTGTTTCTTTTTTTTTTTTTTTTTCTTATAAATGGAATTGCTTAGACTGCTCAATTTTGCCTTCATTTCCGTAAACTCCAGACATTTTGTAGATACCTTGGGTTGGGGCCTTCGAACCTGGAATAGGGCGCAGGCCATCAGATTGGACCCACACCCTCTTCAGCTTTCCAACATGCAGCAAATGAGTGGTCCTGTGTAGCTGTCGATACCACTACGTATTCTACCGATAAGGACGTCGATGAAGATCATCGTTGGGAATGACCAGCGTTACACACTTGAAGTCATCGGAAGAAGACTTTTCCCCAGTTTTTCAATTCGATCGAAGACTGCGGAATCAGGTCAATCAGTGACGTAGATATGGCTTTCCTCTGGTGCCCATGCAGGCAAACCCCGTTATGGCTTCTTCCCCTTCATTCAAGATCTCGGGATTTGGTGGTTGTTACACCGAGTCAATCTGATGAGAAAACCGAGATCATTGAGGACCTCAAATTGCCAAACATCTTCTAATGTGGTCTTTGATGCTATGAAGGGGTTCAACACGCTCCCGGAATAATGGTTCAATACTACTAGTTATCTCAAACAAGGATCATAGTTCTACTTGCAATATCTTCTATTTTACTCCGTCTTCGAATTCCGGCACCTGTGATTCTTGATGCATAGACGCAGCAGATGCCGTAACTGGAATGTCGGTAATTTCGCCTTGTGACGCCTTACATCAAGGGACGGCATATAGCCGAGGCTTCCCGCGAGTCCCCTTCCTATCAGTGCAACTGATGTTCATGGGGAGCCATTCCGAACTTCTCCAGGGCATTACACCAGGAATGTCGGATGTGGTTGCACAACCTAAGTCTAGCCTTCGGTGGGATTCTGCGCTTCAAGAGAACTATTGCGTAATGGTCTTGTTGAGGGTACAAAATCAACAGATTCAATGAGGGCGTATAACTCTTTTCTTCTATTAGTATATGTCTTGGTAATATCGTACTTGCTAAAGCATCGCATATCAAAATGGAAAAGCAAAGCAGCGACGACACTAGCGCTACCCGGGATCGTCAAACGTCCGAGGATGAATTGGACATCCAAATCGATTATCCGACAGGTTGGAGGCTGTGGGTTATTACAACAGGGTACACTTGGCTTCAAGTTCTTTTGCTATCATTGGTCACTAATGCAGACTTTAATCATCTAGTCTCCTTATCGGACTGTATTTGGTCAACCTTGAAGTAACAATCGTGAGCACCTCGCTTGTCAGTATCACAAATGATCTCGACGGGTTCAAGAAGACAAGTTGGGTGGTCACAGGCTTTTTGACGACGTATACATGTGAGCACCAACAGCCACTACCATCTTCAAATGATCTAACAATCTAGCTTTCATGCCAGTATGGACCAAGATCAGCAACATTATCGGAAGGAAGAGAACGTTACTGGCTTCAATGGTTGTCTTTTTGGCGTTTTCTCTGGGATGTGCATTGTCTCAAGAAATGGATCACTTGTAAGTGCCAGAGCTGTACATCCAAGGCACACGGCTGATTTTCTATCAGGATCATATTTCGGTCACTGCAAGGTGCGGGAGGGGCCGGAGTCTACTCGCTTGTCATTTTATGCGTGTATGAAATTGCCCCAAACCACAAAATGCCATTGTTTGGCGCCTTGGCTGCCGTCACGATCGCGCTCGCATCGTTGACTGGGCCTATTTTCGGCGGTCTTGTCGCGGAGAATTCGGCATGGAGATGGGCCTTCTATCTCAAGTAAGTGATATTGAAGGATAGAGCTTTCGTTTTTTTCTTTCTTATAGACAGGAGAGCTAACTCAAAGCTTTACGAAACAGTCTCCCTCCAGGAGGATTAGCAATCTTCATGTTAATTGCTGCCATGCCTTCGCACTTTGGTAGCATCACACCACAGCCGTTATCCGCCCTCATACCGAGCTATGGGCTCTTCCAAAGCCTAGATGCGCTGGGCTCGTTCCTTCTACTGGGTGCATCTCTTCTCCTGGTTACGGTATTAAACGAAACAAACATCGAGTTCGATTGGTCCTCGGGAACTGCAATTGCATTAATCGTTATTTCGGCGGCTATGTGGGTTGCATTCTTTGCATGGGAATGGTTAATGCCTGACCTCCTGCCCGGTCTGAAACCCGTATTTCCGAAGCGGTTCTTCTACAATAAGGCATGGATGGGAATGTTGGCGTAAGTGAACTCAAAAGACAACCTTTCCTGAATATTGGCTGACTCTGTATCTGCCACAGCACCAACTTCCTTTGTGGCTGTCCTTGGAATGTAGTCATCGTCTACCTAGCCCAAAGATTCCAACTCATCACCAGACTCAAGCCTCTTGATGCCGGTGTTCATATCATACCATATGCTGCAGTTGCGACAGTGGCTACTATGGTGACATGTCTAGCAAGCCGCAAGCTTCGCATCCCTGTGGTGTACTTCGCACTAACTGGATCTATACTACACACTATTGGCATGGCGCTCTTGGCAACACTCCCAGAGGATTCTTCGTATCCTGCAAAGGGGTATGGATTCGAGGCCATCGCTGGTGCTGGTGTGGGGATTACGATCGGCATACTCACATTGGCTGTTCCCTTTATTATCGAAGAGCGGGACTTAGGTGAGAGCCGATTCCTCTCTAACTCGCGTGGTACTATGACGCTGCTAATATATATCTTATAGCTACGGCTACGGGCGCTCTGAATCAAGCTCGATTTCTAGGCGGAGCCATTGGATTAGCCATTGCGTCAAACATCCTTTACAGCAAATTAAAAAGTGACTTGCCCAATCAATTGCCCACTGATCAGGTCAATCAAGTCATTGAAAGAGCTGGTGCCATAGAAACCCTGCCAGAGAAGGTTCAACAGGTAGCAGGAACTGTCTTTGCCCAGAGCTACACGGTGCAGTTTCAGGCTATGATAGCATTTGCTGCTTTGCAAGTTCCAACATCATTGCTAATTTTTAAGCGTGGGCGGCAATATGTTGCTACATAGCGAATTCGATGTCCTCGTACAAGATATGGCGGTGGGTGGCCGGTTGAGATTTTGACTAAAGATACTTAAGTCAAGGCGGTCAATTTACAAAGAGCGTTGCTTGGCTTTTACTATTCCGGAAACATGTTACAATGAATTTGTCTGTCCTTATTCACTCTCGCAACATTCACCTAGCCTTAATTGATGACATTGACCCTTCGCTGTGATAGTGTCTCAATCAAAGAAATGCCCGCGTCTTACAAAACGAAGAACCGATCCTATGGTTATGCTCTCAATAAACTGAGTCGAAAATCGCCTCAAACACCCTGCGAAATAGTCAGGAAGTGGCATCATGCATATATAAGGAGGCCTTTACGCTCTTCCTGGGTCTTACTACCATTCGAGGAGTCTAAGCTGTGCGAACAAAAAAAAAAAAAAAGATGGACAATCTAAACATTCAAGCAAGTAATACATGGAAAAAGTGAATTCTAAAGTGCATCAACCTCGCAGTCCTCACAGTCTTCCCAAGCCTCGTCCTGGTCATCTTCAAGACTCTGTTCCTTGTTTTTTTTGAGAAGCAAGACCTCCTCGAAGAATCTACCCAAGGCTCCCACGAATTCCTCAGAGCGCGGTACATAATGTGCCCCCATGAAGTAGTGCGTGAAAGAATTTTCGCAACATTCTTGGAGCCTTGAAGATTGGTAATCCTGAATCATCGTGTCCAGTGTACCAATGACATGCAGAAATGGCGTGGTAATGTGGCTGTATATTGGGTCGTAGAACGGATTGGCAAGTGTAAAACCAGAAAAAGACACCGCAAATTCCAATGGAGGGTGGCTAGTCTGTTGGAGGTCAGAATTCTTTTTCACACTGAAAAGAAACGTGATGCGTTTGTTTTTTTTTTTCTTTTCTTTTTTTGGTTGTACCTACGTTGAACTCGAAGTTGCAAAGCGACTTCCGCTTCTCCAAAAGCGAAGTAATGATAGCAGCAACGGTCGCGCCTGTTGAGAATCCCATGACCCCAATGAAAGGGCCATACTTGCTCATGTATCGCATGATGCTTTTGATGGATTTTTCTAGACCCCGGATCCGGTCTTCGTCGATATCGCCGTATCCCCATGCCCATGTGTGATTTTCTTCTCCTTGAGGCTTATCCGGATTGACAGGCAGCTTAGCTGATGGATAATGAAACTCGACGACATCAACTTGACCTTGGGATGGATCCTGTTGCAACGCGTTGAGCACAAGTTGCTTTGCCTTTGGTTGCAGAAATCGAGTCTTGCTTCGGAAGAATTGACCAGATTGGCCGTGTCCTAGATGACTTGAATTAGATGAACGAGGTGTATATTTCGTGCGAGTTACCATGTAGCATCAAGACTTTAGCGCATGATGGACTTGATTTGTATGTTGTAGTAGACATTTTGGAAGAGACTATAGCAGAAACCTGAAATTGACTATGTCATAAGAATCAGACCTCCAAACTGCTCTAGAGTCCTATCGATTTATATAGGCCTACGCTCCATAGTAAGTGTGCAATCTTTCGCCTGAGTTCCGTATACTGATCTTGGGTGACACATAGATGTACCCAGTCCACACCCAATGACGTTAAAATGGTAGGAGTGACATCAATGCAAGCTTTGCATTAGCCCGGCGATGAGAGTGGCAAGGTAAATCAGTGTAGATCTATCGATGGGCGTCAATCATCGTTCCTTGTTTCATTATTGATCATGAAACAGAAGTACGTGTAACGGGTGAAAAGCGGAATCAATCTGACGGCATCACCTTTGACTGGCATGCACCTGCGTCCAGGACCTACTGTTCGTCATTGGCAATGTTGATACTTGTTCTTGCCCGAATCAGCAATTCAGAGCCAACATCGATCTCAACTAGTCATGAGTTCGGTTCGGTGGATCTAGTTTGCGAAAGAACACAGTTGAGAGTTGTCCCAGTTGTACAGATCTGCGAAGGGGGTGAAACAGGTGAGCTCGAAGTTGAGCTTCTATCATCATTTTGCCTCAGTGGCGAGTCATGTATGGAAAGTACGTTGCACAAACCCGGCATGGAGCGTAGAAGAGTTCTTTTCCGACTCGCACGGCAGATGGTATCCATGGTGTGGTTGTACAAATGCATTCATGGGTGATGGGTCATCCATCCCTTCCTCGGTATCAACATTCCCAACGTGGTGAGGAGCATTGTGGTACTTTGGTCATTGCGGTGTGAAAATGAGCTATTCTTGGTGAATGTAGAGCCTGAGCCCCATTTACGGAGCACGTAGAGGTGTTTTCATTTGTATGGTAATGTAGTCTGTCAAGTGTTATGTTCTGATATCAGTTCTTCTTTTTCTTAGTCTTGTCCACCACTGCTATCCACTGGCTCTTGAGCCCACGGCGTCCAAGTGCTGTTTCAATCGCCTTTCGCTGATCACCTTGAACCAGTACTTCCATAACACCCTTGGGTGCACCGGTAGCCTGTGTCACACTAGTGCTGCCTGCACACTTCTTCTGAAGTTCTTGTGATAGAAGTGTAGGGATCATACCAAAAATCTCCAAGTTCATAACCTTTGTAACGGTCTTCGAGCCTGTACGCTTCTCGAGAGTGACGGTGACCTTCGGAGCAGTGCCTGCTTTTGGCTTGACATCTGCAATGGTTTGGTCGTTCTTCAAAATCAGGTAATGCGGTTGGACGAGAGTTCTATCTTCGGCAATGCGCTTCAGAAGACCATCGCGGGTGATCTTGCCACGTGCAAGTGTTCCTTTATCTTCGGTGGAGTCTGAGGTGAAGATGGTATTGGCAAGGAAAGGATTGATGGTGATGATGCGTCGGTTTTCCCGAGAGACGATTGGAGGATCTTGCGATTGCAGATATTGATCCAAATGGGTGGAGATGTCGGAGTACTTGTAGAAATTGGATGAATTGCTCGCGGAAAGCGCGGGAAAGATATTTGGGATCAATTTTCCCGACGGCCGGTAGAGATTTTGTACGCTGATCGTCTGTCCCACTGAGGGATCACCGCCGTCGGTAGGAGCTAATTTCTTCCCCTCTGATGCGGAGGGCTTGCTGTTTTCGAGAGCATTCTTCGAGGGTAATCTGTATGGAACGAAACGCTCGACGCGATGATCACCAAAGTCGACATCAAGGATCACGGTTTCCTGGCCATTGCGATCCTTGGATTTGACGAGCTTTGTTTTGTCCAGATGCTTGATGAACTTTTTGACATTTTTCCAGCTTGTCTTTTTGATGTTATAGAATTGAGCCTGTTGAGCAGTATAGATAGGCAGGTAAGGGGTCGTGAGGTTAGCTATTAAAGCCGAGGGTGAGATTGGCAATGACAGGCCATGGTTGTTGGCGGAGGGATTGTCCTGTTTGAGCTTGTAGAGAGCGTAAACAAAGGCATTGACGAAGGCATCATCAATTTCTGTTCTTCATTAGTATTCAAGTTAATGCAACAATTCTTCTTCAGCATAGACTTACCCTTTGTCGTTGGCTCTGGCTCTTCAGCCTCGGCCTCCTCTGCCGAAACGGGTTCGTCCCTTAATGTCTCCTGGGTCTCCTGCGCGCCTCCATTTTCCTCAACTGTCAACGCTTCAACGCCCTCCTCAAGCTCTTCAAGATCATCCTCGTCCCAGCCCTCCAGGTATTCTGGACCTGGTCGGCCCGGCCGTGATGAAGAGCTCCATGCCCAAAGCTCATCACCCTCCCAATGCAATCCACGAACAGCGGACCCCTTTGCACCTTGTACCTCCCCGAGCGCCGAAACATCGATTTCACAAATTCCAACAAAACGAGGCACGGTGTATGTATCCACGCTCGCGACCGCAACAACAGAACCCTTGACAGCCCTTGCGGGGAATGGTGGCTCGTTTGCAAGACCAGGCGTCATAAGGTCAGCCCCACCATGAAGCTTCCCCATCACAAATCCTGGAGTGTAGAGCAACGGAACGAGATTTGGGTTGTTCCATAGTGTGTAGACAGTAGGGTAAAGCCGCTTGTCGGCACCCGGGCCATGCTCCAGCTTGAACCATAGCACGCGCTCTTCGCCGTCGGGATGCGCGCCGACATATACGATGCCTGTGAGCTCTCGAAGGTCTGGTCCGGCGGTTGTTGTGAATCGCGCGGTTAGCGAATTATCGGGGAGAAGCGCATTTCGGATCGATGTCAGGTTCGGTGAGGTAGAGGTTGAATCTTCGGCCGAAGCCGAGGGGATGGAGATCTGGTATTCCTTGATGATCTGATCCGCGATCTTCCTCCGATCAGATGACCGTAGAGGTGCCAAATTTTTGATCTATGCCAAGTCAGTATGTCCATGTTTCCATTGCGCTGAGGGACTGGCTCCAGCAAGCTCCGACGGAGGGGCAGTGCGGGGAGATGGGATATTCACTGTAGGCTTCTTTTTGAACATGTTGGCGGGTCGAGACAGGTATTCTGATCTGTAAGATGTAGAATAAAAGCAAAGCAGGACCAGCTGCAAAGAGGTTGAGCGAAAAGAATAAAGAAGTTGAAGGGACGACAACATAATCAGACCCACACCGAAACCTCGAACTCTGCCTGTGACGCGAAGCTATACGGAGTATGCTACGCACGTCTTTGCCTTTTCCTCCGAATTGATATTATTCGTCTATTTTCCCACTGAATAGAATATACTGCATGTATTAGAATGACTCTCTCCGCATATTTTTAATCTATCTCATGGGTTAAGCATAGCCCAAACGCCAATAGAGCTTCAAACCTTTGTCAGGCTCTAAACCGATTTTCACGCATCTCTATGCACACTATCAGCTGTTGGAGCTGCAATATCAGTACTGCAGAAAGATAGGAGAGAAAATGAAGAAGAGCTAGAAAGAGGCAGATGGAAAAGCGTAATATGGGCCATGAATATACGTATACACAGCTGTCATGAAAGGTTGGCCACATCTACATACGAGTCTCGAAGCAAGTCTCCCGCTCTACACATCACTTTGACTTGACTTACAACAGTTGCCATAAGCCCTTTCTCATCAGTACGTTTTTATTATCTGATGGCCTACCTGAGGCACTTAAGAATAGTCAAGAAAGAGGCGGAAAACGAGGTGACAGAAGAGTTGAAAGAACGAAGACTATAGGAAATAATGCGTGAAATGGCATACTCACTTCGAGAACTTTGCAAGGAACCTGTCCAATACTTCATAGCACTGTGAACAGACTTATGATCCCTGTTGTAGCTTCTCCCTTTCTTGTCGATTATTCGGCACCTCGGGATAGTCATGCAGATTTTATCAAGTTGAGGATATGGAAGACTATGATCCACCCAAAATTGAGAGCAGGAAACAGCTTTGCGTATCTTTCGAAGCGGAAAAGCACCAGCTCCGAGGCCGATATACATGCTTCGGACATCGGACATCTGCCGATAATCTCGCACAACTACCATCTTACCTGACCAAACAACCATCTTCATCAACCAATCAACCAAAATGCCTGTCTACCACGTTGGTAAGTACCAAGCAGATAGTTTGAAATCTACAAACCATAAAGTAATCAGAAACAATAACCGGCTCCAGTCCTCTTCCGCCTCAAACCCGGCGTCACCCCCGCTCAAATCGAAACCTGGAAGGAGGTCTGTAAAGGAATGGTTGGGAAAATCCCAGGTTAGCGAAATACCCAGAAATGATTCCTTGAATCTGTTCAAGGCATTGATGTATATGAACAAAACAGGTCTGCAATCCATCCAGAGTGGTCCCCCATTGCCGATTAGCATTCCCCGCGCTCAAGGGTTCGACATGGGACTTGTTGCTATCTTGGATACACCAGAACATATTGCTACTTATGCTGTGCATCCTGCCCATCTGGAGTATGTTGTCTGATCCTGATAATTCGACCGCGGGGGCTGTGTTGTGCTAACTGCGCATTGTGTAGGGTTCACAAGATGCGCGAGGAGCTTTGTGATGATACCCTGGCTTATGACCTTGAATTTTAGGTTATAAATTAGGTTGACTGGGTTATGTATGTGTTGCAGGATCGGATGCAATGCTACAAGGTGGGAGAGTCGTTGAGTAGTGTCATCACAAATCTCATTTGTACATTTCAGACATTGACCTCAGTTCATTGTAACTGGGTCTTGCCAACGCGTGGATGCTCATAATAAGCTAATAAAACACATAACGCCGTATCAGAGTTCACCTCTAAGAAAAACCTGTCAAATGCGGCCGGCCGGATTTCCTATCCGCAATACTTTTATGTCCCGCCAACTGATACTGAGAAGCAATAATAAGAAGACGTTTCCTTACTCCTTGGCATCAACCTTCTTGGAGGGCTGGTCGTTGCCGCCCTCGTCCTCGCGGGAACGCTTCTGGGTGCTCTGCACCACGGGGACACCACTGCAATTGGTTAGTATCAAAATTTCACAGCGAACGCGGTATTAGGGAAGCTTACCGAGAATCCTTCTGGGCCTCACGAGGAGCCTGGAAGCCGTTCTTCTGGTCCTCGGAGCGGCGATCGCGCCAGTCACGCTCGTTGCGGTCACCGTTATCGCGACCACCACGGCCACGGCCACGACCACCGCGGCCACCGCGGCCACGACCGCCACGACCGCCACGACCGCCACGAGAGTTGTTGTTGTTGTTGTTGCGGCCCTGGCTGGGGTAGACGTTGCCGGCCTTGATCTCCTCGACCTTCTCGTCGCAGTAGTCCTTCTTACTCTTGAAGATCAGCTCCTTGTCCTTGTACTGGGGCTTCTGCTCGAGAGCGAGGAAGGCCTTCTGCTTGTCCTCATCCGCGAATTCAACAAAGACGGAACCCTTGAAGGTGCGGTCGTTAAATGTGCGACGAAGACGGATGGCGTTGACGGGGCCGTGGGGGGCGAAAAGAGCCTCGATGTCCAGCTGAGTAGTGGGCTCCTCCTCTCCGAAACCGAAGCCCTTGACGTAAATGCTACGGGCCATGGTGGCATCCTCGTACACCTTGACGGCGCTGGAGTCGTGCTCGTTAATCGACTCGGGGAGAGGAACCTTGCGCTTGACAGCGGTATCGTTGTCAGTCAGCTCGACGGTGTCGGCCGACTTGAGAGCCTCGACGATGGCGCTGAAGGGTTGGAAGCGGCGCATGCGCTTGAAAGAGTGCAGGAGCTCAAGGGGAACAGCATTGTTGGCGCTGCCACCAACCTTGGAAAGCAGGAATTTGTCCATGGGGAGGTTGGAGTCGGAGAAGTAGAACTCGACCTATAGCTTGCGCATTAGTACTGTTCACATGAGACAAAAACATCGACTTCATCGCACCTGCTTGCGGATCTGCACAGGGTCGTCGGTCTGCTCCTGGTTGGAGGGATCGAACTTGGCGTTGTTTTGGCGGGCGCCACCACGGCTGAAGCGACCACCGCGCTGGAAGTTGCGGGTGTCACGCTCAGGCTTAGCAGCCTTCTCCTCGGACTGCTCAGACTTCTCACCGAGCTTGGCAGCTTCGGCGACAATGCGAGCCTCATCGGCATCCTCGGCGGGCTTCTCGGAAGCGCCGCCTTCCTTCAGCTCGGCAAGCACATTCTGGACATCCTTCTCTGCCTCAACGTTGGCGACGGGGGTCTTCTGTTCCTCAGCCATTGCGAATTTTGAGTGCGACTGTCGTATTTGAAAAGATAATCGGGAAGTGAGTAGCCGTGACTCAAGCGCAAGAATGAGACAGAATGGGAAGGTAGGGGTCTGCGCGTTATAAATATTATAAGACAAACGCGCCGAAACTTTTACTCAAATAGAGGACAATGGGATGAATCAAGTACAATCAGCGGGGAGAATCTGGAATTTTTTTTAGGAGCTCCGACGCAGCCTGAGGCATGAATCTAGTCCGGATCGGGGTTAGTGGATACAGTCCCATTTAGGCAATTCGACATGTCTGGATCTATAGACGTAGTCTGTTTGGAGCAACGAGATGAGCAGGGCGATGAAGCGGTTAAGAGAGAGGGAATAAAAAACTCGGGGTGGTCGAATAGCTAGTATTTCTCGCCGCTCAAGTCAAATCCATCGCGCCTGCCTACGTGGACCTGCAGTCACGCTCTCATCTTCACTGCTTTGTTTGTCTTCTCTCCCGCACAACAACTCATTCATCCGTTCAGCAAGTCAGACATGGTCATAGATCCCACAGTCCCATACCAAGCCTCTCTTTCCACTCGAATTTTATTCAAGGACACACAGCAATTGGCACATGGATATGCTCTGACAGCCTTTGAAGATGGTTCCAGTCCAGAGAGGCTCGTTGGAAAAAGAGGGCTGGCCGGTGCAGGATGTATGTTGTACCTCTGAGTCTACGATACCCTCCTGACTCTCCTGAAACAGATTGTATACCTTTGCGTTGTCGGGCCACTCATGCTGGCAGCGGTCTTCGAATGGCTTCTCTGGCTGTGCGCTTTCATCTATTGCCTGGTAAAGGTTTATGCCAAGGCGGACCATTGGAGCATCAAGGTCCTTGCTGTCGTGATGATATTTTTGTTCTCCGCCATGCGGTAAGCGCCGGAGAGATGTGATACACATGGCATACCTTTTGTTAAAAAAAAAAAAACCTAACCAAAGAGTCTGATAGGTTGTCCTTTCTTCCAGTCATGCTCGTTACCCTCCCACTGCCACCGCAAATCACCATGTGGTTGCCCCATCAAATGGTCCACGGGTTTCAAGTATACGCATTTTGGGCCTTTTCGATCCTGCTCGTTGGACCATGGCTTTTCTGCGTGTATGGCCTGGCTACCAATTCACTGGGTAGAGCGAAGAAGATCAAACGCGTTCTTGATGATAGGACGGCCCCCAAGACCGTCGTTGTGATGCCTGTGTATAAGGAAGAGCCAGCAGTCTTGATCAAAGCAATTGACTCGGTCGTTGACTGCGATTATCCCGCCAACTGCATCCATGTCTTCCTTTCCTATGATGGTGGGACTGTGGACGAGCCATATCTTCGGGTGCTTCACCAACTTGGCATCCCGATCAACCTGGAAAGCTATCCACAGAGCATCGACGTTGTCTACAAAGGCGCCCGAATCACCGTTTCGCGTTTCAAGCATGGTGGAAAAAGATGCTGCCAAAAGCACACCTTCAAGTTGATTGACAAAGTCTATGCGGAGTATTTGAGGCGACATGATAACCTGTTTGTGCTCTTCATAGATTCCGACTGCATCCTTGATCGGGTCTGTCTGCAGAACTTCATGTATGACATGGAGCTTAAGCCTGGGAGCAAGCATAACATGCTGGCGATGACTGGAATCATCACTTCAACAACCAACAAGAACAACCTTCTTACGGTTCTTCAAGATATGGAATACATCCATGGCCAGCTCTTCGAGCGCTCTGTTGAGTCTGCCTGCGGGGCGGTGACTTGCCTTCCTGGCGCTCTCACAATTCTGCGTTTCTCGGCCTTTCGCAAGATGGCCAAGTATTATTTCTCAGACAAGGCCGAACAGTGTGATGACCTCTTTGATTATGGTAAATGCCATCTTGGGGAAGACCGCTGGCTCACTCACCTCTTCATGATCGGTGCCAAGGAGCGATATCAGATTCAACTGTGCACGAGCGCCTTTTGCAAAACCGAGGCCGTTCAGGACTTCGGTAGTCTGCTGAAACAGCGTCGACGGTGGTTCCTGGGATTCATCACCAACGAAGTTTGTATGATCACCGATGTGCGGCTGTGGGCGCGGTATCCCCTGCTGTGTCTAGTTCGCTTCATGCAGAACACAATCCGAACGACCGCACTGCTGTTCTTTATCATGATCATTGCACTCCTCACAACATCCAAGAGGGCAAATGACCTTCCTGTTGGTTTCATGGGGGTCTCTCTCGGTTTGAATTATCTGCTCATGTTGTACTTTGGCCTCCGACTCAAGCGCTACAAGGCCTGGCTGTATCCAATCATGTTCCTCGTCAATCCATTCTTCAATTGGATCTACATGGTTTATGGAATTTTTACAGCTGGCCAGCGAACATGGGGAGGACCACGGGCCGATGCTGCAACGGCGGACGATCAGACAACACCGGCCGAAGCGGCTGAACTGGCGAGGCAACAAGGCGATGAGCTCAATGTGGATGTCGAAACATTCCGCAGCCACCCCATAAGACGGAGATCAGTCCCCATCCGGCCATCAGACAAGGTGGAAGGAGAATTTGCCCCGGCTGAGCAACTCCTTGATAGCTTCTATGTCAACACAGCTGGGCCGGGGTCTGCGCTAGCGCGAATGGTCAATGCCGTGGAAGACCCTGTGTACCAGCTACCACCTCGCTTTTGCTATTCAGCAGAATCAGTGCTCAGTGCATCATCGGACTGTGGCTCCAACGTCATGCAGATGCCACAAGACGTGGACAATCTCCTGATGAGCGAGGAAGACCAAAAGAAACTTTATTATGCCCGCCAAGGTCGGGCATCAACGGGCACAATCAGCACCCGTGACTTGGAGGACCATTTTGATGATGGAGATGCAGTTCACTCTCTGGTGTCTGGGTCTGAAGAGTATGAGCTTGAGGTTCCGGCGCAGGTCTACCAGATGAGCCGCCTCGAGGATGTCGCTGGCGGAGAATTCTCCGACCACAAGTGAGGCGAAGACAAGCCGGAAAACATGACCTCAACCTTGACCCACCGTATGATATTCTCCCATGTGCCAAAGGTACCTGACGTCAGTTCTTTTTTTTTTTTTCTCAGTTCCACACGTTTGCCTTGTTCTCTTATGTATTCTCGGTCATTATTGTTATGATGGGCATTGTGCTGGCCATCTCTCTGCTTCAAAAGTGCCCATTCACTCTTACATTCACATCCCTCCCATACATTACAGTCCAAGTAGTCCTATCCTCGTAGGGCTAGATGTAGTTGAGAGCGGTGACCAGATTTTCCCCATTCTGCCAGGGTCCAGGGCGGTGAAGGTGGGTAGTCCAGCAGCCGCCAGAAGGTTCGATCTGAAAACACACACTGCAGATGGGAATTATATGTAGTCCAGGTAGATCGCTAAATGCTAGAATTGTTGTTATTTTGATACATTTTGCCTCACGTTATACCCCCTAAAATACCCCATACTTTTCTTCCCTTTTCTGACAGACCGCTTGACAACTTGGTCATCGCCCCTCCAATAATAGTGGAGTGGCGTGCAAATTCTCCCCTCCGACTTCTCGCTTCTTTTCTCTCTTGAACCTCCATCCTTCCACCACCTCCCCTCACATCCCTCACTACTTTCTCCCACAATGAGTGTCGTCGGTATAGATTTGGGTGCTCAGAGCACCAAGATTGGTGTTGCCCGCAACAAGGGCATTGATATTGTGCGTACTGCCCCACGGCCCCGATGCGGGTTCGCGGTTTTCCGTCCAGATGAATCGAGACCCCATGCACCTGAAGACCTGGCGCTAACTGATATGCTTCTTTTAGATTACCAATGAGGTTTCCAACCGTCAGACACCGTGAGTCATTAATTTGAACCCCCCTCCGCCTTGATATATTGCGAATGGACGACTGACTATTTATTTTAGCTCCCTCGTTGGCTTCACTCCCCGCAGCCGACACATCGGAGAGGCCGCCAAAGGTGCTGAGATCTCCAACCTGAAGAACACCATCGGCTCTCTCAAGCGCTTGATCGGCCGCTCTTTCAACGACCCCGATGTCGCCATTGAGCAGGAATACAACACAGCACCCCTCGTCGATGTCGATGGCCAGGCCGGTGTCGAGGTCAACTACCTCGGAAAGAAGGAGAAGTTCACAGCCACTCAGTTGGTCGCCATGTTCCTTGGCAAGATCAAGGACATCACTTCCAAGGAGTTGCGCCTTCCCGTCTCCGACTGCACCGTCAGCGTTCCCGCCTGGTTTACCGACGTGCAGCGCCGCGCCATGATTGACGCCGGTGACATCGCCGGTCTCAACGTCCTCCGTCTCATCAACGACACCACCGCCACCGCTCTCGGCTGGGGTATCACCAAGCTGGACCTCCCCGGCCCCGAGGAGAAGCCCCGCCGTGTCATGTTTGTCGACATTGGTTACAGTGACTACACTTGCTCCATTGTTGAGTTCCGCAAGGGTGAGCTCAACGTCAAGTCCACCACCTATGACCGTCACTTCGGTGGCCGTAACTTCGACAAGGCCTTGACCGAGCACCTTGCCGATGAGTTCAAGGAGAAGTTCAAGATCGACATCCGCACCCACCCCAAGGCCTGGGCGCGTACCCTCGTCGCCGCTGAGAAGCTCAAGAAGGTCCTGTCGGCTAACCCCCAGGCCCCCATCAACATCGAGTCCCTTATGGAGGATACCGATGTTCGCGCTATGATCAAGCGTGATGAGCTCGAGTCCATGGTCAAGCCCCTCCTTGAGCGCCTGACCGTCCCCATTGACCAGGCCCTCGCCGAGGCCAAGCTCACCGCTGCTGACATCGACCAAATCGAGATGGTCGGTGGCTGCACTCGTGTCCCCGCCATCAAGGAGACTCTCACCAACTACTTCGGCAAGACTCTCTCCTTCACCCTCAACCAGGATGAGGCCATTGCCCGTGGTTGTGCCTTCAGCTGCGCTACCCTCTCCCCCGTTTTCCGCGTTCGTGACTTCTCCGTTCATGACATCGTCAACTACCCTATCGACTTCACCTGGGAGCAGTCTCCCGAGATCCCCGATGAGGACACCTCCCTCACCGTCTTCAGCCGTGGCAACGTCATGCCCTCCACTAAGATCCTCACCTTCTACCGGAAGCAGCCCTTCGATCTCGAGGCTCGCTACACCCAGGCTGAGACCATGCCCGGCAAGGTCAACCCCTGGATCGGCCGCTTCTCCGTCAAGGGCGTCCAGGCTGATGCCAACAACGACTTCATGATCTGCAAGCTCAAGGCCCGCCTTAACTTGCACGGTATCCTCAACGTCGAGTCCGGATACTACGTCGAGGACATGGAGGTTGAGGAGCCCGTCGAGGAGGAGAAGAAGGAGGGCGACGCTATGGACACCGACGAGAAGGAGGAGCAGCCCAAGAAGACCCGCAAGGTCAAGAAGCAGGTCCGCAAGGGTGACCTCCCCATCACCTCCGCCACCGGTGGCTTCGACGAGTCCGTCAAGGCCACCTGGACCGAGCGCGAGAACTCCATGTACATGGAGGACAAGCTCGTCGCCGAGACCGATGAGAAGAAGAACGAGCTCGAGGCCTCCATCTACGAGCTCCGTGACAAGATCGACGGCGTTTACTCTGAATTCGCCTCCGAAGAGGAGAAGGAGAAGCTCCGTGCCAAGCTCAGCGCTACCGAGGTGAGTTTACATCCATCATTACCTTTCACACTTATATACTAACTGTTTTCCAGGACTGGCTCTACGAGGACGGTGACGACACCACCAAGTCCATCTACATCGCCAAGATGGATGACATCCGCTTCATTGCCGGCCCCATCATTCAGCGCTACAAGGAGAAGGTCGAAGCTGAGCGCGAGGTTGTCCGCAAGGCCGAGGAGGCCGCCGCCTCCAAGCGCCGTGCCGAGCTCGCTGCCCAGAAGGCCACCGAGGATGCTGCCGCCCAGAACGAGGAGAACGCCCGCAAGTACGCCGAGGGTGACTCCGAGATGAAGGATGCTCCCGCCGAGGATAAGCAGTAGATCAGTTCACCTAATTGATGACTGATCGTCTTGCGTTTTAGACCTGGTTATGGGAATGGAAATGGGAACCCGCGCCCACGTCTCATACTTGGATCATGTTGTTTTAGCTTCCGTTGTTGCTGAGATGGGCGTTGGCGCGGTATGACGAAAAGAACTTTTCAGATGTTTACGGACTAGACTCGATCAACTCAACGAACACTATGGTTGATCATTTTTTTGTTCTTAATGGCAAACAGTTATGATGTAGATCGTTCCTTTTTTTCCTTGGATGCTTATGAATAGATGAATATACTCTACGCCTTTTGTCTTCAACGCTTTGTTTCGCGGATTCCTTGTAATCGGCCTAGAATGCGTAAAGCTGTAGTCTGCTAGACCTGGTTTCATGTGCAGCGGCTGTGTACTATATCCCATTCGTGGAATCTATTGCATATTGAAAGCGTGAGCAAGACATGCAGTTACACAGCTGCACCTCAGCCAATAATGTGGGAATCCTATGCAGCCATACCGGGTGATGCTCATTAGCCTACTTCACTTCCGTACCCTCCGGTCAAAGAAGTCACATTACTAATCCAGTGAACCAATACTGCTTTTCATGAGACTTTGTAAACGTCGTACACGTATTGATGTATGACCCTTGAAACATTTGTGACGACATCAACTATTGGTGGCCTGACATTACTAAACTTGAGCCATCACGTGCATCTTATCTCCGTGCTGACCAAGCTATCGCCGTGGAACCGCATCGAATTCGCCTCAGCGCCTGCCTATTCGGGACGCATAAGCTTTGCCCTGTCGCGAACCACTCACCTTCCGACTTCTCCTGCTCCAACTACGCCATTTCAATATCCAGCTTGTGACCTTCAGATGGACGACTCGATGGAGCTAACCGTTCACCACCACGGTACCCCGCATACCTTCATCCTCCCATCCACAGCAACACTACAAGACCTATCCAGCGAAATAGAAAGCACGCTCAACATCCCAACGGACAACCAAAAGCTCCTCATAGCCCCCAAACCAGGAATGCAAAAAGCGCCTTTCCCCGCAACCAGACTGGACACCATCCTACAAACAACATCCCCAAAATTCAAAATCACCCTCCTCGGCACCCCAGCCCAAGCAATCGCAGACCTACACGAACAATCCGCCAGCGAGCGCCGGCGTCAAGAAGCAAGAGCCAGCCATTTAGCAGCAGCACGCCGTAACAAACCAGCAGCAACAACACGCCCAAGTGGCGTGCACACCCTCTCCTCAAGCGCCAACTACACCTTCCACCGCCTCCTCCCACTCTCCTACCTACCAAACCCAGACCGCTCATTGGGCTTCCTCAAACGGCTCCGCGATGACCCAGGCATCCGCACCGCAATGGCGAAACATAAATTCTCCGTGCCGCTCTTGACGGAGATGAACCCGGCAGAGCACACGACCAGTGAATCGAGGACGCTGGGTCTGAACAGGAATAAGGGGGAGGTTATTGAGTTGAGATTGCGGACGGATGCGTATGATGGATATCGTGATTATAGGACGATTCGGAAGACGCTCTGTCATGAGCTGGCGCATTGTGTGTTTGGGCCTCATGATCGTGATTTTTGGAATCTTACTGCTCAGATTGAAAAGGAGGTTGAGAATGGGGATTGGAAGTCCGGTGGTCATAGTGTTTCTGGGCAAGAGTTTTATAATCCTGGCGATTGGGAGAGTGTGCAGGGTGGGGAGGAGTTTGTTGATGAGTGTGGGTGGACTGGAGGTGAGTTCGTGCTTGGGGGGCTGAGGGAGGATGAGGCTGGAAGGAGGGCTGGGGCGTCCGCTTCTGGTGCTGAGTCTCGGAGGGAGATTATGGCTCGAGCTGCTGAGGAAAGGATGAAGAGGGAGAAGGAGACTGGGAAGCAGGATGATGCTACGTGATGTCATTTGTTTGTGATATCTAGTATTTTCCATGATTTATGAGCTTTGCATTTACATCAGAGCACGTTGTGTTGCTTAATATTCATTCTCTGTACATCAGATCTGTTTTGTCGCATTCAAACCAATATAGAATGTCCATATTAGACCTGCTCGTTAACGAACAAACCAGCCATACCCTGTCCAGTACCAATACACATGCTAGTAACCAGAATCTTGCTCTTGGTCCGGCGGGCCTCGCTCAGGATAGTAGCGATTTGACGAGCACCTGTAGCGCCTAAGGGGTGGCCAAGGGCAATGGCACCACCGCGGGGGTTAACCTTGGCATGGTCAAGACCAAGGGTCTTGACACAGTAAACAGCCATAGAAGCGAAAGCCTCGTTGATCTCATAGATGTCAATGTCGTTCTTATCAAGGTTGAACTTGCTCAGGAGCTTGGGGATAGCGGCAGTCGGGCCAATACCCATAACACGAGGGGGGACACCAGCGACGGTAGCGCCGCAGAACTTGGCGATGATGGGCTGGTTCAGCTCAATAGCCTTTGAGCGGCGCATCAGGAGAACAGAGGCAGCTAGTTGAACGGGTTAAAGACTGGACGACTTCCTTCACAAGAATAAAACTTACCACCATCGGTAACTTGACTAGAGTTTCCACCAGTAGACTTATCACCAAACTGCGGGAACGCAGGACGAATCTTAGACAGCGACTCGAAAGTGGTACCGGGACGAATACCATCGTCCCGAGTAAGAGTAACCTCCTTAACTTCACCAGTCTTGGGATCCTTCACCTTAACAGTAATAGGAGCAATCTCGTCATCGAACCAGCCAGCCTTCTGCGCAGCCTCAGCACGACGGAATGACTCAGCCGCATACCGGTCCTGCTGCTCACGCGGGATACCAAAGTCCTTGCCAACATTCTCGGAAGTCTGACCCATAGGCTGCATGCAATCAGCAGCTTCCTGGTTACGGAGGACCTCCTCGCTGAAAGGCTTCTCGAGGCGGTCGCCGGCGGCAGACATCAGCTCAGCGCCCATGGCAACTCCGATGTCGATGGCACCGAGCGAGATCTGGTTTGCAATATCTTGCACGGCTTTCAGGCCTGATGAGCAGAAGCGGTTTACTGAGGAGGCACCGGCTGTGTGGGGGATTCCGGCTGCTAAAGCGGCGGCGCGGACCATGTAGGCGGCCTTGGCTTCGCTGACCTGGTTTGAGTGTTAGATACTGAGATGGGGGAGTCGGATGAGGCATGGTTGAAACATACATTGCCGAGGCAGACATCTTCGATCAGGGCTGGGTCGATCTGGGACTTGGCCAGGGTCTCCTTGAGAAGGGCGTAGACGATGAAGTCGAGCTCTGTGTCCTTGAATCCGCCCTTGCGTGCCTTGGTGAGGGGTGTGCGGAGAGCTAGTGTGATAACGACGTCGTCGGGGTTCTTTTGGGTGCTTTATAGGTATTCTTAGCCTCATATATTCCAGCCGAGGCTATTCGAACTTACATGGCGCTGAGGCCGCTGGCGGCGCCAGGCTTGAGGTGACTCAGGAGCGAGCTAAGACGATCTGCGGCCATGATGAATTATGAGAGGAAGCTAGACGGTTTGTTGTGTTAGTTGGATATGTTGCTTAATCCCCGGGACTTTGGTAGTGAAGCTGGTGTATGGCAATGAATTTTCCGATATTTCAAGGCTATTGCGGGGAAGCTCAAACGCAAGCTTCACTTCTGGGACCGCAGCCCGATACAAGAGGACCACGTAAGGGATAAGGCTCGAGCAGAGAGGGAGAGTGACTTACTGATTATACAAGGAGGTTAATGATAAAGTCAAGTTGAGAGGAAAAGAAGGGAAGAAGTATGAGGGAAGATCTCCGCATCGCGCTGTAGCCCGAGACTGCCGAGGCTCATTTTCCTGCTCGGCCGGTAAGTACCCACTACCTCCGAATTGGCCAACATCACATACTAAAGACAGGTACTCTATACCTCTCCGGGATCTAATGTCCTTTTATAGACTCTCCAACGCCACAATGCCTAGGTAAATTTCGGGTTGAGCTTTAATAGAACAATTTTGGTTTCAAAAATCATGGAGCTGGTGATGACCAAGGACATCAATTTCTGTGAGCATGTTTTGTACTTCTATCTACCACGGCACAGTCCCATTCTCATCAGAATACGTGCCTGTCTCCCCGTCGGCCGACAAAGTCGCCAACCGTACAATATTAACAGCAGATTCAGATGCAGGCCGTCCGGTCCCACGCGAGAAATTGGTCGCAGTCAGATTTGGAGCCGAGGCATTGACCTTCCACCCCTGTTCTTCGAACAATGCCGCATAATGCAGCGTTAACATGTTAAGAGCTGCCTTGGTGCTGCGGTAGATCGGGAAGGAAGGGCTGCGAAGCTTCTCCCAGTTCCCAAGTGATTGTTCACTCCGTAGCCCCATCGACCCCGTGTGCGAAGAAACGAAGACGATGCGGGGTGGTAAGGCTACGGCTTTCGCAAGAAGAGATTTGAAGGCCTCAGTTGTTGCAGCAGCACCGAAGACGTTGACTTCGTATGCATCGCGGTATAGCTTTCGAAGCTGGGAAAGGTCGGCTTTCTTAGTCTTTTGCAGCTTCATTTCTTCTCGCAGCTTTACAAAGTCGCTTGATCCATCGGGGTTATTCTCTTCTTGCTTTTTTCGCTGCTGCAAGAGAGCATCGAGCTCATTGTTGATGCCCGCGTTGTTTACGAGAATATCGAGGCGCCCATGTTTTGAGTCGACGTGCTCTGCTGCTTGCTCGATTGAGGCGTCGTCGCTTACGTCGATGGTGACCAGCTCCACCGATTGACCAGTGGGGTCCAACTCAGCAACGGCTTTAGCGCCACGCTCTGCATCCCGAGAACCGAGAAGAATGTAATAATTCTCTTGTGAGGAGAGGAGGAGCTTGGCAACTTCGTAACCAATGCCTTGGTTTGCACCAGTGATCAAAACGAGGGTTCGCTGAGTATCCATGGTTGTCCAGGGTGATTTCGATCAATGAAAGATATGTAAGATATGATGACGAATATCAATCTGCCTGTTATACCGCTGATATGACTGTCCCCAGAAAGCTCGCGTATTCTCACTTGAACTCCGAAATCCGCTCTGACGGAATGCAGCATCTCGGACATTACGTCTTAACTCCGATCAGGATTGAAGGCCAGACTGATTGATTCCATAACTATAGATCCATGCAGGGGGCATTCTTTGATTGGCAAGCCAAATGAGCACATAGAATCTGGGGAAAATAAAAATATGACACTGCACAAGTTGTGAGAAAAGTAAATTGGTGTTACTGTTATGTACTGCAAGTATAGTTGTACTCTAACTAATCTAGTTGAGACTACAGGTGCAATGTGCCCTGAAGCTTCAAGTCCTTCGAGCTGGCACCAACAAAGACCCCAATCTTACCGCTCACCAATCCCCACTTCTGAGCCACCACATCCCACTCACTCAGATCCCGACGAGTCAAGGCCAAAGTGACGGACTCTTTCTTACCCGCATCTAGTGAGACCTTCTCAAAGCCACGGAGCTGTTTGACACCAGAAGTAGTATCGATATACAGCTGGGTAGCTTCCTTTCCAGCCACCCGGCCAGTGTTCTTGACTGTGAATTTGATTCGTGCAAGAATATCCCACAGATCAACCTGTCCACCCTGTTCAATGGCACCAGAAGGATACCTCGCGGCATTTTTTGCCTTCTTGGTCTTGGTCACGGAAAGTGAACTGTATTCAAAGGAAGTGTACGATAGGCCAAACCCAAACTCATACCGGGGTGTGACATTCCGGTTTTGAAAGTCACGGTAATCAATAAAGATACCCTCAGAGAAGTCGCTTTGAGGGTAGTTGACGTAGTCACCCTCTGGGAGACTTGGATCAAGAAGGGAACCATAGTCACTGGCATTCTTTGGAACAGAGTAAGGCATCTTGCCCGAGAAGTTCTCATCACCGTAGAGCAATGAGACTGTCGCAGCACCGGAGTCTTGGCCTGGTGTATGGGCATAGACAATAGCAGTGACATTAGGATGATCAGCGAAATTGTCAACGAGGCGAACTCCCGCGTTGTGGATGACAACGATTGTGTTGTTGCACTTATCAGCCACCGAAAGAACCAAGTTGTCAGAGTAATCATCGTAGACACCAGGTCTATCGTATCCTTCAGAGGCCCACGCGTTGATGAAGACCAAGCAAGCGTCTGAAGTGGGGACAACTTCAGGTGCTGGACTCTCAATATCCCAGAATAAAGCTGAGTTATCTTTCATAGCACGGTTTGTAAAAGCGTCAAGAGGACCAGAGACGTAAGCGGGTGTCGTTGCGCCAGAGCCGCCGCCCATGATGATTGTACCGTTGATTGCAATAGACTGAATCTCAACAAGGGGGTCTTCTTTCCGTCCAATTGCAGCCATAATTTGCTGGACGTCGGTGCTTTCGTATCCGAGTGCCCAAGAGCCTAGACCACTGGTAGAAGGCACCGATGATCTGTACGTTCCGGCGGAATATCCGAAGACAGACAGGACCTGTGGTTTTCTGAGGGGCAAAGCATGATTATTTTTTACAAGAACATGACCTTCGACTGCACCTTGTAGGATAACGGGGCGAGCAGCTGGCTCTCTAGCATCGACTCTCTTATGCGGTTCAATAACTGAATAAGGCATGCCGCTGCCGGGTTCGGGAATGCTGCTGTCTTGGCCCAGGTAGTACCATGCGGCAAGGATGCTGAGACATGTGAGCTTTCATGAACTTCCAAATATGATCCCGAATATCCATCGGAAAGAAGAGAATTGACGTACCGAGTAGCCATATCATTCAATCGGCTTTCCGGAACGGAGTCGTTGTTGATTGCGGTAGTCAGATTGTTGCCCCAATATTTAGTGTCTGGCATGACCATATCGAGACCGGCGAGGGCACTAGCGACTCCAGTGTCTATATCACAAGTTGATCAAGTAGAACAAATGGTAAGTGTTATCTAAGCTCTCACTTACGTTGCGCATTCCAATCAGTGACCACAAAACCCTTAGCGGTTAGCCCTTCTGCTACAATATCAAAGATCAATAAAGTAAATACCTGGAATCCGAGTTCAGTCTTCAGAAGCCCATTGAGAGTTTTGCTGTTGGCGCAGCCGTATGTATTGTTGATACGATTGTAACTTTTGACAAACTGTTAGCGACGAACACGCACGAGGTGAACTCATCTCACCTGCACATGATATTCACAGATCCCGCTTTAATAGCATCTTGAAAAGGCCTATTGTTGAATAAATTAGCAACGGTATTTCCGGACATGTCGAACACAGATTTGCGCGCACCAGAGGTAGAGCTCATGAATCGTCTTGTCGTCGACATTCGACGAAACCGCCTCGATTGGAGGGGTGCTACCAGTAACCGGGTTGCGATTCGTCTCTTGCTCGTTCATAATGTAGTGCTTGAGACTAGTCATCACACCACGCTTGTTGAATGCCGCAACGGTGTCGGCAGCAAGGACACCGCTCAGATATGGGTCATTGGTGAAGCCTTCCCAGTTTCGACCACTACGAGCAACGCGACCAAGGGGCCCAACAACTAGGGGCACATTTGTCAGTAATTGAAGTTATGGAGCTACAATGGTAAAGAAAACCTACCAGGCCCAAGGGCAATGTTGACCCCTTTTGCTTTAAACTCGCCGGCCATGAAGTGTGCTCGTTGAGTCGTGAGTGCTCGGTTCCAGCTGTTTTTGTTAGCAAGAAAAGAAAACAAGACGCGTGAGATGTCTTTGTGCATCGTTAAGTGTACCTTGCTCCGACACTCAATCCAGCTGGATACCCATTGACTAAATCGGTAGTCCGAAGTCCATTTCCGGCATCTGAGAGGCAGAGTCCGGGGAACCCAAGACGCGAGATAGCAGGAATAAATCCAGAGCATCCATTCTCAGTCGTGGAAGCACCGAAAGTCAGGTTTGACTATATACGTTCATTAGTTTGCCTGATCACCACCGTCGGGATGCTGAGTAGTATACTTTTTCTTCAAGGGACAACTGAGCGACAAATGCTTTCGCCTTGGTGTATGACTCTGCCCAGTCCCCAGTACCACTTCCAATAGCTTATAAAAATGGGTGTTAGTGTTTCTATTTGTCTAGAGCTTGTTAACCTGGTAAGTGACATACGTGATGGGTAAAAAGGCGGACTTTGACCATAAAAGTGACTGTCCGACGTGATAATATCAGCAGTAACGCCGACTAAGCAGGCGCTGAAAGCAAGGAACCTCATCTTGAGGATATGATTTAATTCAGTCCGAGGCAAGGGGATTGTTTTGCTTTAGTTAGCAGGCTATAGCTGCCTTATATATGATCAACATCGTGGGATGCTCGGAGAGCGGCCGATGCCTCAACTGCCGATACACCGTATGTCTACTGGACACCAAGACGCTAATACAAGAAATCAGCGCATACTAAGTCGTCCATTCCCTGAATACTACCGTGGCTTTATTGGCGTATGTATATAAATCTATACCTTCCCCGCCTTCCCCGCAAACATCCCCTGCTGCAGGTATAGGGATAAGTTGGTACAAGGATGCTATTTCCCCACGGGCAGAGAGAAGCTAAGGTCCAAACGTGGTCTAGTTAATTAGTCAAACCTAAATGTGATTCTAATCTCCACAAATCCAGTGCTCATGCCCCGGGGATTCGACGTGGCTAGAATTCCCCCCGCATGGCTTCAATCCCGCTAAGCCCCAGCTTTTCTAGCCATTATAAGGATTGCTTGAGCCAATGCTCTAAGACCAATCGGGTACAACGTATCCGTTGGGTTCTCGGTAGAACTTCGGTGCAAGTAGTGCCTGAGCGTCCGGCTGACGCAGCTGCCTTGATCACTTCATGTACACCACAGCCCTTTTCAACCCTTTGTGCGTGGCCAAGTAATTGGGAGCATATAATTTGTTTGATGGTCCCACCGGCTGAGTTCATCAGATATGTTTGCCAGTGCTCCTTGCTTAGCCTCGGCTGAAAGTTGTGGGGGTGAGAGGTCGCATTGCATATACTTGGCGAATACCGCGACTTTCTACTCTCTGATCGGAGACCTCACCGATGTTGGTTGGGCTTCCAATTTGATAGTTGAGAATGCAAAAGCTATCCTCGTGTTCAAATGAGATCTGGGGCTGAGTGATGTTCCTTACTTCTATTAAAAACAGAATCGTGGACGCAATGCGGTCGTTACGCAGTCCCTCGGTGTGGATATACACTTTGCCGGAATGGGTCTGTTTGTTCGGTGTGAGTCCAATGTGGGAGACCTCACGGGGAATGCCTGCAAACCCCCTTCTCGAAAGTGCCTCTGCAAGCGTACATAGGGACGGTCATGAAATAGCGAGTCCAGGTGATCACGATCCCATCCCCGTGAGATCATGGGGCGCTCGTTGAATCTTTGAAAACCTTAGGGTAGAGTGTACACATGTATGAGCAGGATTATATATAATTTCTATAACTCAAGAACTGACACTTTCCTGCTGTCGCAAAGGTCACCTGCGACATCGCCTCAGAACCAGCCCTTAGAACGTAGCTTTCGCCAAGTTATTAGCAAAATTGTTCTCATTGAACGGAACATTTGCAGAACCAAAGTCCGTGGTATCCAAAGCATCCTGAACAACAGCTATACGAAAGCATCAGCATCACGTCCTATACAATCTTTTGCAAGACACGAAAGAAAACTTACTGGACATAGACTCCCACGCAATAAGAGGCTGAGTACCACCAACAGTGGTGGTAAGACCACAGCTATGATCAACAGGCCAAATAGACTCATACTTGATCAGGGGAACAGTGCCATCAAGTGTGAAGCCATTAGTGCTGCAATCCCAGCCGCCGTGAGCAGAAGGACAAACAGCAACGACGTTATCAGCTGAGATAGTCGTGGAGTCTTTCAACCAGACAATCACGCCTTCCCAGTCGTGACGGTGGCCGATTCCTGTTGAGGGTTCGTCCTTGGGGAAGTACCATGAGTACATGACGGCGTAGTAGTCGCCTGAGGTGCTTGCTCTGACTGTTTACCAAGTAGAGGGGTTTTATGAGTATGTTGCACGTGAGTTAATCTTTGTTTGAGAGATACTTACCATAGATTTGACCGGTGTTGCTGCTGCAGCCGGAGGAGGAGCCGCCTGACGGCTTGAGACCGGCACTATAGATACTCCGTTAGGCGCAAAAGATTGCACAAAGGAATATGAATCTACTGACTTGGTGTTACCCTCGGCATCAACACCAGGGAAAGGAACACATCCATTGACAACTTTCAAGTCCGGCTGATAAGCTAGATAGACATTTCCGACCGTTCCACTAGGCACAGTCTGCGGCAAGCCAGCAATCTCATCCGAGCCGACAGTTCCACGACGCGAAAGGGCATGAGGAGAGGCACGCGCCACAGAGAGGGCCGCTAGTCCAGTAAGCAGAGTGGAAAGCATCCTGTGGTACGGATGTAGTGTGGCAGGAAAAGGCGCTGTGAAGAAGCATCAAATGTGAAGCTGCGATCTTTTTATATATCCACCGTTCGTCGGGCCATCGCTCCATAGTATCTCCATAGTATCTCCGTAGCGTGAGAGAAGGGAAGTGCGGTGGAAACGGTCTTCAGCCCTGATGGAGTATAGACGCGGATATTAGACCCACTTCCATCGAAATCAGATGTGATCGACGGCGATGTCTTAGGTGCGGCGTGCGATCGACATGGGTGGTGATTCGTTATCTTTTTTGGCGTTTTCTCCGGACGCGTGGATATATTGAAAGGAGTTAGGCTGCAGTCTTCATAGAACTATGTGGAGCTTAATATACATAGATAGGTAGTGACCCCTCTCGTGAATATGTTAGTTGCGCTGAATAGGGCTATTTACAACACGTGGTGATTGGCAAGAGACTTGAGCTGCATGTTCCTGCTTTAGTGAATTTTCGCACCAATCACGACAGGCAGCTCAGCAAATTGTCCAGTTTCTTCAAAACCGCCCCCTGCATAGTCGCATTGGCGTCGTTCTTCGAGCTCGCTAGGCCTACTGAAACACTCGCCCAGCAGCCGGAAGCTAGCGAGACCTCAATCTCGCTTGGTAGTCTGTCACTTCCACACGTGGTGACATCGTCTGGTGTAATGAGTGGGACAGCGACGTGAATGCGAGACAGAACGAAGGAGAAATCCTGCGGGCTAGTGCACTCGGAGTCCGAGACTGATCCGAAGTTGACATTCAGCCAGATACCGTCTGGCAGGTACGGCTTTCCAGCGGCCACCACGTGATTGGTGAGGTTAGTTGCGAGATCGGCGTAGATGTCGCTGTAGTTTGGGCGCGACACGTTCCAGGATGTCTGCGATCCAGTGGCTCCGGAGAATGCAATTGCTGGGATACCAGCGCCGGCGGCGTACGTGGTGGCGCCTACAGTACCGGAAAAGTACACCGCGATGCCAATGTTGCTGCCGACATTGGGACCTGCGACTGCCACATCCGGAGGTCCATCGAAGAACTCCGGGGCGCGCGACTCGATACCGTATTTCATCGAGGTTGCTGGGTAGCTATTAACGTAGCCGAGGCGAGGCTTTAATTGAATTAGTACGATTTTTACAATGAGACAGCAATTGAGCGCCAAAAGACTAACCTCCGATGCATTATAGCCCACGGCCGGGCTGCCAGATGGGCAGCTATTAAACTCGCATGCCTCCGTCAAATTGGTAGGAGTCTTCATCTTGGATCCTACAATTTGTCAATACGAGCGTAATCAAGGGGTGTGCATCACATACCAGTGCCACTCTGGTTTTCAGCCGGGGCAGACACCACAACCGAATGTCCCGCGCTTCCCAGCGACTCGAACATTGCGCGGATATTGGCCTCGGCCCAGCCATCGTCGTTGGATGAGATGATATTGACGGCCTGAGCTGCCAAGGGCAACAGGGCAAGAGTCTCAAACCGCATGGCTACGATGCAATTCCGTGTGTGATATGCGAAACCTGCGACGACCCGAGCCTTTTATATCTCGGATGCCACGGCTGAGGTGAAGTCATACGCGGACCCGCCGATCGTTCCCCTGATCAATCGTTCTTGGCTGTAAACCTTTCTCCACTCGTCAAACGGCTCGCTTCGAATGCGAAAACGACCCCCTAAATCTGAGTGAGAGATGTTAACGGTCGGGTTTCGTCGAAATCTATTTGCTTATGTGATCGCGCCTTCCGAATGTCTGAATATTTACAAATCTCACACTAGAACATCACTGATACTCGAACCTGAAACGATGCATACAAATTGTACAGCGGTTGAGGTCTATACATGGGGTTGAATTAGGACGAATACGAATATACCACCAGCCCCTCCTCAGGCACCCTGGTTCTCACCCCAGATGCGATGAGCCAAGTCCTTCATCAGTACCAACTTCTTCCACATTAAAAACATTGTCATCCCTTCCCCACCCCCTTTGCTCATACTAGCAAATCCACACTGCGGACTAACACCAAGCGAAGAATCAAGAACATCAGCCACAGTGCGACTCTGTCCGCGAGCTATGATCTCAGCAGCAGCATAAACACGCGCAACCATTTCCTCAATGTCTTCCAACTCAGGGCTTTTGGTCGAAATCACGCCAAGCACGACGTTCTTCCCAATGGGCAAATGTCGAAGTGGTTCAAAGTCACCCGCCCGCTCAGTATCATACTCGAGATAGTAAGTATCGTAGTTGAGTTTGCTGAATATCCTCTTGGCGATGCGTTCATATGAACCACTAATGATGTGGTTCGATCCAGCCATGTTACCGCGACAGAGATGCATTCCCACGTGGAGGTCTGTCGGCTTTGAAGCGAGGCAGAGGTTATGCGCCCAGATATACTGGTCTAGTAAGGCGTCTGGGTCGACTCCATCGACCTCGCATCCAGATCTAAATTCTTCGGAAACAAAGAATAGGAGATTTGGATCATCTATCTGGATCGAGCGAAGACCTGCCTCGTACAAGATACGCCACTCGACTGCGTAGGCGGCTCCTAGATCTTGGAAGTATTCCTCGTCAGAGGTGTATGCGCTTGCGCTGTAGGCAGTACCGACGGCCATCTGCATGATTCGGTGAGACTTATCCACACAAAACGATCGGACGTACAAGTACATACCTGCATATGAAGATGGGTAATAGGCGGCATAGTCAATTTACACTCCCGCCACCTCGCGGGCGGAAGAAGAGCACTCAAGGCCTTCCACTCAGACAGATAAGCACTCTCCACATGATTTATCTTGTCCACGGCAATGAGAGAGTCCCGTGTTTTCACACCAAGCTTCTCCAATGTCTTGACCGTAGGAAAGCCCGTTCTAAATCCATTGCCGACCGGAATATCATTGATAACCTGCATTCCAGCAAGTTTCTCAAAGAATCCGGAGTAAAACTTGTCGCGCTCATATTCCCCCGATGTAATCGGTCTTATCCCGAGCTCGATTTGCTTGGTGACAGCCTGTGCAATAGCTACCTCTGTTGCACGGTGTAGTTCCTCTGAGAGATGAGCGTACGTGGTTGTTGCACCGGCAGCTGAACGTGCGTCTAGAAGCTCTTGTGGGCGCATGAGAGAGCCAATTTGCTCAGCTCGGAAAGGGGGTGCCATCTTTGTTGGAATTTGAGGAATTGGGAATCTGAACTTATGACGTCTGAAATGTCTTTATAGTCTCGCATGGGACTGCATTGTGGGGAGGTGCGGGGTGAGCTGGGAGTCCCGAGCGCACCAACGGCATAAAGTGGGTTTCTTTGTGTTCTTGTTTGTATCTTCTTATTTTCATATCCTCTGTATTCCTGATAATTATCCTTACCGATCAATTATTCTTCTCTTCTACAGAAATCTGACCACCGCGCGCATTCTCCTCTGGTGGTGCATTCTACTTGTAAATCATTGCATGTCAAATGTGCTTTATAGTATTGGTGATTCTCCTGCGTATCACATCAGCCAGGTTATAGTCCTGATGCGAATGCTGAAAATTGAACATATGATGATGAGTGAGCTAGTCCATAGATTGTCATCCGCGAGCCGCCAGTTCTAATCTGCACTATATGAGAGCTCTCTCATGTTTTTCACTCTATTTTTCTTCTTCATCACCTTACCTTTCAAACTGACTCATTATATTACTTCGACGTGAACCCGATATATCCACATAAATTCCCGCACCGGCTTCGACCAGATCATACCTCCCTCCGCCTGGATGCAAGCCTTCCAGGTCTCCTAGTCTGAAGATGCATACGACCAGGTCGGCGCAGTGGCTGCGTGTTATTCTGAAATCTCCACTAATATCTTGATGGTGGCCACTGAAGATCTTGCATTCATGAGTGCTCGGTGTCTAAGCGCCGAATAGGTTCGAATCAAAGTCATGAATCAAGAATTCCCTCTTCCCCCATCCGCGAGGCGAGCAGATCAAGTTCCCTAACAGGATATAAAAAGCCATGACCTTTGGAATTGTCCGCGTTATCGGGCTCGAATAGTGTTAGGATGCTGGCGGCCGGAGGCAAGCTTGCCCGAACTACTGCATCAAGTACCCAAGTACGAAAGCCATGACTGAAATGTTCGCCCACGAAATTCGTTGTAAACACCGAGAGAGAATTGAATAGAGTATTCAGAAGCAGATTGTATGCAATCCTATTCAAGATGAGCTCTATTTGCTCTCACTTCTCTAATTCTCCTTCTCGACATTGTTCATTATCAAATGCTTTAATTTTTGTTTTTCTTCCTTCCTTCTATCTTTCCTCATCATCACATTTCTGCCCAATTTCATCCGTTTTCTTTTCTTTTTTTTTTCGCTTGCTTTGTATCCTGTTTGCTTTCATTTCTATCTGCTTTCGGCTTTCAATATCGCTTGATGAATTGGATGGGCTAGAGTCGCTCATATTCCACGTAAAACGCGCGATCACGCAGATGTAGATGTAGAAGGTGCGCAGACAACATGCCAAAGGCGCCTGTCATGTCTACTTCCTTTAAAAGCGGTTTCGGAACTGCCCCATTGTAATTAAATTTCTATGGAATTAAATTCTAAGCCATCTGGACACGGAGTCAAGCAAAAAGTCCCGTGGCTTAATGCACTTTTTGGAGTTTGGCGTTTAGCGTTTCACGTTTCACTCCATGGCGGTTTGGGAATTCGGAGCTGTCCTGAAGTAGAACATGCAGCCAGAAGAACTCCTCTTTGGCGAACTATATATATCGTCTCTTGGCCCGGTAACTTGGCCGATTTCAACTACCATCATCTTTCTTGCTAGTACTACAGCAATGTACAAGACACTCCTTGCACCCACACTTTTCTCTGCGCTGGTCGCAGGCCACGGCCACATCACAAACATTGTGATCAACGGGGTCTCATTTGGAGGTTGGGATATTAACAGTTATCCCTACACAGATTCGCCGCCGACTGTCGTAGCATGGGGAACCCCTAATACCGCTAATGGCTTTATCTCGCCAGGTATGCGATTGTACATTCCTGTCGCCCTGTATCCAGGGTTAATCCAACGTAACAGATCAATATACCACCTCGGATATCATCTGCCATCTCAATGCCACCAACGCGAAGGGACATGCGGTAGTAGCCGCCGGCGACAAGGTCTTCCTGCAGTGGACGGACTGGCCTAAAACTCACCACGGCCCCGTCATCGACTACCTGGCCAACTGTGGCTCAGCAGGCTGCGAGACTGCTGACAAGACCTCGCTTGAGTTCTTCAAAATCGATGGTGTTGGACTTGTGGATGACACCACGGTACCTGGAATTTGGGGTGACGACCAACTCATTGCTCAAGGCTCCTCGTGGATGGTTGAGATACCTCCCACTATTGCGCCAGGTTACTATGTGCTTCGACATGAGTTGTACGTACATTCGTCTCGGTAAAAATCGTGATTCTGACTGACATCTCCAGAATTGCCCTTCACAGCGCCGGTGAACAGGGAGGAGCTCAAAGCTACCCTCAGTGTTTCAATCTGCAGGTCACTGGATCTGGAACCGATGACCCGGCAGGTGTCCTTGGCACTGAGCTCTACAGTCCGATCGACGCTGGCATCTTGGTCAACATCTATGCTTCTCTGTCAACATACGTGAGTTGCCCTTCCCCTGTCGCCAAACATTGAACAAAGAGCTGACCACCTCTGAACATAGGTTGTCCCGGGCCCTACTCTGTACAGTGGTGCCGTCTCAATTACACAAACAACATCCGCAATCACAGCCACTGGGACCCCAATCACCGGATTAGGTACTGCAGCCACTGCGACTTCAGCCCAGACAACCGCAGCAGGTAGCGCAGTCACAGCATCATCGGCAACGACGGTGAAGTCTACTACCGTGGCCCCCACAGGAACCTCAACCACCACTGCAGCACCCAAAACGACAGCCCCGACAGCCGTAGCACCTACAACGGTGGCAAGCACAATGTCAACAACCATGCGCGCGAGCACAACCACTGCAACTGCAGGAAGCAGCGCGACCCAGTCCGTCTACGGTCAGTGCGGAGGAAACAACTGGAGTGGGGCTACGGCCTGCAACATTCAAGCCACCTGCTCATCGATGAATCCCTACTATTCGCAGTGTGTTCCCACAGCCGCTTGAGTGGGGCGTAGTTGCATATAACGTGCATGGAGAGGTGTCGCTGGACGATATACTGGAAACGTGACATAAGCAAGTAACCGAAATGAATTTTGAACACGTTTTTTTTCGCTTCAATTTCTAAAATTGAACATGCAATGCACGGTGTGTGGTATATAGTGGCCGGCGCTAAACAAAGCAGGGCATGAAAGGGGCGGCAATTTCCGTCCGGTGAGCCCCAACTGTTCCGTTAAGCAAGGTGGGGACCGGCGTCCCCCGCAGAGTCAACACTATTCATTTTCCAGTTGAGACCTGTATGCAAAGAGCCAAGATGCCATCATTGAACAGTCGAGCTCTTCCTTCCGGTTACGTCCTTCATGACGGGTACCCTTCAACCCCTGAATACCTACATCTCCGCTCCGCTGCGGGCTTATCAGCCAAGACCCCTTCCCAGGCTGCTGCGATCTCCACGGGGAGCTGGTACGGATGCTACATGGCATTTGAAGAGAACGGCTCAATTCCAAAGACAGTTGGTATGGGGAGAATCATAGGAGACGGCGGCTGGTACTTTCCGTGATATATTGACATTCTTGCGACGTCAGACTAAATGTGATGCGCCTAGGTATTTCCATATTGCGGATATGGCTGTCGACCCAGAGCATCAGAGGAAAGGACTTGGAGATGCTATTCTCAAGACATTAGTGGCGAAGATCAAGCAGGATGCTCCGGCAGATGGGAAACCTTATATTTCGTTGTTGGCTGATGGGCCGGGGAGACCGTTGTATGTGAAGAACGGGTTTGTGGATAGTGCGCCGGCCTCGCTGGGTATGATCCTTGAATATTAGATCCGCAAACTATAGAAATATGGGGAATTCCATTGCATGTTCTACTCCATGCCAAGGAAGAATGTAGATATAGTGTAGTGTACACATCGAGGCATGCACGGCCTTGGCGACGGGATCAAGCCGTAGCCACCCAACTTTTCACCCTTCGCCACCCCCGATGAACAATTGATTCCTGCACAAATTACTCCTGCCAGTAGCATCAGACTGCCCAGATAAAATCATCGCATTAAAAATGCCCATCTCCGCATCCCCTGGCGACCCCGGGTCCACCCTCGGCGTGCACTATCCCGAACGTGGGGAAGCCGACGTCTCCACGCTCCGTGGAACGGGAAACCCGAGCGCCCAATCCCTTCAACCTGTAGCTCACCATGCCCCGTCGGCCCGTGGGTAAATGCCCAAGGGATGTCGCATATCACACCAGCCCGCAGTTATCAAGCCCCGTATTATCCGCATTCGGATTCCCCCACCCCGAGCCCCCGACTTCTTCTCCAGAATCCCCAGACTGATTGGCCCAGGGTGAAGTGGATGGTGGAGATATGACCTGGGGAGAGCGTATTCAGCAATTGACCCGCCGATCAAGCGTCGTGGCTGATTTATGCCCTGGGGGGCGTCGGATCTCGCCAGTCCCTTTTCTCTAGCCTAAAAGGGCTTCACGTCTATTCGCACTCTTCTGCTGGCTTGAGGAAAACTGATTCTTCTCGATCCACTTCAGCATAATTTTCACAATGTGGAAACATAATTTTCGAGGGAGATCCCTTGTCTTTGCTTTTACGGCATGTTCAAGTCAGGCATGTGAATTGTTATGAATAAACAGCTTGTCAATTGAGGACTGACGGTGAAAAACAGGCATTCCTCTTGCTCGGCTATGACCAGGGTGTGATGAGTGGTTTGGTGGGAGCAGACAACAGATTTGGTCGTGATTTTGGCCATCCAGATGCCAATTTGCAAGGTGACATCGTCGCCCTCTATGACATTGGTTGTATCATTGGTTCAATTCTGGTTTTCTTCATTGGTGAACGGTACGGTCGACGCTGGATGTTGATGGCCGGTGGCACAGTCATGATTATTGGAACTATCATTCTAGCTTCTTCGAGCACGGTGGCTCAACTTATTGTTGGCCGTATTGTTACAGGCGTAGTGCGTCCTCTCCCTGTCCTGTTGGAGGCTCTAGAACTAATAGGGCGTACAGGGCAATGGAATGAATAGCAGTACAGCTCCTGTCTATCAGAGTGAAAGTGCACCATCCGACATCCGAGGAACACTTCTCACGCTACAGGGAACTATGACAATCCTCGGTCTCTGCATCGGTAATTGGTCCTCGTCATCCTATGACCTTGGACAGCCACTGACTTTTTTCCTAGCTTATTGGCTCGATTATGGTACCAGTTTCACCGATTCCTCCCTGCAATGGCGGCTACCCTTGGCATTCCAAGCATTTTTCGCTGTCTGCCTGGTCCTCCAAGTGGTCGGACTTCCAGAAACACCACGATGGCTCATGAAAAATGACCGATACGAAGAAGCTCGGGATGTTGTTGCCGCTATCAACGACGCCTCGCTGGACGATCCAATCGTCATCCAGACTCTGGCAGACATCGAGAAGGCTGTTCACGAAGATATCCAAGGGAATGAAGTCGGCTGGCGCGACTTCTTCACCCATGGAAAACTTCAAAACTGGCGTCGACTGCTCTTGATTATCTTCATTGAAATCATGCAGCAGTTTACTGGTTCGAACATGATGTAGGTATTCAAAAATGCGTATACAAGTTGAACAGATACTGACTGAAACAGTAATTACTACGCCCCTACCGTTTATACAGATGCCCTTCATATGGGGAGAAACATGTCTATGATTCTATCGGGCTGCACCTCCCTCGCATACCTCGTCGGATCTGCCCTTCCTTTGTTGATGATGGATAAGTTTGGTCGCCGTATCCTACTCATGGTATCTGCAGCCGGACTTTGCCTCTGCTTTGTTATGGTTGCTATCCTCCTATCTATTGGCAAGACACAAGACGCCTACGGTGCAACTGCTTTCATATTCTTGTTCCAAATCTTCTATGGTCTTGGATGGTTGCCTGTCCCCTGGTTCTACCCGTCAGAGGCAAGTCATCCTTTGAGATATCTTCTTGATACAAGCTGACCTCTTCCTCAGATTAGTACGACATCTCTTCGATCCAAAAATGCTGCTATTGCATCTGCATTTAACTGGCTTTCCGTCTTTGCGGTGGTCAAGATTACACCCATTGCAATTCGTAAGTTTTCCCCTTGCTTGCCCGATCCCCATCCGAGATGATTTGGACTAACGACTATTCACAGAAAACATCGGCTGGCGTGTCTTTGTGAGTTTCGCTGTGCTCAACTTTCTCTGGATTCCAATTGTCTACTTTTTCTACCCAGAAACAAAGGGCCTCGAACTCGAAGATATCAACTTGATCTTCGCAAAGGGTGGCTTCACTGGTGGCGTATTCTCTTCCGGTGGCCGTCCCGTCGTTCCACATCAACATGCTCAGGAGACAGAACTCGAGGGCAAGCAGCAGACTGGCATGATTGAGGATGTTCAGCATCCTTGATTGACTTCATGAATATATTATGACACATTGTACATAGAATTAGATATGGACCTTCAAGTACAGATACAGACCTTGAGCCGTCTCAGAATCTAGCATATCCGTGGCTAATCCCATACTGAAAAAAGAGTGAACCCCGAGGCACTACAAAATGAGCAAAAGTAATTAAAAAAAATCTTAGTAAACAATGACAAAAGAGGACGAAGGATGTACACTGAATGACATTCTAAGCTCTGATATAGAGTTATAGAGTTATCAATGAATCAGCACTGAAAGGATATATGTCCAACGAGAAATCCACATCGGGTGAGCTCTTCAAACCATGAAAGACAGGATATGTGAAAGGACTTATGGCTGCCGTTGTAGCTCTCCCAATCAAATGCAACACAGAACGATGGAACAAACCATAACATCAAAAAAGTAAACTACAACAGATATCATCAGTCCTTCCCTACCGTCCTCATCTGAATGAGCTAGATCATCTATCCAAGGCACTTGAAGTTGGACAAGAAAGAGGTCAAAAAAGAGGCTAAAAAAGAGACGAAGAAAGAGAGGTCAAATTGTGTGTAGCCAATTCCTATTCTCAACCTAAAAGCTCTTCTTAAGCCACTGCGTCTGCGAATTACAATAACCTAGCAGACCAGTAAGACCCCATTCGACACCCATTCCACTCTGCTTATGGCCCCCAAAAGGCGCAGTGGGCGAAACATCAAAATGGCTATTAACCCAAACCGAACCAGACTGCAGTTGATCCGCAATGCGTGTCGCGCGCTCGAAATCCTTCGACCAGACTGATGCTCCGAGGCCCGTTTCCAGCGCATTAGCACGCTCAATTACATCATCTTCATTGGACCATTTCATAATTGGCAGAATAGGAGCGAAGGGTTCTTCCTGTACGACGCGCGAGGAGTCAGGCGGGTTATCGATAATCGTGGGATGGATGAAGTATCCCGCGGAGTTTTCGATGGTACCTCCGAGTGCGGGTTTCAGGTTCTCAGTTTTGATAGTGGAGAACAGTTCTTTGGCTTTTTTGAATTGCATTTCATTCTGGACGGGTCCGAAAAAGGTGTCTGCTTCGGTTCCGTTGCCTACTTTCAGGGTTTTGACGAATGTGATTAGTTTCTCCAAGAAGGCGTCGTAGATCTCTTCGTGGACGTAAAGGCGTTTGATCATCATACAGATCTGCGAACTGCAGAGGTAAGAAAGGATTCCGATTTTGGGGATCACCGCGTCAATGTCTACGTCGTTACAGATGATTGCTGGGTCATTACCGCCTAGTTCGAGGGTTACGCGTTTGAGGGTCTTAGCGCAGGAGGCCATGACTCGCTTGCCGGTTATGATTGAGCCTGTGAAGCTGATTTTGTCGATACCGGCGTGGTCGGTGAACATGGGACCCAGGGAGTCGTCGCCGCTGAGACATTGGATCACTCCCGGTGGGAAGAAGTGGGCTGCTAGCTCGGCGAGCTTCAGGTCGCAGTATGGTGTGAACGGGGATGGTTTCACGATCACGGGATTGCCTGTGTAGACAGCTGACACGATTTTGCCCACAGCCAGTAGGACAGGGAAGTTCCAGGGAACGATGGCACCGACCACACCCATGGGTGTATAGCGCTGCACGATCTTGCGGTCGTCTGTCTCTTCAATGACGTTCTCTTTGATTTCGATTGAGCTGAGTCCACGGGTCCAGGTGCCTACCATTCCGACTTCGGCGCTTGCTTGTGTCAATGGCTTGCCCTGCTCCATTGTCAGGGTCTTTGCGAAGCCATCTGCGTTGGCGTCGATGGCGTCGGCCCAGGCGTTGAGGGCTTTGCGCCGCTCATTGAAGGAGGTCTTGGACCAGGTCTTGAATGCGGTTCTAGCGGCTTTCACGGCCTTGTCGAGGTCATCTTGAGTTGATACTGGGACGGGTGGGTTAGGTTCAGTTGTGGCAGGGTTGATTCCAGTTCGGGTTTGTGAACTCGAGGTCAGTTCGTTGTTGATGACATTGGAGAAGGTCTAATACGAGTTAGTGAGCGGCTCTTAGATAAGGATGTGTGGGAGGCTAACAGTAAAGTCCAATGGCGTAGAGTCCGTCATCTTCACAGCTTAGATTGCAAGTTGGATATATTGAATATTGAAAATGGAGACTAAGGAAGCGCGGAATCTCACGCAATGTGGCTGACTTTATAATAACATCCCCAGAGCTCCAGCCGCGAAACACGCCCGAACGACGGAGACTAGCTACGGAAGATACAATTAAGTCCGAGCCCCATACCTATAGTATGCCCGGAGATGGCAATTTAAAGGCAATCCTGGCCGCAGGACCACTCTCGATGACCAGTCCATTGAACTTAGCTGTCAGCATTCGGCTTCACACTGCACTGATTCGCCGCAGATACCCAAAATAAGCACTTGGCAAAGTGCGGGGATTCCCCGTATACCCAGAATTGACATAATCAAATCCGTTTCCGGTCTTGATTCTACTCCAGAACTCAGCATCAACTGTGTCGGCGTGGGATTTCGGCATCCCAATGACTGCCGGATGTCAAGACGGTACTTGTCCCGTGTTGCAGCCGCTTTCTTGCTAACATGTGGCTGCTTACTGCAGGTGAGCTCTTGGAGAAGGGGTCAAAACTCGACTCCGAGGTTTGTCGACTGATATATTTTCCTTGTCTTCTCGTATAACAGGATTCTTTGCTTCATACCAGAACGAGAAAGGTGAGTTTTGTCACGACATAGGTGCCGCCAAGCTGGGGTCGCACCACAGCTGCATGACGCGACCGCACTGAAGACACAATCGAGTTTTCGGTGAAGGCAGACCGACTTTGGCGAGACAAAGATTTGTGTGGACGTTGAAGAGAAGAAGAAAAGATGATGGAATTCTTGGCGCACAGACCAGTATCTATGACATCAGCGCATACTTCGCGTTCCTTCATCATCCACACGTAGTGTTAATTTATATCCTTGCAAGCCATGTCGATCGCAAACATCAGTGTGCCAATAGCCCGTGTAGCTATTTCTGGCAGGACCCTTGCATGGTGGCGACACTGTACTGAGTGGGTATCTTCACGATGATCGACCTTCGGATGACGTCCCGCGTGAGCGCCTCTTCTGTCAACAAGTCTTATCTTTCGTTGTGGAAAGCGAGTTGGTGCTTGGCGTACGTCGAGCAGATATCAAGTTCCACTGTGTCATGGGTGAAATTCGTCTATATAAAGAGGATGTTTATCGTGAGGATTTGAGATATATATTCAACCAACACATTCAATACACACAATATCTTCCTGATCAACTTTACTATTTCAAAATATTTTAAGATCCACTGCAGTCCTTCAAGATGTTCCATCGCCGTCGCAATCCCACTGTCACTCGCACCACCAAGCCTACACTGATGACCCGTCTCAAGGGCCGTAATGCGAGATCACGCACTGTCAAGACTACCACTACCACCCATCCCAACGGCACACAAGCCACGCATGGCACGCATGCCACACATGGTCACCACGGTCATGGCTATGGAGCGACAACTACCCGCACCGCACCAGCCCACCACCACCGCCGCAAGGCAAGCCTCGGTGACAAATTCTCGGGAGCCATGATGAAGTTGAAGGGCTCTTTGACCCACCGTCCCGGTGTCAAGGTGAGCACTACCCCACACCCAAACAATTCAACTTTGAACACAACTAACATAAACCCAATTTAGGCTGCTGGAACCCGTCGCATGCATGGCACTGATGGACGTGGAAGCCGCACCCATCGTGTCTACTAAGTTACGCTGTACGATGTCATGAGCTATGAAGCTATTTGTCGATATCCCTTGTCTTGTTGTTTGATTGTATAATATGATGCCAATTCCGGTTCTACACAAACTGTATATAATCTATTTCATTCATCTTGATCACATTATCTATGAATCGTCATCTATCCAAGTAACAACTATGTACACTTCTATAATGCAAGTCATGATACAAACGAACAAACCCCACTCACAGCAGACCACGCAATGACTCACCAAGAGCCATAATGGCCATGGCCTGACCATATGGCATAGACGTCAAAGGGATCTGCTTGTAAAATTCAAGACAGTCACCCATGCCAGTACCGAAGCTGGTATTCTGCAATTCACCCTGTTCATCGATATGACCCATCACAGCAGTGATAGCCTTTTCCGCAACAGCGCGGTACTGGGAACCAATGTAGCGTTTCCGCACAGCCTTGAGGATACCATATGCGAATCCAGCTGTGGCAGATGCCTCGACATATGAATCGGGGTGGTCGAGGAGAGTGTGCCACGCACCAGAAGGAGACTGCAGACGCTGGAGAGCCTCACATTGTGCTTCAAGGGTATCAATCAAGTGGAGACGAATAGGGTCATTGGGCTGCAAGTCCAGCAACTCAATAATCTCCGGAATGACAATAGTAACCCAACTGTTACCACGAGCCCAGCGCGCATCGGCGAAATTGTGACCACCGTCTTCGAACGTCCACCCATGGAACCATAGCCCGGTCTTCGTATCGAAGAGATACTTGATATGGGTCAGGAACTGCTTCTTGGCCTCATCAATGTACTCAGGCCTGTTGAGGAGCTTTCCAATCTTCGCCAGTGGCATCACCGTCATCATCAAGGTATCATCCCAGAGCTGCTGATAATTCTCCGTGATGTATGTCATATGCTGCATACCCCCGTATCGGGTACGAGGCAATTCATGCATGGCCCATTCAGCCCAGGAATCGAGCCAGGGGAGATATGTGGCATTGCCGGTCTTCTCGTAAACATAGGCGAGTGTGAGGAAGACGGCCATTGTGTTGATGTTCTTTGTTGTGCCGCCTTCAGCAAAGCGGTCTGCGAACCAGTCTTCGATTATTTTGAGGAGTCGATCATCGCCCGTGAGTTCGTAGTATTTCCATACACCGTACAGGCCAATGCCGTGCGTCCATTCCCAGCCTGCCCATGACTTTGTGTCGATTATGCGGCCGTCTGGGAGAGGAAGGAGGAACTTGCCGCTTTCATCTTTGATGTTGACCAGGTTGTTGATGAGGAGGTTGACGGCCTTGTGGATTTCGGGGCCGGTAGGCTTGGGAGTGGCCATGGTGAGATGTGAGATGTTGGGATCTTGAATGTGAATCATTGCCCGACGAATCAGGTCAACTTTGCCTCTTTGTTATGGACCGGTGAAAATAAAAATATTAGCTGAACGCCAGGTCCGGGAGCCCTAATAAGTGTTGGTGTTAAAAGTTCTTCCACTAATGAGCTGTGGAGGTGGACGCCACGTCCGTTCCCCGCGTGGGGCAAGCTCCTTTCGGGTGAGAGATGCCCGAGTCATTTAACCCCCATGGTCTACAGGTGCGTTAAACGGCCACTGGAGACTCGTCCATGGGGCTTTCCCCGGTCTCCACCCGTTTAAGCGAGTCATGAGAATTCTCAGCTCGGGTTAGTGCTTCCCCGGACTCTGCAGCGGGGAAAGTTAGTCTGTTCCTTGCCAAGAAATCCCGGGGTAAAGAGTCTGGCAGCCACTGTGCTTGATCTCGGTTAATAGTAGGCTGAAAGCAAGTTCAAGCCACATGACTGTCAGAACCGTCTGGCTTGACTCGGCTAATCGTATTGAATGTGGTTAGGATGGAAGTATGCACGGTCCTGGTAAATTGACTGCCATTATAAGGAGGTTTGACTCCGTCGCTAAAACTCCAGTCTCGTCTCCTATGTACTTGAGCTACCTTGGTGCGCCGACTATTACTTACCATGGCCGCCGGCAAGGATCAGCCCCAGCAGGGCATTGAGACTGCTCCTGTTCAACACCAGGTCGAGATGGGCGAATACCAGAACAAGCAGGATATCTCCCATGTCGAGCAGGTCCTCTCTGGTGAAGATTTGAAGAAGAATAATATGGATACTAGCCGTGTCGACAAGGAAGTCCAGGCTTATGCTGCCGATGTGGCAGTGGAGATTGATGCGGAGACTGAGAAGCGTCTCAAACGTTTGATCGATCGTCGTGTTCTGGTCATTATGATATGCACATATTTCCTGCAGGCTTTGGACAAGGGAACTATGTCTTTCTCTGCTATTATGGGCATCAAGACAGATGCGGGTTTGGAGGATGGACAAAAGGTATGTTTATTGGTGCTGTATTTTGCGTTCTTATACTAACCTTGCTGTTGAATTAGTATTCTTGGTTGACTACCTGTATTTACATCGCCGTCCTCACGGTCGAATACCCAACCAACTGGATTATCCAACGCGTCCCAATTGGTAAGTATCTGGGCATCAACATTTGCCTCTGGGGTACAATTCTGGCCCTCCACGCTGCTTGCCACAACTTCGCCGGATTGGTCACCGTCCGCACCTTGCTGGGTATCTTCGAGGCCTGTTGCCAACCTATCTTCGTTACTCTGTCATCGATGTGGTACAAGAGAGAGGAGCAGGCGGCTACTGTCACATACTGGTAAGTCGAGACACAACCAAATAAATGACCATCATCTAACAGAAATAGGTACATGATGAACGGCACCCAACAAATCGTCGGTGGTCTCCTAGCTTACTGCTTCACCCTAATCGGCTCCGACAAAGTCATCAAATCGTGGCAAGCCCTCTTCCTCACCTACGGATGCATTTCCGTAATCTGGGGACTCTTCGTCATCTGGTACATGCCCGACTCGCCTATGCGTGCCAAGTGCTTCACCGAGGAAGATAAGCGCCTGATGGTCGAGCGTCTCCGTTCCAACCAGACCGGTATCCAGAACAGACAATTCCGTTCATATCAGATGTGGGAGGCTTTCCGCGATCCCCAGATGTGGTGCTATTGTGCCGTGCAGATGTTCACAACTCTTCCCACCAGTGGACTGGGTGCTTTCTTCACTATCATCATTAAGAGTTTCAACTTTACTACCTTGCAGACTCAGTTGCTTGCTATGGTCCTTGGTGCTTATATCATTGTTATTCTGTTGTCGTCTGCTTGGTTGGTCAAGAAGTATAACCAGAATCTGCTGGTTATGTTGGGTTTCATCATTCCGTATGTTTCTCGGCCCCTTGGTTCTACCCGAGTTACACTAACGTGCGACAGTTCATTTATTGGAACCATCGTCCTGATGACCGTCGAGAACACAACCCTCTCCACAAAGGTCGGCCTGTTGATTAGTTACTACATCACCATGTCCTTCTGGTCCGCCCAGACCCTCACCCTGTCAATGGTGTCCCGAAATGTCGCCGGACAAACCAAGAAGGCAACCGTAGTTGCAGCGACCTTCGTGTCTTGGGCCGCCGGAAATGCAATCGGTAGGCCCCACCCATCCCCTTCTCCAATATACATAGTCTGAGCCATACTAACAAGCCCAGGCCCCCAAGTCTTCCTCGATACAGATGCCCCACGGTACCACATCGCCTGGAGTGTCCACCTGGCCTGCTACGCCTGCATGGTCTCCGCTGTCATTTATCTCCGCTTCTACCTCAAGCGCCAGAACGCCAAAAAGGATAAGCTGTTGGCAGAGTCTGGACTCAGCGCTGCGGATCCTAACCTGGTCCACGCTTTCGAGGATAAGACTGATCAGGAGAACATGAATTTCCGATATGTTTATTAGATACCCTTTGATGATTTGACAATTTGTTTGGGTTAGTTCAATGGGTCATTGGTACTTGGTTTTAGTCTAAATGTGATTATGTCGGACTGCCGACATCGGTCTGTTCTCTTATATTTACCTTGTAGAACGTCAGACTTTATGCATGGTCGTCTGTAACTCCTTTCAGAGTTGTTTTTCGAGGGTAATTTTGTGGATCACTAGATAGCCAGTTATATATATCGCTTTTGTTTTATTCTATCTCCTGATCTCGTTGCGTGCCTCTCCGGCACCCCACATTAGTATGAGACATTCCACTAGGCCCTGAAATTCTCCACAGGAATGGACATAAAGTAAAAACGTTGACATAATCTTGGAGTACCCCTCAAGGAAATGACAGACGTCAGAAACAATTAGCATCACAGAAGAATAAGAGAATACGAAGGAAGGTTCGGGTGATATCTTATCAAATCCCCTCAGTAGCGGATCGCGTGTCGGCGGTCTCCGCCTCGACTCGCAGTTGCCTCACAAAACGTGACTTGTCAATTCAATTGATAAACCCCAGCCGGAATCCACTTCGACGTTTGTACAGTTTCGTGACCAAATCTCAAACCCCCACAGTACAACTAACCAAGCAAACTATCCAATCACTGCCAAGATGCTGTACACACACGCAACAATTGTGACAGTGGATCAAACCCGCCGCATAATAGAAGACGGCGCAATCCGTGTCCTGGGACAAAACATTGCCGACATAGGCAAAACAGCAACTCTCAAAGGAAAATACCCACAAGAAGAAGAGATCAACCTAACCGGCCGAATCATCGTGCCAGGTCTAATCTCAACACACATGCATACAGCGCAAACCCTCCTCCGCGGCACAGCCGACGACCTCGAGCTCGTCTCCTGGCTCTGCGAGCGGATCTGGGTGCTGCAGGGCAACTTCACTGCGGAAGATGGGTACGCCGCTGCGCGCCTGAGTATCGGCGAGATGCTGAAGTCTGGAACGACTTGTTTCTTGGAGAGCATGGTAACTATTATCCCCTTAGCAATCCCTGTTGTTCGACTGATTTCGCGCAGTTCGCCGATCGGTATGGGTTTGATGGACTTGCCCGTGCGGTGGAGGAGAGTGGGATAAGGGGCTGTCTTGGCAAGATTGTTATGGATATTGCTAAGTATGCTAAGGATGATGCTTGGGCTATGTATCCTGGTCTTGTGGAAGATCGTGAGACTTCACTGCTTGGGACTGTTGCTATGTGGAAGAAGTGGAATGGGGCTGCTGATGATCGCATTCGGGTTTGGTTTGGGGCGAGGACGCCTGGAGGGTATGGTTTCTTTCCAGTGGAATGGTGTGGGTACGACATGCTGACTTTGATAGTGTTTCGGATGCTCTCTACAAGGAGATGACTGCTATCTCCAAGGAGAAGGGTATTCCTATCACCATGCATTGTGCCGAGGTCAAGGCCGATCGTGACTTCTTCGCTTCGGTTGACCATACCCCCATGTCGTACTGCAACTCCGTTGGTCTGCTGGGTGAGTCGACTGTTCTCGCTCATATGGTGCATCTGGATGATACCGATATCAAGTAAGTCATGCAGCGTGCAAACATAGCCCAAGCGGTGGCTAATACCATAAAGACTCCTCGCTGCTTCGGGAACTCACGTTGCCCATTGCCCGACATCAAACGCAAAGTGAGTACTAATTTCTAATGAACCCCATCATGACTCCAGATCTAATGAAATTCTTCAAGGCTGGCATCCGGCCTATGCAGAGTCCCCGACCTCCAACGCGCCTCGGTAAACATCGGCCTAGGAACCGACGGAGCACCCTGCAACAACACCTGCGATCTGCTCCAAGAGATGAAGCTAGCAGCAATCATCCACAAAGGCGAAACCCAAGACCCAACCGTGGTCCCCGCCGAATCCGTGCTAGAAATGGCAACTATCAATGGCGCCAAGGCGCTAGGCCTGGACGACAAGATCGGCAGTCTTGAAATCGGCAAGAAGGCCGACTTTGTCGCTATTGATCTGCGAGGCATCCACTCGCAGCCTTGGTTCAACCCTGTCAGTGCCGTTGTGTATACTGCTACCGGGCGCGATGTTGAGCTTGTTGTTGTTGATGGGAAGGTTGTTGTTCGTGATGGTGAACTTGTTACTATGGATGAGAAGGAGATTGTGCTTGAGGCACAGAGGAGGAGTAAGGAGGTTGTTGAGAGGGCTGGGTTGGGGAAGAAGGTTCAGCCTGTTTGGCCTATTGAGTGAAGTGTTAACCTTTCGATTGGGGATTCTCGTGTATCGGGTATAGGTGAAGGTAGGTAGGGTTGCTGGTTTTAGTTGTCGCTTTTGTGCTTCATTTCGAGGTAGGTTGATCGTTTGATAGTTCTGATTTCAGTATTTTGAATATATTGCAGTTCAACTGGGATCAATCCTCTATTAACCGAGGCGTATCAAAGCATCCGTATCCTTTGACTACACTCATTTCATCAATTTCGGCATATTTGGTCTTGAAGGACCACCCAGCAGTCGAATTCTCAATGATTTCACAACGACGGTTGGAATCAGTACGTCTTCGCCATAAGCAAGCACTGAAAATACCGAGTTCTGACACCACCTTCCCTTCAGCAACACCAGCCGGTCCCATAAGCACATTCTGCTGAGTTGGTGGCATAATGCGTTCCATTAGAACATAAGATGACCACTCAGATTGAGAAACAGATGATAGAAAGTCTGGAATTTCAGTACCATAGACATTATGCCCACCCCCTTCCAAGGATGGCTTCAGGATGAAACCTGTCGAGCCCTTCGGATCAGTGGCCAATTGCCGCGCATGCAAACCAGCGGCAGTTTCATCGAGAGGATAAAGAGAGATAAATGTTCCCCTAACTGCAGCTGCCTTTTCAGGAAATAGGAAACGTTCAAGGGTTCCATGTGCAGTGAGCGCTTGCTGCACCTTCTTGAAGGTAGATATATGCGATAGGATAGAGGGACATTTGATAGCAGTAGACTTTTCAAGTTGCAGACGTGCTTGATACCCTATGTTATCATACTCATGTGCCTCGTAGCCGGCCCTCATATAAACGACTGAGATTTCCACGGGCGACTGTGATTTTATCCAGGGAGGATGGAACAGTAACTGGCGCGACTCCGTGAGCGATGTGTCTCGGAGGATATCTCCCCAGTTGAGTCTATATGCTGGAACCGGCTCGTCTCGATCCCACAAGGCATATTCTATTGGTCTTTCGTCTGCAGTGTTGAAGTTGTTGGGTTGCACGATAAACAGAACAGCCATTCTCTGTGCCGATTGAGTTCTCGGTGGACCGTAGATAGCATGAGCAGTTGCCAAACACGACGCGATGCCTTCAATATTATTGCTCTTCGGTAAAGATCCAATATCAATTCTCTCCTTTCCATACTGCTCTTGACCAAGCTCATATGCCCCAGTTCGAGTGAGATACCGATGCATATCAGCGACTCTATTCGCGTGACCCCCACCAGCACATGAAAAGGCATTGAACTCAACTTGTTTCAGAGTGGTTTCGAAAATAGACCCAGAAGATTCCGCTCCATTTCCGTCATTGAGGTGAAGCATGTAATCAGAGCGAAAGATGCCAGCAGAGATCTCTTGGACGATCCCTGCCTTTTGGGTCTCGTGGTAAATCCCCCACAATGCGCGCGCCAGGGGCTCAACAGCGATGAGATCTTCTGTGACGCTGTATAGCCAGTCTTCATCTTCCGCGATGACGCAGTAGAGCTCGTTGTATATTTTTTGGAGGTTGATTGCACGGTTGAACAGTGTTCGTGGAAATGGGGTTGGGAACACGCTGACGCCTACTGGGTATGACAGGACGCTGTGCTCTTCTTCTGACTGGATGAGCTTGAGGAGGAGGCCGTGGTTTATTTGCCAGTCCTTGATTTGGGCGAGAAGATTTATCATCTGGTCTTCGCTTGGTTCGAAGTACCTTGTGTCGATGGGTTTGGAGGTCATTTTGTCGGGATTTCATATATAGAGGCGCAGTTGGCCGCCTCGAGACCTAGATATTGAATATGCTGCTGTGTTTTTCAAGGGAGACCGATGGCTTATATTAGTAGAAGGAAGAGAGAAGGAGGCGGAGTCAAGAAATGACATCGTGTCAGGCAGCTGATGAGGCGGCCCCCAGCGGCTTGTGGGCCCCCAAGCTTTTGTGTGTGGCGTACAGAATGAATATAGCTCGTCACATCAGCCTTGGCTTGAAGACCGAGCTATGCGCGGTTACTAAGAGTGTCTCAGTAGTCGGAACCTCAGCCGAGCATACCCCCGGAATTTGAATTCCCGGGCTGGAGATACAAGAAATCCCCGCATTTTCTCCAACAGATCCGGCAGTGCATCCGGAAATAAGGACATATAAATAAGCCGCCAGGGTGAAAGCCGATACTGGAAAACTGTTTGCTCGTAGCAGTTACTATTCCAGTCTTAAGATACTTGGTCCCACCGCATCCGCGCTCAAGATATAAATTGGCCGCAAAAACCAATTATCACACCTTACATTTAGTCAACACGTCATATTAAAGTTTCTATGCCTGCTAGAATTTTGATTTGGATACGAAAATGCTCGTCAAAAAAGTCCAACCAGAAACATGCCAAGTGCCAGCAACAAACCATTCACCAAATTCAAAACTCCCCGTCATCGTATACCGCGATGCCTTAATCAACAAGACTCCCGAAGGAGCCCAAGAAGCCGTGGAAACCAGTGCGTGGATTAATGGCGGTCACTGGAAAATCCAAAAAGATTCTTTGGCTGGGACGTCGCATTACCACAGTATTACCCATGAGGCATACACTGTGTTGCATGGAAATGCAACTTATTTACTCGGAAGGTCACCTCTGGACAATGAGATTGATGAAAATGGTAACCCGGTGGGTGTAGTATTTAAGGCTTCTGAAGGAGATGTATTTGTTCTCCCGGTATGTTCCCCAGAGTCAGTAAAAAGCGACTGTCATATGCTGATGCGACTAGGCCGGCGTGTCGCATTTTGTAACTGATACGGAGGATGGATATGAGATTCTTGGATTCTACTCGCTGGTGAGTGCTATGATTTGTTTATTCAATCAGAGGCCGAGGCTGACGGGGTCTATAGAGTGAGCACAATTCCCACGAGCAGCCGTATGATATGCACTATGGACGACGATCCGTTGAGGATACCGAAGCTATGCGGAAAGACATCGAGAAAGTCTCTGTTCCAATGGTTGATCCTATATATGGAGAGCGTGGTCCCATGCAGGAAATATGGCGTGGATAGCAGATTGCAAAATTCAGAAGAGACACATTGGAAGGTAGTCCCAGAAGCGCAGAAATGTAGGAAAGTAATCATATATGACGTTCCATCAACAAGGATTGAAGCGTACAATTTAGAGGCGTCTGTGTCGCATAAATGGTCAACACAAATGGCAGCTAGGGGAGGATATTTCCACAGTGAAGCTTTCCATGAGCAAATCCTTGGGAATGCACATATTCGACTGCGATTGCCAACTGTGCCCCCAAACGCTCGAGCAACGTCGAATTGCACGTCCTTTGCCTCGAAGAGACTCACCCGTGCCGGGATTGTCACATCAAAGGTGTCTGTCCATTCGGGTCTCTTGGAATGAATTGATGCAGTACCGAGGGAATCATTGTGCTTCCCAAGTTTGTACCTGGTCAGCGTTGGGAGCTAGAAAGTTCGGAGAGAATGCCGACTTCGAGCGGTACTGAATCTGTTATACACACCTTCATGGCGACATGTTTGTTGAATTTCTGATCTCGCGCTAACCGACTAGTCGAATGCCCGCCATGTCCGCGTTGATGAACGACGCGATAGCGATTACGGAACACGTCTCGAATTTGTATGGGATGCGAACCCCCAAACGGTAGTCTTCTAACGGCTCAACCTTTCGATGGGCCCATACAGACGACGGAACGAATTATTACTCTCTGATATTTGAGATATGGAAATAATGATGTGAACAGGGTCACGTATGCGGTAATGCAATATCTCCCTGGCTTTTGTGCAAAGGGGGCCGAAATAGGAGAACGAAAGGCAAGCGAAAATGTATTGAAAGAGTTAAGAGTAGATTTCTCATGACCCAATCAGTGCCAGAGATGTATGTTGAGGTAGTGAAAATATGGACAGGTATATATGATTGTTTCTGCCCTTTAGTGGGCGGCGGTTGAACGGAGACACGTGCCAAGGGATGTGTGCTGCCAACATGTTACCAGCCTCATTATATGGTCATCGTGATCATGTATTTGCAATCCCACAGAGTTCCAAGTAGTTAACATCTTAGATTTTGTTGTTGGCTTATGATTTTCTCACAGTCCTATGTTATGGGCCGGTACGTTAGCTCCCCCGGCCCGGACGTGCGTAAATCTGGGGGAATTGGGGTATTTCCCCGCAGTCCGCTTGGAGTTTAGTAAGACTGCAAGCTGACAACATGGAATTAGTATAGAACATATATATATAGCAAATGGTCAAGTAGAACACTTGACTTGCCAACTCCCTGTCGTCGGACAGTACGGTGGGGACATCCGAGCAACTTGGGGACAGGGTTGAATACCCCTTGAATAAAGAACAAACACGCAAGGACATACCAGAATCACAGCAAGGATCAATTGGATAAGAAGTGCGAGTATAACTTGAAGAGAAAGAAGAGTCATAGTTGCCGGGCCGGGTACGATAAGACGTGCCCCACTAATTTACATAAGTGCGGGAGGTCCTGGACGTGCAACTCTCGACTGTTACTGTTATACCCTCACAACACACATACACACAATGCCGTCCCTTCAAGACAGCAAATTGGCCTTCATCGGCGGTGGCAATATGGCCTCCGCCATCATCGGTGGTTTGGTGAGCAAGGGCGTCAACAAGCAGAACATCTGTGTCTCCGAGCCGTGGGATGTCAACCGCGAGAAGATGGCCGCCCTGGGTGTGCGCACCACCACCTCCAACGTCGAGGCTGGTGGTGATGCCGATCTCATCATAATTGCCGTCAAGCCCCAGGTCACCAAGGCTGTGTGTGAGGAGCTTGGCGCCGCTTGGTCGCCGCGCGAGTCCTTGCCCGTGGTCGTTAGCATTGCCGCGGGTATCACACTCGACAGCCTGAAGGCCTGGCTCAAGACCAGCGATGGACGTACCGCCCACACTGTTCGCGTCATGCCCAACACCCCCGCGCTGGTCAGCGAGGGTGCTTCCGGTGTTTACGCCAGCGACGATGTCACCCCCGCCGAGAAGGAGCTTGTCAATGCTATGCTTGGCAGTGTGAGCAAGGCCACTGAGTGGGTTGAGCGTGAGGACCTGCTTGATGTTGTTACTGGCTTGTCCGGTGAGTTTCCGACATCTGCCCCGCAATCTCCAACCCCATATGAAACTGACTAAGGATAGGATCTGGCCCTGCCTATTTCTTTGCTATGGTTGAACACCTGGTTGCAAGTGCTACTGCACTTGGATTGCCCGAGGAACAGGCCACTCGCCTTGCCACGCAGACTTGTCTTGGTGCTGGTAAGATGCTCGTCGAGAGTGCCGATCCCCCTAGCCAGCTGCGCAAGAACGTCACCAGCCCCAACGGTACCACACACGCTGCTCTGATGAGCTTCGAGGCTCTCAACTTCAAGGACATCGTCAACAAGTCTGTCCAGGCTGCGACTTCGCGGTCCGCCGAGCTTGGAAAACAATAAAAACGGTGCTTTGAAATTAGACAGCTAGACTTTTTGTAACGCTATTATCAACGCTTCATGAAGATCACATCAATGACCATCAATTGCAACAATATCCCAATGCATCTGTCCTTCAGGGCGGTGGACTGTGTAGATTGCTTCTCCAAGCCAAAGTGGCCCGTGCGCACGCTATCGCCTTCCGCACGAAGCTGAGCTTCTTTCTCCGAAATCAAGTATGTGAACATGGTGTCCTTTTGGCCCTGGAAGGTGAGTTTGTCTTCAGTTGTCGGCTTAAAATTGATAGTCATCGCTGACATGATTTAGGGCGATGATAACTCAGCGGCTTCTTTCGAGAAGACCCTGTCCACGCTGTCGACAAAGATCGCCCAGGCGACCACGCGACTGGACCAACAACGGCAATCCTCACGGCGGTTTAAGGCCTTGTGGACCCTTTACTCGACATTTGCCTACCTCTTCTACTCTATTATTCTCGCACTGATTTTGGGATGGGAAAGCTGGGGAGTCAAGGAATATGCAGCCATCGGGGGTGGGCCAGTTCTGTAGGTGCTCCGGCATTCCACGCCACGAACGACGCTGACATCTGGTTTTTTACAGTATCTACGCCGTTCGGACGACCAGCTCCAGGGTCTTCAACTACCGCATCAACCGCCTCCAACGCCACCTTGACGACCTCCACAAGCAGCGCGAGGAGACGATCGAGAAGCTCAAGGTTGCCACCAAGTACAACTCAACCCAGCAACTATTAGAGAAGTATGGCGGCGAGTCTCCCAAGCCATCACCGATGAAGGCAGCTGGCGAGAAAAAGAAGTCTCCCCAGCAGCAGCAGCAACACGTCGCCCGCACTGGTCTCCCACCACCACCAACCGCCAACATCCGCCGTTCCCCTTCCTCCCCCCAAACCCCGACCAACGCACCCTCACCTCAACCGCCCTCCCCTCCACAAGAGCTAGCCGACGGCAAGTTGCAACCTCAGCAACAGCAATTCGCACCTCCCCCTTACCCCCAACAACAACCGAACCAACAAGCCGAATTCGCACCAAACGCCTACTCTACCAACAACAGCCAAGGCATCGAATCACCACACTGGTACGACCGCCTCCTAGACGTCCTCCTTGGAGAAGATGAAACCCAACCTCGCAACCGAATGGTGATGATCTGCACCAGCTGCCGACTCGTAAACGGCCAAGCACCCCCGGGAATCAAGACACCGGAAGAGCTGGGCCGCTGGCGTTGTGGAAGCTGCGGAGCTCGGAATGGAAGCGAGAGCGAGACGAGCCAGATGCTCACCAGCTTGCGTCAGGAGAATGCCCCGGCTGAGGGGGCTTGGGAGCCTGTTTCTAAGGCTGATGCTGATACTCAGTCGTCGGAGGGTATGGATGAGGCTGTTATAGTTCCTTCCAGTGAAGATGAGCAGCTTGGATCTGCTGGATCGGAGGCTGAGGGTCGTGAAGCGGTGGAGGAATCGGCTGAGCCTGTGCGACGTTCCAAGCGTGGTGGGAAGGGCAGTAAGGGCAAGTAGTACGCTGTGTGGGAACATCGCTCTAGTATAGGTAGCCGTTTAGCTTCGAACAAATTGTGTATTCTCAAATGCCACACCTGGCAAATCAATTGTCTATATAAAGCAAATGCTATCCAGACACTTCTTAAATCTTGTGCAAATCAAAATCAAATCATCAATCATATCTAGAAATCGCAATCCATCAATCCGGTCTATAGCCTCAAGACGCCTCAACCATCGGATTTACCTTCAAATGCTCAATGACATCAAGAGCAACCCTGACTTCCGCCTCCTCAGCCGTAGCAAACCCCTCAACAAGCGCGATCTCATTCTTATTCACAATAGCCGCACATCGATACGTAGCCGGCTTCCCCTTCATCTCAACCCGTCTTCTCTTGAAAACCAAAGTGCCAGCCCCCTTAACCATAGCCTGCGCGATATTCCGCGGATGAACGACATTGACCTCGTCAGCAATGACCCGGCGAACATAGGACAACAGACCCAGTCTCTCAACGAAGGAATGGCATACATCCAGGTTTCCGCCTGAATCGACGAATATCGCGCCAAGGACAGACTCGATGATATCAGAGAAGAATTTGTCTGCTGCAAGACGTGCGAAGAGTTCCCATGGATATGCTGTGGCGTGGTCCAACGCATGGTGGATCCGGTCACGGAGTGACTGATACCGCTGGACACAAACTTCGCGCGCATCTGTGATATTCGGGCCGTGAGAACGGAGGAAACGCCAGAGGTGGATTTGGTCGTAGCTGGGTGTCTTGCTGAGTCGCCTTCCATTTGTGGAGAACTGGGGCATGGAGGATGATTCCTCGTACACGGCTAGATCCATGCACAGGAATGCAAGCAGGTTTGCGTTGACAACAGAGTGTTTGAGGATGGTCATTGCGCCTTGGTCCATTTCTACTGGATGGTTTGGGAATACTGCCATGACGACCATGTCGAGAACTGCGTCGCCGAGGAATTCGAGGCGTTGGTAGGATTGCGTGCATAGGTCGTATTCGCAGGATGGATGGGTTAGCGCCTCTGTTAAGAGGGCTGGGTCATTGAATGTGTAGCCGATTAGTTTTGCGAGGCTGTGCTGGTTGATTATATTGCTCACGCCCCTGCCGGCTGGGACGATTGCTGGTGAGATTTCGCTTGTGAACATGGTTATCTCTGGGAGGAATCTGTGGAGGCAGGCTTGGGCTTTGTGGATTCCGCCGTCCATGTAGGCTGCGCCAATTAGGGACTCGACTACGTCTGCGAGGACCTTTGTTGACATTTGTCGTTTCTTTGTTGGCTGGGTTTGTTTGGCTGAGATAATTGGGGCGGCCCATCTGCGTGGTGTGAATCGGTCTGTTAAGATGAAGCTGTCGATTCCGTTGTCTAGGGCTGCACGGGCGAGGCGGCTGTTCTGGATGAGTTTGTCTCTGCTTTCGGAGAGATATCCTTCGTGCCATTTGGTGTTGGTGAAGAAGAGCTGACAGCTGACCGTGAATTTCAGGACGGAATCACCGAAGAATTCGTAACGCTGGTAATTGGTGGTGGCCTGGGCGATGGGCGTGCTGATTGCTGTGATCACATGGCTAATGTCTTTGATTCCCACACCCTTCAGAATGGTGTCATTCAATCGATGGGCTACCAAAGAAGCCTGCAGACGATCGAGGATAGCAGAAATGAAAAGACCGAAGATTGCCTGTCGAAGCGGGAGCTTGTCAACAGTGACAGCGGATGCAGGCATGGTGTACAGCTTTTTAACTGAGTCTGCGTCTCCGTCTTCCGTGTTGACAGCTCGCGTCTGGAGTAAATTACGTCGCCGAGGTAGAGGTCGACATTCCACTTCCACCGGAGTTGATTTCGTGATCTGATCAGGGATAATCCATCGGACGAATGTGCGTGGCTCGGTGAACTTGCCATGGTCGCGAATGATGCCTGAAGGTTGCTTGCCTTGGTTGTACAAGTCCAAAGATGCCTCTCTTCCGTCGTGCTGAGTTAGCCATTCCTGTAACTGTTGCCAGGGAATGGCAGGAGCGAAGAGAACAACAAAATCTCGCTCTGGCCCCCGCTCTCGAGAGCTAGGGGCTTGAAGATAGAGTGCTGTTGTGTTTCTCATTTGATCCAGTGCCTCAGCTGAGACATCGGCAACTAGCACCGGCTGATCAAATGATAGGAGTAAAGTCGTGTCAACCTCCAAGTGGAGAGTAATGGGACTTGGCATGGGCAACGGGATGGGCAAAATCATGGATATTGCTAGATTTTCATCTACCGAGCCATCACGATCCACACGGAGGCGGGTCTCGTAAAGCTGTCCTGAAGTCCACGCGTGTGCAATGTCGACGATTGGGTCATACTGTTCCATAGCGTCCACCACGGATGGCAAGTTCTTTTGATCAGTGAATCTGAGCTCTGCCTTTCTGGTCAGTGGCAGAAGGTTGTCGTTGACCAAGCCATACTCATGCAGAGCTTGATAAGCATGGAATGCAGCCTCCTTCCGAGCTGCGAGCTCTGTACGCCACCACTTCTTTCCCTGGGTTCGTCTCACGGCAGGGTGAACAGAGTTTGGAAGAGTGACAGTGGCGCGTTTCAGACCTGTACTGTTCTCTTCGAATGAGAATAGCGGGCGATTGTCAACGTACTCATCGACTGGCAGGACCGAGCAGAAATGGTGCAAATGCTGCATTGCTTCATTGGCCGTCAATGCGGCACTGAAACACGGGTTAGTGGGGAAAGACATGGTGGTGATAGATGAAATACTTGCTGTGTTTTTTCAATGAAAAGCCGTTCAGATACAGTCTCATCGATATTTTCCAGTGCCAAAACTTCCTTGCGCAACCTTTGATCGTCCTGATATGCCTGAATCATTTCTTGCTCCAGCTGAACCCAATTTGCTAGATCCAATGCCATGTCTTTAGTCGAGATCATCATACCATAGGTGGATTTCAGGTGGCGAGCACGGCCCCTCCGCTGCACAAAAGACTTCACGTTGCCAGGCTTGTCAAAACAGATGACCATACTGCAGGAACTCATGTCAATCCCTTCTTCAAGGACATCAGTTGTGACAATCAGGTTTTTTCGCCCCGCCTTGAACTCTTCCAAAGTGTCCCGCTGCATATCTCGATGGAGCAAGTCGCCAAGGGATTCTTTGCGATGTCTGTTTGTAGACCACCCGACGTACGGAGCACACTGGAAGCGATTTTGCGTGGCTGGAGTGATTGACAACATCCGAGCTAGAACACTGACTGTTGCTCTGCGTTGGACAAATATCAAACCAGAGAAATCCGGTTGGTCCATTTTCACCAAAAAGTCAATCACCCGGTCCAGCTTTTCGGAAGATTGATTGCCTTCATGAATGCTCACGTCTCTGAGAGGCATCCCGTCGAGCGATTCCAAAAGATAGACTCTCTCCAACTGACTGCAGTCTAGCAATTCACTAGAATCATTGATTGAATTTCGGAAATGGTCAATCGAAGCTCCAATGTAGTAATCGACTGCAGCGCCGCCCAGTTCTTCGTAGATATGGCGGCTGACTTCCAGAAACTTCTTTAGCTGCTCGTTACAGTATGTCTTGCCAGATGCTAGGATATTTTGTAATTCAGCTGATTTTCCCTCCTTGCGGAGCGCCTCGATATACGGATCTTCTTCGATGTTGTAAGACAGGCAGCAATTGAAAAGGGGCTGAAGAAACCGGCTGCCCTGACCATAGTCCTCATGGATGGCCGGATTATAACTAATTCGTTCTAGTTGAGGATGGTGAGTATTCTCTAGCAACTCGGAGCGATGGGCTTTAGGCGTCTTGCAAACTGCGTTCAAGTTTGCTTCGATCAATCTGAGGATTGAACGTCAATGACACTCTATACCAACCAAGCGCATGGAGAACTTACTCAAGCTCCTTCCGGTCTGACCGGACAATTGGACTGGCAGTTAGTCCCAAGATATGGGGCACAGCAGCGGGTGCCGAGCGCTGCAGCATTGGGTGATAGTGATTCTGCATTATTTTGTTCGCTGGATGACGTCTCATGCAATGATGCGCTAGGATTAATATCAGATGGTGAAATGGATCCACATTCGGGGGTTTCGGCATACCTTCGTCGAAGACAAGGAGCGCAATCTGAGACATCTTGACAAAGCCATGGGTCAGAGCATCTGCTAGAATGGCATGTGTTGCGACAGCCACTCGGGCATCTTTCAGTACTTCATCCCATATTGACTGCTCTGTCCATAACTCGACACTGTCAAGGCCAGTCAATACTTTAGTCTTGACCGATGGAACTTGTCGGCTGATAACCTCATGCTGTTGAAGAGCCAACGCCACTGTGGGGACTAGAAACCAGATCCTCTGTAGGTCTAATCAGTATAGCGCAGCTGTGTGACGGCTGCAGAGGGATCACCTTGTCCAGAGGGCAGCTTTCAAGCTCGACGAGCATACGTAGAACAGCACTAACCACGTCAGATCAATTTTGCTTCAAAATGTAGCAGGGAAGGACCATACATATGAGTCTTCCCACTTCCCGTGTCCATCTAGCGAAACTTAGGGTTTGATCGTGATCAAAGGTCGGGTAAACAAGCATACAGCGACAATGATGTTCTCTTTGCGGCTAGCCTCCAGCATCTCGAGCTGGTATTCGCGCGGCCGGTAGGCAGCGCCACTCCCCACACCCATCAACGCCATGGTTGAGATAGTCACCTTTGCGACGAAAGGTCCAAAACCGAGTCGCAAAGCTGGAAGATGGCGAGGACGAAAAGAAGATGAGAGAGTTGTTTGGTGGGGCTTGGGCGCGGGTGCTAGCCGCCATGGTGTTGGACCAATCAGAATCGAGCGGAACAAGTATGAGCCTCACAAGGCAGTTTCTCGATTTTTACTAGTCATTGGCATTGACTATACCACAAGTCTCTGGCTCATGTCCTGCGCTTCCAGAGCCTTCAGATGCCGACCTGCTGCCTAATTTGGTGATCCCACGTCGAAGTGTTTCAACACATGACCGGAAGACGGGTTTCATTAGTATAAGCGAGCCGCAAATTATAGCTGTATTCAATTCGAGGATTGCCCAAACCAGAGACAGTGCACTGCCGTCTATATGCGAAGAGGAATTAGATCAAGTTCATGAAAGTGCGACTGAAGACACTCACAGGTTATATTGGAAGTGTGATAGTTCTTTAGCTGGAGTATTCGCAATATACTGAAGATACAGACTCTGTGAAGCTCAATGTTAGCGAAAATTTCAGCAAGATATAGGCTAGACTCACATGCAGCCCACGGTAAACAGAAACGTTAGTTCTATCTTCTCTTCCCGAGGCATGTGAAGCCTCCAGACCACAGGAAGAGGCAATAGAACAATAACGGCATTTTCCACGGTCGATAGGGTACCAGTGATGATAAAAAATGTTGTCTGACCTTCCATACAGTGACCATCAATGTTCTTGATCCAGAAATATTGAATGGGCCAACATTGAAAGGTGCTTACAATCACCGCCGTAAGCGCCCATAAGATGATGAATATAATGATACAAGTGGCGGCTCGCCGGAACCAGATCACGGCGCCCAAAAGCTTGCGAAGTAAGATCACGATGGACACCTTGATGAACATTTGAGCAAAGGGCCAGAATTTGGTGAGGATCCAGTTACTCTAAAGTGTTGTTAGATCTTGGTATAAGATGTGGCATCACGATGAGCTTACCAGGGTAATATTTAGCCGCTCTTCTGCTGGTAGACTCCAAATGCTGACTCCAATCCAGATTTCATGGAATGCAGCTGGAACAGGGTGTTAGTACTACTTTGCTTTATAGTGACACCCTGCCACAGGGCACATACTCACAATATACGATGCAGGTCGCTACACCATAGGTGCAAATGAGGCCCACTCCCATCAATATATCTTCGATCCGCAAGCCGTGAAGAACCTTGATGCGCGAAAATATTCGCAATAGAAAGACTGCTGTCGCAGTACTTGTCGCGACGATCGGCACGACGATCAAAACAGTTTTCCAGTGATCTGGTTGATTGGGCATCTCTATTTGGTACCTAGTCCTAGTTCATCAATTTCATATTGCCAATCAACCGAGGCAAGGCAGAAGGCTCAAAATGGGGGCTATCGTGTTGCTAAGCGTTTTCAGACACAAGATGCATGCTGGGTGGTATATCGCATCTGTAAGTGTATAGGCGAGCTTATGTTATGAGGGGTGAGACGTCACTTAGATTTGTGAATTTCCTTGACAGGAAGAAATAGGTTTCGATTCGAGGGAAGAACTGGGGTGTAGAGTGTGGCTTTTGGGTGTAGAAAATGGTTGATGTCATTTGTATTGTATTTTGACCTGAAGTATGTTCCACACCAATCATGGTGGACAGTGGTTGACTTTCAGACTCATTTATGGTTCCATGGATTCGACTTAGTGGCCCTGGTTTATGTCAGCTTGTAGACAAACTACATGCATTTACCATGCCAACTGGACTAGTATTGCTGAGTTATCCATTTGGATGTGGATTTGTTAAAATAGAATAGTATTGTAGTTAAGCTGTTCTCTAGGCCCCGATGAGCTTGTTCTGGGTCCGTTGAACTGGAACTGGCACCCGGCCAAATTGAGCGCCAAGCCTCGCTCTCATTGGTCCTGTATTTGACAAGCAAGCCACATGGTACGATTGCCTCGTGTAGCTTGCTTACACGATCACCCGAGCTTCGGCCGATTGCCTTAAATCCCTGGGAGACCACAAGCCCGGTGCTCCATCTGGCCAAATATTTCCAGTGCTTCCGATCGATCCTTGATCGCCCGGAGACCCCTAAGGCCCTGAAGGACCTGGAATTGCTCGGGATCCTTCACGTCTGTCACTGCCAGGCACGCCCTCTTCCCCCGCGAGGTCCCCACATAATTGCATGCAACATAGACACCACTCGAGGACAATCGCTAACCCAATTACAACAACGACTAAAGCACTTATTAATTGAGCTGAGTTTTAGTGACCCGATCTATCTGGTTGCTCAGAATTGGAGCTTATAGTACTTGGTTCAGAAGATGTCTCTTTGAACGGCGGAATAGACGCAAGTGTTATTGTCGTCGTATAGGTTCCGTAATGTCTGGTGATGGGTAGAGTAACGATTTCGAATGCCTTCTTGGTAATCGTTATATGATTTCTAAACCGGGGGCATTACTGAAAATACTGCATAATACACGAAACACCTATGCATTCTACCCCTCCTTTCACTCGACCGAGAGAGAAGGTTGAAGCGTCTAGCATACTCTGCAATCGCGAAGTTCTTCTAGACACTGCATACTGTGTGTGTCTTTATAGAAGAATGAAGTATATCTGCTGCTTTTGGCACCTCCAATATGCCTTATGCTCCCGGAGTTTCTTACTTCATACGATTTTATGAACTTGATCCCTCGGAACAGAACCGCTGCATCTACTTCACGCAGAAAGGTGGAATGTGCAAATGGAATTGTCGCGATGAAGACAATCAACGTGCGGTCCTACTTCAACGGGCTATTATGAATTCGTGTCTTGAAACTATGAATATCGAGCTCCTCAGAGAGTACGTCCAGTGCAATTGCTGTGTACGCGCTCGATACCAAAATCGCATAGAGGATGTGGAACTTTTGACTCCACTGGCCCAGCGGTGGCTAAATGAGATTCGGACACGAGCAGCTCATTGTCTGGGCAATGAAATGTCTATCTCGAGTTTACAGCAGGGTAAAACTCATGACTATGCTTGCAATATCCCAAACACCTCAAGTCCCGATACGAGGGATGAACTGTTTAGCGCTAACGTCTATCTCGCGCCCGCTCCCAAATCGCAACGTCGTCTGGCACCAATTGAAGCATCCTCCATGATTAAGAGCTCACACCCACACCCCCTTTCGAGTTCCTCAAATACTTCCGAACTCGCCCTTCACAGCGGTGAAAACCATCCACGATACAAACTTCGCATTCCCCAGACGAACAGACCTGGGGAAACGAACATCATACAACCCTCATACAGTTTTCAGGTCTCCCTATCTGAGTTTCGCCCTCACATTGTAGAGCTTTCTCTCAGCGGCTCCGTCTACAATAAAATGCTTGACCCCCTTGAGGACCGTGATTTCGACACTGGCACGGTTTATACTTTGGACCGGGGCTCCTCCCTAGGCCATTTAAAGATCGGCTGGACCGCGAAAGCTGTTTCAGTTCGTTTGAAAGCCTGGTCAAATTGTGGTTATGATCTGAACTTACTATTTCACATGGGCGGTGTTCCTTATGCTCAACGGCTCGAAACCCTTACACATCACGAACTGATCAAGGAATGGCGCCGGGAGCGGAGGTGCAAGGCACCGTGGTGTGGGAAGAGCCATCAAGTGTGGTTTGAAATAAATAAAGAGAAAGCTGAACAGGTTTTGGGCGATTGGGCAAATTTCATCAGCGAAGCCAAGCCATATGAGTCAACCGGATGTTTGAAAACCTATTGGAAGGAAGCGATAGCGAAAATTGAGCGCAAAATGAAAGGCATCACCGCTAAAGAACTGTTGAACTGCAACGAGTCGACTTTGATTGACGAATTGAGGGTATCGAAAGAGCCGGTGCGCTTCTCGTGTGAGCCGAAGATTGTCGAAATGAGCAGTGAAGATACGAGGGGGACCCGTTCGAAGATATCCAAACAAGGGTTGGTGTGCGTTCGTTTGCCTGAGACGGAGCATCCCTCATCTCCAAACCCCATGTCCTCGCTCAAGAGTGAATCATCATGCAAAGAACATAAGAGAGATAGATTCATTGAGTCAAAACCACTAAGGAAAGTCAAATTGTCGCATGAAGACGTTCCGACACTGGCTATTGCCACCATCAAAAAGGAGTTTGCACCTGAAGATATACCGCTACCTCCTTCCCCAATCCCTGAAACCGCAAGCTTACAAGACCCTGCAACGGACACAACAAGCTCTACGCTGGAAACGAAGAATGAAGTCTAACAAACTTTGAATCCAAATTCAACATCAACATTCATATCGCTGATTTCATCTCATCGGTCTTCTCTTCAGTACAAACCCCTCGCCTGTCCCCAGAAATGCACCATCAGCTATGGCCAGCGAACGCACTTGCCAGTCAAATGAACAGACCGGTATTAATACTACCACCAAACGACTCAGAACTTGAATTTTCATACCCTTGTCAAATAATTATCACTGTCGTCCCCTCCTATGTCAATTTGAGTACAGCGTTTTACTCTCACTGCCTAGGTTTAATACGCTGCCACGTCTCGTCACCGTATTAGCAGCTGCACTTGTGGTACCTGCCTGCTTACGCCAAGTAGGCTACACATTATCCCTCATTCCAGTTCGTAAGTCGCGGATAATGTCAAGTTGGTATTTGGGTGTATCGACTAGTATTGAGCATGTCCTAAGGCTGATGATAGTGTAGTATAGAGACAAGGAAGATACGCTGAAACCTGGCACCCTGGCCTCATTGTGGTAATTTACCAGGCCCTCAACTTGACAGATAACAATAAGACTAAAATGAATATTATTTTGTTCTCGTTAATTTCAGTCCTCGTCTTCTATCTAGCCATTGATGTTCAGAATGTCCATCCGGTCGCCTACGGCCTCAAAGAACCCTCGACCCACCACATTTATACATAGAATTAAGGGCCTGCGAGATTGACGCCTGGTATGACAGCTTCGAAGACCAGAAAACAGCCCCTCTCCGGTTGCGCGCCCTTGTCGTACTTTTTACCTTCCCCTCTCTCTACCATCATTTGGGGGCCAAACAACCACAAGACAACCTGGAGCCTTTTGTTGTGATTTTCTCAAGTCACAGTACACCATTTCTGGAAAAAGCACTTTCCTGATTCCTCTCATTGTCGAGACTCGGCTCTATAAAAAATGGAGTCTTGCCCCGTCGATCCACGAAAGTATGGCGTGAACGTTGTACTCGAGCCTCAGCAAACTTTCGAAAGGGACGGAAATAAGATCGAAGGTAGACAACCCAGGTTGCCAACGAATAGCGGGACGCCTTTCTCAGTTCTCCAAACCTCACCGCCAAGCCGACATCAATTCGATCTCGAAAGAAGCGCTCATGAGTCCAACTGGTACACTCTAATAGAGCTGCCTTCTACTAGACAACTCTCTCAATCTTCGCCTGCCGAGGTGCCAGTCACAAACCCTCTTCTGAGGGCAAATGTCCCGCAGGTGAGCTCCATCAACACCTCCGAAAGAGAAGCTCGAAAGAGAATCCAGAAAGAAAGGAGAATGGAGCCACAGAGAAATAAAAGACGGCAACGGTGGCGAGAGCATATTGCTCAAGAGCTTAACTGCGATGTTACGTCTATCAACTCCGAAGAAGAACAGAAGTATATGTGCAGGAGGTGGGAACGTGAAACTGCGGAGGAAAACGCGGAGATAGAGCGCCGACAGGGCCTTTCCCTCGAGGAACAGCGTCAAGAAGACATTCAGGCTTCAGCTCAACACCTCAAGAGACATATAGAGACGTATTTGGGTCAATATGCGCGGCTTCCTTGTCCTGCCTTCCTGCTTCAGGAGGCGCCACATTCCCGCAACGGAGCGAAATGCCAGCTTCATTTGTGTGAAAGGAGAATTATGCCTAATGATTATCGGATTGCGGTGAATCCTGGGCATCGATATCATTGGAGCAAATCTCCAAGTAAGTATCTTGATTTAGCATAGTAATTGTTGTGTTTTGTGACTGAAACTAAATACCGTAACAGCCTTCTATCACATTGATTGCTTTGAAGAACTCTTGGACCTATCGTCACCGATATATGCCTCACGATTTATACCCGATACGATGTACTTTCCTGGCACTATGGAGCTCCATATATTGAAAGAGTATGTTCGAAGATGGATAATCCGAATCGGCGCTAAGGTATATACACCAAGCCCTGGATTTTGAAAAGTATACACAGACCCTATGAATGCTTACATTTCCAAGGAACCAACCTTTCCAGAGCACACATGGGGACCATCTCTAAACGACATCAGCCCTAAGAGATATTTTGTCTCTGAGACCGACCTAAACTATAGCGAGCGTCATTCTCTCAGCTGCGCGCTTGACAATTGGCGACTATCTGAAATACATCAAACTGAATGAGCCTACTTTCTGTCTTCCAACAGCATATGATATAGAGGTATAGTATAGGAGCTTTCAGATTTTATGAAAACTAGACCGTGATTTCTAAGCGAATAAGGCCATGCGCAAAACTATCTCGGATATCTACATCAAAGCAAGCAAATAACATCAATGTGCGCACTTATGAAGTAAAATTACACGAATTAAACCGCCACTTTGTCTTTGACCAATTCGGCAGCTAGAATTCCGCACAACCCAGCCTAACCCGGGCCCAACCCAGACTGGTTTGGGTTCTGGGCCCCTAGTATAGGTTACAAACTATCATCTATGCAGTTTTTACCTGTAGTTGTTGAGACCGACCGTTGAGAAATGCAAGACTTAAAAACATTTTCTTTTTGCATTAAGTCGGATATCATTTGGTTCAACTTGATGCCATTGAAAACAGAGCTCTAGCTCGAAATGATGGCCAACGGAAATACATCGATACCGTCTTAGTCTACTCATACAAGATATAGTCTGGTACATCGAGCATCTGAGACACTGCAACATCACCAACATAGTAAAGCATGGCATTGAGCGTGGTTACTCTGCCGTGTGCCAAGCGCGATAGAACTGGCGTTACGAACATAACAATAAAGGATGTGATGAGGAAGAGTAGCAACACCATCGTGCGTTGAATGGACACGCGCATCCTGAGTGAGGAAAAAATCTATATTCTGAATCTGGCTTATATGGCCTCGGTCTTTCTAACATATTTTGACTTAACAATAATCACCCCAAGTTCATGTTCTCACTCCATCCTGCTCCTGCCATCCACCTCTTATCCACGTCAAAGAATCCGGCATACCCACCAGCCTATCAAGTAATGCATTTTCATCCTGATGAGCATGGAGACTGGACCCATCTAACTCAAGCCATCTCAAACCTTGCTTCAAGTGAGTTGGCTGACTCCCTGAATTTCCCTGCCAAACCCAACAAACTGACCATTTTCAGAATGTCACTCAAATATCGGTTGGGACCTACTCCACCAGGGATGCCCAGTGTTATTGGCAACAACAATGGAGATTTGGCACCGGGCCCCTGGGTGGACTATGTTTTCTCCAATTCCTGGTGCAAGGGACCTGGTATGATCCGTGAGCTGATGTCCATGACGCCCCGGCGAGAACTTCAAACCCGAAACAAGATGGCGGAGCAGATTCGACCCAGGTTCGAATTTGGGCATTTTATCATTTCAGTGCTGCTTCAAGTGGTTGGGTCTGAGGCGGAGACCCTATGTACTCATTGTCAAAGGGATTGCGGCCCTTGGGTGGGCTGCAAGATACTTCCCAGCTTCCTCGGTGGCGCTTGCGCCAACTGCGTAGCTACCGGGAATCAGCGTAACCGATGCAGCCTGCGTGAGTTGAGCTTCACAACAATATGATGTGTGAAAATATCTATGCTGATACTTATATCTCTACAGAATCTATGGCCATAGAGGACGATGCAACAGAGCCAATATCCAATTCTGCCCAGCAATCTCTTGACTTCGACCTTGGCCCCGTCACCAAGAGGGAGCGACAGGGTTCTGATCAGGAGTCTGAATATGTCTCTTCTGATAAATCGCTTGCTCCAGTTCTAGCTATCACCGAGGGGCAAGACACTACACAACGCCAGAACAAGCGTCTGAAGACATCTACTACCTCATCAAATGAAGCTAGCACCTTCAGAAAGCTCTGGGTGAAGCTGGCAGACGTTGACCACCCGCCTGGCAACTGGGATATGCACGTCTCCATGGGAAATCTGGAAAAGCTCCGCCTCGACCGGTCACAGAATGCTGTTGCCTCCCGTTTGGTTGGAAACGGCCTTTCAGCGTCTGAAACGGATTTCCTCAAGAATTTTCTTAAGAAGCTCCCAGCAAAGGTTCAAACTATCCTCCAAGATATCAATTCGGATGAAGACACCAGCGCGGTGCGCGATGCAATCAGCTACATAGAAGTCCTCGGCGAGATCAAACCCAAAATTAACGCCATGAAGAACGGTCCGGTGAAAGACGCATACAAAAATCTTTTCTCGCATTTTGATTCCTTCAAGCCAAAGCCAACTACTATCGGTATCACTCAGTCGCTGCCCACATCGAAGCAGACTCCCGGTAGTACCGAAATCACGAAGTCCTCGACTCCTACAAAGCCAATGCTAGGGGCAGTCGAAGTTACTCGGGACGTGACTCCGTACCCGTCCCCCCGAACAATGGAAGCTGGCCAGCAGCTCCTGCGCTCCTTCCAGCAAGAAGGCGATCGCCTTCGCCAAGAGCAAGACTCACGCCGACACTCTGATCAGGCTGAAGTGCAGGAGCCACACATTGACCAGAAAGACGTTGACCTACAGTTGCAGAGGGAACTAGATTCTCAAAAGCCGAAGAATATCTCACGTCAGCGAGGCGTGTCCCTTTCTTTGCGCAAGACTGAATTAGAGAAATGATACCACCTTTTTTGTTGCCAGAATTGAGCTTTCAATCATGGCTCAATTTCTTTCTACCGATCAGCACAGCCCGCCCTTTACGGAAAATCTATGTCTGTCGTACATGTAACCCATTGATGAGAATACTGAAATCACTTTCCTTGGTTATTAAGTACTTTAAATGGCATTCTACTGCTACCCCGATTCTGGTTCTGACAACACCGTTGTTATCCTTCACTTCCGCCTCCTCCTGCCCTGTGTATTTGATTTATATTTATCTGTAGCATTATTTGTTTTGCTGTTGGGTACCTCCATTGTCAATTTGTTCCTCTTGTTACAACTAATTTCATCCTTTTCTTGTTGGAATTATACATTCAAAAGTCACCAGCCAAGCCAATTCAAACACCGATGTCTCCTTCATCTAGACTATCAAGGTTAGGCACTAGATCTTGGGCAGAAGGACAATGGAAAAGTCCAGACTCTAAAGTGCGAACACCACGCTATTTCACGTCGACTAATACCATTTAAGCAAGCCCCTGGGCCAATTACATCGACAATTGCATTTGTGACAGCCGAAAACTGTATCATCAAATAAGCCTTGAAAGGAACACAGCAGATTCTGGGTACAATTCAAAAATGCAAGATCTGGAATTCTCCGTGGCTACGACCCTTGGTAAAACTGTCGATGCGCTAGAGATTTAATATAAGACACAATTCCATATTAATTCATACAGTACAATCAGAGTAAACTACTTGATACGGAGAAAGAAAGTCGAGGTGTTGTGTATTGAGGTCGGGCTTGAACTCTTTCATAGCAGAAATCCTACTTGACTTGGGCTTCAATTCGGCTGACGGAAGCAACAAGATTGAGTCCTTGAACGGAAGTAGAAAGACCAGCTTGTGCGTTCTGAAATTCAGTGTCTATTTCATCTATCCACCAAGTTTATAATGGAGGTCATGAATCTGTACGCAGTACTATGATGTATTAATCAATTCTTTCAAAGGTGTACCATTTTATGCTTTTTTTTTGCCTCTTTTTTTGCGGATTTTTGTGGATTTTTGTACATTATCGAGTCCCTCGGATATAGGATCAAATTTGTTTAATTCAATTTGTAAAAGGATTTATGAACGTTGTTGTATCTTGGTCTACTGAGTCCAATTCTAACCACTAGACCTCGCTAGTAGCTTCAAAGCAACATCCACTACCATAACTGTACATAGGTGAGGAATCTTCTCCAGCTAGGCTGCCTGTAGTATTCATCCAGCATCGCAATCTCATCATCACTCAAGGGGCGTCGACCAGTGCTTAGATCCGCCGTTTTTGCATCCCGCCATGGTGTCCTAAAAATAATCTTGTATCCGATGGTGAAGCCGAAAATTAATAGAAGGCCGAGGATGTATTGGAAAAAATTCGTTGCGGAGAAGTCATCAACACCCTGTCAAATTGTTAGTGATCAATTCTTTTGATTTTCGTCGAGGAACTCAAGGGACTCACTGGAGGCTTAACTCCAAGGAAAACGCAGCAGACCAGTAGGAATAGGGAGATCAGCATCAGCCATGCCGGTGCAAGTGGCCACAGCGATGACCTCCATGCATAAAGTTCCGTAAAGAGTGGGTCTTTCTGTGCCTTGAGTGCACGGTGGAACTTCCAGTTGACATATGAGATGATGATCCAGTTGGTGAAGAACGAGGCACTCGTAATTGAAATCAGCCAGTTCAATACCGTCAGACCGCCAGCTATTCTGTATCAGCATATCATGTCCTTTTGATAACAACGTTACAACATCTTACCTGCAATCTGGATGTATGAAAGAACAACGGCAACGACCGAAGTAATAATCAGCGCAAGCCTCGGTCGTCCCTGGTTATCAACATGAGCAAGACGTTCCCAAATAAGTTTTTGATGAGCCATAGTCCTCAGCACTCTTGACGAGAGATAGACTCCCTCAGCAGCGATCGCAAGAACACCGCAGATCATTCCAGCGTTCAAGAGGGAAGGAATGCCCGAGATTCCAGAGTCCTGGACTGCGATGATGAAAGGCGAAGCGGCAACTCCACTGCCGCCAAGAAGACGATCATCATCCGAGGGGACGAGGATTGTAATGAATACAACACTGATTACATAGATGAAATTCACTCGGAATGGAACAAGTTTTGTCGCGTGTGCCATTGAGAAACGGGGGCTTTCTGCCTCGCCTCCCATGATACCGATGAATACTTGATCGCCGACGGCCCAGACAGCGAGTAGGGCGCAGTTTGCAAAGCCCTAGACTTTCTTAGCAAGGAGTTCCAAAGGTCATGGTAGTGAAAACGTACCGAGAAGCCATTTAGAAATGCGGGAAATTCCGTCCAAGTGTCTCCGTGGTGGATGTAGCCGTTGGGGCCAGCGCCTAAAACCAATGCCAGGGAGAGCACGATGATGATGAGGAAAATCACGATTTTGATAAGCGACGTCACATATTCAAACCAAGCGAAGACTTTGTTTGGGAGTGTGAAGATGATCAAGCAGGCGAACATGAAGATGGAGACTTCGGACTAGAGTGTAAGTAGACATTCGCAACTAGAGTGAGTGGTTCCATACTAGTAGCAGCCAGTGGCATCGATCCTTCCGACCAGTATTGAACTAAGACATTGAAGAACCCGGCTTCAGCCGCAACGATTGCCGTCCATCCTGATCTGGTCAGTATAATATCCCAAAAGATCTCACAGAGAATTAATAACAAACCTAACCATTCTGCAAATCCAGCACCAAAAGCCAAAGCAGGATCGACCCAACGATCGGCATAATCGATGTAATTACCAGAGACCGGGAATGCGATGGTCATCTCTGACAAGGACTGCAGAACAGCCCAGACACAGGAACAGACCATAGTATAGGCGATGACCATATTACCTGGGCCACCCGTAGCAAGGGCCTTGCCAGTGGCGATAAAGACACCACTACCGATATTCGATCCTAGAGAGATAATCTTCCTAGATGGTGAGACACTTTCACACAGAAGCACCGTCCGGGATTCTCACATGAACCTGACGGGGCGAAAAGGAACGGTGGAATTGTCCATTCCGGTTCTCCTCTATCTCTCCTAAGCGCGCTTCAGCGCAACTGGCCGTTGGGTGTAGAGAGTCGACCTCATTTTTGACAGTTTCTTTCTGTGCGTACAATGATGGGGGTGGGTCGGAGTCAGGCATGATTGTAAGTAATTTGCATTCCGTATATGGAATATTCTCAAGAACAGTGATGGCAAGTGAAATCTCTGACGGGGGTCTCGCCCTTATATAATATCCGCTCGAAGTAAGATACGAGAAGCAAAAGCATAATTTAGATAGAAGTGGTATCTAGGGAGGCAAGTCTCTCCACTCAGATAGTAGTGTTTGCCAATAGCCTCGCGATCCTCAACCGTTAGATCCACTTCCCCGCATTCCAGGGACTGGCCTTCCATCCTCCTTACGCCTCCAATGGCTGAAATAGACCTTTTGAGGCATTAATCTATTGGGTTCGCGTAGATAATAGAGTTGCACGTGATGACTGAAAAGCCGCCACCTAATGCGAATCTTCGCCAATCAAAAACTTGTCTGCGGTCGGGAGACTTGCCGTAGCTTCGCGATAAGCTCTTGGGGTGATTCAATACCATTGGACATGTCGGGAGTTATCCGGAATGGGCAGCCTGATCTGTGAATAGAGCGCTGAAAGAGGTCACGCATGCTTAGGCTCTTATCGCTGTGAAGCCTCTTCAGTGGCCTTGCCAACCCTTGCCGCCACAAGATAGTGCTAGATATGGACCTTGGCAGGTGGAGGCTTCGGAGAATTGGAGTGAAATTAATTTCGGCGAAAACCATGTTCGCTGCGAACTTTGCACCGGCCCGGACCACTCTAAATCGTCGTGCAGCCAGGATGCGCATTGCATGTTCGCTGCGAACTTTGCACCGGCCCGGTCCACTCTAAATCGTCGTGCAGCCAGGATGCGCATTGCATCTCTGAAAGGTCGGAATGTGTTCCGACCTCCCAACCATGCACAAGAATGATTGACGAAATCTATACCTTGTGTAATACATTGAGTGTACACTGAGGCGTGAGTGGAAACGTTAGATTTATCCTTTGGATCATAGTGCGGGCAATAAAAAGTCATGTGCCTTTCACATGAGGGGATATTATCTTGGCTTTAAAGGGAACTGAGAGGTTTGGGCGATGGATCAATAGAAGAGGAAGGTAATCCACACTTATGCGCGTCTCTCATTGGACAACTCGTCATTCAAGAAGGTGATATTGGGGTCCGTGCGTTAGGCTCCCCCTTTGGGAAGTCATACATCTTGTTGATTATGGATGGCCTGGGACTTGATGTTCAGAAACCGTAGGTAATCCATAAATTAGCAAGATACGGATGACTGCAATATCAATATCACTTTCCAGAATGAGTTTTTCTATCAGGCTGTTCAGAGCAGCTTCTCGATGTATATATTGATGATGATTTCCAAGGCAAATTCAGGTTCTGAAATTAAAGAAGAATATCGCCAATTTCCCCATTATAAACAAATTGATTCAGCAAAAGCATCAACATCATGTCTGAAGCTATTGATTTGTCTCTCCTGAAGGGATCCTCCGAGGAGAGCTTGGCCATTTCAGCTACCTTGCTCAAGACATTGAAGACGCGGGGAGTGGCCAAGCTCAAGAACCACGGTCTCCCAGAAGACCTGATTTCACAGCTCTTTGATTACGTATGTTGATTTGAGGTAGTAATCGCGCAGCTACTGACTTTCTCCCAGACCCGTAAATTCTTCGAGCTTTCACTGGAGGACAAGATGACTGCCAAACATCCACCCCAAGCCAACCCCAATCGCGGATACAGCTTTATCGGACAGGAGTCCGTGGGGAGCATCAGTGGCTACGAGAAAGGCATTGCCCAAACAAAGTCGGTCCGAGATATCAAGGTAACTTTGACCGCGTACAAACCCGTAAGACTGTTGCTAACATAATCAGGAAACGTTGGATATCGGCTCTGCGCACGACGACTTGGTAGACAATATCTGGGTCGCGGATGAGAAGCTTCCCGGTTTCCGTGCATTTATGGAAGATTTCTACACAAGCTGTTTCAAGGTCGAGCTCGAGATTCTTGACGCGTTAGCCAAGGCCCTGAACATTTCAGGTCCGGACCTCAGAGCCCTGCACAACAAAGCCGAGAACGAGTTCCGTCTCCTTCACTACCCAGCCATCCCCGCCTCTGAGCTTGCGGACGGATCGGCGACCAGAATTGCAGAGCACACAGATTTCGGTACCATCACCATGCTATTCCAAGACTCAACGGGAGGTCTCCAAGTCGAGGACCAGACAAACCTCGGTACCTTCCACGGCGTCGAGTCGGGTGGCAGATCGGAGATTATTCTCAATATCGGTGACTCGCTGCAACGCCTCACCAATGACACGTTCCGAGCTGCATGCCATCGTGTCACTTATCCTCCCACAGTGAAAGTGGGCTCGGATGAAATGATCCCTGAGCGCTACTCCATTGCATACTTTGCCAAGCCGAACCGTCTCGCTTCGTTATTCCCGCTAAAGGAGTTTATTACACCTAGCACTCCCTGCAAATATGAGGACATCACTGCCTGGGACTACAACAACCTTCGAATTGCTAAGCTCTTCTCCTGAGAAGGGTTCAATGGAGCAATACCCATATTGAAGGGTTTTATAGTTTGAATGATGCATCTCTTTGTATCACGTTTTGTCTGTACATTTTGCGAATAAATTCCCTTTCCAGCTATGAGGTTTTCAAAGGCTTCCACGGGTAGACTTACGCGACGAGAATCTAGAAATTTACCGAGGGTAAATATTTGGTTTTGTTCAATTTATTGGTGGCTGACATCCAAGACATACGTGAGAAGTATAAAGGGAAAGCGGCTCCGAGCAACCATTTCGCAACACTTACTATCTTGGCTATATCACAACTGTATATCCATAGCAAAGAAAGAGATTTGACAAAGCTTTCAATACAGTAACACTCAGTCAGCTTTTATATTATACTTGTCTAAGTGGTTGACATTGAGACTTTTCGGAGTCGCTTGCCTATTTCGGCTATCAGTGATGAGGCACAGAGGCGGGGTGAAAAGACCCTTGCTAACACCACCAGATCAGAGAAACAAAGATGCCACTTTCTTCTCTAATGACATATTAAATCTACCGTTGCAATTTCAATATGGATGATTCCCCGGATATACTAGGATGGCTACCACATGTGAATCCTGAAAACGACCATAGCACTCTTTTTGATTTGATGATACCATCTGACAAAACACTTTTCAAATCCAAGCATGATATCCAACTGAATTTCATTAATAATCAGGACGATGTTCGAGGTTTCAGTTCGGAGAATGCAGCTAGGCATCGGCAGTCGATCTTCACAGGTTTGAACCCCAAATTTCTTGACTACGATTTGTCTTCTGATGCTAGTTTCCAAGAGTCCGAGCGCTATGCCATGAGTGAAGAACTATCTAGCTCCGTGCCCAATCGGAATATCCATAAAGCGTTATCAGATTTGGAAAGCTTCAATCTTCACGGAGATTCTCATGCGCCGTTGTACCTTTTCCGAGGACCGTTCGGAGCACTTAGGTTATCACAGTCAGAAATGATTGAGTCAACCACTCCAGAATCTCCAGACTGGGACAAGGAGCTCGAAAATATATTAAGAGGAGAAGATTTCGACCTCGACGATGTTGTGGTGCCAGAATTGACTGCCAACAACAATCGGGCACCACAGAAACCGGTTCCATCACAACTGGATGATATGGAACTCTGTTCATTCGAGCCACAAATTCAACCACAAATTAATCTCTACGGAGGGAATGTAGAAGGCTGGACTCTCCTCTCACATTACAAAGACCGAATCGTGCCCCTCATTTCTCCCTTACGACGTGGCCAGGAGACCCCGTGGGTTAGCTTGGTCATACCATGCGCAGTTACAACATTGGGCGAACTGACACTAAATGGATCGATCAATCATGCCAGACTTGCTTTGCTGAATGCAGTGTGGGGTACCAGTGCCTTTCATCTCGGTAACAACACCTCTTGTCTGGGAAATTGGAAAGCTTCCGGAGAAATGTACCTCAGACGTGCACAATGCCACTTTCAAAAGTGCATGGAGGAGCAGTGTCTGTCGACCGCGAAGACAAGCAAATATAAGGAGATTTTGATGGCCGTTTTGAGTCTCTCAAATGCCTTTGTATGACATTGACTATTCTCTCATTGAAACAAGCTAACACAAGATCGACCGTCTAGATGTTCAAAGGAGACCCCACCCGACGACGCGCTTATCTCGTTCAAACGGAAAAATTCATTCGTGTGAGAGGACTGAGTCAGCCAAAGCTCTCTTCAAAGAAGAGGGCACTACACCACTGCTATGCCTTCATGCGGATCATTGCCGAAACGACCTGCGTTGCCGACAGCCCCAATGTGCAGCTCTTTGAAACAAGTGGAGGGGCAATCGGAGACAAAATATATGAAGGAGACTTCCGGATCTCTCCGAATCTGGTATTTTCCGCAGATGCGATGACCGAAGAGAAGGACCCAGAGATGGGACAGCGAGATCTCCACCTCGCAATCCCGGGCCGCTGGAGCTCCACACTCTTTCCCACAGTATACGGAGTCGACGAGCTATTTCTTATGCTTCTATCCCAAGTCATTCGACTTGCCAATGAGCGTGATTTATCGACCATGTGCAATAGAACCCAAGAAGGGCGGCTGAGCTTGAAGGAGTTCTGGATACGAGCAAAGGCTATCGAGAAGGCCATCAATACATTAATCTCTTCCTCAGTGACCGGCGATACCCAAGCTTACCACTCCGACTCGCCAATGAAGGACAAGTCAACAACAGCCCAAGCAATGTCAATGTCCCTCCTGATTTTCTTCTATCGCCGAATATACGAAGTCGATCCCGCAATACTCCAGTGCAAAGTGGCTATCATGCGCACCTACCTGAGGCAGATCCAAGAAGAAGAAACCATTTCCGGAAATGGTAGCAATGCTGCACTCATATGGCCAGCATTTATTGCCGCATGCGAGGCAGTGGAGTCCGACCTTCAACTTTTCTTCTCCTCGTGGTTTGATCACTGTTTTGCCACCACTGCATTGGTATATGCATCAGCAGCAAAGGAAATATTCGAGACAATATGGATGAAGAGATTGAATGCAGAAGTATATGGGGAGACATTGAGTTGGCCGGATATCTTACGGGAAGGGAATATTAGGTTTACGTGTGTTTGATTAATTTTAGGGGATTAATTTCATTCACTGTATAGCAAGTCTCCGATCCCGTAAGGAGATACTTTAGCCGGTGGCTTGAGCAAGGGAAACAGCAAAGACAATAGGAAACACAACAGTAAAGGGAAAGCAAAAGGAACGACAAAACCGCAGCAACCGCGAGCGAAACGGAAAACCTCAAATGCAGAAAACAACGCAGAACTTCAATGAAGAAATGGGGCAAAGGGGACGTGCAATAGCGTATGTCATACAGCCCTCGGAATCGCAACAGCATACTGCGGATTGCCCAGGCATTCAAAGTGATTCTGATAAAGACCAGATGAATAAATTCAGCTCAGAGGCTGTTGTGGTTTCTCAACCCAAGCATGGCCGACTCCTAGAAATTGCTTCTGATGCCGGTTGGAAAATCCTCCCAGGTTGGGGCAGCTGGAATTGCATAACCCTACTGATATCACAAAATCTCCTTCCCTCTGCCACATTGCTTGATAGGACATATTGGCCACCACGAAGCTCATATGCAGACGTCGGAAGCAATGCCGATCGCTGTTTATCCCTGCGTTATGACGTCGATGCTTCGGGGGATTAGCAATCAAATGTTCAGTGCGCGAAACAGAGAGCAAAGTCCCTGTGTGTAACGTCTTCATCAACCAAGACCAAAGCAACAATGTCAAGTTCAGCAGTCACCCATCGTCGCGTGTTCAGGCGTACTGACGACTATACTCCCGGTACACCTAAAATCAAGCTTGTTCAGGAAACACTCCAGCTACCTCTTGCGCCAACATCGGTCTTGATCAAGGTCCATGCTGTGGCTCTCAACTATCGCGATGCTAACATCGCGAATGGAGGAAATCCGTGGCCAATAACACCCAACGGCATCCTGTGCAACGACGCAGCTGGTGAGATTATTGCTATTGGCAACAAGGTGAAATCCTTAGTCGTGGGGGATCGTGTTGGACCTATCACGGACACGGAGAATATTTCGGGCCGTGAGACGAAGCGCTCGTGGCTGGCAGCAGATGAGGATGGAGTCATGGCGGATCACATCATTTTTGACGAGCGCGTTTTATGCAAACTCCCAACTTACCTCGACTGGGTCGACGCGTCCATAATCCCGTGCGCGGGTGTAACTGCTTGGTCAGCGTTGAAGGGCATGAGTATCGGACAGACTGTCTTGATTCAAGGTAATATGCATCTGTTTCTGGTATATAGAATGTCACTAACTGACCTAGGAACCGGTGGTGTCAGCTTTTTCGCACTCAAGCTCGCAAGGGCTGCAGGCCTTCGAGTGATCCTGACTTCATCAAGTGACGCAAAGCTTGAGCAAATAAAAGAAAAATTCCCTCACCAACCAATCTTGACTGTCAATTACTCGAAGACCCCGGACTGGGATCAGGAGGTCATGCAGCTCACCGGCGGTACTGGGGTCGATATCGTTGTTGAGAATGGCGGAACAGGCTCTTTGGTGAAGAGCTTGAATTGTACTCGACGTGGGGGCGTGGTCAGTCAGGTCGGATACCTTGGTAAACAAGATCCAGCTGATCTACGCGAGCTGATACCAACTATCATTGATCGGAGAATCAGTCTAAGGTGAGATATCTTTACTTGAGTGTTAGAAAGCGGCGACTGATGGGCGATAGGGGCATCAATGCTGGTTCCAAGTTCGATATGGAAGACTTATGTGCTGCTCTTGAAGCAGCACAAACACCGCTCAATGATTTAATTGATAAAGTGTTCTCGTTTGAGGAGGCTGAGGATGCTGTGGAGTATGTATGGCAGGGTAAACAGATTGGCAAGATAGTCCTGCGCCTTTAGAGAGGAGTATAGGACTGGGCGGTATCTTGATTTATGCTTAAACCAACGGTCCCTACTGAACATACAAGCTGTATTGAAGTACTTCAAAAGTACATTCCAAGGTCAAGAAGTTGTAAGCTTAAGACGTTGTAGAGGCCGCAGAAACTCTACAATTTGAGGACATTGAGATTTGAGGGGACGTGTATATTGAAGAAGAGGATCAAACGATGGCAAGATGATAGAAGTGAAAAGCAAAAAAAATTGAGCATAACTGAAATTGTTGAGGGGAGAATATAACCGAAACGAGCCTATATAATTATAGCGGGAATGTAAGTCCGATATAGACGGTCAATGATGAATAGGGACGCGCTGAACTGTGTGAAGCCAAGTCGAGTAATAACCTATCATGCACTGACCCAAGTGAATATGGTGAATACTCCGGTCGAGAGACTTATGGCATTTCGTCACCTCAGATGGTAGTAGCTTCATCACTCGGTTCCAGCTCCACATAATCAGGCAACTTCCAGCCTCCGTCTCTATCACTTGAGAAACGGGATACAAGATCGGGAATACGAAGGAAACATGCAATCCCAATGACAAAGTGGATAAGAGAGATCGCCCACTGAGAGTCCGGAACAGCATATCTGAGCAAAGACATATTGACATCCTGGGCCTCTTTGACCAAAGGTCGAAGCTTCTCATCATAGTTTTTGAATGCTAGAGGCAGATTATCGGCATTGCGTGCAATCTCCCCAGCCAAAACATATGCGCCAATCACACTGCTCGTTGTTCCCATGCCAGTCAAGGGAGAAGGGCAATGCGCCGCATCACCGAGAAGCACTACACGCCCCGAATGCCAGGTGTCTGTTTTGATCTGAACGAGATCTAGACAAAACCAGTTTTCAGTTGTCTTCATGCCTGCCAGGAAACGATCGGTCTGCCATCCAGCGTCGCGGAACTTCCGAGTCCAGATCTCTTTTTGTTGTTCGACCGATGATCTTGGAATGCTTCGTAATTCATCGGAGTCCGATCTCAGGAAAAAACACACGTTTGCTTCGGTGGCACTGTGGGCTCGTCGCAGGATCATCCGGCCACCGGGGCTGAGGTAGGCGTTGCAAAAGCTAGTATCGGCTTTTTCTCGAGGTATAAACCAGTAAGCCATATGTACCCCCAGTGGATGATACGGATCTGGAGCATCAGGAGGGAGTATGTCTTTGCGGATTCGTGAGCCCTGGCCATCAGCTCCAACGAGGATATCAAACGTATCGGTTGTGCCATCGGAGAACTGTGCGGTGACTTTCTCGTCATCCTGCGTGAAGCGATCGACCGTTTTGCTAAAGACATATTGCACTTTGTCTTTTGTTGCTTCGTAGAAAATTCGAACAAGATCTCCTCGCATGATCTCATATTCAGACGTTAGAGATTGGGCCCCTTGCCCAGATTTATTAGCTAGAATGGTTCCTCTGGCTTTTCCATCCCTATCGACAAAGGCCATCCCATCCTCATCAACAAGCTTGCTGCGGATAGCCTCAATAAGCCCCATTCGCTTCACAGCTTCAATTCCCTGACCACGGAGATCGATCTGAGCCCCTGAGGCTCTCAAGGCGGGGAAGCGCTCGACGACGATGACTTGATGCCCGATACGAGACAGCCAGAAGGCCAAAGCGGGACCTCCAACACCTCCCCCGACGATGAGGATTTTCAAAGGTGCCATGTTGCTGAGATTGTGGAAGAAAGGGGGAATCTAGGAGCTGCGTTGCACGGAAACAGTTTGTGATGTCTCATACTGCACTCGCTGACTTACGGACTTTTACGCATAATCCCGGTGTTTCGCCCTGTTTGCATAGGACACCGGATCCAGCTTCGTCTTGCCTACGGGCAGGAATCTTGTATAGCGCGACAATATGGAATGTGGCTATACATTCATTCACATAGGCACTAACTTAATCCCTTTCCCGCCCTGGTAAGCCAATCAACAACCTCAGCATCATCAACCTCCTCATCCAAAGGTCTCCAACCCCGATCATCCGCAATATTCGGATCAGCACCTCCCTCCAACAACGTCCTCATGATTTCCTTGCTAAATGGCGCACCATTAATGAAGCTAATAACAGTCAACCTCAGCGGTGTCTTGCCATATCCATCCTTCAAATTTACATCAGCACCCTGCTCCAGCAAATATTGTACCGCTCCATTCTGCCACCAATTATGACCTCTGGCCAGCATATGCAAGGCGCCATAGTCAAGAGAACCCCATATACAATTCCCGACTGGGCCTTTTGCATTGAGATCAGCGCCGTATTTCTCTACGAGCAGGCGTAGTATTGGCATGTTTGGCTCAGTTCGCATCGCTGCTGTGAGGATGTAAGGGGGTGCACCATCCAGACCACTTGACCAGTGTGTGTCTTGGAGTGATCCAGCGATCATGTCGAACAAAAAGACATATCCGCCCATGATCAGCTGGGACAGCAAATCACTGCTCTTCTGTTCAAATTTGTGATCGTATCCGGACCCACCAGTTCTAAGAGGAATGATGATTCCCGAGTTGATTAATTTCTGGATAGGTTGATAATGGCCGCGAAGGAATACAGATGTAAAGCGGGACAAGGAGTGACGGAACGGGAGTCTAGCAATATCTAGATCGTAGTCTCCTCTGAGTCGCGGCTTTTGACCCATGGCTTGTTCGAGGAAACATATTATTTCCATCATCTGGCCAGCATCATTTGGTTGCGGGTTTGGTTCGCAGCCGATTTGCACATCGTAAAAGAGGTGGCTCCTGGTGGTTTGAGTTTCCCACATTTCTACACCCGCTTGCTCGACTTGATCGATGATGTTACGACATAGATCCAGGGGTGTAACGCCGGTGTTATCTTGGATATCAACCTCCGCTCCAGCTTCGACTAAAAAAAGTACAGATTCCAGAGACCCGGACTGGCAGGCTTTGTGGAGGGGTGAGGAGCCATTTCCATCGCGTTGATTCAGGAGGGAGTCCAGGGTTTTCTTTGCTCGGCTTTCAGCAATGAGGAGGCCGACATTATTCCCCTCTCGTGCTGACGCGGCAAAATGCAGAACGTTTTGGTTTGTCAATGTTTGGTTGGAGATTGAAACACCTCGAGAAATAAGCTTCGATACAAGTGGCTTTGAATTGGCGGCAGCGAGGTGAATTGGTTCCATACCCGCATGGTTGGGCGTTTGAAGGAGATCGATATCACCAGAGGAGAGCACAAGTTCGAGGCCTTTGTCCTTCAGCCAATTTTTCATTGTAGAATTCAACTTTGTTGAGCAAAGAATGTGTAGAGGAGTATTCCCATCTTCGTCTTGAGATGAGCTGGAAATGCCATAGTCAAATAGCAATTGCAAGATGTTGACAGGGAAATTCCCAGCTTTCACATGATTGCATCTCATCAGGATATGCATCAGGTTTTCACCGTATCGATTGATGAGACGTGGATCAGCGCCGAATTCCACCAACCCAGTCAGTATGGCAGGCGACCACAGACAAATCGTGAAGCTTTCTGGCCCTTTCTGCAACGCCAAATGCAGTACACCATTCCCATCATGATCGACAGCGTGGACATCAGGGCTAAATTCTCTGACAAAATCGCAGACAGCTCCATAGTTACCGGTCCTCATAGTTACTTCATTGACCAAATGATGTAAAGGAGTTCTCCCTTCGTGGTCTTTTTCATCCAGGTTTGCTCCCACGCCGAGAAGTAGGCGAATGATAGGCCCTTGACCTTCGAGAAATTTGGGTGCATAACGACTGATGATACTATGGATTGGCTGAATGCCTGCGTCGTCTTTGCATCGAACATCAGCTCCTAATTTGATCAGATCTGACACCAACTTGTATGTTGGCAGAGGCGTCCAGCTCATGACTTGGTGCAAGACAGTTTCTCCCTTGGCGTTCGCGACATTCCAGTCAGTCACAGAAGGAGATAAAAGGCTCAGATCTATATCATGCCGCAATTGGAACTGGTGATGGAGAGGAGTTTTCCGATCGTTCCCACAAGGCTCATCCAGTTTACGTCCATGTTGCGTGAACAAATGGATCATGGGAATACTGTCTCTGCCGGTTGATAGACGAACCAGTGCAAGAGGAATCAAACCCGCTTTATTAACGGGAAAGGGGTCTGCGCCATGCTTCAACAGTGTCTCCGCCACCACGATAAGATTACTGGCTGCACAGAAATGAAGAGGAGTGTTTTCATCATAACCCCGGCTATTGGGGTCACACCCAGCATCCAAAAGCAATTGGCAGCATTCCCGAGCGCGCTGCTGAACCTCCGCGATCTGTGGGAATGCGTTGCGTGTATGAACACCGGTCACATTGTCGAATCCCGCAACGGCATGCAATGGCGTGGATAACTGCACAGTAATACCAGCCATGATGCAGCCATGGGATCGCAACCCTCTGGACCTTTTCTTTGGATCAGCGCCGTAGTCCAGAAGTAGTTTCATTGCTTCAAGGTGATGTCCAAGCGCTGCGCGAAAGAGGGGAGTGTCATTGGAGGCACCGTCCACGTTCACACGAGCAGAGCCCAGAAGAAACTTCATCATAACTGCATCGCCCTTGCTCGCCACAATATCCATTACTTCATCGAGCTCTTGGGGGTTAGTTGTGAGAGGCAGCAAGTCTTGTAACGCGTCCACCGAATTGCGATTGACAGCTTGAATGAGCGTCTCCGGCTTCTCGGGTACTTTCGTTTCAGTCACATCCCCAGTTGAGAAAACACCGATACATCGGCCGGGGCCTGTTGACATACCTGTCGCCGGTGGTCCAAACAATGAACTGTGTTGCGCTGGCCTCGCAGATGAACCAAATCCAAATGGCTCAGGATTAGGTGGAATCCCAGTTCCAAATGATGAAGTTCCAGTCCGAAATAGTCCAGCAGCATGCGAAGGTGAAGGCAAATGTCCAGCCCCGAAGGTTGGACGTGCATCCGTACTCGATTTCAAGCCGAAAAGCGCATCCATGCCCCTCGTGCCACGATTCTCTGGTGGTCCAGCTGGTGTAATATTTTGCGCTTGCCTAGCTGACGATCCAGATCCAACTCCAAATAGTCCACCGGTATGCCACGGCGACGGCGAAGGGCCAGCCCAAAAGGCTGGACGTTCATCTGTACTAGGCTTGAACCCAAAAGGCGCATCCACGCCCCTAGTGCCACGAGTCTCTGGCTGGCCAGAAACCCCGCCAAATTGAACATTTGGCGCAGCAGAGGCATCGGATGTATCAATCTGGGATTCAGTATGCATCAGGCCTGCAGAGACATTGTCCTGGTTTTGCATGATATAATACCGAACAATAACCTATGTGATAGAGTTGACCGATGCGGCTCTGTAAATTTCCAAGACAGAGCGGCCAACCCGCACGGTGCTTGGCCTGAAAGGATCTGCGATGAGATATGAGACGAGGCTCTCAGATTCTTTCTTGGGGGATTTTTTTCTTAGCGATTGGCTTATGTAGTCAACTGTATTTGATCGTTTGGCCCGTTTTTAACTTGTACTCGTTCAAGAGGTGAAGTTGCTAGGTTCATTTCGCTTAGTAGGGACTGTTTTGTTAGTGTCCCGCGTAGCGTTGTTTGGTCGAGGGACCTGAATCACCGACATGGTCGTCTATTGTATACAGACTTGCTTTTTGAGTCTAGTAATTGAGTGGGATATATTTGATGTGGGATTTAAGTTTGAGATGAATCAATTGCAAAAATGTTGAAGATGAGGTTCTTATGGCGTTAGGCGTCGTCGACAAGACACGCCAGGATCGCGGCTGTCAGTGCAGAATTCATGAATACTGCTTGAGAACCGGAATTATAGTAACTCCGAATAAGCGGATTACTAATGATGGGCATAGCATAACTAACTAAATAGCAAGAAGTAGCAAGTAATAAATAACAGAGATTTCAACGCCCTTATTGGCTGAGCAAGTTACGGAAGACAGCAAGTTCCAACAGCGGCTTGTTGCCTGACAAACCAGGTGTGAAGACATATTTACGCTAACATATTGCAAGAAGCGAAGTTAAGTGGAACAATTTTGGAGATTTAATTCAGCTAAAGTAACACTGTATAAAAAATGATCATAAATCAACTCATACTTCACAGGCGAGGACGACCAGTGACAACGGGGAAAGTAGGGATATCATAACGGTCCAAGTTCATAACCTTGTCCCAAGCAGCAACGAAGTCCTTCTTGAACTTATCGAGAGCATCGAAGCTACCATACAGCTCAGCGAGGGCGCGCAGCTCAGCGTGGTGACCGAAAATGAGATCAACGCGGGTAGCGGACCACTTCTTGGCGCCAGTCTTGCGGTCGAAGCCCTCGAAGTACTCGCTGTCAGCGCCGGTAGGCTTCCAGACCGTGTTCATGTCGAGCAGGTTGACGAAGAAGTCGTTGCTGAGCTGGCCAGGGTGGGAGGTGAAGACGCCGTGGGCGGAGCCGTCCCAGTTGGCGTTCAGAGTGCGGAGACCTCCGACAAGAACGGTCAGTTCGGGGGCGGAGAGGGTCAGCTGCTGGGCCTTGTCGACGAGAAGCTGTTCGGTGCGCACGCGGCGGGTGGAGTTGCCGTAGTTGCGGAAGCCGTCGGCGAAGGGACGGAGCCATTGGAAGGACTCGACATCGGTCTGTTCCTGAGTGGCGTCGTTGCGGCCGGGGGTGAAGGGAACAGGGATACCCGAAGACTTCTCGAGAGCGGCAGAACCGGCAAGGACGATCAGATCAGCGATGGAGACACGCTTCTCGCCAGCCTGAGCGCTGTTGAAGCGGTTCTGGATCTTCTCCAGGACGCTGAGGACTTCCTGGAGCTGGGCGGGGTTGTTGACGTCCCAATCCTTCTGGGGAGCGAGACGAATGTGTGCGCCGTTGGCACCACCACGCTTGTCACCGCCACGGAATGTTGAGGCGGAAGCCCAGGCAGTGGAGATGAACTTGGTGGGCTCAACACCAGATGAGAGGATCTCGTTCTTCAGGTTGAGGATATCGCCGTTGTCGATCTGAGCGTAGGTGGGAGAGGGGATGGGGTCCTCCCAGAGGAGAACTTCCTTGGGGATCTCAGGACCTAACCAGCGGGCACGAGGACCCATGTCACGGTGCAGCAGCTTGAACCAAGCACGGGAGAATGCATCGGCAAGCTGGCCGGGGTTCTCGAGGAAGCGACGAGAGATCTTCTCGTAGGCAGGGTCGAAGCGCAGAGACAGATCGGTGGTCAGCATGTGAGGCTTGTGCTTCTTGTTGGTGTCGTAGGCATCAGGGATGATATCGTCGGCATTCTTGGCAACCCACTGGTTGGCACCAGCGGGAGACTTGGTAAGCTCCCAGTCGAACTTGAACAGGTACTCGAGGAAGTTGTTGCTCCATTTAGTGGGAGTCTTGGTCCAGGTGACTTCCAGACCACTGGTGATGGTATCAGGGCCCTTTCCAGAGCCATGAGCGTTGCTCCATCCCAGACCCTGCTGCTCAATACCAGCAGCCTCAGGTTCCTGGCCAACATTGTCGGCAGGGGCAGCACCGTGGGTCTTTCCGAAGGTGTGGCCACCAGCAATGAGGGCAACCGTCTCCTCGTCGTTCATGGCCATACGGCCGAAGGTGATACGGATATCACGGGCAGCAGCAACGGGGTCGGGGTTTCCATCGGGACCCTCGGGGTTGACGTAGATCAAACCCATGACGACCGCGGCCAACGGGTCCTCGAGGTCACGAGTCTTAATGTCGCTCTGCTTGGACTTCTCCTCGGCGGTTTCAGCCTCGTAACGAGCCTCGTTTGTGAACCAGACATTCTCGCTACCCCAATAGACGGACTCGTCGGCCTCCCAGACATCGGGACGGCCACCAGCGAATCCGAAGGTCTGCAGACCCATAGACTCCAGAGCGACGTTACCAGTCAGGAGCAACAGATCAGCCCATGAGATCTTGTTGCCGTACTGTATAATGCATTAGCTCCTGGTCATTTTTCTAGCTTGTCCGTGGCGCTCAATTGCTTACCTTCTGTTTGATGGGCCACAAGAGACGGCGGGCCTTATCGAGAGATACGTTATCGGGCCACGAGTTGAGGGGGGCAAATCGTTGCTGGCCCTGGCCACCACCACCGCGGCCATCGAAGACACGGTAGGTACCGGCGCTGTGCCAGGCCATACGGATGAAAAGACCACCATAGTGGCCGAAATCAGCAGGCCAGATGTCGTTAGACTGGGTCATGAGAGCATTAAGGTCCTTCTTGAGGCCCCAGTAATCAAGAGTCTTGAAAGCAGCAGCATAATCGAAATCCTTGCCTTGAGGATTTGTGGCTTCGGTGTGCTGGCGGAGGACACCGAGCTTCAAGGCATTCGGCCACCAGTCAGTGTTCCTATGAATGATCAGCGTCATGCAACAAGATGCAGGGGAGTGGCGTCGAGCTTCAAGCTCCAATGACGCCACGACAAAACATACCGAGTACCTCCACCAGCCACATTGCTCTTCTTGTGTGCAACAGGACATTCACCCATGATGAAATAATATGATTGTTGAGTAGAAAAAAGAGAAAGAAAAAGGCGAGGAAGAGGGTTCCCCGCAGTTTAAATAATTTGCCTTCCGTCTCCGACCCAATGACGAAACGGATATTACTCTATCAACGGGACTGCACAGCTTAACAAATACGCTAAGTCTGGACTATTTACTCTTCTATTGGCGAATCTAACAGTTTCCAGGTCACTAAGCTCGGTCTGGGGTGCGGGGAAGTCTACCATGGCCTTACGTGAGTGATCAGCCTGTGCCTAATGTTATTGGCGGAGTGCGCCGAGGTGCGATGGCTTCCGACGTTCGATCGAAGTCTTATTAGCGAGCTGGAGAGCTGACAAAATCGCCGTTTCTAGACACCCACAAGTCATTCGCAAATGTGCCATCTTGATTGGTCGGTGTGAATGGGTCTCTTCGTCAGATCATCTCACTAATAGCCGAGTTCTGGCCATTTTACATAGCAACACCCAGAACGGGAAAATACTTCCACGCTTATGTCTCGGATCATTCCGGATTACTATTGTGAACATCACGTCAGAATATAGGTCTGGCCATCGAAATGAGAGAGGGCGCGCTTGACAGTTCATCACTTGGATGGTGTACCTGAAGCTATTGCGATACATTCTTCGCCTATGGTCGCATAGCTATGTTCCAGGAACATACCAGGAACAACCTGAGTACCTGATTCAGTATCATATCATATTACTATGTCCAGCATTCCGAGGTCCTTCCACGGTCTTGCTTCGGTGTGTTGTCCGCTCCCTCTCCGGGTCGATCTATAACACATGAACAACGGCTTTCTGATCAACTGAACTTCAATCTCAGCACACATATTCTTCCCACTCTCCGCCACACGTACTGGTAATCAAGTATTGAGCAAGCTATTCCTGAAGTATAAGCCTTCGACACTTCCACGGGGCACGTTACAGAGCCCATCTATATTTCTTTCCGCCGGTCGGAGAACTGATTAACTATTGTCGGACCGGCGTCCGGGGCCGCTGCCGATCAGGGGATCCAAATCTCCCCATGGCGTCTGGTGCTCTTAGTCCGGCTGTTAGCTGGTGATTTCATCTATATCGAGGCGCCCTAGGTCCGGATGGTTTTGTCTTTCCTTTCATCTCCTCGGCACTATATCCAAGACACTGTCGAGGTTCCCTTTTCGGCTCGCTACGTCTGCCTGGCATTGTTCATCGTGCCTCGTGCCAGGTTCTCCGTATCCGTCATTCCGATTTCCGAAATAAATGGGAAAATAGGAGATCGATCGGGGTACGTGATGAGATGATCCCATAGGGCTTGCGACTGGATGGTGATCTGCTAACTGCTCAAAGAAGAGCGGCGACAGTTCAGGAGTGTTCGTCAAAATCAACAGATGGTCGCCAGTCCCTACAAGTTTGGACTCACGGCATGCGAATAGGGGCGTCATCTCAATCTAATAATATATCTCCCCGTTTGAGTGTGAACTCTCCTAGTAAGCTTGATGTATGTGTCACCCTTCACCTTTCACCGTTCTGCAATAAGATCGATTTAGGCGCCATTAGACACAGTACCTTTTTCGCCGTAACTTGGTCAGTTGGACATTTGCAGCTCGGCGATTGGTCTTCTCAAGTGACAGATACCGTGCTGGCTCCGGCCAAGCCCCAACCAACGAAACCACAAACTACAAACTATTACTTCAAACTTAGAGCCAATGCATGATTCCATTACGCATAGAATTTTGCATAAATACCACGCTGAGACCATTGACCGCTCCGTGCCTGTTCGTTTCCTCCGAGTCCACGCCAAGCCTCCGCGGCTCGTGCGACGGGGATGTATATACGTGGACATGGATACATACACTCTACATCGAATGAACAGGCCATTCACCATATTAGCAATGAAAGAATAAAAGACTCAGCTGCCACATCTGCTAGTCAAGGCCGAACCTCTACCCGAAGCGCCACAGATGATACGTGCACAAATGTTTCTTTGTTTGATTCCCGAACATCCCTGTTGGACGCTCCGTCTATTCGTTTGCGCCAGCCAATGAATAACCGATCCAACAGAAAGCTACCAGGATCGTAAAGGGGTCACATTCATGGAATGAACACCCAGCTGCATCATATGCTCAAATATCATTCCCACCAACAGCACACTTGCAACCCCCCATGGGCGACCCAATTTAGACCCTCACCACCCTACCGGATCGCAAATCGAACTCCACTTTCGGCATTCATAATTGTAGAAACCCGTTCTTGTCGCTTAAGTGCCATTAATGGAGTAGAGAAATGATAGGAGTGGAGGGATCATGACTCGCTAATCCAGTGGCTGCCTCGATACTAGCTCTGTCTGTCGACAACTTTATCCCGTCCTGTCACACCCATAAGACGAGGGGCTCAAGTTGATCTATCCTTGCTCCCTGATGGACCTGCGTTGCCGCAGATTCTCCAGTCTCCCATATTTCAGATCCCATACATCCCGTCTTACTCCTGGTTGATTTTTCTGCATGGTTTCCCAATCTCGCGTCTATCATGGATACCGTCATAGTCAGTCTGCCTCAGCCGGCGGCAGATATCTTTGTTTCGAATGTGTCTATAGTCGAGACTATTTCCATGTTCGCCATCGGCGCGTTCATGGCTGTGGATGTTGCCCTGTCGACTTTCAACCAGTTCAAGCGTTATCGCGGCCTTTACTTCTGGAGTCTGCAGGTTGCATCCTGGGGAATAGTTTTGCACGGAGTCCCAGCACAAATGAGGTATGCCCAGCTGGCATCAAATATCTCAGTGGCTGCACCATTCGTGCTTGGATGGTGGTGTATGGTTCAAGTATGTACTTCTGCTTCCCTAGACAACCCCGAAGTATACACAGGTACCCAAATCACATACTCACTGAATATCCAGGGCCAGGCAGTAGTCCTCTACTCCCGCCTGCACCTCGTCGTCCCAGACGTCCGCCACATCCGCTGGGTGCTATGGATGATAATAGCAAACTTCACGATCCTAAGCGTACCAATGACAGCCCTATTCCTCTGCCAGAACGTAGGCACCAACCCTCAATGCACGAAACCCGCCGAAATTCTCGACAAGATCCAATTATGTGGGTTTGCCCTGCAAGACCTGTTAATATGCGTCATATACATATGCCCAGCTCTTGGGGCGCTGAAACCCATCTTTGCGATGAAAGGCCGTGAAGGGAAACGAGTTATCATCCAATTGATCATCATAAATGTGATCGTCGTCGTCTTGAATATTTCGCTCGTTGTCATAGGGTTCAAATTGCCTTTCATCACTGTTGGTTACAAAACTGTTGTCTACGCCATCAAGCTCAAGCTTGAATTTTACATTTTGACCAAACTGCGTGAGCTTACACGGACTTATCCTTGTGTTTGTCACACTTTCGGCGAGATTCCGCGTGTCTCAAGTGATATCAATATCTTCGACTTACTTGCGAGGGGTGGGGGCATTGCTCAGAGACTGGATATGGAGGCGCAAACTTCGCCGAGGTTCGGGGTCGCTGTGAGCCCTTCTACTGGCTTGCCTAGTTCGACGAGGAGTAGCACTTATGACTTCCACGACGCACTTCGGGAGACCATGTCCGCGTCTGTTTCGGAGAATTCGGTTGGGCAGTCGCACTTGGATGGGCGGCTGCAGGTGCGTTCGTCTGATACGAGGTCGACGGTTGAGATGGCTTTAGTTGAACCTCGTTGATTTTGAATTTGGAAGGAAGGCTTCCTTGGGGAATTAGTTGCTGGGTAAATGGTTGTATATACTTCGCGAAGAGGTCGATTGTTCTTTACAGTCGATCCATCACTGGGCGGTCTTTTCGTTTTCGTTTTATACCCTAGTTATTTTAGACTTGTCTGGTGGTTTTTGTCAGATTAGTTTATTCTTTGTTAGAAAGTTCTTAGTTGGCATTATAATGCAATTAGAGTGGTGTCGTTATACATGTATATCCTTCCCTTCCTGAAGTATAGTAGAGCTACCCACTTCGTTTCATTTAAATCAAAGAATAAGATATCTTTCGACGTTGGATTCAAATATGTATACATGAATTGAAATAAAGTCCTGTGAGTGCTTAAAACACAACTGAATCTGACAGATCATAGAGCCAACAAGAGACAAATGAAGAACGTCAAATAGGGTATCTGTATATTTTCCCGATTGAATCATGATGGAACGCCAAAAAGAGAAAACCCCGGCAGGCCCACCCGTATATCGGGGCCTGCAAAATGCGTAAGAGGACATAACGAAAATGTGAGTATCGTAATATTGATCAACCCGCTCACCGGAGACGGTGAAGATATGTCGGTATTGTGGATAGTGAAATGAGGTGGTGTATCGGGAAGAGTGGAACGCGTGTAGGGGGTTTCATCCATCTTATGATGGACACATAATGTGGGTGGTAGATAGAAAAGACCAGCCTGCCAGTGAGAGACAGAGTGAATGGCGCCCAAAAAATATTGATCTTCGGCTTTGAGCATGAACCGCTAGAGGGTAGACTAGTGGGACTCAAACCATCCACCGTTCTCCCATTCACCGGGCTCGTAGGTGGCTCCTCGTCGGGCCTCGGGGTCACAGAGGCCGCTGAAAAGGACATTCAACCGAGCAAAATTGATTGGCTTCATGACCCAGCCATCGAATCCGGCATCGGTGTAGTTATCCTTTTCTTTCTCAAGCAAGGATGCAGATACTGCAAAGATGGGCGCACGGTTGTTGCCTTTTCTTGCTTTGTCTGAAAGCGCACCCTTTGGAGTCTTGTTCTCGTAGTCGCGAATCATCTTTGTGGCTTCAATGCCATCGACAATCGGCATCTGGGGGAAATTAGCATGAGTAAGAACAACACTCGAAAGGTAGGCTTGCCTGGATATCCATCAGCACCACATCGAAGGGTTCCTCCGTTGATCCGAACGCGGTGGCACAGGCTTCTCCGTTGCTGGTTAAGTGGACTTTATGACCAAGCTTGGTTAGCCGTTTTGACACGATCTTGCTGTTGACTGGGTCATCCTCCGCAACCAGTACGTGAAGCAGCTCATAATCTGGCGAGACATTTGTTGATATAGATCCGGTAGCATTGGTTGAGCGCTGCGATGTTTCTGTGATAGTTTCCACGCGGGGGAAAAATGAATTATCCTCAACTCGCTGCAAATTGGATGGCGTGTTTGCAGATTGCTGGGACACTCGTAAAGCACTCATCGGCACTCCAGAGTCCGTGATGTTCTCCATGCCTGGCGGAGGGGGTGATACAAGCGGGTACAACATACTCGCCGGCGTATATGAGGCGGAAGAGAGGGCCGCTCGGTGCTCTGTCAAAGTTGATCGCTTCGAAGTGTGCGTGGGCACCGGTGAAGTTAAAGACTGACCATGACTGCCCGTACTCAGGAGCCCATGGCTGCTCGTGCTTACAGGACTGCCCATTCTGAGCTGTCGAGGATCAGGTGATTTGGAGTCTGAGTCGTGGCTCGGACTTCTCCTTTCCATGGCTGGTTCTTGCATGGCGCTGATGAGACGGTCGGCTTGGCTCTTTCCACTGCGAGAGCTACCGCCGCTGTTGAGACTTTCAGTGCTTCTCCTTCTTGGATCACGATCACGATCACGAGGCTCATACGAGCCACCGATGAGCGTGAACTCCTTGTCAGATAACAGCGGAGTCGGGGGAACAACAGGGCCCGCAGAAGGGATGTTGTCAGGTGAAGCTCCTTCTGGTAGCTTGAATTGCAATAAAATCTTGAATCGGCTACCCTTTCCTTCTTCTGATCTGACACCAAGCTGTCCTTGCATGTTGTGAACAATTCTCGCTGCTAGGGCAAGGCCAAGACCCAATACACGTTTCTTCGATTGTTTGGCCGAGTCTGACTCCTGTTCTTCTAGCTCTTCCTCTGGGTAATAAGTTTCATCGGTGGAAACTTGTTCAAGTTCGTGAAATAGAGACTCTAGCTTCTTCTCAGACATACCGCACCCTGTGTCGACAACCATCATCTCCACTGCAACAGAACCAGCCACAGCCTGGTTCGCCGACCGCCACATCTCCGTGGTAACAGCGCCCGAGGTGGTATTTTGAATTGCATTCGAAATGACGTTTGACAAGACTTGGCGGACACGCCGCTGATCTCCAAGCACCGAGTGAGGTATACCAGGGTGGACTGTCACGCTATAAGAGATGTTCTTTCGCTTGGCCTGGCCGGAGAGCATGTCAGCGGCCTCCCTGAAAGTGGTTTCAAGGTCAAAGCTTTCATCTTTGATCAACTCCTGTCCTTTCTCTGTGTTTGTTAAGTCAAGCAGATCGTTGATGACATAGATAAGGGATTTGGAAGCTGAATGAGATTTGGTCAGACTCTCGCGGGTGTCTGCATCGAGCGCACCCTCGAGGGCAATCTCAAGATAGTTGATGATAGCATTCAACGGTGTGCGAACCTCGTGCGCGGAGTTGGCAAGTAGCAGTCGAGTGAGTTGTGAAGTTTGCATGGCAGCTTCCTTCTGGCGCCAGACTTTAATGAATTTACCATACACGAGGCATAGCACTGCAGCAGTCTCAACATCCGTCTCCGTCCACTCTCGACTCTGAGATAGTACTGTCTCCTGCCACGCCTTGAAACTTTCGCGAGGTTCCAGATACCCGGCAGTCTCTTTCCGCTTGGCAATTTCGTATGGATTACCCGCCCATTTGATCTCTGTGAGTTGTCCGCGGCGGAAGAAGACAATGAAGTCACTGCCGGCGGTGGAAAGTGGAACATATAGGAGTCCCGAGATGGCCCTCAATCCCGGGGCGTACTGCAGATCAGGGAAATCCTTCGTAATATCATGCGATGCAAGCACAGAGTTCATCTGACGTAGGCGGAGGTACTCCAGCAGTGCAAGTAGCTCCTGAGAGTGGTTTTTATCGCCAAGAATCTTGGTCTCGTCTCGAATCGACAAAACACCATAGTCTGCATCGAAAAGTGCTAGCAGATCATCCGAGGACGCAATAATGTAACCGGACGGGTTGGCCTCAGTAGGAACAGTATTGATCAGTTTTCGTGCTTGCAGGCGCGATGCGTAGGAAAGCCTCTCGATGTTTCGTGACACGCAATCACCAAGAAGTCGGCACATTTTGCGGATTGGGAAAGAGACACGCATTCCCGCTGTACCGTAGCTATGGCAGGAAATCAAGCCCCATAGATCGTTGAAAGCATTGACACTGATAGACATTGAAGATCGGACCTTCATGTGACCGAGATACTTGATGTGGATGGGCGACATCGCTCTCAAAAATGCATGTGTCATGTCGAGAGGGGTTTCGAGGTCTTCCACTGTACGGCAAACGAGGCGAGAGGTGGTATGGTCACGATCGTACAACAACCTCACTTTATTGATTTTGTATAACTCTCTCGCCTGCGCAGGAATGTCGGATGCAGGGAAATGGAGACCCTTGAAGAGATCAATTGTAACACTGGGATCAACCAGTTCAGCAACAACCATGCCGTTCCAACTGCTGTCAAACTGATAGATCAAGACCCTGTGGAAGCCGGTCAGCTCCTTCACCAAACCAGCAGTTGTATTCAGCAATTGATCCAAATCATTTGCACGACTCAGCTGCTCCTGGATTTGGGTGAAGATGCTAAAAACTTCCATCGAGGCTGCTTCACCCCTCCTCCTCCGAGCATTGCGAAGAATACGCAGAGGTTGGCTGACGTTTATTGTGCTTGCAGCCAATTGTGCTGGGGTTGGAGTAACACCCAAAGTATCGGTTGGAGACGCCGGGGTGGTAGCACCCGCGACATTTAATGGGTTGACCTCGTCGTCTTCCAGCTCGAACTCGCAAATGATCAAATCCTTTTGTGTTTGGCAAACATGAACGGCGCACCAGAATTGACGGGTCTCCTTGGATGGCGTGTGAATCTTCAAGGAAAATACCTCCGGTCCATCAATTGTAGGATCATAAGCATCATCTCGAACGAAGTCGACGTGATCCAGAAGGTTATCTGCTTGATCTTCGTGCATGATTTCGCAAAAGTTCTCCAATTCGAATAGTTGCTTGGGCGAACGACCAAAGAGAGCAGTCGAGTTTTCGCTCACCACACGCACCACAAGCTGATTAGGCGACTCCTCTCGCAAAGCAAGCATAACACCAAAACTTTGAATCGCGCCTGGGATGTGAATTGGTTCATCTTCGCAGTATTGAAATGCCTGGCCGTCCCGTCCCGTGATCACAGCATGTCCATTTTCTGTCAGGACATGTCTGAAGCGAGCAGTATAAAAGCCTTGTTCATCACATAGCGGGGTTGGGGCGTTTGGGTGGGCGGTCGAACCAGTGCCAGAGTGGTTATCGCTGGTGGGTTTGGCATAGACTTCGGGGTGCTGGACAACCGCGGATGCCATCGAATGTGCTGCAAGCTCGGTGCTGTCAGCTACCTCATGTGTCTCGTGGCGTTCGATATTGGTGGGAATGGTCGGTTCGCTCAGTTCCGCATTGGAGGGAGGTTGTGACTGCATCTGATTCCACGTAAGTTCGTCGATGAACGAATATTGTCGAGCTCCTTCCCGCGTTGGCGAACGTGCCGCCCGCGCCTGCGCTGTAGCCGCATGGTGTCCTATGGGTCTAGGGTCGACCGAAACGAATGATCGAATAGGGAAGACACGATCGGCAGCGTCGAAGCCGGTGCTCGGTGGTTGGACTTCATTTTGGGAAACGGACTGTGCTCGGTCTCTGATCTCTGGTCGCATGTCCTCCAGCTGCAACGACTCGGCTTCTGTAACACTCTCAGATCTTTTTCGCAGGGATCCCGGCCCGACCTCATCGGGCGCCGGTGATGCCATCGAGGCCGTGCAGTCCGATAGCAGTTCCTGAATCGGGTGTCTCAGTGAGGTTTGAGGGTTGTGTGAAGTACAAAATCTGTTCCGGCGGATGAGAAAGGCGGAGGGTTCCGCCTTTTATAGGAGACACAAGATTCCAAAGAGAACGACACAGCGACACTCAGGGCCGAGAAAGGAGAGTGTACCTCGTGCTCATAAGGAAAGGCGAGGTAATGGAAGACCTATGAGTGGACAGGTCCCAGAGATCGAACCCGATGGGTTGGGTGTACGACGATCTGGAGAGAAGAGAAGAGAGAACCAGAAGCCTATGGAGGGGCAGCAAATGCGGTGAAACGCAAAACTAGGCCAGTAAATTAATGTATGTAGTAATGATATGCACTTGTCAAAGAGGGCCTCCCCAGAGGGATCATTGGCCCCTAGGCGCGAGACTCCATGCAGAACTTGGTTGGGCGCTACAAGCGAACCGGAGAAAGGAAATGCGCAACATCGACTGGTGGAAAAGCCGTGGGGAACAAATTTCGACCAAGAGCTTGAAAGGGAAAAAGGTGGGAACTGAAGAGGCGTGCACTTACGAGATTAAGTGGCTTAAACATGTAGTGGTACAAGGACTTTGCCGAGGTCACACATACTGAAGGAAGTATCGGTACCTGGTCACGGGAACCAATGACATGCCCGAGTACTCTATGATGTCACATATGTGTCCTTGTTTGTCTTTCAAGGGATATAGTATCTGAAAGAAGCATCGAGAAAAATGCATGTTTACATGCGCAATGACATAGCTACACGTTTCAAGATCATTCAAACGCCACATTGCGCTTATGGCTTAACATTGACATAATTGAAGTAACGTGATATAACGTATTTCCCTAGCGAGCTGGCCACCCAAAAACACCATAGTAAATACAATACATTCCACACTGATATCTTAGCAATCACGTTTTTATTTCGTTTTATTACTTGTCGATAGCTGTTGATAAGGCTTTTAAACACTATATCTCAATTTGGAAGAAATCTAGAACCTATATTTTACGGTATCGAAAATTACGTTGCTAGGAGCCAGGAATATACAGCTTATTAGTTATTTTAAGGACGGGCGTTCTTTGGCTTCGATATAGGGAGAGAGTGCAGTGATCACTTTAGCAAGACAATTACATCAATAACCGATATTCGGTCCGATAATGTTGAACTTTAGCACGACAACTATAACTTGAGCAAATGTAGCAACATTATATTGAACGGAGCATGCTCTGTAGGCCACCGAATATGGCCTTTTGCAATTGTATAGACGCCCGGTCAAACAGCATGAACGCCCCAATACGAATTTGATCTTGTGCAAACACCTGCGAGGTGATTTCTCACGTCCTAAGCATTGAGTCATCAGCATAACGTTACGTCCTAAGGCATGCCGGGATCATAGCCTTGACAAGGATAAGGAAAATGAGGAGAATATATTTCGTTGAAAATTACAGATAAATTACTTATACTCTAGCCTGCTCAGTCTTATTAGAAAGCGCCGTGACGAATGTGATACGTTGAAGAAATACCTCAAGGGTTAATAAAATACTGGAAAAATACCAGCAGGCATATGTGAATAAGACGCAATCTAAATAGATTTTCATAACCAATTCCGACAGTATGGCCGAGTGGTTAAGGCGCTAGACTTGAATCAATTCGAGATATCTAGTTCTTTCGAGATCCAGGGTTCAAATCCCTGTGCTGTCGAATTTTTTTTCGTTTTCAAATCATCTGTGTTCTTTAAAACTATCCTCTCACTTTAGTCGACTACCAATAATGATAGTAAAAATACCCTTAATGCCCTGGCTGCGCCCGCAAAACTGACGATTCTTCATGTCTGGTGCCTTACCACTCGGCCAAGCTGTCTTGGCATGACGTACAACGGTATCATGCGCTAGAGGCTAAGAAATGGTGTCGTACTGTTAGCATAGAGTATGGACTACGCTTTAATATATATATATATATTCTAAATATACACTCATATAGAAGTGAATCCTAATCTTCTTAGTATGTCCGTCCACCTGTAGCTGACAGGTTTTTTTTAAAAAAAACTTTTGGGGTACGACATTACTAGTATACACAGGTAAGGTAATTACGTGTCTAGCACGACACCTAGAACATGTATTTCATTTGTTTTGAAGAGATCTTGCCAATGTTCTACACGTGTTTTGGGCAGGTTTTACTCATGTATTACATTTGTTTTGACCGCGTTTTCCAATCCGTTCTTCGTATTCTTTCAATTTTGTTCTTCACTATCTAAGGAGGGCCTCATGGATCGGTACGACACCATCGACACCCTGACTATGCCCGCAGAACAGACTATATTTTAAGTCTAGCGTCTTAAACCACTTGGCTAAGCTGCCTTTGCATGACGTAGAGGGGACGTATGATACTACATAGAGTACGGACTTTGTTGAGATTCATGGCGCATCCAGGCTGTCAGTGCTGCATTCATGAATACGGATTGAGAACCGGAATTATAGTAACTCCGAATGAGCGGATTACTAAGGATGAGCATAGCATAAATAGCAAGAAATAGCAAGTAATAAATGACAGAGATTTGAATACCCTCATTGGCTGAGCAAGTTACGGAAGACAGCAAGTTCCGACACAGGCTAGATGCCTGACATATAAGGCATGAATCTAGTGATCAGCATTAGACCTACCAAATATAGTATGGATCAGGAGAAGAGTTCTCATTTATATAGGGTCTTTCTCTCATGGAGAGAAAGATCAGACTTAAACAATCTCGTTGGCCTTGATATTGATGCCTCCCAATTCAGTAGACATCCAATTTCAACAGACTTTATATTTAACAATCATGGCTGTTTTCTAGGCTTTTTTTCTAGAACTACACTAAGATATCTTAAGTAAGATAGAAGTGAATATTTTTTTTTCTAGTCTAAATATATACAATCATACGTTCAATATATGACACTATATACGTTCTATACAGGCAATCAACCAGTCCTATCAGTATATATATTATATCTATCTTGGATATGATTTGTTTGTAGAATATTGTTTGGAGATTAGCGTTTGCATTTTACGCGGGTTATTTATAGATAGCAGGAATGGGATGTACGAATCATATTGATACCGAGACGGATACTGATATAGCTGCAATAAATATCGCTAGTCCCACAACATGCGGTTCGAGTGTGAATATCCAACCGCCACATTGCTGTGACTTGTCACAATTCAAGTAACATGATATACATACCCGTGCAAAACAGTTTACCCACTTCACTTTTTGGGGTATCTCTTCCAAAATATATATATCACTTTCTCGCTATATAGTAGCACCATTTTATGATCTATCTACCCTTGGCAGTACTGATGCTTCGGGCATTGGGGTTTTGCCTGAATGCTAGTATACCTTTTGAGTACCTACATTCACTATGTAAATCACTAGTAAAATTCGGCCACTTCGTTGTACATCTAGGACCTTGATTCTAATTCCTCTTAAATTTCCAAGTCAGCGGAGCATTAAGTATATTCCTAGCAAGACCTAAAGATGCTTGTATTTATGAAGAGGGTACATAAGGAAAAGAAGTATCTTAGAGCCATTCAGTTAATGTACCGGTGGGAATCATTAAAAGTGAACTAGAAAAAAGTACCTTAGAGCCATAAGCTCTCATTTAATACTACAATTAAGGATGACACGGTGAATGGGAGGCCAGAAACGGCCGCTTTTGACGCCGTTTTAAGCCGCTCGCTCACCATGGTCGGTCTTGGCGTCGCGTGCACCAAAGCCCACGGCCAACCCCGTTTACTGCCACCTGCGCTTCGGGTTGGCCGTGCCTGGTGCCTGGGCCCATTGATCGACCGATGTCCATTCGTGCCGCAGCCGCCGCAGGGCCCCATCCTCGCTCACCCTCAGTCACCCTCCTGGCGGAGGGAACCCATTTTTGGCTCCTCTGTTGACCGTTCTGCTTCCCTGAGTTTCCATAAATATCGACCACCATGGCCCCCGACCGACAGTTCTCTCACGCTCTCCAACAACTCCTCCAGCCCCAGGCCTGGGTTTCCAACGGGTGACTTGCTCAAAGTGAAATAATATCACTCTCGACCATTCTCTCGTGCTTCTACTCGTCTTCGCTGCTTTTGCCCCCTCTTCAATCCCATACTGCGTTCCGCTGCCATGCCTTCTCCGTGGCCTGCTCTGCTTGATGATGAGAGCGACACTAGCTCACGCCTGCCCGAGATCTTCTCGAACGCTTCCGACTCTAATTCCTCTACCGCACCTAGCGTCTTCGACTCAAGCAGCGAATCCGAATCCGAGTCTGAATCCGAGTCTGAATCCGAGTCTGAAGATGAGTCTGAAGATGAGCTGGCTTCGGAAGATGAAGAGGAGCAACTTCCACCAGAATATTATCTCCAGGAGGCCGAGTCTCTTGATGTCTCCCAGCTCCGACAGAAACGCTACAGCCCGAAAACTCAAGAGAGATTGGATAAGACACAAGATTTTTGGGATAGGTGAGACATCATTGCAATATCCCGCTTCCATTACTAGGTTCGCTGATTGTTCTAGGTTCTGTAATGGCACAAAGCGCGGTCCGGTGGAATGTTTGTCCTGGCTCTCTGATACAGAGGAGACGGTTCGCTTCCTTAAGGCTCTCTTCTCCTGGCGGTGTGACCAGCGACGTGGAAAGGATGGACGTCGCACCCTAGGAGTGAAAACTAAAAGCTCGCTCGACTTATTCTGGAAGTGGTGGCATCTGATCTATAAGGCCGAGGTTGGACATGAGCTCAGCAAAGATATCCAAGTTAAGATCCGCGATGTGAGATCCCGATTGAGTATCGATATCGGCAGAGATTGTACCCGACTAACGTTCCATAGGTGCTCGCGATAGTTGCCACAGAAAAGAAACTTTCCCTTAAAGGTCGGCCGAAAGCAACCATATATGTCGAGGATGTGGCCGAGTTTGCCCGAGTGATCCTGTCCACGACAGAGATGACTTTTCCTTGTGGCTAGTACCGGATACAACTCCTCCTTTTCTGCCAGCTGGCCGCTATCACCGGTAGCCGTCCCAGGGCGCTACTAAAACTTCGCTTCCAGGATCTCAAGTTGACATTAATTCGGGATCCGAATAAAGGACGTCCTCGACTTTTCATCTACTTAAGACCGGAATTCACAAAATCATTTCTTGGCGAAAAAGAGTCGTAAGAATATCCCCTCACTAAGCCATTCCTTATGCTTGCCTTTCCTCTAGTCACATGCTTCTCAGCGCCCTTTTGCTTATCATTTTCAATCAGAAACACGTTCCCGATTCCAGAAATCATCTTTGATCCCACGTTGGTCCTTAGTCCTCATGTTTTTCTGCTAGGCATACTATTCAAAATTGGCGCATTTAAAAGTCTGTCCATAGACGGCCCTATGATGGACTGTCCCGAGAAATTGTACCGTCTTCGGATCCTAGATGGACTTGGTGAGCAGGAATTAAAGCTGAAGGACGAAATTCTCGATCAGCATGTGTTTTGCCAAGTATTACGAGAAGCTAATGGCATTCGAATCACACTAGAAAAGGAACTTACGGGGGGATGGCTGCGTTACAGAATGAAACGAGGTGGTGAGATTACTGGCTTCGCGGAAGTCGCGAAGCCCTATTGTCTCCGATATGGCGTAGCAAAAGCGTTTAACGATAGTCGTGAGTGACACATTGTGTATATAGGACTTTTTGGCTAATGCGTTCCTCTCTACCAGCGGACGTATCGAATGAATTGCAGAACGTGATGCTGCAGCACGCCAGCATTGATACTTTTGTCCGGCACTACAGTGTGGGTATCCACGTAGATGCCCAGGCAATTGTACGGGGCATGCCCGCTCAGAAACAGCTTATGCGGTTTGCCTGCTCGATGAGTCGGTCGATTGATCCTCGCAGACCCTATCGGCTTAGGGATTCGAGCTGTATCAATGATATTCCCCGCGTGCGTACCCTAGAAGATAGGAAGCAGGCGAGAAAGCGGATTCGAGACGCTAAGAAGCGCACCTATGAAGATGCCCAGACAACATTATAGCAGGAGTTCGGCGATAACCTACCGCAGAGTGGCCCTCATTCCCGAATAATCCGTAAGCGGTGGAAGGCTCAAGAGAAAGGTGTCAAAAAGTTACGCCAGAAATTTGATCATGCAGACGAGCAGTATGATCGCGCAGTGAAGCAACTACGAAACGAGAAGGGATGGCAAAAGCACCGATTGATTCGTGAAAATCTGGAGCGGTACAAAAATGAGCAGCCGGTGATCGACAGTGAGCGGCAACTTTCCGGAAAAGTTGTTGACGAAGAAGTTATGGGGGCGTTGCAGTGTACCGGCTATATGACACCGCAGCATATGACGCTTATCGACAGTGTTCTGACTATGCCGGGTACAACAGTCGAGAAAGAATATGAGCGTCGAATTGCTGCAATCAATGCAGTGATTGCGGTCTGTGATGCGGAAGAGGGTGCTCCCTCGCGGCCTCGTGCCCCGCAAAAACGCACCGCCGATGCTGCCGATATGCCACCTGTTGCCCCCCTGCCTAAGAGGCAGAAGTCTATCCCCTCAGATGAGAGTGGCGATACTTTCTCTCAAGCGATCGCTTCTGTTTGCGTCAAATGTCCAGGAGAGAGACCAACGATATGCTTTATTTGTCTTGGTAATACTAGACTGCCAGAACGCGAACGCCTGAAAATGTACAAGAACCCCGGGTCCCTCAGCCGACACTTCGTCAACAAACATATCAAGCCGTTCCCAAACGACATGCACTGTGAGTGCAACATTTGCGGGGAAAAGCTGATGTCAAAATCGGGACTCCTGAACCATGCGCAAAGAATGCATGGAACTGTCTCCTGCCTACCTTTACCAGCTCTTGGCCTACCCCTCCCTTAAATATTCGATGTTTCTTGCTTCTCTCTTAAATTGTCTTGAAAGCGAGGTGCGTGTACAACATGCAAATATTTGATCGCACAAGTATTGATTTTGAGGAAATGCCGTAATGACCACTCGTAGCCAAGATATCTAATAACGAGTCATACTAATAAAATCAGAGCAATGATATGATCGACAAATTATAGCACTACCTGCGCCGAATCTTCTTACCACGGCGAGCATTTGACTCCATCTACTCTATCCAAGTGCCCCACGCTAATCACGGAGCCCAGAACTTCATTCAGTAGGCTACTACGAGACTCTTCAGGAAAGCAGTCTTTTCTCAGCGGTTCATCCGGTACTTCTCCACACTTCTCAAAATCCTGAGAACTACCCTCGTGAGCCTCGAGTTCTAGGATCGCCAGGCCTGTCATTATCTTAAGACAGGGGCGCTAATTCAGAGAGGGCATACTGTACAGGATGGATCGAAATCAGATTCACCACTCTTTACACATAGAAATTTTCTCAACCCCTGTTATGAAACATGCTAATCTATATCCGACCTAGCTTGGTTTCAGGAATCGAAATGTACTGAAAAAGTATGTCACGTGATATAGAACTCTATAAATTACATGAAATTCTCTTGCCAAAAATACCTCCACACTTATAAGGATAGCTCGCCCGTTATACCACTTCCGTCATACTTCCGTTCAATGTCTTTCAGGCGAGATTGGCCAAGATTAAAAGCTAAGCCCCGCGGTTGACTTGCACTGAATCAATTTATGATACAGAGCTTATTCTAGTAATTACAGCATAGCCAGAAATTGCTTCAAAATCAGTTATGATTAGCAGCGTCGAGAACAATGCTCGTCGGCCTAAAGAATATACAAAGCTATGCTCATCTGGTTGCCGCAGATGTCGTGAATTCTTCCTGTAAGTTCAAAATATTAAAAGAAATGTGGTTATCAAATGGACTTTGAGGTAAGGCCGCATTTAGTCAGAGCGGCCCTTCTGAGTGAACTAGCCAGTATCTCATCGAATAGAAAACTTTCAAATTAATGCGACCTACCAAACTGTAGACTGCTGAGATACACACTCCAAAACAGAGAAAGCATCGCAATCATCATGGAAAGCGGGATAGATGGGTTTTGTAAGTCTGTGCCAAGTTCCCGGGGTAAAATCCACGCCAAGAAGAACGCTAGCAAAGGTGAAACACAGAGAAAATTGTAGAAAATGATCCAACGTAAGCTGATCTTTTCGCGCGCATAGATCCCCCAAAAATCCTCTCGCTTGTTGCCTGCTTCTTCTAGTTCGGTTCTTTTCTTTGGGAGGAACTGCAGGATGTCAGAGGAATGTGCGCCCAGTTTTCTACATTCGTGGTGCAGGTGAAGTAGTGGCCGTGGATTGTGACAAGCGTAGAAACGTTTCATGAATTCGTGCTCTGAGATAGGCGGAATATTGTCCATCGGTCTCGGTTGATACTCGTAATCGGTGTTCGCATGGTCAGGGAATGAATCTTTGATTCTGAGCGTAAACTCGTGGTCATCGAACTTCTCGAACTGCGATTTGTATGTTTAACATACACCCTAGAGTCCCGGGCAATAGCACTCACTTTGTAAAAGTCACAATGAGAGTACCTCCAAACGCTGAACCAGCTTCGCAAGACACCTCTCAGGCGAAAATATTCCTTTTTCATGGTGCTGAAGAAGGAATGACAAGTCATATTGCTAATGCAGATTTGTGCGAGTCTATAATCTCCGCCTTGTTTTGCGAGAAAGAGGACGTGTTGCCTAGTGATGCTCATGTCCGCGCTGTTAACATTGTGTCCCGAGGGTCGAAGACGAAGCGAAGGATTAGACGGTGAACCGTCCGGTTGCTTGACTCTATGGCCTTGATAGGAAGTCTGGTTAGAAGTTACACTGATGTTTGGAACGTTGCAAGGATTCGGGTTAGAAGTGTGTGCCTCTGGAGGAGGCGGCGTAAGTTGGGTTACCAAGCTGTCAACGGGAAGCCTTCTGATTATAGATTGGAGGCGTTTGACAAGAGTGTTTGGCACCTCTGCCCATCGCTCTTCGCCACAGACCTGGCCCGCGGATTAGGGCTCGATCAATATTGTGTAGGGCTGTCTATATTTGAATACTCACACACTTCCACCGTAACCGTGTCTCTGATTCAGCCAGTGGTCTCGGATAGCGAGGTAACGGCCACCAATCCCAAGACTCTCCAGTCCAGCGCTCAATTAAATGCTGGTAGTAGCTGACGACCATGAGAAATCGAGAATTGATCTCGTCACGTTCAAACCGAATCTCGAGGGGACTGACGTGCTGTAAATCTGTGACGAGGTTCCGTAGTTTATACCGAGCAGCATCGCCATGGTTCTTATGTTCTGGGTTTGACCACCTGGTCACCAAATCCCGAAAATGTGAGTTCAGTGATGGTTGAACAAAATCTTCGAGCCGACGACGAAGGATTTGGTAGGCGGCGCTTTGCAGAATGAAGTGCTTCATTTGATCCAAGTTTTGCAAAGATCCCTCATAAGGCTCATCCTCGTTAGCTCCCTCTGCCACGGATCCTTGGTCACTGTCCTCATCGGGATTGAGTCCATCGATTACTTCACTTGTCTGAGGAAAAGTGTCCTGTAGACTTTGAAGATAATATTCCACTTTCCTCTTGTGAGCTAGGTCTTCGTCAGGATTGAGCTTTGGCTGCTCGTCGATAAATACCATGGCAAAGAGCTTGCGAGTGATCATAACTGAATATGAGCTTACAAATCTCATTAGGTCCCGGTGCGATGCGCTGAGAATATCTGCCTTGAGGTCATTCGCAAAGTGTTTCAGTAGTCTCCGAAAATTGTTTCGCATCCTCTCGAATCCGATCGGTTCTCTTGATACGCCGATCAAAAGCAGCGAAAGGAGGTCTCCATCTTCACTCAGCAAGTTTGAAAACTGGTGAATCAACAACAAATTCATTTCCCCTCTTCCAGAGTCAAACGAACTGGTGCTAGGTATAGACGCAGGAACAGAAAATACGGAGTCATTGTCACTGGATGAATCGGTATCCCCAAATTCCACATGTCTATCATATTCGGCAGGCTCCGAGGAGACGTCCAGAACATTGAGATGCCCAGATCCTAGAATTTGCCTGCGAGTTTTCCTCACCTGCATATAAAGCTGTTCGGCCTCTTCCAACCGGCCCTGATTCCTATACGTTGACGCTAGGTCGCTCATACTCGTCAGCGTGTCAGGATGGTCTGCGCCAAGTTTCGTCTTGCGAGCCTCCGTCACTTGCACAAAGAGCTTCTCCGCCTCATTCCATCGGCCCTGCTTCAAGTACATCGATGCTAGGTTGTACATGCTCGTCAGTGGGTCTGGATTATCTTCGTTAAGCTTCATTACAGCTTTCGTTGTGGCTGTTATCTGCTGCACGCAATCGATCTCTTGTTGAACTACAAGCAGTCAGCACGTATTCCAAGTTCAGACATTATTCAGCCTCGATTATTTGCTAGTACTTTAGACATCTGCAGCCGGCCTATTCAGATGGGCAGGTACTCACCGTTTTCCAATATGGCTTTTGCTGAATCCTCGTCACCAACAACACTCGGCTGCACACATCCCAAAAGTTCCTTTGCGTATGCAGCGGCCATAGCGGCAGCATATTCTTGCCAACTTTTCTCTCTTTCCGAGTCCGCATAGTCACAGATGCCTCGGATAACAATACAGGGAAAGTCATTCATAAGCCCGGCTGCCTCTATCTCGACACACAACACGTGCCCGCCAAATGCTTTATCGAGGGAGTCTCGAGACTGGGCGTCCTTAACCACTTTGTTCCCGGATGCGATCAGGCCGTAGTGCACCCTGAATTTTCTTTGGGTTCTTGCCTCCCCTGCGTTATCTGATAATTGCTCGTTCTCTTCTCGCCTGGTATATCTTGGCGCCAGTCGCGGGAATTTTCTTTGGGTTCTTGCCTCCCCTGCGTTATCTGATAATTGCTCGTTCTCTTCTCGCCTGGTATATCTTGGCGCTAGTCGCGGGAATTTTCTTTCCACATCATCCAGATACTCATTTATCTTCGATCCATACATCTCATAATTACTTTTCAGCTGATTCGACGCATGAAGAAGCAAGTTCGGAGGTCTGTTCAGCGAGCCCGTGTGGACGAACTGTCCACCCCGTTCCAGCTTCCCCAGATCCCATTGTACCACCCCGTGGTAGTCAGCAACAGGTTGGCTAACCACCACATCACCCAGATTGACCTTCGATGGAATTCCGCTGCCAATCCCAACCATCAGCCCGAACCTGATTGATTGGAACGTGTTTATCATAGAGGTCGCGACAGTCGCGGCAGGGTTGATCCCCATATTAGGTAGACAGGCAATGACGACGTTGTGGCCGCATATCAAGCCAAGGGTATATGCATTATGGTCGTTACGAGGGGTCGGAAGGGGTTCGTGCTCTTCATCTAGCATGGCTCTCGCTGCGGTCTGTTCTTTTGGAAGGGCGCATACCCACCCGATAGTATAGGCATCATGTCGAAGGCGCTTTCGGCATGGGAGTGTTTCGGGGCTAGTATTATTTTGTGGTGTCACTGATCGCTCTAGCTGTAATGGGGGGTTCTCAGCCATCTTGGATGGAGGACGACTCGACGAAGCGGAGTTTCTAGACGAGCGGAATAGTGCTGGATAGATCAATCAAGAACTCTCTCGCAGCATAATACGAGATCTTGGCCCTTCTTATCTAAGTAAGATGTCGGCAAACTGAAAAGCCGATGGAGGGCATTGCTGAGGATGGGCAGAGGGAAAGCAAAATTAGCCAGTTCAGGTAAATTATGATTGCCACGTCGATCTTCTGGACCTGAGCTGAAAGAGGGGGACGTCCTCAGCCTCATCATCATCGGCCGTTCCGCCCACCACACCGCTTCCTGAATGGCTTTCTGTCGATCATGTTTCCATGTGGTGGGGCTTGTGCCTGTTGCTAAGAACGGTTCGACCCGATCCAGAATAGTCAGATCCAGCAAGTCTTGCGATAACCAGCCAAAGTTTGTTCTGGATAAAAACGCTTTAACTTCAGCACCAGAAGAGCCTCCTCTCAGCAATTTTGCAGATATCTAGAGAACAAACAGATTACAGTTTGTCGTTGATACTGATTGATCGAGTAATGATGCGCCGGTTTTTCAATCACCTCTTTTTGAGGGCCGCAGCTTTGAGAGGGGCCGCAAAGCTCCCAGGAACCCCAACATGGCCGCGTCACGTGCATTTCCTAGTACCTAGCATCCCCCCAGCCTTTTCGGCCAAAATGTTTTCACCTGCTCCGTGAGTAGAGGGGTGACTAAGGCGAGCAAATGAATTGGGATTTCCTCACATTTGCTGGCTTCCCGCCCGTCTCTTCCACCAAATCCCACCTCCCCCAACGTTCTGATCTTTGTGTGGTCTTTCTATGTACAATATGGCACCGAGACTACCCCTCTCAAAGCTTGAGATGATCCAGGATATGATATTGAGCGAATCACTAACCATCTCACAAATGGCCAAAGCTGCTGAATGCAGCAAGCGATCAATCATTAACATCAGCAACAACCTTCGCTGGTTCGAAAATGTCAGAGCACCCCCGACTCAGGTCGGTCGACGACGAAGCGTAACTCCTCCGATGCTACAGGCCTTGTGCGATCATCTACTGGAAAAGCCAGGGCTATATGTGGACGAGATGACAATCTTTTTATGGGACGAATTCCGTGTCTAGGTGACAAATTCCAGTATTAAGCGAGCTCTCGCTTCGGTCGGTTGGTCAAAGAAGGTGGCTCGACAGAGAGCAAAGGAGCAGAGTCCCGACTTGAGAGACTTCTACCTACATAATTTATCGGATTTTCAGTCGTATCACTTCGTCTATGTGGATGAATCTGGATGTGATAAGCGGATTGGGTTCAGACGGACAGGCTGGTCTCCGTTAGGCGTAGCACCATTGCAGGTAGCCAACTTCTATCGTGATCAGCGCTACCAGATACTGCCTGCATATTCTCAGGATGGAATCGTGCTCTCTCGGGTTTTTCAAGGCTCCACCGATGCTGCTCTCTTCGAAGATTTTATTGACCAGCTGCTAAGGCATTGTGGAAGATGGCCTGAGCCAAAATCCGTCATCATTATGGATAACGCATCTTTCCATCACTCTGATCGTATAAAAGAGATGTGTGCCGATGCAGGAGTAAAGCTAGTTTACTTACCACCTTACTCCCCTGACTTGAATCCAATCGAGGAGTTCTTCTCCGAGTTAAAAGCATTTATTAGACGGAACTGGGTGCGGTATGAAGAAGACCCAGAACAAGGGTTTCCGACTTTTCTCGAATGGTGTATCGAAGTTGTTGGATCTCGAAAGCAAAGCGCTTTGGGCCATTTTAGACATTCTGGTGTGGATATTGAAGATAGTTGTCGTTAGATTTAAAACAGCCTGGCGTTGAATCTTATCATGAGCCTACCAAACCTACTTTATGTCCTCATCGTTCTACGTTACGCCTCATTCTACGCTTTACTATAAATGTTTATTAAAGGGGTAGATATGAATCATGAAGCACAGATAATTTAATGATAGTTATAACGTCTAAACGAGCGCCACTGTACGCCCTCAGAGAGCTGCCGGCGCCCTCTCATCTATCGATGAAATAATCCTCATACTCCGAACCCATTTGACGATATCTCTTACAAACTGGCGGGCAATACCTACCACGATCCCTTTGTCGATAAAAAACGATGGGTTTTGGTCCTCATATATCAGTTGAAGATCGAGCCCATTTGCCAGAGCAACATCACGCGCTTCTCGAAATTGGGCTTTCAAATAGTCATCACCGACTTGTGCTTCATGCCAAGCGGTGTACTCTCGAACTGCCTCATCTCGAAGTCCAGGAATATTAAAGTCGTCATTGAATAGGCTAGTTGGTGACGGAAGCATTGGTGGGTTGGCGAGTGAATTGAGCTCCTCTGGTAGGGAAGGTTGTACCCCGTTAAAGTTAAAGTTTATAGGAGGACAACCTCCCGGGGTGTTAGTCATCTTGTTATTTTTAGATTGTTGACTCTCCAGTCTGTGTCGCTCTTCCATATAAAAGTCTTCACGAATATTGTCTGGGACGTCGTCATGAGATTGCACGGTCCCACCTTTCTCCACAAAGGCAATGAGACGTTTTAAATGATGGGTTCTCAGTCCATAGTGTTTTTTTCCGTGAGGGTCTTGCCAGCAATATCGGCCTAGATGGCACGAGGAGGAAGGACAACGCATCAGGTTGTAGATACTTCGCCAAACAGACTCTTCCCCAGAAGCATTTTCTTCAGCATCGAGTTGGGCATCTCGCTCGTTGAGCATTTTTTTAGTGACTGATGACCGTCCTCTTTTCTCAACTCTACCCGAGGTAGTTCTGGGGATTTGGTCATCCTCAACGTATTTAAAGGTAATACTTAGCCTCAGTTTCTTGCCTCGACAAAACAGTTCCCCCCACCTAAGCAGCTGTTTTTCTACAGCGGTCCAATCGATGTTGAGGTTCTCAAATCGCTTCGTCAGGTCGCGTTGGGAACGATCGTTTACCGACACAACGATTGAGGTATCATCCGACCTTACCCTCCCGGCACGGGAGGTAGGCACTCGGAGTCAGGGCTACGTCCTCTTCTGTGTCTCGTGAGATGACCTTCCTATTCAGCATAACCTTCCACTCTATCATATACTGGATGCAGCTTGCCGGAAGCTCATCATTTCGTAGTTCCTCGTCCCACTCGGAGAGCTGGAGTAGTTTGGGTTTTCCCGCGTCGACTTGGCATGACTCTGCGAGACCGTTCTGGGTGGAATATCGGGGGGAAGGACTAAGCCCGCATGGTGGCTCAGGTGTGCAACCGAAGTATCCTGGAGTGGGGGCATATTGCGAATCCTGGTCTGACGCTTCTATCTCATAGGATGATCGAATATCATCACCGTTGCAATACGAGTCAACAGTCATCTAGGCCTCGCCCATACCCGTGGGTAAGCGGGTTTTACCCGACCCATACCCATTTCTTGGCGGGTTTTGGGTCCAAAGTCTATACCCGAGGTCGGGTATGGGTTTTGATAGTCATACCCGACCCGACCCACGGGTTACCCACGGGTTAATAAACAGTGCAAACATGGAGAATCTCGTGACATACACAAATTGTGCATTTTTTTGGCTGTATTTATATGTATTCTGCTTATAGGTAGTCACGTTTATAGATACTAGATAGCAAAATAAGTGTGAATAGCTTCAATTTCATCAAAGACTAATACTCTATAAACTGATCGTTATAAACCCGTGGGCGTTTTCGAGATCTTCCTAAGACACGCTATTAGGTCTTAGGTAGGGGTATATTATCCTCTTCTAGCTCTTTATTATCCTTACGGCCCTTAGTATCCTGTTGCAATACAATACTCCTTCTCCTCTTTCCAAGAGAACCTTCTAAATGACCTTATATAGCTGCTTCGGTTTGAACAAGATGTGAGACCACGCAGAGTCTCCGGTTTAGCTAGGTAAGCGAAGTAGAAGCCTCAGCTGACGTGTAGTACAATATGGTTCTATTGTAGAAGAGACTGAACGCTGACCCTTCCCAGGGTCAGCGGGGATGAACTAAATACAGGCTGGCCCAGCTTCCGGGCGGTGAGCAGTACTATACTGCCACGATTCCTGAGGCACCACTCGTGCCTCAGGTACCAACATAAGTAGTCGAGGGTCCTGACAATATCCCCCTCCTTAGAGACCACGTCCCTGGGGTCTTGTAATGGAATGGGCCTGTCCAGTGGCTTTTTCGGTCCATTAAAACCATGCATGCATGGCAAAAACCTCCAGCTCTTTCCTGGGGAAAATCCATGCAGGGAAAGGTATCCGATGCCGACTAGCCCATTTTTCGTTCTTGCGCGAGGCATGTGATTGGCGTAGTGAGAAAAGGGTCTTGATACAAGCCTTTTTGCGGGGAAACCCGTAAGGCTGAGAGTAGATAGATGCACTGTTTGCTTGAACTATTTGCTTGATATTAGGGCCAGGCAACACTTCTTGCGTTACCAATATAAAAGGCCCCTTTCTCTCTCAATTAGTTCTTCTTCTTCTTTCTCCCTAGCCAGTACGCTTGCATTGCCTGTAAGTCCCCTTTATTTTACTGCCTCTTCCTATCTTCATGCTCTCTCTGCTCGGTGTCAGCTTTGAGATCAGTTATATGATCAGTTTGTCCTTAGTTTGTTGTTACTGATATTTCTGTGGGCTAGGGCATTTTATCTCCCTCCTTCGGAGGATCGTCCCTAATCTTCGATGTCTTTTGCTAACTAGGGCATTCTATAGTTCGAAATGCCGTATACTCGTTTCCCCTCCTCTAACGAGGAAGAATTTTTCCGCGTCGCTACCCAGCAACGTCGTGCTTCCGCTCAGCAGGCCTAGCCCGCTTCCCGTCGTCAGTCTAGTGACTCGTCTCCTATTGTCTCGCCTAGACATCGCGGTCAACAATCCCGTGGCCCTACTCAGCAGACCCAGCCCGGGAATCCTTATACCCCCTCTCCTCCGGGAACTCGCCGATCTAGGGCTTTTTCAAACTTGTCTTACCGTGAGCGTTAGGAGAATAGGCAGGCGTCTTCTAGTGGTGGCCGCGAGCGGGCCCGGGCTTCGGCCCCGGTTCCGACGAACGCCGCTGCCAATAGATCGCCCTCGATGTCTTTTCGCACGCGCCGCGGTGTGACTCCCCTAGTTCAAGCTTCCAGAGTTCCGAACACCCCTAGTCGCCCGGTTAACTCTAACCCAACGACCCCGGCCATTGAAGCGAAGCGCATAAAACGTCCGCGGTACAATACCAAGGAGCGCGCTCGTAAGTGTATCACCTACACCGGAATAGGCAGAGTGTGTACTTGGTCGGAGGATTCGAACGGGAAGGCCCTACCGCGTTGCGACGACTGCACTAATCGAAACAAGAAGTGCAGCGACATCCCCTTTTCCACCGAGATCCTGGACCGTTACCTTGCCGCCCTAGCGGATACGTCTCCTGCCATAGATATTGCCCCTATTAATGGGCCCCGTGCTGATTTCCTAAAGGCTATGAAGCGGTATACCCAAGAGAGTAACCGCGCGGCCAAGGATAGCAGCAAGGAGACTACCCTAGTTGCTAGTAGCAGCAGGGATTCTCGTCGTCGTACTGGTTCACCTCATTCGATAGTTTCCGTAGTACGTGATCGACAAGACGCTAGTAGTCGATGTCTAGTCAACAGGCCCCGTCCGACTACCCCTTCTTCCGATAACCGTGGTAGAAGTGAGCCTTCTCGTCGGGATCGTGCTGAGAGCCCTTGTGTAGTGGCTACTTCTAGTTCCACTAGCCCTTCTCGGGAGAGTTCTAAGGAACCCCCTCGCCGTCGTCCTCTAAAGCGTTTCTTCCTTTGGAAGAAGAAGTGAGCGGTAGCAGGCCTATTTTTCTTTTGTTTCCTTTGTCCCTAAGCCTTAGGCATAGCATTAGGACTAGACTAATATCGGCAGTCCGTGGAGTATACTATCCTTTCCTTAAACTTCTGCCTCTTCTCTTTGTAGGTTTCAGTTCGTAGATATCTAGCGCCACTATATTCTCTACAGTAGCTAGGTCTTCCCATATACATTCATGGTCAGGGTACCCTTCCCACTTCACTAGATACTGTCTTAGCGGGGTGCCATAGTAGGCTCGAATCTCTTCGATCTTGTATTCCAATTGGTTTTCTACTAGAACTAGCCCAGGTATTTCGTCCTACTTTTCAGGATTGCCGTGGAATTTCTCGAGGAGTGACACATAGAAGACGGGATAGACTAGTCGATATATTGGAGGTAGTCGAACGCGGTATACTTGTTTTCCGATCCTATCCGCTACTTAGAAGGGTCCGATGTATTTCACATCCAATTTCGTAGAGACGCGATACAAAACGATATGTTTTGCGCGTAGCAAGACCCATTCGCCAATGTGAAATAATATATCGATATGATTTTTATCATAATAACGTTTTATGTCCTCCTTGGACTAGGTCAGCTTCTTCAGCATAAAGGATCTTCTTTCTTGGATATCCTTCACCCTTGCTACCGCATCTCTATAGTGCTCCTTTGGATAGATGTCAACACTAATCCGTAGGTCAGGTTTAAATCCCTGGAATGCCTCGTACGGCGATATTCTAGTAGCGCTATGCTTTGCTTAGTTGTAGCATATCTACGCTAGCGGGAGGTAACTAGCCCAGTCGTCTTAGTCCTAGTTAACATACGATCGGAGGTAGTATTCTAACGTCTGATTCTGCCGTTCCGTCTGTCTATCGGTCTATAGGTGGAATACAGTTGATAGCCTTCGGTCCGTTCTTAGCAATACGCAAAACGACGACTAGAATTCGCTTATGAATAGGCTGCCCCTATCACTAACTAGGTTTTCTGGCATACCTAGGATTGGTATCACTTTGGAGAACTATAACTAGGCGAGTTCTTGCGTGTCAATGTCCTTTGTACATAGAAGATACAATGCGTATTTCGTACATAAATCAACCACTACTAGAACTGCGTTATATACCCTGCCGTCCCATTTTAAGGGAGGCATGCTAGTAATAAAGTCCAAACTAACCTATTCCGCTGGTCGGGATAGCACTAGCATAGGTTGCAAAAGCCCGTATGGCTTATACCGCCTAGTCAAGTTCCTCTGACAGGCTACGCATTCTTGGACGTACGCACGGACGAAGCTTTTTATATCGTGCCAGTAGAAACGCTAGCCGATGGCTTCCTAAGTCCGTTTTTCCCTATAATACCCCCCTTACGGATCATCATAGTGCACTTTTATGATCTCTTGCCATAGGGCTGGGTCATTCGGCACGTATACTCGGTGGCCATAGCGTAACAGTCCGTCATTTGTCTTGGTCCACGCTATGCCCGCCAGTCCAACTAGCCCATCCTCATGCGCCCGTCCCTCTATCTTACTAAGTTTATCAACGCTAACGGGATCCAACGCTTGCGCATACTTAATCAACTCAATAAGTGAGGGTCGCAATAGGTCTAGATATGCCCCCATTCCGTCTATAGCCTTTGCCGCTAGCAGACGGGGCATTCGACTGCTTGAGTCGATCTAGTCCTCTTAACCGTACTACGCCTGTTCTCTCTTCTAGAGGTCTTCGGCTAACAGTCTTCCTACACGGAGGACAGGGCCAGTCCGTGAGGGGCCTTCGTGGGTCGTCACCCAACGTAGGCGCGGCAATAGAAGTCCATCTATTCCGCTCACTATAATTCTACTAATCAATAGTATCTCGTTAGGGTCCGCAGCCCTATAACTCTGCCGGATCTTTCGTTGTAATATAGGTAACATTGAATTGTCCGCAGTTTCGCCTTCCTTAGGCGCGTAATCCGGACGCCGACTAGGCATATCCGCTAGATTCTTCTTGCCGGACCTATATTCGATAACGAAATCGAATGCCGCAAGGTATTCGGACCATCTTGCTTGCCGCCCACTTAACACCTTTGTGGTCATAAAGTAGCGTAAGTTAGCGTGGTTAGTCAGGACTCTCACTAGGAATTTGCTACCCTCTAGGTAGTGCCTCTATTGCCTGAATAATTCTACAATAGCTAATAGCTCTGAATCATGCGTCTCGTACCGGGTTTCTGGCCCGATCATCTTCCGAGACCAATACGCAATAGGGTGCCATCCCCCATCCGTAAACAACTAGCTTAGTATACTCCCGAGTCCGAAACCCGACGCATCGCACTCGACCAGCAGGGCCAGTTCGGGGTCGAAGTGTCGGAGGAATAGCTCTTCCGTAAAGGCCCTCTTTAGCCTTTCGAACGCGTCTTGCGCTTCCCGAGTCTATTGGAACCCGTCTTTCTTTCGGTTGGCTTTCCTAGCCGTTCTGCCGTGGGTGGTAGCCGAAATAGGTATACAGATAGCTAAGAACCGTTCAATGAAATAGCGGTAGAACCCGGCGTACCCTATAAACTACTAGATATCGAACGCATATTCAGGGATAGGCTATTCCTATATGGTTTTGACACGTTCTTTTTCTATACTTACCCCTTCTAGGGTGATCACAAACCCAAGGAATATGACCGAATCGGTATAGAAGCGGCACTTACTACGTTTTGCGTATAGCCGGTAGGTACGTAGCCGTCGAAAGACTTCTCGAACATGCTCGATATACTCTTCCTCGTTCTGAGAGAATATCAGGATATCGTCTAGATAGACGACACAAAATTGGTCGAGGAGGTCACAAAGCGCCCTATTGATGTACGCTTAGAATATAGCAGGGGCATTCGCTAGTCCAAATAGCATGACCGTGTATTCGAAATGGCCGTATCGCGTACGGAACGCCGTCTTCCATTCGTCTCCCTCCTTGATTCGGATCCTATAGTAGGTATCCCGGAGGTCTAGCTAGGTAAAGATTTTTGCGCCCGATAGTCGGTCTATTGTCTCGCTCACTAGCGGCAGGGGGTAGCGGTTCTTGATGGTAATGTTGTTAAGACCCCGATAGTCCACGCATAACCGCAAAGACCTATCCTTCTTCTTGACAAAGATAATTAGTGCGCTAGCTAGACTCTGGGAAGGCCGAATCCATTCCTTGGCTAGTATTTCATCAATATAGTTTCTTAGCACCCCTAGCTCGTTCGGGGAGAGAGGGTAAATTAGCTAGTGCGGTGGCTAGGCGCCCTCCTCTAGTTCGATAGCGTGATCTAAATATATGGACTAGGGCAGTTTGTCCGCGCCTTCCTCGCTAAAAATATCTTCGAAGTCCCTATACGCTTCTAGGATGGTTTCGCCGTCGTCAATTACTATGTGGAAGAACGGCACTAGGCCATCTTTATCCGATAGCCGTGGGTAGATAGCTATAACGAATGCTCCGAGCGCAGCCTTATTATAACATACCGCGGCGGATATCCTAAGGAGCTGCGTAGGTTCATTGTCACGGTAATTCCACGTATGTTCTTTGTAATTGATGTCGGGGTTGGCTAAGATAAGCCAGTCGTATCCAAGAATTATATCGTACCCTTGGATTTCGACTACCTCGCACGTAATAGGGTCTTCTCGAATAGTTCCTACGCTATCGGTCATTTCAAGAAGTAGCTCGTGCGCTCTAAATGACCGGACAGTCTATTCGTTGATGGCCCTAACCGTCCGCGGTATAGCTTCGCTATCTAGGAGGTGTTGTTTGGCCTATTTTTGGTTCACGAAACTTGCCTCTGCGCCGCTATCCACAAGGACGCTTATAGGGATGCCCCTATCGGCTAGGATAACAACCGCTTCGTAGACAAATGCCTTTTCTCTATCTAAATACGTCTTAGCGGCCCCGAGTGCGATTACGGCAAGGTTCACTAGGGCTGTCTATTTTTTAGTACTTCGACGGTGGAGGCTCTAAGGTCCGTCTTCTTCCTTGTGCAGGATCTAGCGAGGTAACCTATCTCTCCGCAGTTGAAATAGGCGCCATCCTACACCTTTCTTTTCTTGGCTAGGTCAGTCGAAGTGCTATGTCGTAGTGTCGGATCCTATCGTGATCCGTAACTACCCCTTCCTCGTCCTCGACCTTTGGTCCGGAAGGCAGGGTTACGGCCGAAAGTGTGTGGTTAGGGCTGATTTCCCCGGTCCGGTGGAATAGCCCCTTTGGCGTCCTTCCTTCGGTTAGACAGGGCCAGTCGTCGGGTAGGGATATTGTTCTCGACAGCAGTGAGATAGTCGATATACTCTATAAGGTCCATTTCTCTCTAGACGTCGAATTGCTCCCTCCTTTCTTTAATAGAGGGTAACACCGAGTTACGAAGCCGGGTGTAGATTTGAATATCGCCTATCCGTTCTTGTTCTTTCATCTAGCCCTAGTACTAGATTAGGCGCGCAGCGTATTCGCGGACAGACTTAGTTTCTTTCTAAGTGGCTAGGTCGAATTGCTTAGACATAGCTTCTTGTAGATTCTTGTGCTTATTGATCAATCCAATGGCCTAGTTCTTCATATCCCTAAAACGAGGGGTATCGTAGGGAAACTTGACCTTATATAGCTCCTTCACCTAGTTCGAGCAATAGGCTAGCGCCTATCGCGTCTAATAAGGTTAGTACTCGAACCAGTCCATACAAGTATGGTCAGCCTCGAAGAACTCTTCTAGTAAGAAGACCTATCTTCGATACTCGTCGTTGTCTTTTACCTTGTAGATCACTAGGTTAGGCTAATCCCGCGGTTTCTTGATACCACGTCGGCGTAGGGTAAATAGG